TTGTCGACGCATGGTGGTTGGAAGTTGACGCGTCGCGTTTTCGTGATGAAGTGGACGGCTCGCTTGGGTGGACGGCTCGCTTGTGGAATACGTTATTAAAGTTTTAAGTTAAATATAAGGTTCCTATCTATATAAAGGAGTGTGCTTAAATATAAAAGGTAACTCCTAAGAAACCTATAGGCTTGTTGGCTCGTCCACAATCCTGTAAGCTATGCTCGTCCGCTCGTCCTCGATCCTACGAGCCAGCTCGTCGTGCTCGCCACGAGCTGCTCGATCCATCACGTGACCTCTCATCCCGTGATGTCCTTATTCTTAGATTGTTCCCATCCACCAGCAGTCCGTGGGGGAATCCAGGATCCCCATACGTCCGACCCTCGATCCTCGAGGTCCTGTGACTTGTTCCTGTGTTATCAGTCTTATCTGTTCGCTTGTCTCTGTGAGTGCCGCTGCGCTCGGGTGGTTCGTGTTACGGGTTGTAACACCCGAGTACCGCAAAAAATAATGCGTTTAAGCTTTATAATTGGGTAAAGCTGCCTACTATATACCTACTGCCTTGGTACTTTGTGCAACCTTAACCACGCTCTTCACAAAAAGCCCATAAAAAGGAGAGGTTCCACCTTTATTGAGAGGCGAAAAGTCACAAAAAAAGAAGTTCTCCGCTCGCGGAATCGAACCGCGGACCTTCAGGTATGATGTGATGTTCAATTACAGCCCGACGTGATAAACCAACTACACCAAGCGGAGGTACTTGATGAATGACGGCCCAAAATAAAACGTAAATATATCAAGGATACGTAGATGGCTACGGCACTATCGCTGCAACATGAGATATTCACGTGGAGAAGCAGTTCTGACACACCATTGTCCGTATCTCGTAACCTCCGGCCAAATTCGAGAGTAATCCCGCTCACGTGCGAGGAAATTTAACCTCCCCAATAAATCAGGCGATACGTAGCATTCAATTGGTCGGAGGGTCGCTTTTCCAAGCAGCAAGTACCAAAGTATCTACCCGAGTTTCCCTCGTGCGGGCAGCACCTTCTAAAGCTTGGCCTCATAAGGGTATTGAATCGAGAATAATTCTTGTCGAAGCAACTCAATTCTGCAGTCATACAAGGCTCTTCTCAGGACTGTTCGAGGCCCAGGTGGGCTATCAGAACTACGAGCCGCTTGCCGACGTCAACATCGTCATTTGCTGCATCAGCGACGCCCCCCGCCATACATAAGACCCCTACGCTTTCCGACGTGGGCCAGGCAATGCTACCATGACCGCCGTGGTGTCTTCCAGGACATGTTTTTGTTGCTAACATCCCATTAATTCAGCCGCCACCATGGCCTCCGCCTCGACCCACGGCAGCACCTCGTCCGTCGACGCCCTCGACTCCCGCATCCCGGGCGCTTTCCCTGCCTCCAGCGTGTCCTCCCACCAGAGCCTCTACCAGGCTGTGTTTGCCAGGCGTTCCGAATACACCCGCCTCCGTAGGATTCGCGTCAAGGTCGGGTCCTGGAATGTCGCTGCTCTCAAGGGCACCGAGAAGGACGTGGCCGGGTGGTTCGTCGAGGGCAAAGGCGTGGAAGAAGCCATGGCCGGCCTCGACATTCAAGGCCAGCAGGCTGCTGGAGCCGACCAGCGAGAGAGCGTTGGAGACCAAGAAGCGCGAAGCACGCACAAGGCCACAACCATACCTGAAAATGACGCCGGAAGCCTCCCCGGTGGCGAGGAAGTTGGTATATACGCCCTTGGCCTGCAAGAAGTTGTGGATGTGGGGTCTGCAACCGAAGCGTTCAAGCCGTATACAGATCCCGCGGTCGCACAAAAGTTCAAAAGTGCCATGCTGGACGCCTTGCCTCCTGGATACCAACTGGTAGCGGAGCAGCAGCTGATCGGCCTCTTGTTGCTCATCTTTGTATCCCCGAGCATTACCCCTGAAGTGAAGTTTGTCAGTACAACAAGTGTAGGAACGGGACTCATGGGTTACATGGGGAACAAAGGCGCCGTCACTACTCGATTGGTGGTAGGCGAAACTACGCGTCTGGTCTTTATCAATTCACATCTGGCCGCTGGGGCAGACAAAGCAGCCCTGGAACGAAGGAATTGGGATGTTAGTCAAATCATCAGTCGAACAAAATTCGAACCAATAGTCGATCACATGGGCCTCACCCAGTCCAACGGAGATGGAGTGGGCGACGAAGATTTTGCGTTTTGGTTTGGAGACCTTAACTACAGGCTGGAGGGAATACCCGGCGACGACGTTCGTCGCCTTTTGACAGTACACACCCAACATCTCGACGCCGTGAAATCAGAACCGCTTCAAACGTCTGCCACGGAACAGGTACTAGGAGTGACTCAAAACTCTACTAGCAGCAAGATGGACGAAGAAGTTCCAGCCAACCTACCTGCTCATATGGATCCTGCGTCTCTGCATACGACAATATCGTCGCTACTACCGCATGATGAGCTCCACCAGCAGCAGAGACTGAGAAAAGCATTTGAAGATGGTTGGCGCGAGGGTCCAATTGAATTCCTGCCGACCTACAAATACGATGTTGGTAGAGTAGGGCTATTTGATTCGAGTGAAAAGAATCGTTGTCCAAGCTGGTGCGATCGTATTCTCTATCGTTCTCGAACAGCCAGACTCGCTTATGAGATGAAAGTGCAAGAGGAGGAGGTTGCGAGGAAGAAGGATGAAGAAATGAAGGCCAGGGGCTTAGAAGAAGCTGGTGCAGATGAAGATCTTCTGTTTGATTACGACCCGGCCACAGACGGTGATGATTATGACGAGTTCGCCGATTCAGAACCAGAAGTCGTAGTTACGAAAGAGAGCTTTGAAGATGATATAACTCTCGAATACTACACAGCTCACCAACGAGTACTGTCGTCCGACCACAAACCTCTTAGCGCAGTTTTTGCCCTTAAGTACGACGCCGTCGTGCCGGAGCTGAGAGCCCGTGTTCATCAAGAAGTTGTCAGGGATCTCGACCGCGCTGAGAATGAAGGTAGGCCAACTGTTATGGTCGTGGTGGATCAGCACTCAGGGTATGAAACAACGGAACCATCCGATACAGATTCCTTGGACCATGAGGGCATCTATTTTGGAGACGTACGATACGCCACGTCGAAGCGTCGCAGCATCACAATCGCGAACACAGGAAGAGTGCCAGCTGTTGTCTCCTTTGTTGATCGCCCAGCCGAGCCAGGACGACCTACGGGACCAATGCCACCCTGGTTATTGGTTCGATTTGACAGAGATCCGGACAAGAACCCTACGGCTCCAAGTGAGCACGACCAGTATACGATTGAGCCCGCGGAGGTCTGCAACGTTGAACTAAAACTCAAAGTCGAGCTCATAGAACTCGTTCGCGAGCTTAATGAAGGCGTAGCAACGCTCGACGACGTTCTTGTGTTACGAGTCGAAAACGGGCGTGACCATTTTCTTCCTGTTCGAGGCCGCTGGCTCTCGTCCTCCTTTGGACGCTCAATCGACAAGCTTATCCGAATCCCCGAGGGAGGCATCCGAAAACTGCAACGCCAGAAACCGTCCGCGACTGATCAAGCGGTAAAGTGGTCGGCGCCGCGGGAGTTATTTCGACTGACGGAAAGCATAGAAGACCTAGTCGAAAGAACTCTCGCTGAGTGGGACATGACCAGCTCCGAGGGCGACAAACCTCCATGGCAAAACAACGCTGGCTGGCCATTTGCCGAAGAGTCTTGGGGGGCAACCACAAGTGCCTCTAGAGTATCTCTGCGAGCAAACGTTTACGAGGCCCTCGACTGCGACCAACCCTTCGACACGGCGTTTACAGCGGATGTTCTGCCGATGGAGAGGCTTGAAGTACTCGCGCAAACCCTTCTCGTGTTTCTATGGGGCCTGCAGGATGGTATCATTACAGAGGAGTTGTGGGTACAATTGGAGAGCAGCATCGCTGCTCGTGAGAAGGCAAAGCAACAACTCGCCTTGGATGACGAGCGAATGTGGTGTCTTGAGATCTTGTCGTCAGCCCCGACTCATAACGTCTCATTCGTCCTCTTAACTTCCATGCTGTCGCGTGTCGCTAGTGAGATCGTCAACTCAACTTCGTCCTCAGCCAGACCAATGTCGGCACCCCGATCGAGCGTAGAGCTCCCTGCATCCCCAAGAGTCACTGTGAGAAGAAAGACCCTGAGCCAGATTCCAGAGGTGGCAAGACGGCAATTGATCAACAGAAACTACGCTGTGATCTTTTCAGGTGTTATGATTAGGGCCCCTCAGTTTGGCAAGGGCAAGGAGAAAGAGAAGAGGACGCGAGAAGAGCGTATGACTAATTTCATTGAGATGTTCTTAAGGGAAAGCGAAGAGGGGCGATAGAATAGCGTGAGGCTTTTAGCTTAGACGTCTAGGTTACTTATAGAGATACCCATTAACGATTACACATTCGGAGCTCTATAAGAATGAGGTTTTCCCGCGTGGATAGCACGTGTTCGTCTATAGCGGGGTGAAGGAAAGGGGCGAGCGGGGCAGGTCTCGAAAGATCTGCTCAGCCCTATGAAGCATGGAATACCCCACCAACACCATAAATTTTCGCTAGGCACAACACACTCACACATTCACGCCAGCATGCAATCAGGCAAGATCCGAATGCTCTTGGTCGGCAACGGTGGCCGCGAGCACGCCATTGCCTGGAAATTGGCCCAATCCGCGCTTGTCGAGCACATCTACGTTGTCCCGGGGAACGGAGGCACCGCAGGACTCAGCAAAGTCACGAACGTAGATGGAATCGGCCAGGAAGACTTCGCCGCCCTGACCAAGTTCGCCGCGGAGAACAGCATTGGCTTGTTGGTGCCGGGGCCTGAGGCACCGCTCGTGGCGGGCATCGCGGATTACTTCAAGCAACACGCGCCTGGGGTGAAGTGCTTTGGACCGTCGCTGGGTGCGGCGCGCATGGAGGGGTCGAAGACGTTTTCGAAGGACTTCATGCAGCGGCATAACATTCCTACGGCTGCTTATCGGAATTTCAGTGATTATGAGGAGGCGAGGAAGTACTTGGATGAGGTATCTCACGACGTGGTGATCAAAGCGAGCGGGTTGGCAGCGGGCAAAGGCGTTATTATCCCCGCGACGAAAGAGGAGGCACAGAAGGCACTCACAGAGATCATGCAGGACAAGGAGTTCGGTGCTGCGGGGGACGAGGTTGTGATTGAGGAGTTCTTGGAGGGAGACGAGCTGAGCATTTTGAGCTTCAGTGATGGCAGCACTATCAGGAGTCTCCCGCCAGCACAAGATCATAAGAGGATATTCGATGGGGATCAAGGCCCTAACACTGGTGGGATGGGCACGTATGCTCCGACGAGGATTGCGCCGCAGAGTGTCATTGACGAAGTTCACGAAACGATCCTACAGCCAACTATCGATGGAATGAAGAAAGAAGGTGAGTCCTTCGCCAGATATTTGCTCCATGGCTTGGCTGATTACTGTTGAAGGTATTCCTTTCGTCGGCGTGCTATTTACGGGCTTGATGATGACAAAGTCCGGAGCGAAAACTCTCGAGTACAACGTTCGGTTCGGCGATCCTGAGACGCAGAGTCTTTTATCCTTGATGAAGACCGACCTGGCCAGCATTATGCTTGCGTGCGCAGATGGTAACCTAAGCACTAAGGAACTTGAAGTGTGGCCCAGGTCTGCTGTTACGGTCGTTGTAGCAGCAGGAGGGTATCCGGGATCGTATGTCAAAGGGACTCTGATGAAGTTGGATCCTGCGCCTGAAGGTAAGTATCCCAGTCCGTTTCAACTCAGAAGAATACTAATCCTAACCCTAGATGTCGTTCTATTTCACGCGGGAACTACACTCGTCGATGGCTCACTGAAGACATCTGGCGGCCGAGTTATTGCATCAACTGCTATTGCAGAGACGTTAGAAGAAGCGATCAGCAAGGCTTACTCCGGAGTCAAGTTGATTCATTTCGAAGGAATGCAATACCGGAAAGATATTGCCGGACGTGCTTTGAAGAAGACCACATCATAGGAGAGCTGTTGCTACCATGGTAACTGCGTCATAAACGGCGTTGAGGTTTAAAAAACTCTCCTGAGGTTCAAATATTCTTACTTCGTCGTACTTAATCTAAAAAGGGGTCAAAAGGGTAGGCTTCACATTTAATGAGTGAGAACTGCTTTCAAAGTGTGTATTCATCATAGTTTTGTACTCTTCTTCAACGCATGCTCCCTATCCCATTCGTCCTACGGGAATCAATGTCAGTTTGATCTGGGAAATAGACGGCAATGGAACGTATGCACTTACATCCCATGGTATTCGTGCATTGCGATGCTCGGGCTTGACCGGTGAGTTGACTTTGTGGTGTTCCACAGTAGCATATATTACTTTACCATCGAGAGAGGTCATCTTTCCTTGAATCATGGCCATTTGTCTTCCTACTTGGAGCACTTTGCTCTCAAGTCTAACGGTCGTCCCAATCTGCTAGTGTTGGTACGAGTTGCAAAGACGCATATGGTTGTAGGGGCTCACTGGAACCGCTTTAAGGTAACTTAAATTCAAAGTGCGTGTGACGCCCCCCATGAACCTGTCAGAGTTAGTGCGAAATGTACAGACTATGCTTGATCGTGATCTCACTCCCAATAGCCCGGTCGTGCCAGTGGGCAGAGTGCAGATGTCGTGGCCATGTCGAATATCACTCCTGCTGCTCCGCCGTGCATGACATCTAACCAAGCTTCAGCGCTAAGCCCTGTGACGTAGCGTCAAGCCTACCATTAAGATTAGAATAGGGCTCCGTGATCTCCAGCTCGAAGGCGACAAAGCCGGCCCCGTTAGCGTCCACGAGCTTCATATTGCGCATGACTTCGTAATCGTGGAGGGCAGAGGCGTGATGTTGTGAGAAGGCTTGCTCTGCCATAGAGAAATCGGTATTCTGCAGGAGTCGTCCCAATTAGGGGGGGGCCAATACAGAGGCAGCCAATTGCATGATTACGAACAGCATGGTGGGCTGGCCGAGCATCTGCGATGACACGGTAGCTGCTTGCTTTTAGTCTGGTGTGCAGTGAAAAGGAGTGACCGGAGGGGGTGCCATCCGAGAAGCCACCATACCGATCGAAGAGGGCCTGGACGGCCGCCATTGCTTTTCGACGGTCCTCTCGCGCTTCGGCCGCCATGACGGGAGCTTGGGAGCTGGCTCTCGCAACACTGCCCTGGATACGGCGGAGATGGTAGGGGTAACAACAGGAGCTGACAGCAGAAGGGCTGTATGTGTATAGCGGAATCTGTGAGTGGCAGTGGAAACAATCGACCGATTTGCCTCGGCCCTGCACGCGCGGGCAGCTCTGTGATCCAGGGTTCGAAGTTTCGCGTGTGGCGCCGGCCGGCGATCTCTACGGGGCAAATCGTCTCGCAACAGGGCACCGCGTTTCGGATCGGATGCGTGGCATATTCACCACCCTCAGCCCGCCTCAACCCTAGTGTGCAATGGCCTGTCATGGCTGCGCTGATTCTCCTATAAGACCTTCCTTTGGAACCCAGATGCTTGTGTTTATGCTCGCCTAGACGACACTACTCTGCCTGTACAACTACGACGCGTTCCCATAGAGCTATTCACCACCACATACTGATACCCAACCACCGCAATGTCTCACGCGACTCCAGTCGCCGGCGACCTGCGCAAGAAAGTGCTACGTGTCCTATTCATATCTCTCCTTCTCGATCTAGTAGGCTCCCGTGCAATCAATTGAGTCGAGTAGCCCGCGCTGACCTGCCAGATATCTTTCACCTTCATCCTGCCCCTCTACCCGAAGCTCCTCGAATTCTACCGCGACCACGAAGCCGCCAAAGCGAGCTCCAACACCGTCCTCGGCCAGGTCCTTCACGGTCTGAACGCATATAAGAACTCCTTTGCGCGTCCCATCAATGACCGCTACGACATTGTCCTCCTAGGCGGCGCCCTCGGCTCCCTGTTCTCCTTCCTCCAGGCAATTGCTTCCCCCATAATTGGAAGACTATCAGACAAGTATGGCCGCCGGACGGCCCTACTCTGGTCCATGGCGGGCAACATTCTGTCAGTCGCGCTCTGGGTGGCCGCGACCGACTTCCGGACCTTCCTAGCCAGCCGCGTCGTTGGAGGCCTGAGCGAGGGCAACGTTCAACTCGCCCTGGCAATCGCGACAGACATCAGCGACGACACGCAGCGCGGTGCTACAATGGCGCTCGTAGGAGTCTGCTTCAGCATTGCCTTCACCTTCGGCCCGGCACTAGGGGCAGCCCTTTCAACAATCACAACTGTGGCCGCGAACCCTTTCGCAACCGCTGCGGGCTTCTCGCTGTTCCTGATCGTCACCGAGACCATCTACCTCTACTTCTACCTTCCGGAGACCCTTCCAGTGGCGCCGGCAAAATGCTCGGAAAAGTCGGGGTCCGAGGTGAAATCAGCAGCGCCCCGTGCGAGGACTAATTCGCATACCCTGCTCAACTTTACCCACTTTACCTTCATCCTCTTCTTCTCAGGGATGGAATTTTCGCTGCCGTTTATGACGTACGATCTGTTCTCATACCGAAGTGCGCAGTCCGGGAAGCTTTTAGGATTTATTGGTCTTGTTGCTTCGCTGCTTCAGGGCAGTGTGACGAGACGATTGCACCCACTTAAAGTCGTCCAGTTGGGTGTAGTGAGCTGTGCGGCAGGGTTCTTCATTCTGGGAAGAGTCACAACAGAGAAGGGTCTATATGCTGCTGCGGCATTGCTCGCGGTCACTTCGGCGACTGTCGTAACGGGATTGAACAGCTTAAGTAGCTTTGAGGCTGCTGCTGGGGAAAGGGGGAACAAATTGGGGAATCATCGCAGTTTTGGTATGATACTCCCTCCATGAATAGAAGACCCGATGCTAATATTGTCTCGCAGGCCAAATTGGTCGATCTTTAGGACCTTTGATCTTCTGTACACTGTATTGGTGGGCAGGAAGAGAAGTTGCTTACGCCGTTGGCGGCGCTGGTATGGTGGCTGTATGTGGACTCGTTTTTGGAGGATTAAAGACGCCTCCGGGAACAGAAATGAAGCGGATGCCTCAAACGACAGACATTGGGAAAAAGATCAACGGGGTGAAGATGAATGGGAAAAAATCAAAGTAGCAACCAAGTAGATATAGTACGCCGGAATTGAATAATGCGTTTCGCTCTGTATCTGTCTTGACCCGATCCAACTGTTCTGGATGCTCACCACAACATGTACATGTTCAACCAATTCCTTGGAAATGTTTTGTATATTCTGAATACGTACAAAGGCTTCCCAGCCAAACCCAAACCCGAACGCCGCCCATGATCCAATATTATACAGAATATTACAAAATATCCCTCCATTCCCTCCTATCACGACCTCCGCTTCCCAAACTTCTTCGACTCTATCACACCTCATTAGCACCACCCAACCTAATCCAAAGAACAGCCAAAAACTCACCTCCAGCCGTCCTCTTCTTCTTCGGCGGGCTCTTGCCCTTCAATTTCGCCCTACAACACCCGAATTAGCCTCCATCCATATTCCAAAAACAGCTCAATTATGCTCCATCTCTTTCCAATATACAGCCCCCGATCTAAACCACGAGAGTACACATACACCTTCAACTTCTCAATCCAATCATCCTCCTTCTCATCCACAACATCGTACTCCGGATACAGCTTCCGCAGATCCTGCGTCGTCCCAATGCGCGGCGGGTAATAGGATGCCACGGCTGGTCCGCGGAGGCGTTGCGAGAGGATTTTGGTGCCTAAGCGTAGGCGGTCGGGGTTGAAAGTTGTGTTGAAGATGCGGCATTGGACCTTGGGAAGAGGTTAGAGAGGGGAGAGGGATTGGGGATAAGGGGGCGGGAGCGTACGCGTAGTAGGTCGATGATCCGGGAGCGCGGGACGGCCATGATGGTGGTGGGAGGTGGATCCGGAGGGACGAGATCGTGAACTTTCTCGAGGTTGAAGTTCGGCTTGGCGGGCTAGGGATTTTAGGGAAATATGGAGGTTTGGCTTCGCTGGCCGGGCAAAATTACACCCCAGGTCAAAACTGTTTGGAACTTGAAGGGTTATCGGATGATTATCTCCTTGTCAAGATACACTCTCTTATCACGCTACAATCACTAGCTCAAGATACTCTAGGTCAACATAGGTCGTTATTAAGAAGAGTATTCTATGAGGAGAAAAGTCTACACAGAACCAACAAACCCCAATCTTGAACTCGAACACACAAATGCCTACCACCGTCGTAGATAATTCACGCGTTTTCTTCTACTCTCTTTGAGCTAACCGGGAGACAAGATCTGGTGCCTAGATGTACTTCATCCGCTTAGCCACCACCAGACAGACCGTGACAAACGCAGCAATAACACCCAGGATGCCGAAGAACCAACCAAAACCATCACTGTCATGCCCAGGTACGGGAACGTTCATGCCGAAAAGACCACAGATCAAATTGAGTGGCACTAAGATTGTCGCAATGAGCGTAACCTTCCCGAGCGTTGCGTTGGCGTCGTTCCCTTGAATCAGATTATCCACGCTGATTTGAGCGAGATAGTTGCTGTGGCTTCGCGATAGCATCTTCTCGAAGTGGCCCAGGTTAGACATCATCGTTACAACGTGATCTTGAATATCCGAGAGATAGAGTCCCACATCGCCACGGGGAGCCACATTAAAATTTTCGTTGCACCTCTTTGCGAATCCCTTTATGACATCGGCCTTTCCGCCCAGGAGGCGGAGGAGCGACATCACTTTCTTGCGGCACTCGCCAATGGCACGCAGAATCTCGCGAGAGTCCTCCATTCGAGCGGTGAACACTTGGTCTTCAATGGCGTCTGTCTCATGTTCCACATCTCGAATGACGGGAGCAAAGGAATCAACAATATCGTCACTAGGGGTTAATTAGTATGATTGGAATGATGTGGGTGGAGACCAGGAGCTTCCTTACATTAGTGCATAGCAGATCCAATCAGAACTGAGGGAAACGTAGTCCCGGAGTCTTCCAATACGCTTCCGAACGTTCGCAGAGTGAGGGCTCTCACAGAATGTGAAAGTCAGCAATCCTTCCTTGAAGACAACGCCGTAGAAGTTGACAGGCTCCAGGTATTCCTCGCTTGTTTTCTCCATCTGATAGAAGGACCGGAAGCAGACGAAGTAGTAGTAATGGAACAATTCTACTTTTTCGCGAGTCTCTTGAGTCGTGATGTCCTCGCGTGTGAGAGGATGCACCCCGAAGGCTTTGCAGATAGCGAATACTTCTTCTTCGGTGGGATTGACCATATCCAGCCACCATACACCGCCGTCAGGGGAGAGTTCAAAAAGGTCGCGAAATCGCTCTCCGGGCATCAGAAGCCCACCCAGTTCAGCTGCGTGAATGGTATCGTCCAATTCCGAAGAGAAAAAAGACCAGCGAGTCCTGGATGCCTCGGCAACTGCGGCATTGTGCACACCAAACTCAGCATCAAGGTCCGCACACTTCTCGTCGAGTGCTACATCTGAAGCATTTCCATTGGGGGTGGGGCACTCGGTCGTGATCTTTGGGATTTGGCTGTGGCTTGATTTTGGGCGAAGATCCTGGAAAATCTTTAACTTGCTCATGTCTTTTCCTTGGCTTCCTTGATGTCGCAGAAGCGGTGCGATGGGTGTCTTTTCGTGAGACTCTGCAACGAATTCTTCAAGCTCCTCGAAATCAATGTCCGTTGTCTTACCAGCATCCTCGGTGACCGGGAAACAGACGTCTTCCTCAACGGAGCTGTGACGAGACGCAATGTCTGTGTGCAGGTCATTTGGGCGATCGTCGCTGATAGTGGGTCGCCGCACGTGAGTTCCTCCAGAAACAGTTCGGTGAAGGGTCAAGTCTAGCTCTGATGGAGCACGGCTATTAACAGTTCCTGCGCGGTCCCGGCGGCGGTTGTCTGCAAAGGCATCGACGGAATTGGGCGGAGAGATAGATCGCGAGGAAGTAGAAGAAGTCCTTGACTTGTGCACTCTCTCTGCTGGCTCATCTTGAGGGCGCCGGAAAGTGTTTCTTCGCGCGGTCGGGCTGGCGACGGAGCCTCGTCGAGCGTATCTATCTTCTCCAACATAGATTCCCTGGCCGCTTCTATCGTCGTCCACGATTGCATTTTCGAAGTCCCGAGCCTCGAAGTCTCGGGACGTAACCCCATGTGTTTCCAGAGCATCATTGACTTGGAGTAGGTCCGGACGTTCAATTGGTGGAATACTAGCGACTGTTCCCCTTCGAGTACCTGGTATCGATTGCATAGCTACTTCGAGCCTCGGCAAGGACGCAGGCTGGCGGCGGTGATCGTCGAGATCAGACACTGGCGTGCTGAATCTCGTCTGAGACCTCTCGGACCTTGGTGTCTCGGCCATTGCGATGTTTTCGTCCTGTCGAATCGTGGTACACAAGGAGTACAGAGACTTCTGTGGTTGTCGAACAGGGCCCTATGGGTTCAACTGGCGAGCCGCTTGTGAGCGCTCACCTTGTGAGGGAGCTCAACTTGAATGAAGGCTTCGCGTAGGGACCTCCCTACACTCAGCCGGGGGGACTCGGCCTGTCGGTTCGGATGTGGTTACGCCAGAGCGCCGGGTTGTAGTTGCCGTTGTGTGATCAATGCTGCGAATATGAGGTGTGGCGAGTAAAACCAGTTAGGGAGGCTTCTTGTAGTCGCCTCCGTATACCCAAGCCTTTGGGCCGAGGAGGTGACGAACGAAGGAGAACTTGTGAAGAATGATGCCCGCCAACTTGATGGTGTTGCTATTCAGGACGCCTTGGCGCCGAGGGTGGTGGGGGGAGGAGTGAGCGAGAAGTGGGGAAACGAGGCTCGAGAGCAGTCCGGTCGCAGGTGAAGGCCCGGCGCGGAGAGCGGTGGGAGAATGCGGACAAACGGTCGATTGGGGCCGTCGTAGTCGCGTAGGCTGGGCCGGTTTGCTCCGCTCGTGCGGATTGGCGTGCTTAGGACACGGGTGTTGGTGGTAAAAAACGGGACGATAAAAGAACAAAGGTCCAGAGGACGGTTGTGATGGTAGAAGAAGGGTGAAAGGGGACGGGGCGACGGTGAAAGAAAAAGCCTGGTCGCTTGGTCTCTGTGCACGGAAGCGATGCGCCCAGCCAAACAGGCGCCTCGGACGCCGGCGAAGACAGCCCAACTGACTCAGGCGACCTGGCCGTCCGGTGACTGGGCGAGCGATTTTGACACAGCACTGCCCAGGGTGCCAGGCTTGCCAGGGAAAAATGTGACCGCGGCCGGGACGCAATGGGAGAAGCTGAGCCAGGGGACAGCCAATCCGTGGGCAGAGTTCGGGCAGCAGGCAGCGTTGTGGCGTTCAAGGGCTGGACGTCGGCACATCTGCACATCTGCACAGCGGTGTGGCGGTGTGGCGGTGTGGCGGTGTGGCGGTGTGGCGGCGATGTCATGGAGCTCCACACGTGTGTCACCCCTGCCAACTGCTGCACTCCCCGCCCGGGCCGCTACCGCACTGAGCCCAAAGCCAGATCGCCTCCCATTCACTGCTCCTCAAACCGCCTGGCCGGAACCCTCTACCACCACCAGCATGGCCGACCAGCTTGACCAGCTCCTCGAGGCCCTTCGCGACGCCGTCGAGCTCCCGATTGCAAGCCGCCCTCCTAGATTGCGCTCGTCATCATGCTAACGGTGGGCAGGACTTCGAGGGCCAACATCTGGCTGAGCTCGTCACAACGGTGCTGCTAGGAGTTTCCGGAGTAAGCTACACGACGATAGCCTCTGTCAATGTCACGCGCCATGCTAATTTTCGCCCCAGATAATCGCCTTCTTGGTCGGCTACGTTCAGCAAGACATCTACCAGACCCTGTGGATTGGACTGGGGGGAACCGCCCTCACCTTTATCGCTGTCGTCCCGTCGTGGTCCTTTTACACCAAGAACCCCGTTGCATGGCTGCCTCCCCACAATGCTACATCGGGTTTGAGAATCGATGTGGACGGGAATCAGGTGGGCTGAGATGGATATGTCGGGGAGACCCGCGTCTACAGTGAATTCATGATCACGTTGCAATACCTCAATCCAACACTGTTTAGAAAGCCTTCTTGAATACCACACACGCTACACCTCTCGAGTCTGCTCAATTACGTGGGCCGAAAACTCGACCGCATCTGACCTTGTTTCGCAGCAGAACATCGTCAAGGGTCCCAAATAGTGGTGAACACGCGGATAGATGAATGATGCGGGCGATGGCTTTCATTGTGCACCTCTATAATCTGCCAATCTTTCATGAGCCATGCCCTCGGTGCCCCCGCTGCCCGTATGCTGGAATGCCCAATGAACACCATACGCCTGCCAGCTCCCTAGAAACTGTCCCAACTGTACCATTTTCGAGAGCGAGTGTTTTCCCGGAACGACCCTATGGTGTCTCAAGTTGTGGATAGCTCGAAGCTCGCTGAATTTTGCCGCCGCTAATAAAGAGACGAATCGCGCCTGTGCCTCCGAGGTGCATATCTATCGGCCATATTTCTGGAACTCCCAGTCTCGGTTGTCGAGTGGGCAGACCTGTCGCGTCTTGAGCCAACGAGATATGCAGTGGAAATGGAAGGCATGCTAGGAACTAGATTAGCAGATGAAGCGAAATAGAATGTGCTTGGCCGTACGTTGCAGATTCCCCACGCTACAGTGCACTCCTCGCTGGTTGCTGAAGCTTGGTTGGCTTGGCACTCGATGCCTATGCAAGATTAGCATGTACTTGGTTGCGTAGTTGAGGCGCTTCTACATAGGTCCATGATATGGTTTCGGCAAATGGCACAGTTGTCCACGACGATATCCCATGCCCACAGAGCTACCGCGTTCCACTAGTAACGCCGCGTTAGTATCGGCTACAAGATCTTGTACCATGTAGCTTCTCTCCCAGGCGGCGACATACCTTCTTGACTTCGAACCTCTTCTTGCCATCCGACGCATCTCCGCTTGCCCCAGCCCTGGAGGCCTTGATCTTTCCAGCCGGCGGCGCCGGACTATCAGTCATATCCACGTCGGCCATGCTTGTGTGCTGAAAATGGTGATTTGATGGGTGAGGAGATGGGATTCTAGTTGTGGAGCAGCCTGGTGGGAAGTGGCTAGTGGTGTTGAAGTCGCAGGCGTACGGTCGTTTAAGAAGGTCGGGAGGCAGTCGGGCAGGAAGCTCGTGGAGAGGTCTAGGCACACGGGAAACTGGTGGAGCGGGCGGGCTGAACTGTTGTTGAAGCCTAGAAGTGAAAGTGCTCAGGCCCAATGTCCCCCACCAGTTGGTCTGATGCGCGCCAAGGCTTCGCCCGCTTACACTGACAGCCACTATAGTTATCCCAGATTCACCATCTAGTTATCCATGGTACTGTGTGTAGTCAGACCTTTAGTTTCTTCCGTTGGACAAGTATCCTCAGCTTTAACATTCAACACCTCTTCATGCTCAGTTTCGTATGTCATATTCCTGTCCAGCATATCCCAAGAGCGTCGCGTTGATATCATGATACCCGTAACTAGCCGCATAATTGTGGACGCCAGCTTCAGAGTCAGAGAACAAAGCATACCTAGGAGGTAGGCACACGTGTAATATTGCATCTTCAGCTCCTCCGATCACCTCACCGTGTAACTTCAACTACTTAAACTCCCATTGCGTGCAATCAAGGAGGCACAGCCCCAGCCACAATCTCTCACGCACTCGGCCTAGCTGCATCCAAAGCCGGGCGCATACATCGTCCGCCACGTCCAAGCCTCCTGCCTCGATCCTCGACGACACCTCAACACCGCCTCACCCGACTCCGTCACCACCACCACCAGTTGCAAGTCCATCTCCAGAGCCAGGTCTCTATTATTTCACATATCTTTCAAGTAATCACGTCCCCTCGTGTGGACATGCACTCCCCGGTTTTCTCTTCTTCATCCACCCTATCCACCTTCCTTGATTCCGATCAGCTACAGTCATCGAGACCGAACACATACACAACCACTATCCGATCAACCAAGAGGGCCCGAAGTCGAACAGCCGGATAGTCCGCCGCTTCCTTCCCGTCAAATACCGCTTGCACTGAACGCGCCGTCTCTTCACATTGAGGCTATCTCCTGATGGCAAGCCCTGCACAAACACCGCCGCCAAAGTCCTCCCGGGCGAGGCACCAGCACTCCAAGAGCGCTACGCCTGTTGGGCTAGGCATCGGGGGAAAATCCGGTGCTCGGCGACAGCGTAACAACCGTAACCACAACAACGACAGCAACAACTTCGTTCAATACCCGCAATCTCAAAATGGGTACGGATTCGGCCATCCCCCACCATACAACCAGCAGCAGGAGTATTACTCGTTTGCACAGCCGGGCGAGGATGTTGAGAGCAGCGGCGCCGTCTCCGAGGGCCCGAGGCTGCCAAAACAACGCCAAAGCCGGCCTGCGCAACAGCAGTTCGCGCCCAACGGGGGTATGGAACATGAGGCCCTGCCAAACTCTCCTCCTAGTGCGAAATCTCCCTTGGTGCAAGGTGCTGTTATGACTCCGGCCAAGGCTCAAGCGGCGTATGCCGGGCCTACTTTCCATGCTTCTCCAGCGCCTTCAGCTCTTCCGGTTCCAAAATTCTTCTCGAAATCAGTTCCTGCTTCAGGATCACAGCCAAGTTTGCAAACTCGTTTAGAAAGCGAAGCAGTAGATCCTTCGCCGAAGCCTTCACCGCCGTCTCCACCAGCCGCCGTTATTGCCGCCCCACCGAGACATGAGGACTCTCCGCTGGAGACCCTTTTCAAACTGGATAGGGAAGAAAAAGCAAACAAGGGAAGTGGACTGCTCACTCCTGAGACCAAAAAAAGGCCGGCAGCGCCGGCCACCCAGCCTCTTCCAAGCACTGCATCGAGGAACAACGATCCGTCGCAGCATTCGCGAAACAGCTCTTCTGGATCTGGTAAGGGTGTCTTCATGATGGAACTGGGCGGTAGCGCCAATGTGCCTGCTCGTAAATCCCCAGCAATTGCTTCGCCCGCAAGTCGCTCTGTGACTGCTCCTTCCAGAATACCGCAGATTGGAAACCGGGCAAACTCAGAAAAGGACACTCAAGTTCTCAAGGATATTCTCTTCTCTCTTACACAATCGAAGCCTCAGCCTTCTACTCCGTACGTAGGGCCCGATCATGTTCCTTCAGAACCATCTTCGCGATTTCACACTCCTTCTCCCTTTAATCAGCCAAGATCTGGCGCCCGAAGTGCTTCCGGACCTACCACCCCAGCACCGCAGACCAATGACGTGGCAAACCCCTCACTTTACTACGGGAACGCCAATCTTTCTCCTTTTTTCAAAGCAGTAAAAACAGACTCCGCAAAGCGGTCGCCTAGTCTTCGCCAAGAAGTCACCGCAGCCTCGCCCACGGTGAAGCAAAACGGATTTTCTTTCAATGGCCTGCCAGAGTCTCCTCTTAATCACGCTCGCCGTTATCCCAAGGAGAATGCGGATCCGCGATCTGTGTCACGACAGTACTTAGAGTCAGTAATGAATTCTCCAGGTTCCTCTGCGAGCCCACGTCCTACTCGCTCCCTTGGACAAGGTCAAGAGTCCTATGCTTTGAACGGATCTGTCGATCGCCCGGCGAACCAGATCATGCAGCCTAATTTTCAACATCAATCTTCTATGTCACGAACAGCCGGCAGAGGTCCTCAGGCAAACGGGCTATCTCCAGCCAGCAAGAATTATAGACCATCTAATACCCCTGAAATGCGATCCATGGAGGACGATTTACGTCGGTTATTGAAACTTAACAACGTTGATGGCGATTCAGCGGGCGTTCGATGATGATCCTTTTTCATTCCTATCTCTGCGTTGTTGCTGCGGCCGCTTTTGTGGATCAGCTTGTCTATAGCCACTACTATGAGTCTACTCTTTCTTTACGGTGTATGAGGGCGTTTTGAGGGTTTTGCCATGTCCCATCACGAGCATTTGGCATGCAAGGCGTTGGCAGGTTTACTATCCAGGAATGTGGTTGGGTGACTGTCTGGCTTCTCAGTAATGGGGCTTGCATGGATCTATTTGCTGGGTCTATATGTGAAGACGGCTTCTCATAGAGCCCTGGCGCCAGGATGCTAGTGCCTTAGGTCAACTATTGCTTTACCTGTTTGGTTTGTTGGTCAGGCAGCAGGGCCAGGAGTCTCATGGAGGATCTACGAAGGATGGATTATACCCGCTCTTTGGAGATCGGCTTCTTGTGGAGTCCGATATGGAGGGAGGATGGATGGACTCGACACAGATGCGGGTCACGATAAAATATTAAAAATAAGGATACGAGACCTCTGTGCCGATGGCAATTGAGGCATTTCTTGTCCAACAGCTGTTCATGACGTTGCTCTAGTGATCTGCAAAGAGTGTATGCGTATCCTTTGGTTCAAATTCGTGACCATATTCATTAAGGAGGTACCGCGGCTCAGGCAGGCCGTCCCCCTCCTGCAGTACCTCCGCCCACACTCCGCTCTCCACATCATACGCCCACACATCCGCCAGCATCTTCCCCGCCCCCTGATACCCCAAACTACTCGGATCCCGCTCTCCAAACAAACTCAGCAACACCACGCGCCCCACTACCTCCACCGCCGCCAACCCAGCCACGCTACGCGCTTCGGGCCCTACGTCTGTGAACGGCAGCGTATCCCAGGAATCTGGCGCAGGCGTGTACACGTCCACGCACCCGCCCAACTCGCGCGTCCCGTCAAACCCACCGAGTCGGTACAGCTTCCCCGCAGCGTACACGATAGAGGTGCCACCGCGCGGCGGGTCGGGAGCGGAGGCGAGCTGTGTCCAGCGGCGCGCGGGGATGCCGAAGCTCCAGAGATCGCTGAGGCGGCCGCTGGCCGGGCAGCCGGCGTGGAGGTAGAGGGTGGAGGTGCTGTTGGAGGTGAGGGTGTGGTAGTTGCGGGCTGGGGGGTAGGGGGCGGAGGGGTCGGAGGAGCGAAGGGGGGTCCAGGTTAGGGTGTCGAGGTTGAGGGACCAGATGAGGCCGTGCTCTGAGATGGGAGACATGGCGGTGCCGCCGCGGCCGGAGAAGAGGTAGGCGGTGTTGTTGATGGTGGCGCTGGCGGAGCCGACGCGGGGGCAGGGGCTGGTGGGTGAGGCGGGTTGGGTGGTGGTTGAGGAGTCTTTAAGGCCTGGGAGACGTGTTATTTTGGGATTCTGTTGGTGTTGGATGATAGGGATTTGGAGTTACCTCATCTGCTCAAGGGGACAGCGTAGACGTTGCTGCCGACGGGCTCTCGAGGAACGATCTCGCCTCCGAAGATGTGCACTTTGTCGTTTGCAATGGCGATGACTTGTGACGAGCGCTTGATGGTGTCTGAGGCGATGATGCGCTGCCATTTGATGCTCAGGGACTTTGCCATAATGCAGTTGTACGGGGACTTTCTGAATAGGAAGGAATAGAGAGAAACACGGAGTTTGATGTGAGTGCCAAAGAACAGTTCTTGATTTACACGTTTACCTCTACAATGTTGTTGTCCTTATTAGGTTGGAGGTATCTACTACACGGCCATCAAGGTGCTCACGCTGAGTTCTCTACGTTATTCTAACCCTGGAGCGGGGAAGGCAAAGTTGCCGAACATCATCTCGGATAGACGGGTCGAGTGGAAATGGTTGGTGCTTGGCTCCGAGAGTCTTGCAGAACATTCTAGGACTATTAATTGCGAAAGGAACGTTGGAAACATAATGATAGAATGCCCAGGTGGGCCTCCAGGGCTCCAGACCTAGCTGACTCGTTTTCAGCTAGGCCCACGACACGTACAACTTTCTTCACACAGGAGGCCATTGTGACGGAGTACGTGTTCCTAGCCAGCTAGCCTACGGAGTGTGGTACGGCTAGCGTCGGCTACCTTAATATAGAACACGGTTCCTATATTTAGCCCTCACAGTTCTACGGTACGGCTACGTAAGCCTCCACACACAGGAGTATATATGCGGCGTACGTAGCCTAGATAGATGCTCATCCAATACATCACTTACCTCGTTCAATGCATTGTTTCACCTCCATCCTCACATTGCGCTGAGGAGAACCGCATCACAGGCTCTCATTGAAGCCTCGCTCTCTGAGGCCTCACTCGGCCTCTTTCAGGTGCATTGCGCGTAAGTGGAAACTACCGCGCTACAGGTCGAACAGGCAGGACGACAGTATTGATGCAGGCGACGTAGGTGGATACCTTGTCGCTATTTGCTCAGCGTACAAATCTTAGGTTGCCATGCCGAAACGAGGAGGAAAGATGGCAAAAAGAATCACCAAGCCACCGACGAAAACCTATCTTGTGGATCTCCCAGTCGAACTCATTGAGCGGATTGCCCTACATATACTGTATCCCGACTTCGATGACAACGACAACCTCATGTCTGCTCAAATACATCAAAGCTGTCCTCGGAGAGGGAGAGTGTTGGGAAGAGCGCTGCCTCCAAGACTTCCAGTTGAACTTTTCTCTTCAGGGATTAGAACAAAAATACACATGGGCTAGCCTGCTTTATGGCTTGCGGCTAACATGCCGAAGTCTCTGGCAGAAATCGGAGCACATCTTCAGTCGAACCGCCTTTAAGAAGTTTGCCACGAAATAGCCCCTGAAGGATCTCGAAAGACTCACCGAGGTCTCTCAACAACCAATGTTTGTGTCAGCGGTTCGAACAATTCTCCTATGCGAGGGACAGAATGAAGAGAGATACTATGAGCTGCTTCAACTTCTTAGCGAGCGTTTGCACCCTGCGAAAAAGCGCGACGACACTTTAGTTCAATTCACTGCTGCGCGCAACCGACAAGCTGAGACTGCTTATCTAGAAAGCTCCGGGATGCTCGCAAGCATGCTCACACAAGCGTTCAAGAAGCTTCCAAACCTTCAAAAAATCTTCGTTGTGGTTCCACGGAAACGCTATTACGGAATCATTGACCCCGATTCTAGGTTCCAAGGATGTTCCGTTTCCCACATCGTCCCCATTGCTCTCTCAGCTTCGGCAATGGCTGACGTTAAGTTGGAGGAATTCTCAATGCGTTGGCCGGTTATAGGAGACAATTACGGTGCTTCTGTACAAGCATTACAAGTGGGCATATTTCGCGATCGTTTCTTATGCTTGAAGAAGCTTGACATCCATTTCAGCGCGAAAGATTTGCGCGTTAAAGGTAAGTGATTCCATATGGTCAAAGGTCTACTCAATATTTTTTACTACCGCTGGACGTACTTGAATACATAGGGCTGTAACTTGTACGGTGATCACGGGCTGGTCAAACTATGTATCAACGCCTCCAAGCGATGGTAAAGAGGTATACGCATGCTAGTGCCCTGGAACTGTAAACTCCCTTGCATTGATCCGGGCTAATTCCGTCAGCTCCCGAGATATTGTCATCTACTTCAGCCTTTTTGAGTGAAGCTGTTTCGCTCACAGAGCTCAAACTGTCCTTCGATGACTGGGAGAGTACGGACCGTATCTCCGAAAGTATCGCCAACAACGTTTCTCTGGACAAACTCAGAGTCGTTGCTCTGGAAGGCATTCGTTTCCGTGCGCAAGACATAATCAAATTCTTGAAAACCCACAGCAAATCTATTCGGGAAGTGAGACTACAGTACTGCAGCATCTCGATTGGTTCGTGGCTACAAGTTTTGCAAAGCCTCAAGTTCATAGAGGACCTTGAAACACTGCATATCACTCGGACTGATCTACAAGGCTTCTTTGTTGCATTCCCTTCGACTGGGGATATCTCGTTCTCGCCCCCATTATACAACGACGAAATCGCCGACTGGGTGCGCGTCACGGGCCCTTCAAAGTATTGTGTCTTGGTGGAATATTGGGAAGATATGCCAGCTAAACTTCAGGAGTTGGAGTGTGACATAGTCAAGATAGCAGTATCTGTCTTCTTGCTGGCCTGTATTGCCAAAGATAGTCTAAGATAGTCCGAGGGATCTTGCATACCTGCTGCATTAGGCTGAAAGGCGTCTTCAGGAAGAAAGTAAAATTTAAGTAGTGTTTAGGATTCTTAAGCAAGAATTCCGGTGAGTCATTCTGAATAGATAGATTTGATCATTTTCTCCGGGCCGTCATGCAGCCATATCTACAAGCGCTACAGCTGCATCTACAGGGGCAGCAGAAGCTGCATGCCAAGAATGTGATCGAAATCCGGCATGATATATCAGAACAATCAAACTATTCAACTGTGCACCCACCAAACTGTAATGTTGTGCACGAAGTACGGTTCTTTATGAGCACGTGTGGGGTTGAAGGTAATGTGAAGTACGAACGAGAGGGATTTCCATCATTCCGATAGCCTACGAACTAGCTGGGTCGCCTCAAGAGTCTACGTTCAGCACATCTCAAAACTCCAGACAGGATGTATCACCCTCCAAAGCACATACGAGCGTTAACTTGATCGTCGTGACAGATGATTGATCTCGCCAGGATACCCCAAGTGTCGGCAAGTACCTCGCCCTAATGGTCGAACCTTACAGGCCGGATAATGTGATCTGTCATTCACCAAGAGCAAATTGCAGGAGATCCGCGAACACCTTCAGTCTAGGACAAGGATCTTTCAGGAGAGAGACTGCTGCCTAGGAGTATTCCAAGCTGAAGTCTGTCAGGCCGTGCTCTTTGAAACTTACAGCTCATGGTTCCAAGAAATTCCCAAGAGACTCGCTTCACTCTATTTCACCACAACCGATCTCTCCAATTTTCACCCAACCCATTGCTGACCAGTGTGGATGACGTGACCAGGGCTTAAGAGCTCACTTCAGACTCTGATCTCCTTCACCTCGCTTGCTTTATTTCTCTTCTCGCTCTTTGACCTTCTTCATCCCTCAGTCACCAGACAACCTTTTTCTTCAACGCTCAACTCCTACTCAACCCTGCTCTCATTCTATTTGATCAAAGTCAATCCAAGTCGTCAAGATGCCGATGAACTGGACTCCTGAGGCTGATGCCAAAGTAAGTTCACTCAATCACATCAGCTACCCATACTAACAAGGCGCAGCTGTTCGTGAAGGTCCTCAACGTCTCCAACATCAAGCTAAGCCAGGACGTGCTCGATGCCATCGCTTCTGAAATGAGTCCGGGTATGCCATCTTTGTGACAGGCCCTCAAATACCGGGGCCCCTTACACAGTGTTTTCCAGGGCCATATCGCTAACAATACTTTACCTTTCTAGACTGCACTGGCAGAGCCATCAAGGAGCGAATCTTCAAACTGAAGCAGAAGGCAGCCGGTCCCGGCAATTCTACTGCTGCATCGACCACCCCTAGAGCTCCCAGAACTCCGAAGACCCCGCGATCTGCCAAAGGCCCCAAGAGCACTCCTGGTACCGGTCGGAAGCGTAAGGGTGCCAATGTCGCCGGCCCGCTCGACGATGCTGGAACTGATGATGACGAGGACATCAAGACATTCGTGACTCCCTCCAAGCAGAAGACAGAGTATGCCGACGAGTACGGTTCCACCGGCAGCCAGGACGAAAACCAGGAGAGCCCCTCAAAGCGCATCAAGCGCGAACCATCGAACGAATTCGAGAGCGAGATGTGGGTCCCCGACAACGCTCACGATGACTTCGTCCGAGGTCAGTCTGGCGACCTCTTCTAAGCGCCTCTCTCGACGGCTGATTGGGATACGCGGGGTCTGGATAAGATGAACAGAGTCTAGTGGATCGTATGGGAACTTTCTCGGATGATTCTACTTCGACAAACCCAACATCGTCTTAGGATCATTTGGGACGTTCGTAACGGCTGTCGACTCTTTGGATTTCAGGTTAGCGTTTAGGGGTTATCGGTCTCTTCACTCCTCCACTGCTTTCTTCTTCCCCATCACGATTCATGATTCACATCACAGTTCGGCATTACCCGTAGCATTGAGTATGGGCAGTTTTTGTTCTGGAGAATTTCAGGATCACCTTTGGACGGACTTCTATCAGCACGAGGCTGCGCCGCCCTTTCTACATAGGTAAAAAGTCAAAAGTACTGCACCTTGATGAAGCGCTTCTCGTGATGTGACATTGCTTGGGTACTCTGATATTGTTTGATGAAGCTGAAAGAGATGTGACTTTCTCAACCCTGAAAAGTTAAGTGTTTGTTTGATGAATCTTTCCGACTACTGTGGGTTTCCTTTGGGGGCCTCGCTGCACCTTGAAGGCTGGAAGTAAGGCAATCCCTAAAATATGATTGTGATGCTCTTCAACTGCGCATGCCAACGATACTAATATTTTCCATTGAAGCTGGGCGGGATTTTTCTTATCTTGCAAATTCACTTCTTTCATTCGGCTCACCACGTCAACAAACGTCTTCGCGCGGTAAAAGACAATTCCGCAACAAATCTTTCCGCGTCATGACGACACCCATTTACTCTCCGATCCTCCAACCCTGCTTACCACCCCACACATCAACCACACGCACAATGACACAACGCCGCCCTCCTCAAACTCGTCCCAAGCAGCCCAACAGCCAGCGCGCCAGCGGGACCTTCGCGGAGCCCATCGTGCTCAGGTCCAGTCAATCCACCACCCCCTCCCCGCCGCTCACGGCCATTCCACTCCCAGACGGCCCCAGCCAGGCATCCAACCCCTTCACACCGCCCGCACCACTCCCGAAGCCAGACAACCTCATCCCCGTCCCAACCCCCCTCCCCTACACCATCCTCATCGGCCTCCGCGCCCCCATCTTCATCAACCGCGCCGCCGACCCCACCACCCTTATCCCCGAGCTCCTCCGCCTCGCCGCGCGGCGCCCGCAACCCCTCGACCTCAGCTACGCCGGCGCCCACATACCCTCCAACCCCATCGTCTTTCTCTGCATCCGCGACTTCTACGGCTGCGGGAGGAGCGTCGTCGGCTTCTTCAATCCCACCGTGGAGGAAAATGCGTGTGAGGGGTGGCGCGAGTGGGGGAATGGGGCGGCGGAGATGTTCTTTACGGAATGTAGTGATGCGGATTTGGCGGCGTCGGAGGTGATGGTGGCGCAGATAGGGGAGAATTGGGGGAGGTGGGGGGATGGGGAGGCGGAGAGGGTGGAGGCGGGGCAAGAAGAGAGGGCTGGGGGGAGGTGGGAGTATAGGAGGTTGCAGAGGGTTGTGGAGATGTTTTGGCATGCGAGGGTGGATGAGGCACTGATTACGAGGAGGCCGTGGATGTTTGGGGATGATTAGGAAAGGGGAGAGATTGAGGGAGGGGAGGGCTTGAGGAGATTGAGGGAGATTGGTGTGTTTGGGCAGATGTGCATCTTGGACATGCTTTGGGAGTGGTTTAGGGAGGGGAAAGGACCTGATCTCTTTCTTGCCCCACAGGACGGAAGCCTATATCCTACCGTCTCAACCGGTACTGGCCTGACTCACAGAAGAATGCACTGGAGTTTAGGAGGCAGGCGTTGATTCATACTGGCTTCTTGAGCTTTTTAGGCATCTTAGATAACGGATTCCTAGATTCGAGGAGACCTTGTACCACAACCTAGAGAATAACTTTTGATTTTCGATATGTTTTGCCTCCTCGCATTGACTTGAAGTGCTTGACATGATGAAAGAACAATTACCTTCAATCACCTTATTATTGCTTATCCGGTAGCCTGTGCAGCATGGGCAGTGGTCAGCCCCAACTTCCGCGCCTCTCCATCAACAATAGACGGGATCAAGTCAAACAGAGACTTCCCCTTCGGTTCCCACCCAAGGAGCTTCCTTGCTCTCACAGCTCTGCCCCTCGAGTTCTGCCCCCAGATAGCGGATCCATGCGGAGAAAACGATTCTCCTTCTTTGGGGGATATACTGTCAAGTTCTTCACTCTTGATTAGCTTCTTCTTGTACGCGTCCTTCGCAATCGCCGCCGCCACATCTCCCCAGACGAAATCCCCGCTTTCGGTGAAGTAGTACCCCTCGGCTCCCCAGGTCGCCGCTCCGCCACCCTTTACAGCCTCTTCCACAAGCCTTAGAAAGGCATTGCTTAGGTCATGCACATGAACCTGCGTCCACAAGTTCTGGCCGCCTTCGATCTGGAACCCCTTCCCCCTCTCCAACGTTACCCGTGACATCTCATACGCCTGATGGCTCCTCTGATTATCCGGGCCGCGACCAGGCCCATATATCGTCGGCGAGCACACGATCGCCGTGAAGACTTTCCCAGGATGCTGCTCGCCAGCCGCCAGAACAATCTTATCCACATTCCTATGCGGCGCCGCGTCCGGGAAGCTGGTGATCTCCTTTATGCCATCCCAGTCATCAAACACCTTCTCGCTTCTTATCCCATACGTTCCCTTCTCGATATCCCCAATCATCAAAATCCCAGTCCCGGAAGTGTGGATGAAGAATCCTTTCTCGCCCGCTGGCTTCTTCGCTAGACCAGCGATTATCGCGGTCGCAGCGGCTCGGTGGTTGGCATTGGCCCAGTGGCAGACTATGTCTGCTTTAGAGGCCTCTTCGGTGATCAGGTCGGTACTGTCGAGATCTCCATAGACGAGCCGGATGGACGCGTATTGCGAGGCGACCTTTGCGCCTTTCTCGCTGTTGCGGACGAGGGCGGTGATAGAGTAGTCGGGGTGCGCGTGCGCGATGGCGTAGAGGGCATCGCCGCCTATGTAGCCGGTTGCGCCGGTGCTAGAGGTTCATTAATGGGCTGATCTGATGGAGTCGAGGTTGGGGAGAGGTCTGAGCTTACACGAAGAGCTTGGGCATGGTGACGGGACCAATCAAAGCTCGCGTGGATTAAGTGAAGGTTGAGAAGTCTCTTTTGGAGGGTGGATGAATGCGGAGAATACTGTAGAGAGCAAAGTTGGATGAGGGGTATTTAGATGGGGAGTAATAGCGGAGTCAGAAGGAGCAATTATGGCATCACTTCTATCTAGTGACGTCGTAAAACGGGCGGCATTTACTATAATCCTAAGCCAATCACAAAGCGCGGGCATTCTTACTACGTCCAGAAATCCCGGCAAAACTTCAAGTCTTTGTAATATAAGGATGAGAACCGTATTGTGGCATAGTAAACAAAGCTATGTGAACATCATCTGACACTAATATTCTCGTACCCTATCTCCGTTGTGTCCGAATATCTTCCTCCGAGCCCACCTACATAATCCAACGAGCTTTATGGACTAGAATACGAATGCGTCAATTACTATTAGACAACGGGCTGAGAATTTCTGTTCTAGCCTGCGAAGCAAAGGCTTGCTTCTGTTAAGCCTCCTCAATACATGCCAACATACCTTACCAACGCCAACCCTTTAACCGACAGTCTGCCCCTATGATAGGTTACCTCACAAGCCATCGAGATGCCTCACAAGCCAACAATCTTGGCAACGGTGCCATTTAAGTCGACCTTATTGCCTCGGAGAAGAGGGGTAGCGTAACTCTCATCATTCACAACCCCCTCAAACTGCCTCCATAATCAAGATTCCGTAGCTCATACTCCGCCCAAATGGCCGACGCATGGAACTTCATTAAACGTCCCTTCACCGAGCCCAAAGTGACTCTGAGCCGCGACGCCCGCAAGGCTGGCTCCCGCAAAGGTCCCAATGGCACCGGTCTCAGCCGTGAGAAGCGTGCGAAGCATCTCGACGACGACGAGCTCCTCGAGAAACACGCTAATGCCTACTCAAAAGCGATGAACCATACCGGCGCCTTCTATAACTCATACAATAAAACGTATACTCGCGCCAATAACATCCTGCACAAACCACATCGCGGAATTCCAGAAGAGATTAAAACGGGGAGGACGTTGCTCAGCGCTGGCGAGATGGTGGACCGCTGGGATGATAGCTTACACCAGCATAACAGAGCATATGACTACAAGAGGCAGCTCACGGCGCGTGGACTACGGCCATCGGTGTCAGAAGAGAAGGAATGGGACTCTTTCTCTGAAGGATGGAATCGGAAGCGTGAGCCGACTATAAAAGCCGCGGACAAGAAACTGGGCAATGCTCAAAAGATCGCGAAGCTGGCAGAGAGGCTAGACAAAGAAAGAAAGGATCATGAGTCAGAGGAGTCAAACAGCTATTCAGAACGTATGTCGTCTAAGTGACTAGGTTTGACTCATTACTGCTACAGCGCTAACTCCCTTTCCTAGCTCATTATACCTATACAAGCTCTTGTGACGACGACGACGATGACTACTAGCAGGATTGTTGGAAAAGCTGGTGTTCCTACCAGGTTTTCATCAAGCTCAGCACAAGCGCAGCTTCAGTGACCAGCGTTTGCCTCAATTCGTCCTTGCCGGGAGATATGTGGTCTCTGGGATATCTACGCAATGTAGCGTCAATTTGTAATTCTTGTCCTGACCTTGAACCAACAGTCCCGTCTGCGCAATCGAGTGATCGACTTCCACAATTGATTCTCATCATCGCCCAATCTCCCTCCTCAGCCTCCCAGCTGCAGATGTCGGTGCAGGCTCCGGCCAAGACTCGACCGCATCCTCAACCTCCTCCAAAAAAGATGAGCTGTTATGCACCGATGTCCCCCCAAGCACAACCCTAACTCCAGGCGAGCTAGCATTGACTTGTGCAACCATCTTAGCTTCCTCATACGTCGTGCCACCAACCATGAATACGATAATATCCTGTGGCTTGTCCCTGGTACTTGGCCCGCCCTCTACAAATGGATAAATCTGCTGGCTCAGCCGCCCCTTGATCAAGTCTTGAAGAGTGGTTTCTAACCGAGGCGAATGCTGGGTGTAGACGTTCTCTACGCCTTTCAGTCCTTTTAAGCGACCCCGCGCTTGGCCGAAGAGTGAGCCGGGCTGGAATAGATCGGGGATCCCGCCACCTGCAACTGCTGAGTTTTGAAGGGAGTTGTGGTATGTAAGGAGTTTGGTAATCAGGTTAATGCGATGACGAGAAAGGTTTCCAGAAACTCCGAGGAGATCGAGGAGCATGGGTGTTGAGTTTGCGGGGTGTTTCGAGTAGCGTAGTGCGTATATAGCTGTCAGTCGAAGTTTGTTGTTCGCCGGTATCGAGGGATTTTGGATGATACGTTGGAGGCTCTTGGTAGGGTTAGTTATGCATAGTCTCTCTCGAATCTCGAGAAACATACTTTGACATCGTTCGAATGATTGTCGGTGCAAGCCAAGCTTTGTTCCAGCTCACTGACATCTAAGAGGCTTTCTTCGCCAACTCGTCGACTTAACTCACCTACAAGAGTCACATGTTTTGTTACATTCCCAGACAGTTTCCGGAACTCGGGATAGTCTTCGATGAAACGCTTCATGTCCGCTATGGATTCGAGCTTCGAGGGCCCCTGGCTTTTAGAGGCAAATTGTTCTACGTAGTCCTTTGCGTTCTGGCCAAGATCCCCAAAGTTGAGATACATGTTCTTCTTGAAGAAAGGATCTTGGTCTTGTGAGAGCACGATTTCCTTAAAATTACGTCAGTGACACAGCTCGATGGATTGATCACTCGTTACCGTACCTGGAGCTCGGGCCTAACCTCGGGCACATCTTTCAAATCTACCCTTCCATTGTTGATACCGAGCAACTCGTGTACCATGGCTTGGTATGTCCACTGAGTTAGCAGTGGCGTGACCGGATCGTCTCTTCGATCGACTATTAGCAGAATAGGAGGTGTATCGGTTTTTCGGAAATCAAAAAGTTGCTCTTCTTGCGTCATATGATAGCGGACTTCGGTGGCCAGCTTCTTCGATAGTAGACTGTTCCTTTCGTATCGTATCAACGCCTTCTTCTTCAAAGCAAGCAACAATGCCATGACGCCGTCTGTAGATCTCTGCAATGCATCTTGATTCCACTGGTCCGGACTTGTGCTCCATATCCTGTGGTTGGGAAAGCCTAGGTTCAGTGACATCAAGTCCGTATTGATAACGAGGAAGTCCGCAAAGTACTCCTGGACAGCGCGGACAACCTCGTGATCATCTGCCTCAGCCAAGCGCTCGAGAGAGGACTTCTTTATGATATTGCTGAAGTCTAGTTCAGTCAGAAACAACCCCAAGACATATTGTATTCGACAGAACTTTCTTACATATGTTGTATTCGCCATACTTCGGATCTCGTAACTCTTCAATCAGATTCTGTATTGATTCAGACGTCGGTCGAACAAAGCACAGACAGCGGAGATGTCGCATCTTTTCGCGTGTTTGGCTTTCTAATCGGCTAGGGTGGGAGGTCAGAGGACGAGGAATATCGCAGTGTATAGCGGGGCATACTCGGTGAGGTAGACTTCATGGTTGAGAAGGGCGGATTGGGTTGTTGCCGTCGAGACAATGGAAACCTATTCAGGAGTAAGAATGGTTACTGAGAGCGCAGCACGAAAGAGCCGACAAACCTACAGTTTCGCTATCCAGCAATAGTATCTTCATCTTAGCGGCGGAGGTGCCTGCGGCGCTGTCCCCGGCCGACACCATCTTAGTGATGTAGCCGGAAATTGCTTGAACGATGTCCATGGCGACGGTGAGGGTGGTGGGAACTCAAGGCGGGCCTTGCGGGGTGGTCAACCTATGTCTTGGAAGGCTGCAGGCCCCATGCCGCAGTACGTGGTGTTGAGGTTTCCTCGTGCCCAGAGCGCGCTGGATGCTATGACCTCGAATTAAGCAGTGTTTTAGCGTCGTTTCTTTAACCACCCCCTGTCCTCAGCTCCACTCCATCTCGACAACAAACTCTTACACAAGGCCTCATTCAGATATTCTCGACCTTTATAAAAAGGTCGAATGTAGAACACGAAGATCGCAATAACGAGGTCAGCTGTCAATCTGTTCAAAAATCAATATCACGCACACTATTTTCCAAACCTTCTGCTACCACGATTTCCTAGCTTTTAATCCTATATAAGTGCTTATTGTACGATTACTTCGGGGTTTAATAGCCTCGAGAATCACTCTAAATATCTAACAGAATCTATCCAAGGATCTTTGTTTTACCTCCTGCAGATACATGGACTGTCAGGCGTTCTCTTAGCCACTGGTGTAGTACCTGATAAATCAAGCAAAGCACTGCAGCGTAAAGGCTAGATATACTGCTTCATTGGCATATCAGGCGATATCAGTAGTGCGCTTTACGATTAGGGGCATTTTCTCGTTGCGCTTGAGCAAAGACCAGACCTTGACCCAAAAGACGCCCATCACTACGACATTCCATTGCAAGACCTCGAGGCTAAATAGGCTATTATGGAACAGACAGCAGCAACCGAGTCCACTCAACGTGAGACACTCACGCTACACCATTTGAGCTCATCCCAATCCCTCCGCGTCCTGTGGGCCCTAGAGGAGCTCTCGGCTGCCTACGGCGTACAAGATTCAGTGCTACCAGCGCACTAACGGCGCCGCGCCCCCGGAAATGAAAAAAGTTCATCCATTAGGCAAATCGCCTATCCTCGTCGTAGATGGTCCATCTCCCTCTGAACACGCCGTTAGAGTCGAGAGCAGGCTGATCCTGCGGTGGCTCTCCGACACCTATGCCGCAGGCATGTGGACCCCCGAAACCGCAGAGGATAGCGTCCGGGACGGTTTTTGGGAAGAATTCTGACTTTCGACACTGAATACCACCATTGGTTACGCTATAGTCTTTGATGCGGTCCCCCCCAGCTCTTCCGTTCTACATTCGGTCTGTGTTTTCCGGATTTTGTAACGCCATGGCCAATATGCATCTGCAGAAGCTGGATTCAGGGCTTGTGTTGATGGAAGATGCCCTGACGGATGAAAGGCCTTGGTTTGCGGGTGCGAAAATGGGATTGAGCGACATCAACATGGTCTGGCCGATGGACGTCCCAAGCCAACGAGGGTATTTCGACGCGAAGAAGTTTCCGAAGGTAACGTATTTCACGGGTAAGTGGGCCACCCGGGTATGTAGGCCACCCTATCAAAAATTCGCGAGACGCGACGCGTGATGCAACTACAACCTCAATGCCTCCACCACAACAACAAGATAACCTCTTCAAAGAGGGCAGAATTGAGCTAGCTATCAATGCATACAAGCAAGACCAAATTACAAGCTTCCGAGCCGCCGCCAGCACCTACGACGTGCCCCAGAGTACAGCCCAGCAACGCATTAAGGGCATCGCATCAAAACGCGATTCTATCGGACCAAATCGCCGTCTCACGCCTGCACAAGAAGAGACGCTTAAGGAATGGATTCTATCAAGAGATTAACGCGGTATGCCGCCACGAATTGAAGTTGTACGGCAGATGGCTGCGTTGTTGGCTGCGCAGTGTGGACCCGCCAAACCTATCGGCAAGAATTGGGTGACAACCTTTTTCAAGCGCCACAACGATATACAATCCAAATTCAGTCGCAAGTACGATTATCAACGGGCTAAATGCGAAGATCCTGTTCTTATTCAAGGCTGGTATAAGCGTGTACATGATATAAAGATGCAATACGGAATTCTAGATAATGATACCTTGAACTTTGATGAGACTGGCTGCTAAATGGGTGTTATTGCAACAGCTGCTAAAGTTGTTAGTGCTGCTTGAACGCGAAGTTGAACAGCTACGCGTGGAGAATCAGCGCCAAAAAAAGAAGAGGGCAAAGAAACGCACGTATGTAGCTAAGGGGGGTGTTTTATTAGGGGCAGAAGGGGCTTCTCTTGCACAAGCTGCATAGCATATTACCGTGGAGGGGGCTCCAGAGGCAGCGAGCAAGACCTAAATGCAGCATGTGCGCATCAACAGATCATAATGCATGTACGTGCGCTAAGAGGCAGGTAACTGGCTAGCAGACAGCTACATCAAATACAGGCGTTTGTTGTTGAGAAATTCATGATATTCAGCGTTGTAGTTTGGTGGGGTGGCCTACATACCCGGGTGGCCCACTTACCCGTGAAATACGTTAGCAGCGTGGCATCAGAGGATCCATGAGCTGCCAGGATACAAGAGGGCGCTAGAGAAGGGAGGGTTGTACAACCTTGCTACATTCGATTTTCCGAAGAAATGGCTGTCACCTCGTAGTGTTCGATAGGACGAGAAGCGTTGCCTCCTTGCTGATGTATCATGGGGTGGGCATTTCATAGACTTGGTCCGAGGAGTTGGACTGAGAGCATTTATTCAGCTCCTCGTTCCGTAGCTGACAGGGATCGGCCTCTCATGTCGACGTGGAATCTTTCTATGTTGCCGAGTAGCTCACCTACAGTGCTAATTATGAACTGTTACATGTTAGAGGAGCAAACAAGATATGCATGAGATAGACTGAAGACTATAATAACAGAGCAGAGAGGCTTCCAGACTCGCCCGCCTTAACACGTATGCAAAGCTTCTTTGTAGCTTTGGACGATCGCATACCCAAGTGCGTGTCTTGGACGCCGAAATATTTGCTTATTTGGTTCGATGATGAGACTGGTGCCTCTTATGCCTTCCAACACCCGTGCCACATTTTACAATACCGTATAGCAATGATCTTGATGAAATTTCAATTTCTTGAGAACTCTATAGAAAGCATGTCTAACGCGATATTTGACGTCCACTATTTTTGTAACTCTGTGACGCGCTAGTAGGGCTTAGGTACACAGCCTCGCGCTCCGCCTCGCAACAACTAGACAACTACCAAATGCTGCCTACCATCTCCTGCCACGATGCCACATTACAACCCTAGAACTGTATTGAATTGCATACACTCGCCCGAACTCTACCACCATGAACCGTCCGGATTTCGCAATGACGACGGGGGATGAAGACGACACCCAAAGTTACCGGACTCCCCTCTCGTTGATCATCAAGACTATCGTCACCCACGGATTTGCTTTGGCATGCTACACCTACACATCCAACCTACTGCGCCGGCCAATGCGTAACAACATCTACGTCTTACGTGTCCTTTTCTTTGCATTTGTCCCCACGCTTCCGCTCGTTGAATTAGTCGGTTCCGCAATCAGATCTCTGGCCCAGTTCATACGGAACTACGAGGACGACGATGAGATCCACCTCTGGTACTATGTATGCGGTGCACTCGGCGTGAATGCCACACTCTCACAGTCCGACGACAACAAAGACGCCAAGGCTGCGTCGAACAACCTACCTCTTCTTCAGGCGGGAAGCCATTTCGTCGAGCGGACACGGTACAAATTGGATGTTGTTTGGTTCGGAAAGCTGGTGGCTGCCCTTTTCGGGCTCACTCAAGCAGTCGGTACAATCGTAATGTACGTACGGCGACTCAACCATAACGACTACTACTGCCTCGGATTCGACCACCGCAACGGGGGAATGGGCATTGCATCCGCCATCTGCGGCGGCATCAGCATCATCGTGCTCTTATTACGGCTTGACTGGAAAGTCAGCAAGTCGTTCGAGGCCCCAGCGGTCTCGCGTACGCCGTCGCCGAAAACACAGTTTGCGGCCGAAGCTGTTCTGGCCCTGCTCACCCATCTTGGAATCGCCTGTGCTTTCGGTGGAGACAACAGATTTCTTTACTCTTCGGTTGGATCAATCGCGTGGCTTTTTACCAAGAATCTGAAAGTTTTCCTGTACGCCTGGCAATCGATCTTACTCCTCATATTTGTCCTCGTATTCCGGAAAGAAATTGCAAGGAGGATCGGTATGAACTTTCCCTCAGTCGGGAAAAGAATCCAGACTTTGTTTGCCAGTCGGCAATTCAAAAGAGTCCAAGCTCTGGTCTTATTCTATCTTGTCATGTGGGCTATTGTGGATATCATCTGGTTATTCGTTACCGATATCATCAAGCTGGTGCGAGAGAGTCATCACCCAGACCGGGATTACTGGTGGCAGGATCCTATATCAGACTCTATTATAGTAATATGAAAGACCAGGGCATCAGTCTACTTCTAATTTAATGACAACGTTTGACCTACTGGAATGCATTCTAAAACCTGGATGTGACTCTGATACCTGTATAAGCTTTCATATGCTTATATCTGACTTAACTGAAGCCTTCTTCGTCGTCGTAATCCCCAAAAAATCTATCGAGATTCGAATCAGGATTAGAGCCGCCGTCTGGGATAGCCCAGCAAGTTTACAGATTGTCCACACTGTTCGAGCTTTGTGAACGCCTCGTACAAATACTCAAGACTGTGTTGAAACACCCATAGTGAAGCTCTTTAAGGTTGTGCGTTTGGAATGTATGACGTGGTGGGCATAAATTCACGCTTTGCGGTTGCCGGTAGCAACAACTATCGTTTGTAAACACTAAAACTCAATCCACTACCCACATCTACCACCAGCACCTCAAAGCCTCCAACAGACTCAGAATCAACATACCACTACCCTCACAATCTCTGCTACCAAGTGTCTCGATAATCCGAGAGCATGTCTTCCAATATCCTCGCCAACCGCGACACCAACGCCAAGCTCCCATCTCCCGAGAAGGAGGCTGGGAAGGACAAGCCAAAGTCCATGGAGTTCCACCGACAGGTCTTGGAGTCTCGCATGAAGAGTGGGCAGTGAGTTGCTTGTACAGATCAATTGCGAGCTGGACAGCGCTGATCGCATCGCAGGGCCCAGCAAACCTTCATCTCTCCATCCGACCAGATTCTTTCTCCCGCCACCCAGAAGGTCAACGCGTATCGCAACAAGCATGCGATGAAGAAGTAAGGCCTTTATCTATACACAGTGTAACATCTTGCGATGGTTCTGACCGTTAGTTACAGATCCAAGCCCCAGACCCTGTTCGCGAAGACAAGCAGCAAGAATCTCGAAGCAGCCAAGTCCGCCAGCATGTCGAACATGTTCGAAGATATCCCGAAGGACAACGCGACCTCCCATACGGCCTCTGAAGACGCCAACTAGGCCATTCCTGCACTTTCCTATGTTCTATACCACGTGTGTTTCTATTTGGATATGATCGGGCCTTCGGTTCTGGTGTTTTCTGCAGGATTACGGGACATCCACGGCCTTCTGGGACTGTCTCTTGGACATGTTATTCTTGGCTAGAGGGCTTTGCATCGACGACGTTCGATACCGGGATTGATGCATCGATGCGGCGTTCTGGTCACTACCTATCAGAGTTTAGGATCATAACAATGAATTGAATTACTTTCTAGAATCTGCGTATACTAATGAGCCACTGAGGAGTCTTTCAGTGGATTGTGCGTAATACAACACTTCAGTGCCAACAAGCTCTATAAACACGGCATGTATGCATCTTTAAGCGAACATCTTGAATGCATCTCCACATCGAGATCCCTCTATCTCTCTTCAACCCCACCCGAACATGCCTCCATGACATCCACCAACGACGACCAGCAGTCTCTCCAAAACGAGATAGCTAGTCTTGAGCGACAACTTCGCGATGCAAAGGCCAGATTGAACAGCGACGTGCTTTCGGTTTCTTCTACACCAGCGAACGATGTCGGTCAGTAGCCCTACCTACCCTCGTCTCGTCCCCATCTAAATGAATCTCAGCTCTCCATGCGCTGCTCCTTCTTTCCGACTCCGCCCTCCCGTTAGGCTCTTTCGCTTTCAGTAGCGGCCTAGAGTCATACCTCGCCCATCACCGCCCATCCCCACCCTCAGCGTCCCAAGTCCCATCCTTCCAGGCCTTCCTCCGCCTCTCGCTCTCCACGCTCGCCAGCACCGCTCTGCCATACGTGCTCGCAGCATACCGAGAACCTGAGAAGATAGAAACACTAGACAACGATTTCGACGCCAGCACACCATGCACCGTAGCCCGCCGCGCGAGCGTCACCCAAGGACGCGCCCTCCTCGCGATATGGGACCGCAGCTTTCGGTCGCACTACACCAAATCATCCAAGGCTAACGGCCATACGGTGGGGCTGGATGCTCTTATGAGCTTTCAAGCGCTCATACGCAGTGCGTCGTCTGCTGAGGACGGGTTCCAGCGTAATGCGCATCTAGCCCCGCTTTGGGGTCTTATGACTAGAATTTTGCAAGTTCCGGTGCATGATGCGGCGTATTTGTTCCTATTCTCGCACGCGAGAACGGTCATCAGTGCTGCGGTGAGGGCGAGTGTTCTGGGACCGTACCAGGCGCAAGGTGTGCTCGCGAGTCAAGATTTGCAGGAGCGGATCAGATCGTTGGTGGAGGAGATGTGGGAGAGGAAGGTGGAAGATGCGGGTCAGACGGTGCCTGTGATGGATCTGTGGGTTGGAAGGCACGAGAAGCTGTATAGCAGGATATTCAACTCGTGATCGTCAATCTGTAAGGGCAGCTGTCATGAAAGTCATATGGTATTGTCGAATCTGGCAAGCATTCCCCCAAAACCTATCTCAGAGCAAAAGAAACGTTTAGTTTCCCAATCCTCTCCTCCCCTCCACTGTCGTCAAACTTTCTCATAGACTTCCCTCCTTCAATTTCCCCGCCGCAGTAAGTACTGAGCCTCGTACCTGCGTCAGCAGTTCCATCAAAGCCTCTCGTTTATGTCGCCCATGCTCCTTCGAAACCAACTTTCCAGTTTCCATTTCTCTGAGGCACGCCACCCACTTTTGCGCTGGGTCGCAGTTTGGGTTTCTGTCACAGCCGATGCCGACCACGAATTTCCCCATTGGCAGACAGAAGTAGGCGTTACCTGTATCAGAATGAGATCAGAGCCAGGCATGGAGAAAAGAACTCAGTGATGGAGGGGATGTATACTCAGGATCTCTTTCGTCGTGAACCAGATGAAGTGAGCGTCTTTGGTGGGGTCCGATACTGCGGTCATGGTTGGAGTGTCCGAGGCTTTGCCCGACGTGATGGTCCTTGGAGCGTCTGTTGCCACTGACTCTGTTCGGCAGTCTGCGTTCGCGCCTAGTATGGTTCTCTCCCCATCATCTATGTTCGATCGATAGGTTCCAGTCTCTGAATTTATGTCCGACATGTTATTCCTAGCAGTGTCTGTAGTTTCTGAGGAGTGTCTAGCGTCTGGATCTGGGTCTGGTATGCTGTATGAATGAAAGGATCTTAGGCTATTTGTAAGGCTATTTCTCTTCACGAACACAATTTGCGCCATCCGCATCCTGAATATCTGATATCTATACCATTATGTGAACAAAAAGCTCTCCTGGGTGCTTGTCTGACGGCAGAACAAACGACATAGCAATTCTGAAGCTGAATTTCACAGAACCATAATGTATCCAGACAGTACATCTTACAAATGAGAAAACACAAACTACAAGATTCAGGTTTCCAGGCCAAACTTCTCCCAAACGAATGCTTCACGCCATTAGCAGGTTCTTGTAGCCTCCGCAAGCAGGTGGCTTCTCTTGGAAAAAGAGGCACTGCCCTTGCATCTTCCCCTTTGTGGAGGCGTATACAATCGAACACCGGTCTTTGTTCACCAATCGAGCTTTATTTGCCAAGGCTGAATCGCTTCGAGGTGAATTTTGAGATTGAAGTTGCATGCAACAGTAGAAGCCGTGTTTATGAATGATTGTGAAATGGAGGTGCTCTTTTCCGCTTTCGCTAACATGAGACGCAAAATCAGGGTGTGAGAGGAGGGCTTTTAGAGCTGAGGTCTGGGGTATAAAGTTCGAATCTATATGTTGAGGCTGTTTCCTTTTGACGCTGAAGTTGACACTCGGGAACCGGTCTGCAAAGATCAAATCTAGGAACAATCGCGATCCCGTAAACCCCTTCCTCCAACAAAGCTCCACTTCGAGATCAACGCACTGCTTGCAACTTACTCCGCGCTCGCGCAACTCATACCCACCGATGTTTCCCCTACTGACCATCTCTCCTCTTGCGCCGACCGCTCCTAAGTCTCGTGAGCTTTCCCTCATCTAAGTCCTACAACATCAACTTACTATCCATCTAGCGCCCATGACGCCTGCGTCACGTCCATCTCCAGCGACTATGCAGGTTGCTCAGACACAGACTATGCCTGTCTGTGCCCAGCCGTAGAAGCATAATTCCATTTCGCCCTAATCCCCCTACCTACATTGGGCTCACGAACGTCCCGACTTCAACGGTACGGATGCTCCTACAGCGGCTAAGGGGAGCAGCTCGGTAAGCAAGGACGGTAAGGTGCCTACTACGGCAGGCAGCTCAGTTGCTGGCTCGACGCCGACAAGTACTCGCGGCTCGATAGTCGCGAATGAAGTCAGATGACTGGTACTCTTGCGGTGCTGGCAAGCATGCTGGCGGCGGGTATTGGCGGGATGGCGGTGCTGTGCTAGCCTTCGGCGACTTATGGGATGGGCATGTGCTTGGTTGTGTGAGACATATGAGATATGAGTCTTCTTGATGATGGGGATGCCTACTAGGCTTTTGCGAATGAATCACAGACAAGACTGTGATAGGCACTACCTGAACGTAGTACTAGGAAGTCGTATTGATGAATATCGCAGAATGCCGAGACGATCGTGATGAATACAGAAGTGATTTGGGCAGCTAAGTGGATAGGGAAACTAATGATAGACTGGTACCTTGGTTCATCTGCTCATGGAATCATCTGATCCAGGACTATGTGGGCAAGCTACAAAGGTAGGCACCAGCGAACCGTGGTACAGAGCCATGCCTCCTGACAGACTAACTGCACACTGAGATAGTGAGAGAGTGGTGAAGGTCTCGGAATTTGCTTACACGGCCACATCGTCGTCATGAGCAAACAGGAGACGGCCGGCCGGAGAGTGCCCCGCCCTGGCCGCAGCCACCTTGCTTCTGCACCATTTTCAGCTCCTGGCCTCGCACAAGCTCAAAACACCAACAAAGACCGCCACCGTGTCCCTTTCTACCGTCTGCCCCAGCCTCCTCACTTTCTTTCCTCCACTGGCAACAGATTTACCCCTCCCGCGCCGGCCTACGTGCCACCGACCGCGTCCGCAAGCAAGCCCCTCGCAGTCCGGAACCCCGCAAATGCCAGCATGGAGCAGAGACGACCCCCCGAGTACATTCTCGAGGTGTTTGCAGATCCAGCGTGCGTCAAGGATATCGTAAAAGGTACTGCGCCTTGTCCGGCCCTGAGAGTACTCCGAGGACAGCCTGGTGGCGAAACCTTCGGCCTTGGTAGATCTTGATTGCTAACCCCTCATTTTCCTAGCAATTCTCCATACGATATTCTTCCACCGCTATTTCTCCTCGATATCGCCTCTTACCCGTGATCTCCTCGACCTCACTCTACCCGCTATCGACGACGTTGACCTCGAAACCCTCATCGATCAGCGCAGCGCCGCCCTCGTCCGTGCGATCGAGTCTGCCCACCAGCAGCGGGGTCGTGGTCAGCTTGCGGTCCAGTTCTTTGAGAAGCGGAGAAGGAAGACATATTTCTCGTTTGGTAAGGCCGACGAGGAGGTTTGCTGGGAGCAGTGGATGCTGGACGTCACTCTAGCCACCCCGCGAACAGAGACGGGTGAGTGACAATGCTCTTATCACCGTGCTACAACTTCAACCACCTTACTAACACACCTGTGCTATCGTAGACGTTATCAAAGTCCGCCGCGCAATGGAAATGTCCCTCCACAAAGCTGCGCTCAAAATCGTCAACATCGTCAATCGTGACAAAGACCACATTCCACCCATCACGACCACCGACGCGAACCCCTTTCCGTACCAGATCGTGGTCAACCCTAAATCCGACGGATGGGGCCAGCGTATGGGCATATTCTAATCACAATGACTCCATTCAACTGGGTCAAAAGAGCTTTGGTGTATATAGCGAGACGTCGGCAAGGTTCTCAAAAGATGACGCGGAAAAGCATTGTTTGCTTCCCAAGGATTATGGACTTTAGACAGGGTCTTTCATTTTGGGTTTTCTTTCTGCTGGCGAGAAAAGGACTGTACAGTGCCGCACTCGTGTAGCAGGAGTGTAGGCAAATAATGACTTGATGAGGTTTGTGGTTTCTTTGATCGTTATGAGATACCCAGTCGGCATCATACATAAAATGTTGCCTTGAAACGATCTTACGAGATATGGTGTTTACCTTGGAGTTATGCTGCAAGCTGAAAGGCTACGTCTTGTTCTACATGTTTAAATCGTGAATGTCCCGATGGAGGGGTACTAAATGCAATGACCAATCACCTCCAGTCAAATTGAAGTACAGCTCACTGCGCCACGCACAGCCACAGGTGGTTGGGACTCTTCCCGCCATTCGAATTCTCGAGACCACCTCCGCAGCCAACATGCACGTCCTTTGGCCACCCTGACACGGAGCCATAGCCTCGACCAGGTGAATGAGGCAGGCTATGATTCTTCTTTTTCACTTCCCCAGAGCCTAGGCACCTCTTCCTCAAAATTGTCAATAAAACCGCTGGCAGGAGGCAGTCTGCGTGTCTACAACATTACATTCTCTACTCACGCGTCACTAATTATTCCGAATACCTCAGTGCGCGTATTACAACCCGAGAAGCGCGATATCCTTCACTATGCCCTTCATACCTCACACCCCCGAAGCCCTCCTTCCACGCTCAGACTCGAAGAATCCCGCAACAACGTGCAAGGGCATTACTTCCAGCGGCCGCCCCTGTCGAAGGGGTCTCGCGGTCGCGAAGTCCCCTTTGCGTTCGTCGAATGGCGTCCTAGCTGTGGTGTCAATGAATGACGGAGTCGAGGACGGCTCCGGCGCCGCTGCTTTCTTCTGCTGGCAGCACAAGGACCAAGCGGAGCAGTTGGCAGCTGCGAATAATCCTCCTCAGAATGGGGCGGATGTCACAAAGCTCTACCCGCTGCAAGAGCGGAGTAGTATCGACACTCTTGTTGCGAGATTGGGTATACTGGAGGTTGACGATTCGAATCAGACCTCCAGGAAGTCGAAGAGAGAACGGCGCCAGGATGCGGAGGGGACACCAACTCGTCCCCCAAGAAGGGTCAATAGGCCGCCTACGTGGGATAAGGTTGAGGGGCCGCTAATGTCGGTGCCAGGGGATTTAATGGCTGCTGGGGAGCGAAGAAGCTCGAAAAAACCTGCGGAAAATAAGCCAGTGCGGCCGTCAAGACCACCGCCTCGGAAACAGGGGTTCTGGGCCTCATTGTGCTGTGGAGCGGTCGGTGATGACTACGTGGAAGTTGTGAGGCATAAGAAGAGGTTCCAGGCTGAAGCCATAACGGGGAATCCCACGAACATGTCTGTCGCTACTAGGCCTCAGTATTCGGATGCATTTCCCGACCTGTCAAACGGAGGACTTCAGAATTCACGACGACGGCCGGTTACAGGATCCGCTTCATTACAAGCAAGTACTCCGCCTCGTAAACCACTAGGAGAGAAGCCAACCCGACCTATGAACAGAACCACTCCCTCCGCCAAATCAGAGACTCAAACTCTTCTCTCTTACATCCCTCCATCTCTACCACCCCAAAAGGCCTCTTCTCTACTGGCCGAGCTTTCTAAACCGATCTCCTCGCACGATGAAGAGGGCTTCATCTACATATTCTGCCTCAACTCTGACCCAAACAGCACCCCATCAACCGACGCCGCCACCCTCCTCGCTCCCCCATCAAGAGCCCCAAATGACCGCCGTGTCAGCGACGTCCTCCTCGAATACTCGAACCAACCCCGCAAACAATCAAGCACGAGTACTGGATCCCCTGGACGGACTGCCGGCCCCGGAACTCTCCTTCTCAAAATCGGCCGCGCCTCCAACGTCCACCGCCGCATGAACGAGTGGTCCCGCCAATGCGGCTACACGCCGTCACTCGTCCGCTACTATCCCTACGTCCCATCGTCTGCGTCCCCTTCGCCTTCTGGATCCCCGCCTGGATCCCCGTCTGGCTCCCCGGCTGCGTCGAGGCGTCCGTCTCTTCAACCTAACTCTCGGCCATCTGATCCGATTCGCCGAGTGTCGGAGATTTCAGGTAGTCGAAAAGCGCCGCATGTGCACCGCGTTGAGCGTCTGATCCATCTGGAGCTGGCGGAGAAGCGTATGCAGCATGACTGTGATGCGTGTGGGAAGACGCACCGGGAGTGGTTCGAGATTGAGGCGACGCGGGAGGGAATAAGAGGTGTAGATGAAGTAGTGAAGAGGTGGGTTGGGTGGGCTGAGAAGGCGGGATTAGGTGCGGAGGGGTGATTTTATTTAAAGTGGATTGGGTCATCTGTTTTGGCATTTCACGACTAATGAGGAAGGATACCATTTATGGGCACGGAATTTGGATGAGATATGGGCAGATGATGGGGGGGTATGCAATATATAGACGACACAATGGCAGTAAACATCTTTGTACTCCTCTTTTGTCCCTCCAAGTGGTCAACTGATCCCTCCCACAATACTTCCTCGCCAACCGAATCTTCTCGCATTACAAGAGTAGACTGTAGATCAGGACTATTGAACGTTGTCAATCTCAAAAATCTTGGAAGTTTAGGCTACGGGACTGAGAGGCGTGGACTTGATAGTTGACGACGACTTAAACCTGGGTATATATGGGTATATGGGGGTGACATCACGTGGGTATCAACGCACAGTCCTCACTTAAAGTAGACCTTGTGCGTGGATCAACCTTAATTCTCTACATCTCCATCTAACATGTCTAAATTCTGCTGCACACGCCTTAGTGGCATCTCGTGGTAAGTCTACAGATGCCATCAAGGGTAAGCACGGTACGAAAATGGGCAATGATGACCTGATTCATCCATATAGCCTTGACAGGGTTAGGAGGCCTTTGCTAAGCCGCTTTCACGATTGCTGCTAACCACAGGATCAGATCAGAGGTTGTTAACACCGCAAAGGACAGAGGGGTCACATCTCGTCGGGAAAAAACCTTGTGGGACAGTCTACGGAAATGGCAGAATCATCACCCGTCCAACTCCAGCTCATGTCCGACCTTCACCTCGAAACGCCCGTCACCCGTCCCACATACTCCGACTTCTTCATAACGCCTCAATGTCCGAATCTTGCACTCCTGGGAGACATCGGAAACGTCGTAGACAATCGCCTCCTCGATTTTCTCCAAATTCAAGTCCAACACTTCGAAATCGTGTTCTTCCTCCTCGGTAACCACGAGCCCTACGACAGCAGCTTCCCCGTCGTCATACAGCGCCTGCGTGAATTCGAAAAGGAAGCCAACCAGGCGCATCAGTCGCCAGATTCCGGCTGCGGGAGGTTCGTCTTCCTGGACCAAACGCGCTTCGATATCTCCGATTCTGTCACTATCCTGGGCTGCACGTTCTTCTCGCGGATCGCGGACGAGCAGAAAGAGTCAGTTGCGCGTTTTGTATCTGATTTTGAGGAGATCGAGGGTTGGACTATCCGTCAGCATAACGCGGCACATGAAGATGATCTGGCGTGGCTGAATGCGCAGGTTGCGGCTATCGAGCATGATGAACCGTGGCGTGCGATTGTGGTTCTCACGCATCATAGTCCGACGCTTGCGCCCGCAGCTAATGATGCGAGGCATTTGGAGGACGAGAATGGAGTGAGAAGCGCGTTCGTGACGGATGTGAGCCGCGAGCAGTGTTGGAAGAGTAAGAGCGTGAGGGTTTGGGCGTTTGGGCACACTCATTTCAATTGCGATTTTGAAGATGAGCAGACGGGGAAGAGGGTTGTTGCTAATCAGAAGGGGTATTCGAGGACGGAGAATGCGACCTTTGATGCTGATAAGGTCGTCAAGATTGAAGGAATGAAGGCCATCAAGATGAAGTGGAAGGCAACCAATTGGAAGGCAACCAAGCGGAAGTCCCACAAGTGTGTTGTCCAATAAGTTCCACGTCTGGAGTTAGCCGGAAGTTTAGTCGCAGTCATGGAAAAGGCCGCTATCCTACATGTCCATAAGGATAAGCTCAGCATGTCCCAACTAATTCATTTCATTCATCGTTCGGTATGCTTCCTTTACCTTCCAACTTTTGCTAGCCCTGTAGCCCGTATACAAGGTAGGCCAATGAGGCTTCCGTTGTAGCAAATGCCGACGCTATGGCCGTCGGCCACATGAAGACTCATTACTCGCGGTATCGTCAAGTGAGGTGTCTTCGAGAGATGTTACAGTAGAAAACCCATTTGGCAGCATTGCTAAATATGCTTAACCTCATACAGCATCTCACGAGTGGAGCTAGTAATCATTTTAAGTTTGTAGGTCCTCGCTACGCAGCCGAGTCACATTACTTGCCGTGGTTTCAATTTGTACCTAGTTCGCATATGTGCCGTTCCTAAGATATCAATCTTCTCTGCTAACCCAAACGGGAATGAGTACAGCGGCGATGATACACGCTCTCTCGATTTTTTATTTGAGTGGCTCGCCCTCAAAGCTTTCACAACCCAGCAGACATTTAAATGGGCTTCCGAGCTCCGCTCCCGCTGTCCGTCTTTTTTTTTTGTAAGTCTTTAGTCATTTTTCGGTTCTAGTAAGAGCGCACTTCGCCGACGCTTACACCCAAGTCAATGTCGCCTCTCCCTTCATTACAAAAACATTGACCCTATCGTCTTCCCTGGCCAGTACGACAAGTCCCATCTGAATTCGTTCTTCGGCTTGGATGCCGTGACGATCAACACGACGACCAGCGCTGAGCTGCAGAAGGGCTGCGCCAACGTCCAGAACCCCAACGACCTGTCAGTGTACTGGGTGCATACATTGCTGTACCAGAAGGCCGACTCGTGGGAACCCGTGCCCCGTCATACGCCTCAGCGCCTACTGCAGCCTGGGCGACACCAAAACCGAGGTGCCCATTCCTCAGAACCTCAAGATGCTGGCCGACAAAGCAACCGCCACAGCGGCCGCTGCCATGCCCGCCGAAGACCATAGCGAGTGGTTCTGTGAGGGCAGCAGCGGCGGCACGGCGGAAACGTACGGCTTTCCTAGCAGCACGTGCGCTACGCACCTGCAGCAACGGCTGTACTTCCCTAAGTGCGTCAACACCGACACTCTGGAGACGGCGTACAAGGCCGGTCAGCCGGGCAACTGCAAAGCCTGCCTGGCCGGCATGAAGGCGATGCCCCAGCTGCGCTTCAGCATCCTCTACGACCTTTGAAGGTGCTGCCCGACGGCTGGAGCGGCACTGCGCCGGTGCAGCTGTCCTGTGGTAACGCCTTCTGCGGCCACGGAGACTTCATCAATGGTTGGACGGTGGATGCGGCGCAGAGTATGGTTGAAGCTACGAGCTCGAAGAATCATTTCGCGGCTGTTGATAGCCGTCTAGACAACGATGGGAAGAAGCCTATGTGCAAGTCTGCTGATGCGGATCCGGACCACGGCACGAGCGACTATGCGGAGAGTGTTGCGGCTATGAGCAAGCGGTCTGTTCCTGCTGTGGGGTGGGTATCTAGGAGTAGGCTGGCCCGTAGTCCGAGCACTAAGTGAGGAGTTGTTGAAAGAATGAAGATTCTTGTACACAGGTTAAGGTACTTCTTGTGCAGGGGAATGTGGTCATCCGGGATGATCGCCAAGAGACGAGGCATATATAACGCCGCCCTAACTATGAATGGGGCATCTCCTAGATGTTGCGTGTCACCTTTCCCATTCTCTTCTTTCTCGTTTTCGAATTTCGGGTTTCGTCCTTCTCTAGTGAATCACCCCAGAGGTGGGAGAATGTGATGTAGTTGGGCTGGATCTTAGGGAAGCAAGAATGTGGCAATAACCTACACCGCCCAATGAGATTTTTGGGAGCGGCGCCAATTAGTTTCGTCCAGATGCCGATAATCTTTCTCTTTGCTTGCCAGTGCAATATAGGTCTGCTGAGCTCCTGCAATACGATATTGCTGTTGTTGTTTGATGGTCCATGCCATATGAGCACTTTCCTTGTAGTCTCAGATCTTGGGCATTTTACCGATCTGTGGCTTTCGTTCTTCCGGGTGAGCCTAGTCAATGCTAACTTGATCGACCCTGCGGAGCGCAATCAGCAAGTCGGGCTCCTTGCAAGGCGTAAAGAACGTTGATCTGGGTGCCTGGCTTTGCATTCTCTTTCCTCTCTACTACCTCCCCTGTGCATCCTTATCATAGACAAGACCTCCGAGAGGTCTTGAAGCATCTTCTCCTCGTAGTCTCTCACAAACTGACGATAACATTGCTCAGCCCATCGTGGCGCGAGGGCTATAGATTCACCATTGACGGCATAGTTTGAATGTAGGCGAAAGCATGAAACGTCTATAGACACAGCGAAGTCAGTTCACTCTATTTTGGCGATACTACAAAGGTATCTAGCCAACGGTAGAGCGTCTACCCCATTACAGCTTGAAGACCCCATCAGTAAAGTCTATGACCTGCGCCTTTTCAAGGACCTTGCCAGCAAGTTTTTTGAAGTCGTCATGAGTCGGGTCATCATTGATGTAATAATCTCTGTCCTCGACGCTTTCGAACTCTACGACGAATGCGTGCGTGATGCCATTCTACATGATGCACTTAGCACATACCGAGACATTTTCGAGCTGTATGTCCACGGGAAGAACCGTTTTGGGAAAGATGGAGCTTACCTGGATCCCTTCGGGCGAGTTGTCGGTACCGCCGGATGCAGATTTGATATACGGCTTCTTGGAGGTTGGATGAATGCAGCCGTCCTTCAGTGCAAGCATACGTTCAGAGATCTGTGACATTCGAAGCTTCATCAGCTTTGGATGACCAGACATTGCAAGTGGCCACGTACATCATTGATAGCTTCAGGACTGGCAGACGATTTGAATTGGAAGAGAACGATATGAGTGATACCCATTTTTGGGCTTAGCGTTTTATGCGAAGTGCTGGGACTTGAAACTTGGATGAAGAGGAGTACGAGAGTAAGGCTAACGATCGCGATAGCTAGTGCTAGCTTTCGTCTGGGGATGGCAGAGTGCGAGGGAGTGAACCACATTCTAGAGCCGGCCTGAGGTGACCGCAACGAAGAAAGCGGGGTAAACCATGGGAGCGTTTCTTGAGCTGACTAATAATTGCAGTATGACCGCATTGATTTGATTGGGTACGTCTGCACCCTGTGGGTTGATCAATTGTTGTATGGCCTAGGCAAGATGAACTTGATTCATTATTCGCGAATACTTGGATGCATAGTTGGAAGTACTTCGTGATTCCCTCAGATTCAATCTGCAACCAGTTCGATATGTGCTCCCATGCTTCATATACTGTTGTCTGGCAGCTTTTCGGAAGAAATCACATATACATCTCGTACCGATCAGGTAGTCCCTTATAAGAGCATTCGGTAGCTAGAACCTGATGGTGAAGGCAGACCATCTGTAAATTGATGACAGCTTCTTTTGATGCTCGATAAGATTCTGTACAGCTTGGATACCGAACTCCTTGCCTTGCCAACGGCACGCCGGCCAATCATGCGTACAATCCGTCCTAAAGACGGGGGATGGGGTGACAACAAGGACGCCCACACAGTGAGTATGTAAAAAGCTGAACCCGAAAACTCTAGACCAACGCTATAGCCCTTTCACAATACGCGAAACACAAGATGGATATCTAAATAGCAGCGTGAATGAAACAAAAAGAATTGGGGCATGCAATGTAATGCAAAACCGATGAAATCGTAATCAGTAGAACTCCGATATGCGTCCATGACTTAGGCGGTACTCTGAAGAATAGAAATGAAGATATTTAAGAATCAAGAACAACTACATGGGGAAAGTCTTTCCGTTCCGCGAGTCATCCCCGTGATAACTGAAGAACTTGCAATATGACTTGCACTAGACTGAGGATAACGCTTAGTACCCCGATGATAGAAACAAGCCAAAAAGTCCAATACTGCAATGTATCTCGCCGATCGCGGAGCAGTTCGCTTATTGAGGTAGGTCGGGAGTTCTTGAGTTCCTGCGCAATAAGCTCGATCCTCTCGGATAGGACTGGGAAATGCTGGGCCGCAAAATACACAGGCTGATCAGGGAGCAATGGCAGAGGCTCCGGCTTTTGGCGAATATGAGCGGTCATACAAAGCATAAGAAGTAGCTAGTCTGGCATTTGTAAGCGCTCCGTTGGTCTGTATATCTGTGGGAATAGCTTTCTCGAAGGGCCATGCTGCCCGAACAGTAGGCGAAAGGATAAGAGCACCTCCCGCATGAACTGCGAGATGTCTTCCTCGCTCGCACGGGGGTCGAAAGACTTCTTCTCTGTGCTAGCAAATGAAAATATAGTGCCTTTGGATTGAAGCATGGCGACGTAGAACGAAGGACAGCTGAACAACGAAAGAGTCCTGCTTGACTTATTGTAGTCCAGGTGTAATGCCAGGCAATCAACCCATCGAATCCTAACGTGGAGCAGAGTGAGAAGGAGATGTGCATTCATCTCAGCAGGATTCAGAGGCAACCAGGTCGCTGCTGCTCTACTGTTCTCGCTTGCAGCTTGCGTAATGTTCGAAGGAGGAGAAGGGAGTAAGTTTCCGAAACCCTTCAAGATGACGAACAAGGGTCGATCTGCGAGATCGGCTGATACCTTGTTAGTGTCGAATACTAGGCCGGAGTTCGATTCGTCGTCATCCTCGTGAACTGCAAGCTCGTCCCCGGAGCAGGTATTGAAGGCTGGTCGGTAGAGCATGGACTGCCATCCTAGTATTGCGAATACGAGCAGCCTTTGAGCTTTGAAGGTTTGACGAGTATTCTCCATCTTTTGCGTTTTCCGAAGGTGTTCGACGACGTCGTCGATAGTGACCATTTCGGTATCGCGGACGAATGTGCCCGTCGCAGTGAACACTCGTTCGAACGCGTTGTTCTCGAGAAGCGTTTCTTCGCCTACCCGTAGTTGTCGGACTGCATGTGACATATTCGTAACTTGGCCATGGAGCCAAGGGTGATACCAGCTCAAGTCGGCCGACGTTGACTGGAGGACGGACACTGGGAGAGGCTCTTTGAAGAGCTCGTGCGTTCTTGTTGGATGGGCAGCTAAGGTGGTTGTCGTCGATATGACTTTAAGCGGAACCACGTTAGCTGCAGACTCGAGGACGCTAAGCGTCATGACCTGAGCGACTCTTACAGCTGGACCTCTTACGGACTCTGAAGCTCCGGGAACTAGTGGATAGCTTTCGGCGGGATCGGGCCGCCGCCATGGAATGCGAAGAGGCAGTCGGATTAAGAGGCGCCAATTCTGCCGCACTTCCGATATTAGGCTCTCGTTTCTCCATGTCCTGCTAGAGAGCGTTCAAGAGTGAGCGGTGTCCGGATGACGGTGATAGAATGGCAGCGCGTGCAAGAAATCCCGCACTCGGCAAGGAGACTGAGATCTGAGATTCACCTTTGCAAGTTGTTGAAGGCTCAGGGCTTGCGATCAGCGGCAGAACTGCTTTTGGTGCAGCCTCCCGCTTTCCGTGCGCCTCCATCTTCCTGCCCAGGTGTCGAGCGCCTGAATGGCCAAGGCTGTCGAACGACCAGAGCCGCTATCCGACTGGCAGTCCCAGCCTCAAGAACGGAGCATTCGCACGACGCTGGGGCGGCCAGTGGTGCGACGTGGGTGGGTTCGCGGGCGGTAACAGGCTATATAAAGAACGGTGGTGTTTCTGCTCACAGCCCGTTCCACCTGGCGCTTAGCCATGCCGAGGAGTGCACCGTACGACTCCGCCGAGGGCTGATAGCTGAGTCTACACAGCTCAATCTCGGTCAAGTGAGAAGCTGTTCTAGCCAGACGTGTCGGCGAAGGATACTGCATGGCTATCATACAAGTGTAGAATAGAATATTGATGGCTGCATTGGGTGGCGCCAACTCACCGGTTTGCCAGCAACCCCGCTTGCTCTCGTCCACGCCGCACAAGTAAAACATACTTCCTCGACGCATTGTCACGTCTCCTCGACCCAGTTCTCTCTAGCTATGGAGGCAGACGACCCCGTTCGCCCAATATGGCAAGCGGCCATCGACCAGTACTACGACCAGCTTGCAGAGGGAGGCATGAAGAGAACGCCCACGATAGACAAAGACCTCTGGGAGATAGAGAGCCCGAATGTTTTGATTGACGAGATCCAAGAGATGGTACCACAAGAATCACAAATCTCCAAAGTGTGGATGACTGTGCTGCCCAAGCTTGAGCCCGTGTTGCTGGGTCTCAATGACTTTGCAGCCGTTATCGCCTGGTCGTTGGGGATGAATGGTCGTGTTGCGGCACTTCTGTGGAGATCTATGAGACTCATTTTAAAGGTAAACCGCAATCCCCCTCGTATGCCTTGTAAAAGCTTGCTGACCCCAGCAGTTCGCGCGTCCAGTTTTCCCCCAGTTGATCACATTGCTAGAAGAGCTGCGAACCGTCCTCCCAAAGGCCCGCCTATCCGAACAAGAGTTTCCACTCTCGGAGTCTCTCGAAACCGCGTTACTAAATATGTATACTGAGATAATTGTCTTCTATGCTTTCGCGATCACATTCTTCCGAAATAATCCCAATGCTTCGACGAGCCGAAGTGCATGGTCCATATTCAGCTCAAGGTTCGAGAAAGTCATATCAAATCTTCGCATTTATTCGAGAAAGGTCGACGAGATCGTCGACATGATACGGTTGTCCAAAGAAACTCACACGGCCGAAACGGTGAAGGCAATAAACAATCTGCAGAAGCTAATGATTACAGATAAAGGAACACCGTGTCATATCATACCATACGGACTGAATTTGAAGTTCCAAGGCAGATCAGCGGAACTGGATGAGCTTAAGCGTACTTTGGATCCAGGAAATGGAGCGGAAACCTTGAAAGTGATATCCATATGCGGCTTAGGCGGAGTTGGAAAGACTCAGCTTGCTCTGCATTATGCCAACACCTCAAGGGATTCCTACGATGCAATTGCTTGAGTTCAGGCCGACACACAAACCAAGCTTATCCAAAGTCTGTCTACCTTCGCGTCGAAGCTGGGCTTGCCAAAGAAAGAGGGAAGCAGCGACGATGACTACCAATCGGTTCAAAAGGTTAGGGACTGGCTCAATAGCTCCGGAAAGACATTTCTCCTCATTTTCGATAACTTGGAAGATGTCCGTATCTTGAGCCAGATCTGGCCCGCAAGCAATAAGGGCTCCATCATTATCACCAGCCGGTCTCCAGCAGTCGCAGCAAAACGAGCTAAGAAGACGATGTACCTCAAGTCGTTTGGAGAGGACGCAGTCGTAGATATATTTTATGAGTTGACCGGACTACAGCCAGCCGACGAGGACGATGCGGAAGCCGCCAAAGAAATATGTCAGCTCATTGGAGGCCTTCCACTCGCCATGATTCACATGAGTTCATTCATCCAAGACCGGGGATATTCATATGGGGAGTTCCTCGCTTTGTACAAGAAGCATGCTGAGAGGATCTTCATCAAGGACCAATCCCAGGTGGATTATGACCACACTTTGAGTACGGTATGGGACATGTCCCTTCAATCATTGTCACTGAATGCTAGAGTCCTTCTTGACTTGTTGTCGCTATTTGACCCCGACTCGATTCCAGAACGATTATTGATTGGAGGAAGAGCCGATATTGTGGAGCCCCGATTGAAATTCCTGAACGATGATTTTGAGTGAGTATCAACCCGAAGTGTCGGCTCTAATTTCCCCTCGTCCTGCTGATCCATGACTAGTTTCGGTGACGCTGTGTCTGAATTGATGACCAAGACGTCGCTCATCAATCGGCTGACTACATCCAAATCCCTCTCCATGCACCGCATGGTAAAGTTTGCGATGTTCATCCGAATCCCAGAAGATGAGCGTACATTATACCTTGACAACGCAATTCAATTACTGTATCATGCCTTTCCGAATACTTGGGATGAGCGAGGTCCCCAGCAAGGTCATGGCTGGCGTTCTTGGGAAACTTGCAGTGCTATCGTGGCCCACTTATCCTCTCTGATGGGTCTGCAAAAACAATATAACCTGAAAGCCACAAATACAGAGGGTTTTGCTGAGCTTATATTCCGCATTGGGACGTACGTAGATGCTATTGTTCCAACTAGATGCCCTAAACCAAAAACTGACAGTAGCATCTTTAGGTATCTTTGGGAAAATGAGCAACCAACCACGGCAAAGGCATTCTTTGAGTATGGCTTGGAGTTGGACATTGATCCCAATAGCCGGATATGCGCACAAGCGTACCGGTTACTAGGTCATATTGGCCTTGACGTGGCACAACCACGAGCCGCTCTCTCCGCGTATCAAAAAGCTTTAACGGCGAGAGAGAAACTTGAAAAACCAAATTCGGGTGCTATAGCGGAAGTCTACGATTCAATCGCATGCAGCTACTCTGAGTTTGGAGACGTTCCGCATGCACTTGAGTACCTCGCAAAGGCCGATGCTATAAACCTTGCGCAAGCCAATCGCACCTCAGCCCGGACCCAAGCCATATATTCATTAGCTTACCTCCGAGGAGACCAGCCAGCCAAAGCACTCGAAGCGCTACAGCTCTGCTGGAACCTTCGGAATAAGACTGAGGAGGAAATCGCGGGGTCTCATTATCCAAAGCACGCTGGCGATATCGTTCTATTAGCACGGATACAGTATGCACTCGGACAAAAAGATGAAGGCCAACGATTGGCTTCGAGGTCAATCACTATTAGGAGAGGCATTTTTGGCTCTAAGGGACCTCGTGTAGCGGACTCGGTTTTCATTGTTGCAAGAATGCTGGCAGCTGCGGGCGAACAAGTTGTGGCTGCAAAAATGTATGGAGAGATCATTGACATGAGCCGCGATATGGCGGAAATGAAAGGCCACTTGGCCCGAGCATTGTGGTTTTTGGCTTCGATGGAAGAGCTGCTGGAGAACCCGGCTGAAGCTGAGAGGTTGAGGAAGGATGCGAAAGATGAAAGAGCCAAGATCCAGGAGAGAGAAGCACCGGATGAGGACACCGACGAGGCCTTTATGGGCCTGGTAGGGTGGATGCTATGGTAATCCTGAAAATTTCCGTGGTTAACAAAGGGGGATGAGTCGGTTGTAGATTGGTCTAAGGAGAATGACGACAGGTAACGACGAAAGTAATGATATTAGATTGCTTTCAAAAAGAATTTAAGCAGCAACTGAAACAAAGTCCATGGGTGGACGGTACCCAGGTGGTCTTCCGTGATAAGTCGCTTTCGCAGTACCGCGAAGGAGTTTAGCTCGTCCAAAGTACTAGAGGTTTCGATCACCGCGTGTATGCATACTTTAACTAAATATGTAGAATAAAGACCAGTGATGTTATGAGACCAGAGCGATTTGGAGGTGGACTGGATGGAGGCACTTGAAAAAAGCTTCGGACTGGACTGAGTTTCTATTTGGACCGCGGGGATTTGAGGCCGTGGATGATCCAGGCACTTCAATAGTCAGTGGTGATGTATATACATGGTGTTGAGGTTCAATGGCCCGCATTTCTCAGATTCTAATTGGTCCGATCAAATAGTCACGTAATGTACACCTGCTACTCACGTGCCCGTCATGTACTATCATTGTTAGAATAGCTTCTACAACCTAACATAGTCTTCTGTTTAGCTTAACAACGTACTTTTGATAGCTAAATACAAGACTAAAACGGTAGCACACCTATAATTAACACCTGTTACGCTTTAACCTGAAGATTTTCCTGCGCTAAATCGCTTTAGGTAATTAATTAGCTGTTCCAGATAACTCTCAGCCCTATTTTGGAGCTCCTGTACATCCTGGAGCTCCGCAGTGATTTCTAGTAGATCGCGTAGATCGGAGGCCTCATCCAATCCACTCTAGTCTATTAACATCACTGGTTTGTTCGCTAATTCGATGTTTGCTCCACGGTCGAGTAGCAGCTTGATTGTCGACTCTCTGCCATTCATTATAGCTACTGATAGCGGTGTAAGACCTTCGTTGTCGGGTGAGTTGATATCGGCCTTGCCTGTATCGAGTAGTAGGCTGATCATGGCATCGTGCCCTCTTGCTGCAGCCGCCCACTTGCTACAGCCGCCCATAGCGGTGTTCGGCCGTGCGAATCTCTTGGGTCAAGATCGGCTCTGTCAAATAGCATTTTCACAATCGTGTCGTGTCCATTTGCTGCGGCTAGCAGCAGCGACCTTTCTAGATCATAACGCTTAGAGTTGGCGTCGAATTCTGCTGATCTAAGCAGAAAGCTCATCGTCATCGTGTGCCCATTCGCTGCAGCCCACAGTAGTGGTTCCCTAGAATATATCGACTCGGTACCGGATGGATAATACATAGTGAGCAGCCGTTGCAGTTGCGCCTCGTTTCCTTCTTCAGCAGCCCCGATCATAGCCCTCGAAGAAGGATACCTCAAATCCTTCCAATCGATTTCAAACATCAACCGCTGCACCGCGTCGTGACTATAGAGCGAGGCCCACCAGAGCGTTACATAGTTGAGACCTAAATGAAAGTCGGGGCATTTCATATTAGGATATCTTCTCGAATGGCTCGGATCTTCGAACTCCGACAGACCTTCAAACGAGAACACCGAGTCGGCCTCTATGCCTGAAAGCCTTTCTAGCCGTTGACATTGGCTCGCAACCTCTTCCAAGCTACCTGGGGGCTCGAATTCGTGATGTTTCTTCAGAACAAGATTGAGAAGGGTCGTAATAGGCATGGTATAGTCAGCGACGATATCCGTGTGTCCTGCTTGTGCAACACCAAGCAGTGCGTAGACCCTATCCCGCGGGTCGGCGCAGCGAAGATGATTTGTCGCTCCCATTAGGTTCCACAGAGTCTGGTCATGGCGTTCTGCAGCATCGAGTGACTTCGTCGCAGTCTGCCTGACGATTGCCATTGCAGGACTGTCTCGAACATTCTGGTACTCGATCGTATCCTGGACGCGAGGAGGAGGCGTTAAAGTGCTCAACTCGACAAGAAAGTCCCGGAAAGGCCCCCATGGGATTATCTTATCGCCACACATGATATAGATCTGGCGCGCTCGCATGATTTCCTGGAATATCCAAAGGCGCCTCCAATACGGCCTTCCGCAAAGTCCGCGGATAGCGGCGCCGACTGGTTTCGTCCAGACGCTGATAATCTTTTTCTTTGCTTGCCAGTGCGATATAGGTCTGGTGAGTTCCCACATTGCGATGCCGCTATTGTGGTATGATGGGCCGAGCCATATGAGCACTATTCTTGCTGTCTCATAGATCTCGGGCATGCTACCAACTTGTTGCTTTCGTTCTTCCGGGTGAGACTGATCAATACACAGTGCATCAATCCAAAAGGCGTTCTGCGAGTCAGTGACTGTTGATGCCGGCTCTCGAGCTTGATGGAGAAAGCGCCATAGGTTTTTGCGTATCGGGAACGAAGGATTACCATCCAAGTAGATGGTGCGGGTCTTCCCCTTCCCCTTTCTCTTCCTCGTTGTCGTTGCCTTTGTATTTGGTGTTGCCTCTTTCTCCGGCGAACCCCAGGCATAAGACAACGCGATGTAATCGGGTTGCTTCCTGAGTGAGACGAGGCTGAAGTGGCAATAGATGTCGCTGTCTGCGTCGCCTGGTAGGATCTTCAGAATCCTGATGTAGCCAACTGGAAGGTCTGTATAGACCGGAAAATCCCTTTGTGTGGTGTTCTGTTCCGCCATTGCTCGTTGTCACTTCCAGATATCGACTGACGATGGGAGGTCTGCCAGTCGAATAGAGCCTGAGGCTGAGAAAATACCCTTGAGAGCTCTGCAGCCGCTGATTTGTCGACAAGCAACGAATCGCTAACCCAAGGAAGCCGACGCTCAATAGGGAGAGTCGGGAGATACCTCCAAACCACGATAACATCCCGTCGGGCAGCAACACATTCTCACCATCTTCGGCTCTCTCGGCTTGTGGCTGACGAATGTCGTACTCTGCTGGCTAGGATGTCGTGGACATGCATGCGTGCCCAGCCGTGCAGATGACCGATCGAGCATTAGGGCGAGGCTGAGAATTAGCGTTGAACAGCTCACACATGAACCTGCGGAGATATGATCCGTGGGATTACACGTCTGGTATAAATATGTGTGGGGTTCCAACTACCTGCTCTGAACTCATCCGACCTATCGCAAAAAAACCGACTTGAATTCTCTAATTCCTATATCGTTTATCTAAGTCTCTAGAAGCCAGCCTTGCGTCCAGCTGCGAACGACCATCACACCCAACCGCCTCTCTGTGATACACAACTCTATAGATCCAATGGAAACCACCAGCGGACCTTACACGACGGAAGAGGTAGAGCGCGGCTAGTCGAACTGGCGCTGGGATGATGGTTGGAACATGCGGTACTACTACGTCCTCACTCCCAAGCGCTGGATTATGGAGGACGGGGATACCTTTACGCTCGAGTCGCTCACTCTGCGACGCGAAGAGAAGCAGGCTAGGGGAGATAGGGAAGAACGGGCGCGATGGGAGGCGGAGCAGCAGCTGATGGGAGACCGGGAGCGCAGAGCTCGAGAGGAGACAGAACGTAAAGAAAAAGAGGCTGTAAAAGCGCGGGAGCTGGAGCAGCAGAGAGCCCGTGAGCAGCAGAGGCAATTGGAGCACGAGAACGAATTGAGGCGCCAGCGAGAGATAATAGAGCAACAGGAAGAAGCGAACAAGGCATTAGCCAAGCGCGCCGCCGGCGTGAGAACGCTGACGAATAGTGTGGCTGGCCTTGACACCGCCTTGACTGGGCAGAACTCGGTTCCAGGAGTGCTCGAGCAGGCGATCAATACAGCGCAGAATGGGGGTGGGACGAGTACGTTTGAGGTGAAGTGGCAGACTCCAGGGAAAGCTCCGGTTGAAATGAGTCTCAAAGTCGGGCCGGCACGGAATGGGAACGGTGCAGGGACGGCCGAGATCGAAGACGCGGGTGACAGCATTGAAGAAATCGAAGACGAGGGTGACAGCGATGAAGAGATCGAGTGAAGAATTTGGAGTCTGGTGGCCGTGGAGATGCTTGTTTTTTCGACGATATGTAGAATGATGTATCTTTTACTTTGTAGCTTAATTTCATATAAGCAGGAAAAATAATGAGACAAAACGCATCCAGTAAAATCAGGGTATTAGACCTCCTTTTTTTAATATACAGATCGCACTTGTAGATCAAAAGGCCAGCCTCTTCCCGTTTTCCATGAAATCATCGTCCACTTCAAGCTTTCAAGATACCGGCATGAGCTGAATGCTGTCAATCCACAACTCTTTGGTTCCCGTATTTGCCTGGGCCACATTGCTGAACTGAATCTGGAGAACGCCATACGTGGAAGTCAACTCCGTAGCAGGAATAACGAGGTCCTGATCCGCCGTGAACGTCGTCCAAGAAGAGGAAGCAACGTTCTTGGAATACATGATGATGTTGTAGCCCTTGGTACCGACATCTACTGTTGCCGAGACATAGAACGCCAGCGCAGTCGCCGCGGCTGAGTTGCGGCGAGCAGCTAAGGAAAGGCGGTATGTGGTGCCCGGGCAGACGGAGATGCCTTGGGTGATGTACGAGATGGCGTTCTCTTGCGTTTGTTGCACGCTGATAACGTAGTTGCCGTCTGCAGGGCCGGGCGCAACGGTTCCGCCTCCAGCGCCGGGGCCCTTAAGCACAGTGTTGTCGGAGGAGCGGCCAGGGACAACGATCCAGGGGGCCAGGTAGCCGCAGCACTGATTTTCGAAGTCGCCGTTGACGACGGCGTTGGCGGTGTGGTTGCACGTGGAGGAGGGCTGCACAACCTTGCCATCACAGGTTCCGGTTTCTATGCCAGTGATACCGCCGACGGTGCCTTGCTTGAGGTAGCATGTGCCCCCTGAGGTGTAGGACACGTCGGTGCAACCGGTGGTTGTCGCGCAGCTGGTCATGCAGTCGATAAATGAGCCACCAAAGAGAGGGAGGGCGAGGTTATTGTTGGTTCGAAGCGCGTCTGCTTCGACGGCGAACAGCTTGCCGCCGGCTTTGTAGGTGGTGCCGCTCTCGATGCCTGCACAGTCGGTAGCGCGTTTGGCAACAGAGAGGGCCGTGGTGGAAACCAAGAGCTGCGCAATGGCGACGGAGAATAAGAACAACATTGTATGATATTTGTCGGACTAAAAGAAAGTTTGTGTTAAGAGAGACAAATACGACTACGAGAGACGGGAAATGTAGATATTGATGGTGACGAAAAGCACCGCTGTTTAAGGTGATGGCCACCTCTTAAGCATTTGCATGTCGGTTCGATCGGATGTCGGCTACAGAGAAAACACCAAAGATTCCCCTTGTTCGTCTCGGCGGGGCTACGTGAATCGATAGTAACGGCTTCACCCTTGTACTTACGTACGCGTATGAGTGCATTTTTCTAGAAGAAGACGACGGAGACGTCTTGAAGGGCCCGGCATTCTTATTGACAACGGAGGAAGCACGGATTAGGCCTACTTTTATAGGAGTACCCCTATACCAAGACGCTTCGCCAGACTATCGTGAGTTTAGTGTAAGCCACATGCGCTAAAGGCCGGCAGTGGCTGACTGAGAGCGCCCCTCTCGGTGCTCTTTCGCAGAAGAGGGGACCTTGAAGTCATAGATCAAAGCGGTGGTCTTGTTCTGCATCAAGTTTCTCGGTGTAGAGTGCCCAGTGGGAAAATGGACAAGAAGTTGAATTGATGGGAAGCTGCTCTAAAGGAAAGATAGATGTTGTGGGTGTTGAATATTTGACGTGTCGGGGAAGGCGAATTTGTGGCGTTCAGCCAGAACGGCGTGCGGCTGACAGCCTCTTCAAGCTAAAAGAAGGTTGACACTGCCTGATCGAGATGCCCATGACTCCAAAGAGGAAAAACTATGTCGTCTGGGCATTTTCAGACGCTAATATTATATTTTTCCACAAGGCCAACGTCAGACCCGAGCGCCAACAATGCAAAACTCCAACTCACGCCCTTGAGTCCTGTTCTTCTAATTATGTGTCTCATCAAGATAGACATCGCCAATTATACTCAGAATTCCTCATCCTCATCACTATCGACTACCGGATCGATGGTTTTCGACATATATGGGCCATCGAGATGGTATCCAAGTTTCGCATAATAGCTTCTCACGCCCACCCCAGAGATGACGGAGATCTTCTGACTGCCATGCTCGTCTCGTGCAATTCGTTCCGCTTCCTCCATGAGGAGGGTACCGAAGCCTTGATGCTGGAACTTCCTAGGATCGCGTGCATGCACTGGGACCGCCGAACCGTAGACATGGAGCTCGCGAACTAGGCTCGTTGGCTGCCCAGTTAGTTCCGGACGGAAAGTATGGGTCTTACTGCACTGCCGTAGCCGGAGGAGCGCGATCAGGATGTCCTGTTTTGGATCTTCGTACGCAAGGAACGTCTCCCAGCCGTTGTTGGCAACGTAGTCCCGGCGGACCAGCTCGACTTGTGATGGTCGGATCTTGTGCTTTACTTCGTTGATGCCTACCTCGCGTGTTCGTACATCGCGACATGTTGTTCCGAAGTCTTTCATACGAGCGAGTGCTAGTTCTCGAAGATTACCATTTTCTACACCAGCTGTGACGAGCGGCATTGGTATGTCACGCTGTACGCGGTAAATCCGAGTCCATGGCGGGACTAGAGCTAATATTCGTGCTACAAGGTCGATGAGGGCATTCGGTGTATAATTTTTGTACCGGCCTGTCCGCCAGAGCTCGTACAGACCTGTACCACGGATGACGAGTGTGGGATAGATCTTCAGCCCGTCTGTGCGAAAAGCAGGATTCGAGAAGTACTCGACGAACTGGTCAAGGTCTCGCTCCATGCCAACGTTGGGCAAATCGGGCATCATATGGCTGACGACCTTGAAGCCAGCGTCCTTGGCGAGACAGAAGGTTTGCGCGACGGCGGCGACAGTGTGCCCACGGTTAGTATCTCGAGCGACATCTTCGTAGAGCGACTGTACGCCGATCTCTAGACGAGTACATCCATACCGCAGCATAGCACTTAGGTGCTGGTCTAGGCAGTAGTCGGGTCGGGTCTCGATGGTGATGCCTACGCATTTGATATTGCTCATCTCTCCCGCCGCGACAGCCTCGTCAACATCCAGCGTCTGGTAGCCGGACAGGGCGTTGTGCAGCTGTGAGATGAACTCGTCCCTATAGCTCTCTGGTAACGACATGAAAGTGCCGCCCATGATGATGTACTCGACCTTGTCTACACTGTGTCCGAGCGATTTGATCTGCTCCACCCGGCCGCGGGCCTGTTCGTAGGGATCATAACGAGCCCGAATGGCCCGCATAGAGGTTGGCTCATAGCCGGTGTAGGATTGGGTAGAGTATTCAAAGTCGGAGTCAGGGCCGCCAGGGCAGTAGACGCATATGTTGCCTGTGTATGCGATGTGAGGGCATCGGTGGGGCTTGCACATTACCGCCACCACGGCGATCCCAGAGGACGTTCCTGAGGGAGCGTTAGTCGAATTCATTTCTTAAACTACTATAGATCTAAGACAGGGATTTTTAAGGCAGCGTACGTATTGGCTTGGCTATCAGTTTGGGAAGTAGATATTTCTTATAATGCTCTGGGACGGCCGCAATGATGGCCGTTAGAGGCGGCTGGGTCTTCAGATAGTGCTTCTTTGCGATCTGGCCGCGCAGATGATTCAGATTGAGGTCCTTCTTGGGCTTCGAGCCGTCGGCCTGGGCCTCGTAGTCCTGAATGAGGGCGCTGGCGATGTCGGCGCATGCCCGCATATACCGCTCGTTCTCTGGTGCCAGCTTCACATTCTTCGGCAGCCGGTTCTTCGCCCGGCTTTCGGTCAGAGTGACGGTCGCCATGGTGGGCTCGGAAGGCAGACGTCGGCAGAATGCGGGCTGAGGCTCCTGTGTATCTGCAGAAATATATTGGTGTTGGGCAGAAGTTCGCTTTAACCTTGGGAAGTTTTGGCGAACCAGATTCGCGCGCCGCGGACCTATCCAGCTCCTCCTCTCGCACTCCAGCTTCTATTCAAGTTGCCCCAGTCCTCCCACACCCTCTCCCTCTAGTACAGTCTGCTTCTGTGGCAGACACTCTGTCGCGATGCAGGCAATTCGACGTCCTCTGAGCGCCGCCCTCCGCAAGGCCAGCCGGCAAAGCTATTCCACCTCGTCTTCCCCGTATGCCGCAACGGTGAAGAACCTCCGCATCAACGGCGACACCAAGGTCCTATACCAGGGCTTCACCGGCCGGCAGGGAACGTGAGTGTCTTCTACTTGCTCTCTCTTTCTTGCGCTGTAGCTAATCTGCCTCCAGGTTCCACGCCCAGCAGGCAATTGAATATGGTATGCGCCGCACCCCGGACCGCTTCGATAACGCCGAGAATTTCCTTTAACCGTCGACCCTAGGCACAAACGTTGTAGGAGGCACAAATCCAAAGAAGGCTGGTCAGGAGCACTTGGGCAAGCCCGTCTTTGCTTCTGTTGCCGAGGCCATCAAGGAGACTGGGGCTACCGCGTCCGCTATCTTTGTCCCGTACGAGCACCCGCATATATCGGTCAAGATGAATAATTGTCTAATATTTTCCTAGACCACCTCTCGCTGCGGCTTCGATAGAGGAAGCTATCGCAGCGGAAATACCCTTGGTTGTAACGTACGTCTACAGTTCAGGCGCTGGCTATATGAACAAATACTGATATTGTCTCTCAGTATCACCGAGGGTATCCCACAACATGGTAATACTCGCAATGCTCCCATGGAAGGATGTGGCTGCTAAATATTATAGACATGGTCCGCATTACCGACATCCTCAAGTCGCAAGGCAAGACGAGGATGGTGGGTCCCAATTGCCCCGGCATAATTGCTCCTGTGATGCTCCCCTCCTACCATATAGCTCTCTAGCAGCAATGCTAATATACTCAAAAGGGACAATGCAAGATCGGGATCATGCCCGGTTTCATCCATAAGCGCGGCCGCGTTGGTATCGTCTCCCGATCCGGAACCCTCACCTACGAAGCCGTCAACCAGACCACACAAGCCGGCCTCGGACAATCTCTCGTCGTTGGTATTGGAGGTGACCCCTTCTCCGGCACCAACTTCATCGATTGCTTGAAGGTCTTCTTGGAAGACGAGGAGACTGACGGTATCATTATGATTGGTGAGATTGGAGGTTCGGCAGAGGAGGATGCGGCAGACTTCCTGAAGCAGTACAACACTGCGAACAAGCCCGTTGTGAGCTTCATTGCTGGTATCTCAGCGCCTCCAGGCAGGCGGATGGGTCACGCTGGTACGTTTGGACAATCATATGCGAATGGATTATGTTTACTAACGATTCAACAGGCGCTATTGTCAGCGGCGGGAAGGGAGACGCAAACTCGAAGATTACCGCTCTCGAGGCCGCAGGCGTTGTTGTCGAGCGCAGCCCAGCGTCCCTCGGCAAGACTCTGTACGACCAGTTCGTGAAGCGGGACCTGATATAGCGCATCTAGGTTAGGAGGGTTCAAATCGGGTCTCGGCCAAACGTGGTCTGGTATGCTTGTTTGCGCGTGCTGCATGATTTATGGAAGATTGTCAAGGGCGGTCGAGCGAGTTGGTGGGTGGACCATGCATTTATGTCGACGTTGGTTCCGTCACTGTACATTTAGTCCTTTAGAGCAACTTGCGGCCACTGCGAGCACGCAGCACGCAGGGTATACCAGCACTAGAAGCATTGAAATGATGTAGCTATGAAATGTGCCAATATCAAAAATAGAGAGTGAAGCTCCCCTTGTCCTCGATCCCCAGCTTGGTCCCTGCGCGCTGCCGAACGTCTTGCCCGCATTTCCAATCTCGACCTCGACCTCGACATACCAACCCCGAGGTTGCACTGCCTCCTCCACTCTATTCCACCTCCGGCGTCATGCTCTCCGGTATTCTCATATTCAACCAGAAGGGCGAGAACCTCATTTTCCGCGCATTCCGCAACGACTGCCGCCCACGCCTCGCCGACGTCTTCCGCATCCAGGTCATCTCGAATGCCCAAGTTCGCTCACCTATACTGACCTTGGGCTCGACGACTTTCAGCCATGTAAAACACGAGAACATCTATTTAGTCGCTGTCACTAAGAGCAATGCCAATGCCGCGCTCGTCTTCGAGTTCCTGTACCGGCTGGTGGGGTTGGGGAAGGCTTATTTTGGGAAGTTCGACGAGGAGGCTGTGAAGAACAACTTTGTGCTCGTGTATGAGTTGTTGGATGGTATGATACTGCTCAATTGGGAGTCTCTACCTGCTGTTACTCTGGTACTGATCATGTCTACGATTAGAAATCCTCGACTTTGGATACCCACAGAACACCGAAACGGATACTCTGAAGATGTATATCACGACGGAAGGCGTCAAGTCAGAAAGAGCGATGGTATATAATGCCCCTGAGTCACTGGAGCATTTTCACGGGACAGTAGTCGCTGACACGATCTCAGGAGGACTCCTCCAAGATCACCATGCAAGCAACCGGTGCCCTCTCCTGGCGCAGAAACGACATCAAATACCGCAAAAACGAAGCCTTCGTCGACGTTATCGAAGATGTAAACCTCCTCATGTCCGCCACCGGCACGGTCCTCCGCGCCGACGTCAACGGCCAAATTGTTATGCGCGCATACCTCTCCGGCACCCCTGAGTGCAAATTCGGACTCAATGACCGTCTCACACTGGGTGAAGATAACCTACACCAACCTTCTGGTAACCGCGCAGGGACAAAGGCGACACGGGCCGCCGCTGGAAGCGTCACACTAGAGGACTGCCAGTTCCATCAGTGCGTGAAGCTGGGCAAGTTCGACACGGACAGGATAATCAGCTTCGTGCCACCGGACGGCGAGTTTGAGCTTATGCGATACCGAGCTACGGAGAACGTAAACCTACCCTTCAAAGTCCATGCCATCGTCAACGAGGTCGGCAAAACAAAAGTAGAATACAGCATCGCCATCCGCGCAAACTACGGCAGCAAACTCTTCGCCACAAACGTCGTCGTGCGCATCCCAACGCCCCTCAACACCGCGCGGATCACAGAGCGCACGTCTCAAGGAAAAGCAAAGTACGAGCCAGAACACAACAACATTGTGTGGAAGATCCCGCGGTTTACGGGGCAGAGCGAGTTCGTGCTGAGTGCGGAGGCCACGCTGACGAGTATGACGAATCAGAAGGCGTGGAGTCGACCGCCGCTGGGGTTGAGCTTTAGCTTGCTGATGTTTACGAGTTCGGGGTTGTTGGTGCGGTATTTGAAGGTGTTTGAGAAGAGTAATTATAGTAGCGTGAAGTGGGTGAGGTATATGACACGGGCGGGTAATTATGAGATACGGTAAGCCAGGCTCAAGAATCGATTCTTTGAAGGAATAGCTACTAATTACGCGACTAGGTTTTGAGCAAGCGGAGTTTTGCTGCTCTTTCGGACGACTTTACGAGAACTTGTACATTACTTCTGCATATATTGAATGCGTTACCATGACGCATAGCATGGCACTGGGGTTAGAGCACCTAGCTGCGAGAGAGCTATTGCCTGACGTCAGTCTACGTACACTATTTCAACGCTGCTTGGAGTGCTTCATCACATTTTCGGCCCTTTGAGTGCGATACAAGCCTGTCGTTTTGGCACATCTAATACCTTGCCAGGCCAACTCAGGCGGCTGTAGATAGGTGTACACAGGCTGCACGCGTCAATCTTCGCTTCAAAATATCTTCCCAAACACTTAATGAAGCATCACAAGCAGGGAGTAGAAGGGAGGGGGTGCAAGCGGATATCTGGCATAGACCGTGTATAGTGAGGCACTGCTGCCAACTTCATGTGCCAACACGAGGTGATGAGGTGCACGTTACATGGTCAAACTCTTGTGGCGTCTTACGACTTGTATTCCTACTCCAACGGCGATCTGGCAGGCAAACGGCAGGAGGGGTGCACGCTACGTAGGCTCAGTTAATATTTAAGAATTCAACAGCCCTCCTCAGCCGGCAACCACGCCTTTGCGCGAACATCCAATGCGAACGGGGATTTTGGCGACATTGTATGTAGACTTGGATGTCGCTCACAAAGATAAATGTACAGAAATCATGGTGTTGTGCGGAGGATGACGTTTCGTGCCTGACTAGGAGCAGGATTCCGGTAGCGTTGACCCCTGCGAGCCACGCTGTTCACCAGCCCCCTCGCGGTTAGACCACTCCAGCCTCCAAGGCTCCATCAGCGGTGAGCTCCCAACCACCACAATATTTACTTAACCTGCAGTGCTCTCACCGAGTCTTCTCTCTTCCACCTGCACCCAATACTAATTGTTATTGTCCGGCCTGACTGTTGTTGCATTTGTTGCTTGATCCGCCCAAACCCTCCTCCTGCCCGTCGCCTATCGATACGCCCTCGACTAGGCCTTCCCTGAGCAGACCCATATTACAGCTCTGTATCGCGTTTCACACCCATTGCGACGCCTGACACACGGAAATTGGAGGAGAGCGCACTCTACTCTCGACTAGACGACACATTCCGGCGCTGATTGGCACCCCTCAACCTTGGGGCTGCAGTCACGATTCCGGGCTTCATCATGTCCGCTCAAACTTTACCCCACCGGACCTCGCGACACCCTCTCCCTCCGCAACCCTCCCATGCCACTCTCTGCTCCCTTCGCGGCGGCGACAGTAACAGAGCACACCCTCTCCGGCAAAACCCTCCATCCATCGCTGCTTCTTTCGACGACGCCGCCTTTGACGATATCCCGCTCGCACCACCCCCGTCCGCACTTACCTCGCGGCCCACGCACTACGACCACGACCAACCCTCACCTCTTGACACCTATTCTCCTATAGACCGCCGACACCAGCGCTCCTTGACCGACACCTTCTTCGACAACTGTAAACCATTAGTGAGCAGGGCTACATCATCGCTGCAACAACAACCCAAGCCACCCCTCCACTCCCCGACCAAGTCCCTCGCCAGCTTTATACCCTCGAGAGCCACCCTAGAGTCTGCCGGACAAGCCAAGCCGCGCGTCGCAAAGGTTTTCAGCGACTGGTTCAGCGGTTCTTCCGCTCCCGTTGCACTGGGAGTGGCCTCGCGTCCCCAGGAGCCAGAATACTCGGAAGACGAAGAACAGCAGGACAGCGAAGACAGTGAAGACGAGCGCGAAGGAGAGGGGGAAGAATTAGACCAAGAATACGCCATGGCGAATAACATATTTACTCGCGCTCCAATATTTAACCGGACCACAACCTCGAAAAGCTCCGTCTCTACCACACACTCAACCCCCACCCCGGTCTCAACCCCGAGCAAGTTCTCCTGGCTCTTAAGCTCTTCGAAAGCAGACACAACGCCCTCGAAGTCTGCGCCAAAGAACTACCACAATCCTTCCGACGAACTTCTTTCTCTCGACATCGCCCACACCCTCTTCCCGCACGGGCCTGTCGACCCTCTTGCGCCATCTTCGTTTCACGATCTCCTTAGTGCCGCCGAGAACCTCTGCACCCGATACCAGTCCTCCTACCGCGCCCTCAGCTCTGCACTCTCAGACGCCCGTGCCGAGCAGTCCGCCCAAGATGACGAACTAGACGAAGCCGAGACCAGGGCCAGGCATCTCAAGATGCAGTTGGACGACATGGCTGCCAGAGCGGTGGAGCAAGACCAAAAGATGCAAATGCTGTACGACGAGCTTCGGGTAGAGAAGGAACGCCGCAAAGAGGAAGAAGAGGCCCGGATGCGCAGCCTGGCCATGGTGCGCGGCCCAGACTGTGCCCACGGCCCACATTGTGTGGCTTATACCGGTATACAGGAGGACAGAGATGCGACTCCCCGCAAGCACAAGCGCGTGAGCGGGACGGGCAGCTGCGTCAGCGACTCTGGGTTCGAGTCTGAGTGCGACAGTGTCTTCTCGCGGCGAAATGGGGCCATGTCACCCACGGACACTCTACCATCTTCCGCCGCCAGCGAAGCCGATTTCGACGAGCGGGAGAGGAAGCCGATGGGACCACCACAGCTGATGCAGCGACGCTCGACGTACGACAGGGTGCTGGGTGAGCTACCATTGCACCAGCGAGCTCCAGGCACGCCAAAGACGGTGGAGATCAAGTCATGGGGATGCGCGAACTGCGAGGGCGGCACTCAGAGCAGTGTGTGGGGCAGGCTTGCGAGAGAACGGGAGCAGAACTCCATGTTGAAGCGACGGGTGCATGAGCTCGAGGCTGGGGTGGAGGACAGTTTGGACCTTATCTTCATGTCCCGGTAAATTGGCGGAGTTTAATGAGATGACTTTGTGTTAGATTAGCTGCATTCTGGTATGGCGTTGTATATCTAGGGCATTGGTTGCGGTTTAACGCCTTCAAGCGTTGATCGCTCCTGTACAAAAATTTAATATCAAATACCTCAGTATTATTGTCATGATCTAGACTTGCAGGTATGTGAACGGCACAATAACAGAAAGGCCCCTGAGATCACATGACCTATATATTACGGGTAATCTCTTGGGATATACGCCATATCGGAAGAGCGAAGCGCTGGCCCGCCCGATCGCTAGTTGATTGGCAGTTACAGCATCTCTTTACGTCTGGTAGTCACTCTCTAATATCAAGCCACAGACTTACCGTGTAAGGGAGCAACTCCGGACGCCTTTAGGGGTGAATAGCAACGTTCTAGCCAATCAATCCTCAAGCCGGTTAAGTACTAGCCCAGAAAAGAGGTATACCAGGATTGACTCAGTTTAGCGCTATGTTCACCGACGTGAAGAGATGCTGTAGGACTCTTGTATAATCTCAAGTCTCGGCGATTTGTAGCTACAACCTCAAGTCTCGCTGATTTTGGGCTTGTACAACCTAGATCCTCGCCGATTTCAGGTTTGTGCTACCCCCGTCCACAATGTCGGCCCCTTCCTACCTATTGGCTTACTTCGCCACTTCCTGTATATTTTTCCTCCTGTCGCTCAATAAGTAGCTTCCTCACCTTCATCAATACATCAGTTTTTGGCTACACACCTTGTCTTGATTCGCTTTCCCCCTGACTGTCGCTCAACAACTTCAGGGCACTCCTTCCCAGCATTATTCTTCAAATTCATCAAACCTGATCCAGAATCCAAGTCTGTTCTTCTTCTTCGCCATAAGCTGGCGTAAAAGTGCAAGATGCTGCTGGTGGATCTCCCATTAGATATTTTACTGATGGTTATCGCGCAGGTAAGCTTTCATATCAACTCTTAAGATACAAATTAACGTTGAACGTGGACAGGTGAAGGACCTAAGAGACCTGAAGAACCTATGCGAAGTTTCGAAAACCCTCTATCCCCACGTTGTTAAGCACCTGTACAGATCAGTGACTATTAAGGCGGCGGATGAAAGGCTCCTGCATGAAATCGATGTGGGTTCGCTCTTGTCGACATGCTCTAAGCCGGCAGATGAAAATCTTCTTCGTCATACAAAAGCCGTTCATCTTACATCGGCATTTCAGGCTGATAGAGTGAAACGGTGTGACCACTCTCAAGATGATGACAGCTATGAAGGTATTCCCGGAGACGAAAATATTCCCGGAGACGAAGATATTCTCGGAGACGAAGATATTCTCGGAGACGAAGATATTCCCGGAGACGAGGATATCCATTTTAGATGCCTTGCTGAGACAGTCATGGCTCTGCTGAAGGGGTGCGTCGATGGAAATCTGCAGATTTTCACGTAAATTCCACTCTTCATTTACGTTTCCTTAGAACTAACAGCTACCAAAAGCTGGGGCTTGGGCTGCTACATCCCAAAAAGGATCTTGGGCTCTGATGGCTATCTTCCACTCCACCAAACCGGCATAGAATCCATACGCTTAATTATAGACGGTGGGTGCGAAGCCAATATCTTCAACGAGTGTCCTGTGGACCTTTCTGCTTTCAACAATCTCAAAAGCCGTCACTTCACGGGACTACGGACCAGATCGAACTTCAGAGCCGTTGGCGAGGCTATCTGCCTGAACTATATGCATCTGCTTAACCTTGAATTAGATCTCATCGCTGCGGATCTTGTTGACGATGACAGCGACCACGGAGACAATTTCTTCGCAAACCATGTCCTCGGTATCTCTCCGCATGACAGGAAGCGAGCTGCCACGCGCTTGAAGCACTTTCTTTGTCCGCGGTCGATTTTACCTTCGCTGAGGAGGCCATTGCATACGCTTTCGATCTAGGAACGCTTACATCATTGAAATTACGCTTCTGTCCGGGTTGGCAAGACTTCCTACAACACGCTGCTTCCAGGGCCAACTAATTCGACTCAAATCGCTAGGAGTTCAGTCGGACCTCGAAGCGGAGATGCATTACACGCGCACGATGTGTGACTTTCTGGAATCATTTGAGGGCCTTGAGAAACTCTTCATTTACTCTGCTGTGCGAGGCGGGACGTTGGCCATTTGGAACTCTTTCCTCCACCACAGATGCACACTCAAACGATTTTTCCATCTGCAAAGGGGCTGGGATAACAACGCCGTGGAATACGACTTCCCAGATCTGTCACTGAGTCCAAGGGATGTTGCCACGTTGGCCGAAGATCCATCGACAAACCCCTTTTGTGTTCTCGACTTAGAGTGTGTTGCCCTTGGGTGTGGGCCTAAGTATACGGTATGGCTCACCTCAATAGCCCCTCTCTTAAATCCAGGGATGGCTGACCCTCGTGACCGCAACCCATAGAAACTCCTTCTTTCCCCGCTTGCAGCAAAGCGCTCCTTACAGGTCATCTACATAAGGCAGCCTGCGAACGACGTCCGCTCAGGATGTCCCTGGCCCGACTCTCGAAGCATGGGACTACGGTATGCTCGTCCCGGCACCTGGTTATCCCCAGCCTCAGACCCTGATCTCCCTGAAACAAGTCTCGGAGTCGGTCCACTACATCTACACAAAGACCTCGGCTCTACCATCTCAATCGATAGCGACATCGAGCTCCCAAGGCTTGCGGCCGCCCTCAGTGACTTCGCGCAATGGGCATTCGGCCCCAATGGCTTCCCAACACTCCGTATCATTGCCTTCGACGACTTCTTTACGGAAAACGATATACGGACACCAATGTGCTTCTTTGTAGGAAGTCCGAGTGCGCTCGAGCTGGCGAGCGAGAGGAACCTGGAGTGCCTTTTCGTCGACTTTGGCGGGATGATTGGGAGCTAGTGGGTCTTCTGGAGAAGTATGCTAATGTTCTGGAAGCTTGTCCTGCAGAGCCGATTCTTGAGTTTTTTTGATACACACTTTAAGGGTGATAGGCGCTAGGGTCGTTGCTGGTCATAATCCCGAAAAACCCAGAGCAGTCGCAGTGCATCCTTCTTCTTCCCTTTCCTTCGCTGCAAGCAACCTTAAAAGTTTCATTGTGTTTCAAGTCACCGTAAACCTGAGAAGGCAGGGGCAGCTGCTGATCGTCCGCTTCATCCTTTCATTGCTTTAATCCATTTAGCTTTTCAGTCTAAAGAAGTTTAGCATTTGTTGAAGTAACTGGAAGTAGTCTATAGCAACATCAATCCTCGAATGCTCTTCTTTCTTGGATCGAGAGGGTGCATATCCGGCCCCAGCAAGCAGTGTGTTCTACATCTTCTTTGTGAAGTACGAAATGATTGAACATGTTACTTAAAGTAGATATTGTTGCATTTCTCGTAAATGAAACCTGAAACCTGCTAGAAGAGAATATTTGGCCGATATTGAAATGGCACACCTGGTTGACGTATGTTCGAGCCTAACTGCCTGGTCTGTGTGAGCAAACCGCATCAGCGATGTGAATCTTGAGTCTCTCAGAATGGCTCTAGTATCAAATTCTATGCTGGAATGATGTTGTTGCTGTTGAAGGTTTGAAGAGCTTGATGCAAAGGGGGTCACCTGTCAGTCACGAGCTGGATGCGGCTATATGAGACTAGACCGAAAAGGTGCAAGTGGCACATGTCTTGGCGGTGGTGAACATCAACGAGTTCGCGCCTCATCGCCGCCGCGGACGTCGTCATCTCTAACCTTCTACCGCCACGACAGACGTCCTGGACAGCACCTCTAACACGCGAGACGACATATCCTCCCCCGTAGCTCACCTCGAGAGGCCGCTCCCGGCTCTACCACTGCGCGGACACCATACCCGCCACCCGAATCCTCCTCCAGGCATCCGATAAGCTCGCCCACCATGAAGCCTGTTGTCTCTGCCATGAATGCATGGACATGGTACGCCCACCCTCCTCGGAGTAGCTAAAGAAATCGTACTAACGAGCAAACAGCATTGTCGTGTCCATCTTCGCCATCGTTATCCTTTCCGTCATCGGCGCGCTCTTTAAGGTACGCCGGCCCAGCTTCTTCACCTCTACCTCGACCTCCGCTCGGACTGCTGGATTGGGACCGTAACTAACGGGGACACCAGACAAACAACCACACAATGATGGGCTCAACCAAGGACCCCGAAGACGGAGGTGCCGTTGCCGCGGCTGTGTTCGGCGCGGTGGCCATATATGCGGTATGGTTACTCCTAGCCCGTGGAAAATCCCACCGGCCGGAGAGGATTTTGGGATAACGAACGCTAATACGACAATACAGGCATTCGTCATATTCTGCGGCAGTCAAGCATGGCTACACATGCGCGAGAGCAGGCGGGGCGCCATATCTCTATCATGATCCAATCCAACCCACCACGACCCTCCTTTCACATAACACACCATCCGAACACCCAGATACCAATGCGTCTGTCAGAACTCTAGCTATAGGATACGGAAAGGCGTTGATGGCGCCTGCAGGATTGTAGATATCTTCAATGCAGACGACTTCAAGTCATGCGCATGAGTTTTGCTTTTTAGCGGCTTTGGCTAAGCTAACAAACATATTTACATTTACATCATGTCATTTGCCTCTATATTCATAACAGAATATGTCTGCAGAGATTGTACGGCGTGCCATTTTCAACTTCTAATCGTTTAGGGGATGTGCTCATGGCTTATCGTCAAATACCCTAGCTGCGTCTTTTTGGGGACGGCTGATTAGTTGCACTGCCTGCTCTGCTCCTGCGAATGGTATCTACGCAACCAACGGCTCTTGCACTCGCATCAATGAAAATATTGATACATAGATTCCAGCTTCAAATATCTACAACGAGAAATATAGGGTGACCCTAGTCCGCCTTGTTCGCAAGTATGCCGGTTAACGACCCTGCACATACTGCCGGGAACAACGCGGTCTACGCAGCTGGACGGCTATTGCAACGGCTTTCGACACCCAACAAGTACAGTCTTTCCGAGAACTTGCTCCACGATTTTGGACTTGATTGCTGATGATCGCGGCAGTGCTGAGCAGATATTCCGAGTCGCACTACACAACATAGCCAAAAGTAACAAAGACCATCGACTACGCTATAGATTCGAGTCCTCATCCAGCGGAAGACCATGCCCTCCCTCCGACTTCGGCTTGTGATTTGGATTCTCATAACCCCAATACTCATAGTACTGATCAGCCGCCGGGTGTTGCTTAATGCCCGGCTTAATGCTCTCGTCCATTTGCATGACCTTGACGTATTTGACCATATCAATAGTATTTTCCTTCCGCCAATCGGTAAACTTGTCGAAGTTGACGCACTTTTTGTTGATCGACATGTCCGGGAAGGGATACTCCTGCGTCTCAACCCAGTGCAGCGGGATGAGATCCAAATTTGCGTGGCACTGTATCCCCTGCAGCAGGATGTCGATACAGTGGTTGATGTGTATCTCGCGCTGCTTGATCGTGTGGGCCCGGGCCATGCTCAGGTTGTAGTAGTCCCCATACGCGACGTGCCGCAAGGAGTTCAGGCAATGGATCTGGTGGTATACGTCGAAGATGGCGGCGTACGCGTCGTCGCCCAGGCCCCACACGTCGTTTTCCAGCTTGGCTACTGTCGACGGGTCCGTTCCCATCTTGATGAGCTCGTCGCGAGTCACTGGGTACACGCGGGTTAACTCCCATTCGTCCCAGATGGCGTCGGCCTCGGGGTTGGGCTGCTGACGCGCGATAGAACCGCCCTCTTTCGGCCTGTAGAACGTTCCGTTGATCTTCTTGAGTGTCGGATCAAGGTCAAATCTGTCGTAGACCGGGCTATAGGGCGCGGCCCGGTGATAGTCGGCGTTGAGTACGTTGGAATTTCGATTGTAGAACCATGTTGCAAACAGCGTGAGTGAGAGGAGCAGGACGAATGCGTTAAGGACCGTTAGGAGCACCAGCACCCTCCGACTTGGTTTCGTTCGGTCGCCATCTCGAGCCGGAGCACCATTCAGAAAGCCTTTTGTCTCGTCGTCGTCTATTTCGGATGAGGAATCGCGGTTTTCGCCTGACGCTAACGGCTTGTATTGGAAGTGTTTCAGGAAACTCATCGTGAAGCGTGAAGTACGAGACCAGTCATTAGTTTCGAAACAAATTCTGGGATTACTTGGTACATACAGCAGCCGACCAACTCCCGGGTCATCGGATACTGATTTGCGTTGACGTCAACCGCATTCGTATTCGGTGCTTGGGTGGCCTGATGGTGAATATGCAGTGGTGGTACTACCTTCCTCGAAGGGAATATGCTTGAAATCCTGCCAGTTTCACACGCAATAATCGTACATCGACGCTTAAACCGATAAAGTCTTCGCCCCCGCAGTAACCTGCAATGCGATCTGGGCATGGAAGTGTCTCGAATAGATCTTCGAGAACTTCGAGAACTCTGACCAGAATTTCTGAAGCGCGAACATTTGCGAACTGAATGTGAAAATTGGGATATCCATGATTGGTGTTTGGGTGTGACGTGCAAAAGAGAACTGTGCATTTACCTCTAAACTCTTACTTCTCAAGCAAGCCGTCTTCATCAAGCAAACCATTTCATCGAGCAAAGCTGGCTTCACATTCACCGGCCAGTCCCGGAGAATAATTGGGGACTGTGATTGGTGCATTTGGAATATAGATTACTCTCGTGTAAGACCCACCATGTACAACACTTGCCCCGGGTACGACGCTATTCTTGGCAGACGCGAATAGGCAAGCGATTGACGTGCAGATAAGCGTTGGTCCGTCCGCGGCCAATCCCTTCGAGAAGCTTTGTTGGTTATGCTCCGGGGTAGATCCGTCCTGCCTCATTAGGCCGATGGCGACACGATCTTGGGACGGATCCCAGGACCAGTCATTGGGGCAGTTAGCAACGCGATGTAACGTGTTTTACGATAACGCCTTTATTCAAAGGAATTAGGAAGAATAGCGCCGTGCCTTGGATCAGCTTCGTAATGCCAATGTTTGCCAATGTTTGCCAATGTTCGCCACGGTTGCATCTTTATGATATAAAGGGCCTCGCATTCTACCATCCAAGTCCATATCACATCAGCCTACAATCACTTCGACTCATCAAACAACCAAACCCCAAATCCCCCAATCCACCAACATGCGTTTCTCCGGCATTGCCTTCGCCCTCACGGCCTTCCTCTCGGCCTTCGTCGCCGCCGCGCCCACCGCCAACAACGACATCGCTAAGCGTCTGCCTACTCCCGAGGAGTTCGAGGCTCTGGCCCCGGAACAGAAGAGGAAGGTCTACACTGCCTGGTACCGTGCTACCAACATCCTCCCTACCTCCGATGACGTTTAGATACATTCAGGTGTAAGTATAAGCATACAACTCTCACCCAGCTAGTGCATATACTCACTTTCAAATAGCTGACCTGTATTGGTGCCAATGCGCGTTGCCGCCTCTTCGAGAATTCATCAAGGCCACTGCGGGGTTATCTAAGGACTGTGCAAACTGAAGGATCTTTTTAATCAAAAAAGTCTTAGTACCGATCCGCTTCGCGGCATTTTCTATAACTATGCATCGCAAGCTATAATGCACCTAAACACTATACCCATTGCTTGATGCTTGCCGAGTGTGAAATGTGCCTGCTTTTAGCCTGCCGTACCGCATGCTGTATTACTGGCTGTTCTCATCCCCCCTTCACAATTAGTCGCTCCCACCAAGCACCTCCTCCGCGGTCCTCCCTGTAAACTCATCACACCTCAACGCCCAATCATTCGGCAGCGTAACCCACTTGGCTTTCTCCTTCAGAAAGATATGGCTCCCAATCTCCGGTAATTCACACCTCAGACTCGCCTCATCAATACTCCCCATGCTCACGCTCGTTTCCTCTGGATTTCTCTTATAGACCATGAAAAGAGGTGTGCCACAGGCATTGCAGAATTGGCGCTCTGCAGCGTTGGAGAGGTTGAGGGTGTGCAAGGTGGTTGAGGCTTGAGCGGAGCTTGATTTTGGGGCGGTGATGGTGATGGTGAGGGCGTCGGTATGGACCTGGGCCCAGGGGATGCAACCGGAGCCGGAGAGTTGGCGGCAGGCGGCGCAGTAGCAGCAGCATGCTGCTGAAGGAGCAGTCGTGCTGGTGTAGGTAATGCTACCGCACCGGCAGCCTCCCGAGAAGGCTACTTTGGAGTGGATGGGTAAGGCTTTGAATTCTGATTTGGGTTCTATCCACACAGTATGGTTAGCTTTGATAGGAATTATTCAAGGTAAGCTGGTGATTTAGGGAAGCGGTTTCACTTTCTCATCTTGAAATACCTGGAAAGGCCATATGGTATTGCAAATCACTAACCTTCAACATCCTTCCTCCCAATCCCCAAAAACACCGTGTCCACCTCGTCCACCCACCCATTTACCGCCTGTTTCTCCCATTCCTCCTTAAACAACCTTTTCGCCTCCGCCCTCTTCGCCTCACTCTCCTTAAACCCCCTACAAATCTCCTTATCAATTCCCTCCTCAAACAGCCTATCCGCCTCCTCAACTCCATACTTCTTATCCCCCTGCCCGCTCTGATTCTCCACGACCACCATCTCCTTTACCTCAACCCCACACTTCCGCATCACCTCCTCCAGCGACTCCGGGCCCTTCATCCACATGCGGTTATACAGCATAAACGCCCCCATCCTTCTCGCCGTCTTCTCCACGGTCCCGCTATACGCCAGATTCTGCGGATGCGTGACATCCAACGCCACGAACCCCCCCGGCTTCAGGTACTGCACCCAATGCCCCAACGCCGCCACCGGGTCCTGGAAAAGCACAAACATGCTCGCGCCCGTGATCCCGTCGAATCTCCCCTTCATCCCCGCCAGCTCCTTGATTCCGTCCAGGTCGGTCACGTCGTGCTCGTATAATGCCACGTTCGCGTATTTCTCTGGCTCTGCGGCGAGTTTTGCACGCGCGACGGCGAGCATGCCGGGCGTGACGTCTATGCCTACGACGCGCCCGCTGGGCCCAACGGCGGCGGCGAGTTGGTAGGTGAGGAGGCCGGTGCCGCAGGCTAGATCGAGGATTTTGAGCCCCGGGGAGAGGTGGGGGGATATGTGGGAGAAGAGGCGGACGGTGAAGGAGGGGTGGTAGGATGAGTCATAGATAGGAGCACGGTGGGTGTAGAGGCGGATTGCGGAGGCGGATTGGGTTTCTGGGGTAGTTTCTGCCATGCTGGATGGAAATGGAGGATTGGTTTTTGATGGAAGTGTGAGATTGACAGAGTAATGGGAAGAACTAGGACTGGTAGACTGGGCAATTTTGAAGAAATGGGGGAGTTTTGATGAGTGGAAAACTATGAGAGCAAGAGAAGGGGAGAGACTTTATTTGAACAGTAGCTCGGCTTTGAGAAATCAGGTAACGGGTTTGACGGGTTCGATGATGGATTGGCCCCCGCGGGGTGCTCTTGAATTAGCGAATGAGTCCGCTGAGTAACCTCACGATAGCTTAGTCGGATTGCTAGATGCGGCAAGCCTGCGGTGACTCTTCTCAGGCTGAGGGTTGATGAAATGCAGGGTGGATCAGCCGGGTTGCCGATGACGTGGGTGTCGATCTGCGGAGTAGGACAGCCTTGAAGCTTCCTGTCTTCGAGCAGTTCACAACTTCTGATGAGACACTTGGAAAGGAATAGTGTCTCGTTGTCGAGGCTGATGGAGATGGAGGCCGATATGTCTGACGTTGAAAGAAACTGGAAGCCTTGGAGGTGATAAAACTCGCCCACCAATCAGCGGCGTGTGACGACGACGCCACCGAAAAGCCTTTATTTCAACCTCGGAGTCATGGTAACATTTCGTATCCATTTATGGCAGAATGCTATTAGACCGCTAAGTCACGAAAGCCAAGTCCTCGAATGAATCGCATTATCGAACCTTCAAAAGCGAATGTCTAATTTCTCCCCATCTCTACATGCTACAACAACCTCCCCATCCAAAATTCCAAGCGTGTATGCCTCAACAACGAACTGATAGCAGTCCACCTTTATTCTTAGTATAGCCGACATAACAGAACCGAATGGACGACACAGATTTCTCCTTTCCGCAAGATGGCAGGGCTAAATCCAAATATTCAATCACGGGTGAAGAGCAACTTCCGCCAAACTCGCGCCTCCTAAACAGCCTCAACATGGCGATACCGATTGCCTTCAATCGTTCTCAGTGGCAAGTAAGAGGCTACGTGTTTCTCACAGAATCCACCGCTGAAGAAGCCGTCTGGCTCTAATGTCAATGAATGAGTGCCTCGAATGTCGTGGACATAAGCTCCGAGTTTAGCGAAGGGTTGAGCCAAATTATCTTTAGCATGTACCCGATCCATGCAATCCTCTAGAGGGAGTTCGATCTGCAAGATTGATGTGTTGGATGAAATCTGATGGGAGGTGGAATGCGAGAAGATGCATGTGACCACCACATCTTAATGTGTCAACGAAGAACAAATTCTTCCTTTGTCATGCCTTCGTCGATGTTCTCTCCAATGCAGCAGCCAACTCGCCTCCACTCACTAGCTATCTCTTCAACAACTAGGTAAATTGTCTTTGGCTCCACCGACTCGATATAATTTGAACCTCTTTCTTGGGGAGGTTCGCACCATTCGGGCCATGCGCACTGATTGATCTTGATCATCTTCCAATAGGGATTCCGCACTATACACTCTCCAAAGCTGAGGGAGACTTCAAGAAGGGATTCCGAAGAGTCCATATGAAACGGGAAGGTGTGTTCATTCTCCCCAATTCGAATGTGAATGGCCCGCTGAAGCTCTGGGTAGTCATAAGAACGTCTCAACATCCTGATAATGGTGAGCTTGGTTGTGTTTATGGAGAAGGCGCTTATTATGAGCTGCGGATGCACAATGTCTTCTGGAACTACGTTCCTATCTCTAAGGCGCCACATATCAGCTACGGAATCCCATGATGTAGCGAGACTCTTGCTGAAGATAGAGATCTGGACATTACAGTCCTTGTTGGCTTGAAATAAGTCAGGCGATTCACTGGGTCCATCTGGATCCTGGAAGAACTTGACAGACACTTTTTTCATGCTGGCCCAGGACCAGGTTGGTGACTGTCTGCGCCGATCCGAAGTGGATACTTTTCTGGTATACCAACAAAGTCCTTTCAGGAACGCTGTAGTAACAAGAAAAGTTGCTTCGAGCTCGTCTTTCGAATTTTCGACATCTTTGCAAAGAATGTGTCCCTGTCGAGGAATGAACGGAATTCCCTAGAAGGAGTCGAAGGGAGCTCGAACTAGAAGGCCTCGGAACGCATTCAAAGCATCCGAGTCGTATGCGAGGGAACGAAGCAGATACATCCGAATATAAGACTCTAGAAGTTGTAAGGGGGACTCAGGTGCTTGATGCAATTTCGTAGCGTTGGCGGTGGATAGGTCGAAGAGGTTGCGTAAAGTTATTTCTTGTGATCTAGGATCCCGAATGGCCGGCATAGTAGGAAGTGTCTCGGTGCGTAGTGTAGTTTTGCAGAGGAAAAATGTTTGTGAATAGGAGAAAATTAGGCACCGGGAAGAGAGCAGCGCTTCCTGCAAGGTCCACCCCCGAGTCGCCCATATACTTGTCCGGAGCTGGTGAGTTATATCTGGAAGCGTTGACAATAAGACACGGCTCCCGCTAATTGAAGCTGTAGGCTGCCTAGCTCGGGTTCGAGCATGAAGCGAATTAGTTCCGCTGCCAACAATCCCATACCGATTGTTTTTGCCTGCAGCTGCAACCATAATAATAGCAGCACCCTCATATATTCAATGCATCATCCCAATTATCTTGTGTTTTTCCTCTTAATTGTCTTGATTGATACAGTATTGATCTACCCATAGGAAGCGAAACCCTTAGGAAGCGAAACCCTAAAGCCCCGGTTACCACTACTACATCCTTAATAGTCCTAGGAGCATGTTGAATGCGGAAGCTGGGTCCACTTCTTCTGGGTTTCATCAAATAAGTTGACAAGCGAGAGCGTGAAAGTGCGCCCCATACATAGCTCAGAGCAACGTAATCGGACTCCTGCGGCTTCTCCACTAATAGCCCCGAGTGGCAGTCGATGACTCTCAGACTTGCAATTTCCTCAGACGTCTAGGTCTTGGCACGACATTCTGCGTGTTCGTTGCGGCAGGGATCGATCCAGCGCTTTGCTTTTTCATAATCAAATCTTCTTCGATCTAGTACGCTTGCCAGGAAAGGCATATGGCATTTCGGATGAGGCGCTCCAGCGGCTTGCATGATAATGCCATCTCGACGATGATGTGAGAACTCTAAATTCATGCGCTTGTACTGTTTCTAGTCAGGTCAAATGTGACGGCTAAGCCCATGGCGAATCGTTCCGGATGATAGTAGATCGCATTCTCTATTTCAACTTGATTCAGAAGATTGACCGCGTAAATCGCGAAAAAGCCATGAGGGATGACATCGGAATAACACTTAGGGTCCCAGTTGCGTGGATAACCAGCTATCTTTTTTCGAATTGCGTGCGCCAACAACCTGCACATAGCGCATCGTTGGTAGCATTTCCATGTAGAAAAGTCACTTATGTGACGTATATCCACCCGTTGGACAAAATCGTCGGGTTCGAAAATGACATCAAATTTCTTGTCATAGTGCTCGCAGCTAGGACAGAGATAATATTGCGAATTTTTTCCGCATCTTAGCAGTCGTCTGACATGGATGGTGATTTGTGTGAGTGATCGCTTTTGTTCAGACTTTCTTCTTTGATCTGGAAAATACGCAGTTGGGAGAGTCTCTTTGGAATGTATTTTCTCCCAGTAAAGGTGTGCCGTTAGATATCGATTTTTTGCTGCGAGAGTGTTTCTTACGTTACTTCCTCCGCTATGATCAGACTCAGATGATGATGCCATGGGTATAAAGCTAACTAAATGAGTTATGAATGAAGATGGGAGAGAGAGAATTTTACATTAAGCGAGTTTAGAGCTCAAACCGAGAGACTAGAACGAGCATAGGAGGTTTACGTTCGCGTTGATGATGATTAGGACCTGTTTAGTGTTGGAGATACTGCTGCCTACGAGATCGTCTGGGAGTAGGCAGCGAAGGAACGCCGCAATCGTGAGCAAATGGTTCCCCTCAAAGGTTGTTCCTATCTAGGAGAAACTCAAGCGGGAGTAAAAGCTGCGCAAGTTTCTTTTCAATAAAAGAGTGGGTGTAGGATCTCCGCAAGCTGAAGTGATGAGACGACGTTCCAAAACTTGGCGAGCTCAGCTCCACCAGCAAAAGCAAAGTATTCTACGGGTGTTTATACAGTCACATAAATGAGTACCTAGCCTATACGACGAGCCATTGCCATGCCGTTTAGTTTAGTCTCTATGCCAGCTGATATAGCATAGTGACGTAATTTGTTAGTATTACGTGACATACGTATCTCTAGAACGTTAGCCGTGTCCCTATCTAGCTCTGGGGCTCAAAAAAAAACGAGTCCTTGGTAAATGTGTCAGCGTCAAATTAGCCAAATAGCTAAAAGATATTCCTAGAAAAACTAGAGTGCAAATCTCAGGGTTCCATGGTGTTTCGTTGCGGTGCTAGGAATATGAGCAGATCGACGCTGTCCATAAAACTCGTGATTTAGCTCGACATAGCTCCCGCAGCGTCGCGTTTCAGGTTTTCAGACACTCTTATAAGCGATGAGTTGTAGAATCCGCCTCCGAATAAACCGTTCAGCTGCAGTGTTAATGAATGAGTGTCTTGATTGCCTTGGCCATAAGCTCCAAGGGCCCTACTATAACAAACTTTCAAACCCTCCTCTTACAGCAATGCGCGCATATGTAAGACGCAGCCTTTTCTCCATCTTCTGCCTTCGATCCCAACTCTCTTCACCATCGTCCAACCCACCAAACCACACTGCCCCACCCCACATTAATCCCCAAATGAAAAGCCAGGCCCCACGCCATCGCGTACAGATACTTCGGACTAAACACCGTCCAGATAAATAAATGCGTGCGAAGCACCGTGCAAGCGACCTGCACTGCCAGCAAACCCGTAGCCGTAAATAGCGTCAAGAGGGCTAGATGGTTGAAGAACAATCTCTCTTCCCCGCTCGCATTTTCCCCCACCTTCTCATTCTTATTAGGCGTCGAGGTTGCAACAGCTAAACTATGCAACTGCTGGCGCTCAGCAGCGACCCATGATTTGATTTTCTTGTCTTGTTGTTCGTGAGTCTGACTAGCTTCGGCGATGTCGCTATCGTGAACCGAGAGGAGTAGAGTCCCGTAGCTGGCCCAGTAGATTGGCCCTGCCCAATTTGAGGCGAAGAGCATGAAGCCGACGGCGAGGACGTTGTAACCCGAGACGCCGTTGTAAGCGTTTGAGAGGTCAATGGAGGAGATGGCGTTGCTATTCCCAAGGGCAAAGAAAGAGACGTGGGAGAGAACAAGAGTGGAAAGCGTTATCTGGGTGGGTGTGAGGCCGAGGTGTGCTAGACAGAAGTCATATCAGTGAATCGGACGTGATGATTGAAGAGCAGTCCCGTGGAAAAAAAGATCGCCTTACCGAGGAAGAAAAGCATCGCGCGGAAGAGGAGGTAAAGGGGGATGTTTTGTGCTCGAGTTTGAGTAATTAGGAAGAGGCTTAGGAAGTCGAATAGAGAGGCAGCGAGACCTATTTCATGTAAGCCTTGAAAATACGTGCACATATTGATACAGAACAACTAACTCCCACTTCCCCGTGCACCCTTCCTCGCCCTCGATTTTCTCCACTCGTTGATAGTAAGCCAGAGAAGGCTTCCTCCGATCCCCCAGAATATGGCTCTTGAGATCGCAACGAGGGACAAACTGTCCACCCAGTCTAGTAACGCGCTAGTCATCCCCTCAACTAGCTCGGGCGCATCTTTCGCTGTGAAACCAAGCTTGAAGAGGAAAGCTGTGAATCCTAGTGGCATCATCACAAGAGCGCCAATTAACTTATGGGCTTCGGAAATGCCGTTTTCAGAGTCATCTTCGGATTCGGAGACAGATCTTGCTACTTGTCGAGATAAGCGAAGCGTGGTCGCGAGATATGTTGCGCCGATGAGACTCCATAGCATCAACGGGTTGTTGAGGAAGTCGCTGTGAACGATGTCAGGCGCGCCGGCGTACTTTTGGCCTGTCTGGTTCCAGCGGCGCATAATGCGGACACATATGAGTAGCATGAGTGCCGGGTGCAGGGCGAAGGACTCTTGCTCTTTCTTTCGGGATCTAACATATGGTTGGCTCAATATGTTCGATTCAAATCGAGAATAGCTGGCTGCTGCTTACCTATAGATAAAGAGGTAGAAGAACCAGGCCGAGGTAGCCCAATACCAGAAGTGTTGCTCTTCTTCCACATAGCTGCTCGCGAACATCATGATGCCATATAGTAGTACGTAAAGGGCGAAGAAAACACCGGTCGAGTTGGGCTTAGACAATGACCTCATCATCGAAAGAAGTGTGAGGACGACGGAGACGGACGCAATAGAGCATCCTATGATAAGGCGCGAGACGTCGTAGTTGCTGGCGGTGCTGCTCATTACATCTTGTGCCTTTCTGCAGAACTGGAGCTAGTTAGCCTATCATATCTTGCGCATAGTGGTTCAAAGCCTCGAATAATTGGGACGATGCAGACTCAAACGTACTTCGAGGAGATGATTGAGGCCCACATCGGCAATGAATTCCTCGTTGTATGCTGCCACAATTTGAAGGATTCTTTTCCAATCGCACGCTAGCTCATCGCCGGTCGATAGGCCAGTGCAAGCTGACAGAAAAACGCTCGGGTCATGCTCAAAATCAGAGCTGGGGAAAGTGGCCTTGACTATAGTATTGATCTGTCTTGCGTTGCCAAGGAGAAGTTGAGCGCGATCGACGCCTGAGGTTCTTTATTTTAGTGACCTAAACTCTGTGAACATATAGATGGGGAGAGCTTTTACCTTTATCCCAGAACTGCAAGAGGTCGGGGATGAAGACTCCTAGATTATTCAGAGGAACAGGGAATCCGAGCAATCCAGCTAAGGTCGGAGCAATATCAGATTGCTCAACCTTAGTGTAGTAGTCAAAGTCCTGGCTTGGCGTCGTCGGACATTCTACTCCAGGTGTAATCATCTTCAACTTGGGTGATATGAAGACCAAAGCAGGTGATGTTTCCCCAGGGGCAGATCCGCCATGATTGCCGCCATCGTTCATACCATGATCTCCGGCGAGGACGAATAGAGCGTTTTCAAGGTGAGTCTCACCTTCAATAGCTTCGTAGATTTGCTGGACTATTCCGTCCATTTCGATTTGCTTTGGGATCATATTGGGACTGGCCTGTGTTAGCTCCATGCCGCCTGGCAGAGGACGTGCTGAAATACCTGTTAGGACCGGCCTTGTGTCCAATATGGTCAAGTCCTAGGTAGTGCATGATCATAGCATTCCAATCACTATTCAGAAGTTCTCCGGGGACATGCCGGGTCACATTGTTGTCAACCTCTGTAAAGTCCTGCCATTGGTGTCTCAGTTCTACGGCTCTACATACACGGGGATTGCCGCAAGCGCCACTGACCGAAACGAAAAAGCTCGACGTCCCATCGGCGCGGCTAAAAGTGTCTGGAAACAGCTTGAGCCAGGTGTCATCGCCGTACATGACTAGTTTTCCGCCCTCCTTTGCCTTCAATTGGGCCAGCCAGGTGTCTTGGTGTGCGAGAGTAGACGTCGTGTCGGACTCGGCGAAGTTGAGGATCACGTCTAGGAAGGACGGTATAGAGCCAGTCGTGATGGCCTTCACGCGAGGCATGGTAATGGTGGGAGAGGTGGCATGGGCGGTGAAGGGGATGGCTGCGCCAGAAGAAATGAGACTGCGTTCAATTAGCTTGGGGAATATAGAGCTGTAGATTGAAGGCATACCTTTGAGTGAACTTGAATCCTGACTTCTCTGAATACACGAAATCACTGCATATTGTCAGCACTAGGAGCTCGAATGACCTTGAACGGTAGGCACCTTCGAAGAGCATCAACGACCATGAAGATGACCTTGTCGAACGGAGCCTCTGGTGGCGCTCCATATCTAGTGTCCTCATATTTTGCAAGACCGGGTAAAAAGGGCTTATAGGGAAAGAAAGCCGTAGCAAATATTAGAATAGACGTAGGAAGAATTAGGTTCGCTGCTGTGAGAAACAGCGAGTCTGCGCGGACTCCCATCTTAGCGCTTGAAGACGGAGGATTTTGCTACACAACAATCGGCATTGTGGTGATTTTTATGGGGTCGTTAAGCTTCCAGAGCATTGAGGTGCCATGGGGAACACGGCGTCGCGGACGTTGGGTTTCGCGTTTGAAGTTCATCAGGGTAGCTGTATGTTTCGAAATCTCAAAGGGGCTAGGCCGAGCATTAGTCACAAATATTTCACTATTCAACTTCTTTGCTCAACGCTGTATGGATATCATTTGCTCCCGAGGTCGCTGAATTTGGGAGACTTTTAGGTAATGAATTAATCCGGAGCCGCTTCACAGTCAGGCCTAGCCAGCCATTATCAAGAGAACCTGGTCGATAACATCCTAGGATCACTGTCCCCATGTGACCAACCATCCAGCAATGCAACCAATTCCGTGTAGCCGAAGGCATGCCAATAGCAGAATGTAAGAAGAGATCAGTATGGCTGTGTCTCCCTCTTCAGCCAGTCTAAAGTAAGGCTATCGCCCTTGAAGAATTCCTTCGTCTTCTCGAAAACTTCCGTGTGGTACTCGTTGAGGAACGCCTTCTCTTCGGCTGTCAAGAGCGACGTATCAATGAGCTTTCTGCAGTGTGGCACCAGTGTTACGTGCTCAAAGCCAAGATAAGGCTTGTCTCCGAACTTGAATTTGGTCTCGACCTCTTTCACCATGATCATGTCTGCGAATGTTAGGCACATTTAGCTGCTGCGCAGTTGGGTTGCTACACTTACTTTCAATTCGGATTCCGAATTTTCCATCCTCATAATATCCGGGCTCTAGGAAGAGTCAGTAACAATGTCATGACATTCTATCTGTGTGTATAGACGTACCATCGGAGATGACATTGCCAATAGAGAGTGGGACTTCTGAGAACTGGAGTCGGGTACCGATGCCGATGGGGCCCTCATGCACGTTCTAGGATTTGTTAGCTACATTTCGACGGCTCGACAGCGGAGTAAGTACTAAGAATGATCCAACTCCATGGCCAGTTCCGTGCCTGTAGTCCAGGCCCTCTGCCCAAAGGAATTGACGAGCCATGGTGTCCAGTGCGAAGCCAGTTGTACCCTTTGGAAATCTGACCCGCTCCAGAGCGATGTTGCCCTTCAAGACAAGGGTATAGGCCGTCCGTTCGATTTCGGTAGGCTCTCCGAAGTGAAGCGTTCGTGTCGTGTCCGTTGTACCATCTTGATACTGAGCACCGGAATCGCAAAGATAGACTTCCTTGGGGTCGATGACTGAGCAATTTCCCTTCATTGGCTTGTAATGAATCACGGCAGCGTTGGGTCCGGTGGATGAGATGGTGTCGAATGAAAGGCCAACAAAGCGATCGTGTTTCCTGCGTAGTTGTTAGCCTTGAGTAATCTGAACCAAACATTGCACATACGATCTGATGGCCTCAAGTTTGTCGGCACCATCAACTTCATCGAGTTTCGCGCTCTTGGTGATTAGTTGATCTTCCAACCAGGCGAAGTACTCAATCAGTGCTGCGCCGTCTCGAACATGACAGGCCCTCATTCCCTCCAGTTCGACTTCATTCTTCACAGCTTTAGCATCGCCAATGGGGCTTCGAACTTCATCAACCTTGTCGGCGCCACCTAGACTCTGGTTCAGCGCCCATGACGCTCTCGTTGAGACTAGGAACTTCTTTGGTGTGGTTTCTACGCCTTTCGTTTGGGTCAACTCGGTGCTCAGGGCTTCAATATCACCAAATACGGAGTCGTAGGGTCTGATAGTGACGGCGTCGCCAAGATGCGACTTAACTTCTGGTGATAATTTGCTGTCGTCTACGTAGAGAGTAGCAGCCGTCGGGGTAATGACGGCGTAGGAGAAGAAGACGGGGTTGTAGGGTATACTGTTTTAATCAGCCTTGGACTATTCTGGATGAAGGGAGAGGCCGTACTCGTTGCCCCGCAGATTGTACAGCCATGCAATCTCATCGAGCATAGCTAGTATGGCCCGTCAGTATTTTAGAAACCCAGAGGGCACATCCACACATACAGACAACGAAGCCTAGGCTCTTGCGCTTCTCAAGCTCTTTGCGGAGCTCTTCAAATTTGTCCTCAAACTTCTTTCCTGAGTACTCGAATGGCTGGATCTTGACCGGCTCCATTGGCCGGGACGGCTTGGCCTTACCCCATACCAGATCGACCAGATTCTCTTTCACTGGCTTTAGTTCTGCACCGCCCTTCTTTTTTATTTTCTCTAACAGTTTGCGAGCATCGGCTGTTGAAGGTTAGCCACCTCAAAGCTCTTGTCCCGAGATCGCGTGAGCACTTGCATCCAGTGATGACGCTGGGATCCACGCCCACAGTTTTGCCGCCTTCAGACTGTTCTGCAGTCCTGTAGAGATCAGCCTCCTCCCTTCGGCATCAGAGGTCCAGCATAGTACCATTCCTGCCAGGTCGGCACGTCCTGCAGTCCCTGCTTTAGCAGCTCCCAGTTGGTGTCTAATTGTTTCTCGGCTTGGTTGAAGTATCGGCCATCGGTTGCAAGCGATGCCTTCTCCAAGGTCACCACGGCGGTTCCGGCAGACCCAGAGAAACCGCTGATGTATTCTGATCTCGATGAGCTTCTGAGCGGCTATTCGCGGGGTAGAGCAAGGCTGACCTCTGCGCGCATCACACGGTGCAATGTATTCCGACTGGTGGGAGTCTTCGGAGGGTACAACTGGGCACAGGTTAGAATGTTCCCCGCAATCACGAGAAGTTCCGTACTGTAGATGTCGAGCTTGTGGTCCTTCATGAAGCCCCGCAGCTGCGAGAGCCGCTCGGTGGTATTGACGGTCTCCATTTCCGTAGCGGTGTCTTGGAAGAATGGCGGGGTGGAGTGGAAGTGTCGGGTGAAGGTTGATAGGAAAATTGTGCTGGGACTGGCGACTGCATAGGTCCGGAGGCAATTACGTGACGGACGCGCGAAGAAGCGCAGTAGCACCATCAGAGTAGCTTCGAGGAGACGCGGGCAAGGTCAGAGGACTGCATTGCATGAGAGACAAACGATAGCCGCTGCGGTCAGCCTGTCATTGGCGAGCACGCCCGCGCCCGCAGAGGCCCCAGAGCCTGTCCGGCCTCATTTTTATCGTCCCGCCCTGGACCAGACGACACGACACCCTGACGCCTGCAGCGAGTCGGCCGCTGCTGCAAAAGCAAACCCTTCTAGAACCCCGCGCGGGTGTTTGCCCAGGTGCTCTGTCCCGCCGCCAAGCTCTGGGTCCGCTTCCGGCAGCTGCAGCCAGCCGACGGAGATCCACCTGCATTCACACTTCTTAACCACCACAATCAATACTAACTCAGTAAGACGCGCACGTGAGCTGAGCCCCCATCTCGAGCTCTCTTCACTGGACGCGTAGGAGCTGCTCGCCTCTGCCTTCTGCGCGAGCCCAAGACAGAGATATCGGTCTTTACAGGAAAGTCATCGCGCCACGTAGATTTTGCGGCCTCTCAGGATCAGGCCGCCATCTTCACCCTCATTTCGCTAAACATCTCCGCATTCATTTGTCAAGAAGATTCGAGTGCTTCCTCTTCCGCTTCAAAAGTTCCACAAGTCTTCCTTTAGAGGCTGGTGGCTTCCACCCCTCTCAAAGGTAAAGGACATCCTCCAGAATGGCGCACATGTCAGTGGCAACTCCCCATCAAGCCGCTTCCATGGCAGAGCCGACTATAGCGGAGATCGAAGAGCGCATCAACCTGCTCTACCAAGTGGGCAATCCGCAGGTCATCAAGGAAACTGATGCGTTTCTGACTACTCTGCAACGATCTGACCGAGGGTGGGAGATCGCAGACGCACTGATGCATAGCGAAGATGACAAGGTGCAGTACTACGGCGCGCTGACATTTACGGTCAAGCTGAACCAGGATGGGTTAGTGTCATGATCTGTCCCTGCTCTTTCTGTGACATTGCTAACACAAGTGCACTAGGGACAAGCTGGATGAAAACCAGTCTTCCCTTCTTCTATCTACTCTCATGTCATGGCTTCTTCGACTAGAGAAGACTAGTCAGAGTAAGGTTGTAGCCACCAAGTTTTGTTCCACGCTCGCGAACTACTTTTGCAAGCCGACGTCGTCGTGGACGAAGTGCATTCACACACTTGCCTGCTCTTTCTACAAGGGCACTCAGGTCCCAGAGGAGTCTATTGACAAATTTCTATCAATATGGGAGCTTCTGCCTTCCCTGACCGACGGCCAAATTTACTATCTTCTATTGTTCGCTATGGACCTTGCAGAAGCAGCGAAAAGCTTATCCCAACAGCAGCATGAGACGCTCCACAATCGAATGGCATCAAACACGGTCGACATAGAAGCACTGCTTCATGAATCCCTGCGTCGTGGCCAAGAAGTGGTGTGCATGCGAGACGAGATCGCGAGAGAGGGTATGCAGGAGGCTGGTCAGAAAATCCTCAACCAGGCTCTTAAGACCTACGTGTCCTGGGTCTTTTATGCACAACAAGAATTCAAAAACTCGACAGAATCTCTCAAAAATCTGCGTACGGTGTTTGACATGGCTGCGCCCTGCCTTGAGCTAGACGTAGACGACGCCATCGACATATTCGCGGATATACTAGATAACTACCCCAAATTCCTCCTTCCTGAGCAACAGTACAAATTATGGGAATGCTGCATGAGTCCTTGGGGTATTGAGATTCTGAACCAGAACGATGATACGTCGGTCACTCTCTTGCGGATGGTCATAGCGTATTGCCAGATACTGTTGAGTTCTGGCCGTCTACACAAGGAAGCAGGACAAAACTTCGTATGCGACCAAGCTTTAGGTCCGTTTAATATCTGTCATATATCGCGAATCTCAGCTGTCTTAACTCCGCGAAATTTGAACTGACAAACATAGGGACACTTCATAACCTACTAAAATACGAAGGCTACGTCGGAGATGGCGATGAGATTGCGCCTCCGGTTGCCGATTTCTGGAGCGTCTACATCAGTACACTCGACGACGAGATGTTCAAGTTCAAGGAAGCGGATGCAAAACCAGCTTGGGTTGATATCGCAAAGGCTCACACGTTCCTAGTCGTCACGGAGTTGTTCGATAAGATACGCTTCCCTCCGCCGGAAGCGACAAAAGCGTGGGATAGCGAGTCAAGAAGCAGGTTCAAGTCTTTCCGAATGGATGTCCGTGATCTGTTTCAGTCAGCCTACGAACAAATACGTGAGCCGCTTCTCGACCATTTCGTCAAGGTCATCCAGTCTGCCCTAGCTGAGAAAGCTTGGCTCCAGGTCGAAGCCGGCCTATTCTGCTTGAACTCTATCGCCGAAGAGCTCGATGCAGATACTGACCTCCAAATTCGAACTCTTCTCGGTGCGTCCTTGTTCGATCATATGACGGCAGCTGAGAATATTCCTGCGGTGACCCGCCGATCCGCAGTGGAGATGGTCTCGCATTTCACGGAGTTCTTCCTTCGCAATATGGATTTTGTAGCTCCAGTACTACGGTTCTTAGTCACTGCTCTTGCTCAGCCAGCTCTGGCCAATTCAGCAGCCAAATCCTTCGCTTCCCTCTGCTCGTCCTGTAGGAAAGCTCTTACTGGAGAACTGGGGTCCTTTTTCGATATGTACCAACAATTCCTCGGCTACCAGACAGCCGAAGTTCACACCAAAGGAAAGGTCATGGAAGGCATTGCAGCAATCATCGAGGCTCTGCCCTCAGATGCTGAAAAAGCTACACGACTTCAAGAGCTGTTTCAATATATCTCCATGGACGCCCAGAATGCAATTACTCCGGAGAATGCAGGGACAGAGACCAGCGCTGTGTTTGCTTTAGCTGCTCTCCAATGTCTGACGAGCATAGGTAAAGCTTTACAGGCACAAGATGACGCTGTGATCGATCTCGAATCTGAGGGCCCATCAGAGAAAAGCCCATCGAACTTCTGGACCGAAGGACCAGGAAGCACGATCCAGTCTCAGATATTCCAATTCATACAGGTGCTCACGCAGATTCATGGCAAGGAAGGAGACATCATTGAGGAAGCCTGTTCAATCTTCCGGACTGGGTACAAGGAATCCGTGCCTGGACCATTCCTACTGCCTCCAAAAGCGACAGTCGACTTCATCGCCAGCACTGACGTCAATACGCCACGCCTCCCCTTTGTGCTAGAGACGGCTTGCATATTCGTCCGATCACATAAGAGCGACAAATCGCCATCATTTCACGAGCAAGCCCAGCTCCTGCTCCGCTACATTCTGAAGCTGATGCAGCAACTTGGACACCCTAGCATAGACCCCGAGGTCTCTGTAGGCTGCATCGAGGTCGTCCAGCGGATCATCAACACGAACGCGGATATTCTCAACGGGGAATCTTCCGAGGTTTTACAAGCCATGTTTCAATTCTCCATCGAATGCGTGCTATCGCCAGACGTACTACCGAAGCGTGCAGCAGCGGAGCTTTGGAACGATATCTTCGCTCTATCTCTCGACATGCGTCATCCGCAGCAGAGCATCGCACAGCAAATAGTCAGCCATTTTGGTCCAACAGTGACTCGGGCACTGGTTTTCAATGTTTGTGGCGAGGCCGACACTAGCTCGCTAGATTATATCATGCCGCCACTCCGCAAGATGATACAATCTCAGCCTTGGGCGCGTACCCAGATCACCGAAGCGCTGGCTAACTTACCGTTGTTCGCACGAGCGCCCGAACATTTCGAGGTTCAAAAACTAACGAGGATATTCACTGAGGGGCTGATTAGGTATGGACCTCCTCATCTTGTTTCCGTGGTGCTGCTAACTCTTTTTAGAAATGCTCGTCAAGTTTCAGCGTTCAAGATCACAGTCAAAGACTTCTCGCAGAAATGCAGGAAGATGGCTGTGCAGCTAGGCCCAGAGGTTCCATATCTTGGCATTTCGCCTAATGCTCCCCTATGAGCATGCCGACAAAGCACTGTGAGGTGCAAAAGCTCAAACTCAAACTCACATACTCGTACATCATCCCCACTAAATGGCAACCATAGGCACACACGACTGCACACCTGAATGATACCGTCTCAAGTGGCCCACTGGCGACACAAAGTGTTCCAGCCACGATTCGGCTCTGTTTTACTCTTTCTTTACTGTATAATACAAGATTTTCCGTCTCTCCAGTTTCCCTTCTCCAGATTTTCTGCATGGCCGGACATTTTGTCCAGGCCAGGCGATTATTTGCTTCTGTTCCAGGCTCAAAACTTGGCAAAGGCCGCGAGGGCGAAGGTCGCCCCGAATGACAGCTTAAAGGCAACGTTGTCTTGTATCAGGGAGCGCACATTGGTGGTCTTAAAGTTACGCTGTATGCGTTCGTAGGGGATGATATGGATGCCTCGGGACTCGATGAACTAGATGAGGGATGGCGGTTAGCGATTGTGGTTTTGGGAGCATCATGACGGGAATGGCCGGGAATTGAATCGGGGAATGGGACGGGGACTACAACGGGGAGCTCACTTGTACCCCAAATACCAACAGACCAATTATCAGCGCCAGTGGTTTCGAAAATACACTGATTGCTAGACCACCAAGCAACCCTGTGATATGACACGTCAGCCCCAATACAGCATCGTACACCAGATTCTTGGGGTACGCACCAAAGATACTCCCCGCACTAACTTGCTTCAGCGCCTGGGGATTGAAACTTCCTTTCTGTACAACCGGGGTCTGCGAATCTCGCGCTGGGAAGTTCCTAAATGTGTCTGCGAGAGGCGTCGGCGAGGCGTCCATGCGGTACGGCCGGAATAGCTGCTGCTGCGGGCGGAGGAGCATGGGCGCGACGATGACGGAGGTTGCGCCTAGGCCGGCGAGGAAGGTCGGGCGGAGGAGGAAGGATGCCATTTTGTGTAATTAGGAGTGTGTATTCGGTGTTTAGAGTGTGGATAGGTTCAATTGCTTCGAGAGGGGGTAATAGGCAGAGCTACCTAGGTATGAGGCACATGGCACAATGGTATGGACGAAAACACGCGGAATTAGATCGGTGATGTCAGACACCTCTGGCCGATGCAGGAAGCCGAACATCGGCACGCCGCCCCCTCCTCCATCAGGCTTAGTCAAACGGCCGGCCGACCTCGGGAGGGGCTCAATCGACCTGCGTTCTTGGGACAGACCCCGCCATCCATCCGGGGAAGTCACGGAGAATCGCGACCGCTGACTGGCTGGGCTGTTCTTTGACTGTCAGCCCAGCGGACTGGACCCTTGGGCAGTGGAGATTTTTTTAAGAGTCACGCTGGTGCGTTCCTTTGGTGCTTTACGGACTCCACCTGGCTTACCTTCTCCTTCTCCAGCTTCTACATACTCTTACTTTCTCTTTCTCCCAAAACACTGCACTCCTTTTTGAGATTGGCGTTGAAGCTCTATTCTAAGAAGCTTTGATATTGAAAATGGCCACCGAGCTCCCCACCACCAATGGCCATGCCACCCAGGACGAGAACAACTATGCTGTCAAGGCTGGACTGGCGAGGATGCTGAAGGGCGGAGTCATTATGGATGTTGTCAATGCTGAGCAGGTATGGTTCCTTTCATTCCAATTGAATTCCCCAGACATCAAATTTTCTATGGTCGCGTCATGCATTTCCAGTATCCCACTTTTGCCTCCGATTGAAGGACTTCCACTTCTTAGATGTTGTAGATGAACCATTGGCTAACTAGAATGCTGTGTACAGGCACGCATCGCAGAAGAAGCCGGCGCCTCCGCCGTCATGGCCCTTGAGCGCGTACCTGCAGATATCCGAGTCGAGGGGGGCGTGGCCCGGATGTCCGATCCCAAGATGATCAAGGAGATCATGGACACCGTCACGATCCCCGTCATGGCGAAGGCGAGAATAGGACACTTCGTGGAATGCCAGGTACACTCCCTCCCTTCGCCTCCCTTCCCCCCACTTCCCTCTTCTTCCCCAATTGACACCCTCTCTAACCTCCCCAACCACCAGATCCTCGAAGCCCTCGGCGTCGACTACATTGACGAATCCGAAGTCCTCACCCCCGCCGACGCCGTTCACCACGTCGACAAGCACCCCTTCAAGATCCCCTTCGTGTGCGGCTGCCGCAACCTGGGCGAAGCCCTCCGCCGCATCTCCGAAGGCGCCGCCATGATCCGCACAAAAGGCGAAGCCGGCACAGGCGACGTCATCGAGGCCGTCCGCCATCAGCGACAAGTCTCCGCGGACATCGCGCGGGCCAAGGGCATGAGCGACGAGGAGCTCCGCATCATGGCGAAGGAGATCGGCGCTGACTTCGCGCTGCTGAAAGAGACGGCGAAGCTGGGCAGGTTGCCGGTGGTCAATTTCGCGGCGGGCGGGGTGGCGACGCCGGCGGATGCGGCGCTGATGATGCAGTTGGGATGTGACGGGGTGTTTGTGGGGAGTGGCATCTTCAAGAGTGGGGATGCGGCGAAGAGGGCGAGGGCAATCGTGCAGGCGGTCACGCACTTTAGGGACCCGAAGGTGTTGGTTGAGGTGAGTATGGATCTGGGAGAGGCGATGGTGGGAATTAACACGGCGACGATGAAGGAGCAGGAGAGATTGGCTAAGAGGGGATGGTGAGTTACCTCACATAAAAGTCAATGCAGTGGGAATCAGTGGGAATAGGGCTATCGTTTGACCGACTGAAGACATGCTAGCTGGGGTACTCCTGACAGTGGTAAGGAGTGAGCAAAAGTGAAGTCCGACCAGCGAGATATCCGCGTGCCTAAACGTACGACCTAGCACAGTAACATATTTTGGCACGGGGTAAATACTACAAGGAACTATACGGGTCAGCTTGGAGAAATAGTGGTCAAGGAAAAGGACAGCATACTTCAAAGAACAACTTACTGAATCACTTGCTCTTTGCCCGCACCATCATTTGGCCGGTAGCTTAGTTCCTCTTGCATCCTTTTCGGCCCTTCTGTACATCATCAATCATTGTCGAGGAGACGAAGGTTTTGGAATCTGGAAAAAGAAATCTGCAATGCGATCTTCCCTTTTTGCTTCTCTAATAAAACCGCTACAATCACATGTCTAGCCGTTCCGAGATAGTTGCATGGAGGCGCCGTCGATATACCAAGGGGCTATCGGACTATTAGCCTTATTGGGGTACAGGTACCTGACCGACTCCCCGTCTGCCAAAGGCTACCCCATCCATACGTCTGCTTCTCCTGGCAAAAAGAACGTCGAAACGCGTTCTCTTAGCGAAAAATGTGTCACTATTCACAAGCGCATCGAGTAAACGTCAGGTCCTTCCTGATTCAACCTAGCGCTTGATCTTCCAGAGGCCTGCCAGTGGGCAGAATTGGGGCGGCACGGGCAATCGACATAGCCGTCACCATTCCCGACAACCTAGATCCAGCCTCGTGGCAAAGGGAGACTAGCAAAACTACTTCACGCGGCATGCCGTGGTTTCGCCGTAGTTTTGACGTGGTTTTTGTTTTGGAGACGGCGCCCCTCCAAGTCGAGAACTTGCCGAGGCTTTTAGCGGCCGATATACTTCACATGATGTCGGTAGAGCCCCCATCACTGCGCGGTGCCTTACCCATGATGTCTCTAGAGCCACTCGCTAATGCAATTCACAGCTGTAGCTGAACTACTGCATGCATATTGGATCCCGGTCTCGTCTCGCCCAAAGCGCGTCCCGTCAGCTTTCTCCCGCTCTTGCAGCACCTCAAACGTTGAAACGTTGCCTTCGAGCATACGCGAGCCAACCGACCCTGTCTATCCACGGCGATGGAACTGAATTAGTACCTGACTGACGCCTCTTTCCCCGCACTACCGAACGGACGGTACTCCGGAACCCTTTCTATAGAGTACGACCGGCACATGGCGGCCCCTTTCCGGCAGAGGTGTAGGGCAGAGGTGTAGGGCAGAGGTGTAGGGCAGAGGGGCTCCACTCTATTAATGTTGGCAGGCCTCTTGAATCCTACCCATGGATCTGGTTCTCTATTTTACCACGTTCCCCCTGTAACTAGTACGCAGTGACAGTTCTCTAAACGCATCATCGAAGAATACAATGTCGACTTCTACAGACTACAAAGTCTCGTGTATCGCCTTTGGGTTCACTCTCGGCTTTGGGTATCTGACAGGATGGGATGCTTGGAAGCTCACCAGGAAGCACCGCAGTCCGCTACGGAGCATGTTCATCTGGATGGTGTGGGGTGAGCTCATTGTCAACCTCGCCATTGCAATTGTGGCGTGGCTTTTCTTGGAAGGAATTATTAAACCTACGTTTGTAAATCTTCTCTCTATCACTTCTCCATACTTACATTCTTCAGGTTCCCCACTTTCTTCTTCATCTGTATGTCTCTCGTCATTAATGCTTCCAACGTCGTCATGTACTAAACTCCCTCAAAGTGGTCCTTTGGGTCTTCGAAATCCAATTTATCCTCCAGATCCTTGTCAACCGCGTCTCCCTCATCACACGCAAAGATTCCAAAGTCGAGTATATCCGCTGGGGAACCGTAGGCATCATATCCATCATCGAAATCTCTGTCTTTTGCATTTGGATTCCTGCGCACCTTGATGTATCACAAACGTAAGCCCATCCCCAGCGCCCCCTACCTGCCCAACCCGAAGAAGCAAATATCAACCAGGACGACCTCAATGCTTACTTTTTGTAGCTATGTTCATATCAACAACATCTGGGACAAAATAACGAAATTCATCATCCTCTTCGTCGACTGCGGGCTGAATTACTACTTCATAACCCAAATCAGACACCGCCTTGTACGCAACGGGATCGAGAAGTACAACGACCTAGTCCGTTTCAACCTACGTATCATCATCGTGTCAATCAGCATGGACGTAAGCACCCTTCGCCCTCTTCCCCTTCCTCAATTCCCCACTTACTCACTCACCCCAGCTCCTTATCGTCGGCACAATGTTCCTTCAAAACGGCGTCGTCTTCCTCCAATTCCACCCAGTCGCCTACACCGTGAAACTAAAGATCGAACTCTCAATGACCAATCTCATCACCAAAATCGCCCAGGAAACCGTCCAATCCCGCGTCGGCGCCCTCTCCCACTCTACCTCCAAGTCTCACAAGATCGGGATCATCTCGTCGATCACCTCCGGGCATAAGAGGCTTACCACTCCCCGTGCCCCAGGTAACGCCGATGGGGAGCCGGGGGATTTGGGCATGATCGGGCTGACGGATCGTGTGAAGGGAGGCGTGCAGACGCATGTGAGCGGGGATGTGGAGACAGGGTCTCAGGAATGGGAGGAGGGGAAGGGGATCCAGATGCGGAGGGAGGTGAGACAGGAGGTGACGTATGCGAATAGGCAAGAGGAGAGGGAGGGAAGGGCGAGTACGCAGGGGAGCCGGGAGTTTGTAGAGGGGTTTGATGAGGATGATCAGAAGCCGTTGGCTTGGTAGAGGGATCTGGGATTTGGATTGGGCTGGGTGTTTGTGGGTTGGAGGGGGATATCCACAGTTTATACAGCGACAGGCCACTAGTCTGTGGACACTTGTTTGCCACTGCTTCGGGTACGGTTTCAAGAGTCGAGCCGCCGATGTCAAGTTTCAAGCAGTGCAAATCACACTGCTCCTTGACTCACTGGCTACTGACTAGCTGGGATGATCCCCACAGTCGCGTTAGGTGGGCAGGATTTTAGCCAAGCAGTGATGAACTCGCGTTCCCAGACTTATGGCCTAATACTGTATCAATCCCGTTCCTCGATGTTGAATCTAAGGTAAGCTTATTTGAACCCGTGTAGCTTCACCCGGGATCTTTTGGAGGTGCATTTCGAGTCATTTCTTCACTTTTTCATGGAGTATCTCATTAATACCCGCAACCTCGTACTCTATCGAAGAAAAGGCAGCCATATCACCAACTGTCCTTCGAACCTCTAGCCGCGCTTCATCTTACTCCTCTCAACCACAAGCTTGCTCAGCGTCGAAAACGACGCCCCGCCCGAAATCTCAAACATAGCCACATCCGCCTTGAACTCCTTCGCGATCCAACTACGCAGCTCCACCGCCAACAGCGAATCGACTCCATACGCGGCAACAGGCTTATACATATCGACCTCGCCGTGCAGGCCCGCCAGCGTGCGCTGCAGTTTTGCAACCAGCGCCTGCTCGACGACGTGGGCCGCGTCAATCTGTGAATTCGCGGTGTGAAAGCGCTCTTTCCAGGCGTCTGGAGCGCCGTCGTCGTTCTTCTCTCCCGCGGACCTGCTCTTCGCGTTCTCTTTTAGATGCGTGAAGATGGCTTGGCGAGAAATAACGATCCCGTCTAGGCCCCCACTGGCATCCGATCCTAACCCGATGACAGGCTGGCTTTGCGTGGGAGAGAGGAGGGGAAGCGCAGGGTCGCAGTAGTAGTCTAGGATTGCGTAGAAGAAGTTCCTCGATATGCCGTTCAGGGCGCCGTAGCCGAGGACCCGGTTCAGGAACTCGGGGTTTTCAGCGAGGAGGCCGTCTTCTGTTAAGGCGCCGAGATCGAGGGATACGGCGCGTTCGCCGCGGGAGACGCGGTAGCGGGCGAGAGCGTCCATGTAGCTGTTGCCCGCGGCGTAGTTGGCTTGTCCGCGGAGACCGACTACGCTTGAAGCTGAGGAGAGGAAGATGAAGAAATGGAGGTCTTTTGGTAGGAGCTGGTGGAGGTTCCAGGAGCCGATGGTCTTGCAGTCTGTGCCTAGGTGCCAGTCGGCGTGGTCCATTTTGTCGAACATGAAGTCCTTAGATCAATTAGCGTTAAGGCCTCTTTTGGATGGCGAGGAATATGTCTTACCCTTAGGACCATCGATCCTTGGAAGCAGCCTCTTATCGGCGGCATTTCTTGGGTACACTGCTGAATCACCTCTTCCAATACTGCAGCGTCTGTAATGTCGCAGGCTGGAGCCTTGACCAAGACATCTTGCTGTTTGAGCTCTTCTACGAAGTCGCGCGCCGTCTCGTTACGAATGCCGGAGCGAGAGAGAAGTATCAGGTTTCTAGCGCCGCGATCAACAAGCCATCGTGCGACGCTACGACCCAAGCCTCCAAGTCCACCGGCAATCACGTAAGTCGCGTCGTGGCCAATGAGGAAGCTCGGCTGGGTAGCGAGTATTGCCTGGAATGGTAAGAACGGAGCCCCTTTGTTTGAATTTGACTGAATCTTACCTTGACTGGAGTCGTGGGTGTTACTTCCAACACGATCTTCCCTGCCGTCTTCCCGTCCTGCATCGCTCGGAAAGCCTCCTCTACTTTTGTAGCAGGATACACATTCAAGGACCGAATCGGACGAAATTCCCCTGCCGAGAAGAGCTGGAGGACTTCTTCGAACGCGCGCCTCGAATCTTGGGGGCGCTCGGTCTGCCACTTGAAGCCATCAAAACAAATAAAGCTGGCGTTGTTTTTGAATGGATACATTGGGAGGTTAGCGTTGGAGAGAATGTCTCGTTTCCCAAGCTCGACAAACCGGCCGTAAGGGGCAATGCACTCCCAACTCGCGATAAGGCTATCGCCTGCTAGGGAATTGAGGACGACGTCGACCCCTCTACCTTTGGTTTTGCGCATCACGCCTTTGGCGAAACTGGAGTCGCGGCTAAAGAATATATGATCTTCCGGAATACCGTATTGTTCGACGAGGACGTCTCTTTTCATTTCGGAGCTGACGGTAGCGTATATGATACCGCCGACATACTGGGCAACCTGGATAGCTGCTTGGCCGGTTCCGCCAGCTCCAGCATGAATCAGGATCGACTCTCCCCTTTGGAGGCGCGCAATGCCGTGGACTGCTTGCCAGGCTGTGCAGAACTGGGTGGGGATACTTGCAGCTTCAGCAAAAGTCATCTCGTCCGCGATTCGGAGAACATGGCTTGCTTTCCCGCGCGCGTAGGTCTTGAAGCACGGAGATGCAGACATGACGACACGGTCCCCTGTGGACAGTCCAACGACATTGCATCCAGTTTGGGAAACTAGACCGGAACATTCGCTGCCGTAAGAAGAGTCTGGTATGCGACCAAGGGCTAAGAAGCAGTCTCGAAAGTTCAGACCCATTGCACGAACTTCCACTTCAACTTCATCCGGATCCAGAGGCCTTGGATGATCGTCATCTTCAGTGAAGTGCAAGGTATCTAGGAACCCCACAGATCCTATGGCCAGCTGGAGGGGAGGGCAGTCCTCGACCATCCGGGACGAGGTTTGTCGTGGCAGTGACCTACTGAACAGATTTTCCGTGAGTTTCTCTGCCTGCACGACCCTGGGGATCTGGAGAACGCCGTCAATTTCCACATATTCCATATCTTGTGTTGACTGGTCAAAGTTCTCTTGCTGCACGAGCCGGAATATCTGGCAAATTGCCTCGAGCTGTTCATCTGTTATGGCAGAATCTAGATCAAGAGCCAAGGTTGCGCATGGCCGATCCGGGTTTTCATTGCGAAGGACGCGGAAGAGACCATTTGCTACGCCGGACTCTGGCTGTTTGGGAGCCGTCCCACCTCCATTGGTCACCCAGAGGATGCCTTTAGCAGATGCTGCGACCTTTTGGAATATCGAATACATTTCCTTCGAGAGATTCATGAGGAAGGGGCGTTCTATCTCTTCAATGAAGATGAAGTAAGAAGAGGCCATGTCGTCTATTTGGGCGATCTCCGCGAAACTAGCAGAACGGCAAAGGCTTGGAAGCATTAACAGGAGGCGACAGGCCACATCTCGCTGAAATTCAGATTCGAGGTTTAGCACTAGAATCGGTGCTCCATGCGAGGGTGGCTCGGTAGTTATACCAGGTCCCATATTGCACACTGTTGATGTCGCCGTGGATATCATGATGCTGCCTTCCTGGCATTCAGGGGCGAGGAAGTCAGGCATTTCCAGGTCGACACCAGAGAAGCAATTGTCGCGGAGTATCTTATCCCATGACGCAGAGGTCATCGTAGGACCCCATGGTCGATAATCTTCTGAGCTGAGCCACCACCCAGGCAAAAGGCCCATTATGAAAGCTGGTCTCATAATTTCGGGCCTGGTGGGCTCGTATAGCACGAGGAGACCACCGGGATTTAGGAGCTTTCTGACGTTCCTAAGGGCGAGGCTGATATCAGGAGTAGCATGGAGCACATTTGCGGCGACGACCATATCGAAAGTCCCGCAATCAAGTCCCTGGTAGCTAGGGTCGATTTCTATGTTCAGAGCTTGGTATTCGATATTGGGGTATTGGATGAATCTGGCCTCAGCTGCCTCGAAGAAGGCTGAAGATATGTCGGTGTAGAAGTAAGACGAGTATCGTGGCTTGCGCATCGCACTATCCGTTTGTGTAGAGAGTGTCGAAAGTACCTTTTCAGTCGTGCCGCCCGTTCCAGCACCCACCTCGAGCACCTTCATATTTGGATTCTTGTGGGCGGCGGCATCGAGAACACGGGAAAGCTCTGCGAAACAGGCACGGGAGTCGTTGATTTCACGATAGAAGTTCGTGAGCAAATCGTTGTGGAACAGAAATTCTAGCGGATCTGTATCGCCGCGCAGAATCGAGGTCAAGTGACGACCTGTCGCAACATATGCTTGTCCTTCGGCGTTGGTGGATTGAATCTGCTCGCACAATCTTTCCATAGCCTCCGAGTCTTCGAAAATCCGAGCCCACTCCGGCTCTATATTGGGGAGAAGATCCTCTTGGTATCGCTGAAGTTGCAGTTTAGCCCACTGATAATAACGTGATAGATGGGGAGGTGTGGTTGGAAAATCATGATCTTGAAGCTCATCCACAGCTTTCGTGAGAAACGCAAGTAGCAAGAAGTCCAAATCCTGATAAAATTTGGCGGGCTCAAGATCCTTCGGGCGTGCCTCTACGCAGTAATCCAACAATTTCTGGGAGCTCAACAGAGCGACATCAGGCTTCCAGTCAAGATGGTAGCAGGTCTGCTTTACGTCTGCGTTATCCTGGGAGGACTCAGACATCTCTGCAACGATGGTTGATCTGAGACCCGTCACTTGCGCAAGAACTCTTTCCTTCGAATCATCAAGGACGGAAATATTGAACTCGGTTCCACGAGCGTCTTTGCCTACCATCCAAGCAGCCGCGCTTGTTGTCCTGGGCCCTGGTCTGTTTAGTCCCTGGCTTGCAATCCAAAGTCGTTTCAAAGAGCTAGGAACTGCCGTTGGAGTTTGTACGTCTCCTCCTTTTGCGCAAGCCGCTAAACTAAGGTGCAAGATTGCATCTAAAGTGCACGGATGGATTATGTGCGGTTGTGGGAAAGTATCCGCGGCCCATTCGAATATCTCGATATCGGCTTTTCCTTCTTTATCAGAAGGAAAGGACCCGTTCCTCAGTAGCTGAAATGAGGGACCGAAGTCAAACCCGTTGGACCTCAGAGCGTTGTAGAGCTTTCGGTGGTCGAAAGAATCCTGGATTGGATCTGGAAGACCATAATGGCGCTGGCGGCACAAATTGAGCTCTTCTATACTCTCTTTGACGGCGCTGAACCCCTCTGCTATGGCTTTGTACGTGACACGAATGGAACCCCGACAGTTTTCGTGCCATTCATCCGAATCAAATGAAAACACTCGAAATTCGGACCACGGCGTTTCAGAGTTGGCGGAGTCTCGGACCTGGCGGAGATATATATGGGTTTCGACGCCATCTAGGTGGGAAGGAATGGTTAGAGCGGACAAAAATCGGATATCCTTCATTTCGAACCCTTCCACTGTACGACTCTTGTCCGTGGTCTGATTTGCGGCTTCGATTGCCATCACGAGCATTCCAGCCGCAGGATATATAGTCGCTCCGTTGATCTAGGCGGCACAGGTTAGCAAAGGTCAAGCGAATATTGACTGTGATAATCACCTTGTGGTCTTCGACCCATGGCATTTCCGACACTCGGATGAAATTACGCCATTTAGCTTCGACGTCGTTCCAATCGGGGCTGGGTTTCCCGAGAAGGTCTAGCTTCTCTTGATGGTGAAGCCGAAGTCTTCTGCTCACCCGCCCTTCCGTCCAATATCGACGTGAATGGTTGAATGGGTACTCAGGGAGATCGCAAAGTGGCTTGGGTAGACCGAAAGACTCCTGCCCCAGGCGATAGATACCGCTCAGGTCCAGCGGATATCCGTGGCAGTATAAGTGGCCCAGGGAATTGAACAGCGAGTGCAAGGGAGCTTTGTCTCGCACTAGGACGGACTCGTAGGCGATCTTGGAGTTGCTATGAAACCCGCCCACGATGTCTCTTAGCGGACCCCGTAGGGCGGAATGAAAGCCAACTTCAAGTAGGAAGGTCACCTTGGATCGATTTCGGTGGCTGCAGTCCAGCTTCTTCCAGATCATGGCTCCGGCTTGGAACGTGAGTGCTTGAACTGCAGGTGCAAATTTGACAGGACATATCATGTTGTCGACCCAGTACTGAGGTGTGCGTAGTATGCGATCGTGTATCCATTTCCCCGTGACAGTCGAAATCATCGTGATCGGGTGAGGGGTCGCAACCCCTTTTTCCAAGCCAATGATAGACTCGAGGTATTGCTGTGACGCAGCATTCATGAAATGGGAGTGATAAGGCAGGTTAACGTTCAGCTTTCGTGCGAATACGTTGCTCTCCGATAACATCGTCTCAAGAAGGTCGATATGATCTATGCGTCCGGATATCGTCACACTCTTCGGGCTGTTGATGCATGCCACTGTCAACATGCGCTCTCCGGTTTGCTCAATGACTCGATCAAGGTATACCAGTACATCTTCCTCGGAAAGTCCAGCGGCCACCATGCCGCCTCGCATTTTGCCAGACTCTGAGAGGAGTGCCGAGTGATAACCTCTGAAGTAAGCGAGTTTCCATGCCGACTCTGCGGATAAGGCTCCGGCACAATATCTGAATATCTTGTCAGCAATAGAAGTTACTTTGGATAGCCACTTACGCCGCTGAAATTTCTCCGGATGAATGCCCGATTACCACGTTGGGATAGATGTTGAAGCTGCGCAAAGTGTCGACGAGAGCCACCTGCACTGCGGTAGAAATAGGCTGGCTATATTCCGCATCATTGATTTTGGAAAGCTTCTCGTCTTTGTACAACTCCTCTATTCACGCGTCAAGAATAGGCCTGATGTTCGCTCTATGCATCGACCACTCACCTCGAAGTTTCCAGCGACAGCCGAGCTTTTGTAAATAATGTTCAGCCTGCGTCAGACTTTGCCTGTAGACTTCGAATTGCTCAAGACAAAGAAGCTCACGTCCGGGGTACTGGGCCCCTTGTCCTGTGAAAACGACGCACAGGGATGGTTCCGAGATGGACCTCCGGGGGGATGAGAGGTGCGATTTTAGGTGGGCCAGGTCGTCGAGAGTTTCTACAACAGCGAAGGATTTCCAAGGAAAGGGGTTCCGTCTGGCTGATGTTGTGTATGCAAAGTTACTAACGAATGAATCCGACACCGGGTTTCGCTTCAACATGCTCTGTATATATTGTGTATGGGCTTTTGCCTGCGTTTCAAGAGTGTCCTTGTCCATCGCGGAGAGCACAATAAGCTTTGGAGGATGGCCAAGACCCTCGAGCGCATCATCTGATCGCGTGATTCGAGGACCGTTGGACAAACCATGGTTGATAGCACCCTTTGATGGCGGACCGCCATGCAAGCCATTGACCTTTTTGGTTGGAGAGCTCTCAATTGAGACATGAGAACCGTTGGGCAAATGGTGCTCCAGCAGACCGTTGGAGCCACAGGAGAGAGTATCTCCGTTAGTTGTTATCGCCGTTCCATTCACGAAAGGTTCTTTGGCATCATCATCCTCGGGATAGTCGATCGTATTATGATGTCCAACCAGCCGACGAGACTGGAGATAATGCAGTGCATCATCGAGGATCACGTGGGCGTTGGTCCCTCCGAATCCAAAAGAATTCACGGAAGCTCGACGAAGGCCTTTAGAAGGCCATTTCGTTGGTTGAAGAGGGAACTAAGCAGTCGTCAGTATTGGCCTATCCTAGAAGTGGCAACTTGTGAGTTCTCTGGTACCTTGATTCTCAAAAAGTCCGGGTCTATCTGGGGATTGATGTTGACGAAGTTTGTATTCGGGGGTATCACGCCTTTTTCGAGTGCGAGGATGGATTTTATGACACCTGCAATACCGCTAGAACCTTCTAGGTGGCCAATGTTGCTTTTCACGGCTCCTCTGTACAAGTTAGTCTCCTAGCTGATGCCGCAAGCACGGGCACAAGGAGGACGGGCCGAAGAGGTAAAAGGAAGTGATGGCAGAAGCATGAAATCTGCGAAGCTTACACATAGAGGGGGTCATCTGATGATCGCGAGCGTCGAAAAACCTCCCCAATCGCATTACCTTCTATCGGGTCACCCACAGCGGTACCTGTGCCGTGAGCTTCAATGAATCTCGTCTGATCGAGGTCGAGGCGTGCTCTGCGGTACGTCTCTCGAATGAGCTCGGACTGAGCTTTGCTGCTTGGCTGGGTGAGTCCGGTGGTGTAGCCATCTTGATTGCTGCCGGTCGATCGGATCACTGCGCGGATAACGTCGTTGTGTTCGATGGCGTCGGAGAGCCTTTTCAGCACGAGGACGCCGAACCCTTCGCCTCGCGCGTATCCGTTGGCTCTGTCGTCGAAGGAGTAGCACTGATTGTTCGGAGACAAGAGACCCAGGTTGGATAATGCGTGCATGATGTCCGGGTAGAATAGCAGGTTGCATCCGGCAGCAATACTCTCGGTACTGTAAGTACAATCCACACTTATTCACTCGCCGTTCAGGCTTACCATGTCTGAATCGCCGCTAGTCAGGTTTTTGACGGCGAGGTCTACACAGACTAGACTGCTTGAGCAAGCAGAGTCCACATTAAAGCTTGTTCCTTTGAAATTGAAGAACCAGCTGAGTCTGTTGGCAAGTATCGAAGCTTCGAAACCGATGCCTGCATGACTGGTGCATTGCTCCGCATCTTTCAGGCATAGTTGCTGCCAGTCATTGGTAAAGCAGCCGGTAAAGACAGACGTCTTTGATCCAATGACGCGATTTAAAGGCTGCCCAGCTAAATGATATAAATTAGCGTCAGCGTACACACGGCGCTTGGCCCAAGTGCGATGCAGAAAGACAAACCATTTTCCAATGCCCTGAAGGTGGTCTCCAGAAGAATCCGTTGTTGAGGATCCAACGAGGCGGCCTCAGCATCTGAAATGGAGAAGAACGGAGCATCAAACTCGGCAATATTACTTGTTAAAAAGTGACCCCCTTGAAAGGGTATCTGCAGCTTGTCAGACACACCGATGCACCAGAAAATGTTTTTGAGATTGGAAATGAGGAAAACCCCCTGAAATCAGAAAGAAAGAGGAGGGGAGACGGAGATAAGGAGGGGACGATGAGAATGACTGACAGTTCCTCGTCGGTTGAGTTGAGGATGGTACATCGCCGAGGCAGACAGGCGATCTTTGGGGAATACAGTAGCCGTGTTTCTCTTCTCCAATAGGGCTTCCCAGAACGAATCTGCCGTCTCACAGCCACCGGGAAACTTGAATGAGAAACCGACAATAGCAATTGGTTCTGTCGCATCCTGCTTGCCATAGTCATTGGCATGCACCGGCGGGTACATAGACCTTCTCTCGCTGTCACGCTTTTTTGAAGCTGTGGGAGCCATTTCGTAACGACTGGGTCAATCTTAGAGTAGAGAAGAGCGAGTAGCAACGTGATTAAAAGGTATGTCGGCAATCCGGTATTTAAGATATATCGAGGTCCCTTGTTTAATTCAGATTGGGGACACCTCGAGCCTTACATGACTGCCAAAACTTCAACTTCACCGCATTGTAGAGTAACGCAAGCAGTGAATGATGGACTGCCCAATGCTTAACATGAGGCTTAATCACAGACTAGGATGGCAAGGCTGGGTGAAGACAAAGAAAGTAGGAAGCGGTGAATGATCCAGAGGAGCAAATTCCCAGTCATGCGGGTCGACCTTGAACCACCGAGAACAATCAAACAAGCAACGGATGTCTAGACCGCCGTTTCATAATACCGTTACTCGCTTGCCATTTAGATTACAGTACGACAATCCCAATTCCACGCCGTTGGGGGCATCCCGATGAATATAAATAGAAAGGAGATAGCCATCCCACAGATATGGTCGTTGCACTCAAATCCTTCCATCTGCCAACTGTTCCCTCTTCTCGGAGTCTCCAGTTCCACCGCCCGTCAGGATATTGTCCAAGATGCGATTCCTCTGCCTGCATGGTTTAGGCACCAATAGCGAGGTGATGATCGCCCCTCTCTACCTCCGCGCCGGTGATCACTGACGAGAGTGCGATGTAGATATTCTCAGCCCAGACAGGTACGCAATCATTGCTCTCACCGACGACATATCCACAGCTCATGCCCCGCGCTGCCATCCAGTGTCCCTCCGCTACGAGATGGAAGAAGGCCACACGTTCGACTTCGTGGAAGGCACCATCCCAGCATCTCCCGCCCCAGGTCCGTCCAGTTCCACCAACTCCGGCTCTCGACGGTCGGACTGACTCCCCCCACTCATACCACACAGAGACGACGTCGTACTATCCCGACGCAGCCGCACACTTCAACTACTTCGATCTAAACTCCGTGTCGAGCATGCAACTCGCATTGGAGCAGCTCGACGAGTACGTCAAGCTGCAGGGGCCGTACGATGGTGTCATTGCGTATTCTCACGGCGCCGCGCTCGTCGCTACTTACATCGTTGCCCAGACACTGGGGCTGGGGCTGAACGATGACGGTACACCCCGAGCCCATCCCTTCAAGTGTGCGATTTTCATATCAGGGGCCCGCCCCGCCGATCCAAAGGCTCTGCAACAGGGTGAGCTGCGGCTGCTCAATGCGGAGCAGGACGGCGTGTTACTGCGGCTTCCTACGGCGCATATCTGGGGCACGAACGACGCGTTGTACCCGGACACCAGTGAGTATCTCAGTCAACTGTGTGATCCTGAGTCCAGGGCCGTGTTTCTGCACGAAGAGGGGCACAATGTACCGAGCGGTAAGGCGAGGGAGGCTGTGTTGGGAGCTAGCAAAGCCATTCGGCGGACTGTCGACAAGGCTATGGCTGTGGTACTCTGATACTATTAGAGATGAGCGTTATAGTGATACGAATTATGCCAAGGGGATTTGTACCAACGGTGCTGTGGAACATCGGCGTACCTAAAGGGAAGTCATTGAAACGTCCGTTATTTAGTGCAATCTTCAAAACTTTTCATTGGATGGCTCTCATGCTGTGAACGTAATTCCTTGAATCCTTTGCAAGTTTTAGTCTATATCTCCTTAAAAGTCGTACGACTTTGTCGCGTCACCCCGAAGCTGACACGTCCCAGCTTCATGAAAACCTAGGTGAATCGAAAGGATTCGTGGAGCCTAACACAAATTTCTCTACCTTGCGCTGCTGTTTGGCCCCAACTCTATCAAGCTATCCATCCCCTGTTCGACCAATTTCGATTCCAGCCCAGGCCTACGACGAGGACCTGAGCCGCGGCGAAAGCGATTATGACCGCGTCCTGCAAGTTGTACGCTTTGGCCATTTCCCGAATAACGTCCACTCGCACGGGTAGTGGGAGTCCCTTTAGACCCTCGGTGTTTTGGAGAATACTATTAAGCGTCTGGGCGTCCAAGATGTTGGCGAGCCCAGATTTGACTCGCTCATTCCAAACATTCGATGCGATGGCGATTCCAATGACCCCCCCAAGAAAGCGGAATTGGATGATAGCCCCTGAGGCAATGGCTAGAGCAAGAATTAGCGTAGTACTTACGCAGTCTGGCACTACCGATGCTCACATAGATTTTCTTGGTTTGCCATGAATGGTGTGGCGAGTACCAGAATGCCGAAAGACATCCCCATGCCAGCTCCAGCTATCGCCGCATATCCGTAACCACTATTTGGGAACTCGCTGGTTGTGGGGAGGGTCGTTAGTAAGGCCAGCCCAATTGTCTGCAGTACCGCTCCAATTAGTAAGACGTATGCCATAGCTAGACGTCGCTTAGAGCCGAGGACATTCGCGAGGGCAGCGCCAAATGCTGCGCCGAAGGTGTATGGGAGCAAATGGATTCCGGCCTTCAGGGCGCTTTCTCCAGAAATGACTTGCAATCGTTGTGGGAGAAAGATGACAACGACATTGAATGGGACACCTGCAAGAAAACTGGATCTGTCTTGTTGTCAGCGGATTGAAAGTGGTTAGCTCATTCGGGCGCTGTGGATGTCTTACAGAAGCATGGCAGCCCACACACGATCGCTGACGAACAACCAAGGAAGGAGTGGTTCTTGCCCTGTTTTTCCTTGAGAAACATACCACTCCCAAGCAAAGAACAAGATCCAGCTAATTCCAGACAGGACTAAAAGAGCTATCGTTCCTCCAGCGGACCATCCGGAGCGGAGTGAGACTTCGATGAGAACAGATGATAACAGCAGGGACCCAGCCAATAATAGAATAGCGCCGACAAAGTCGACTTTCTTGAGTCCATTGGAAGAGACTATAGGTATGCGTCTATGAAGGGGATGAAGGTCTGACGCGTGGTGTGGGAAACCCCGTGGTACGGCTAGTCCGAGGCTCACCAGAACGAAAACGCCGATGGGCAAGCTAGACACATGTCAGGTGCAGCACTGTAAGCTTTGAAAAGTTGCTTACTTCAGGTAGAATATCCATCTCCAACTGGTGTGGCTGCTTATCAGACCGCCGAGAAGTGGCCCCAACAAAGTCGCCATCGCAACCGAAACCGAGTTTAGGGCCCCGTACAATGGTAACTTGCTCTTGGGGATCATCTCATACGTAAACAGGGTGGACATGGAGTAGCATCCAGCTCCACCAACGCCTTGGAAGGTTCGGCAAATGATACTGTACTAATGTTAGCATTGGGCTCAACTTAAGAGAAAAGAAAGAGTTGGTATGTGCAAGGTTGAACTCACAGCTGGGTCATGGTCTGACAAGCTCCGCAAGCGCCAGAGAAGGCCGAGAAGATGAGCATAGTAGCCATGAAGGTGGTTTTACGGCCAAAGACGTCGCTGAGTTTTGACCATAATATCATAAAACCTGTCACGTGTAAGAAGCAGCTACGGCTGTGCAGTACTTGGACATTAGAAATTCCATCTCTTACCCATATAGGTCACCAAGTATGCGCTCACAATCCAGCTAGTCTGCATGAAACCATTGAGGTCTCTCACAATCGCAACGAGAGAAGTGCTAACGATGGTAACCTCGAGATTGATCACTAGTAGTGAAAGGACGACGCTAGATATTCAGTCAACAAGCCGAACGGCACTATCTCATCCAGCCATTATAGCAACACGTACGCAAGGGTTGTCAGGTGTAATCGCCAGCCAAAGAGGTGAGAGAGCTGGCGGTCTGGCAAGATGGGAGTCGCATCGCCGATGTCCGTTTCGACGTCGCTTCGAGCATTGGAAATTCGAGGCAGCTCCATGGGCTGCTCGCTCGTTTTTGAGTTCATTGCATTCCTTGGTCTTGGTGGTCTCGAGTGTGGTGAAATGAGCAGGTGGGTTCATGGGCGAGCAAGGTCGTTAGGTGAGAGAGCATGTGCTTGCATCTTTAAGAAGGAGAGGGCGAAACAAGCTTTGGGGCGCGTTTGCCGGAACGCCTAAAAACGCCACTAACGGTCGGCTATTACAGCAAGTGCAGCTGAGTTACACACGGATAATGTGCGTTAGATGTAGTCTTACAACAAAGGCGTGGCGCACCACGCCTCGGCCTTCACATGTCTTCATGGATCTGTCACTCCGATGCGGCAGCTTCTTCCTTAGCATCAATTCAAAATATTTTCAAATGCATTCAAAATCTAATCATCCGCCTAAATTCACTCTAATATAGCTCAAATCGTCGACAATGAAAGGCTCTGTGACTGGAATGCACCCCTTGCACTCAGGCTCCCACACGTCTGTTTATTCTGATAATGCAACTGCCCGCTCCTTCACACAATTCACTCCGCCTTAATATGTCATGATAGTTCTCTCTTCGTCTTCGGTTTTGCGGGATCGGTGGGATCGGTCGTTTCCTGAACTCTGTGACTCAATCTTGACCATCCGATGAGAGTCCATTTGGGATTTTGGAAAGGAAGAAGTAGTTGTCGTGCGTTTAGACAACAACGACGGAAGCTGCGATTTATCCCAAACCCGAGCGACGACGGGCTTCAAACAAACAAGACATGCTGCAATGAGATATAAGCCTGGCTCTATGATGGAAAGAACAATGAGCCTCGTCGCAGTCCACGTGCCGTCCTCTGCGAAATCCCTAGTGAAGAAGCCGACGAATCGTATTATGGCTGTCACTACTCCACTGGAGGTACATGTCAGCTCGTGATCTTCAGCTGTTGGTAGAGAATACGAACATAGAACCTGTTGCAAATGTGATTGCCAATCCAACTTTCACATTGCGTGAGACATGCAGCTTGATAATAACGGGAATCGGGAGACCTAGCATAATGAGATCCGTTAGGATGTTCATCAATGAGCTCCAACGATACCAAGCATCGATGTCGATACAGTGACCGCCGCCAGGAAGATTTTGATTCCAAAGAAACTCCAAGGGTACGCAAATGACGAATGCTGGAACCATGGACCCGATACAGTTCGCAACGATGAGGCCGGCTGTGATCCAGCAGACTGCGCGGTGAATGGGCTCGCTGAAGATGCGAAGATACAGGCAAAGGATGCTGAGCTTGGGCATGGCGATGGCAGGGAGATACGTGAGCGGGATGATGAAGGTGAATTTTGCCCATGTTTTCAGTTTCCACGGCGTGTTCTTTGCCACGGCGACGACATGATAACCCACTCCACCCGCGTAGACATCAACTGGAAAAGGTCAGGCAAGTGGCCGAATACATAGTACGAAAATGGCCGAATTACCTAGACAAGATGCAATCACCCCAAAGGAGAAGATGGCGGCGGCTACTATGAAAGCATCGTCCCAGCCCCAAGGCGCCTTTTTCATACGTCGGGAGACGAAGCGTAGGCATACAAAAAAGATATGAAGCACGATAAAGATTGAGGCGCAGAGGATGACGCGGTCACCGTTATACTCTGCCAGGTACTCGGGCGAGTAATGTGGTTCGGGCTTATCGGCCATGATGGTCGCTATTCGCCAATAAGGGTTCAGGATGGGGAAAGAAGAACACCCTGAAGACCAAGACGAAGGCTGGATATGTGAGAAGGATGTGCTGCTGACGCCTGCGGCAAGGGGGCGGCGTCCTGGAAAAATATACGAAGTGGGGGTGTCTCGAATGCATTTCAGTGGCACACACTCTGTAAATTGAGTCTAGATTAGAAGCGTGATACATCGGTGTCACAGCGTTATCATTCATGAGGCGGTGGTACCCGGCTTTTTCGAACTTGGTCGGCGCTCGCGACTTGATAAACCACGACTTCAAACGTGTATTTCCCTCGCACCTCTTTCACCACCTCCAACCAATAACCATGGCTGAGAAATTGAGCCCCTGGCCATCCGCCCGTCACAGTCTTGTCGTTCATCATGTCGATCGAATTGCCAAAGACCACCCCGACACTCCGTACGCCGAGTATTCGCGCTCGCCCACAACATTTGCTGAGGGCTTTCGCACCGTAACATACCGCGAACTTGGGAGCGCAGTCAACGGCTTCGCCTGGTGGATAGAGGACCGTCTAGGCAAAGGCGAAGCCTTCCCTACATTGGTCTATCTTGGTCCCCACGATCTGCGCTTCATCATTTTCCTTCTGGGGGCGGTCAAGGCGGGCTATAAAGTAAGCCTTGCAGTCACACAACATGTTCACCATGCTTGATCGGGTCCACTCACCGGCGCCCAGATGCTCTTCCCGGCACCACGTTACAGTGCAGAGGCTATCTCGGCCCTGATAGTCCAGCTCGAGGGCAAAATCATGCTCACACCAGCTAGCCATCCGCCGATCACAAATATGATTCTTGCCAAACACGAAATGGAAGTCTACCAAGTCCCAGAGCTGGATGAGCTCCTGGACCAGGTCCATCCGCATTACCCCTACGACAAGACATTTGAAGAAGCACGCGCCGAGCCGCTCGTGGCTGTGCATACCTCAGGCACAACTGGATTTCCCAAATCGGTCATTTGGACCCATGAGTGGGCTGATAGCTTTGGCGCAGAACGCTATCTAGAGCCGCCAGCCAACTTTGTATCCATGGACGGATACATTCTGGGAACACGTGTGTTCAGTCTTATGCCTGCCTTCCATGTAAGTTCCAAGTCTTGGGAGGGGAGCTGCAAACTAACGTAGGGGACAGGCGTCACATTTGTTCGCCAGCATCTTCTTCTCCATTTATCGGGGTTCGGTGCTACTCTACCCCCTGTCCGGCATGCCACCCTCTGCGGCAATGGTTGCGGATGCACTACGTTACACAAAGGCGGACGTTGTCGCACTACCTCCCCCTTTCTTGGAAGAGATGGCCGCCAATCCAGAGACGCTCCAGCGTATCTCTGACCAAGTCGAGACTGTCATGTGGGCCGGTGGCGATGTGTCTGTTGCTGCCGGAGACGCCGTCAGCGCCAGGATGAAGCTCTTCACTGCCTGCGGTTCCACCGAGTGCGGACTGTGGCCCATACTCGGGCCCGCCGTTTGGAATGCGGATCAATGGCACTACATGAGATTCCATCCAGCGATGAACATGCGCCTTGATCTTTCTTCGGAGGCCGAAGGCATCTACGAGGCCATCATCCAGCGCAACGACAGTACCAACGACTCCTACGTGCAACCCATCTTCAAGCTCTTCCCCGAACTCGAGGAGTACCGAACAGGTGATCTTTTCCTTCGCCACTCTTCGGAGCTGGGTCTTTGGCGGTACTACGGCCGGGCCGATGATCTGCAAACATTCTCGTCTGGGGAGAAGTTCCATCCCATGGCTCTGGAGCAGCGCTTGACTCAGTACCCGGATGTGCACGAGGCTATGCTGGTAGGGACAGGGTTCCCACGAGCTGCGTTACTCCTTCGTCTGAAAGAAAGCGGCGCAAGTGATGGTCTTGAGAGCGTTTGGCCGCTCATCGAAGAGTCGAACAAGACGTGTCCGACATATGCCAGGGTCTCGAGGCAGCTGGTGTATTTGGTCGACCCGGACAAGCCATTTCCAAGGACTGTCAAGGGGACCGTGCAACGAAAGGTCACTGTCGAGCTGTATCTGGGAGAGCTGCAGCGATTGTTCAAACAGGCAACTGTTGAGGAATCGCCCGCACCGCTCTCGGCATTCACATTGCTTACAGACAACGCCAATTGGTGAAGAGTTTTGAATCACTAGGTTTGAGCAAATGTGGAGGAATTGCAGTATCAGTGTAGATTCGCAGCCCCTTTCGGTCAGGTGTCCTCGTAGAACGAGCGATCATGCCTTATGCTCAAGCAAACCGATGAAATGAAGAACGCCTATCCATTTCCAGTGTACATATGTGTCGCCGTTCAAGGCAAGACTACCATTTGCATCTCCTTGACAATCAAACCATGCCGCCATTGACACCAAACCCTGTGCTAGCAGCTGCAGCTATATAGTCACAGCTGGGAACTCGGCCGCTTCGGCGGATGCTTCTTCTCCCACTCCGCATGAAGCGCATTCGCCTTTTCCACCTTGTCCTTGATCTGAGCGTGCAGCGAAACGTACGGCTCGCCCGCCTTCAACAGGTCCGCCGGCCGCCCAGTAGCAAAGTCGATGAACACAACCCAGCCGGCACACTCCGCAACGACAGCTTGCTGGCGCAGCGACCAGATCGTCGTAGTAGTGAAGTACCGGTCCGGGCGAACGTCGCTAAGCCTGTTCCCAACAAGCACCTGCACTCCACCATCAGCGAAAAGCCCACCTCACACAACCCAACCCAAACCTACCGAGTCTGGATACGCAGCCGGCCGCTTGAGATTGTACGTGTACCCCTTGAGCACGGGGCCGATGGCCTTGCCGCGCAGCATGTCGGCGTACTTGTCGCCCATGACGGTGGCGAAGCTCTCGAACAGGCGCATGTTGGCCGTCGACGCGTACTTGGCGTAGATGGGGTTCGAGACGTGGTTGTTGGGGTCCTGGTCCGCGGACCAGTCGACGGGGATCTCGGCGAGTGAGTCGTAGTCGTAGCCCATGCTCACGGCCGTGTCGACGGCGGCGGTGCGCAGGGCGTGGTAGGGCGAGGGCGCGCAGGGGTGGTAGTTGGAGGAGGCTTCGAGCGGGGAGGCGAACTTGGGGTTGGCCATTGTGGTGAGCGTGGTGTTGGTGTTGATGAGAAGGTTATGCAGGGTGCTGGAGAAGTTGGATGGATAGTCGCAGGGGGAGTTGGCTTGTGAGGTCAATGATGAGGGTGGAGTTGTGCCGCACTGGTGCTAGGTAGGCATCGGAGCACGGGGTGGCAGAAAATAAAGCTAGCTACCCCCGGAATCCGAAAGCGAGCTGCAAGGCGGCCGTTTGATCGACCGGCCCGCCTTGTGACCACTCAATACCGGTGAAATCATCCCATTCGGGCCGAGGGCTTCTTCACCGGCACCGTCCCCGTTTTCTGTATGGCCTTCTCGGTGTACAAGCGAACACATGTGTCACTGTGGCTCTGTTAACAAGCCCGCCATTATTCTATCAAAATTTAGAAGCAAAGCGAAAACGTTGCAGATATTAAATTGAGAGGACGACACAACGGCTATCTATATACCCCGCGTCAAGGGGGCTAGTAAAAGGCTGGTCTCATACTCAACCAAACTTCTCGCCATGACTTCTGCGCTCGGTTCCTTCGTCTATTGTCTCATTCTCGCTATTTCACTGGCACTAGGTTTGTCTTCACTCACGGTAAGCCTATTCCCTCCATTGGGCCCGATTTCTATCATTCTCCACACGAGCTAATGCATGATAGGTCGTCGGCATCTGTGCCTATCGATTATGGCTCCACCCTCTCTCCAAATACCCCGGGCCCTTCTGGGGGAAAATCACCAATCTTCACGCCGCGTACCACTCGTGGAAAGGCGACTTGCATCTTGATATGTGGAGATGCCATGAGAAATATGGTTGGACGACTCCGTCCCTGATCTTGCCATTGCTAAGTCAGTAACGAGGCGACCACATTCGTTACGGTCCCGATCGTCTCATATTCAACACCGTCGGGTCAACCAAAGGCAAGTCTTCGGAGAGATTGTACTTCATCTGTTCCTTACTTAGGCTGATGAATTCGTCCTAGATGTCTACTCCTCTGGCAAGGACGTGCATAAATGCAAAGGCTACCTTACCATGATGCATCGAGTCCCCAATACCATCACCCAACGCAACAAGACCCTCCACGCAAGACAACGCCGACTTTTGAGCCACGGATTCTCCGACGCTGCACTCCGGTCCTACGAGGAGACCATCGATCGTCACGTCCAACGGCTTTGTGAAAAACTTGGTCCTGACGACTGCGAATCTGATGAGAATTGGTCTTGCGCAAAGGATATGTCAAAATGGAGTAGGTCAATTGAAGGATAATATTTAATATAGAGATGCTTACCACGTCATAGCTGGGTACATCACTTTTGACATCATGCTAGACATCATCTACGGCCGCCAAAGTGCGATGATTACCAAAGCAGAGAACAGGTATCTCCTTGAAGCCATTGAGAAGTCAAATATCCGAGTCGGAGTCCTGATGCCGCTTTGGCATCTTAAAGGCAGCTTTATCGAGCGATATCTGTTTCCGAGCTCCATTGTGGCGCGATATGAATTCCTTGCCTTCGTCAAGAATCTTCTCAAAACCAAGGACGATGAAGGGGCTGATGCTTCATGGAGGCAGAGTGTATACTCGATCCTGAAGGGATCGGAGGGCAAGGAGGGCCTCGGACCAAATGAGATTGCGGCCGAGTCAACGAACCTAATTGTAGCAGGTTAGTCTATTCCAATACATTCCTCGTCTATTCTTCTGCTGATACGCTAGTAACTAGGCTCTGACACGACCTCTACAGTTCTCGCTGCCGCCTTGTTTTATTTATCTCGCGATCCAACTGCATATGCGAAAGTGGCAGCAGAGGTCCGGTCTTGCTTCCACCGCCCTGCCGACCTCCACAATCGTTCTCTTCTACATTCATGTCTCTACCTCCGGGCGTGCATTGAAGAAAGCATGCGCATGGCGCCACCGATCGCATCCGCCCTTTTCCGTGAGGTAGATTCCGGTGGCACCATTATTGACGGTCACTTCATCCCCGCCGGCATTGACATCGGCACTTCCATTTACAGCATCCATCACAACAGCCAATATTTCCCAGAGCCCTTCCAATTCCTCCCGGAGCGCTGGCTGCCACTGAAAGACGGAAGTAATCAGAAAGATGTCCAAGGTGCACACAGCGCCTTCATGCCCTTCTCCATCGGCTCGCGCGGCTGCATTGGCAAAGTGTTGGCCGTGATGGAGCTCCACAGCATCCTAGCCAACCTGCTATTCTTCTTCGACTTCCGTGTTGCAGAGGGCGACGTAGGGGCCATTGGTGAAGGGAAGAAGGATGCAGAGTGGGGAAGGCATCGGGAGGGTGAGTATCAACTGTATGATCATCTCACAGCGATGAAGTATGGTCCTTTCCTTCAATTTCGTAAACGCGAGCTGTAGAAGACGATTCTACACTAGCATTTACTCCAACTTGTCGGCGGAAGATAGAGCCGGCCTACTTCATCTGCCCCTAACGAGTTCAATGACACTGTCGCTCTTACACTCTCCCTCTCGTGAAGGACCTTGATTAATCCGTGATCCCTGTCGACGACCCTGGACAAACTTGGCTGCCGGCGCGGGTCGGTCCGGTCGATCTTCCTCCCTGCTAGCATCGCAGATCCCTTTTGCAGATCGGACCAGACTAATGTCGCTCTCCAAGCTCTCCGGGGATTGCTGAGCGAGCGTTGCTGGGTCTTTTGGCGTATCTCTTACTCACTTCAAGCCATCGGCATCCTACGGTAGGTGCTGCAGTATCAATAGTATAGCTAGAGGTAGGCCTTTTCCTTCTGATGGTCATCACACTACGTTTTCCTATAGCATTCGCATAGGAACTCGCGGAAGAATGGGTCAACGGCTGCTGATCCAGGACAATTAGAATATCGTATAGAGACCGCAGTGCAGCGTCATTGATTGCAGCGCACTAGGGAGTCTCGTTTTGCGTGGCCCATTCAGGGCGACCTCCGCTATCTGAAATCGTATGTCTTCAAATCTGCCAAACTCTAGGGATGGCGAAAATTCTCAGCTGAAACTATAAGAATAAGCACAAAGCGTGTCTGCTTGGCCGTATCATAGTTTGCTCACCTTCCCGATCGAATCGACCACTTTGCATCATTTACCACGCATCTACGAGCTGTAGCTAGGTCCTAGGATACCAAAATGGCATGAGGTAGAACTATATTTAACGAGGTGCGGAAGGCAGTCTTTCTCCTTACCCTTGCTATGAGTCGGTTTGTCTTTGACTTCCTCAGCGAACATTCTCTATGCCCTCCGCTCGACCAGGGCGATCATCTCCAGATATTTCACATCAAATGAGACAACTGTCCTTTTGAGTGAAATGGATCCATAACGGCAAGGAGTTGGGCAAGTCTCTTGAGACCGCATCTTCAGCCATCGACGCTCAGCCGCACGACATAAGCTGCAAGCAGCCTGGCGTATGCTTACCTATACCATAGACGGGCTCGCCAGCTCTGCAGCCCCGTCAGTAATGAACGTGGCCGAGGCCTAAGGAAACGCTATTTGGTTGAAGGGAATGCCGAGCAAGCTCTTCTCTTCGCGAGGTTTGATGGACGAGCGTCGATGTGCAAGAACTGTGCCTGTTGGAAGATCATCAGTGCTGCCATGCACGGCAGAACAATATCAAGCACCTCAATCTCATTTACTCTCAGAGAAGACACATAATCTACATATCGTATATGGATTCATAATATCTTACCTACCCCAGCGCTCTCATGTCCACTGATCGTGTCCCATGTCTTTTCGCTATCAGAAAAGTCACATGCTTACTAACAGAATCACCTGACTATCACCGTCTCCTATGTATAAAAACTTCTTCCGCAAGTAAGATCTCATTCTTCATCGGAGGGACACAGCTCAAGAGCCATTCAAAATGTCGATTGCACAACTCGCACGGAGTGGGCTGAGGACTTTGGCTTTAAATGAGCCACGACAACCATTATGGAGTGCTGGTGAGCGCGGCGAAACTTGAGTCACCTCGTCGTCCGATGGCTGGGGATTTTTTTCCGGATTGCTGATGCTTACCATCTCTACCACGTCCATGCGGGCTGTTGGGATGAAAAAAATGCGAGTGGGAAACAGCTATGTGGAGAGGCGAGTAGCATCATCGTGTCCAATTGCTGAGTCGACACTCCACACGCTTCTTGGCCCGAGGCGGTTTGATCCCAAGGCATTAGCCAGTGCATTCATGTCTTTTTCAAGACCGCAAGCCCAGGTCCCCACCCCACTCCATGGCCCATCTGCCTTCCACACTTTTGCAGAACCCAACTGCTCCTCCACGATGAAAAAGAACGTCTTCCCGCGAGTTGGGAGAAGACTTTATACCCCCAGAACTAGGCGAACAACTTGGGACCACATGCTTCTCACGTGCCTTCTTCCCTGCGCTTCCGAGATAGCAGCTGAGCCCAGCGGCCGAAATGCGTCCGGTCATTCCTTTGGAGAATCCCTCGTGACCGTTATGTAATCTACCCTTCTCCCGGGTATAAAACCCTTTTCTCGGCCGCCCGAAGCCTGAGTCTTCATCGAAGGTGGGAAGAACTGATGGAGTTGTCTCCAGAGACTCTGGTATCGCCGTCCCTATCAGTACAACTTCCCGGCTGAGCTTCAAAAAGCGAATCGACGAGATCCTGATGGAGGAGGAGAAGCGGAATCAACAGGACCATACGAAAGCGTTAATGGGGTTGGAGAGAGAAGGTGGCCTGCTACCTTTCGTTGCTGATGCTCGTCTCAATGGTTTTATCGTGCTGCTCGTTATACCAATCTCACGCTGGGGAAGGGTTCCGGATATCTCGAGAGATGGTTAGCATTATCATCTTTCACCGCTAGGCGAGCCCGCACATAGCGTGACTCTAGTGATGAGTTGCTGCTCCCAGCCATTAGGAGTATGAGCACTACTTTTTGACAACTCACAACTCCAACACAGCCCATGGAAACTGTATTCGGCCGATTTTGCAAGCCCCAACCCCAGCACCAACCATTTTGTTGGTGTCCAGCTTGTCTTGTCTCTCCAACCCTCCTCCACCGATAAAGAAAAACCCTCCGTCCGCCGAGCGAGAGGGAGATTATATACCCCAGCTTACCCTAGGCTCACCTAAGCAGTACGTGTTCCACGCGTTCCCTTGCCCTCACGCACCGACTAAAGCATCTCTCTCTTCCCAAATCATCCCCATAGGCCGAATCCTGGCAACACGATCCACGTGGGCGTCACGTGCCCTTCCCACTTCCAAAACATCTTTCAGGTATATAATCTTCCCTTCTCTCGCTCCTTGCTCAGCTCTTCAGCGAAGGAGGAATGGAAATCGGGTGTGATATAAAAAAAAGCCATCAGAAACGTTCTCATGGGGTGGAGGTGGACTTCCTGGTTGCACATCCAAATTTCAACAGGATTGTTGGAATCGAGTCAACTTCTCTCGCGGCTAATTGGGGTGCCGAAAGCACACGACCGTGCCGTCGATGGAGCAGGAGTAGGGAGAAAGGTGTCCACTTATCCAACTCGCCCACATCATGGAGGTGGAGCGGGAAGTTCAAAATTAGACAATCTTCCAGCGAATGGAGGAAGGAGAGTGGTATCAACAGGGTAAGGAAGCACGACTGATGGAGTTGGAGTCCGGGTCCGGGTTGGGGAGAGTTCGGTCATCTCCTTTCGCTGATGAAGACGATTGAGAAATTCTCTCTTTGCTTGTCGTCAAGACTGGTTAATGGCTGATAAGAAGCGTTTATCTGGGAAGACGGTCAGCATTATCATCCCGGTTGGCGCCCAGTCCCCTCCCCACCATCGCGGCATCTTCTGCTCCAATTTGCAACGCGCCTAGCACCCGCCCATTATATCGCAATTCTGCTCTATTGCTCCCACCCGTGTTTTGCAACACCAGACTGCAAGCGCCTATGAACGTATTATTGCCTCTGGTTGCGCGCACCATCGCCATTTCCATCTCCTCTTTTGCAACGCCGCCAGCACCCTCCCATGATACCGTACCTGGGCCCAGTTGCTCCCAACATGGGCTCCTCTTCTCCCACTGTTTTGAAACCGGCCCCAGCACTCCATTATCCTTGAGATCTTCACGATTTTGCAAAATCCGACCCTCCGCCATCCATAGAAACCCGAAATCTCTAAGAGTTTTGCGAACCCCACACTCTTCCTCGCTGAAGCACTTCTCTTCCTCGGCGCGAGCGAGAGGGTTTATACCTCAGCTACGAAGCTCGGCAACGTGCTTCACGTGTGCCCTTCATCCCTCTATTCCCCTTCCTTTGTCTCGCCTCAGCCTTCCGGCTCTTCTTCACCGCTACTCGCCCACGCCTACCGCTAACTACCCGGTATCGGTCTCGTATGATACGGAGTCTGATCACGCACCCGAGGCCGGTGTCACATGCCCTCACCCTGCCGAATCTTCTCTTCCGAGGATAAAGACCTCCTTCTCACCGTTCCGGCGTCTTTCTTTCTTTCTTTCTTCCTCGGAGAAGTAGGAGGAGAAGGAGAAGGAGAAGGAGAGGTGTTCAGGGAGTGATGAAACGCGACTGCTCCTGCTCCCATGGCTGGGGTGGAGGAGTAGTGGATTCGACACATCGCTCACGATATGCCACATGTGGCGTGTGGTCTAGCAAACGCAGCTATGGGATAGCAAAATGGAGTCGTGTTGGGCTGGTCAGACTCTCAGACGAAGCCCACCATGGCTGGGGACGGGGAAATAGCAGCTCAACAACTAACTCCGCAACTCCTCATGTGGTGTGTGGTCCAGCAAAAAGCGCAATCAAACCGAGACATAGAGTTGTGTCGGCTGGTCAAAACCCACAATACGCACTTCGCATGGCTGGAGAGGAAGAGAAGTGCTGGACCAGCACAAATGGACGTGCAGGCCAATGGCCGGGTTGCGGCAGAGTGCTGGTCCAACTTAGAGCAGTTGAAACCTGCGATGGGAGGCTGGAGGTGGAGAGGGGAGGGAATCAAACTGGCCACCAGCTGCCGTGCATGGAGTGGACGTGATGGGCGCTCTACTGGACGGTGTGATGATGCTGAGGAGTAGCCAATTGCACTCGTGCTCTTCGCCGATGCCTGATGGCGTTGGTAGGTAGTATGTTCCTAGAAAGATGGTTAGCAGCAGTGATAGAGTGATGTTGAGCATCGACTTCCCCAGGCCTGGGAGAGGCGGGAAATTTTACACCTCCTCGAAATCGTATTCCCGCGACTAGAGCCTACAGTGACAGGTCAGAAGTCTGTGCACAAGCGTTTACCACTGCTTGGGGTACCCTCCATGATTTTCCAAAAACCTACGCACCATGTCAGGTTTCAAGCACCGCAAGCTTGACTGTTTCTTGACTAACTGGCTGCATACTCGCCGGGCTGGTCCTCACAGTGGTGTCGAGCGAGCAATTTTGCAGCCAAGCAGTGATATACCCGTGTGCCCAGACTTATGGCCTAGTATTGTAAAACATGGGACTTTCACGCTGAATGGCGGTGTACAGGGAATCTTCGAGACCATTCAAGGCTTGCAGCGTGGCCGGGACTGCGACAGTGGACTGGGGCGCGGGTGGAAGTCGTACGGTATGCCTGAAATATGTCTCCAAGTCAGTAACAAACATCTTCATCGAGCGGTCGAGACTCACATGGCTATGGGAATATATTTAGTGCGAATCGCTGTTAGGGTGATCCTCAGAAACAACACAGCATCACAGCATCCAAGAACACCATGATGATAAAGTTCGCCGAATCATAATTCCGACTCTATAATACAATAGGCCCTCCGACCTCTCCTTTCCATCCAAGAAAAAGACAATCGAACGACTCTCGAACCTATCGCTGGTTCGTATCGAATCGTCAATTTTGCCACACATGCAGGAGGACGAACAGAGCCAGCCAGCCACACAAGCCGCAGCTCACACCACTACAAAAGGAAGTACTGTGTAAAGGTAAAGGAAAACAGACAAAAGGAAAGAACAGAGGAAAAGAAAAAGAAAAAGGAACGCAAGTGCACAGTCAGGGAGAGAATGAAACCGTTTCATCTCATCATAAAGTCTGTAGTCAATCCGCCGCAGAACCCCAAGCAAAAAACACATTTTCCACTTATCCCCCAGCAAAAAGCAAAGTACGAGAACGAGATAATGGAGGGCTGCAAGCATGCAAATGCATAAGAGATACTAGATGCGAAGACTGCTCTCCAAGAATTTGGACAAGAGAAATCTATATGGCGGTCCGTAAATGGGAAATATGGTGTTCAGGTTGTTGTGTCTATATGGCCCCAGATGCAACGCAAATGATGCTGGAAGAGTAACGACTGCGAGCCCGCCGGGATATGATAGGCTAGGGTGCCTAGACGCAAAGATGCTAATAGTGGTGGGCGGCGATGAGTTGCTGAGGCGGGCCCATGCTGGTATTGCCCATGCTCAAGGGGCCGGGTATGTCTGAGATTGACGGAGGAAGATTCATGCTGGAGGAAAGATAGTCGTTGCCTGAGTCAGGCGACTCCTCCTCGAGCGAGCCGAGGTGATCGTCGTCATTTTCGAGATCTTCATCGCTGAAGCTGCCGAGCGGCTCGCCGTCTTGACGGGACTCATGCGTGCGGCGATGCCTGCGGGCGGCTGTTAGCATCGTGTCTATTTTTGGCAAACAAGGCGGCGGGTAACTCACTGCGCGAGATTGTCGGATCTCGAGAAGGCCTTGTTGCAAAGCGGGCAGACGTATGGACGTTCTTGGGTGTGGGTACGCACGTGCCTGGGCGCGTAAAGTCAGCGGCTATTCTTGGAAACGGCAAAATTGCGGGCGCTTACCTCTTGAGGTGTTCCAACCTCTTGAACAGCCTGCCACAAGTCGGGATCGGACACGAGTGAGACTTCTGCGGGTACGGCCCTAGCTCCATCATGGTGGCGCTGCGAGCTCTCCGAAACACACCGGGAGCGGCTGCAGTGCGGGTCACCGCTGCATGATGCAGGGGAGTCTCGTAGACATCCCCGTTCACCAAGTTGCTGAGGTCGTCGTGCGAAAGAGTCGAGACCTGCTGTGGTGGGCTGTCCTCCACAGTGTGGAGGGGTGTTCCCGTTCTCGAGAGGTCGACAGTGGGCTTCGAATCCTGACCTATGTGGTTGTAGGTCGTGCTCTGTGGCGAATCGTGGTTGGACTCATCAACCTCAGCCACAGGCATCACAGAGCTCGACATGGACCGCCGAAGGTCGCTCGGTCTGTGCACTGCATGAGCAGTTGCACCACCGGTTGCCGTCACCGCAGCGCTGACGCCGGTTGACATGGACGAACGACGCCGCCTCTGCTTGTAGGTAGGCGAGCCTTCAATGACCGAGTAGACGTTGGTGGGAGGGTATGGCCGGGAGACGTTGGAGAAACCGTGGCCCATCAGGTTCGACGGAGGAAGCTGTATTAATGGGTTGAAGCTCGTGGAGACGCTCAATTCAGGGATGGCAGTGTACAGTCCAGTGTCCTCGTTGGCAATGTATGCAGGCTCAGCTCCGAGGCTGATCTGATGTTGGGGAGGAGTAATGGGCTCAAAAGACATTCCGCGCGTGCTGTAGTCCTCGTAGTGCGACGACACGAAAGACGGTGCAGGCGAGTATTCCATGTACGCGGGCATTGAGCTATGACGTTGGTGGACCTGTGAAAGCGGGATGCCGTTGCGGTCGTACTGCATCTGGCTGTATTCGCGTTCCCGGCTCTTGATAACTGTGCTGCCCATGCTGGGAGCCATCGACATCTGGTTGTACGCGGTCATCTGGTTGAGGGTCTCCTCCGGAACGGTTGGCGGCATCGCCTGCGGCATCATGTTTGGGGGCGGCATCGAGTCAATTGCGCGCATGACGGGCGATGTGGACTGCGAGTACGACTGGGACTGCACATTGTTGTTGAACGACGACGAATTGGTCTGTTGGGCCTTGGTAAGCTGCTCGAACAGCGATTGCGACGAGTCGAATTCGAAAGACAGCGCGGGCTCGTTGACTGCGACGGTAGTGGCTTCCTGGCCCATTTTCTCCCTCTTCAGGTCGCGCTCCAGGGCATCGAGGAACAGGCGGTCGTGGGGCACGCTGTACCAGTAGAAGACCTTCTGCTTCTTTTGCGTGCGGATGCAGTTGTTCTTGTAGAGGAAATCAAGGAAAGCGCTCTTGGGCTCCTCCAGCGACGCATCGGTGCCAGACTTGAGGTTTCGCAGATCCGAGAAGATGCCCTCCTCGAACTTCTTCGAGTTCTTCACGGGCCGGCCGAAGGCCTGGAAGCGGAACGAGAGACATCGCACAATGTCGGTTCCCGAGATGTGGAAGAGGTTGTTCCTGCAGGATGGTTAGCCGCGTGTCGAGGAGCCATTAGCTCATCGCAATCGGCAATGCACATACCAGAGCACGCAAGAAACGTATTCGCCCGTTGGTAGTAGGAACCTGCGGATATACTGGTCGGGCTGCCAGTCGACGGGCGCAGATATGAGGAAGTACTTGACTGCGGGTGGGTCGTTAGCATTGCGGTGTGCAAGCCCACACACAGGCCCGACGCATGCGCGACGGGTGAGGCTGATGAGCGAAACACTTACGGTTGTCGACCTGCTGCAGGGCGACGATGGAGTCTGGCGGCAGGCTCTGCTGGGCGTCCTGATCTAGCAGAAAAGTTTCAGGAGCCACGGAGCGCGACTGCGGCGGCGGCATCTGGGCATGAGAGCTGGAGTACATGTTGCGCTGCAACACGACTCTGTCTGCGGGTGTTTGGCGTGTTGGTCAGACGATAGTGTGGTTATTGAAGGGTGAGGATTGAGACGGCTAAGGCTCTCGTTTTAGGTCCTGCCAGGCGAGTGAAAGGTATGAAGCGCACAGCGGTTGGAAAAGACTTGTGTGGTTTGAGATATGTGGTTAGAAGGGAAAAAACGGGAGAGGGCCGGCCTCGTAGCGTGCTGGAGTGCGGTCAAGAGCGTCGTGGAGCGTTGTCGACGGTGCTTCAGACACGAAACAGCAGACAGACGGGGGGATGGCACGGCTTTAGGTGTCGGAGAGATGGTGAAACAGGAGATTAGGCCCAGCGTAGGCGTTTGGGATCAATCTATTTCTGGCCGGGCGCCGATTGTGACCCGACCACGGCAAGCCAGCGACCCTCGCGAGGCCCCGAGCGCGCGCCCGTAAAGCCAGGTGAGAGGCACACGCACACCGACAGCGGTTGGCTGCGAGGCGCGGTCCGGCTCTGGATTGCTGCCGACGCCAGAGCGTCGTGGCCTCCAGCCGCCCTGTTCTCTGCGGCGCCGGTGCTCCTGAGTGGTCCCCGCAGCGGTACCTTGGCTGCCCAGCCTGCTCTCCCTGAGCCTGCTCTCCCTGTGCCTGCCTGCTGCTGTTCCCTGCGCTTCCCTGCCGACTGCGAGCCGGTTCCTCGCCCGCCCTGCGAGTGGCCGTGGCCTGGCCGTCGCGATGGTTGCGCGGGAGAGTGACGGGCGCCAGAGCAGGACGGGCCGTGTGGACTGTGTGGACTGTGTGGACTGTCGCGACACCACAACCACCGCGAGACAGCAGCACCGGCATCGCGGTGACCATCCATCACCAGCGCGCTTTGCTGGCCGGAGAGCGGGAGCGAGGTGGATCTCGTCGCTCGCCGCCGTGGCGAGCCCATGCGTCGGAGTGGCAGAAATGCAGTCTAGCGCCATATCGACCACCACGCCGCCGAAAAGAGCGCTGCCCGCCGATGGCCATGCGTGTGCCTCGCCTCAAGCACACTCGCGCAGGCACGCTCGTCTCCAGCGCTGTTGACGATCGAGTTGCGAGTGTTGAAAACTCTAGCGAGCGTTGACGATGCTCCTGGCGATGAAGCCGTTGATCGCGATCGTCGACGCAGGGCTATCTAAATCGTGGGATGGAATGTGGAGGTAATCAACACCCTCCCTCCCCCCCTCCGGCCCTCCCTATCTGGCCGCTATGCTTCTCTCGCTACTCCGCGACTCGGACCGCACCTGCACGGCGAGTCGAAGAGGCAAGGCACGCCCAGGAGCCAGCGAGCTGCCCAGTCGAGCATGGCGGTGAAGACTCCAAGCGTCGAGGGTGGGATGTGCCGCGCCCACCCACAAGTCTTGGAACTCGTGATAGACTTCGGGATGGAGCGACACGCCTCCTCTGTAACAGCTCCTTCCTCCATCCAGCACGGAACATCCTCAATTCCCGTGCCTCTGGCCACGGTCCATGCTACCAGCCGTGAACTCGTCTCACGGCACACGTCTCAGTCTGATAGGCGCACAATTATAGACACGAGGCTTCGCGGGCGGCCACAGGTCGCTCTCTCACGATGCCGTCCGTCTTGCCGCGCGCGCCCAGCAGCCCTCCGTCCCTCACGAAGGAAGGCCGGACCGAAAACAGGGCTGAAGTCTCTGTGCGATCGCCGCTCCTAGCTGTGGCTGTCCCCGCGAACTCTCTCTGTGCGTCGCAGTCGCTGCAGGAACAAGCACTCGCTGGTGGTTTGATCTGCCTCTGAAACACCAGCACGCAAAATCCAAGCTTCCCTCGCCAACGCCAATAACGCAATCGCGGCCCCGCCAACCAGCCTCTCTCTCCTCTCCCACCCGTCGCTGGCTCGTGGCGACAAAACGGCGGCCCGCTTGGCCTTGCCGTGGAGAGCAGGTGGGTGAAGAACGTCTGGCGTCTCGCCCAGCCTGTTGCCAATCAGCACGTGGGGCGGCGGCCGTGTTTCAGACTTTTGCCTTTTCGTCCTGGCCCCGCTTTGTCTGGAGGGTCCTGCAGCAGCGAGTCAGCGGGCCGAATCCCGTGATGTTCCCGGTGCGCAAGCGCTTAAGACTAGTGTTAAGAGGTTGGGGTCCTCGTCAGCGGTCGAAAGAGTGGTTGAGGGCGGCTCAGTTGAAAATGCCAGCAGAGCGCGCGCGAGGGTAGATGGGGCTGTGTCAGGACGTGGATGAGGCTGCTTGGGTGGTCTAGCGGGCGTGAGGATGGTTACATTGACGGGCCTTCTATCTCTTCCCGCTGATAGAGCAATAGCGGGAGGAATGGTGGAAGTGTGGGGGATTGGCACCCGTCGAGCATCCGCCTGTCAGTCCTTTGCGATCATCGTGATTGGCAAAAACGGTGCGCTCCGCATGTCTCAACTTATCAGACCTGCTTGTGGCTCATGTCCTGCCATCTTGGATAGATGCTGAACCCACCAGGCAAAGACTTTCAGATCATCCGTTCTGCTAGCCGACAAAATGCATCATCGAAGCACCCTGTAGAACTATGCACACAAGTCAACGATCTCCAAATATCAACTAACGTTAGCAACTCGCAATTGCGGATCTCGATTCGCACCAGACGAATCCTCCAGAGGATCGATAGACTAACTGCCCAGCCAAACTCCTACATCTTCTAAAGAAGCGAGCAAAAACCAGGCCCCTGAAACGTCACCCTACATGCCCAGCTCCACCTCTGTATCCAGACCCTCTCCGGTCCCAACCCCATCTACGTCCTCATGACTTGCTCACGGAAACCCTTCCGCGATATTCCGTTGGGGTCGCCGCCGGCGGTTGTTCTCAAAGGCAAGCCATGATGCTGCACACCACGGTGCTCTCACCTCAAAACGGCATGTCGAAAAGCCGTACCTGCATTAGCTTCCTCAGCCCCCGCTCCACGACGCACTCGAAACACCACCTCGGCTGCGCGCGCAAGGACTGGTCAAAAGCGATTGCGTGCAGCTGCTGCACCGGCACGGGAAAGGGAAAATGTGGGAGTGGTATGCAGAGTCAAGATGCCCCGGATGGCCCGTGATGGTGGTGTAGGTGCCCCCGGTCGTATTCGATTGGCCTGAGCGGTCGAGATCTAACCCTTCGGAGGCGCATCAAACGAGTGAGGTAGGTGCGTGTCCGTATTTGGAGGAGGAGGCTCCGCAGGAGGAGCGCTTTTGGGCGAGGAGGGTTGCGACCTGCCCGGTAGGTCGGTATGGTTTGGGCGGGTGCGTTTTCGGGAATATACCAAGGCAAGCAAAACGTGAAACTGGCTCTGAAGAGCGAGTGGAGCTTTGAGAGGAGTCCCGGGGGTCTGTAAGAGGATGGATGATCTTGTGCGGTTGGGGGTAGGGACGTGGTTGCGGATGTGGTGGGTTGTTCCGAGAGCGCGCGATGCTGGAGACGTTTGTGATGGATGGATAGGCGAGTTGATGGGCTTGCAAACCGGAGTCGTAGATGCCACGTGCGCTCGATGTAGGTGCCTCTCTACTTTCTAGAGCGTGTATGGGAAGGGTAGTTCACTCTCTATTTCCAGTCCTATTCAAACCCTTCATCTAGAACCAGCGCATGCAATGCAAGTATTGCTTCCCATCCGCCCTATCCCAAGAGAGAAACTTGGGTATCATAACTAACTGCTGCCCAAAAACACTAACATCATCGATCGAGAGGATGCACCAATATCGATTCCCACACGCTCTGTTTGCTTCTTCCTCCCTTCCTAACAGCAGTCGTCTTTAGGTTTCCCGGACACGGATACCTCGTTTCAGCATCGTCGCTACAGCACCGTCGCTACAGCACGGTTTCAAGCCCTCCGCACGGACATAAGTAATGAAGTCAAAAGCGCTGATCGCGGTGCTGAGTGAGGAAGGTCGGCTTCTTGGTCCTCGTGGCTAGCTGATCTAGCGAACGAACGTCACTCTTAGCGTTGGATCTATGGAACGACAGTCCGAGCTCGGAATGGCGACAAGAGTGGCCGTGCCTACGATGAATTGATTCTGGTAACGTCTATGCTGTGCAGTGGGCGCGTGCTTTGCTGCAAGTTTGGAAGTGGGGGGCGTTGAGCTAGTGAATGTGGCTGTCACGGCGATAGTTACTTTTCGGGCAGTGGTTGACTGTGCCTTGCAGTAGTTGCTCGTGGCCTTGATTTCCAGCGGTGATAGATGGGAATATACTCCGAAGGCGGGCAGTAGTGGCTGGTGCTGATAGGAGTAGGCGGCCGTAGACTTTTGGATTTTCTTTTAGCAACGTCCATGCTGTGCAGTAGTCGCTCGTGGCTTTATGCGCGCCGCAACGCTAATCGACTGTCTAGGGAATCTGAACGTCATTTTTAGCGTTGGGCGAGTAGAAATAGGCTGTGTGGATGTTAATGGTGTGGTGATCATGCGGTTGGTCGTATTGGTCGTCCTCGACGTCTATGCTGTGCAGTAGCCTCATGGCATGCATAATCGTTCGTGGTATACACGTCTATCCGGAGAACGTCATTCCTAGCTCAAACCAAGGAGGAGACCCCTACTCGTACTCCGCTACTACGGTGACTGGCTGTTCGTCGAAATGGTTTCGCAGTTCATCATGCGCAGCAGTCGTCCCAAAACCTCTTAGTAGCCGACGAGTGTGAGTGGAGCATCTGTTTTGCTTGTTGGCGTTTTGTCCATGCGGAAACGTTGACGTGGTAGGTTTGAATGCTTAGAAAGGAAAGCGTAGTGAAGTTTTGAGATACGAAGGTGGAGTAGCGAGTTCCTGGATTGAGCTTGTAGAGTGCCCTGGTCTCTCAATGCTCCAGGGCATGATTACGAACGCGTACACAGTACGCATCGAGGTGTAGGTGTAGTTAGCCATCAATGCTCACGTACGCTTTCTAGATACTCGTGAGGTCAGGTGATGATCGAAACCCCGGCAACAAATCTTGTTCCCAAATTCGCTTCATGCAGTTGCTCGCTTCGGTCCTTGAATCTGCACCTCCCCATCACCACCAGCAACCACCGTCACACCGGCCCCGCGGAACTTCCAAGCTGAAGACTCCATCGCACATGCCTCCCACCGTTTGATCCCCAAGATCTCCACCCCTACCCATCGTGTCAGATGCGCCCCGTATCCCCCCTGGCCTCCCCGTCCCCGGCCGACGTTTCAGGTTGACTCGCGTACCTCAACCCCTAGCCACCCTCAGCACCTTACCCTAGCAAAACCACCCTGCCGACCTTGCAGTCCCCGCATTTCCAGCGCGGCTTTCGTCGAGTCGGTCGCTGCCATGCCTAGTCGCGCCCTGTGCGCGGCCTGAGGAACGAAGTTGCGAGCTTCTGGGCCCGAAGCTTGGAGGTGAGGTTGGTCCCTCCTGCTTACCTACGCGGGGCCTCGGGTCCATTCTGCGGATGGACGTCCAGAAGCGACACGGAAGGCCGGAAGCGACTGAGCCAGCTCGGTGGAAGCTCGTGGTAAACTTTGCAAGGGTTAGGTCGCGAGGCTCAAGAAGGATGCCTTGGACTCAACGGACTCAGGGAGGCTGTACAGCGATTGTTCGATAGGAGATAGCATCAATAGTGATGCGAAAATTATTCAACTTTTTGGTCGGGTTCGGTTGGGATGTGGTAGTACAGTACATCGCGAAGGATGTGACTTAGCTGTTGATTCGTCAATCCTGAAATCGGGTTATGGGGGTTTGAGGGTAGAGCCGTGACGAGCATTGTTGCTCGTTGAACATGGGAATGTCAGCATAGGTGGTAGTACCCGCCCGCTCGCATACCGAGATCACGGCGGTTGCTCTCCGGGTGTGGCATTGGCCGTGTGAAGCTCGATATAATTAGGTATCATTGAAGCAACCTTCCATCCCCGGTGTTATTGATGTTTACTTTTCGCCGTGAGCTCCTGGCGCGAGATATCGAGACCGTATTCGTAGACACCCAGAAAGCAGAGCGCTTCGTGAGCCACGTCGCACATGACATTGGCTGCGCCTAATTAGCGATTAGAGTTCTGAAACTGTCACCCGCTGCTTTTCTGTTAGGCACGCGGGATTCTGAAACAGACGTTTGTGATCCTTCGTCAGTCGTCATGGAAGACACCAATTAGGAAGCCAAGCCGGTGTTCTAGAATGTGACGATTCAGGATTGTGGATTTTGGCTTGCCTACTGGACTAATCGCTCTGAAAATGTTGTACGCTGAATCAAAGTTTTCGGGAATAACGGCAAGAAAGTTTGTTACTTCATGCTTTTATTCCTGGCCTCGCCTACCTAACGATGACGTTTGGAATGAGACCTACTTCCTTCCATACCTACCTGCAACATGTCCAACTCAGTGACGAGTGAACACTTTTGTGATGTTTTGGTAATTCCAACGCCCTCGAACTAGGTTTGGAGAGTCTCTTGAAGGATACAGTCTGCTGCTGGCTTTCAAACCGGGGACTGGTCCACCGAGAGTAGTGCTCATCATAGCATTCGCATCACTTCACCTGCAATTTGTTGCTGACGCCAGTTGATAAATTCAGGAGTTAGGATTCGACCGTGGCCGCTTGGTTCAACCTGGAAGACCTCGATGACTGGTGATTTCTCCAGGCGGCGGATCTTCCAAATGCCCTCTGATGTGATCGTCTTCTTCAAAACTGCTCGTTGTCAGTACACGTTGCTGCCTGAATCGCTATAGAAGCTATCATTCGAACTCACAGTCTAGGAAAGCTCCGGTGAAATTGATGCATGAGTTCCCGTCCCACGTTCCCTTGCCGTTCTTGACTTGGCCTGGTATCTTGAGGACCTCCAGGTTTTGAAGATGTGTGAGTATGCCTTCCTTCGTCCGGAAGCCGACCGTGACTCTGGGAACGCCTAGAAGGAAAGACTGCGCCCAGAACTTGAGGAGTTTGCGCTCAAATTTGAGGACGTCTCTATCGGATTGGATCACCTCTGACGTCTTCAGTTCAACCCAAGGTATCGGACGATCTTTTGAGCCGGGAATTTCTGGATCGTATGGCTTCTTGGTCTGGACTGCACTACTATCAGTACACCTTTGTACCTTAGTCGTACTGATGGCTGCATACCTGCGTCTACCTCGCCGCCAATGATCAAGCTGGAATTCGCAAAGCCAGTTTTGACCACCGAACAGTATTGAGCTTTGTTGCTCACGATATGTTTGTGTCTGTTTTCGATGAACTCTCGGGAGGTTTCGCCCCACGTATTTGGCATCACGCATAGTGTCTCGAATTTATAGCCTACCATAGCGTTAGTAACTCCACTTGAGAGCATTGTGAGTGACCGTACCCCAATAGCTCATCATATCTTGAGAATGAGCGCCTGGTCGTGAAGGTTGGCTTCGTTGGCGGCCTTGGTCGGCGACCTTTGCCTCGTGGCAGTCTTCAATGAATCTAGGCCTTTTAGATATTTCGTCCCGTAGCAGATCAAGATTGTGTCTTACATTGTTCCCTTTAAGTAAGATTAGCTAGATTATTACGCAGAAGCTGTGTGTAAGGGATGTCCTACTTGGAAAAGAGTTGCGTTCATCTCGAACCTATATCTCGTGAGCTTGGCACAAATGTGACCTAAGGGCTTCTCTTACTTGCTGAAATGATCAAAAGGCGCCGTGAGGATCTACTGTATGTCAGTACTACGACCAGAGGGCTCGGACAAGGCTTGTACCTTAGTCACCATACCGCGCCAGGTGATGAAATCGACTTCAGAACGCTTGCCCTCTGCCTTCTCCATTTCCATGATGGTAGTCAAAAGACTATCAAGATGCTCGTCGATGGAATCATCATGCTTCTGGAACGTGTCGAAGCCATCACATAGGTTAGCGGGTAAATGATGAGAATACTCTGGCGGGTAGAAGTATTTGAGCGATGACTCGTCAAGACGGAACTTGTGGTCGTCATCGTACGAGAAGTAGGCAATTTCCTAGATTTTATTAGACATGTGCCTGCCGCAGTCTTGGCCTTGTACATGGAAGTGCAGCTTGAGATATAGAAGATGTAGTGACAAAGATGAACAGGCTTGAAATGAGAAGGTATGGAAACTCTGTTTCAAGACGTGTAATTCCAAGTTACGACAGCATAGAGATCATTCTCGTTATGAGTGATATCAAGGTAGAGACGCGTAGGAAATACAAACTCTCACCTGCGGTCTCTTCAAGGGCGGACATTTTCCAGCAAACCGATTGACCGGCTGAACGTCAAAAGTCGCAGCCATCACAGCTAACACATTCCGATGGATCAGGCGAGTTTCTCATTCACTCTCTCGCTGCTTCGACCTTTCCCATCTGTGGTGTAGATGAAAGAAAGAGCTCTCCAACGTCGGCGAAGCTCAAGCTCAAGCTCCGCAACGGGAGATCAACACAAGGATGCCGCGCTCTCCACCTCCAAACCATACGCCCACAATCACAAGCACTCAACGCCTACAAATCCCTATCCGCTCCCGCCCTTCTTCCCACTCCTCCTCGCCTCTGCCCCCAAATCCGTACTCCGAGTACGAAGCCATGACGACGCGCCATCCTCCCCGTACAACCACCGCCTCCGGTGTTCGCCGCAACCTCTTTCACCATCGCCGCCCAACTACAAGCTCGACCTCTACCTCCGCGACAACGCTGCAAGTCGCGTCCGAAGATGCAAATCAAGAGATGGTGGCGCGGGATGAGCATGGAAATTATAGGCTGGAGCAGCCGGCTATGACGCCCTTGCCCAGGAATGATTTGCAGGAGGAGAGGGGTGGGTTCACATTATATGCATAGAGATGTATGGCCGTTCTGACACGCTGACCATAGAAGCGGAAAACCGGCTCATAGAAACGTATCGGAAGCATCAACAGCATATTGAGCCGCATGGTGAGCAGTTCCGGCATGGGGTTGGAGTGAGATGATACTAATCTTGGGCAGAATTGAAGGCGACCCTCCAGGCGAGCTTGCAGGCGAAGGTTGCGAGTCTGGAAGATGATAGGTGGATGTTCGAGGCTGAAGATGCGGTTGCGACGTGATCGGGGTGTGCTTTTGGGGGCTTGGGGTTTTTGGGGCGTTTGGAGCGAAGATACCCACATCCTTTCTCGACTGAGGCTCTTAGCACGCGAACCAAAGCGAATATGACTATAGCTCCGCTGTGGACACTACGACAATATCAAAGATTTCGATTGAATCAGCACCGAAGACAGGAGTCAGATCCGGTAATCCTAGATGTCATCATTGTCCGACCTTTCTCTCTGCGCCCTTGCCACCGGATATCCCCTAACGCATAACATTGAAGATGTCTGGACCCTCATGATGGAAGATACTAACAATCTGAGCATTAGGGAATTTGGGCAAGAATTTGGGCAAGAATAAAGCGCCACAGCAGTTGCACAACAAGCGGAAAACAGTCGTGGAGAACCAGAATATCATCTTCTCATTATCATCATATGCTACATAGGCCGTAACACCGCCATGCTACGCTGAACAATACTCATAACAAACCAATGCTCAATCAAGGCCTGCTGAAGGCGGAGCTTCGACCTTCTTGGCCTTGGGTTTTGACGCCCCTCCTCCCATTCCGCCCATGAACATGCTGCCCATCATGTCCATCAATGGGTTGCCTTGTTTAGGTATCTTTATGGCGAAGTACATCTCGCCGATCTGGTCCAGCGCCTCGTTCCATCCTGCTACATCCTTCAGATGCGATGCGTAGTGACTCTTAAGCTGCCTGTAGAGGTCCGGCGCACCCCTCTGCACAGCCAGAAGCAACAATCCCAAGAAGTTGAGCAGCGGAAGACTGGGGTATACGCGGATATCTGAGCTGGTGCTGCTCACTTCCTGGGTCCCAAGGTTTGGTTTCGATTGTACCAGCTTGCTTGTGAAGATGAGGAAAGACTTGTTCGCGGCGCGGACGTTGCCAGTGAGGAGATAGGGTAGGACAGCGCGGGCGGCGTATAGTGGTGCAGTATGGGATTCGTCTTCCGAGTACCAGTCAAACTCCAGCCTCGCGAGATGATCTGGGGAGTCTTTGGTGCCGAGTATGAGGTGTCGTTCCGCGTCGTAGGGCTCGCAGTCTGCTCAGCAATTAGCGACGATTATATGCCAACATGCCACTACCCGCAACCGCTACCCACCATCAGCGTATAACGTGCCGGCTACATGATGCAGCTCTGGATCTCCTGCTGGGAACTCGCCATACTTCGACGACCAACTACCACCGTCAGTAAAAACTCCGTCACCAGATCCTGAGGCAACGTACCCGATCATCTCAGATATGAACCGCTTCCGCGTAGGCTCTTCTGGTGGAAAACTCCGCAACAGGGTGAGCAGTTTCCCTTTCGTTCCAGCATCTGGCGTGACCTCGCCCTTATTGAAAACATCCAGCAGGAACATGCACAGGTCTCCTCCACTGCCTCCCTGGCCGGCTTTCAGAAGTAGCTGGGCGCCCGAGAAGAGGATATCGGTCGCAGCGGCATTGTTCTGTTGCCTGACATAACGCGATGCGATGACGCGCAGTTGCTGGTGGGCTTCATAGAACTGGCCTTCTTCGATCCTGGGAACTGTAAGTATACATTCCATAGTCGCGGACAAAAACACACTTCTGCTGCTGGCGCTGGATTGTCTTCTCTATTTTCGACATGGTTGGTGTGATATGTATAGTGGTGGTGTGTGAGTCCTGAATTCTGGGTTTAGAGGCACAGCGGTCGAGAAAAGGTGCCGATGACGAGCTATGACCCCTCCGCCCCGCGTCTGTCAATCTTTCACACATTCACCACCATACTCTCAACCATCATAGTCACCAGTCTCTGACGGCAAAAAAACATGTTCACTCATGCTTGCACCAGACAAAAACGATGCGCGGACCGGGAATCGAACCCGGGCCTCGGCCATACACGCCGTGCCGACGATGGGAAGACCGAATTCTACCATTAAACTATCCGCGCTACTATGGTGAGCGTCCACGTTCAATTTTTTGTTATATATATCAAGAGCTACAAGGGGGGCAACATCGATATGTGGCTCTAACTTGGCTCTGGATCGACTGCTGAAAATCATAGCTTGTTATAGGTCTGACAAATGCTCCACGTTTCCCCGCTCATGATTTGTGCTAGGGTCTGGATTTCAAGCGGTATCGGAGTTGTTTTGGGTCCGTGGCTGACTTCCTTTGATACCCTGATACTCAACTTTCACTAACAGCACATTAGGGACTTTGACGGCTACAAGTAGAACAAGTACCACCTCTTGATGGTCTCTGAGGGGCCTCTTCAGCAGCCCCATCATGGTCAGAGGGCTCCGTTTGCCCCCCAGATCATTGGAACTGTATTAGGCCCACCATACTCGAGGCCAATATCACAAGCATCAGTCTATCAGCAAGGTAGTTCTTTACTGAACCCGCTAGTCATTTTTGGCTTCTTGATGCGAAAATGTTAGTTGTCCTTGCTCCATATTGTTTCACAAACTCTGTTCGTCTTCCACGCAATTCAAAACAGTTGTCTTGTCAAACGCCGGGATACCTCGGTATCCGGCCTGGATCTCATGTATATCAAAAAAGCTGTGCATCTGTGCCTACCTCCAGCTAGTGTACAGTTTCTGGATATTCTAGACTCTACTGGATAGATTTCCAGGATTGAGCTGTTCTTAGCCTTGCTTTACTCCCTTGACATCCTTCGATCAAGTCTCAGCACCTGCATCGCTTCCCCTAAAGCAGCCCAGGCTCTCTTAACTTTTAGAAGACAGGATGAAATATCAGCTAATAAACCTCTACCAAAATTGCAGGTGACTTAGGCCGAGAGGCCGAGAGGCCGAATGCTTGTGCGATTACGTAGTGACTTCTCTTGGGGCTGACGCCGTGTTAAAATCCTTCCGCCAACATTCACCCTCATCCGACAACACATCTTCTTGAGAGCAACGTCGTAGCTTATCGCGACAGTAACGTAGTACCTTGCTTCAATATAGGACCATTTCTCGCCCTCATTGCGCCATAGCCTTGATTAAGCTGGTTCGAAAAAAGCCATGCTAATTGATGTTTAGTCGAGCTATATCGTCAAGGAAGTCGACACATGACCATGTCCAATAACACGACGTATGCCTCCGATCTGAGTATCCACAGGCGCTCATCGGAGGTGAAAGGACCATGTAATTTTGAAGACTGACTGTTGTCGCTCTTCAATCCCAGATCAATATATGTCGACGGTTGTTTGACTAACATCTCTAGCGAGCCACATGAATACTAATATGTGGAACTAAGCTCAAAGGTGTACTCCGTGACAACGGTCGCGATCAAAAGCTAAACTTGAACCTGACTTGCCCCTCGCAGCTGCAATTCCCTCGATAAGTATCCTCGTCGACCATATCTAGGCCTTTGAAGGTGTCGCAATTACCCATATCATCGCTCTTTTTAGTAGGTTCTATTTAGGCACTATCCGCTCCAGACACCTCAACTTGGCTGCTGCAGCAGGCCACCATACCACCTCTGTCGAGCCCATCAACCTCATTCCTGAATACATCTTCTACATCATTACCCTTAGTAACCTCTCAACCACATTCATAACAAGTTCAACAGCCTCAACCTCAGCTCAATCATCTACTACATCACCGAATGAGGTTCCCGTCTACGGCTCCTGGCACTTCGAGTCCCGCAGCATCAACTTAATCTTGGCGACAAGTCCCCGAGATCCCCGCCTCAGCAATCTCTCATTGCTTCTAAACCACATCGAAGGCCATATCACGCTCAACGCTGCCTCAAATCAATATGGCATGCATGCCGTACCCCGACTACTCATGTATTTCGGGGACGACTATTGTCACTTTTTGCTACACGTTGGATTTAATCCCGGAGACGTGGTGTTTGAGATTCTGGTTCGAGCTCGTGTGCGATAGGACAATGAATCAGCACTGTGAGATACTACACTTTTTGCAAGCGAAAATCAATTCGATGTTAGATTGTGGCGGGTTTAGGGCGTCAAAGCCTGTTTGTGCCGAATTTGCGAAACTTTCGAGGGCTGCTTGGTGTTATTGCGGGGAGTGTCACCAGCGAGATTCGATGATGGAAGTGTTACAGTACCAATACATAAGCTTAGGCACTCCTTGCAACTGGCTGGGGTGGTCCGACAGGCTTTAGAAACCAAAATACCAAGTAAAGGTAAGCGCAAGGGAAATCAGACTACTTTTTGACTAACTGAAGACGTGTGGGCTGGGGTACTCCATACAGTGATGTCGAGAGACCAAGATTAAAGCCAGAGAAGTGGTATATACGTGTGTCAAAAATGATGCCCCAGTGCTGTACAAGAGATTCACATGAGGAGTTCAGTGGCCTTTTGCTTTGCTCATCTACACGGTAAAGTTCACTGCTGACTTCCCCGCCTATTGTTAGGCAGCTTCAACTATATATATACCTCTGCGAGCCGCGCTCAACTTTCTGGCGGTTTCCATTAGCTCACCACCCACTCACCACCAACCACAACCCGGATCTTGATCACCACAACACAGCACCAACCCTACCTCATCAACCATGTCGTCAAACACCCCCGACAACTCTCAAGCCTTCATCGCCAATAATCTCACCGATCTCGACGCGAATCATCCCGAGGTGCCCGATGAATGCCCAATCTGTCACGAGGACATAGGCGCAGGCCATACCGCCGTCCAGATTACCGGCATCCCGAATTGCGCTCATATCTTCGGCCGAAATTGCCTAGTCTCTTGGCTTTCTTGCGGTAGAATCAACCAAAATACGTGCCCTCTATGCCGGACCACGCTGTATCAGGGACGGCGATCGCTTCGCGATCCGGATCCCGCCATGAGGCGATTCAGTCGTGCAAGACTCGAGTTGGCCCGCCTTGCTCGTCTTGGCCAGTCTGACGAAGATGAGGGTGTGATCACACGGGATCGGCCGCATGCATTTTTATTCAATCGCATGATAACTGAGCCTCGCTCCTTAGATCAATTGGAGCAAGATATCCAACAGAGGCTTGTGGGGGTGAGGCGAATGGAACACATGCTCCAGATGGCTCGGGATAACCTCCAAAGGGATCAGGAGGAGCTGACTCGACGCCTGGAAAATAGAGAAAGCCTTGGACAAGCTCGGCCTGAACCTATGCGCTCTGTATCCGATCTTCACGAGCCTGGCGAGGTAGCGCCCCTTCCTGCACTCCGACCAGAGGCGATTCGTCCACTTCAGCCGATCCGGCGGTTTCCTCCCATACGACAGCCCGCAGACGCCCAGCCAGACACTGAGACCGCTCAGCGAGGAGTGGAAGTGCCTCGGCCTCGCTTTCCAATTCCTACACCAGCTACTCACCAGCCCAGCGAGTATTTGGGTACCCCGTATCTTGCAAGGGCGATAAATGGACACCCTCCATATCGTCCGATCACACGGTCCTTGTTTTGGGACCATTCGGAGGTCGAGCAATCTCAGCGACGCGACAACGAACAAGCTGCGGTGCGCTTTCGCCTTCCTACGATCGGTATTCGCCCGTTCGAGTAGCGCGACGGAGAACGTGATGTGGGTTGATTTGGGGGGGGCTGGAGCGGAGATTGGAGGGGATGGTGAGGTCAACGATTTGAGATTGCTCTTTTGGCGCCGATTTCATATCTTATAGAACGGCGTCCAATGGTCTGTCGCTGGTCGTAATGGCTTGTAGTGCCTTGAAGAACGCAATTCAGATGGAAGTTTGTCATTTTGAGTAGACGGCAATGGCGCGGGGCCACCTCAGACAGTAGTCCGTCTAACTTTCTGATAGCACACTGAAGCACTATAATACTGGTCAATCAGTTTGGGCACTTGAATATACCACTGCTCTGACTTCACTCTTGCTCTACAGACATCGCTGTAAGGAGTGTCCTAGGTGTCATGTCTTTCATTAGTCAAAAGGTAGTCCAATTTCCAGTCGGTGACTTTAACAGCAACTCTGTAGTTTCCAACGCCTATCGGGGTAACCCAACTAGATGTCTGTGATCGACAGGACACATAGCAGGGCCGCTCATGGCAGTGGCAAAGTTGTGTAATCAAGCAGTGCAAGATCAGTTGGTTCACGCTTATGGTTGAGACATATGGTGAGAGCATATCAGGTTCCTTACCCCATTCTGACACCACTTGTGTTGCTTCAACGTACGAATAGAAACCGTAATCATAGGGATTGAGAGTAACGGACCACAGGTCCAGTTTGTGAACATCTTTCTATCCCCGCCTAGGGTAGCTTGGCAAGGTTTCAAGCCTGTCAAAATGATGGATTTGGATTCCCGTTAGATTGCGCAAAGCTCTCTGAAGCACTTCAAGCGGCGTCAAATTTGTGTACTGAATTAATGTCATAGTACTGTATGTACACATTGATACACGCTATACGCTGAGTGGTAGCGGAGGCTTGGAAAGAATACGCTAAATCGCACCACGCCCTTGCCCCCTCTTCCTCCGCTTCGTTGATCTCTTCATTCTTTACGACTCTCTACTGTAGTCATTCCGCACTGCCTTATGGGGTGTGTCCACAAGAGATGATCGCGGAGACGCATTGGTGTCATTAGATGTGGTTGCCTCGGACGCCGTCGTCTGAGTCCCAGGATGCACCACCCACTCTATGCGAGGCTCGTCAGATACTGTAACGAACCTAATGAGCCAACTATCCATCCTGGGTATCTCTGGCTGTGAGTCCTCGTCTGACAGTAACTGCTCGTCTAAGAGAGGCTCCTCGTCTGAAAGAAGCTCCACGTCTGACAATGACTCCTCGTTCATCTGAGGTTGCTCGACGGTGTGGGAGGTTTCGGCTCTATCTTGCTCCTCGTCCATCTCTTCCTGCCTCCAATGCGGGAATTGTCCGCTCATCCAGCGCGCGGTCGCTCTCCCTAATTCTCTACCAACAAAGCTCGACGTCTGCTCTGGCTCAATCGCCATATCCACACCCGCGTTTTCTACCAGCAGTACCTGACTGTCCACGCCGTTTGTCCTTATGTGCTCTCTGATAGGTTCCAGTTTACTCGGATCATACGTGGGGTCGCCCCTTAATCCGTAGATGAACAACACTTCCTTCACCTCCCTTGGCAGCTGAAGCAGAGGGTCCCCAGGTGACGGTGTATAGTTGAATAGGACTAGTCGTAGTTGATTCGGCATCTTTCCTTTGCTCCATTGGGTTGTCGCTTGCACGGCCGATAAACCTATCTCGCGGCGTCCGCCAAACGCGCCCTTGAAGTGATAACCTACCTCGTTTAGCCAGTTCACGATAGTTTGAAAACATTCAGGGTTCTGACGATATCGCACGCGCTTCTTGAAGTAGAGGAGCCTTAAATCTTGTGCAAATCCGGCCGCGAAATCGTCGTAAGTCCGATCTGAGAGTTCCTTGTCGTCATAGGCCCCACGGCAGATGATTAGATCAACTGGGACGTTTTCGGGACCGAATGAGGTACATTGTATGGGCGCTCTTCGTATTTCAGGCCAATGGATTTCAAAGTCGGTCCTGTTTACGAAACGTTCTGGGATTATAGGAACTTGCGCGCCTGTTTCGGTTGGCGTAATGGTAGCTCGTGAAGGCCTCTTCGGCTCTTCATCGTCTCGAGAAGCGATAGGCTCTTGCGATCTGGATTGTGTGCTGGGTCCAGTGTTAGGTCCAGTGCTGGTTTTGGTGCTGAATTCAGTGCTGCGTTCTGTGTTGGGTTTGGATTCGCTCGAAGGCTGTACGGCGAATCTCTTATTCGGGGCATCATCGTTGGAATGATGAATGGCTCTCTTTCCGGACGACATCGCGTGATTCGAGAACCTTGATAACGGACACGGGAGTTCGTTGAGACTGCGCGCGCTACGTCAGGAATATATCTTGAACACATTTACAATGAAAGCATGGATAGGTGTCGATTGGAATGATAAAAATCCATGGCGATGAGACGTAGGAGGGTGAGGCTCAGGTAGTTCTGAAAGGACAGCGAGAGGGATTGGGAATTGAAGAGTGGGCTAGAACAGATTTCATAGTTGAAATGCAGGGACTCTCTGGGGACTCACAGTAGCAACTTGGCTTGATGTAGCGAGTTGATGCACTGATGAAATAATGTAACGATTCGCTGTACTGACAGGATGCGAGTCGATGTACGGATGGGATGTTCAAACGAAGTACTGCTGATGGAATGTCGATGGAAGAAGGGGACTCCCATTGCACGCAACTATAGAGAAGGACCTCCATGGTTGTTTACGCAGCTTTGGTAGTTAGAAGGTGTTACCATAGAACTACGAGGTAGGTAGAAAGATTGAGTACCGAGAGCAAGTGCTGTCGTTAGAGGTTATCCGCGCTATTCCCAGTTTGGCACTACATTATCGTCAACGAGATATTTAAGACGACTTGTGAATGTGACACTGACTATGGGATTGAGTTTTCGTTGCATTACTCCACACTCTCCTCTACCACCGAGACATCCCCAATCAAGCCACAGCCTTCCGTAGTTCGAGATGCTCGGAGCCATGGATACAATACTCCTTTCGCATTAGCCGATTCTTGGCTCTGTACTCTACGCTTTCCATCGCCACCAAGACCTTCCTAAGCCAGCCGTCTTCACGAAATCACGTGCCTCTCCGTCCTGCCCAGGTGTACTTCTTCTCCGCCGCCGAGACTTTCCCCTAGTTTCCTATACCCAATCCACGGCACCACACAGCACCCAATGACACCTTCCATTTTCCCGAAACCGCAACTCTTGGCAAAGGAAGCAAAAAGTGTAGAGAGCCGGGGAAAATCTCACCGTTTCCTGCAAAAAAGCCTCTACAGAAAGTCCACCATCTCCAGATTTCTCAAGTTTAGAACTACGGCGTCCTATGCTACTAGGATCCTCTCCCGATTTCCTAGTATCGCAGCTCTTAGCCACCTACGTAGAGAGTTCCTTTACCAAGGAGCGAAGCGTTCCCCAGCTCGGGCAATAGAAAGCGTTTCTCGATTGGCCATAGGCATCTTGGTACCGATAGATTCCACGAGTCAGATAACTATCGAATACCGTCGTGGAGCGAGACTCGAGCATATTTATGGCCTCTGGAGTCCATACTTTTCCGATGGGGCCAAGCGTTCCGGATTTGGGGAACAGAAACCATTTCTCGATTGGTTGTGGGCACATTGGCACTAGGGGATCCACGGGTCGGATATCGGATCGCCGTGGTGGAGTCGAGTATGCTATTTTTAAATCTGGCCTCTGTGCTTCATAGCTTTCGAGGGAGCCAAAAGTTGCGGGATTGGGAGGTTGTGATCGATTTCGAGGAGGGTATGAGAGAATGGTACGTCGAACCTAGGGCTTGGGCGTGGCGAGGATGGGGTTGCATACTGGTTTACCACTGCTTGGAGTACCCTCATGGGGTTACGAAATCCGAACCGCGATTTCAAGTTTCATGTGATGGACTCTGAGCTGCCTCTTGACTGTTAAGTGTCCTAGCAATGGGGCTGCTCTTGACAGTGGTATCGAATTTCCAAAAGGGCACTGAAGCAGGTGTATATCGGTGTGCCTAGACTTCGGGCATAGTAATGCAATTAGTATTGAGCCGTGATCATTTGGTTGAAATGTGTTTGCTTACATCTGATTGGGATATCCGAAATCCTATCGAGGGACATTAGACAGTGGTATGGCAGTGTCAAAACACCAATAGCAACACTGTAGATGGACGAAGAGAGAGAGTTCTTCAATTATGAGACTCCAAAATATCGGTCCTACGGCTTACGATCATGCGGCCGTATGCTTTTTTTTTTCAGGAAGGAGAAAGTATGATACCGAAAGAGACATGACCGCCACCTTCACGTGTGTCTTAACAACCCCACGTGATAGCAAACACCCCCTTTTTCCCATGATTGACTCCCTAGCAACAGCCGTCGCATGCAGTGAATGCCACCCATCATCCGTATGCCATGCATAGTTCAATAGGTAATCCCGTAATCCCGTAACGCCAGAGCCCATCCGAAAGCCCATGCAATGCAATGCAGAGCGCTCAAACCCGAAAACCAGACCCCAAATGCATCTCAATCGTTGCCCGCCCTCCTGAGGCCCTTCGATCCATCGTCCGTTGGTTCAGAACTCAAGGCCTTCATCCCCGAATTGAGTCCTCTCAATTACCTCCCCGAAATCTTCTCCCTCGTCTCCTGCTTGAGCTACACCCTCCGCATCCGCTTCCGCCCCAGCTTCCCCAAACGCCCTCACCGCCTCTCCCTTCTCCATCACCTGCAAGACTTCTTTCATATCCTCGCTCGCAAAGTCCTGATAGAACTCGGTAATGCCGACTAGCTTGCATACCCTCGCCACCGCGGCCATAAGCACGAGTCCAAGTACCGCGAATTGGCCCGCCGCGAGGAGCTGGGTGAACGTCCTGCGTGCCAATTAGCCCCGCCGTGGCTTCTAAGGACCCCTCCGTGCCCACGAAAAGGTAAGAAAACCGCGAATCACTCACAAATACCACCCATGGCACACCTCGTCCCAAAACCCCAGCCTCTCCGTGACTTTCCTCTCCCTCTCTTCCTTCGCCTCTTGCGCCTTCTTCCCCTTCAAGCTCTTGATACCCTCAGTAGCGGCCTCAATTTCTCCGAGCAGGAGGCCTAGTTGCTTGCGGAACGCGACGAGGGAGCTGAACCAGTGGCTGCGGCGGTGCTGGTTCAGATTGCGGACGTAGAGGCGGGTGAGAAGCTCGAGGGTGGTTGCCAGTTCGGTCTTTTCGGTGCGCGTGAGAGAGAGTGCGCGGTTCGGGGTGGGCTTGGGTCCCATTTTGAGAGTTGCGGTAGTAGACTAGGGGACTTCGGGCAGTGATGAGATGATGGGGATGTGAAAGTAGTGAGGTTTTAATTCGGGATATTGATGAGATGGCGATGGTGATGATGTTGGGATGAGAGAATGTTGCGGTGAAATTGACGAGCAGGTGACGCTGTCCGGCGGGCTGCCGGTCGGTGCGGATAGCGGTATTGGTGTTGTGGTAACACTCCAATCCTGATCGTGTCGTTCTATGCTTCTAGCCGTGTCGTGAAAATGGGTGTTCTCCTCTAGCAAGTTCCTTTGCAGACTGAATTAGAGAGAAAGCTTCAGTTGTTTCCGTGCAGCTAAAACCCTTCAAAGCTGTCCTGACCTCGGTATACTAACAGCAATATCCTCAATCCAGTCTACTAATTCGAAGCCGAATCCTACCTCCAGCAGCGTGGTATCCGTATATCTAGCCTTGTAGCAATGTTCATGGTTCCGGCCCTCTAACTCCCTTAAGTATCTTCACACGCCTAGACACCTCTTTCCGGCGTCTCAGAACCCCCAGCAGCTGCAGGAATGACAATCAAAAAGCCTCGTGACTATTTCCTCGCCGCTCTCGTGGGCCCTGAGCGAGTTATGTACGTCGGTGCACGTCCGTTATCTCGTTCTAGAACTCCCGGATTCTCGCAGGGTATGCCTTTGCAGGGAGAAACTCGACACACAAGCAGCTTAGGTAGCGGGGCAACGTAGCATTTAAGTACCTGCTGCGCTATTAAGACTCTTCTCGGCCACCCCGATGCAGACTGCCATTGCCCTACGCTTGATGACTTGCTTCTATCTCGCGAGATCCTCGGGTGTCGAGTGCGTCGTGTTGCGTGGATCGAGAACGGCTTGTCTCGGAGTTTTGTGGCGTACCCGCAAACAGGACCCTTTGTGCCTTCGAATGCTAGAGGATATGGGGAACAACAACGATATAATAATAGATATTCACTAGGAAGGTGACGACGCGTATAGATAGATCTTGGTAGAATAGCACGCCGGCGACCTACAGTACCACGGGTGAACTCGATGCTTTTGACCCAAAGGCACGTACTCTTTCACAAATCCGAATTTTGGCCCCCTGCCGCGTAATCATGCCAAAAAGGCTGGGCCCGTCAGCCCCTCTCAGGGGGCAGCCAGCACTGGCCTATGGGCGGCGTGTGGAGAGTCATGGGCGTGCGTGCTAAGACCCCGGTGCTCCCAGCTCCCCGCCCGCGTTGTCTCACGCGCCGACATCATCAGATGGCTCGAGTCTTTGGGCCCTCGTTGTGCTTGTGGATGTTCTCTTTTGACTAGCAAACTTTGAGAGCCGGGGTGGGTGGCTCGGCCGCAGCTTCGGCGTTCTCGAGGGGTGTTTTGGCCCCCAGGGGCGCGTTCTGGGTCGCAAACCATACCGGAGAGCCTGGGAGCTTCAACTGATGAGTATAGGGCATTAATTGACACTAGGGCATGTAGCTGTATTCATCTGAAGAACTGAAGGCATAGGAGGTTTGCTCCGATGCCCTCGGTGGTGTCAGTGCTACGGGCTCCTTTCTCCGGACTTCCTCGTAACTCGAGCCCACGACCCTCGATACACCCCACACGAACGCCACTCGACTCTTCGGAACACATACAAACAGCCCTCCCCCTCTGCTGGGCGGATAGGATGGAGGATTGATTATGTATCCATTTAGAGCGCCTCCTGAGCGTCCCTGGGAGGCGGGATAGAGCGGCAGCAAAGTTCTCCCCCGGGATACTGAATCGAAGGAGCAGCGTGGCAAAGCCCGTAGTTTCGTCATTGTATTCACTCTCCTGTGCTTGCATTGGAATGCAACCCTTGATAGAATGGTCGTGTTTTGATGAATTGCCACGCCGGCCGTCCGGCCCTTTCACGAGCAGCTCCAGCTTGTTGGGGGCAGCGAATCAAAACCACCAACCCGACATACAATTCAACCTCCCCGACCTTGAGGAACATCATCAAACAATGCAGGAAGGGTACGACCTTCGTTCCTCCCTTGCCTTTATTAAGGCAAGCTTGCTTCAGAGGGTGGGAATTGGAGAAGGAGGCACCCCGAAAGAACAGCAAGTACAACACAGGAGAAGGGTTCATTGGACTGTCCTCAGCCTTTGCGTTCACTCCGCTGAAGCCCTTGCAATGCGTTTGAAAAAGCACAAAATGCCGTGCCGCGGGGCACAGGGTGGCTTCGAGCGGTAAGTTATGATCCAACTTGAAACAAACTGACGAGACAGCGAGCAGGCGACCTCGATTTCGAGAATCCGCGTTGTATTCCACTCGTACCCATACTCTTTCTCCAATATCTCTTTCCCTCATCGAATCCCTCTCGACCGATCGCCCGGGAGACTCGATCCCCAAGCTCCTCGTCGCGCAGTAGCGGCGACGCTCAGTCCGAGCAACAAAACCACCGAAAATCATCCACCCGAAATGATGAGAGCACTTCTCATACACCAGGGGAGCACCATATCGGAGCTGGATGCTTAGCTCCGTGGAGTAAGGGAAGAGCTTGGAATACTCGGGACAAATATGACCGTCTCCGATGGAACATTGGGGATACTCGGGAGGCTCTTGTCTCCCGGCTCACATCTCCGCAGGGCACTCCGAGGAATCGTAACATAGGCGTCGTGTCTATCCAAAAGCGTCTCATTTTGGATGTACTACCCGGTCCGCACCAGGCCCGGGGATTTTGGATACTAAAGGACAAGAAGCATCCGGATACAGGATGACAAGACCGGATACCAGATGAGGACCATGTTTCATTCAAGTCAATGCCGTCTTTGATGGCCATCTCTCAAGTTGTGTGGGAAAAATTCCGAAAGCCTCTTGGTCACCCGGTTCTGTGACAGATATTGCTCTCTGTCGTGTACGGTTTTTGGGGTATATCCGGTTTCTTGGCAGGCGCCCGAAATTGGTCTCTGGATTTAAGTTTCGTGATTCCAATCTTTTGGCCAAGATTGATAGCCTCAATCTCCGAGAGACTGGTCCCAGGGTGCTGGCCAGCTGATTGAAAAGGTTACTGGATGTTTGAGATACCAGTCTCCAATTGTTTTCCATAAGTTATGTTTCCCGGAGAATGGAAAGCAGACTCAGGCTTTATGTGTACCCATCCAGAGGGAATGGGCAAGCTTGTAACCTGTCTGAACCGGAACCCTAGTTGTGAAGTAGTCACCGATCTGCATGTATCCCGCGAGGTGATTCCAAGGAAATAACAAGAGCTGGGACATGTATCGAAGGTTATACCTATGGATCTTCTTGAAGTTTGTCAGTTTCTCGATTGTGCTTGCTGTTATGCAGCTCGACGCCATGTCTTGCAAAGAATGCCGCCGGTCGGTCCCGTAGGAGCCGCGATGAAAGCCGTTTTGCCATGCGATATTAGAAAAGATGACTAAGAAGAGTCCCATGAAAGAATCAAGACTGAGGAAGAGAAGGTTTACCTGACATTCATCCCTGTGGCGCCTTGCGCGGAGAAGCTCAACCCAGACTCCCGAACTATGCTAGGGGCGACGACATACCGGACCCTAAGTGGACCTTGTGACCATAGAGTATCCGTTAAGCCAGGATTCGATTTTCGTCGTCGGTTAGTTTGGTAATGAATCAAATTAGGAACCAGGCACCACCTCGATCTCGAAACCCGAAAACAACCAAGTCCATGATCACGTGATCGAAACATTGGAGCGATCCAATCGTTCCGAGTCCAAAGACATCCACACGCAAGGGCGCCCTAGATCCAGAACATGTTGAGAGGTTTCCTTTCATCGAAGGCATCGCTCGTATGAATGCATTAGCCTCGTACAGGCCTCGGATTCCATATAGTCGCCTTAGATGCTTGCTGCCGTGACGGCGGCGGCGAGGTCGATTTCAGCGTTCCAGACGCTAGAAAAGCGACGAGGTGCATGTATGAAGATACTGGAAACTACTTTCAAGTGCCTTGAGTCATCTCACCCCTTGTCGTCTCTGTTTTCGACGCGAGCAGGACGCCCGAAGGGCCATTTCGGGAACGACGGCAACGACGATACTGCTTTTTCTAATCGTACGTAAAGTTAGCATGAGGATTGAATAGGGTGCCAGGAGTTGCTTTCAGGTGTCGGGACTCACTCGGGCTCGCTATTGCTATCGTTTGCCTCTTCTTCCTCGACCGATTTCTCCACTCATTCCAAAGTGGCCGAAACGATGGCGATGTCGGCAATCAAACGCGCTAAATTGCACGAAAATCTAGGATGTGGATCCTCCGGGGTATGAGATGGAACTCGTGTGTGTCGATATCTACTCGATGCGGTATGGCTTCTATATTCTTCTTTGATGGGTGACCTCTACACAAGTAAACGGACTCTAGGAGCGGCGACAACAGCACCACTAAGCAGCCAAACCGTACAACACGTCTGGAGGAGGATCCAACACGATGTGAGATCGAGCTGCCGTGTGTCAACGAATACTCGGCTGGACATTGATGTCGTATTTCCGTCCATCGCTTGGCTTTCTGCGACTAACAAAGCTTCTGAAGTAGCGACGACGATGGCATCCGACCGTTCAAATGCTGCAAGAAGTTAGCACGGAGATCATATATACCCCTGGAACTACTCCTGAGCGCGTGGACTTATTGGGACTCGACTTCGCCGCCGCATCAACCCCAGCGTCTAGTTCCTTCAAGAGAACAAAGTTGCCCTTGCGGCGACGACAATAACAACTCAATCCAATCATTGAATCCTGGGAGAAGTTAGCATGAGGATCCTACATCATACTAGAGGGAGCTGCCGTGCGTCAATACTCACCCAAATGGACATTGCTGTCGTATTACTATCCATCGCCTGGCTGCTTGTCCATCACGAAGTTGCCTAGAGGGCGACAACAAACCAGTTGGGCACTGTAATCCTGCAAAAGTCAGCCTAGAGATCTTTAGAGGCATTGTATCCTGCTCCAATATGGCAATACTTGCTCTGGCTGACCTTGCTGCCGTATTACTCCCGGAGAAGTGGCTTTTCTGAAAAAAAAAGGAACGTTTTAGAAGCGGCAACAACAACACCTTTCCGACCGTTCGATCTCGCAAAACTCTAGGATGGAGATCTTCAGGGTCTTTAGAAACGCCTCTTGGATATCAATACCCACCCGATTCAACCATATCGCTGTCATACTCCCCGAGGGGAGGCTGCTCTGCGAGAGCCAATGTTTCAGAAGCGGCGACAGCAACACCAATTCCGACCGTTCAAATCCTGTAAAAAAAGTTAGCAGGGCGATCCTCAAAGTCCTCGGAAACACCTCCTGGGTATCAATACCCGCCCAGCTCAACCCTGATCCCATCTCTATCCTCGAGGGGTGAGTCTTCCAGCCACCCCGAAGTCTCTGAACGATGACAACAGCAACGACGGCAGTCCCACGGTCGCAATCCTGCAAAAATTTAGGATGAAGATTTTCAAGGTCCTCAGTAACACTTCTTGGGCGTTAATACTCACCTGGATCAACCATGTTGCCGTACAACTCCCCAAGTGGTGGCTCTTTCATCCACCCCAAAGTCTCCGCTCAAACCGGCGACACTGACGGCAATTCCACTGTCGGAATCCTGCAAAACGTTAGGGTGGAGATCTTCAAGGTCCTTGGAAGTACCTCCTGGTTACCAATACTCACCCAGCTCAACCCTGATCCCATATCTATTCCCGAGGGGCGGCTCCTCCGCCTAGGCCACAAGTCTCCGTCCGAACCATTGACAACGACGGCAATCCCACGGTCGCGACCCTGCGAAAACTTAGGGTGGAGATCCTCAAAAACCTGAGAAACACCTCTTGAGTATCAATAGCCACTCAGGTCAGCCTGACCCCCGCATTTCTCCTCGAGGGTTGTCCCCTCCGCCTATCCAGACGTCTCCAAATGGGCGACAACGACGGCATTCCCACGGTCGCAATCCTGTAAAAAGCTAGCCTAGAGATCTTCATGGACCTTAGGTCGAGCTCCCGTACGCCAATACTCACCCAGCTCGACCTTACTCCCACATTCCTCCTCTCGGGGGATCCCCCCAAATCCTCTAAACCGGCACTAACGACAGCATTTCCACGGTTAAAAACCTGCAAAAAACTCAGCACGAGGATACCAAAGGATACTAGAATGGCCTCCCGTCTCTCAATACTCGCCTAGCCCAACCTTGCTGTCGTGCTGTCTCCAAAGGGGTGGCTCCTCCGCCCATCCCAACGCCCCCTAATCGGCCACAACGACGACGTTCCCACGGTCGGAATCCTGCAAAAAGTCAGCACGAGCTTTTCCAAATCTCTCGTTTTTGAGTGTTTGAACCTACTCTGCAGCGGGAATGTTGCTGTTTTCACTACCGACGCGAACCCCGCCACCGCCGCAAAGGCCTCCCTGGAAGCGATTCAGACGAGCGAAGTCTTCGCGCTGCGAGCTTCCAAAGCCCCTTCCAGCGCGTCTGCAGCTTGGTTTCGCCCTAGGATGTTCAATGTTAGGTCTTGGGGAGGAGGTCCTAGGAGAATGGAGTGCAACTTACCTCTTCTGCAAGACCGCCATTTCTGGAGCCAACGCTCCCACAGTTCTGTGCCACTGTCATCGTCGCAATCTCAGTCTCATCGAGAGTCACTCAAGGCAAAAAGGCACGCTGCATATTGGTGGCAAAGCATCGATTCCGGAGCTGATACCCACCGAACCTCCCCAGAGGCGTACAAGAGTACATGAGAGTTTCTTCCACAAGAGAGCTGCTCGTACAAACCGAACCTCGGTCATCCTCAAAATCCCGAACCCAGAGTACCATACAGAAAGATGATACTGGATACAGCATCCATTAAAAGTATGGAAAGCAAAAAGCAAAACAACCTCCGAGAATCATTCTGACCGTTCGTATCTCATCTTCATCGTTGCCCGTGGCTCGTTATACCTTTGGAAGAAAGAAGCGAAAGAGGTCAAATAGACAGCAAAGAAGGAAATTCAGTCGAAAACCGGAAAAGTATTCTCACAACAAGTGAGTGCATACCTTTCGCATCCATATGAGACACATAAGAAAGAACATTGTCGCGCGTCGGTGTCAAGACCAACGCATATACAATCGCCACGCAGCCAAGCACCCAGAAAGACTGTTCCGCTGCCAATCCTCAAACAGTCCAAAGGGGTAGTAGCATGCTTGGGAATCGTGCTCAGTAGCCGAAGGGGTGATTGTCGTTTGCATGTCGGAATTGCATCGGTGAGATCGGTCCGTATCCAGCCATCGGGTAATGCGCAGCCGCCAGATCCCGCGGGGTACCACGGTCGAACATGGAGAAGCGATCCCGCCGATTGGGAGAGGCGCCGCCGCGGCCGTTAGGAGGGAATAGGCCTATGGATTGTTAGCGTGTGCGATCTAGAGTGACTGAAGAGGCAACACATACCAATGCTCTGTGCGTTCTGGATGGACCGCTCCAGTTTCTGCTCATTATCGGGCGCTGGAAATTCTACCTCCGTGCCAACCAGGCCAATGCGAACGTTGTCTTGGAAAGTGTAGAACAACTACAGTTGTTAGATCCATGTTGTTGGAAGGGATGCATCGGGGACTTACCTTTGGGCGGCAACACTTCAATTCCCTCATGACTGAGGAATTGCGAAACTTCTGGATCAGCGCCTCCAGGCCCTGGGATGTCGCGTACGAGATCTCCGCGAGCTTCATCGTCGGGCCGGTTGTGTGGAATGGCCACGGTCTGCCCTCAAAATGCTCCAGGAACTTGATGATGTGGATTGGGGATGTCAAGTTGAAGAAGGCATAACCGACATTGGCGCCTGACTTAAAATCCATTCTCAAGTACATGAAATCGATAAGGCCTCGGAAGCCTGCATCGTAGAGAATCTTCAGTAGTTGCATCTGACGAGTGTTAGTTGTTGATGCACAAGAAAGGAAGAAGTTGCTTACATCGGTCATCTTGTTCGGGATGTTCCGAAGCATGATAGTGGTTCGGACATCCGTGCCATCCAAGATGTGGACGAACGAGACGGTGTTATCATGCGGATTCCAAGTACGTCCTCTATGGCGTCGGACGGCGAGATTGCCACAATTGATAACACCACTGATTTGCATCGCTGGATTGGCGAAGCCACCAGAGCCGGGGGGGAATTGACGATCATTGCAGGATCCGTAAGGATGATAAGTGCTTCCATGTCCAACATGAACTGGAGGGCCGCCCTGCGAAGTGAAGAGGCGGATTCGAGACCCAGCACCGCCGGGACCATCTTCGGGAGGATACTGAAGAGCGAGTCCCTGCTGTGATCCGGCTGGAGTGATGCTCGAAACGTGCCAGTACACCCCCTGGGAAATGTCAGCAATGCATCAGTGGGAGCTCAAGCTTAACTTACCGCGAAACCCGAAATGTACATTTGGCGACCCAGCCAGGCTCTACCCCGAGGGTCGGCCCAGTGAAGGACAAGATGCTCTGCAGCCGCGACGGAGTCGAGCTCCAGATGGTAGGTGAGAGTATCTGTGTCAATTCGCTGAAGTCCGTGGTCTGAGTGTGCATGGAATACGGGAGCGTATTTGGCAAAATAGCTGGTGCACAGAACAAGACCAACCTCCTCATGATGGGTAATGGATGGGTTGTCGTGAGGGGCATAAGGGCGAGGCCAGTTGGGAGCGATCAGAAACTTGACTTGAACATGGACCTGGGCCTCGAGAGGCTTGGCTGCTACCCGCAGATTCCCTTCGAAAGCAAGACGACGACCAGAGGCCTCGCACGGGTCGATGAACTCCACACGGATGCTGGCACCGGACGGATCCAGATCGGGATGTTCGAGCATCTGTCGAATGACTTCTCGGGCTCGAAGTGCGCGACACAAGTCGTCGAAGTCGAGCACGAAGACATGATCACGCTTGGTCACGTGATAGTCGACGTAATCAACTTCGCCAGGAATGTTGAGCTGTGACAATGTGTTAGTCACATGACCAAGTCAAGAGTTGGAACTGAAAGAAGAGACTGTGGAAAAAGAGAAGGAAGAGAAAGAAACTTACGCTCTGAAGACGAGTCATGATAGCGTCCGTGAGAGAATGGTTCAGGTGACCATCGATCAAGAGGTGGCGAGTGCAGTAGCCGTCGAAAACCTTCGACATCGAAGTAGTGAAGCATGGTTCAATGCCCAGGGAGGAGAGCTTCTGGAGAGCATTCTCAAAAGCTGGTGTTTGAATGCTGGCAGCAATCGACTGGTAGGACACCGAAGGAGTGACTGAGTCATCGTTCCGGACAGGCTGCTTGCCTCGGGCACGCTCAGTCAGAGGGGAGTACTCGGTGGGGCCAGTGCCGGATGAGCCCTGTGGCGAACTCTCAGCTCGGGGGGATGACTGAGGCGGAGTGACGTGATCCATTGTGATGAAGTACAAGTCGATGAAGGACAAGCTGATGAAGTACAAGCCGATGAAGTACAAGCCGATGAAGTACAAGACGATGAAGTACAAGACGATGAAGGATGAAGGAGCGTAGGATGTGAGGGAAGATGACGAAAGTCCAAGGTCCAAAGGTCAAAGAGTGTCTGGTCCAAGACCGAGTGAAACGATCGTGAGGTGGAAGATGGATGGAGGAAGGAGCAAGGAGGGCGGGCGGGCGAATACTTATACTCGACAGAAATTCAAACCGCGCTACTGGCTGGGCACCACGGCCCTCCGACTCCCGCCGACTGAGCAGATAAAAGCCAATGAGGATGCTGGCTGGGGTCGCCGTTGGGGACGGGGCGTTCTCCCCCGCGCGGAGTCTGCTCCAGGAGAACGACGACGAGTTTCTGGACGCCGGCCCGCCGTCCGGTGCAGCTCGATATCTGCTCGCCCCGTTGAGCTACGAGGACGGGAGAAGCGGGAGGTGATAGCCCTCGTCAAGCTCTATCTTCTCGTCTACAGGTGGAGCAAAACCGGGATGTGGGCGTTGTACAGGAGCCACTGCCGGTTTCGACCTCACTCGCCGCGAGCCTCTTCAACATTCTTTGGGGCTGTATACGCTAACAGGCGGGGCTAGCATGGGATCCTGGCCACGCGGACCGTTGGGAACGAGTGGCGTGTGCTGTCGGCGGGCCCGGGGCAAGTGGGACATTCTAACGGGCAGGTCCAGGGCAGCGTAGACGGCAGGAGCGGGGGGAGGGGCATCGAGATGGCCGGAGGGGCAGTCAGATGCCCTGGGGCGCCGGCAGCGTGCTGAGCAGTTACGAGGGCTCGCACGTATCAATCAGTCTGCTGGACTCCAGCTGGAGTGATGGCAGACAGGAGAATGGATGCTGAGCTCGATTGGGCCGGTTCCAGAGATACAGAGGGCTCGGAGGTGTGTCTTCAACTCAAGGAGCACGCAAACAGTGTCTACCGACGATATCTGAAGCGTGCGGGACGTCGTCTACAGCAGATATGCTATAGGACGTCACTGTCAGACAGATATCAAGAGAAAAGAGCGGTGAGGCTGCCATTCTGTGCGAAATGGCAGCGTCATACGCCCGCATCTTGGGGGCGGCTGCAAACCCCAATCCATGTCCGAGGTAGGTTCCCAATGGAGGGCAAGCTTCATTGAGCTCCGGAGATGCTCTTGCCAGAGAATTGTAAGTCTCTAGCAAGTGGTTGTGGCCCGAGACGTTGTGTTCTGCCCGAGAGATGCCCCATCTCGAAGTCCACGATGCCGCGGCTTGGTGTTGCGGCTACAGCCTCCCCCGCGAGCTTCTCAGTGGCATTGTGGCCACAAATGCGGCTAGGCAGCAATTCCGCCACCAGGGCTGATATAATTCAGTTCTGAGGCGTCTATAGTCCAAAAATGGGGGTAATTCTGGCAAATGCTCGTTGTTCAATTGTGTGGCTCTGAAGTGTTCCCAGTGTGTCTGGCACAGCGCCCGCCGGCCATCTACTGTAACTTCAAACCGGTCGCGTTTGCACCAATCTGCAGAAAAGTTGCATCTACCGCCTGAGCGAGGAGCTTCCAGATGTGTAGAATCTATGGCAGCTCATTCAGGGGTAGAGTTTCGTGGGCGTGGTTGAGAAAGGTCAGCTTTTCATCGACCATCAAGCCGACCAAGGGCATTGTGAGCTCCTTCCATCTCCAAAATCGTAACAGAACCCTTACACCAAGCAGAGCTGGCAATGATGACCATATATTGAGATTCTGACTCTCACAGCCTAAAAAGGGGGCCAACCAGGGGTTCCAGCCATCCCCTCTCAGCTACCTCAAGTCGTCCCCTTGCCTCTTCCCTAGGCGCGCAGCTTCCAATTACATCTACACAGTATTCCAGGGTCCGCCAGGGAAACGCTGTACATCGTAGGTCGGCCACTGATGACCGTAGAACAGCCTTTACCCCTAAGTGTCCAACATTTCATCACGTCTGAACACGAAACCAAAGGTTATCCTCCCAACCCCTCCAGACCCATTGTATTCCATTATGTATCTGTTCAAACGCTTCCAGCCCTCGTAGCGTAGACGGATGCCTACCATCCTTTTGTCTGGTCGTTCGTCAAGCGCGTTTGTCTCTGTGTATAAAGGAGGGGAAGCGAGTACGAGGTGTAGAAGGAGCAGCCTCTTCGTTTCGAGGAAAGCGCTCAAGTTGTGGGGCTTATGAGGTATCGATCGTGTCGTCGCAGTACTCAGGGGCTCATGGACGGCTTCTCAGATGAGACTTGGTGGAAGGCTGAAGGCCAGAAGGTACATTCCAGTCTGTTCAAAAAGATTTCTCCATTAGCATATAATTTTAATCCAGTTCATACGCAATGTAGGTGTTCCAGGTTGTTACTGACGATCTTGTGTATATCTTCCACGTTCTTATGCCAATGCGCCCCCCCTGACAAGAGCTGAAGGCCAGCTAGGCCTGGTGTTCGTCATCGTCCTGAGCTCTTCTTATTGCGGAACCTTCCATTGTCTGCAAGCAGTGTTTGTCCTCTCGTTCCCGCGTTGTTGTCGTACTGTCCGTCCTACTTGCTTAGGTGGGTAGGTCTGTTTGCGGGTTGTGCGACGCGGCCCGTTCGTCTTTGGTTTCTGATTATTGTTGTCGATAATGCTCCCGGGACTCAGGAGCAGAAGATCCTGAAGCTTCCACTGCGATGAAGCCCTGGACTTCACTCTCTGAGATTGCTGGACTGCCAGAATCGTCGGGAAGTGCTGGCCGTGGTGGATCTTTGTTGTGTCCGTCGAGTATTCCAAATTTCCGTCTCTGGCCCAACAGGTACGGCCCTCTGAGACTTTGTCAACGAATTCAGCTCTCGCCGTGGAGGTAACGAAGCTGGTAAAGTCGTAATGGTGTTAGAAAGAGGAGAAGGAGGTGTCGCAATTGGTGACGTTCGATGTTCGAACGTTTCGGCCCTCGAAGATGCCAGCCGCGACACAGATGCGAAAAGGTACTTTCGCGCCCACCAGCTGGGCTTCTTGGTATGCATGAAGCTCTCGTACACCCTTCACACAGTCCGTCGCCCACCTCTGTTCGTGTCTCCCCTCGAGGAGATTGTCCCCATGTTGTTTGTCGCATTCCCACGCCGCGCTGCTCCCGGCTCTCGACAGATGAACTGAAGCTCGTGGAGGCACAAGAGCAGTAGCCCATCTCTTCAGAGACCACAGTACATTGTGAAGCAGAAAGTCTTCGTCATTTGCCACAGGGATTGTGTCCAAAATGAGACTTGCCCTCCGGCTCGCTTTATCCCGTTGTGTAGCCAAGCTGCAGCGCGCGCCCCGATGTTGTCGATTGTCTGCAAATCTGAAAGGTTCCCAAGCTCAAAAGGCTGTTCAGAGTTGCCTGGCGTGTATAAGATATTCGAGAGGCTGCACGGGTCCGGATTGCGCGTTCGGGGAGGTTTTGATATCGAGATTGTCGCACCGTAGTTTCCCACCTCTCGATATTTCCTGCTCTGGGTTTCTGATTCAGAATAGCTGACAACTACAGTATCTAGGTCTCCCTGTCGCATACCGATATTCGCAGTCAGGAGTCTGTTGAAGGTTGTTGTGTTGGTGGAGGGGGCATGGGGGTGCTTAGGCCAACAACCGAAGAAGTTCGCGGGGACGATTTCTCTGCGCTCCACCAAGACAACGACTACGAATAGAGTTGGTGAGCAGCTAGATATGTCCTCATATGCTCTTCAAAGGGCAAAGCGGCATGTCTCAGGTTCTAAGTGGAAATGTGGCTATGGGAACGCGGCCTGCGAGAGGCGCGCTGGAGAAGGCATTTGGCGGCAGCTATATGCAGGTCTCACGCACCGAACGGCCTCCAAGATAGAGAACAGACTTAGGACAATGATTCTTTAATCTTTTCTGTGTGCCCATCTTCTGCAGCTCTCGCAGCTTTGGGATACATATTATCCGTGTGCGTAGAGCCGTGACCTATGCTCACATTAAGCCGCCCATAATTTCTGAACAATATAAGGTGTTCTTTGCCTCTCGAACTGACTCCCAGTCCCATCTCCCATAGCAACAAGTGCCCTCAGCTTTGTGGGTGATGAAGTTCCCTCGCTTGCCTGCCGTATTTTCTCGCCCCACAACAAATCCACCCCCTACACTTCTACACCACACTCTTCATCCTCTATCAGACCTCCTCCACTCTTCCCCAGCTTACGGACGGATCACCTTATCCTCCTTGCTGCTGCCAGTCGTCCTCGTCCTCTGCTTTCTCCTCTCGGAGTCCCAGACGATCGTCGCTACTCTGCCACCGACGAAAATCGCCAACAGACTCAAAAGTCGGTCTCACTTCTCGACTTCATCTTCTACACAGACCCGCAACCCTACGATATCGCCCACAGTGTGTGAATTTAGATCTGCGGTCCTCTCTTCATATCTTTGTGGAACTGATCATGCCCAACTTGTACCGCCACCCTGGTGCTCCTCCCCTTGCGACAAAGACTCACTGCCACTCTGGCAAGGTATCTAGATCTATCAGCATAACCTTCGCAGCTAACGCTTCTATTGTTGTCCGCTTTGCGCGCTCTCCTGCTCCGACGTCGAAGGGCAGAGGTCGCTGCTTCCGACATGCGCAGTTACGGGCATAGACCAGAGACGACCTATAGACTATAGCATACGCACAACAGGGAGCAGTTTCGCATTTATCTAACAAGTAAGCCTCCATTGCACTGTTTTTCGCTGCTTTCGTACTTGTCTTTCTCTTCTTGACCATTTGTGCGCAAGGCATGAGATACATTTCACCCCCATCGACCGTACCTACCGGCAGACACTTTTCAAAGCTGAGCAGAGGTTAACGACTCTCAGACACTTCAGCTTGCTCATTTCTGACATCTGTTCAGATTGTGATCCTCCCTGTCAGCCTCTCACTACGATCCATGGCCACGTCCACGAACCCTCGAACAGCCGCGGCCCACAGATACGGATCGTGATAAAGTCTATATCTCGGGTCTCTCATCAGCGGCCAAGATCAACGCGTACCCGGGTTCACGCTACCTGCCTTTTGCTAGGAGATTTAACCCGCGCTCCTCTGAGTGGCTGGCGTTTGTTCCACATGGCACTAGGTAGCAAGCAGAACTACATGCCTTCGCTATCGTCTCTACCTCAAGCAGCTCTAAAGACTGACAGGATCTTCTTGGCTGCAATAGGTAAGACTTTTGGTAAGCTTAACTACCATCATTCCATACCTTCGTGAACACCAGTGGCCACCCCAAGCCGGAGCAAGGCAAAGTCTATGTCATGATTCGAAACGAGGAGAGAGCTTATGGCCTAGATAAATGCAGACGCGGGATCATGCAAGCCTACTTGCCTGTGCTAGGATATCTCGCCGCGCTCTTCTGAGTGGCTAGCGTTTATCCCATATGGCACAGGTGCTTTGCCGTATGATTCACATACCTTCACAGTCGCCACCGTATTTCATCTTTTTTGATTTGAAGACTGACATCAGCGATCCCTCTCGTGGGACATGTATTCTTTCCTATCTCCTTGTTGTTTAAAGTTTTATGACGAGATCGGAGCAAAGACTAAAGAGCTAATAGTTCATGGATGACCCGCCAGTTCACGTTGATCAGCATCGATACTAGCCACTGTGGTAAGTCTTTCTATCTTCTCTTATCACTTCAACGCAAACGAGCCTTCTTGGATCTTGCCTTGTTTTCAACCCAGAGAATGCTATGATGAAGCGAGCTCTGATGTAATAAGGCAACTGGGGAGCTTCCGGAATGTGGATATGGAACAGAGCTCATCAACTCGTCGCCTTCGATGTCGCTTGAGGAGTTACCGACTTCCAAACCCAAGTCGGAAAACCGCCGTGGGGGTGATTCCCCGTAGGTAATGAGCGAAGCGGATTGTGGGGATCGCCTTCTTAGGCTAAAATCCCACATTACGTACCGGTTTGGACAGTGGAACGTTGAGCTGTGCCTAGGTAATGAAGCTAGCAGCATGGGTTCCGAAGCGTATACTTCTTTGCTTCTTTGTTCTTTGCTTCGTCGCCGTTGGAGTTCTCATGACAAGTTCGAAGTAAAGACTAAGGAGTTGCTAGGTTTCTGAGTATCAACGAGTATCTTCGACGAGCATCGCCGTAATGCCATCTACCACCACAGTTCGTTATGCTTCTTTCTTTCGGCTTGGCAGTCGTAATTCGTACCCACTTCTCAAATCTTTTTCGGATTTCAATCGCCTTCATCCCATGGAAACTGCTTCCTAATAGCAAATTTCTTCGGATTTCTTCGGAAAAAAGGCAAGATAAATAAGGTGATGGAGATGTGACTTCGGTGGCCACCTCGAGTGCGCAAACCATTGCTCCGCTCTCGTCGCTGGCCTCTCCAGAATATGCCCATCTTTCCCGGTCCGAATGCACCGTCTTCGGGCCATTTGGGACTGAATCCGCTGCTTTTCTTTGCCTTTACCGCAGTGTGGTTTTCTGGCGGTTACATCTCTTCCCTTCTATTTGCTGTCCCCTACCAAGAAGTTTGGAGGATGAGATAATGAATTCACATAGTTGCTGATAATCCACGAGTACTGCAGCCATCTTAAATCCTCATCAATATCAGCCCTTTGCAATCTGGTAAGTTTCACTTTCTTCGAATATCGCAATCCCATCTTCCTAGAACCCATTCCCGTCGCCTTTCTCCAATGGAGCCTGCTTCCTCATAGCACTTTCCTGGATAGAGAAAGGCAAGATGAACATGGCGGCAGAGAGATGACCTCGGTGCGCAAAGGGAAACGCCTCTCTCGTCGCTGCCGTTCCAGGATGCATCCATCTTTCTCGGGTCAAACTAAAGTCTCTACGACGCACCTTGTTTGGGCCAGTGGGATCGAATCCGCTGTACCATTTTGTCTAAGCAGCGTGGTTTTCTGGGCGGCACATGTATCTTTTCGCGTTTTCCTGATGTGCGCGACTGAAATGCTCAGAGTAGGAGCTGACTAGTTGATAGGTTACTGATGGCCCACGAGGCTGCTTGAACAGCATTTGTATCTAACATCAACTATCCGGTCAGTTCGTTTCCTAATATCGCCTCCTCTCCAGTTTCCGAATTTTGCCAAACCGCCACCATTTTCTCATCGGGATTGCTTCCTCATAGCATTCCCTGGATAAAGGAAGGCAAGAATAAGCATAGCGAGAGAGGAGCATTCTCGGTGCGCGCCCCACTTCCTCTCATCGCTGAGTCGAACCCACAGAATATTCCATCTTTCCCAGTCCGAACTAAACCTCCAAGACGCACCGTTTTTGGGCTTGTGGGACTGATTTCCGTGCTATTTAGCTAGGGGCCGGTTGGTTTTCTGGGCGTTACATCTTTTCTCTTCATTCGTCTTGTCCACGATTCAAAAGATTTCGTTGGAGTAGATCTTCTAGATATTGCATATCTCCTATTCTCGTCGAGCTCTTTGGGAGTCTTTGTCGGCGAATTAGAAGCTTGGGCTAACAGATGATAGACACCGGGGCCCCCCCAAACTCTCCCACGCTCCACGGGCATCATATGGTCGAGTAAGTTCATCTTCTTCACATGTCGCGTCCGCAGTCGTTTCCCATAATCTTCCAGCCGCCTTCAACCCTCTCAGAAGGCCAGGACTTGCTTACTCGTAGCATTCCCTGGAAAGACGAAGGCAACCTCCACCTTCGCTCTCTTCGCGACTACCCTAGGATAACCAGCCTCCCTGTTCCAAGCATAAGCACGGACGTACCAGATTTAACGGAGGTGTAAATGCACCGTGCTTGGATGCCGTGGGTTGCATGGATGCCTGGCAGTTACATAATTTCTTTCTCGTTGAGCGTGGTTCAATCTTCATTGACGGCCTTGAAGCAGGGGCTAATGCGCGTTGTAGGTTCCCCAGGGTTGTCTTCATTGATTTTTCTACACGCTGGACCTGGCGATGATCGCCTATTCCACGGTGTGTCTAGTTTCCTTTCTCGAGAAAGTCCAAGTAGTGAGTGCAAGCTGGATATGTGGATAGTAGATACTTCGCTCCTCATCCTCTTTTCCATGCCAGTCAAATTACTTTGCTATTCTCGGAATAGCAATCCTCAAGGTCGTTAACTCGGACGGTGTTTGCTCTACACTGGCATCCTCTAAGTGCTTTTCCGAACAAGATCAAAGTCGAGTTGGAAGTCGCGGGGGGCAGACGATATTAGCACTAGTTTGCAGTGTATCTTCGCCACGGCGCTCAGGTCGTATATTTCCTTCAAATCTGCGTTCATTGCTTTGGATTTCCACTGATGTCGATGAAGTTGAAATAGAGGGCTTACTAACGAGTCGTAGTTCCATGGTTCTACCCGCAAACCGCCGGTGTCACCACCCTTTGGGATTAGCCCCTGAGCTCGTATTCGGTTTTCCCCCCACGCTGCCAACGTCGAACGTCGAACATCGTCAGGACGTCGAACTCCATCTCCATATTCATCGAGGCTATACGTATTAAATGGAGAGACAAAGTCTCCATAGTTATAGAGGGTGCCTCCTTCGCTCTGCCCTCCCTATCCCGCTGCCCGGTGAATCCTTGGCGGGGATGTCAAGTTTACGACACTAAGTGGCCACCAGTCTCAATGCATCTGCAACCATGCCAGCATTCTTCGAAGCTTACTCAAAATAGGAAGAAAGAAGTATTCAAACATACGAGCAATCGTTCTCCTCAATGCTCACTGCAAAATTTCCCTAGCCACCAAGTCGCGGTGCGGGGATGCCGGGTTCGCAGCCACCAAATGGTATCCATACGTAACGTAACAAAACGCATCAACATGCATCACAGATTCGGGAAGAAATAATGGCCCACATGATTCGAATACCCTCCAACTGTGGCTTCTGCTGTGGGCTGGCTAGTGTGCCTATCGCCGCCGTGGGAGGGAGTTCCCGCCCGCATGGCATCCCTGACCAAAGTTGGCAACCCTCAACACCATGTTGGATCACGACAGAGCCTACATAACGATGCGAATAGGGTAAAGCAATGCTGGAAGATCCCGTGGCACTGGGAGCTTGCGCAGGGTGTGTGTGCTGTCCTTGACAAACCCGAGAATCCCCACCCGAAAATCCTCAAGAACCGATTGCCTCACCACGAGGCCCGCACTCCAAACAATTATGCTGGCGCATAAATGTCCGACTGCCGCTCGCTCTTACGCCTGGGAACGTTCCCTAGCAAAGTGGTGACATGTATATCCTGCACTCAGTAGTGTATATATTTCATTTAATTTGGGCGGCATTCTATCAAACTCCGCGGGATGGCGGGGTGGTGGAATTATGGGTTTCCCGCGGAGTTTGACACATAAGGTAAGTCCCAACCCCAAACTCCCAGTTCGATTCTCGGCGCGGCGACGGCAAGGTAAGTATATGGCGAAGAGATTAGTCTCCGCATCAGGTTCACTCCTCGAATAGTGTTCCTGGTGCGGGGGATACTCTTTTGCTTTTTTTGTTTATTTGAAGCTCTATCTACATGCGGCACGCATATGAACAGCTTCTTTTTGGAACCTTGTTGACGTTTTCACAGCGCATTGGAAGCCTCTGGGGGCGGTGCGCCGCACCTCATCTGCTTGGACGAGGGCATAACATGAGCTACATATTCTATATTGTCACATTGTGGGCATCTATAGCACTGGCTTGTAGGTGCAGTGTAGGGTCATGGCCTGCGCACGCGTCTTCGTCGTGTTTTGCCCTTTCGCACTCCTACAAACATCGCAGACTTCGCGCTTCTCCGCCAAAACAACACCTCGCTGCCAACCTCCACAACCATCTGAAGCTCTTCCAGATCACTAACATAACGGCTAGCAACGCAAGTGCAGCAGCTCCGAATCGCAAGGTCACTGACAGCAGCAACGCTCTAGGCAATTCTGAGTCGTCCGAGAGCCCTTCGCTAAGTCCAACCATCCTGCAATCGGAGGACCTCACGAGACAAATCTCGCCCTCCATAACATCCTGTTCCAATTCAGGCCGAGACCAGCACAGGCCGAGGAGGCGCGGAGAATCAGGAGGCTGTGGCTGGTGAATTGCGGGGGTATGGACGGGTTTGGAGGACTTCTCGGGGTGCGGAAATAAGGGGTACATTCGGCGTCGGGAAGGCTGCAAGTGAGGTGGTGGCAAAATATTAGAAGACCTCTCCATGATTTCCTCGCTGCCACGTCACCCCCAACCCTCAACACTCTCTCCTGGACATCAGCCAGCCTCTCTCTGCGAGCAAGACAAGCCTCTCTCATACCTTCGGCAGCGTATACTCGACCTCAAGCTGCGAAGCCAATACGCTCAATTCCGGCTATCATCAAAGTCCCGCCTGTATAGCGACCTGTAACCTCGAGCTCCCCGCATCCTCCGTTCAAATCGCAGCCAAACGAACACCCTTCTGCCACAACAGCTCCCACCATCAAGCGCACCCACGATGCCGTCTCGAGCCAACTCTCCGAGCAGCATTGCGTCCGCCGACTCGTTGGTGGACATTCCCCAAGTTCTCCACGTCCCGCCGAGTAAGCCACACCCTCCCCCCCCCCACCTCCCACTTCATGACACTAATCCTCATATTTCAAGCAGACCGCCTTCGTGAGGCGATGTGGCTGCGAGCCCCTCCAGCCCACAGCGCCCGCCGCACGGAGGGTAGCTTTCTCCCGGACAACGACGTCCAGCGCGCCCCCTGCGACTGCCGCATCCCGGCCCTCTTTCCTCTCCTCGTCGCCACCCCCGACACCCCGGAGGCCCCCCTCCGCGTGGTTCTCGAAGGCGACCCAGACGCCATCTACCAGGTCGTGACGTCACTCTGTTGTCCACACGTCGGAGATCGGGTCGTTTTCTCTTTCCATTTGGCCGGCAGCCTGCATCAGACGAATTTCGAGGCGCTTTGGGACGCCGGATGGCAGGGGGAGGCCAACCCAATGCTGTTCCGTGTGTCTGTCGACACCGTAAACGTGTACAAGATCGTGCGAGAGGAACTTGTGGGCGTCGTTGTACCGGGAACTGTGACTGTGAGGGAGTTTGTCGGTGCGTGCTTCTTGCTGGAAGATGAGTACGCGGAGTTGTTGGAGGAGGAGGCAGACGGGGGGTTCGACCGTGCGTTGTTGGAACTGGCGGGAGAAGAAGGAGAAGAGGAGGAGAGAGAGGAAGAGGAAGAAATGGTGTTCTTGACGGAAGAAGAGGAGGAAGAGTGGCGGCTAGAGATGGAGATGGAGTGAGTGTGGGATGTTATGTTTTCGGAGATGTTAATTGGGGGGTATATCGGCAGCGTTTGGAGCCAGATTAGAGCAGCTGTAGCACCTCGAATGTTATCATGCTCTACAGTCTCACATGGCGATCGAATCAATATGCAGTATCTCCAACACCACATGCAAATTTCAGTACCTAACACAGCTGTATCGAGTAACGACTGATACCCTACTGCTCGGGCTTCCCTTTTGCCCACTCAATAGCACCGTAAAGAGAGTCCTGGCTAGTAGGTAGCAGTTCAGTCAAGACGTAGTCTTATCTCCACCGCATCAACAGGCGCATGCTTCGAGGACGTGATTCTCATAACCTCAGGCACGCGGATAGAATACTGCCCTTCTTGGGCTTCAATTTTGCTTGTTCGACGCCACCGTAAAGACTGTCTCAGCCAGCAAGTTGCTGGCTAGTCAAAAGGCAGTCCGATATGTCATGCGTAACTTTTACATCGCATGTAGAGTCCTAGCAACCTAACAATGATGAATTGGAGCGCTGAGGTTATCCTCTTGCTCATCCAGTACCGGCGTATGGGGTGGCCTAGCCAGCATGTCTCCGCTCGGTCAAAATACGACATGATTCCCACTGCTTTGGGTGTTACATGGTGTTCGCAGCTTGAAATCCCCATTCCACGGATATGCTACTCCTAAAGCTTCGCTCTTGCTCATTCGATATCACCGTAAGGAGTGGCCTAGCTAGCAGCTCGCAAGTCCGTCAAAAGGCAGTCCAATCCCCACTACCTCGGTTTTTACATTGGATTTGACGCTTCAAAATCCCATTCAACGAATATTCAACTACTCTGGCTTCACTATTGATACCTCGGTACCGCTGTAAGGAGTAGCTCAACGAGTACGTGCAGGTCAGTCAAGAGGCAGCCTGATTTCCATAGTATGAACCTGTACATCATGATTCTTGACGTACTAATACTTGCGCTCTAATCCTGGCCTTTACGCGTTACTCCTTGCTCGTTCAACACCGCTGTAAGGAGTAGCCTACCTAACATGTATCCGCTCAATCAAAGCGTAGCCCAATTCCTACTGCCTCAACCATGACAACATGTTTATCTCAGGTTCTCCAAACTCATAGGGACACGCCCCAATATAACACTACTCAAACGTCCCTCTTTCTAGCTCAATACCTCGGTGAGAGGTGGCCCAGCCAGCAGATAATTCTCGGTCAAAAGGTAACCTAATCTATACTGTCTCAACTTCAACTTTCTATCGAGCTCAGGCTTCCGAAGTCCAAAGGGATGTGCCGCGGTATAACACTACTTTAACTTCCCTCCTGCCGCCTTGGCGCCGCTGTGAGAAGTGGCCTAGAAGCAGATAGTTATCCAGGCAAAAGGTAGCCCGATTCCTACAGCCTCATCTATAACATTGCATTGACCTCAGCTTTTCAAGAACCGCAGCGCTGTGCCCTAATATAACACTGCCTAAGATTCCTTCTTGCCTAGTCGAAACCATTGACAGGAGTGGCCCGGCCAGCATGGAGCCATATAGCCAAAAGATAGCCTAATTCCTACTGTCTCATCCTTGACATTGCATTGGGCTCAGGATTCCCAGACCTACAGGGAGTGCTCCTGTATAATACTGCTTGAGCTTCTCTCTTGCTTCCTCGACACCACCATGGAGAGTGGCGCGGCTAGCACGTAATTGTCAGACCAAAAGTTACCCTGGTTTCCACTACGTTGACTGCTACATCTTTCAGGACGTGAAAACTATATGAGTTCAAGTCCGAAGTGCATATCTTATTGCTGTGACCTTAATTTTGCTCTCTCAATACCTCCGTAAGAGGTGGCCTTGCCCGCGGGCGATTGCTCAGCTAAGAAGTACCTTAATTTCCACTGCATCAATCTCTACATCTTTTGAAAACGTTGAAATCGTATAGGTTTGAGCCCTTCGTGGATATCTTACTGCTTATACCTCCCTCTCAACCGGTCGACGTCACCGCGAGGAGTAGCCTGGCTAGCAGCTGAATCCCCAGCCAGAAGGTACCTCGATTCCCATTGCACAAACCTTTACATACTTCATACTGTAAAAGATGTATCAGTTTAAGTGCTGAGTAGATGTCTTGCTGCTGAGGTTTCCATTTTGCTCATTGAACAGTATCGTAAGGGGTGGCCTAGCTAGTAGTTGATTTCTTAGTAAAAAAGTACCCTAATTTCTACTGCATCAATCTTCATATACTCTAAAAACGCGATGATTATATAGATTTCAGCTCTAAGTGAATATCCTACTACTCGAGACTCCCTCGTGCTCATTCGAAACCATCGTAAGAGGTGGCCCAGCCAGCAAATGATCCCCTAGCCAAAACACACCCCAACTTCCACTACATCAATCTCTCCACGTCAAACGCCCTACAAGACCCCGCCGTCGGCTTAGAAACATGGATATACCACCACTCGGCTTTCAACCTTGCGTGTCCAACACCACCGTACGGAGTAGCCCAGCCAGGAGGTCGACCTCCAGCCAAACCACACCCTCATCCCCACCCCCTCACCCTCTCCATTCCTCCATCGCACCCAAATCTCCAAAGCCCATCCAAGCACCCCAATATCCTATCTCTCTAGCCCCCCCTTTCGCTCTCTTCATACCACCGTCAGACGTGGCCCAGCCCGCACGTGCCTCCCCATCCAAAACGCACCCTGCACCGCCCTCAGCTAAACCTCCCACAGCATCGGCCCTCCTTAAACCGTCCCAAGAAGTTTCTCATGCCCTCCGGTCCCCGTCCCCCTAAACTGTCCACCCGCACCGCCACACCTTCCCCCTGCCAGAAACTTGCTCACGGAGGCTCGGGGTGCCGACCTACACTATCGTTTTCCCAACAAACCCACCCCAGCGCTACTGCCTAGAACCTTCCGGAAGGTCGCGCAGCTGGTTGGGGGCCGGTTCTACCCGCGCCCGCGCAGGCAGGCAGATAGGCAGGCAGGCAGGAGTGTCACGTGATGGTGTCTAGCGAGAACAGCGCTGGTGGGCGGCGGGAGGGGCCGCGAGACGGCTGCAGGTGGTGTGGGTATAGTAGCAAGGGCGCTGGATTGAAAAGGGTGAGAAGAAGCTTGGGATTGAGTTGCAGAAGAGGGCAGCGTGTTGTGCGGGAGATATTGGTGTCGTCGTCGCGAGCTGGTGTGTCTAAGGGGCTGGTCGACGAGCGACGGCGAGGGCGCGCTCGATGACCACAACACCTGTGAAGGTAGGAATTGCAGGAGCAGAAAGCTGAAGATCGAAAGTCAGACATACTGGGATTTAAAGGAAATCTCATTTTTTTGCCCATACAAATTGGTGGTCTTGGCGTGTAAAAACGTTTGCGAGATTGGAAGTCGGGGGACGGCGAGCTGGATAGTTTCAGAGCCAGGACACCTGCGAAGATATGGATTGCAGGAGGAAAAGGCTGCACGTCAGGGTCAGCTTATGGCACAATATTGAGAATATCTATTTTTTTCGCCCATACAAATCGGTGGTCTTGGCGCGTACGAACGTTCGCGAGATTGAAAGTCAGGGACGACGAGCTGGATATCTTCGCAACCAGAACTCGTGCGAGCGGATGGTTTTCTGGGGGAAGATGAGAGAGGCCAGGAGGTCATAGCGCCGGTGCTTTGAACCAGGATTCATTCTTCCCTCCATACACGGGGCGATGGAGGGCCGGTGCATACAAGGGATTCGATCCAAACCTGGGGACCTGTCCGAGAAGTGAAGCTCTAGATCGCTGGAAATACTCGATTTGGTTCATTGTGCATTGCAAAGATACAACTTGACTTTATTCTGCGGCAGTGTCAAAGGCGTCCGACCCGTGATAGCGCTGCGCGGATTCCACGATAATACACGTGACGGCGTCTAGGTAGATTTTCGGCAAACGATAAGGCGAGAAGGCTTCAAGGTAGGCCAAATACACAACTGGATAATTTGGAAGTCATTGTACGATCCCGTGGAGGTTGTTCCATTCCGACGAGCTAGAATTTCTGTTCAGGTGGTCAGCATAAACATCTCTTGATTCTTTTGGCCGGCGTCAAGAACGCGAAAATGAGATCGATAAGGTAGGAGATGAATTTGAGATTCTTAGAGTGCAGTACTACCATAGTAAAAATTAGAAGTTATGCTATATAGACATTAGCCTGATTCAACGATGGAGAAACGAGCGAGCCGAAAAGCGAGATGACTGGAATTCGCGGATGAAATATTGGATCTGCAAACGAGGAGAGCGAGTGGGAATAAAAGTTACTATATTGAAGTATACAAACGCTTCAAGCGCGCCATGCTGCCAGACTCCAAGGACACCAACAAGACATCGTTTCCGCGAGCGCCCGTACCATTTCAACACCATGCGCGAGGAAACCTACAAATCCCGCTCTCACCCCATCCGGAACCTTGAGCCAATCGTCCCAAACCGATCAGATGGCCTCGACGGGGTCTGCGCTGCTACAGCTGCGCCCTCCATGACCCTACGCGGATCGTCAGCAAACGCCCTAAGATTTCCACTGGCTCTGAATGCTACGCTGAAAGAGTCGCACTCATCCAAGCGAATCGGAGGATGCAAACTTACTTCTCAATCAGGATAGCTCCTTTCTCTCTGTCAACCTTACTGTACTTCCGATTTCGCTGCGTCATATCAAAGAATTCATCGGAATTATCCGTCGCCATTAGCGCCACGGTTTGTACTAGTTCGTCGAGATTCTCCTTCAAGATGGGGTTGTTCAAGCTGTCGACAAAGGACGAAAGGAAGTCTGCGTCGGTGACGAGAGCGGTGACTGCGGCTGGGGTGATTCGCTTCACAGACTCGTGGAGAGGGAGTTCCTGAGACAAGACGGGTTAGTCTGGGAAGTTCGACTATGGGGGTAAATGAGAATTGATACCAAGATGGCAGATGCCGCGTGGCTAAGAGCATCGAAGTAGATGAACTCTTTGATATCCGTTGGCAGGCCGAGCAGAACGGAGTTCATGATGTTGGAAAGATAGCGCGTCAGCTCCTGCATGTAATTGCTAGTCTCTGTAGTAGGTCTCGTGGCCATCCTAGAGCGTCGTTAGTACCATGTCGTCTAAAGACCCGAGAGATTTTTGCACATACCAGTCGTACTCGGCAGTCTCGATGAGATCGTCAATCTTAGAGTTGACCAATTCAAAGATACGATCCGATGCTGTCTTCTTAGCATTACGGAACTGCTCCGTTGCTTGCAGAATGACAGGCCCAGTGGCGGAGCCCGATGACCGTGCCTGGAAAAGCAAGTCTTGCAGTTCCTGGCAAGCGATCTCGAAGTGCTCCAGGTTGGTGAGGATTTGGACAATTTGACCAGGATATTGAGAGCTAAGTCGCTCTACCAAAGATTGGCAGACCTTTTCGCATAGCAGCTCATCAAGAGACTGGCCCATTCGACGTATAAGTATATAGATGTTGGGTTTACATTGCCGGACTCGTCTTACATTCTTAAGCGTCTCGTCGATAACGGTAGAGCGCTGGAAGTGATCATCGGAGAATAAATATATTTGATTGAGAAAATTGCGAATGTCAATACAACAGAGGGGATACATCTGGGAAAAGGGGAGGACACAGGGGAATCTAACGGGTTAATCAGTATATTCGAAGTCATCGAGTTGGATACGTACGTGAGCTGCTCGCGGGCTTGGCTTGGGGTGTACCAGCTGACATTGACGACTTTATCGTATTCTTCGAGGTTGTTGATTGGCATTGGCATGTAGTCATCAGTCGAAACAATCTAAAATGGCTTAGCACCACTGCAAGAATATCAACAAGGAAACTCACTTCTTGGAAATCTTCGCTGAAGCGCTGCTTGAGGAGATCCGAGTATTTGTCGAAGAGAGTAACTAGCAAGTCATAGAGGTTCTTGACCGAGTAACCCCATTTCTGCGACGAGGTCAGAATTTCTCTATGCAATCGGGCATGCAAATGACGCCTACCTCCATAGTAAGCATGAATAATGCAACTCGCCCTTTGATCTTGAGTAGGAGATCATCATTGTCGACTAAAGGCAATCCGTTGGTTATCAAGGTGGCCATGCTTTGGCACATGGAATCCCACAGTTCATCAACCTGCTTGAAATTAGCTTTGGCCTCAGAGGTTAGACGCTGGTACGAACATCGACATTCGCTCTGAAGTTATTCGTCCTCTTGATCGTCGCTTTCTCGATGATTGCAAAGCCGGCAATGCTCTCCAAAAGGCTGCTTAAATCGGACCCGTCGTCATCCAGGAGGTTTAGCGATGAAGGGATGATGAGATCTTTCTGCTTTCGACGATTCGAAGCATACTCCGCACGGAAGTAATCGCTGCGGCCTAAGGTTTCGTGGATATGCATGCATTCGAAGAGCGGAGAAAAGTCAAATTCCGTCTGCATTTCTTCGTTGTTCATAATGTCAAACTCATCGGTCTCGTCGGCCACAAGGTCCATAGCGGAGTTGAGCTTGAATTTCATGAAGTGTTCATCTTGTTGCATTCGCTCTTCGTGGCGTGTTCTTCGGAGATCTGTGTGATAGAAGGCAACTTCACCAAGGTACTGGGAAGCTTCTCGGACGCGATAAAGCCAGGTATTTAGATCGTCCATGACGGCGTTTGCGATTAATCTCTGAGTAGCTGGAACGGATCTTTCGATCATTTCAGCAATCTTGTATCGTCCCACCTCTTTCAAATGGACATTCTGTAGTTCATCGAGTGAACGCAGAGCCGCATAATGATTCTTCTCGAGAAGCAGATCTCGTACTTGATTTGCGACGCGGAGAACGTCCAAACATGCGTTCAGAGCTTCTGATGTTTCGTCAATGCTTTGTCGCACTGCACGTGAGTCTACTAGGGCTTTCTTTTGGGCGGCGAGGTTCTCTGTGCTGGCTTGAATGGACTGATTTAGCTGGAGAATTTGGGTGGTCATGTCCACAGTGCCTTCCCGGACTCGTAATAAAGAGTTCACGGAGCTGACGAATTCCTGATGATTCGAATTGCACATGCGCTCAATCTCAGATTCTCGCTCAGCAGATATCTGATTGAGAGCTTGAATGAGATGCCCTGCGCGGTCCGAGTAGCGAACATCTCTCATCACAGGGACCAGCTGGTCGATGTAGTCTGAGTCTGAGGACGACTGTGTTATCTAGCCATCTGGTGTTAACTATTGGGAGCATCATTTCAGGTTCAAGAGCATTGCCTACCTGCTTGACCGCACTATAGAGGTCATCCCCGGAGTCAACGGCGGACGGCATTTTGGCGGCCTGTCGGATCTTGAAAATTGGGATGGATCAACAAGCTTCTTTCAACATCACAGCACTCTCCCGACGTCGTGGAACTTTATTGCAGGTCTCTGCTTCGAAAATGATGCAAGATGCCACCGTGTTGCCTATTGCGAGAGGTGGTGAACATCGCATGAAAGTCGGGCCGACCCCTGTCGTGTTTGCACCAAATCCCATTCTTGGCATGCGATGACGGAGCCCAGACAAACGCAAGAGCCCCACTAGGACCGAGAAATATCTGAGGGGCGTTGACTCCGTCTGTGACTCCAGCGCCTGCATCCAGACCTGCAAGAACCGCTGTCCAAGAAATACAAAACGCAACCATGGATTCCATGCTCCGTAAGTGCCATCTGACCTCCAACTAGATCCATAGAGTAATAACCATTCCTCTCAGCCATCATCGGCAGCTCCAAGTAAGTAATCCTATTCACCAATGTTTGTCCAATTTCTAATTCCTTCTCAGGTCTGCCCTCCTGCTTGGTGCAGGCTTCGTGTACGTACATATCCACCTTATCCTACCCGAGCTATCGTAACAATGGAACAGCACTCGTCCTACAGCGGAGATTCTAGGAAATTCGGGCGTCAGCGTCACAGTTGGTACGAAGGCACAATCTGATACTGGAGGCATCAATTGATGTCGCTACAGCCTGCAGAACATTGGAGAGCGCGAAAAAGCTCGCCAGCGGCATCAAGAACGCGTCTGCTATCAGCGTAGGCCATCCAATGCCTTTTTTGTCTAGTCGCATGTCGCTGAAGATGTTTAGCTCGATGTCACGGATGAGAAAGCGCTCGATGCGGAGGTTGCCAAAGTCTCTCTTGTTATCAGCTTGATCCCTTAGTAAGTTGCCCCCTCCTCTACAAAGATTATGAGTGCTAACGACTCTCAGTACCTTCCATGCCACCGTTATTGAGTCTGCGATCCGAAACAAGAAGCATGTTGTTACCACATCCTACGTCAGCCCTGCTGTAGGTCTGCCTATAACCGATCTTTTATACTCGGTGTGCTAAACGTCGTAGATGATGGAGCTGGACCAAAAGGCCAAAGACGCAGGCATCACAGTCATGAACGAGATTGGGCTCGACCCAGGAATCGACCATCTCTCTGCCGTCCTTACGATTGACGAGGTTCACAAGGCTGGTGGCCGAGTCTTGAGCTTCTTGTCGTACTGTGGAGGACTTCCAGCGCCCGAGAACTCCGACAACCCACTCGGATACAAGTTCAGCTGGAGCTCTCGCGGTGTGCTACTCGCCCTCCGAAACCCCGCCAAATACTACAAGGACGGCAAGGTCGTTGATGTGACATCCGAAGGACTGATGGCTACCGCCCAACCCTACTACATCTATCCCGGCTATGCCTTCGTCGCCTACCCAAACCGCGATTCTACTCCATACAGGGAGCGCTACCAGATCCCCGAGGCGCAGACCATCATCCGAGGTACTCTGCGCTATCAAGGTTTCCCAGAGTTCATCAAGACCCTCGTGGACATCGGTTTCCTCAGTGACGAGGAGAAAGATTATCTCAAGCCCGGCTCTCGGATCAGCTGGAAGGAGGCTACCTCAAAGATCGTTGGTTCTACCTCCCGCGCCGAAGAGGACATCATTTGGGCTATCAGTTCGCGCACCACCTTCAAGAACAACGATGAGAAGGATCGCATCATCGATGGACTGCGCTGGATTGGGCTTTTCAGCGATGAGGACATCACCCCGCGCTCCAACCCGCTCGATACCCTATGCGCCACTTTGGAGAAGAAGATGCAGTACGAGGAGGGCGAGCGTGATTTCGTCATGCTCCAGCACAAGTTCGAGATCGAGAACAAGGACGGTAGCAAGGAGACACGTACGTCGACACTATGCGAATACGGTGACCCCAAGGGCTACTCTGCAATGGCGAAGTTGGTGGGTGTGCCCTGCGCCGTCGCGGTGCAGCAGGTGTTGGACGGCACCATCAGCGAAAAGGGCATTCTCGCTCCCATGTCACCTGAGATCTGCAGACCTCTGCTGAAGACGCTGACGGAGAAGTATGGAATCACCATTCGGGAGAAGACAATCTCGTAGATGGGTGACAGAGGACATACGGGCCTCCGTTTTTGGGATGCTTGATGGCGCTTGGTGATCATTCACGACTTATGATGGACAAGCCGCGTCTTAGGTAGATCCCGATTACAAGACAATCAGTGGATCTCAGTACAGGAATACAAAAAAGTCTCGTGCTTACCTGCGACCAAACGCTGTACATGGTGCATAACCCCGAAGTCACACTCCACACGCTCGTAATCACGTTCTCGCGTCACAGCGGTGCACTCATCTAATTCACAGCCTTCGATTCGGTACACAACGGGTCGATCTATGTTCATATCCCCACAAAACAATCGATGGGGTATATACGATTTAGCGTGTACCTCGAGAACTTCAAGACATGCACCTCCTTCGCTATTATTTCCCAAAAAAGTCCCAGCATCCTCATCCATTAGATCCGACCGTCTAGTCATGAAACACATTTCCAAAAAGCCTTCAATTAGACCAACACGCCCATCCTTTTAACAGCCCCGATAACCCACTGTTCCCATCATACCCCCACCAAATCAGGCAATTCCCGCATCGTCTTCTGCACCTCCTTCACCGTCAGCAAAAACGCCCTCTTCTCCGCCTCGCTCGCAAACTCGATCTTCGCGCCGGCGATATACCGCCCCTTCTTCTCCTTCTCCGCCTCGCTCCCCCTTCTCTTCCCCTCATCTCCAGATTTTTTGCCTGTCGGCGCCGCCACAACCCCAGCCCCACTATCTTTCCTCTGATCCGCCCTCACGTCCACGGGCACACGGAGCCCCTTGATCTTGACCTCCTTCCCGCCCTCGTCTTTCACGCGCACTGGATTACTCGATGAGTTCAGGTAGAACGCGAGGTAGCCGTTCCGGAAATGCGCGCTGAAGTGAATAGTAGCGATGACGGCACTCGTAGCGTCGTCTTCCCAAAGACGCAGGTTCTCCATCCCGCACATCTGCTCCGCGTAGGTGAGTACACTAGACAGCCCCTCATGAATACGGAGGGTCTTCTCAGTCCTATACGTGCCAAGCAGCGTCCGTCCCATAAGCTCCGTCTGAAACAGCGTCGCGCCCGCAACATCCTCAAAGACATAGTTAATCCAGCTCGTCTTGGCCGTCTTGAGCGGCTTGCTGCCATACCGCACGTCGTGGTACTTGACCTCGGTCGGCACAGTCACCGAGATCTTCTCGGGCGAGAAGTAGCTCGAGTAGGGCACGTACAGCGCGCCGTCGGCGAGTTTCTGCTGGAAGCGGACAGTGGCGTCGTCGGCGAAGGCCCAGATGGACGTGATCATGCGGATCGAGTTGTCGGGTGCGGTTTCGCGTTTGCGCACGACGCAGATGCGGCACACGGTGCAGGCTTGCGCCATTTCGACGCCGAAGGGGTCATCGTCGCTTTCGATGGCGCGGGTGTATTCGATGAGTGTGCCGCGGCTGGTGGATGTTTAGCAGGAGTTCAGGTATGAGTGATACGGGATGAGCCCCAGGGGGTGAGTTGCCGGCTTACACGTCACATAACACAGCTGAGTTCCGGAAAGCGGCCTTTTCAAAGTCATTTTGCTGACTCGCGCTTGTCGAGCTTCGATGAAGCATGAGTGGGCTTGACTGAGTCAATGGCGTTATACTAAGTTTCTGGAGCTGCGATGCGGGTCCTATGTCTGGATCTGGCGGAATGTCCATTGCGGGCTGTGGTAGTCTCTCCATAGACCATCGAAGCGTGCTGTCGCTGTCCTGATGTTCTGACATCTCTGGTAACTCTGGAGTTTTCATGAGACTAGGTTCGCCGCGTTTCGATGGCCGTCTTTCTGCGATGGGAGAGCGGCTTCCCATTGGGCTTGTGTAGCCATTAGAAGATCCAGCGTCAGACCCCGCGTAGCTGCTAGCATATTGTGATTGCGAGCCGCCGAAGCTAAAGCCTGATATGCGTTTCGTAGAGGAAGCTGAGGACGAAAATTCGGAACCGACGAGCTCGGGCGTCTGTTGAGGTGTTGTTCGAGAGCTTTGCCGTTGCGGAAACAAATCTCGTGGAGTATACGATGATATTGTTGGAGTAGCTTGCTGCGATTGGGAGGGTTGAGAGTCAAGATGGTAAGCACTGGGTGGTCGACTGTTGCCATTCTCGCTATCCTGTCTTGCACGGATCCGAGGGGTCCCTCCAGCAATGGCACGGACGATGCTGTGGATATCTTCTAGCTTCTTGCTCAGATCACCAGTCTGCTGGTGGATATCGTCAATCTTTTCGGCCATGGGTGTCACGGTGTTCTCCAGACGGGACAGGGATTTGCTTTTGACGGTGGTCAGTGTCACTAAATATCCGATTGGAATGCACAACTTACCTCTGTAACGCCTGCATGGTGAGTGTAATGGTGCTCATATGCATGTGCAACATGTTCCTCAACGCCTGTATATTTCCGCCTTCCGTAGTCCACATCATGGTCTTGTAGCTGCACAGTACGAGATCGCTCCATGACCTCTCGACAGCGAATCCACCACTTGTACGATGCTTCTTGATGATTTGATATTGGTCCGTGAGGGAATCCAGATCGTGGACTGTCTGCTGGCATGATAGCAGGATAGTTGCGACTCCATACTTAGTGTCCTTGTCAGCCTTCGAGAGTATGCTATCATCAGCATCGGCGAACAGCGTTTCCGCTAGGAGCTTCAGAGCTTTCGCAAGGCCGTTAATCTCTGTTTCAACCTCGAGGAACTCTGCCGGCGCGCCTTTCCTTCCTGCGGTAAATGCTCTGCCGATCTTCCAGGCCAGCTGTGACAGCATCAGAATGTCCCCGATACTGGGAATGCCTGTCATATTGACGGTTGGCGCAAAGCGGGCGTGAGGCTGCGGATGAGTGGTTTAGTGAATGCAAGAGGGCAGAATCCCGAGCAGATATGGGTGACGGTCAAGTATTCATCTTGTTCTTGGTTCAGGCGGCAAAAGTTTGGGAGTGAATGGCATGCTTTGAGGGCCCAGTGTGACAGGTGGGGAACGGATGGGAGCCTTCGCACGAGGCGCACGGCACGCCGGTGGGCATATCCCACCCAGGGCCATGGTCCTCGGACTCGGGGCGACGTGCTGGCCAGGGTCAGCGGCTTCACTGGTTGATCGGTGAATGGGGAGGGCTGGTTTGAGAGCGTTGCGAGGTCCAAAACTGCTCGTGGCTCAAGCCCTGCGAGCACGTGGGGGCATGATACAACACCATTGGCGAGAAATCCTATGAACCCACGTCCCCAGCCAGGAACGTCGCGAGTGCAGGCGAAGCTACTGTACCAGGAAGCCTCATAGCGTAATATAGACTGTGGGGCTGTACATGCACGAGGCAGTCCCAATATGTGTATTGCGCCTCGCTTTTGACCCTAAAATTACGCAGGCGCCCTCTCTTCAGCCTCAAGCTCGTCGTCACTGCAGAACCGGACGCCATAGTTCACGCACGATCTTGATATTGATAATAGCTCAGCTGTTGTACATTGGCGTATTTCTTGGCTGTCCTTAGTTTCCTATGTGCGTATGTTTTCTAGGACTTGGCCGGATGATGCGGCGAAATCTGTAGAATCCCAAGTGGAGAGTCGACCAAACGCTGACGGGCCAGCGGCACTCCCTCCGTCTGGCCACATTCGTGCAACCATAAGCATCCCAATTCCGAACGCCTGAGTATTGTACACTGCCGCCTTCGCTTCCCAGAGATCATATGCCTTGTTTATGCCAGAGGAGAGAAGAGTCTGAGACAGTCAGATTGAGCCAATGCTCTCATGTCTATGTGCTGCTTGCTCACCGGATGATGGAAGGCCTTGGCTCGCTGTGGGTATAACCTGAGCGCTGTTAGGATGGATTTCGAGGTGGCTTTGGTGAAGCACATTGGAGCGCACCAAGGTAGAGGATCAAGGGGAGATAGCCACTTTAAAGAGTCAGCATTTGGAACAAGACGTGGAGGTAGGAAAACATACTAGTGTATGGCTACGCGCGAGACGTCAATGATTCTAGCAATGCGCTCCTAAGGGGGATGTTAGGTCTATGACGCAATACAGATCTCTGGCGGGCAAACCTTGGACTCTTCTGATAGTGACACCATTTTGATTGTCGGAAGAAGCGCTGGGAGCGATGATCGGGAGGATGATGGGAGTAGCGGGCGGTAGGGCGACGTTGATGGATGCTGTCTTCAGGGACGGGAAGATTTATGTCGGGCGCCAAAACATTCTGCCACCGCCCGCGCGTCTTCGTCAAAGCTCCCGCGAGCAAAAGTTCTGGTCACCTTTGAAGCTGCAACTGTTCCTGTATCAAACCGTCGCAAGCGCAAACATGGCGAGCGCAAGACACTGGTAAGAGTTATACACACTTTCTCCTCTGAACGACCTCAGAACATTTGCTACCAATGAACCGTAGGGATCAGGACAAAGACGCGACCGTCTACGTCGGCAACCTCGACGAGCGCGTGACAGACCAGTTGGTATGGGAGCTGATGCTCCAGGCCGGGCGCATCTCAAATGTCCATATGCCCAAGGATCGAGTCACCCAGACCCACCAAGGCTACGGTTTCGTCGAATTCAACACTGAGGAGGACGCCGACTATGCCATCAAAATCATGAACACTGTCCGAGTCTACGGCAAGCCTCTCCGGGTCAACAAGGCATCAGCAGACAAGCAGAAGACAGTCGAAGTTGTTGGCGCGGAGCTTTTTGTCGGAAACCTTGATCCTATGGTGGACGAGAAGGTGCTCCTGGACACATTTGGGCGATTCGGGCCTTTGATGCAACCGCCGAAGGTAGGCCCCGCTTCGCATGGTATTATTCTGAACTGGTACTACCACTACTATTTAGGTCGCTCGCGATGATTCCAACCTGTCCAAGGGCTACGGCTTCGTCTCGTTCGCCGATTTTGACGCCTCCGACGCGGCCATCCAGAACATGCACGGCCAATATCTGATGAACAAAGAGATCTCCGTCCAGTACGCCTACAAGAAGGACGGCAAGGGCGAGCGACACGGCGACGAAGCAGAGCGCATGTTAGCGGCACAGGCCCGGAAGAATAACGTCCAGCCCGTAGTACAACCATTCCCCGCGCAGGTATTCGCACCTCCCGCGCCATCTGCAATGTTAATGGGTGATGGTCGCATGAACGGAGGCCCTCCAGCTGGCTTTGGAATGGTTCCCCACCACGGAAACTTCAACAGCGTCCCGCCGCCACACCAGCAGCGGCCGATGTCGAATACCCCGCTCCCGCCGCCGCCAGCTGGTCTGCCCGCAAGACCACCTCAGTCAAATGCGGGATACGGAGGACCCACCAACTTCCAGCCCCCAGGCTTCCCTGGACCTCCACCTCCGGCCGGCTTTGGGCCACCTCCTGGAATGCCCGCGGGCTTCAACCCACCACCAGGATTCCCCAGACGGTAGCTCTGACCTGATGGTATGTCCACAAAGCATTCTCTTTTCCTGCATGTGTATGGCGTCAGAGCGGCGTCTGGGTGACCCTAGAGGACTTTAAGGAATGTCAAAAGGTTGGTAGACGGGGCGCGAATTGCATAGGCCTACAGCCGCGATAGCGAAAGTCACCAAAATGAAAGACGTTTTGATGCTCAATTGCCCTCACTTGAAAATTTGAGGTATTTGATTCATGAACTGCATGCCCTTCCCATGCCGCATGTTGCCCCTGATTCCTTCCAACCCCTTACGCAGCAGCAGCCTTCGCCTTGGCTCCCCTCAGCTTGGTTGGTCGGTCGGCCTTGACGGGCTTCTGGCTCTTGCGGATGGCGGAGGCGCGCGAGACGGCCTCAGCGCGGAGGTCGGGGCGGTAGCCGTGCCTGGTAGTGCTGTTCACGATGCCAGAGTAGGTCCTGAGTACAAATTAGCTATTAACTCAACATACTTCAACGTGTTCCCATTTTCAAGTCTCTCTTCACAGATCTCTGTGGAGTGCCGGAAAACGAGGTGTACGTACTTCCTCGACGACTTTCCGGAGCCGAATGTGGTGCTCTGTAGAGAGGAGGCGGGCTTGTTGGACTTGTTGGACTTCTTGACCAAGAGAATGACGCCGCCATCTGCGGAGGGCTGGATGCCGAAGGCCTATTTCCTGTATAAGCTATTGTTCATAGCTTCCATTGTGCCAAACAAATAGTTTGTCCGATCGAAATGTCCGAAAACTGGTGTCGTAGACGTACCTGGTCATTGACGAGACCCTCGTACTGCGCATTGTTAGCTAAAAGCCAGGAATTGAGGGTTGTGATGGGATCTCACCTTCCGCCTATACACATTCTTCAGGTTCAATGGGTCGCGCGAGAATTGCACACCGCCGGCGGCCTTCCTCTTCACGAGATTGGCGCTGTGGCCGCCTGGTCTTTCATCAGCTCTCGATCTTTCTCGAATTCCTCTGAATCCTCTAGTTTCGTGTCCTGATTTTCCTGGGGTTTTGGGGGGGGAGGGGGACATACGGGTAATCTCCCAAATCAGGTCCGAGGAAATGTTGGTCGCCATTGTGTCTGCGTGTTTTGGTACCGTCTAGCAAGTCGTCTCGCGCGTGAAGTCAGGACTCCATTTGTGTGGGCGTCCGTGCGTGAGCGGTCGGCATGGAAGAACGGTGCTTCCGAGAATACACCCGTTTAGCTCTACGATCCGCCGCGGCAGCTGACGACAACGCTCGGGGCGATGGGAGAGACAGATTCCGCCTGGTATCACGCTTCACTTACTCACTCACTCTCTCCTCGACTACTCCACTATCGCCTCTGAGCTCTAGCAGCAGCGCTGGGAGCCCTCCCGCCTGCGTACATCCAGCTGTCTACTGCGACATCCATTTCCTTGTGTTTCAACTATTCAAGGCCCGCGCGTTACTCATCACCAGCTCCGGACGCGGCGGAAGGACACCAACGTCTCTATACCACTCAGCGCGTTCACCGACAAGAACCGCGAATATGAGCTATATAGCCTACTCGACCTACCTCTTCCTTCTCCTCCTCATCCTCTCTACAAGTCCGTCTCTCCTTCCCCCCTCCCCTACTCCATACCCCTCAACGGCATCCACCAAATTACTCCAACATCCGCTAACACGCTACATCAGCCCTTTACTACACCCGTGGCCACTGGTCCCACCGCCTGCCGACTATTAACCTCCCAAATCCCTTCCCGCACCTCTACCAACGCCTCCCATCTTCCTTCACCGGCGACATCGAAGCCGGGCTCTCCTCTAGCTCCTTCAACCTCTCCGAGAACGTCGAGGCCGGGGATTCGCGCGCTGGATTAGATGACAAAGCGAAGAAAGAGGTGCAAGCGATCATGACAAGGCAGCGCGTGGGGTTTGATGAGGCAAGGAGGCTGTGGGTGCAGGAGGGGTTCAGGCGGAATGGGATAGGCGCGGATGGGAGGCCCAGGGATCCTAAGTTTGTTAGCTTTTCGTAGGGGTAATCGGGTTAAGAGGAGGGATGTAGGTGTGAATGCTTTATCTCCTTAGTTCGAGATTTCAGCGAGCGGGCGTTTTTGGTGGATGACATTCGGGATGCCTTGGATGGGTGAGGACTTGGGCTGGTTTGGGGGGATGGAAGTCTCTAATCTCATCACTCCCAAGATCGTTATTGAGCGGGATGTTTTGCTGTTTCTTTTGTCAATTTTCCCCATGTTCCTCCCAGATATCGCATACGCAACTCTCGTATTATACCATTCAGGTTCTCATCATCTCTATATTCCACTGCTTTCACGCTGCTCTTGGATCCTCGATATCACTGTCAGGAGTGGTTCCAACGACAGGCCGGCTGGCCAGAAGGCTGCCTGATATTGAACATTACATCAGTTCCAGAATTATGAAAGACCACAGGGGCACCCCAAACAGCGGCAAGCCAGTGTGCGCTCTCTCAGCAAGACGACGCACGAGGCGATTAGGTAAAGTATCGAGCAAAGTCTTCGTCCACACGAGGTACCCTATTCCAGGTCTGTAGAGAAATCGGCACGGAATGCTTAGGCATCACACGTCTTTTGAACATGCTTCCATTTTATCTCCGTTAGATTCATATTTAAGTATAGAACGTTCAATCTACGCAAGACACTGCTATGTGCCCACATATGCACCATAGCCTGCTCACACTCAGACCAGTCAAGACTTCTCAGCTGGACGCGTCTGCGTCAGAGCCTCCTCATCCATGGCAGTCTCGAATGCAGGTTATCCAGCACGCCCTCCGCGTACCTCCCATTCGCGAACTGGACACGCGACGCACGGCTTCCCGCAAGCCAAAACTCCAACCGGAATCCACGAACGCGCAACCCCATTTTCCACAGTCAAAAGCCTCGCTTCATTTCCCCGCCCTGTGATGGTGCCGCAAAAGCCCTAGACAAGGCCATCCCAGAAACGCATCTTCGGCTTCTTAGCGCCGTGATCAGGGCGTTGCACATACTCGAGACACTTCCCAGTGTTCGTCCAGATGTCGCCGATACAGCAGCCCGCGTGCTGGGGACATTTTGTCCATTTCGCGATCTTTAGGATTGTCGGGGAGGCCGGGAAGGCCTTTGACTCTTGAGGACTCTTCGCATCGGACACGGCGTCCTCGGTACTGTCTTCGGACCCGATTTTCTCAGCGGATTCCTCCACAGCGGCAACTGCCTCCTTTAAGGCGGCGGCCTTCTTTTCAGTACGCTCTTTGACGATCGAGCGCTCATTTACGAATTCCCGGAGAAGCCGCGCAGTTGTAGACCTCACCGACGCAGTCTCGGGATCAGCGGGTTCGGATTCCGATTCAGGGTGAGGGGATGTGGCAGATGTGGCAGTCGTTACAGTCGTTGCATTTGTTGTAGTCGTTGCAGTCGTTGCAGTTGCTACAGTCCTTACAGTCGTTGCAGCCGCTCCAGCCGTTGCTGCCGAATTCAGCGCTAAACCCGCCTCCCACAGCTCTTGAGCCGCCTGCTGGAACCGCTGCTCCGCCTGTTGCAGCACCTCTCTCGCTAAGTTCAGGCCCGCGTCTCTCTCGTGCTCTGGGCACTCCAGTTGTGGGACCGCCGTGTCTCTATAATGTAAATTCTCCACATTGTACTGCACGCGATTCACAATCATCTCTTTCATGTATACACAGCCGAGCGTGAGGAGGAGACAGAGCATTGCGATGATTATTCTACGCAGGTAGGGGTCGGGCTGGGCCGCGTTGTTTAGTTCGTCGTCTTTGGTGGGGGGCTCTTCGATGGCGTAGTAATCCAAGAAAGGGTCTGCAATCTCGTCGTAACTGTCGGCTTCTGAGTTGATGGATTCGTCTTCGTCTGTTGGCCAGGACGAATGGGAAGGCGTGTAGATTGGTTCTATGTCCTGCGAGGAGCAGGATGAATCTGTGGAGCGGGCGTCCCAGTCGGCCATCTCGGCTGGCGTGTACTTTGTGTGCTCCTTGCGGAGCTCGGGTGGATTGCGGGTCATAATGTTGGCATTTAGATGGCGAAGAGATGGAGAGGAGAGGGAAGGAAAGGAGGAAGGTGGAATTGTTAAGTGCGGGTTATTGTGATGTTGTTGGTAGCGAAGAGGTGAGTCCCATGGTTCGGAAAGGGAGGCCTGGGATCTTGCGACGTGTACGTTAGATTTGATACGACCGCACCGAGTTGAATGTCAAACTATGAGCAAGTGAAGTTGGTTTATAGCTTTGGGAGTCTTGGACCGGATGTGCAGTCAGGCCCTGTTAAACACAGAGTGGAGGTCCAACACTGTCTGAAGTAGCCCGGAGAGCTATAAGGCTTGCCAAAGCTGTCGCTCCACGAGAAACAATGATGTACCAGAGGATCTCTAGCAGTGCTAGGCAAATGTACAAAAGTCTGGAGAGTGCAGAGTGCTAGTATGAAGCTCATGCGTAATCGTGCGCTGCGGCTACATATTCCAGAGAGCACGAAGCAGGGGGCTTGATTTGTAGATTATAGAGGCCTCATGTATTTCGATTATTAGCGAATCTTTGGAAGGACGCAGGCTTCTAAAGCGCTGCGAACATACTTTCAGAGGCAGTACGACTATGAGAAAATTCCCTCCCCCTAACTCATGTCCTCAAATGTACTTTGCGGCCCTCCCGTATTAGAGCTCAACTGTATCAAATCTCCTTCATCAGTCCTCCCTGCGTCGACCCTCCAGTCAGAAGTTCACCCGGTCAATCAACCAGGTCGCAACCCTCTTGATATATTCGATCCTATTGCTGAAGCATTCTGAGCACTCTTCAGAGGAGCCATCGCATTGCATGAGTGTTGGGCACTCTATGACGCGCCTCTCTGGCTGGGGTGATGGAGTAGAGGCAATGGGAGCACGGCTAGTCGAAGAGGTTCCATCACTGGGAGTCGGATTGATCGTAACGTGATTGACCTTCTCGTTCGCGGATGCTTCGTCAATCATCTTCGCCATTTGCACTACGTGGATGTATGCTTTCAATCCCGGTGAGAGATTCTCTGGCACCTTGGGCTTGACGACGTTCTCGCTCGCGAATGCTTCGTCATTCGTCCTCCAAATCTTCGATCGGTGGGCCCACATTAACTTTTTTAAGTTACATCCCCGTAAGAGATCCTCCGGCACTTCGGGCTCGTCGACGTTCTCATTCGCGGATGCTTCGTCGATCATCTTCGCTGTTTGCACTATGTGGGCATATGCTTCCGCTTCCAGTGAGAGATCCTCCGGCACCTCGGGCTCGTCGACATTCTCGTTCGCGGATGCTTCGTCAATCATCTTCGCTTTTTGCACTATGTGGGCATATGCTTCCACTCCCAGGAAGAGATCCTCCGGCACCTCGGGCTTGACGACCATCTCGCTCGCGAATGCTTCGTCATGCATAGTCGACAACTCCATCAGCTCGTAGTGGGCCCGCATGAACTTGTATAAGTTAAATTCAGGTGAGAGAGCCTCCGCCACCTTGGGCTTGACGACGATGTCGGACTTTAGTGTAAAGTGTTCGTAGCACAACCAGCTTTGACACACCGTCGAGAGCACACCAATGACGATGAGTAGGGCCCTCATGAAGTCTCTGAAGCTGAAGGGAATGGCGTCGCAGATACGTTTCACGACGGCGCCGTCGGAGTTGAGCGGGTTTTCGATTTTGGCGTACAAGAATTCTACCAGAGGCAGGTTTAGTATGGAGTAGATATTTGCAGCGGAATAGGGCCTGTCATACCGTACAAGGTGGTCCGTAGCTTTTGACCTGGATCGACGCCGCTGATTTCGGCCTTCTTTTCTTGAACTTGCTTACGCTCGTCGTCGCCGGAATGCTCGAAAAGTTCGTCCCAGTCAGACATCGTGGCCTTGTTGGTGGAAGGAGTTGGCGGGGCTTTGATTTTGGACATTTTGCGTGAGAAATGATGAGGAGGAAGATGAAAGGAATAGACGAAGATATAGCAGCGGAGAAAGGACAAGTGGTTACTACGACTTCTCTGGTACCGAAGGGACATCGCCATGGTTCCGCGGGGCGAGAAGTAGTCCACTGCAACTCAAATGTGGATACTATGAGCAAATTTAGCAGGTCGCTACTAAGTAAAGACCTACGAGTGTTATAGTTAGAAACGTTCCACATCGTCGCTCGTCTCTTTCATCTCTTCTCCGTTCTACGATAAAGGCATACCCTACCAACGACAACACCATGACCCTGAACTCACCCGAACTCGCGCGTCCCTCGATGGAGACCTTGATTTAGCACACCGAGAAATCAACCAAAGAGGAAACCCAGAAACGAAATGGCAAAGAGGAGAGCTGCAACTGCCGCGTCAGCCGCACTCCACGTACCATCCATCTCCCCGATATAAGCAAGAAATCCCCACCCCCACCATATGTCTTGAAGCGTTTGATAGCAGTAACTAGGTACTAACTCATTTCGTAGCGGTTCCTCAAACCACCAAAGATTGCATTTCCAACATATCCTTCGGCTTGTTCGTTGCCTTAATCTTCTACGGGTTTTATATGATAATGTGCATTCCTCTCGATTTAGCCAAGCAAAGTGCGGACCACGAGTTCCAACTGCAGATGGAGCATATCAGACTCCAGTACGCTAGCGTCGAGGCCAGCAAGTGCAGTACACCGGCTGTTCCGACTCCTGAGGCGGCTACGAATTGCTGTGTAGCTAACGACTGCATCGTCTGTCCCGAGGACGCGACGTCCCTCTCCGATGGTGTGTTGCGCGTGTTCTACGACGAAGCGAGCCTGAGAGTCTTGGGCTGGGCCAAGGTGGACGAGATCCCGCCCACTGAGGGGGCTGGTGACAGACCAACTTCCGAGCCAATTGTTGAAGATTCGGCGCAGAAGAGGACGTGGGTAAAGATTGTATCAACTTGTGGATAGAGATTGTACCAAATTGATATTTTAACAGTTTTTACTTTGAGATGCGTCTCGCGAAGGCAGTGCACAGGGTGGACAGTATCATTTTAGAATGACTAGAGCAGACTAGATGCAGATATGACGGGGATAAGCTGTGGATTACGTCATGATGGGTTGATCGGTGGAAGATCCTTGGGCGGAGGAGGAGTTCTAGGAAGAGGCCTACGAATGCAAAATATGTGGTGGAGGATACAGGACTAGGTCATAAGTCTAGGGACACGGACATACGGCTGCTCCGGCTTCGTTCTTGCGCTTTGGACACCACTGTAAGGAGTGTCATAGGAGAAATGTCAAAAGGTAGTCAAAAGGTAGTCTAATTTTGCACTGCGTTGATCTTTACATCGTATTTGTAGTTGACAAAGCGTGTCGGGGTATTCTACCCAAGCCAGTTGCATGGAGTGCCCAAACTTATGTCTTGGTACTGCACCATCGTGGGCAGTAAATATACACATCAACTACGGCTCCTCAGTCTTATATCCAGGCGGCAAGAAGATATTGAAACCCCGAATCAAGTCCGGCTTTCCCTCGAAAAGGCTAGAGATCCAATACAAAGCACCAGGCGAATCGATCCGTCCGCTCCGGAAATCTCTTAGCACCTGCTGGAAACGCTCGACAACATCGGGCTGATCTGCGTATTCTGCTTTAACTTGGTTGATATAGCTCTCAGGTAGGCCATGCGGCGACGATGTCGACGAGCGAGAGGGGGCCGTGGGGGTCTGAGGCTGAGATGGCTCTTCTGGAAGCTGTACTGATGAGCGCTGCGAAGGCGCTTCAATCGTGAAAGCCGCCGGTCTCGCGTCCCGGATCCTCCTCGTACGATTCGCAAGCTCATCAATTTCCTCTGTGCTCAAGGCACGCTGTACAATAAGAGAATCTATACGCTCCTCGAACTCCTCGCCAGCTTCCTTCAGTGCCTCAGGACTAACGAGTTTCCGATCAAGCTTAGTCCACCGCGCAGCCGGTGTAACCTGCATTTTCCCGGGCTTGGAGAGTTCGTCAAAGGACCCCCGTCTTGCTTCCTGACGCTTCTCAAGCCACTCGTCCGTTCTCGACTCCCGGATCTGCTCTGTACGAGTTGCTAGCGCTTGGATCTCCTCCTTCGTTAGCACGCGTAGAACGACGACGGAGTCGATGCGTTCTTCGAAGCGCTCTTTCGCCTGCTCCAACGCTTCGGGGTTGACTAGGCGTCGGTCGATTTTGGTCCACCGGGCTCCAGCAGGTATTCCCTTAGGGTCTGCGCCCTTCCTTAGAGCAGCACCTTCTCGTATCACGTTGGTGTCTTCTGGGAACTTTGAGGTAGGGGGACGTAGGATACTCTTTTGGGCTCCGCTGGCAGGTATTGCTAGGGACCCGGATTTCTTGGTGTCAGGATCAGAGGGCTTGAGGTCCGTAGGCTGTTTAGCTTCCCGCCAGGCTGGCTCTGTATCTCTATACATCCCGGCGGGATCGGTATACGAGTAATGCCCCTCTATAAGCTCGGTTGGAAAGCTTCCACGACTGTTGGCGTGGGACTCAGCGCTGCCTAGTTGCTCATGTGGGAGATCGGAGAATCTTGTCTGGGTCTCCCGGGCTGTGGACTGGTCGCTTGCCTTCTTTGGACCTTCTTTAGTATCTGCATCCGATGCGAATGGATATTGTGTTGCCAATGGCTCGCTGCCATAATTGACGGCTTGAAATGAGTCCCGGTCTTTACTCCACACCTCTGGCGGGGCGTCCTCCTTCGTCGGAGATTCTTTCCACTGCGGGTCTTCGGAGTCGCTTTGAGGCGTTGGAGTATACCATGTTTTGACGAAGGAACCCCTGCCCGGTTCGCGGATGTTTTCATTTATCGCTCTGAGCAGCCGCTTGGTCACTCCGTAAGCCTCTGGGAATTCAACCTCGACCCGATGGCCGTGTTTCAGAGCCGTATTGTAGACGTTGCCACCTGATTCAATGAACAGAAGCTCAGCTACGTTTTCTGCCAGACGAGTTCCTTCTCCGCAGAGGCTTCCATAGGTGCGGTAGACGTGGATTGGGTCCTGGCATTGATCACAGCTGGCTGCGTGTGCTTCGAATCTTTCAATGGCTTCTATTTCGTCAGGATCAAGCGGGCGTGGCGGAATCGCGCTTGGAGACTGCGAGAACTTGACGCTCCTCTGCCGTTCGTACTTCCCTGCAGCTATTCCAATGCTGCTTTTAGAATCCTCACGGTTTCTACTGGGTATTTGGATTGGAGTGCTTCCAATTGATTCGAGCTGCTGTTTTACTATATTTTCGGCGCCAATCATGGCCAAAGCCTCGTTTGCGTTGTGATCAATTGGAGGGAAGAATTGCCTGCAAGGTTTCGTTAAAAAGTGTACTGGGCTAGTATGGAGTTCAACTGAGGGCGTCGAAGGGCACGTAGGGAATCACGATAGACTTACGGAAGCAGTTTCTTGTATGTAGTTTGCTCATAATCTCCGTACACGCAGAAGATGATTTTCTCAATTCTGGTAATCCTGTTCTCGTCCAGAAATTTTCGAACCTCAGCCATCCCGACCTCAGCCGATTCACTTGGGTATCGAAGTTCCCCTGCTCCAAGGGCGGGAAAAGCAATGGTCCGAGCCCCAATATCGACAGCCATCTTGAGAGCATTTTGGTAGCACTGTCGTAACAGTGGCATTGACTTATCATTGAAGAATTCTGGCGGCACAGTGTGTATGACGTGTCTGCATGGAAGCAAGTATCCCTGAGTGTGTCGAACGCCGCCTTCCCTTAGCATGCCGAACTTAGAGCAGTCTTCTTGCATTGTCAGCCCGCCAGCCTTGAATATCGCCCGATCAAGGGTACCAAGCCCGGAGAATGCCATATCAGTTGAGTTGACAATGGCATCGACATGGAGACGAGTAATGTCGTGTTTGATGAAGCATACTGTGCTATTGGCGTGGCCGCTTGGTGTGACGCTCGTGGATACGTTTTCCTCCAGTTCTCCCAGCTGGTATAGGCGGCTCAGGGAAGGGATGTCGCTCGCCCTGAGTAGATTAGTTTGATGCCCCTTGCTCTCCCAAGCCTCAGCGCTAAATCCTCGGGCAAGCAGCGCTTCATCGAATACCTTCGTGGGGACGTGTTGGACAACCCCTCCGGACTGATTGAGGCGGTAACGAGATAATTTGTCCCGAAGTAAACCCATGTCATTGGGCTCTCTTCCATTTCTAAGGATAGTCAGTACTGCATTTTTCAAAGAGAAAGGCTTCGCGTACAATTTGAGAATATCGGAAAGACTTTGAAGGAAATTTCCGCAAAGTTCTGTAAGCTCAACGAACGTAAGGCCCTGAGCATTCATCAGATGGAAGATGTAGCTTTCCCAAATATCTTTGTGCGTCGGAGTGCCAACATTCCTGGTATACGTTGTCTGCATGACAATCTCATGAACGCCACCAGCGACGTTTCGTAGAACGCAACAGATCAGATCAAGATCAGCTGCTCTTTGTTCTGTCATGCTGTGGATAGTCGAAGAACCCTCGAAAAGTTTCTCTAGCTCTGCCAGTGTTGAAGCTATGAAAACTAATTCTCTGATGATAGTCTCTTGGAAGTCAGGGACTCTGTCGCGGAAGACCACGAGGTCTTCTGCAATGCCTTCAATCTGTTCATGCAGTTCTTTTAGTTCCCATACATACGCCGAATATCGATGTTCCAGGTAAGGTTTGATGTTGCTTGTGGAGATTGGGCCGGTTGAAGCAATGGTGTTCTCACTTCCGGAGATACCTGACGGCTCCGCTAACGGGGTTATGGAAGATTCCGATGTGGAAGGAAAGAAAATCCTGGAGAGAAGCATGTTAGCAGACGAAGTACGAGGGAAGCCTCAATCAAGCTTACGGCAAATTATCCCAATATGTCTGCCAGTCTCGCTCTGTGAAAACACAGAAGATGATCCGATCGAACAAAACTCCCTTCCCACTGTCCAAATACTCCCTTACCGTCCGAATAGCCACCGTCGCGGCTCTCGACGGAGGAAACCCGAATCCGCCGGCACTAAGCGTTGGGAACGCAATAGTCCTCAGCTGGTTCTGCTCGGCCGTTTCCAAAGCGCGCCTGTAGCATTCCGCAAGAAGACCATTAGAGACTTTTCCCATTGTGAATGCATAGTGCGGCCTCACGGCATGGATAATCTTTTTGCACGGAAGATTATACGCATCGGTCATCACCACCTCGCCTGTGGATCGAAGGCGTTTAATCGAGTCCACCTCTTTCTGTAATTCTGGACCTGCGATCTTGTGTACTAGGCGACTGAGGTCTGAGCCGACTTTGGCCATGTTACGGCCGACAGCGTTGACGATTGCATCTACTTGTAGCGTAGTTATATCCTTGAAAACGAGGCTAATCGTGTTGTTAAGCATTTCGTTTCGATTCCCTTGAAGACTATGACGTGGAAGATGTTTGCCAGTGTAGAGTTGCTGAAGCGTAGGAATATCTGAAAGCGTCGTGATCCCCTTCAAATTTCTAACTGGAGGGCCAGAAGCAGACCCATGCTCGACTTGGTTGCGTCGTTGAGGCTTGACGCTGAACAACGAATCTGAATTGTCATCTACTTGATCTGGTAATTCGGAAATCAACGTGGCAAACTCTGCAAAGCGAGTAGTGGGCCCGATGTTCTCTTCTACACTGAAAACTACCCCTGGGAACTTAGATTCGTCTATGGCTTCCAATGCGTTCGTCGCTGACATGATGTCTGTGAATCTTGCGTGTCCGCTGCATTTATCCTCGGTGAATTTCAGACCAGACATCGATCGGTAGCCAGGGCGCGACTCGAAGAATTGCTGCAACAGACCGGCCTGTAGATCGCTACTACTTTGGGGTAGGTCTGCAAAATGCAGTCTGGCAGTGAGCGTTTTCGCCGCCGTGTCTAGATTTGAGACATCCGGGTCTGGTGTCGTTTTCTCGGCTCGGAGAGGAGGTTCGTCTGAGTCTAGTCCGCCCGAGGACAGGAAGACATCCATTCTCTGACCTCTGGTATCGGGAAGGCGATGCAGCAGATCACTAAAGAGCGCAGTTCCTGGTTGCCGTTCTGGTGATTGTGCGTCTAGAGACCCAACCTTGCCAGCAAGTCGTTCTATCTTGGACGATAAATCGTCAGATCGATTATTTGCCTCGAAGAAACCCCAATCAACTGGTTCTTCATCTTCAGAATCGACACTGAGGTCTTGTGAGGCGCTGTACGCTTCACTTCTCCCGCGTGACGCAACACCACTCCCTCCATCTGAATGGTCTTCCGCTGTATCGACGTCCTTGGGGAGGGCAAACGCAGCAAATCGCTCCAGGTGGTTGGCAATGTGGTTTTGCAGACCGCCCTCCATAGTCGCATCAGCTCGGCACAATGGACACTTCGGACGTAAGTCAATGGAGGATGTTTCTCCAACCCTCAAGATGCTTTTGATCTGATCGTCTGGAAAACTTCCTGGGTGCTCGGCGTGGAGGTGCTCTTCAAGCCCGCTGCTGGATTTGTAGATGGAATTCTTGTGCTCCGGGCATCGCCATAGCTTTCTGTGGCCAGCTTCATGTTCAATCCATTCACGGCGGCTCCGGAAGAGCTGGTCTCCGATGGGGCAATCTTCGTAAGTGCAAACATATGGTTGCAGATCTTGTAGGAGATGGGTTCTCCAAGCGCGGCCTCTGCCATACCGAGCCGGACAAATGATGTAGCAGTAAGGACACTCGAAGTCTCGATCTTCGATGGCTTGTTTTGGAGGAGGAGGAAGCTCAATACCATGCCCCGTTAGGTCTCGCGTGGTAGTAGCGTAAGAAGTTACTGATTGACTGTCTACTATCTCATCGAGAGAGCGGTGGTGCTGAGTAGCCTCTGTACCTGACAGCATGGACTTTGGAGCCCATTTGCTCTGTGTCAAAGGGGTGTTTTGAACGGTCTCCGGCTTTGCTTGGCTGTCCTCCGGCGTGGTTTGGGGGCTCAAGAAATCTGGGGTTACTGGCGCTGGCACCAGCATAGCATCAGCAAAGGTAGATGATGCACCAAGTTTGTCTCTATGTCTCCGCCAGTACTTAAACTGACGCCTTCTGAGAGTGATGGCTTTACTCAAGCGTTCGACGAGGTATTCATCAGCTGGGTCTGCCGCATCCGAAGTAGATTGGCGGAAGTTTGTGAGCAGCTCCCGCGTGTGCTTCTCATCAAAAAGCGCATATTGCTCAAAGGTATCGATGCCAGTGTCCGGATCCGTTGGTCTAAAAGATGCAGCTTTCAAAGACCTGGAACGAAGTGTGGGAGACCGAATCCTGACGGAAAGCTTGTACAGATTGTCGATGATATCAACAATGTCGAGGAATCTCTGCGCAAGCTCTGACTTTGGAGTTGATCCGTCATCGCCATCGTCGCTGTCTTCCTCGTTCTGGCTCCAGTCATCATCTTCATCTTCGCTCTCATATTTAGCTAGCTTCTCGTAAGGCAAGCGGCTACCAGAGACCACGGCGAGGGCCTCCGAAAGATTAGTCCTGAGTTCTTCGAGCAGCTTCAGTATGTTGGTTTGCAGCAGTGGCGAGTCGCGGAGACGGTAATCCAAGGAGCTGTGCCCTTTCTGGAGGGCTCCGAGATTCCCAGACCAGACCCGGAAGCGGCCATGCTCGTCTTCGAGTGCTTCAGGGTTGATATGTTCCCTAGCGGCGTCATCACCGGCCTGGAGGCCGCTGGAGAGAGACTGAAATTGGAGTACACAGGCAGCGGTGCCTAATCTGATTTCCGACATTTTCGGATGGGAACATAGTGACTGAAGGGCTTGCTTCGTTGATAAAACTTCCTGATGCCTACGAGGCAGACTGGCTGAGGTCCTTGGCTTGTCCCGCCAAATGGTCTCCACTATCTTGATGTGAAGCTATGCCGGTTATGGAAGCAGATATATCGCTCTCCACGACCTTGTAACACCACTGCAAAGGGTTGATAGCTCTAAAATCGAGGTTTATGTTCATTTATAGCTTCGTGTATATAATCTCGAAATGCCAAGTTGCTGGGTAGAACTTGGAAACCCCGTCGATGCGGCTGATGCTATGCACACAGCCCGCATGGTAATAGCGTCGCGAGGGCATCTCTCGTCTCCCCTCACCCCACAAGCTTACAAAATCTCTTCCTCCCCAAGAACTCGCACTCTACCTACACCTAGGAATGCTTCAAGTCGTAAAGCACCTACCATGCTTGCCCTGCCATGAGTGGAGCCGAAGTTGCCGGGCTCCTCCTGGCCGTGATGCCACTGTTCATCTCAGCCCTCGAAGACTACAATGACGGCCTAGATCCCGTCAAGGCCTTCCTAAGATGGGAACGAGAACTCCCCCAATTCATTCGGAAGCTCCGAAATCAGCATGTCCACTACGAGCAGACCTTACGCCTGCTACTCGCCCCAATAACGACAGAATTCGACCTCGCGGAAATGATTGCGGATCCAAATGGCGAGCTGTGGAAGGAGGAGTCGATGGCGGAAAAGCTGCAGGAGAAGCTTGCGGAGTCGTATAAGGCGTACCAAAGCACTATTCAGGATATTGAGAGAATCATGAAGAAGATTGCGAGCAAGTTGGATCTAGAACGGGCGAGTAATGTATGCAAATTCCCCCACATTCCTCACTTCAAATACGTGTTGCTTACCGCGAATACCTTCCAGCTTACCCGGAATGAACTCGAAGCGATGCTCATAGCAAACCCCCGCCAAGCGAACCAGAAATATGAATTCCGGAAACGGGTGCGATTTGGGATGAACAAGAAGCATATCAAGGGTCTGCTAGAGGAATTAGACGAGTGCAACAAAGAGTTGGAGAGGTTTACGGATCGGAGCGAGAAGCTTGAACCTTTCAGGAAGGCTTCCAAGCCCTCGTTTGCGAAGCACTTACAAAAGATACAATCGTATGCCAAGAATCTGCACCAAGTGCTGGTGCAGTCGTGGAGTTGTTCTTGCCGGTCTTCGCATTGCACCAACCTGCAGCTGGAACGGCGCATCTCGGGGGTTGCTTCGGGCATTGTGAAGAAGAAGGGAGATATGAGTCGGGATTTCTGCTTTACTGTGGCTTTCTCGAGTGACCCTGGGACATGGCAGGAGGCTGAGATCCAGATCCATGAGAAGGAGATAGTAGACTCTTCGCCTGCTCCTTCTCCATACAAGCCAAAGTGAGTGGTCACTCTCCAGCAGAAGTGTTGGCTGTCAAAGCCAACGATATGTTATAGAATTCAAGATAGCTAACGGCAAATTTCAGGTTAAGCAAAGGAGTCAGCTGGTCCAGCATGGTTAACCCACCTCCGCCATACTCCGAAGACGCTGAACCTGGATCTGTACCTGACGCCAAAACTTTACAAGAAATCGATGATCTTTGCTCCGCTATTCAAAAGTTTCAGATCAGTGTCCCATGTATCGGATTCTCCCTAGATGATAAAGGTAAGCTTCGCGGAGCTTATCCAGTAACACCACGCAAAGAGAAGGCAGTAGGTGGGCAGGAACTCATCACACTTGAGGAACTTCTGACACACCCGCCGGTGGTTAACGGCAGGCCGGCCAGGCTTACCAAGAGAGAAAGATACAGCCTTGCTGTCACACTTGCATCGTCGACACTCCAGCTCAATGCAACACCCTGGTTCGACGATCAGTGGAGTAAGAAAGACATAGTGTTCCATCGCATCTCGGATGGGAATCGCCCAGTTGATATTGAGCATCCTTACGTGACGCAGAACTTTCACGAGGCTCAAAACGGAGTTGTCGCACAAGGAAAACCACCAAATCGAGCCTTTCACAACAAGAACACAATCCTTCTAGCACTTGCGGTGGCGCTCTTGGAGCTCTACTTTGGCGTTTCGGCCGAGAAATACCAAGAAGGTGAGCTTTTCCCAGCTGGCGGCCAATCCAACCCATGGACGATATGCGCGATGGCCTACGAATGGACAGAAGTCGAGAGAGAGAATCTATCCGCCGCGTTCCTCGCGGCAGTCACGCACTGCCTGCGATGCTTCGGCGACCCTGGGAGTAGTCTCCAGGACCCTGTGTTTCTGCAAGCCGCAGTCGAAGGCATCTTGCTGCCACTGCAAGACGAACTAGCGCAGTTTCTTGGGAAAAATACTTCATAACCTCGAATGGATGCCTGAGGACCCATCCGAAACCACCAGCCCATCTGCACATTGCGATACCTACATGCCAGAAACAGAGACCCCGCAGCGACCAATAAGACGGACGTACAGGATGCCCTCTGAGACGGTCATTTCAGCTCGGCGCTTAGTGATGGCGAGCTTGGAACCAAGGCCTCGTATTCGATACCGGATCGTCCCACGTGTCCAGGAACCCGACGATCCGGGGAATTAGCGCCATCGACTCGACGAGCGCATGCCACTTTTGCTAGAATATCCACCGTCGGATGGTTGCGACCAGGAGGGCATATCAGACCGGGCTGAGCCCTGGATCTCAACCTGTCTGATAGACGGCTCTAAAGTTCCGGGTAAATGGCTGTCTTGACCCAGTTGGTTCCCGTAGCACGGAGACCGATGCAGACTGAGGCTTGGCTGAGCTGAGATGAGATGGTACATGCATTGGATGGTGTTGCGCTCGGGGTAATGGGACGAAGAGGCTGAAGAATGAGGGGAGCTTGACTGCTCGGGTAGCTGACCTCTAGCATGGTCAAAAGGCTGTTCAGATGTGACCAAGACTCTACTTTGCCAATACGATCGCTCAATGGCATGCCCGGTGGAGTGGTTGTCGAACGGGCTGGCTGAGGTCTACATCATCATCCACGATAGCCATATCCTTTCTACAAGGGATATGCACGGCTCAAACATAGCCATGGCTCAAACATAGCCATTAGCATTGGCAGCAACTATCTAGCATATACCAACTTCGTAGCAAGCATCCATGTATTAACCCTACAGGTCACATATGCAGCTGACGAACTCGATTGACATGCTCTGATCCTACCTCTCCACACGATAGTAGCGTGTCAAGCTGCACCACGGGTAGGGCTGTGTTCAGACGCGTCACCGTCGTCGTCTTCGTCTGCATTTCGTCCATACCTCAGCAATCTATGCCGCAGACGTGCAGCCAGCGTTCTCAAAGCCTCGCCGGCCCCGCAAACCCGCGAGCGGAGATGCTGCCTGGCTGCACCGGATCACGATAAGAAGCCCAAACATGCGCGCCTCTCGCCGCATAATGCCCCCGCATGGCATGTCTCACGGCTCTGCTCCCGGCACGACAATGCGTGACGTCGCGGCAACCGACGCTGCCACGGGGAGGCTCTTCGCGTCCACCGCCGCTGACGCCTCCACGGCCCTGCCTGCCCCCTCTTCCGCAAGACTCGCCACGGCCGGTTCGCGAGTGTGGCACAGGCGGCAGCCGTTTGGAGCGGTGGTGCAGGGTTGGCTGCGGGCGCTCCAGGGACCGTCGAGCGAGCGGCGAATGGCGGTTGCAGGTCGGGCTGGGCTGCGACGAGCGGCCTGAGATTGCCTCCCGATCGTCGCTGGCCGATGTGTTTCAGCTTGAGCGCGGCCAGGGCACGAGGGCGAGGGGCGTCGCCGTCCTATTTTCATCGCGGACGAGGAATGGGGACGGCGAGAGATCTGCCGTGCCGTGTGTATGTCTCCTCCATTGCATGCAGACATGCATCGTGGCGCGTGGAGATGAGAGGCGGCTGCAGGAGTGAATGCTGCGAGTGGTGCCGGCCATTTGGATGCGTCAAGCGCCGCGCACCGCGTGCAAAACACCAGCCTGCAGCCGCGCAAAAACATCAACACCAGCGCATCGGCAGCGTCGTCTGCCTCGCCATCAGCAATTGCCGCCGCCCGTTGCTGCCATCAAGCCTCGCCGTGGATTTGGCGGCCGTTGGACGCTCGATTGGCCCTGAGGCGTGTGCTCCGCTTGGCCTAATTCATCTCCTTTTCCAAGGCACGTCACTGCCAGGCCGGCAGGGTTCTCTCCCAGTTCAGGATCCTCTCCAACCTTCGCGACACCGCCCTTCGACACTCCACCGACCCCGTTCACCACCCTCACCACCACGGCACTCTCTCTGCCCTACTGCTGCTGCTCTGCGGCTGCATCTAGGCACCGTCAACACCCGCCGACACGCTGTCTGCCGCAGCACCTCCGTCGCCCGCCATGGCAGGGTGCGACCTCCCCTAAAAATCCCTTTCCCCCAGCGCCCCTACTCACCGTGCTGCAGATTCGCCGACTCGATGCGGACCTTTTGGCACTCCATGACCTCGAATGACCGCCATGCCTCCCACGACTCGCCCTACCGCACCGGCCGCCATATCCCCCTGCCTCAGAGCCGCCACGCCCCTCTCACCTCCGTTGCGACCACGGGCATAGAATCACGCGTCGACCTGTCCTCGTCCTACGCCCAGGACGACCCGGCCATGAGCAATGGCTTCATCGGCTCTCCCAAGGGGCCCATGTCGCCGCTCTCGCCCTACTCCCCTGGAATGCGGTCCTCGCTGAGCCGCCAAACCACCGCCGACTCCGAGGCCTTCGAGGCCAAGAGCCCGTCGGGCGAGATCCCCATGCGTGACTTCAACGAGGGCCTGCCGCCGGCACAGCCACTGGCACACTCCTGGGGCCGCATTGACCGCTGGCTAGAAACCCACTACGAGGAGCTGTTCGACAACCTCTGCGAGGGCTGCACGTCAAACGACGTCAACGAGCTCGAGCACGAGCTAGACTGCACACTGCCGCAGGATGTTCGCGAGTCATTACAAATACACGACGGCCAGGAGCGCGGGGGCTTACCCACCGGCGTGCTGTTCAGCTGCATGGTACTCGACTGCGAGGAAATTGTCCACGAATGGCAGAACTGGCGGAAGGTCGCCGAAGAGTATCTGACCCAGAAACCCAACATCCGAATTCCCCAGCCACCCTCGAAAGCGTTCGCCGGCGCCTCGTCTTCCGTAGCTCCGCCGCCCCCGGTGCAGCAATCGCCCAACCCCCTCTGGCGGCAACAGCTGCAGAGCAAACAGGAGTCCCAGCCTCCGAATGCAATCCAAAAAGCGTACGCCCACCCCGCCTGGATTCCTCTCGCTCGGGATTGGGGAGGAAACTACCTGGCTACCGATCTTGCGCCCGGACCAGCTGGCACATGGGGCCAGATCATCATTTTCGGCCGCGATTACGACTGCAAATACGTCGTTGCACGCTCATGGGCCCATCTGCTCGCAATGGCCGCCGACGACTTCGAGTCCGACAAGCCTTTCATAGACGAAGACAGCGGCGAGCTCAAGCTGCGCGAGTTCAAGCGCCAGAACGTCGAACCGGCCTACCTCGAAATCCTCCGCTGGCGTTGCGATCAGAAGTACGGACGGCGTGGACCGAAGAGGCGGCCACAGTCCGCGTTACATATTAATTCTAATGTTGGTGGGTCCCAGGGACCAGGCAGTGCTCATAGCGCGAGCAGCCCTTACGCAAGCCCGACAACGAGCACGGCCGAGGAGCGCGGACGAAGCCCCCAACGCTTCTCGCAGAAATCCAAGCCGACGGCGAGCCCGAGAGCGCACATCTCCAGCCCGTTGGCGAGGGTTGCGGAGGAAAACCCAGCTCCGATTCGAGTCCACACCGACTTAGGACCTAGGAACGGCACTCCCATCGAGAAACTCGTGTCCGTCGACACACCCCGACCGAGCGACGACCTGCTGGGCTCGACGCCCCGGACGAGCTTCGGCAGCGAGAAGGAGAACAAGGACACCAAGAAGATAGATGGGATCGTCAAGAACGGGGCTGCGAGTGAAGTCGGCGACCTGAAGACGGTCGAGATATAGCCGAGGCTGACGTTGGCAGGGACGGTTCTGGCGCTCTCGATGGACCGAGTAGAGTGCGCCCAGCGTCGTTCTTGCTGACTTTATGCCCGGCTTACGGAATGTAGGATATTCAATTCGACCCAACTTAAACCACCTCTCATACTCATTACATCCGCTGGATAACGGGCGTTTCACGATAGCACAAACTTCGAATCTCCCCCAAAACACAACACATCAACACCTTAATAGTCGATTTTTGCAAACGAGTTTCCTGGGTTCGAATAAGGCAAATGCGGACAGCGAGCACACACAAATGCGGGTGGCAATGGATGCGATTACGAGGGCGTCTGGATAATTCTACCGAGTGAGTAACAAACATCAACCATCTGGATTTTCCTTTTCTGAAACCAGAGAGGTGTGGATGGGGAGATGGACATTCCGGGCTTTTTTTGGTTCGATGGAAGGGTATGACAATGATTTATCTTGAGGGCATTGCATTGCGGATTGTTATTGCGTTATTCCCATTTTCCCACCTCCCTTTCTCTTTTCACTTTCGTTTCCGCGATTGCTGGAGCGCTGGGCTGGGCTGGGCGGACCGGCTTCTGGCAACGGCTACGGCGACGGCATTTGTGGAAGGGATGACGGATTCGAGGGAGGCGGGGTGATGTATCCTAGCTCCAACGGAGGGAGCGGAGTCGTGAGGCGCGGTTAGGATAACACTTTTATGTTCTTTTACGGGGGCGAGGTTTTTTTTAGTATTGGAGCAGGCTTGGAGCGGGTTTGGCGTGTAGCGGAGAGCGAGCGGATAAGGGAAAACGAGATTGAGAAGAGGGAGAGAGTCATGGGCAGCTTTGTAACAACAGTACTGAGTACCAATGAGATGAAATGTCTACTTGTTTTTTGGGCGTTTTGTGGGGGTTGGGTGGTGTAATGGTAGATTAGGATAACGTTGTTTTTGACTGTGCGGATGCGAGAATCATGAGGGTGGTGGGCTTTGGCACGACAAAGAGATATGCTGGCATGACGTAGAAACTTTGGTGTTCTCATCCATATTTGGTGTTTGTGTGTGGGCTCGCGCTATGGGGCTTCATATTGTGTATACTCTCTCCTCTGCTCCTATACTGGATGAAAAGGTGAATCGCCTTGCATTCGGCGAAAAGACACTGGGCCACCTCAGACGGCGGCCTCACTGCTCCAAAGAAAGATAGATTTTGTACCGATACCCACGTCAAGACCCTGCTCACACTCCATCCCAAACCAAAAAAAGTGCTCGTAGTCTTGCACGCTCTAAAAAAAAGGCACTGGGCCTCCTCAGAAAGCGGCGTGACTGCTGCAAAACGCACGATAGCAGGCGCCGCTGAATTGAATGCTGGACGCTGGTGCCGGGAGCTCTTCGACCCAGGTTTCCTTCCACTCATCAATCAACATGCCTCCCCTTCACTGTCTCCTCTATCACGCCTCGTCACACACACGGGCTCCTACATCCCACGTGCCCGCCAAGCCCCTTACTCATCCCCTCTCTCCCATTTCCTAACTATAAGAACCGCTCCCCGCGCCATATTTCTAGCAGCAGAGGAGCAGAGGGGGGACGATCCGGGGGATCAACAACTGTGTCAGCCCGATCTCATGGGAGAATTGGCCCTGGATCGAAACTTTTGCATGGCCACTGACGATGGTGGATCAACGCTAATGTTTGAACAATGTGATGAGTGTGGTGGGAAGTGTCAAAAGGATCTGGAAGGGAAACGCATGCATGTGTGGGGAGGGAAGTGCAACACAGCCTGTCACGTATGTCAATGGTGGGGAGCACGGGGACGGCGCAACCTTGGCGTCAGACACTATAATGTGCTGGGGGAGGAGGGGAGGATGCAAAAGCAGACATACTCTTTTTTGCTATGGGTGGGAGGAAGGAGGCTGTGATCGAACAACTGGCGGGGAAGGATTCCATGGCTCGCGAGGAAAGGGGAGGGGGGTTAGTGGTGATGCTGTGCTCCTTTGCTCTGTAGGGATGAGGGTTGACGCGTCTAGGGGACGCTAATATGGGTAGTAGTAGGCTGGGATGGAGATTTTCCGAGTTTGGAGAACGATGGATTGGAGTAAATTGGTGGAATGGTGAGGAGCATCAGCTTCATGTAGATTCTCCAGCGCCAGTCCGACTTCTGCCCCCACCATATGTCGTTAGTACTATGATTTTGATACACCCGCACCACGGCCATATGTACTTGAACCGCTGAAGGACCTCGAGCCTGCTGAAGTTCTGAAGAAAAGATGGTGGGAAGGGGTGAAGGGTTTTATAGATGAGATTTGGTGGGAGCACGTGGTATGCGTGATTGAGCGGGGCTCGAGGGAGATTGGGAGGCAGTAGGATCTTCACGTGTTTATCGGTGCCGAATGCGCGCTCCCTTGGAGCAGTTATGACGCCGTCTGAGGTGGCCCAATGCCTTTTCAGGTTAATCCAAAAGGACCAAAGATATCGTGCTGAATGCGCTGCAAAGCACGAGCATCCACCTCTTTGAGTCTTTGTAAGAACGACTAGGAGGTGGCAGGATCTTGACGTGTGTATCAGTAGAGAATCTATGTCCCTTTGGAGCAGTGATGACGCCGTCTGAGGCGGCCTAGTGCCTTTTCAGAATGTGCAAGACGATTGGCCTTTGCGTTCAGAATGGGCTGTGAGCATGTTACGGTAATAATCCCTTATATTAAATCGGACCTCATACATGCTGACATGTTCAGAGCAAGCCAGGGAAATGCACACAGTACCAGCGTCTGGAAACGTAAGCCTTGAATCAACTCTCTGGATATATAAGCACACTACCTTCTCCATAACAAGAGGAGATTTGACAAGAGGCTCAAATCGTATACTTAAAATGCGGATGTCTGTATCCCAGCTGTTCTTCGTCCCCTTCTGTGAGCCGCGAATCTCGTTGCCCAGTCTCACGTTTCTTGTTCTCCCATTTGCAGTACAGGATGTTCGATATGGATAGGAAGACGGAGAAGACTAGCATGCCAATGTTGATGGCGTGACCGGTGTAGTAGCGAGGTCTGCAACACGCAACACGTTAGAAAAGCGTGCTTTACTTGTGGGTAACGTGAAAGGAACAAGATGAGACTTACGCATCCTCCTGCAAGTACGTGAACGTTGCAATAAACGCCGACATATTTCCAATCATGATCTGGAAGCCCGTACCCGTAGCTCGGACATAATGCGGTGCGAGGTTGTTGGACAGCCAGCCCATCACCAATGGACTGCAGGAGAAGACGCCGACTGCGACGAAGAAGGTGCCGCCGTAGCGAGTGTGAGGGTGGTAACTGGCTATGAGCATGATGTACCCGACGATAGCGAGAGATGCGAGACCGATCATCAGTGGGCCGCGGACACGGAGCTTGTCGGAGTAATATCCAGTCAACAGCACGGCGATGAAGGCGCAGAAGTTTGGCGGGACAGTCAGGAGCTGCGCCTTCACTTTAGTGAAACCGAGGCCTTTGATGATGGTCGGGAGGAAGAGCGAGAAGGAGTAGATAGGCGTGATGATAGCGAAGAAGTTTAGGGAGAGAAGAAGAGTGTTCCAGTTGAAAATGGCTCGGCGCACCCAGTACCAGTCGAATTTCTCGTCCGCGACATCGACGGCGGGGGCGGACCCGTGGGCGTCGGAGCGCATGCGGGCGAGGGCGCCTTCGTATTCCTCTTCGGTCAGGAATTTGACATCGCTGGGGGTGTGGGGAAGGAAGAAAAAGGATATTATGCCATAGGCGACTGTGATGGCGCCTTCGACGAAGAAGATGAAGGGCTGGAGAGGCGTAAGCTTTTGCAATACCAAGATTAGTTGTTGGGGGACTTACCCAGCCTTTGTAGCTTCCAGAGTTAATTTCTCCAAGTCCAGTCGCAAGTAGACCACCGAAGGCACCACTGAGCGGTGCTGCGCAGTAGAAGAGCGTGATTCGGTATAGCAATTGATGGCGCCGGTAGAACATGGAAAGATAGACCACCATTCCACCTAGCAAGCCTCCTTCGCATAACCCGAGAAAGAATCGCGCGACCAAGAGTCCTGAATAGCTCTTCACAAATCCAATGCACATACTAACAAGTCCCCATGCCGTCACCAGGAACGGCAGGTAATAACCTGCTCTGAAGTACTTGAGTACCAAGTTGCTGGGCACATCATAGCATATGTACGGAACATAGAAGACCGCTAGAGCGATATTGAATTTGTTGGCGTCTAGGTGGAGCTCATCAGCCAGGCCGTCGATTCGCGCGTTCCCAATATTGCTTCGGTCGATGAAGGCGAAGAGCCAGAACCCGAATAGCCATGGCACAAGGTGTTTGTCGAATTTGCGGGTGATCCGTTTGTCTAGCTCGGGATCGATGGTAGCTACACCTTCCCACGTCGTGTTGATTTTCTCAATGTCTGACCGCTTTTCCGCGTCAGCAGGCAGGTGTTCGGGCTCCTTATGGTCTATGTGTTCGGGCGGCGAGGGAGATTTAGTATCCATGGTGAAAGTAGGCAGAAAAAGCGGGAAGAAGTTGACTAAGAAAGAAGATGGTGAAAGAGGGGGATGATTTTGATGGAAACCAGTTTGTGCGACAGACTCAACCAGGTTCCTGTAAATAGATTGATGTCGGAGGCGGGTTATCACGACGTATGCTCCGTCGTAGCAAAGCTTCCCCGCAGTGCATTAGGAGCTCCCGGATGGGGACCCTCGGGCATCGTCATAGGCGGGATGGGGTAGTATGCACAAAAGATCATCTCATTTTCCGGTGATAGGTTGCAAGTGGTTTGTCATTGCTAGAGATTCACACGCTCGGTACCTACCTACTCGTTTGAGGCAATGGCCAAGAGCTATTGAGTGCCACAGCATCTGCGAGGGGACAGGCGTAAGTAAGATCGGCAAGGATCTGCTCTGAAAGAACGGCATTGAGCGGCAGCAGCTGAGACAACTCTAGTTTCATTTTGCTGGTGCTTATTGGCTCAGATACGTGATAATTGTGAATGATTGACGTCAAAGTAATGAAGAACGTGCAGGTGTCGTGAGAGAGAATCTTGGTGTTGAGGCCGTGCCAAGCCGATTTGCGGGTCTTGCCGCGCTTCTCCAAGACGACAAGATTGCTTTGACCTCGCCTCTCGATATCAACGCTAATGATTACAAGTACTTCACCGGCAGGATGCGGCTGACCGAAGATGAGATCTACCGCTCCTCTACTCAGTTCCGCCTCTGGTCATTTACGCCCGAAGCGCTGGCCTCGCTGCGTGCCACCACCAATTCTACTGCAACTCAACGCGTCAAAGCAGCTGTCAAACGTCTGAGAGAGTCGAGGAATCAGAGCGAGACCAACAGCGAAGCCGAGAATGGAACTTCAACACCTGTCATCTTCAACCGGGAGCCGGACTGTCTCACCGTGGAAGAGGAAATGAAGGTCGTAGAAGCCTTCTGCGGCAGGGCCATCGTACTGGGAAATGTCTTGGAATTTCCCAGCAACGTGATTGTAAGCTTCAATAGCCTTAACGGAAAGAGTGTCTCTTCTAACCACCATCACAATGCTAGGCTACGGGCGTGCAATACCTAAGGCGATTCTACCTCTTCAACTCTCCTATGACATACGAGCCTAAGTCTATAATGCTGTCTGCCATGTTCCTTGCAAACAAGATCGAAGACAACAAGATGGAATGCGCAGACTACGCCGCCCGTATAACCGGTACAACCAAAGAACAAGTACTGGCTCCCGAGTTCCTCATCACACAAGCTCTCCGCTTCACATTTGATGTACGGCATCCGTTTCGTGGTTTGCAGGGAGGGCATATGGAGATGTTGGCAATTGCACAAGGGAAAGCTGCTGTGCTCCCATACGTTGAGAAGACGGCTGCCGAATTCCAGCAAGAAATGCTCGAACTACCCACACAGCCTGGAGGTGCGGCTACCAAAATAACCCAGCGTGAGCTTGAGAAACGACTCAATGCAGCTACGGACAAAGCGAGAGATACTCTGAAGTCTTCTGCCATACAGTCGGATGCTTACTTCCTTTACACGCCCTCACAAATCTGGCTTGCAGCTTACCTCCTAGCCGACGAAGTCCTCGCCTTATTCTATCTCTCCTCCAAATTCCCGGGCACCATTGACGCTGAGACTCCGACAGGCATCGCCAAGTTGAAGATCGTAGCCACTGTTCGAGCATGCGCCGTTCTTCTGGCACCAGACCCAGCCCTACAGAAGTTGAGCGCTGAAGAGAAGGAGGCGAAAAGACTGGAGGAAATTAACGAAGTAAAGGCAATCCACGTTAAGCTTCGCCACTGCCGAGACCCTGATAAGATGGACTTGGTGAAGCTTAACAAGGCGCAGAAGCGGGATGCCGGGGTAGAAGGTAAGCTAGAGGAGAGCGTTGCCAAGAGGCGGAAGCTGGAGAGAGAGAAGAATGAAAAGGAAGCCGATGAGTTCTGGGGCCCGGAACTTCCCAAGAATGGGAAGAAGGCATAGACTTATGCCATAATCATTGCAAGGCGTTTTGGATCTGGCAATAAGAGATTGAGACAATATCTCAGTTAGGTAAGCATTTCAGGAGTTTTAAGGGGTCTGCAAGGTAGGCCATGCCTTCGGAGATGAATAAATTCCTGTTGTCGTTCTGAATGACCTTCAACTGCTCTTGCGAAGTGACGGAATGACTTCTCTGTTCGTGCATCGCAAAGCAATCTAGACGACACGTATGATCATTTTAAACAGTCTAAAAGCCATTGAGGCATCCTAGACGGCGATATCACTGCTCCAAAGGGACATAGAATTTCTAGCAATAACCACGTCAGGACCCTGATACCTCCCTTTCGGACTCACAAAAGACTCAGAGCTGTATGCCCGTGCTTCGCAGCGCATTCAGCACGATATCTCTGATCCTTTGATCAACCTGAAAAAAACATCAGGCCACTTCAGATGGTGTCATCATTGCTCACAAGGGTCTCTAATAAAGATGAATGCGGTCTCAGGATCTTACTTTAAGTACTTCACAGCTCATTCTGGACTGGACGTCCAATCCTTTTGGACAACCTGAAAAGTCGCTTGGCCACCGCAGACAGCGTCATCCTACTCCACAGAGAGCTATGTCCGATACCACTCGAAGAGTTGTCGCTCTCTGATATGGTATGAGAGATATTGGCGTCTAGGAGGAAGAAACGCGACTCTTGGTCATACTTTCCCAACTCGGCAAGCGTTGCCCCATCTGATCGATTTCAGTTCAACTTCCTCGCGTCTCATCTTCCCCACGACGTAACACCATTCCCCGTCTCTTGAGAGGCGTGTAGACTCCAAAGGTGAGTACCTCGGAGCAGTTCATTTTCATACTAGCGCTCTACTCTTTCACTAATCTGCTGCACCTTTAGGTGAGAAGCCATCAGCTCGGCCATGAAAGGCGGCCTGTTTCCGCACAAATCCACGCAGCCTATCCCAATGGCGCTCTCTGATGATTGCATTTGCCTGCCTGGGTTTGGACTGCCAATCGAATATATGCCACCATTAGATTACGAAGACAACCACGGCATCATACACGGCGCACCCTATCGACTACCAAACACCGTGGCGCAAATTGCACGAGGGCGGTTTCCCCATGCTATCGCAGACTACTTCACTGGTCATGGGATAAGCTTACGCGAGCGCCGCATGCTCGACTTCATCAACAAAATCACTGACAAAGAAGAATGGGACTTCAATGTATTCGACAAGACCATGGTAGAGAAATGGCGAAAGGAGACTTGTCGGCACATTGCAGAGCTGGATGATGAGTATCTTTCGAAGCAGATGTGGCTGTCTGTAGGTCCTCAACATATCGTCACGCGCAGCATGGTCGCAGCTAACTCTGATTTACAGTGCATGGCAGAGCTATACGCAAAAGCCTCTCGATATGAAGAAACTTCGATTGCCACAGTCTTGGACGTTGAAGCAAGCGCCGCCAAGTCCGATCGTGTCATTCCTCAACAGCTACGGGAGACACTACGTGCATCTATACGCCCACTGGAAGATGTGCCAGAAAGACGGAAAGATTGGCACTCTCACTCGGATGATATGGTCCTTGATCTTCTTCATCCATCACTTTTCCCGTTAATCTACGGTCGCTCAAGGGTGCTTGCAAAAGGGCGAGTGCCGCTCCTCGATTGTACCAAGTACATCGGCAAGGGCGAAATTCTGAGTGCTCCCGCCAAGCCAGAGGCGGAGCTGTACGAAACTGAGTTCTCTTGGTTTCGAACTCGGCAACTGCATGCCTGGGGTAACTTCCAGTGGCTTCCTGCGGATGTCTGTTTTGCCGCAAATGGTGGTGTAAAGATCACAAGCTATATCAACAACCTTCTTCCCGAAGCAAATCAGGAGCTGTACAACACACTCGAGCAATTTGTCACACAAGCGGTACCTCTTTGGAACGAAGTACTGAACTTTTCACAGAACAGAAATAGGATTAGGGTGGACCGATCGGCTGACGAAGTGCACTTTCGCGACCCACCGAAAGGGTTGAAGCCACCACATGACTACGACGACGATGACTTCGGTGACGAAGAGCACTGGGAGTGGTATCTTGCAAATCGTGTCTTCATTCAACCTGAGCCTGTCCTTCATATGGAACATTGTGGGCCTTCTCCAATCAATCTCCGGAAACGGTTCGCAGCATCAGGGCTTCAGGTCATTTTCAAGCTAGCAAGTATCCATCTTACGCCCGAAAAGGCAGCCTATGATGGAGGAAAGTGGCACATAGAGGGTGCGCTAAACGAACACATCTGTGCCACGGCGCTGTACTACATTGACGAGGAAAATGTCACAGACAGCCATCTCTCTTTCCGCCATAGGATAGACTCGGAGAAAGTCGGCTATATAATGGCTCAGGTACGCTCCCCTTTGTCCTCCCATCCTTCCCGTGATTGCTTCGCCTTTATAGATTGGTTCTGGAATCTGACCTAAGGGCAGTGTGAATGGGATGGTTCCAAAAAAAATGGTGTCAAGAATCTCGAGCGGGCATCCCAGGATGTCGGCTCCATTCTCACACGCTCAGGTCGCCTTCTTGCTTTCCCAAACGTCTTGCAGCACCGTGTATCGTCTTTCCGCCTTGTGGATCCGTCCAAACCAGGCCACCGTAAGATCCTCGCGATGTTTCTCGTTGACCCGCATATCTGGGTGCTGTCAACTGCAAATGTCCCCCCACAGCGGCGTGATTGGTGGGCTGTGGAAATCCAGGCTATTCCGCGGTTCAACAAACTACCACAGGAGATTTTTGAGATGATCATCGACGCCATCGACGATTCCCCGATTAGTTGGGAGGATGCGCTGGAGATTAGGGAAGACCTGATGGCTGAGAGAGGAAGTCTCACTGATGAGATTGAGGCTGAGGTTGACGAGGTAAGTCCAACGCCTAGAAGAGTTGATGAAGTGCTAAGTATGTGCTCAGGATGTCTTCGACTTTTGCGAGCACTGATCATCCCTCGCACCATGCGTTGACACCGCGAGAGATGCCTCATATGGGTATTTGGTCCGGTAATCTAGCGATGTCAAGCGGTTGATTCGAGATTAGCTAAGATGCGTCTTGTGGAAACAGCCATTGGAAGCTCTCTTGGAGAGACTTAAAGTGGACAGGCACGGGATTGTACTAAATTCCGTAGCATTTTTCAAACCCAGATAATTAGTCGGGGTACCCCTAGACTCTACTTAAGCGGAAAACCATACTGATATTGAGCGGTTGCTTTAAAATCATCTGGAATAGACACAATGAAAGATGCGATGGATATCTTTTTCACTGCAATCAGTAGTGCGCAGCCTCGAAATTGTGGTATTCTATTCGGCGATTTGGAAAGGCTCACAGGTGATTGAAGCACCCTTGGATTTGGTAAGTGGCACGGCGCTGAACCCGAGGAGGCGACTTCAAATCACTTGAACTAGGGCTAATTTAAGCCGTTTATCCTCGCCTTGTAGACGAATTGTGCGCTAACAGACGCTGAATTGAAGCAGTTTTGTTTCTATTTTGTAAGGGCTGGTAGGTCATCGAAGCACTCCTTGACACTGTACGTCTTATGCAAGAAGTATTACAGGAGAAAGTGAGTCACCACCCAACATCAATCGTCCAATGCACTATACCGGGCAATCGTACCTTCAACCGCCTCATTTCACCGCACCATCTTCCGATGTGCCGTCACCGATGCTTCAACAACTCTTCCCACGCTGACGGACACGCCGAGCTTGTCCTTCAACTCTGCCGCCTTGCAGTTTCTTCACACCCAGGAATTGTTTGAGCTTTTCGCCTCAGGCCTCGAGATCCCATACCCAGTTCGCTGTACTGAATGAAGTCTGTAAGCAATGGAAAGACATTGTCACACATGACCGACTCTCAAGCACTGGGTGTGGAAAGCACAGCTTCAGCGTCTGGAGATTCCAAACCAAGCTGAGTACCATGACACATTCGGGATGGCCCCACGGGAGTGCCCGACATGGGAGAGCTTCCATAACCCTCCCATTCAGGGGCAGTATGGATCCGATCCTGGGGCACCATATTGAAAAGATCTCGAGATCGTACCCTAATGGCTGCTGGGATGTTATATCCGCTCTCAATCTCACGCTCTTCAAGCAAGAGTTTGGAAAGTCGATCCTTACGGGGGCTTCCAGGCTGACAATGCGAGCTGTCGGGATATGGTTATGTCCTACTCTTACATTACCAAAGCGCACATCAGGGAAAAGTACTACGGCCAAAGTCTTAGCAAAAAGGCGTCGCGGTAGAATCTTTTCTACGCCCGCCCCCGAATGAACCGAAATTAACGGCCGTAACTGCCGTGATTCGAAAACCCCCAGGGCCTCCGAATCGGCGAGCTCCTCGACGCGTTCCGTGACATCGAAGAAGCTGTGTTCTGGCCACGAACGAGCCGCGATGTCCCTCGAATGAGACGCCACATCGACCCGCTACTCCCGAGGTCTCGTTCACCATATGTATCACCACCGCCTAGAAATACGCCATGCGCAAGATGAATGCGATGGGCCTTACCTAGGATACGCCAGTAGATGTTCACATGTGGTCTTGCACACGGAAGGGGCTGGGCGCAGAGCACTGCTATGAGAAGTTTCTCTTCTACATTGGTGGGCGCGAGAACGGGGCATGCCTCGCTTTGACTAGCTACCCGTATGCTCACTACCTCGGCTCAATGTGTTGCATGACGGGTTCGAGTATCCGGCAGTGTTGGGCCAATTTTCTCTTCTATGAGAATGGCATCTACCAAGTTTCTGCCTGTACATGCGAGGCCCCTTAGCGGGGTCGTCTCGGAATCTTGTGACGCTGCAAATGGTGCGTCGACAGCTCCTACACCTCATCCTCTTCGGTCCATGGTCTGCCCAGTCAGTTGGGGATTCCACGCAGCCTCGCACTCGCATTAGTTGCAAGGCAGACAAGCAGACAGGGCACACGGCAGACAAGCAGACAGAGCACCAGGCAGACTTGACACAGCTCTCGTGAGGTTCCAAGACTGCACATTGCACAACTGGCAATATTCATGTATCGTACCTACTGCTCCTTTACTTTTAGAGTCCTGAAGCTTATCCACCACTCGGAGAAAACAAGGCGCTGATGCAAGCAGAAGTGACTCCAAACAGTTCAACGTCTTCTAGCAGGCGGGCACAGTCCGCTGGCAGCATCGACGAGGAAATCGAAATCGCCATTAGTGATGTCCAATATCTCTTAATTCTAAACAACGAGGTTGTACTCTATGCTTAGCCCGAAACAACCCTTTCACTAGTGGATCACGCTAACGGCTTCAGAACTTCCTCCTCGACATCAAGGTCGAGGGCGATGCGCCCACATTAGTGCTCGTGTACACGACTGCTGCAGGCCAAGAAGTCACCAAGTCTGCTCTGCGCAAGTTCCGCACGGATGCACTTGAGCGAGATGACGTTTCCCAGCCCAGCTTCTATCGTAACTTTGTTTTCTATGGAGGCAAGAAAGCAGACATTAGCCTTGAGCCCAATGCGCAAGACGAGCTGGCCGTGTGGAATGTGGAGACACTGACATTTGTAGCAAGCAACCCGGCTGCTGAAGTCGCCCCTGAGCCATATGTAGTGCTAAGAGGGAAGACCTGGCAACCGTGGAGGATCTACTACGATTTCAACGCATGCTTTATGACCTCATTCAAGCCTTCACCAGAGGCCCCGGGAAGATGAGTGTCCTTACTCCCTACCTTCTCAAAGGGGGATATAGACTGACCGCCTTAATACTCTGGCTGTAGTCGATGCTCCCAGGGCTGGTATCGACGGCAGAATCGTCGTACCATTTCGCTGCTACTACAAACTATCCAAACCACGCCCTCTCGATGGTGCAAGAATCAGCGTCAAAGACAGCATCGATATTGCCGGCCATAAGACCACTCTGTGCAACCGAGCATGGAGTGATCTTTACCCTGCCAGAACCGAACACGCGGCTTGCGTCCAAGTCCTCCTGGACGCTGGGGCCGTAATTGTCGGCAAAGTAAAGCTACAGGCCATGATCATGCGAGAAGAACCGTTGGAATGCGTCGAGTTCACAGCCCCTTTCAATCCTCGTGCCGACGGGTATCAGAGCCCCTCTGGAAGCAGTCATGCAAGCGCTGCAGGCGTCAGCTCTGCGACTCCGAAATAAGCGGCCGGAATATTGCATTGGCAAGGGTAAGTGAATTGTGTTCACATTACGGTGATGGAAGGATAGCTGATAGGTGCTTCAGGGATGTCGGGAAGGCAATCTCCCAAGAGGAACGCGATGAATGCCGGCGTCGCTCTGAAGTATATCGCCACTGGCTGCTTGCAAAGGTCTTCAAGGCAGACTCCAAAGATGCCATCACGATCATGGTCCTTCCCATTGAAGCTGGAGAGCCGAACTATTGTGATGCCGACCTTCCGTTGGTACTCATTCCCTGCGAGGATCTGCGAAATGCTGACGAAAGACAAGGCCATACTCTTTACTGAGTGGGTATGCTGGGCTGAACATGTCTCCGATGATGCAAGCGCTCGAAGTCACCGCCCCAGGTAAGTCGTAGGCGTTGTTGAAGTCGTGTTTGCTGTTCACGAAATGCACTAGTTGGGGACATCCCGTACCATTCCCTTTTGACCAAGAAAGAAGAGCCTCTTCCCATTGCAGGGTCAGCTATAGGAGCTCCAGGTATAACTTCCTATCTATCATTCAAATTAGTACCAGCTAATGGTATGTGTCGCAGGCACGGACCTCATCCTCGTTGACTTGGTAGAGAAGGGCATGAAAGCTGAAAATTTGCCGACTCAGGTCAAAACGGGACGCTCAATGTATTGAGTTTGGTGCAAGATCATTTTAACCCTATCTTTTGAGACTAATGTAGCTGTCTCTTTAGGGGAATAATCCAGAGCTTTGTTGCCAATAAGAGAACTTTTAGGACGGCAGCATATGCAAGCTTAAAAAATCCATCTAGCATATGCGGCATTACATGTCAACACACTAGCTGGCGACACGCGTGCAGCTACTACAACAGCAGCAACACGTGGCGAGGAGGAAGGAAGTAGGTGGACAACTACATAGCCGTAATGTGCAGAGGCCTGACCTCTTCATTGATCCAATATTCGAGTCCCTCCTCGTGAAAGCTCGTCGTTTCCATACGCTCATAGAGGCTTCTTTGAATGCTGGGCAGCCTTACTACCTTGGATACTCCAGTTAAAGTTTCAGTCGACCGCATACCTGGAGCACAGCCTCCACTTACGCCACCAGGGATCAATATTGCCAGCTGTGAGCCTCGCAGTCTCGTTGCCTGGGCTGATATTTGCGCAGCCCAGCTGGAAGTACAGTACATATGCCCCTCATTAGTGCGCTGGTTGATCCTTTTTCTTGTTTCAACTGTGACACGATGCAAAGTCACACGGACCAAAACTGAATTTCGATGAGAGAAATTTCTGTCTTTTCTGCGCGAACAAATACATCGGAGGCAATCTTATGTAGCCGACAATGCCCGATTGCCAAGGCAAGGCTCTCTTTCTACTCTATCTGGGTTTCTGACTAAACATGGTGAGCAGACGGGGCTTTCCAACGGCAAATCGAATCGCTTTCCAAACGATCGAGCAAAGATCACGTTTATCCGAGACCAGATCTCATCAACTTGAACCGCTACTTGAACGACGGTGCCATTCCTAGGCCCTTGGGTGGTTGTCTGAATACGACTTCGACAACACATGAGGGGAATGTCACCGACGAGTTTGCGTTGATCCACGACATAGGATCTGGTCATGGTGCTTGCTTCGAAGCGTCGTCGAAAGGTTTGGCGAGCTTTGTGGCCCATAGCACTTCATCAAAGTCATCGCTCCTGTTTCTGCGCGGCCTTGCCTCGCCGCAGGGGCTGGGAGCGATTGGACAAATACACGGAGCCAGTCCCGAGCTTTATCGACGACATTTAGACTTTCAAACATTTACATCAGGAGGTCAGGACTTGTACTCGTTGCCGTCGTTGCCCTCAACATCTGCTCGAGTATTTCAATTGACAATTCCAACTATCTGCACCCGAAATGTCGGCCTGTGCGGTTACGAGCCTGAGGATCTGCTAGAAGCTCGCCAAGTGTCAAGCAGTGCAAATTAGACTGTCTCTTGACTAACTGGTTGCTTGACAGCTGGGCCGCTCCTCACAGTGGTGTCGACTGAGCAAGATTGGAGCCAAGCAGTGATAATTGCGTGTGCCCAGGCTTGTGAACTAGTACTGTATGAGCTCAAGTACATACAACCATTTTAGTGGCACACAAGGTATATCTAGTGAGAGAGAAGAGAAACCGGTCTGCCATTCAAAAACCAAAGTCCAGCAGCACCAAGTCCGGCTTGACTAGTTTCTTAGTGAGGAAGACGAGCGTGCTGCAGACCATGGTATAGGATATTTAGAGCCAAGAACCCTAGAACCAACACCATCACCTCTACCTAAACCCCAACTCCCGCCTCCCCATGCACCAGCCCACAATCCTTCTCATACACGCCATCTCCCCCGTACCGCGTGTTGTGGTACTGCGGACACTTCTTATGCCGATCGGTCTCCCGAAACAGCACGCACTCCGAGCAGGGAAACTTGCCGTCGCACGCCGGCGTCTTCTTGAAGCAGTGCGCGCAGCACAGACGGCGCAGCACAGCCGCAGCCGTAGCTGCCTCTCGTTGCTTGAGCGCGGCGAGCTCGGCCGAAAGTTGCTGCATGGCGCAGTCCTTGGCGTCAGAGCGGTCTTTGAGGACCGCGGCGACTTGGACGACTTGGGCGAGGGGCGGGCGAGGGCGGATCAGAGTGCGGCCTCGTGCGCTGGGTCGAGGACGTAGTGAGTGCCACTGCAGTTTGCGCAGGGACGGCAGGGTAGGGTAGAGAGGTCGGGGAAGGGGGGGCCGCTGCGGATTGGGATGTCCATTTTGAATTTGTATGTATGTATGTTGTGTGTCGAGTGTGTTTAGGTTTGATGATGAATTTGCGAGGATGAAGAAAGTGGGAGGTAGGCAGACTTTATATATTGAAGGCGTTGAAGGTGAAGGTGAAGGTGAAGGTGAAGTGTACACTGAGGATTTGCTATAACTGCCTAGTGCATTGCCTTAGTAACAGAGCGTACACTGGTTGGCCGCTGCCTGGGGTGGCCCCGTGGCCTCTCAGAAATCTAGATCTGATGTAAAGTTCAAGGGGGTGAATATTAGGTAGCCTCTTGGCTGACTGGCTTTTTATAATGGGGGCCCTCCTAACAGTAGTACCAAGAGGCTAGGAGTAGCGTGAAAGTAGTGGAATATAGAAATGCTAAGAAGCTACATGGTATAATATGAGAGCTGCGTATGAGGTATCTGTAAGGTAGTTGAAAAAGCTTTGGACAAGGAGGCTTTGGCGCAGACGCGTTTATTTGAGGGGCTTTGACTGGTTAGAGTATAGGTACAGTAGGCAGATATATGGGCACGTGGGACTACCTTACAAAGGCACAAATACATAGCATGCTACTAGAGGGCGTGAATGTTGGGAGTTCGCTTTTGAAGGAGCTGGGCATGTATCTGTCAACGACCTTCTCCAGTCATGGATAAGTGCTAGGGAAATTTGAGGGAGGAGACAAGATCATATTCAGGTAATTATGTGCGGTGGAAACATAGAACACTCAAATATTTGAATATAGAACCAATGCCTCTGGAATGAAGACTACAGATACTATCATGTGATCATTGCACGTTGCTTCCACCCTTTATGACGAAAGCTCCCTTTCGAATGCTGAAAGTATGTTGAAGGACCTCAGAGAGTGGTAGGACAGTGTCCACAGGCCGACATTTAGGTAGTTCTACCATACCGCAGCAAATCGACAGAGACTCTAAATTAGGAAAAGCAAGCAAGTCAACTTTTCGGCAAGCGCCACTTCTGCCAGAGCTGGTGGTCATCTTCGTATGCAAGCGCAGGCCAATATACTATCCTAAGCAATTAAACAGCGCTTCCTTGAATGACGTAGATAAATATGTCACTCACAATAGTATAAACGAGCGTTACCTTAGGTAGTGCTAGAAAACCTTTGAATGGTATCAGAAACAGAGTGTAGGAAATCTAATTAGCCGATTTGTCTCGGGAAGACTACCGCTACTGATATTGATGCAAGTATCCAAGAAGAATTTGCTAAGAGAATTAAGGAGCAAACTCAACGCCCCAATTCGCACACGAAGACTCTGCTTCCCTAATTCATTGAATTAAGCTGCTCATGCTCCGACCTGAGTCAAGGCTGCATTATGGTACAGAGGTAAGACCCTTAGCGAAGACGTTGAAATTGCTGCGACTTCAGCGCATCTACAGCCGTCGGTCTCCGCGTATAGTCGACGACGAACAGGTAGCGCAAGAAATCGGATACCGCTAGCGGTATGTCCATCTTCTTGAGCTCCTCCTCAAACGAGCCTATTCCAATATACCTCGGCTCTACGCTATCACCATATCCCGACTTTTCAAGGAGCTCGGCGATCTCGAAATAATCTTGATAGTTGGGATCGGTGGGATGAACCTTCACTGAATCAGGAAAGAGCCGCAATAGCTTTGCCATCGCCCACGCCTCCTGCCAGTGGCCTTGGGGCATGTCGTTCGCGCCGAAGACACAAGGAACAATCCAATCGAAAAGCTTCGCTCGTTAGTCTAAAGACGAGCAAATGTGGTAGAGCGGCTAACCGTGACAGCAAAAGCCCATACGTCGGAGCAATGAAAGCAACCTATTCCTGACCAGACCTCAGGAGCGCGCATAGCGAATGGCTGAAGAGGATAGCGGTTGAACCCCTCTGACCTCACTTTTTGGCGTTAGTATGATTTATTACATGATCGGTAGGAGACAAATACCTAGTCCCAAGTCTCCAAGTTTCACCACTGGAGATGGCCCGTCAAGGTCAGAGATGAGGATATTATCGTTCTTGATGTCTGATATGCTTAGTATACTATATTTGTAGAAACATCTAGTATTGAGAATGCGCATACCTGTGTGGACGAGTTGTTGTGACTCCAAATCAGCAAGTGCCCCCAAGACCGCTCCGGAAATGTTCTTGTGCAACGCAGAGTTTCGACCGTGGGATCCAGAACACACGTCCTTGAGAGTGCAATCCATCCATTCGAAGGCCAAGCAATACGGATTCTCATTCGTCGAGCTGTTGTGGATATCGACGGCGTCGTACATGGCTCGGAAGTGTTTCGACGAGCGAATGGCAGGATTCATGTGACGGTTGTATTCGTTCTTTAGCGTCTTCAAAATTATCTTCTCTGAGCTCGTCTTGATAACAGCCCTGGGAAGGAGTTAGCGGGTGGCTCTACATGCGGTTCATTTGGCAGACAAACCATTTTCCCGGAGGCTGACATTGCGCCCGCGATATGATCTCGGCCTTGAAGACATTGGATCTCACGGTCTGGTTGCCGAGAGCCTCAATCAAGAGGTAATCCCACCTGGATCCACGAAGCGTCTGCCCAACACGTAGCGCCATTGTAGGCTGGGGTGAGGTTTGTCAAGTATGGAGGTGAGGAGAGTTGGACGAGGCCGCGCTTTATGAAGCGCGACCGCTCTTCCGCATAGACTCATCACGTGAAATGCACGATCCCCGATAAAATCAGTGAATTATCTACACGCTGCAGCGCTCCCACATAGGTAGGAAAATAGATGGCCGTTCCGATCTTCTCGAATACATGAATCCTACTTTCTCCCAGGACAGGCTTGTTCATCAATCCTATCTCAACCACTCCACTACCGATTTCGCCAGTCAACATGTCTAAGATAGGAAGCGTCACCACCAAGTTCGGCAGTCTATCGAGGTTATCCTTGCGACTTCAGGACCAGGCTTCATGCGCCCTACTGGGGCCATTGAACAGGTTTACAAGCTTAAGGCTGTCAGGAAAATTCAATGAGCAATCGACATCGACAAACTCTTCAAGAACGAAGATCTGAACAAAATCAGCCAGATCTCGGTCAAGTATGTAGTCAAAAAAAAAGTATTCCCCAAGGTGTGGTTGCTCATATCAGTCAGCAACATGACGCACTCCAGTGAGAGCGACAACAAAGCTCACTACTCACTCGTAGCCTACGATGGAGACGGCGTGCCAGTCAAAGATACCCATCTTCAGGATGACAAGTCCGAGCAAACTGTGAGTCTTTCCTATGGGAGTTTCGTCAGAAACCGAGCTGATAATTCTGAATAGCGCGCCAACTAGATCGAATCGACTTCCCGTCCTATACACATTGACAGTGCCGCCTCCACTATGGGTGTTGTGCGTAACGGCCATGGGCTATATGGGAATAGAGCTGAAGTCATTCACTGTTTTGGTTTTCTAATAGGTGTCTTCCCTTGTTGTAGTTTATACCCCTTGAAGTTTCTGCTTCTATAACCTCTTCTCGTTGTAGGTAGCTACTTCCGTGTTGCATCTATCTTATCCAAACGATTCACTTGCCAGAGCGATCCAGTACTCTGCTGGCGGTTCAAGTAGCTTTCAAAGGGCTAGCTAGTTATTTTCAATAACAATTAAATCAACTGCCCCTACATACATGTTAGCGTATATGATTGAAATGCAGGGAGTGAAGGCGCGGCTTGGATAAAGTCGTTAGATTCGTCATGCGGCCGATTGCTCCGGAAAGTAGAGACTAGAACGACAGTGGAAAGGTGGCTGCAGCAATTTGTTTCGTCGCATCATCGACTTCCATGTCAGCTTGTATGATGTGACGGATTAAGGGTAAAGGCGGTGAATGTACAGGCGCGATAGATTCGGGGAGGGGGAGGGGGCCGAATGTTCAACCTCTGCAGCCGTAATACGATCAGTCCATATGTAAGTCGATCCAATGCAACTTCCTTTCTGGCAGATGATAGAGAACCATCTCTATGGTGCTTCAGGTCTTGGATTCCCAAGTGCTAGGTATGGCTGTGCTGTTTCTAGCTTTTCTTGTAAGGAATATGTGCCGTGGTTCTGTCTGTATTCTTGCATCCACATTTTAATCAAGTCCCAGTTGACGGTGTCAGAACCCTTGGCTTTTGCTGTCCTCCGCCTCGTATGCCTTCTTTGACCAGCTTTCCTTTGGGAGCCTCGAGGCCTATATCGAGGGTTTATTGCGGTGTGCGTGCAACTGCTCGCCATCTATCCTCAAGGATTGAGGTCGACCTTCTCAAGAGCTGAAGAGGAGTTTCCGCAAAAGTGACCCAGCTCATTCGATCTGGCGTTGATGTGTTTGAGATGGAAAAGCGGAGATAAGACAAGACTATGAAGTTCTTTTAGGAAGTAGGGATGCAGTATCACCTACCTATACGCTATCATATTATGATAAACGCTAACATGGCTTAGCCTCGTCAGAGCGAACCGAACATGGACTTGCGTAGTATAGGATGACAACGTCTGAGGTGTCCCCACCAGCCAACCAATACGTCAAAACTCACCCGAAACTACTACAATCCAAGCGCTACCACCTCCAGCCCTCACATCATCCCTTTAAATATGGCCCAGACTTCATCACACCTCCCCAAAAGCCTAAACCAGGAGCAAACGACGCCATCAGTGCTACACAACTCATCTATTCGAATCCTCCCAGACCCCTATATACACACGGCACTTCGATCGTTATTCTATACGAATATCGGCACCAAAGGTTTACACATCCCATCACATTCTCTATTCCACACATCCTTTTCCGGCCCATCCCAAATCGCACCCATTGCTCCAACATTTTGGCAGCCCGCATCACCTGCGGATCACCCCCTCATACTCTCCAGCACGACCTTATACTCCTTCCTCTTCTTCCTCCACTGCGGCCTCAACCACACCGTAAACCTGCCAATCCCCCTCGCCAATCGGGGCAGCAGATACTTCTCGGCGGTATAGCTAATCGCGAACCCACCCGCCGCAAGCACCAGAATGAACACTTTGAATCCCATATCCATCTTCGTAAGATCCATAAGTTTATATAGCCAGTGCGCGGGATCAAAGAGCATATACGTTGCCACCAGCAGCGTGACGACCATCGTAATCACAAATGGGAGATTCTGCCCCATGCTCTGCCTGAACGGCGGCCCGACGCTGAGCACTACGGCGGAGAGGATGTACTGGTAGCAAGAGACCAGGAAGAGAGTTGTGTTTTCGGAGTTGTGTGAGTTCGACTTGTTTTTGTCCACGACGGGCGGCACGAACCAGGGCTGGCGCTGGACGTACAGGAAGCCGATGGCCTGGATGAGGACGCAAATGGCGATTTGGCCAAGGAGGGGTGTAAGGACTTTGCGGGAGACTAGGCTTGCGGTGGGGCGTTTGCGGGAGAGGGTGGGGTAGGGGCCGGACCAGCCCACTGTGTGTAGTTAGATTTGTTGGAAGAAGAGAGAAGGGGTAAAGGAGCTTACTGAAGATAGCGATAGGGAGGATCAGGAGAAGATCTATGAACAAGAACTGGAAGTCTCCCAGATTTGAGGCTGAGGCGTACAAAAAGCTGACGGATGTGAACTGAATGGCGGAGTACAGGCTCATGTACTTGAAGCAGCTGAAGCTTGTCACGAGTGCCGCGCGCCCCTCTCGAATGACTTCAGGCACGCAGGAAATGTCAAAGACACGGCTCGTGAAGGGAGCAGCGACAGACGCTTCCGCTTCGGAGAGCGAGATGCCCACATCTGCGGCTTTGAGAGCACCGCAGTCGTTGGCGCCGTCGCCGCAGAAGCCACAGCAGTAGTCGATGCTCTGGAGTTTCTCGACTAGCTCGTGCTTCTCGTCGGGAGACATGCGGGCAAAAACTTGGCCACATACGAGCATCTCTCGTAGGACTTTTTCCGAAGCGAAGTCGATGATCCAGCGGAATACGTCACCGCTGACTGCGACTGAGTAGTTTAGGAGGTTCGAGATATCGTATGGAAGTGATGCGTCACCCTCAGCTGGCGGAGGAAGAGGCTTGAGTGTGTTCTCATCGAGCTTGTAGATAGGGTTGTCCACGCTTTCCCAACTCAGCCGAGACAAGGCCGTTCGAGAGTCGCCCTCCTCAAAATGGGGGACGAAGCAGTGAGCTGTTTTGTCGATGAGGTTGCATTCCCTAGCAACGCTAATAGCGGTCAGGATATTGTCACCTGTGCACATTACTTTGCGAATGCCAGCCCTTTCTAGCTCGTCGATGACACCGGTCGTGCTGGGCTTGAGCTTGTTCTCAAAGATGATGAAACCCATGAAGTCAAGGCCAGACTCAGCCTCATCTCTCTTCATCTTCTGCACCTTGACCCAGTTGAGCTTAGGAATCGTCTTGGTGGCGCAAGCAATGACACGGAACCCTCTGTGAGTATAGTAGGCGAGAAGCTCCTCGTAATCCGAGGGAAAGCTCCCTGGACGGCAAATATCCTTCATGCACTCAGGAGCGCCTTTGACATAGACACTCCCACTTTTCGACCCAAATTGCCGCACCACAACACTGGCTCGCCGCAGCTGGGAAACGAATTCGAACATCTTTAGGACACCAAGTTCGATCGGTTTTCGGCTCGTGTCGTTCGGATCGTCGTCAATATCGTATTCCATTCCCAGCGGAGGTCTTGCGACCGAGGGCGATAATTTGTGATCGTCTTCATCATCTCCGCCGCCGCCGGATCTTTGCTCTCCTTCTTCATAGTTCCAACCGGTGAACTCAAACATCTTCACATCCAGAGGATCGCCGAGTAATTCGCCGTCGATCATGCGAAGCGAGTGACAGGTTGCCATCGTATATAGAATACCCTTGTTGATGCTGTAGTCAATAGTTGGATCCCGTGCGTATGACGCGCCTGGAACGACGTCTGCCGCTTCTGTGAGAATGTCGCTGAAAGTGTTGTTCGGTCGCTGAGCAACACGAACCCCAAGAACATCCAGACCATCTTCCGTCAACGTTCCGGTCTTGTCAAAACAGATGACGTCCAGTTTGCCGCCAACGTTGACTCTCTGAGGGCTGATGCAAAAAATCTGTTTTCCCTTTAGACGGGAAAGAGCAAAGTTTGTGCCAATCGTGAGCGTGGCCGGAAGAGCAGGTGGAACGACAATCGTGATCAGATCCAGTGCTCTCACGACAATCAAATGAGGTGCGAGTCCTAATCTGACAAAGTTGACGAATGATGCGATGAATCCAATGAACGCAATGCCCGCCATAACTGAGATATAGCGGAAAGAGTCCCGGTAGAACTTGAAGCCTGAGGGCTTAGGGAAAAGCATGGATCGAACTAAAGCACCTTTGGTGGTGTTAAACCCGGTCCTCACAACCATAGATAATGCCGCCGCTTCGTCGTTTCCTTCTTCCTGCGGTCTCCGGGCTCGAATGATCTTGGTACCAGAGAAGAGCATATGTCGTGCAATTTCAGGATGAATCGTCGATGCGCTCAGATTAAGTAGTTCCAACGCCTCGTCGGTGACCGGAAGCTTCGAGACTGGGACAGATTCGCCGGTAAGCATGCTTTCGTTGACTATGCAGTCGCCAGATAGTAGGAGACTATCGCAAGGTAACTGCGTCAAGCTTGGATCCGTTACTTCGTAGACATCTCCAGGGACCAGTTCGCTAGACTCGACATATCTCCAGAAGCCGTTCCTGAGTACTCTTACATCACACTCGAACCGTGACACTTCTCGGAGTCGCTTCATGGTAGCCTTCGTCTCCACTAGGGTGGTAGCGATACTGACCACGGAAATGATGAAGATGCACGCGGCGTAATAATAGTACTCATCCAAGGACCAAAGGATCAGACTGGCAATCTGGAAAACGTAGAAAGGATGGAATGCCTCATCCACCAAGAGCTGTCCGATGGATTTCTCTTCAAGATCGATTACATTCTTTCCAAACACTCTTTCCCGGTAATCCCGCTCTTCGCTATCCAAGCCTTCGCGAAGGGCTTTGACATCGGTCCACGCAGGATCTTTCCAAGTATTGGCGAGAACGAACTTATCCTTCAACGGGTGATAACAGAATCGAATATACCGGTAGTCCAGAGCCCTTAGCTGCTTAATGACCGGGTCATCATCCTCATCGTAATCCATAGCCACGACCTTTTCCTCATCCCCAAACACCGTCGACAACGACCGTCCATACGTCTGATTCGAGATATCTTGCACCGCAAACTCCCCCCACTGATTCTCCACAACCACCCAACCCGCATCCCCAAGCGCCGTGGGCGTCCCAATAACCTTCACTCTCCACCTCGGCAGCCACCGAAACAGCAACCACACCAGCCCCAGCGTGACCGTGCAAAGCACCGTATACACCGCAAACCCCACCACACTCGTCTTAAACCCCGCCACCACAATCGTCAGATCTTCCGTCAGAATAAAGATCTTCTGACTGACCCTCCCCCCCCTCCAATCCCCCGATGCCGAACTCTCCACCGACCTCCTCCTCAAAAGCGGCGCATCGACACTACGTCTCGAATGCCCCGACGACTTCCTTCTTGAACTCGGTCGCCGTGTGTGTATTAGTCCTGCTTCAAGGTCGCCCTCCCCGTTTTCGTCGTCCCCGTACGCGTATTCCTCGAACTCAAACTCGTCATCGACCGACCCATACTCCTCCGCAACCGCGTCTTCTTCCACTCCCTCCTCACTATCCCGATCCTCGTCATAGTACGTAAAGCTCGCCGTCGAGTCCGCTCGAGATCGCTGGCGCCGGTGCGCAAAGGAGGACACGCTGGTGGGCACGCTCTCGGACATAGGGCCGGCGAAAACCTGGACCGCGGGGGGTGGTGTCAGCTCATCGTTTCCAGGCCTCACAAATTCAACCGCTTTCGGGCTTCGTTTTAGACGTTTTGAACGCGTTGAAGTAGAAGTAGGGGGGTGTATTGCAGATTTGGATTTGGACATGGGTAATGAAGACGCAGACATGCGCGTAAGAGGAATGCTGCTGACCTCTTCGTGCGCCATCTCGACGTCTGTCATGAAGCTGGCGTCGCTCATGTTGGAGCCGCGGCGGTAGAGGCCGCTGGTGCGCCGGCGGTGCGAGGCGGTCCCGTTGGCGGCGAAGCTGCTGCGGCGGCTGTCGGCCATGCGGGATTCGTCGTCGTCGTCCATTGCGACGGTGGTGGTTATGATTCAGGACTTGTGGTTTACTCAGGCCATCGTGTTAATATAGGTGTATGTGTGGGCCCTCTTTACGTCTGAGAGCTGTCGAGATGGTGTGGGGGTGGTGTGTTCAAGCTTTTGAGAGGTGAGGTTGGCGATATCGTTGCGCTTATCGGGCCTTTCAGAAAAGTCAGGGCTTCTTTTTTTTGGCTTTGATAACGCAGTCACGCAGTATTCGAGGGCACCATAGTAAGGTACGATCTGTAGTTAGCATGAAGTGTAGAATGCAGGTCCAATCTAGGCTCTGAATATTAAATGATTAGTCCTACCTCTCTATCTCAGACAGAAACAAGCCATTCCATCAATCACATGAAAAACACTTCAGATAGTCATGTCAGCTCATAGGATCAAATACCTATTATTTTGCGACTAAAGGGTATCTACTAGATACAGCAGCTACAACGCCATGGCTAGGAGCGAGCCTTCAAACGCGGCATCCAACCATGCCCGTGTGTCCGCCCAGTTTTGTCATAAAAGTTCGTTTCGGTCGTGTAAAGATGACGATGTCCATCATGGGACTCCCACCCTGCGTGAACGCTCAACGCAGCCTCCATATACCCTGTTACCATTCGCCTTGCTAATTTACCCGCCGCCTCCGCTTCGGGCTCCTCGCAGCATCATCTCCTCCATTCTCCTCGACCGTGTTCGCCGGGCTAGTCGCCGTGCTGCTCACGCTCTCGATCCTGCCACTGTTGTTGACTGCAGCGCCGCTGTGCTGTACAGCTCCGCTGTCAAACTCGTTGCCCATATCCGCGGTCTGGAAGAAATCATCGTTGGCCATGCTGTCCGGGTCGGGCAGATCAAACTTGAAGTCGGGTAGACCGTTGCTGCTGTTATGCTGGTTGGGAATGAAGTCTTCCGAGTGAATGAAAGAGTCCATGTACGATTCGTCTAGATTCAGATCGCTTGGGTTCCCAAGGTTATTAAGGCCTGGGTTAAAGTACGATCCGAAATCATCTTGATGGAGCCCAGGGATGCTACCCGATGGACTGAGAGGCTGTAGACGCTCCTGGACGTTCTGGAGCCTGGAATTTTGTTGTTCTGACATCTTCTGGAGGAAGTCTAGTTGATCTTGCGTCGCCGTCATCTGCTCCAATGATGGCATCGTGGGTGCCTCTGGACTGACCATTGCGTTGTTCCCATCAGCGATGCCGCTATTCGGAGAAGCTGCACTTGCGTTGGAAGCCATGAGCGACAGCATGTTGTTTCGTTCTTGATTGGTCATAGGCAGCGCTCCATTCGCATTCTGGAAGTGGTTGAGAGCTGCGCCAAAGTCATACTGCCCCTTAGCGTTGTTTTGCGTGCTGTTCGCATTGGCGTTGCGAATTGCTGACATAATCTCACTGTTCTCCGGAATCTGGTTGACCGTAGGTGATGCAGTATCAGTCTTCATAGGTATTGGGCCGGACGCAGCACCCATGTCTCCTGTGTTTCCCGGTACCTTTTGGGCGTTCCCAGTAGACAAAAGAGGAGGTTTGAACACCGACTGTCTTCCTTGCGGTCTGGCAGCAGCTGGACTCGCGGTTGATCTTGCCGAAGTGCTGACGGTGGCAGCCCGGCTTGCTGGCGATTCCGACTCTTGAAGCGTCGGAGCAGGAAGCAAAGCCAGCGGTCGCTTTCCCATCCGATGCAATTGAGGTGATCTGTTCGTCATGGGTTCCGGGTAATCGCCAACATCGACGACGTTGCCATGGGTCTGGTTGTTCTGGGGAATCGCGTTTGCAAACATCTCCGCAATGTTCGGAGCGTTGTTTCCTTCCACACTACGGCTGTAGAAGGTTGCAAGAAAGGTCAAAATGGCGTTGATGCTATTTTCGTGTCGGTCATGGAGGGTCTGAAATGCGGTAGCTTGCTGGTACAGTTGGTCATTCTGCTGGCGTATCCTATTCAGCACGTTTGAAATAACCTTCTGTTGCTGCTGGAGCTGCATAACCTCCCGCTTGAGGCTGTTGTACTCGGTCCGGGGTATCATAGCCATCTCTGGATTGGTACCACCTCCGCCGTCATCCACTGCGTAAGGTTTCGTCACGCCAATCGATTCTGTCCCAAATCTCCTGCCATCGTCATCACTATCGCCCTGCTTGGCGCTATCTTCGTCTCGTTTCCGCTTCGGGTTTGCGGGCTGATTCTTTGGTTTTTGAATGAGCCAGAGTAGTTCCGGTCGTCCCCGCTTGAAGTATTTGTTGAAGTATTCACTGGGTGCCTTGGCTTTCGTTTCGCTGGCCTTCATGGAATTGTCCGATAGTCCGACCTTCTTGTGGAACCCGTACATATTCAACTGCCGCACGAATGAGGCATAGTTGTTATGCTTGAACAGTTCAGGTATCAGAGTCCTCGCAAATTCGTCTTCATCTAGCACAATGAATGAGTTCCCATCGTCTGACCACCGTATGAGGTTAGTGTTCTTCTTTTCATCCAGGAAACTGGTCAATAATTAGTCATGTGTGTACTTCCAAGGCCTGAAATCTACTTACCTGCTCAGTTTTTGGACGAAAGGCGGTATCTGCTTGCGCTTCGACTGTGCATCTTTCTTGGCAAGCAGTGCCTTGCCTTCCAGGTCCTCATCGTCATCCGTATTCTCCCACCCAGCAGGTTGCTGTCCCCCACCATCGCCATTGAATACATCCCAGTTTGTCCGTCCTCGCGCCGCCACTTGTTGATTCGCGTTCCGCTTCACTAGCTGTCCTGAATATGAGGCCGGATCTGGCGACATGCCCGTTGCTGCATTTTGCGCTACGCCGTTCGCGTTGTTGTAGATGTTAGGATCGTATAGGGATGGGTCAGTATACGATGCCCCTAGGTTGTTCATCAAGGCCGGATCCTCCCAGTTCAGCCCACCAAATTGGTCCGCCATGGTGGTGTCTTGGTTCGAAGGGTAAGTGTTGGGTTGAGGAGCGGAGGTCTGTTGAACTTGAGTAGAAGCGCCGGGCGCGCGCCTTTTCCGAGACGTCATGCGGGTCCACGGGAGGCAGGAGGGGGGTCGCGGTGAATATGAAGCGAGTCGAACAGACTGAAGAGCTCGAGTCAAGCCTTGCTGCCACCTTTCACCTGAAATATCTCCGTTCCGTTGCTTAATGCCGTGTCGCAAGAAGATGTAGATAGATTGCCGGGGGAGGTGCTAGGGCTCGGCGGCGGTTCAGCGATGGACGGGGTGAAAGTTTTGAACTGCGCGGAGAGAGGAGGAAGGTCGCGGCTATAAATTGGGGTTGAAAGCGATTCGACAGCGTGCTTGTCCGTTGTCCGGAACAGTCTGGCAGGCCACAGCAGATCGCAGGAGTTTCCACGTGTTATTGTCTATGACAAAGGATATGAGCAGAAAAAAGGCCAACAGCTGGATTGTTGTAGTTCTAAATAGGGCGGGAGGCTGCAGTAGGAGACAAGGCGGTTGCGGTGGTGACGCTGGTGAGGCTTAGTTCTTTGGTGGGAGCAGGCCAAGCGGGAGCAGATTGGCTTTGGCGGATGCTGATGGCAAGAGCAGCTTTCGCGACCGGATTGATTGGGCCAGGATAGAAGGAAAGACAGGTCGAGGGCGGGTTGATTGTGGGCTGGTTGTCGTCGCAAGCCTCACATCACGGCCTTTCTCCCCAAGATGATGATACGCAACCGAGCCCTCATCGCGGAAATCTTGCAGCCCGAAGATCTCCCTGGAAAGGACCCGTGGACTTGAGTATCATAACACCACGTATGTTTCACGAGATGAAGGGACGAATTTTGATTCGATCTACCACACTCTTCTTGAGTCTGGGGAAGACTCGGCATTTATTATACACTTGTCGAAATCGCCTATCGTGCAATGTGTATCACGTGATCTGGGGTACATCACTCATCGACCCCCTGGTGAATCTTTCATATGCAAAGCGTAAGACATTTCAAACACGGATAGAAACTCCGAAAGCGCTACCTACAACGACACAGATCCCAAACGCTAGCAAGACTGAAAAGACGCGATCCACGCTACTAAAACCGCGAACCATCCACCCCCCCTTCCACCTTCAATACTGCAACGACCGCATCCCGCCCTGCCTATGCCCAGAACGACCATATCCATGCCCCTGGTATATCACCCCCCTTAGCGTTCGATTCGGACCAAGCACCGACTTAACGCTATCCTTCGGATCAAACTGTGTCGAGTCTAGCTCTTCGCCATGCACATCTATCATCAGCCTCGCCCCAGGTTGAACACCAAATGCTGGATTCTTGAAAATCCCGCGCCTCATCTCTCGTATGCTCATCTGGCCCATGCTCGTCCGAATGTGGTTGACCACATACCCATTGTCTAACACCGAGATATCCACATGGATTGGCTTTTCAGGAAAGATAAAGCTACCGCTGTCGTCTCTGAGGGAACTCTGGCGGTGCCGGGTGGGGTAAGTGCTTATGTTGGGTGGGTGGCGCGGATATGACGGGGCTGGACTGAGAAGGTGATTGCTGTGTGTTTGGTGGCGATGGGGGATCTTGCGGTCACGTCGTGCGTAGTCGTCATCGCTAAGAGATTCGCCGCTGAAGTAGGTCTCGTCAGGTAGGTCGTGGCGGTGTTGGGGCTTCTGGTAGGGATGGTGGTGAGCCTGGTGAGGTGGAGGAGGTTGGTGCATCATTGAGGGTTCTTGATAGTCGTACTGATGATATCGGGGGTCTGGGACAAAGGCTTGCTCCCATTGGTGCATGCGCGGATGCCTTCGAGAAGGCATGGGATAGCCGAGGTGAATAAGGTGTCTTTCGGTAGGATTGAGAGAAGGATTGAAGATAACGTCACTTCAGATAGGCGTTGAATGTAGGTGTCGAGTGGGTAAATTCTTCTTTATCTCGCGTATCGATTCCTTCATGAGAGCGGAAGCCCCATCGCAATTTATGGTCTTCGACACCCTGCTAAGCAGTCATGGAGGCAAAGAACGTGACGCAGGCTTTGTGTGGAAGGGAAGTTGCCGTGTAGACACGGGATCGAGCAAACTTGTGTTGTCATTTGAGACACCACAGTTTGGACCGAGCAAGCCGATTGGAGCTTGTGACATTGAAATGCAGCAAACTTGTAGCGGGAAGGAGACAAACCGAATAGGGATAATCTCAATATCGAAAAAGGTTGATCCAACGTCGCCAAGACGGGACAAAGGCCAGGCAGATAGGTAGCCGAAAAGCAGCCGAAGGAAACGGGCATATGAATATCCGACGGGCCCGAGGGAAGCTTGCGCAAAGCTACACCATTGCGATGTTGCAGTGTGGGGATGTAATGTAGCAGTGTGGAGAAGAAAGGGTGTGGAGAGTTGTGCTGCTTGGGGTGTGGGGTAAGGGGCGCAGAAGCAGGAGTCCGTTCCTCAAGGTAACGCGGCTCGGTCGAGCCAGGTCTAATATCTTCAAGAAGTGAAAGTTACTGATATTGAGTATTCGGGGCGAGTAAATTTGTACCCAAGCTAGACATTACGCTAATCAAATCAAAACCATCGTGAGCATGATTACACCGGAAGTGACGTCCAATCATTAGAACTCAAAGCCACACCATCAACACTCCCGGCACGGCCACCAATGCGCCAACCAGGGATATGTAGCCAACTTGTACTGCTTGAACTCCCGCGGCAGGGGTAACTGTGCTTGAAGCTACTTGAATTGTGGTGCTGCTCGAGCTGGTTGTGCTAGTAGTAGTGTGTGGGGCTGCAGTCTTTGTAATAATGACTTCAGTGGGCTGGATACTGCTACTGAATGCTTGCGGGTTGAAAGTGAAGCCCGTTGCGGATGGGAAACTATCTGTCTGCGATGGCTCGGCAGTAAGGTAGTAGATCAATGAGGTATGTGCGTCCGCGGGAACTGGGAAGGTGAGAGTAGCGGATAGCGCGGAGAACTCGGACAAAGCTTGCTCCCTATCCGTTGCAGTGGTGGTATAAGTCGTCGTCTCGTAGATCGTGGTCCAAGTGACTTCCGAGGTCTGGAAAACGGTCCAATAGAATGAAAGGTACCACCTAGAGTGTGTTACTACCGCAGACACGTAGGTATGATGAAGATTAGGAAGAGGCATACCAAGTCACAGTCCAGTACCATTCGTCGTCACCGCCGACAAAGCTCGTCGCTTGAGCAGTGACGCTGGGAGGAGGCGTAATGGATTCAGCCGTAGTTGAGAAGACTGGGGTCGAGAACTCTAGAGTAGAGAGATATGAGGTTGTTCCGCTCACGACTGCGGCCGTGCACTGGAGATCCGTACAGCAGACGATCTCACCAGTCGACCCAAGTTTCACACACATGTTACCCGCCTCGCAGTAATTGTAGTCGCTACAGCAGTCCCCGCCTTTCGGGTAGCAGTTGGGCCCACAGCAACCCCAGTTTGGCTTGCAGGGGGCGTCTGGACAGCAGGTGTCGGCGGGATCGATGCAATAGCCGTAAGGACAGCAGTTATCCGTACTCGGGCAGCATCTCCCAAAGGCTGCTCGTTGTTAGTCAAAGCGATCGGCACGTAGTCATTAGAGTGACAGAAAATGTATTGGAATCTGAGATGGCCAGGAGTAGACCAATAATATACTTACCAGAGCAATACCCATATCCAGCATTGCAGGTTTGCCTCTCCTCGAGTCCTAGTGACCTTTCCTTTACCAACGGCACAGACGCGTTCTTCTCTCCAAGCAGGGCATGCGGCGCAAATTTTGCAGCGTAGTCGTTGGTGGTTGTCTCCTCTTCATCCTGGACGATTCCAAAGGCATTGATAGGCGCGCGCGGGAGTATCACAGAGTCCGCAAGAGCAAGTTGCGCAAGGGTCAGGCCAGCGGCAATTGCAAACATGCGCATCGACACCATCATGATCTTCGACCGGGGGCTAGAAGACTGTGTGAATTGAGGGAGGAGCCTGTCGACACACCTAGGCAGTACTGCAAGAAAAGGGATAGCACCGTCAGAAACCTCATGATGGTGGGCAGAGGGCCTAATTTAAGTTCCACGAATTCTGTGATCTGCTCAATACGAGGTTGTCCCGTGGCCAGCCACTTCGTTTAGCGGGCATGGCTAGCCAAGACAAGGCGAGAGCGCCTTTGGGCTGACTTTAGTCTGGGAAATTAAATAGGCCAAGCTTCGCGGGAAGTTGTTCTGCATTTCAGCTGCCTTGGCGGGTTGGTCTGGCCTATCATATCGGCTTCGGGAGACTAATTCGGGAGACCACGTGATGAGTGCGACCGCTTGTCTTTGCTCCCCCTGCAGGTAAACGGCCGGGATGAGAACCCGAGGAACGCGACACGGGAGACTTTTGGCTGGGGGAGCGTTAGGCAACAGAGAAATATCTGCGAGGCCGGGAGACGTGCGACTCGCATGGGTTGGGAAGGTGTCCATCCTGCGCGGGCGGGAGGAAGAAAGGCCCCTGATCGGGTGGACGATTGTGGCTTTTCGGTGGCTTTTGAATCAACGGCAAGGTTTCGCGGTCGTGAGTTGTGGTCTGTGGCGTGTTGGTCGTTGAGAAATCTGCGTCCTGCAGGCCTTCATCTGCTGTCACACGGGTGGCTGTATGTTGGCTTGCTGCGATTGTTTGTGTGGTGGTCTGGAATCGCGCATCGGGCCCAACCCAAACTGGGGTAGAAATAGCGAGCAGGTGAGGCTGTGCCGCCTTGCATTTGATACTTTCGCGACTTGCAGAGATGGAATAGTCCAAAACGAGTGAAGTATGTAGCCGATGAGTTGGTAATAAGCGCTATCGCAACGAGGCTGAGCACTCACCCTTTCGATAAGGGCGACACCCACCTCTAAGGCTGAGAGAAAGTCTTCGCAATATAGATCATGATCTGCCCTTCTTTGGACGGAGAAGAGGTACAGAAGACACAAGGACCAACGACCTACCATTGAAACGGACTTTCTCATTGGCGATACGGCACCACATGATCCAACAACCGCACAAACCATACCGACGATACTCATATCGCCATGGGTAATCCAGAACTAGGTCCCAACCCACCCTGGTACGTCCGCGCACTCGACCCCACTCTTAAAATGGACAGCGACTTGGCCTACGAGATGAAGCAAACGCACATATCCCAAGTCGATGCCATCCACGGTTACCCACGCCGATTAGCAGCTTGCATCGCACTCGCAAAGGGCCACTACAACGCGCCGCCTACGGACGATGAGATTGAGGTTGCGCGACGATTGGGTGCAAGACCGCATGATAAGGTCTCCTGGATCAAAGAGCGGCTGCAGATGTCGCGAGCCATTTACAAGAAGTTGAGATATTTGGATAGGCAACGGGCAGCGGAGTTCATGTATAAATATCTAGGGCCTGTCGAAAGCGAAATGGGTCAGAGGATCCAGGGGAGATACGACAACGACTGGAGTGGGGGAGGCGGCTCATGATGGGACAGCATGTGATAACTCTCTTCGCTCCTTCATTCCAACACAACGCAAAAGTTATTCTGTTGCACACCGTCTTTGAGCTTCTTCTTCGGCACCTTCCTACTTTTGGTTTCCCCAGTGTATGACCATAAGTAGTACACTAATTTGGCTGAAAGTTTCTTGTGCTTGAGCTGGTATCCGAGTGAGCCCATGATCTGCATCAAATGCTCCTCGGTCAGATATCGAGAGTTATTGACACAGGGAGCGGGGAGTACCAAGAACAGCGCCGGCAATCTATCCTGACTTGGGTTGGTTGGGGTTGATTTGCGTAGGAAGCTGCAAGTTCTTTTAAGCATTTCGCCACGAGCGGTGGCATCGGGTACGTAATTCAAGACCAGGGATAGAGATATGACATCGAATTGATCTTCAGGTCCATCCGGCAATGGTCTTTCCATAAAGTCCTGTGTCTTGATTGCTGGGTCTTGCGAGTTGAGGTCGATGCGCGTGATATGTAGCCTGGGAGCCCGAGCTATAGCGTTGGCCGGAGACAGTGCTCCAACCTCAAGAACGGTGTATTGCCTCAGAGGATGTTCAGCAGCCGTCTTCCGAGGATCTCCTAGTACTCCATCGTCTTTCAGCCACTCAAGTAATACGCGACTGGAATCTCCGCCTCTTTCAGCACTCTGACCTTTGATGCTGGCCGCCTGGTACAACTTTAACCCTCCATTATCCTCAATCTCTTTCTCGAGCTGCGATGCTCTAGCAGTCTCTCCAGTTTTGACAGCAGCAGCGTGTTGCTTTTGTAATCTGTGATGAGTCCGGATCAATGTTCTTGTGGCTTTTGATGTCAGTGAATGCGGCTGTTCTTTCCCTCCAGATAGCACAGGCGGCCGGCCATGGGATAGAGATTTCGATTTTGCACCTGGGCGCTTCTTGACGGCCATCTTTGCGAGTCAAATTGCAATTTTGAGATCATATTCTGGAGGATGGAGATGGAATGAAAGTTGTGCAGGGATAAGTCGCACGTGAGGCGCTAGTCGCAAATCGGACCGCTAAGCGAAGAAAGCGCGAAAAATCCACACCACGAATTTGTCTCTCCAGTTCAACGTCCAGCTTCAACCACCACATCGCCAATCAAGATGCCACCAAAGGACTCCAAGAAGGGTATGTCAATCGCACTATGCACGATGGAGCTCTGCAGCTAGAGCTCATCTTCGTGGCCGTCCCTCTTTTGCGCCATAGCTAACAGCTTCACAGCTGGAAAGCCGACCAAGGCCGGCAAGCAGGCCAACGCCGCTGCGAAGGCCACTCTGAGAGGAGTAAGAACCACCACTTGAGGCGTGTCAGAACCTCCATCTCTGACTGCCTTGATTTGAAATCGCGCGCCATGCTCACATTTCAATCAAGGTGAATTCGCACAAGGTTCGCAAGGTCCGACATTCGACTTCGTTCCACAGGCCGAAAACCCTCGAGCTGTAAGCCCACCACAATCTCACTTTTCACTTCAAAAAGCTAGAAATCTGGCATTGGTACTGATACTTCACGACTTTCAGGTCCCGCGCTCCCAAGTACCCCCGCCGCAGCATCCCTCACCAGCCCCGTCTCGATGCCGCCAAGATCCTCGTGCACCCGCTCAACACGGAGAGTGCGATGAAGAAGATCGAAGAGAACAATACGCTGGTCTTCATCGTCGATGTCAAGGCCAACAAGCGCCAGATCAAGGCCGCGCTCAAGACCCAGTACGACGTCGACTGCGTCAAGGTCAACACCCTCATCCGCCCGGACGGCTCCAAAAAGGCCTTCGCCCGGCTCACCACCGACGTCGATGCGCTGGACATTGCGGCGACCAAGTTGGCGATTGTTTAAGCATGTGGATCTAAAACGGGGCTATGGGAACGGGTTGAAGGTGCCGGCTACGGCTGGCTGGGCTTTTCATTGTGGCATGGAACGGCGTTTTAACGACTGTAGTAAAGACGAGACGAATTCAAAGTCTTCGAATCCAAAGCCCGAGATTAGCCAGCTAGATGATTTGAATTGTGCATGACGATATCTTTGTGATTGATGACCCTCCTGGAGGTTTTCGTATTTGTACATTTAGAATACGAAGTACACCAGACTACGCCTAACGTAACTCTTTCCTAAGCCTACTAATGTACAGTGCCATGAACTTATTCTGCCGGCCCAACCCAGGCGCTCATGCAATGAATATCGTACAGCTCCGCAATGCAATCCGTCGCCAATTGCTCTGCTCCATCATCTGATGAATATCCCTCATATCTCCATTAATGGCCCTAGTTCCTCTGCAAAGCCTGCAACTCCTTCATGATAACATTATTCGCATCCATCCACCGATCCACACAGTTCTGCATGCACGGCTGCTCGTACTTATCCAGGTCCCTTGACGAAATCTTGGACGTGACGCACTTGCGGAAGCAGGTATCGGTGAGGTTGTGGATTGCTGTCATAGAAAGATGTGAGCTTTTGCGTAGTAATGGAGCCTGGGAGGCGGGGCGTGTATTTCAAGCCCAATAATGGGCGAGAATCTTGATTTGGGAGGGGGAATGCTAAGCCAGGGAAGCCAGAGGGTGTGACATACCCGACTGTATCCTCGCCTTCTGCGACTCGTTTTGCACAAACTGCGTCAGCTCTTGCTTGTCGCGATCCGAGAGCTTTGCCAGGTCTTGCTCGTTGAAGCCGGGGCCGCCGCCGAGGGGGGAGTCCATGCTGCTGGTCGAAAGCTTGATTGCAGGGGTAAATATCGGGATAGAAATTCAGGCGAGGGTCGAGATGTCGCGATGGAGGTTTATAGATGAGTTTTCGAAGTCGTTGACGATGATGCTCTGTAAAGTTTTGGCTTGTTCTTTCGATGGAGACGGGGATGGCTCGGACGCTTTAACCACAAGCACGTGATGTCTCACGACCTAGCTTCATCGCTTCGTTCCATTCCTCTCTTCTTCTCCCTTTCTTTGTTTTGTTTTTGCGTCCTTCGACTTCTTCTTCGCCTTCTCCGACCGCTCATTGTGGGTCTTTCCCAGAGCTTTTATCCCACGCGGCTGGCCCTCTGCGCGTCGTCGCGGGATCTCAGGGATGTCGTTCGTCGGTGTAGAGGGCGTGATAGCTCTCAATTCGTCAATATGCCGTTCCAAGGTTCCCATCTCTTGATCAATGCTGTGCAAGTCCTTTTCCAGCTCTCCGAGATCGGCCTTCAAGTCGCTGCGACAGTCGTGCGCCTCCTCGAGCTGCAGGATCGCTTCAATGGCGGCGTTTGCGCCTGCTAGGGCGTCGGACTCGTACGTCAGGGCGTCGTCGGCTGTGCGGGCGGTGGTGGCCATCTTGATGAGGTTGATTGGTTTGTGGGAAAGTGAAGGTTTGAGGAGATGGTGTTGTGCGCTGGTTAAATCTACCTAGCAAGAGGCATAGGCGTACCGTGGGTCGACAATCAGAAAACTTCAAGGTGCCCAGAGTTCAGGACAGGTATGCAACAGCTTATTAGCTGGCTCGCTTGTACGAACACGTTTTACTCGGTATCTTCGTTTTGTGGCAATCTAGCAGAACACCTTGCATAGTTTTATGATAGAAAAAGAATTACCTTTGCTCAAGCGCTTTTCTTGTCGTCACAATTTTCATATATCGTTCCAAGTTTTCCATTCTACGTAAAGTTTTTGTGATAGTGCCAAAGCACATATCATTGATATTGGTTGTATTAATTCGAGTAAATGATGATAGACAATTTGAAGTTGTAGACAGGTAGTTCTACAGCGTACTCCTCCAAGGCATCACCCGCCGCTCGCACATAAACCGTGCAATCATACACGCCCCTCCTGCGGATCATCAGAAAGGAACCTCCCCATTCCTCACGCCTCCCCGCATCTGAAGCAGATTAACATGCACCCTCGCTATCTGCGCATGAAGCTCGCTCACGTTCTTCTCCCACACCTTTTCGTCAAAATCCCTAGCTTGCTTCTCGTAAGCAAGGCCTTGAGCAGTATAAGTCTCCTTCATCTGCATCTGGGGCAGACCATCATCCCCATCCTCCTCCTTCCTCTTCCGCTCCGCCTCTTCCAACTTCTTAGAGAGTACCTCCCACTTAGCCTTCTCGGCGAAGTTCCTAAAGCCCTCATACCGCTCCTCATCCGCGGGATGGGCTTCGTGTTCCGGTTCAGCGGTGCCACCCCGGGCCCGCATCCGCTCGGTCATTGTCTGTTTCTTCGTTTGTTCGACCGGCGTCTGAAGTGTTGTTAGCAAGCTTCGTAGGCACATACGAGGCCGTTACTTACAGTCTCGGTAGCAGAGGCAGAAGTGGCATGGAGTGCTCGTCCAGACTCAGCGTTGCCATCCTGCTTCTTGGTTTGTTCGACTGGCATCTGAAGTGTCGTTAGCAAGTTTCTTAGGGCGCATATGAAAACGTTACTTACACTTTTGGTCGGGGTGGCGGAAGCGTCATCCTGCTCCATGCCATGCGAGGGTAGTATCTGCTTCTTGGTTTCTTCTCGCTCCTGAAGTCTTTTAAGGCAATTTTCGCAGGCACATGGGAGGATGTTGGTTGCATCTCCAGCTATGGTAACGGGAGTGGCAGCTGTAGTTGGCAGAGCAGGCTTCGGGAGGATACGTCGTCTCTTAGTAGCGCTCTCGATGGCAGGAGCCTCCGTCAAACGAGAGGCTGCGCGCTTGGTGCCCGTAGAGCCTGTCGTAAAGCCGGTTGGCTGGCCATAAGAGGCGAGCTTGGAGGCGGTAGCCTGCCCGTCGGAGGCCATTTTCTATGTCGGTGCTGGTGATCGATGTCGGTGCTGGTGAAGGTGAGAGAAAAGGAGACACGAGAGGGAATAAGTAAGTGCGAATTTTTTTTCATTGTGGTGGGTAAGAGAGAACCGTGGTTGAACCAACTGGCCTTTGCTGCGGTGGGAATCATGGCTCCGAAGACGACGGCGGGTCCTGAATCATGGAGATGACTGGACTTATAAGACGTCGCGATAGGTAAGAAGTAGCTGGCGGTAGGTCTGTGCAATTCTCCTGTCAATTACCATACCTAGGTGTTCAGTGTATTTCAAACGTCGGGAGCGATCGTATACACGTTAGGTGCGGACTGGGCACTTAGGTCTGCGGCTATCTGAGGTGGCGTAGCAAGTTTACCGCTTGTTCGGAAGAAAGATTCTGATTATTGGAAATGTATCCAGGGGCTTCGAAGAGTGTTAGGCAAGTGCATACAGTGTATTTCTGCTTAAACGTCTGGTCTGCGTGTACCTATCCGCCGCTATCGGAGGCGGCGTGGCAAGTTTTTCAGCCGCTCATCACATCTAGGTTCATAGTAATAGAATGCATCGAGGGGTTTCAGACTGCACTAGGAACATGTACAAGTCTACGACAGGACTGTGCAAAGCGAGCACCGTGAGAATAAATAAGGGGGCCGATATTGCCATACCTCCTTCCTGAGGTAGTGACTAGTCACACACCCTCTTCTTGGTATCTACGCCCTTTGATTAGTCCAAATCGCTTGAATTTCCGGGTCTTCCCCTCTAAAGGGGGATTTACTTGGCGCTTTTCAAGATGACCCGTAATTCAACAAACTCCTAGTATTTACTTGAACATATTTCCTACATTTAGGTTTATTGCTTACTATCTAGAGCATTTCCATATAACGGAAATAGACATTTGCAGGCGAGCAACCCTACTGTTATCGTCTACTACAAGGTGTAGAAATATTTGACCCCTCGATAGAAGCCAGCAACTATGCTATGTATCAATAGAACTATATATATACATAGATGTCTAATATGTGTGCACCGATTGCCTGCTATCTGAGTAGGCTTACGAGTTTACAGGTCGCTCAAAATATCACGCTGTGTAAAACAGTGCCACGGAAGCGTACATTATGCTATGACGAGGTAGTATCTATATCAAGCATCACACGATGGGCACATTTCATGAGCTAAGTGATGCTTTATTATGAATATCTCTATGCTTCCCTAAACACCGCCCATGCCATATCGCAGTACAAAACCCCCACCCATTGCCGCCCCATTCTACCCCTCATCATCTAGCTCTACCCTTCTCACACGCCAAGCAACTGATTCGGAATACACGCAAACACCGTACTCACAATCGCCATCACCGCACTGATCACAATGAGCACCCAATTCAATAGCTTCTCCTTAGCCCCCAACTCCTTCCCAAACAGCTTCAGATGAAACGCCAGCGGCAGAATAATGCAAATCGTAAATCCCGCCACACTCCCCAGCAGCGTCATGATCCGATCGAACGACGGGAACACAATCGCGATGAACACGAACACAACCGTCACGGCGATGCGCAGGAAGAACTTGAAGAAGCCCCGGCTCATGCCAGACATGCCCAGCATCGGGCCGCTGTGCCCTACGACGCGGCTGTCGAGGCCGCAGAGGATCTCGAGGGTACTGATGATTGGCCTCGCGTTCAGCGGGACTTTCGTGAGCGGGATGATAGCGATGCATATAGCGATGAAGACAGAGAGGGCCGGGGGATAGCCCTTGGTAAGGAAGATGTTGGAGGTGATCTCGTCGCGGACAGCGTCGCCGAACATGAGGATCCCGACGCAGGCCATGCCGAGGTCGAGCAGGTAGGTGAAGACGTAGGTGATGTCGACGGCATTGCGGTACTTGTAGGGGTGGCGCATGTCCCGGTAAATGTTGGGGAAGACGCTGTGGCCGCCCCAGGGGGACATGAGGAGGCCGAAGCTGAGCGGGACGGTGAGCCAGTTCTTGGGGAAGAGGTATTGGGGTGCGGGTTCGCGGAGGGAGCCAGGCTGGTGGGGTTTGATGGCTCCGTCGACCCAAACGGCGAGGACGACTGTGATTGGGTTAGAGGCGATGCAGGTGTGATTGGTGAGGTTGACGACGGGGTGTTGACTTACTTCCTAGGCAGGACAGGATTCCGATCACGCTGGTGAAGCTGAGGAGTCGGAGAGGCAAGAATCCTAGGGGGATTAGGACTATTCCGCAGATGATTTTCCATGCGATGACACCCCAGCCAGGTATTAGGGCGTCCAGGCTGTCGGCGAAGAGTACTACGAGGGCGACGCAGGCAGCTAGCAGCTCGACTGTGAACAGAACACTTGTAGCCACTCTAGCCTTGTGGCCAAAGGAGACGAAGGCAAGGTCTGCAAATGTGATGAGAGAGCTGTCTACATCGAGGCATTTGGCGAGTAGCTTGGCAGTGTATGATGTGGCTACAGCTGAGTATAGGAAAAAGACCATGCCAATGATCCAGCCCGAATACTTTATAGCAAGGGGCAAGCTCAGAAGCCCCACGCCGATTAATACGTTCACCGAATTGAAGACTGTCTGGGGCAGGGTGGACTGGCCTACCACGACATGGATAATGTGGCCATCCTCTTCAATTTGCTTCACGATCAATGGCTCCCGCTCTTTATCCGGCTCGGAAACACCCTTTAATTGCTGTTCTCTGAACAATTTACCAGCGTGGCGCATTGAAGGCTCGTTCACGCGTGCTGTGAGGCTGCCATAAGACGTGCCATAGCTGCCCCCAAACGGGGACGCCAGCGAAGGCTCAATGCTGAAGATACTGTCGTCTCGGACGGATCTCCTCTCTTGTATACGCTCCTCCACAGGATCAGGTAGTAGACGTGTGTCTTCCGAAGGCCCCACCTCTTCGTCAAACACGTTCTCCGATGGCAGTCGGCCGTCCTCCTCGAGAGCTGCTCGTAAGAGAGATCGCTGGTCTGATGGTGGTGGTAGACCTTGGGAAGGAAAGGGATCGTGTTCGTCATCGGACTCGACGCGGAAAGAGGGCCTGGCTGGCGTGATCTCGAAGAAGCCCGCGGCTCGTTGCCATGATCGCGCGAAGTTGTTGATACTGTTCACCCCACCAGCATCAGCGAGGGCCTGCACTCGCATAGTCATTGACGACCTGCAATTGACTGGTGTTAGCATGGTCTGGTATACTCGCGTGCTGTTCTTGCTGGTTTCGATATGGTGACATGACGCCTCAAGAGAGCTTACCGGCGTTTTCTAAGGTCCCCCTGGTTGATATTACGAGCTGGAGACCCCGAATGGGCTGTCGAGGTAGTGCTCTGGCCACTCTGGTGCCTCTCGAGCCCTTCGAATTGCACACGGCTTCCCACAGATTCAACCGACCCCCGGTGGCCTTGCTCATACTCGTCCCAAGTGGAGGGCCGCTTGCCCTTGATGTCCATCTCTAGGTCCCAAGTTGCTTGGGGAGGAAGCAAAAAGCTGGGAGTCTGAAGATGGAGGGAACGACAGAAGACGTAGGAAATGAAACTGCGAAAAAAGTGGAGTGGCACGAGCAGCCTCTAGATTGGCGGCGAACTACAGCGGGAGCTATCAGGATGGCGTCTGGATTGACATTGGGGATGCAGGGGACAATAAGGATTGCAGAGTTTTCAAGGTGGACTTTCCATTGTGAAGCTGCGCGCAGAAGGAAAGACGGTCTATCTAGTCGGGCGGGCGCAAGATAGGAAGCTGGAGGATAGATAGGATGGATCACGAGGTGGGCCCATTCACCCCGCCTCTCGCGCTCGCACCAGCTCCGGGGAAGAGTTTGGAGCTTCCAAGGTGCCTGGGTGGCGGCAAGACGAGACCGCAAGCCCCCAAAACGCAGTCCCGCCGCCCTTGGCCCCTGGCCCCTTGGCCCCTGGCCCCTTGGCCCACCGCCTACGGCCCTGTTAGCTAAGCGACAGCGGGCGCGGTGACGAACAATGCTGCACGCCAGTCCGTCCCACCTCACACACAGCCCGAGCCACAAATCCTCCAGCTGAGGGCGCATCCTTTCTTCCTGCACCAACACCACCTCTACCGCTCCTCGATTTTGCAGCGGCCCTCCACGACGTCGACGCCGCGAAGGTCGGCCTTCACTCCCTTTTGTCGCGGCACTACACGAGTCGCTTCGAAAGAAATTTCCCGCCCAGCAAACCCCCGCCGCGAGTAGCCCGCACCCTCGATACCCACCGCCAGCATGAGTGCTCCCCAGGCCAACGACGCCGAAAAGAACATTGAAATCTGGAAGGTCAAGAAGGTACAGACATTTGGCAGACTTGCCATGGATTATTCTTTGGCAGGACTAATACCGGACACAGCTCATAAAGCGCCTCGAAGCCGCCCGTGGCAATGGAACCAGCATGATCTCGCTCATCATCCGTAAGCCCGGAAAAGCAATTCTCGGGACAGGCCAGCTATGCTAACAACTCTCAGCGCCGAAGGACCAGGTCTCTCGCGCGGCGAAGATGTTGGCTGAAGAATTCGTACGTCTCCGACTCATATCCAGGCTGCAACGTGGCTCACAGACCATAGGGCACCGCTTCCAATATCAAATCCCGCGTCAATCGACTATCCGTTCTCTCGGCTATTACCTCCACTCAGCAGCGCCTGAAGCTCTACTCCAAAGTCCCTCCAAATGGGCTCGTCGTGTACTGTGGTGAAATCATTACAAGCGAGGGCAAGGAACGAAAGATCAACATCGATTTCGAGCCTTTCAAGCCAATCAACACTTCCCTATACCTATGCGACAATAAGTTCCATACTGAAGCTCTAAGCGAACTGCTCGAGTCGGACCAGAAGTTTGGTTTCATCATCATGGATGGTAACGGAGCGCTGTTCGGCACACTGTCGGGGAATACTCGGGATGTCGTGCACAAGTAAGCGGGATTGGAGATGATACGGTTTCGAAGTCGGCATGCTGACCGATCGTGCAGGTTCTCCGTCGATCTTCCCAAGAAGCACGGTCGTGGTGGGCAGTCTGCGCTGCGTTTCGCCCGTCTTCGTGAGGAGAAGCGTCACAACTATGTCCGTAAAGTCTCCGAACTTGCGGTGCAGAACTTCATTACCAACGACAAGGTTAACGTAGCTGGCCTGATTCTCGCTGGTTCCGCCGATTTCAAGAATGACCTGAACCAGTCGGATATGTTTGACGGCCGTCTCCAAAGCAAAGTCATCAAGGTTGTCGATGTTTCGTACGGTGGTGAGAATGGCTTCAACCAAGCCATTGAGCTGTCATCCGAAACGTTGAGCAACGTCAAGTTCATTCAGGAGAAGAAGGTACTACAATTCATGTTCTTAGATTCGTGCCATTCACTAATTTTCTCTAGCTCATCAACAAGTACTTTGATGAGATCTCTCAAGACTCCGGCAAGGTTTGCTACGGTGTAGACGATACCTTGAAAGCTCTCGAAGCTGGTGCCGCTGAAACCCTGATCGTCTTTGAGAATCTCGAGATCACTCGCTGGACCTTGAAGTCATCAGAAGGCAGCGAAGTCATCCTCCACACCAACAAGTTGCAGGAGTCCGATCGATCTCTGTTCATGGACAAGGAAACCGGCCAGGAAATGGAAGTCGCGGAACAGATGCCGTTCTTGGAATGGCTGGCAGAAAAATATCAGGACTTCGGTGCCACACTCGAGTTTGTCTCTGACCGTTCCTCCGAGGGCAATCAGTTCGTCAAGGGTTTGTCTGGCCATTTAGAGGTCTCTCTGCGACTCAGCTAACAATACCCCAGGCTTTGGTGGCATTGGAGCTATACTCCGCTACAAACTCAACTTTGAACAGCTCGCTGATTACGATGACGAAGATGAATTCTACGATGATTGACGGTGGAGCGCCCTCGCAAAGAGCGAGGCCGAACGCCCAGAGCTCCCCGCTTCGAGCACTGAGACGGCCCCTCGCTCCCAGCGTCCACAGGACGCACCCAGGTTCGGGGAAGAAGGCCAGTCGTGCTCTTCCCTTCGCCTCTCCAGGTTGTAAAGGGGAAGTCGAGTCGCGGTCGAAGATGATACGCCGTGAGTGCTCTGCCCATCCACTTGGAGAAATACTTCTCACATGGCATCTAGAACGATGGATTGTCTCAGTCGCATTCGCACAGCCCTCTACTCTCGCTACAGTGGAGAGGCAATGGGTTCGAGCCTGATGAAGTCGCTCGACGTCGGACTTAAGGGGATGGACGTCTCAATATTTGAATGCTCTGTTTAGTCAGTTCACTGATGGTACATTTTCGGCCAATCACAGTCGTTTCGGGCTACAATCAGATTGCTATTAGTTTGCTCAATTATTGCTTTCTAAATACCTATCAATCATGCAAACGTGAAATGTTGATTGCTACGTGAAATCCACCAAGGCTGCTTTTTAGTTAGAGTGACTCGGCTCGTTGTGAAACATGTCAGACACAGAAAGCCCACAAAATCTTGAGATTCCATAGTGAAGAATCCACGATGTTGTAACAAACAAAACAAGCGTCTCAACCCGCACCGTGATGACCCCGGACGATCTCGCTAATCGGCGCTAGAATACCTCAGAACACTTGTACATCACTTGGTGTACCAAATTTTGCCCGACCCAAGCAATGGCAATTAATCTAAACTCAACTCCTTGGTTACACAATCTGACACTCTTTAAATCTTACATTGTCACTTGACTTCCTCCATCCCATTTAAAGACAACATCGTGAGGGCAGACATTATGGCGGACAAAATCGAGACCGTAGCTTTCCTAGGTCCGAAAGCCTCATATACGCATCAGGTAGGAGAGCATACTATTCATCACTCTGATTCCTCGAATGATCTTACCTCGTCCTCGTAAAACCCGCATCTCTATCAAACCCCCCGCAAAATTTTGTCATCTCTCACCTTTCACCTCTCCCTCGAATCTCGTCTCTATCAACCAACGTTAATTTTCATCTATACCTCATCTCTCAACCCCATCCCTGTCTACATATTTCATCTTCTTGCATCCCCTCACTATCTCCACCCAATTCCTCACCTTTCCCCCCCCCACTAACCTCCACAGGCCACCCTAACCTCCTTCCCCGCCCTCCCCCCCTCCCACCTCCACCCGCAAACCACCATCGCCGACGTCTTCACCGCCGTGCAATCCCGCACCGCCACCCACGGCGTCGTCCCCTTCGAGAACTCCACCAACGGCTCCGTCGTCTTCACCCTCGACCTCTTCGCCGACCTGCAGCACCAGCACCCAGACATCCTCGTGTGCGGCGAGGTCTACGTCCCCGTCCGCCACTGCCTCGTCGGCCACATCCCCACCCCCCCGCGCACCGCCTCCACCTCCACCTCCACCTCCACTTCCACCGCATCCCAGGGCGACGACTCGGGCGCGCAAACCCCAACCCGCTCCGCCCCCAACCCGCTGAAACCCCGCGCAACCCCGCTGGCGGACTTATCGCGGGTGCAAAAGCTGTACTCGCACCCGCAGGCCTGGGGCCAGTGCAACGCGTTCCTGTCCACGTATCTGAAAGGCGTCGAGCGCCTCGACGTGTCGTCGACGTCGCGCGCGGCCGAGCTCGTCGCCGCCGACGCGTCGGGCGCCTCGGCCGCTGTATCGTCTGAGATCGCGGCCCAGATCCACGGGTTGGATTACCTCGCGCGGGGGATCCAGGATGCGGAGGATAATGAGACGAGGTTCTTCATCTTGCGCAGAGCTGCGGAACGCGATGGTGCGGACGGGGCACAGGGAGGGGATGGCGGCGGGGACGAGGAAACGGAGAAGTGGAAGACGCTGATTGCCTTTACGGTGGACCACGAGGACCCGGGGGCGCTGGCGAAGGCGTTGGAGGTGTTTAAGACGTATGGGTTGAACTTGACGAGTATTAATGCGCGGCCGAGTGGGATTGTGGCGTGGAACTATGTTTTCTTCGTCGAGATTAAGGGGAGGAGGCTGGAGGGGGGAGAAGGGGTGGTGAATCGGGCGCTGAGGGATTTGGGGAGGGCGGCGAGGGGTTGGAGGTGGTTGGGGAGTTGGGAGAGTAAGTTGGAGAGGTGAGGGGGGGTTATTGGGTGCGGTGTATCTGGGATGGATCTTGGGAATTGGATGCGGGGGCATTGGGTTTGAAAAGGATGGGTCATGCGTCCATCATATAAAAGTCTGGGATCAAAAGTATTCAATCTTCAACCTGATTTAGGATTTTCTATCTATCTTACTCCTACAACTTCGCCTTTCCCTCCTCTTTCTCCACCGTCGTCCTCGCAACCCCTTTACACGCAATGCCACCCTCGGGCGTCTCAGCCCAGAGCTCGTACTTATTGTGGTCGAGCGATCGACCACATAACCTAAGCGGCTCGTTCGCGTACAAAGGCGCTAGATTCCGGTATTCAAAGGAGTCAATGGATGGATACACCTGGAAAGGGTCAACCCTCAGATGGTTTCCGAGCAGCTCCATGAGTAGGGTGAGGGTTAGAGGTCCGTGGACCAGGAGGTTGCGGTGGCCTTCTATGTCCCGGCAGTAAGAAGGGTCTAGGTGGATGGCATGCGCGTTGAAGGTCAGGGCGCTGAAGCGAAAGAGGAGGGAGGGGGTGGGTGTTAGGACGTGTTCGAAGTCAGGCTTGTGCTGGGCTAGACATAATATCAGCATCCAAGGTCCATGAATCACAGCATTCTGCGGAAAAAATAAAGAGAATTTGAACTCACGCAACAGCATCTTCCCCGGCTTCCCCGCCGCCTCCTTCAACACCCTCAACTCCTCCAACCCCCTCTCCCTCATAAACACAATATTCCGCCTCTCAATAATACTCGCACTTCCAAACTCCTCCTCACTCGCATGCCACAGCTTTGCCCTCACCACGTCCTCATCGACCTCAACTTGCTGCTCCACCCCGAGCTCATTCAAACTCGCCATCCGCCGCTCAATCCCCACAAACACCTTCTCCGCCCCCTCCATTCCTTTCACCTGCACGTCCCGCACAAACTCATGACACACCCACCGCCGCCCGTCCAGCACCGCCGTCCCCCCCGGCCGGAACCGCAAACTGCCCCCCGCCCACATGCGCCGCACGAACGGCTCGCCGGGGCTCTGCAGCGGGTCCGTGCCGTCCGGCAGCAGCTCGTCGGCCGGGATCGCGGGGTTGAAGTAGACGAGGTGGTGCGCGGCGGCTAGGTGCGGCGTGAGCGCTTTCGCATAGACGGAGGCGTTGAATTGGTCTGCGGCGGGGATGGAGGAGGCGTCGTAGGCGAGAAAGGATTGGAGGGAGCGGCGCAGCTTGTGGTCGGCGTCGGTGGTTAGGAAGTCGTAGATGAGGGGGAGGCGGCGGGTGGTCATTTCGTCGCGGAGGTGCTGGGGGAGGGTGGAGGCGTGGCGGGGGAAGGGGGGAGCGCGGATGAAGTGGGACATTGTTGGGGGTTTTTGACGGGCCAATTGCTGGAGTAGACGATGGGGGGCGTGTTTAGAGAGCATAGTGCGCACCCCTCGGCCTGCGAGGATGGTGGAGGAAAGTTAGGGGAGGAGGGGCGTGGTGGTGAGAATTAAAAGTCGTGTCATCGCATGCCGAGGTCGGTGGGATGGTCGGAGCTTATGTAGCTAGCTTTCCCTAGGGTTGTAGAGTCGCTGAAGTAGATCTTTCTAATATGTAGTAATTATATGGTAGTCATAATGGTGATAAGATGGGTTTTTCTTCCCGCTGCCTGTTGGTAAACCTTGGGAACTTCCAAAGGCCGCAGTTAGCAAGTCTTGGCAGACAAGACCCTGGAGCTCAAAAAGTGTTGAAGGCCTAACGGCAAAAACGGCGATTTGAAGATCTTCCAGATTTCGACCACCTTTTCGCTGATAACTCAACAACCACACATCCTAGAAAGGATTTGACAGTACGACTGCATTCTTCTCACCAAGGCGCATAATATGTGAGAGTTTGGGAATTTTATTCGTACAAATCGTTGACTTGGAGGGGGGTCGGCGACCGGGACACGGAAAATCCCATACAAAAAGAGTCTTGACCTCAACGAACACGGGCTTTTACGGGCATCTATACCAAGGCTAACTCTATGAGAAGCTATCAGGTCATTCCTAGCCTCAAACGCCCTTCTAATTGATACATAATCGCTGAAGCTCTATCACCAAATTCTCTACCTACCGACTCCAGCATATTCCTAATTTCGCCCGAGCTCGCACCTCCGAGACTCTCCGCAACACAATCCACAACACCATGAACGCGGTCCCACGGCGTATATCGCCGCTCCTCCACCCAAAGAATTTCAATCGGACACACATAAGCACTCAAATCTCGAGAGGCTTCAAGATTTCCGCCTCTCGGCGCGCCCTCGATCTCGCGTTCGATTACCACGAGAATGGCGGGAAAGCCACCGGCGCACCTATCGTGTTTCTGCATGGGTTATTTGGGAGCAAGAAGAACAATCGGAGTATGAGCAAGTGCGTTTCGGTCTTCTTGAGCTGCAATAGAACTTCTATAGAGCTTTCGACTGACATTTGGTGGTTAGGGCTCTATCAAGAGACCTCGACAGACCCGTCTACGCGCTTGACTTGCGGAATCATGGCGATAGCCCTCACGACAAGAACCACAAATACACAGCCCTAGCAGACGATACGGAGCAGTTCCTGCAACAGCATAACTTGAAGGATGCCACGCTGATTGGACATTCAATGGGCGCCAAAACAGCCATGACAGTCGCGCTGCGGAATCCGGATAGCTGCGCGAATATCATCGCAGTGGACAATGCGCCGGTAGATGCGGCGCTCGCGAGTGATTTCCCGAAATATGTCATGGGAATGCAGAAGGTTGAGGAGGCAAAGGTCAAGACGGCGAAAGAGGCGGACAAGATTTTGGAGGCGTATGCGAAGGACCTTCCCGTCCGCCAGTTCCTCCTCCTCAACCTCATCAAGTCGCCCGATCCTTCCGTAGACCATCTCGTCTTCCGAATACCGGTTCGCATCCTGGGGCATTCGCTGGATGATATGGCCGACTTCCCTTTTACAGATCCGGACAAGCATCAGTTTACAAAGCCGGCGCTGTTTGTGAGAGGCACGAAGAGTCATTACGTGAGTGACGAGACACTCCCGATCATTGGGCGGTTCTTCCCGCGGTTTCAGCTTGTGGATGTGGAGTCTGGACATTGGGTCATTAGTGAGAATCCGGAGGCTTTCAGACGAGGTACGTGAAGCTGCTGCAGTCCAAAATGTTCAAGGGTGGGCTATGGATGCTGATTGAATATAGCTGTGGTCGAATTCTTGCAGGAGCAGGACTGATTGTGTACACCACAACTGTCAGTACATGTATACTTTAAGAAGCCGTCAGAAGACGGCGGTTTGTACACACACGAGCGGTAAACTACTCATCATAGCCTTGAATCTATATTGTCCGGCCTCAGCATCCAGAGCGGCCACGTTGCTATCCAAATCGCTCACGACTGTTCGAAGACAAGCCTCGCTCACGGCGTTACACATCTTGCACCCTGCCTCATTGATCAATCTAGATGCAATGGTATCAGCCTGAGCGACTTCCAGTATCACAATTGGCTCTACCCCCATCAGCCGATCGTATTCTCCCACTCTTTGACATATCATGGATCGAGTAGTTCCTCCCACCCCTGTTCTCCGATGATCGGGCCGCACGGGTAGGGCGGAAAAGCCTTGTGCGGCCAAGGCCGGCCCTGCAACGACATCTCCTCGGACACTGCCGCCCCTCGCAGCAATCCGGCGCGACAGCTCTGTATCGACAAGCTCGCAAGAGGCTTACCCCCTAAGCATTATCAGGCAGCTAAGGACCAGACGGCAGCCAATTAGCGGCACGGCGGCATGCAACAGATAACAGCGCCGGCGGGGGCTTCCCTAACAGCTTAGCTCCTCGTCTGCCCCACCTCCGCCAATGGTTCGTTCGACACGAGCTTTCTCGTCGACGGTACGGGACCAGACATAGATAAACCTCACGCATCCCCGCACCGCACGCCCTTCCTAGTCTTCTGCTCTCTGCTGCTGCTTCAGAGACTATTCACATTCTATCAGAAGGTCTAGTTGTTCGGCTGGACGTCAATTGAGAAGCTTCATCATGCATCTCTCCATAGTGTTCCCCACTCTCGCGCTTCTCTCCTCCGCAGAAGCTGCAGAGACGCTCCTTGGAGCTTATATCTTCCACCGTCATGGTGACCGCACCCCAAAGGCTCTCGCTCCGGCGAACCTGACCTCCCTTGGATACGATCAAGTCTACACATCCGGCCAATACTTCCGCTCACGCTTCCTATCCAACTCGTCTTCTAAGATCTACAAGCTGAACTCGGATGTGGTCAAGCTCTCCCAAATCTCCGTCACGGCGCCAGTCGACAATGTGCTTCAGAACTCCGCTATGGGGTTCCTACAGGGGCTGTATCCTCCAGTTGGAGAGGAACTCAACGTGCAAACGCTGTCGAATGGCAGCAAAGTGCAGACCCCGATGAATGGATATCAATTGATCCCCGTCAACGCGGTTGCGCAGGGCTCGGGCAGTGAGGACAGCGGCTGGCTCCAAGACGCGTCGGGATGCGAGAATGCGGAGTTGAGCTCGAACAACTACTTCTCCAGCTCCGATTACACCAAGCTGTTGAACAGCACGAAAGGGTTCTACGAAGAGTTGGTCCCGGTTGTCAATGCCACATTCGACCCCAGCTATGTGACTTTCAAGAACGCATATATCGGTAAGCCTTAAAGAAGCTGCATTTCCACTCTTTCTCGCGACTATTTCATGGAATTAGGTCAGTCAATGCTAACATTTCCCAGTCTACGACCTCATAAACGTCGCCACAATCCACAACACCTCTATCCCGTCCAACGCAACCCTTACGCCCGGGAACCTCCTCCAAACCCGCACCCTCGCCGACGCCCATGAATGGGGCCTGGCCTACAACGTCTCCGACGACATGCGCGCAATGGCTGGCATGCAGCTCGCCGGTGAAATCCTAAAGTATATGAACAGCACCATCACCTCTGGCTCTGCGGGTCTCTCATCCAACAAACTCGGCATCCAGTTCGGTGCTTACGCGTCGTTTTTCTCCTTCTTCGGCCTCGCTAGCCTACCAGCCGCCAACCCAGATTTCATGGGCATACCAGACTACGCGTCCTCCATGGTCTTCGAGCTCTTCACTGACGCTGCGGTTCCATCGGACGGGTTTCCTGCCACAAGCGACTTGCAGGTCCGCTTCTCGTTCCACAACGGCACGGCGTCCAACTTTAGCGAGCCTGTCGCGTACCCGCTTTTCGGTGGGAAGGATCTAGCCATCTCGTGGAACAGTTTCGCGGACTCGCTCTCCAAGTTCGCGGTCACCACGACGCAGGATTGGTGCACGAAGTGCGGTAACACTACGGGAACGTGCGCTCCTTATGCTTCTTCGACCCCTGCTCCTAGCTCGACCGCAAAGAGCAGCGGTGGCCATAGTGGCATCTCCGCTGCTGTGGGTGGTGTGATTGGCGCTTTTGTTACGCTGGCCGTCATTCTGGGCACGCTGGCTGCGGCTATGCTGATCGGCGGCCTACGGGTGGTTAGCAAGAAGAGACTCGCTGGGGGAAGCCCAGCCGTGGAGGGCGTTGCCACAGGTAAGGCATGAGGAGGGAGAACATATCGTTTTGCCCAGAGCCTGGCAGATGAGCTGCGCTGCTGTGCGGGTTGTTCACCTTGTTAGGACACCCCTGGACGCTGTGAGTACATGTCTTGTCACGTCGTAATGAGTCAATATCATCAATGTCACGATATTTGTAATGTCAAAGATCTACGAGCTACGTGAGCAGTTTTATGTAGGTAGTGAGAAGTCATTTTCAGATTCAATTGCGTTTCCATGAAACAAGAGCCGTGCTGGGATCTTGAGTGAAGGAGGCGCGGAGGCATCGGTCCCTTTTCAGAAAGGGAGGCATGCTAGCAGATGCCCTGCTGATGGAGAGCGATACCGCGGGTAGGGGCATCTGGACGGGGGTTCTACCGATTATACGTGGAACAGCAATGTGGGTTCGCCGGCTGGGAGGATGAGACGGCGGAAGCTGTGAGTTTCGTCTCTTAGCAAGTTGTTCTGTGTTAATGTCAGCATCATCAATATCAAATTGTCGCCATGTCACGGTTGCAACAAGCACACGAGCAGCAGTAGGTAGTGCACACGAGCAGCAGTAGGTAGTGCACACGAGCATCAGGAGGTAATGCACATGATCAGCAGTAGGTAGTGAGAACAAGCATCATCATATTCGATCATAATAATACTACAAGATCTTTCCTTCCGTCAGTCGAGCTCGTTCACATGAGGAGGCTTCAGTCTTCAGCACAAGGCCAGAAAAACCAATGCCCCCTCTTTCTAATGGAACCAACCCGCCCTGCCGGTGCTGTCCCATGGTCGCTCGATGTCGGTCGGTGTGGGCGCTCGATGTCGGTCGGTGTGGTCGGTCGGTGTCGGTGCGGTCGCTCGACGTCGGTGTAAGTCGTCCTACGGTCTCGGTACCGCCTGCGTCGAGAAACCCCCATTCCACCCCCAATTCGACCGCCTCTCCCAGCCACGTTGACCAGCAGGTGGGAACAACGCGTTGACCGCCGGCTAAGGAGCCTTCCACGGAAACTCCCCAGGCCCCCAAGAGGCCATTTTTTGTCGACGGGACTCGACCAGTTTTCCTCGCACACGTCGACCAGCAAGTGGGACGAAAAGCGTGTTTAGGCCGCCAGGTAAGGACCTGCGCTACGGCCGCTCCCTGGGCGCCCGTCCTGGCCCCTTCGAATCGTCCGGTTCCTCGCCACGGTCGCCCAGCAAGTGTGACGCCCGTGTTGGCCGCCAGGTGAGGACCTGTCCCGGCACTCCCCTGGCCAAGAAGCCATGTTCAGAGAAGAGATGGACAAGAAGATGGAAAGTGAGACAAGAAAAGGTGAGAGAACAGCAAGGAGCCAGAGAAGGTTGTGAAGAGAAGGTGAGGAGGAACAAGGTTTGTTGGACGGGGGGGAGGCGGCTTCTTATTGGGACGGTGGGCAAAACGGCGGACTAGCGCCTTGGCGGCAGGACGGCAGCAGAAAAGGAGGCTGGAGGGCGGTGACACTTCACCTGGATTTCAGGCAGCAAGCTGTGGGGCCTTAGCAGAACTTGCTAGAAGGTCGATACCCACGTGCTCGCTATAGCTAGATGGTATGCGCCCAGAAATGTGGTAAAACTCGAGGTATATAAGAGTGCGGATGGACATAAGTCTATTCTAGGTGCATCAGTTTGCTGCTGCTCGGGATTCCCTAACAGGTATATAAGACTCTAGGCCCGATGTAAAGAGTAAGAAAGAACAAATTAGGCTGCCTTTTAGCTACTTAGCTCCTGGCTAGCTGGGCTATTCCTGACAGTGGTATCGAGCGAGCGCAAGTGGAGCCTGAGCTGTGGTATATCTATGTAGTATATTTCTAGAACTCCGAACACAGGGTAAAGGCTGAAACACTAGGAATTAGACTACCTTTTAACTAAGCGGTCGCATGCTAGCTGGGCTTCTCCTAACACCGGTTTTAAGCGATCAACAGTAGAGCTTAAGTAGTGAGGTATGAGTATGTTCATCACAAAAGAAGAAGCACATACGACCCAAGTGATTAAGAGAGAAAAGAGAACTTGATCTTGCATTTAGAATAGAGAGAGCATGATGCAGACTATATAAAGGAGGAAAGCTACCCAATCCCAGCCCAAAACCCCCCTATCCCCCAGCATCACCCCAGCCTTCCACCCCCTACTCATGCCCAAGCCCAAGCTCCCCATGCACCAGAGAGCAATCGTCCTTCTTGCACACCCCATTCCCGCCATGCCTCGCACTGTGGAACCGCGGGCACCTCCGGTACGCACAGGTCCCGAAACAGCACACACTCTGAACACGGATACGCCTCATTGCAAGCCAGCTTCTTCTTGTTGCAGTGCTGGCAGACCGGACGACGAGGGGGAGCTACGCGCGCCTGCAGCTGCGAGAGATTGCGCTGCTGAGCCTGAGCGAAGCTGACGCTCATCTGCTTCTCGCAGTCCTTGAGGGCCGCATTGTCCTGCAGGATCTCGCTCACTATGCGACGTTTGGCGGGGGATTCGGCTTCGCCGCTCTCCAGAGCTTGCCAGAAGAATGCGATGTGGTAGGGGCCGAGGACGTAGTGAGGGCTGCCGCAGTTGGCGCAGTGCCGAGTCTCTAGAAGTTCGGGATGGAGGAGCGCTCGGCGGAGGGGGAAGTCGGGGTCGAGAGGGGATGGAGGGAAGATTGAGGTTGTCCATTGTGGTGAAGTGAGATTGAGTTTGAGATTGAGGCTTGAGATGTGAAATTGGCTTTGAGGTTTGCGGTTCGCTGTGAATGATAATGTTGGCCGAACAGCTGAATTAGATGGGGCTCACTCTTATATAGGTAGACTGGAGTTGGATAAAGTGAAGATAAGATAGAGGTGAAGTGAAAGGTGAAGATGAAGAGTGAAGTGTGAAAGGTGGATATGAGTGGTGAAATGGTCGTTATCCTAAGCATGTGGACGCCTTGTCTTTAGACGTAGAAAGGGTGCTACTAACTAAGGCTTTGGCTGGTGGTGACTGACACGTTTTAACTTTTTTCATTAAGGATACCACCTTGTGCGGGTGCTTGAAGAAGAAATAAGATTTATTTATGTAGTGGATGGGTACATAGGTTTTATAAGTTTACAGTCGACTACCTCTCGCCGCTGTCTGTACCAATCTAGCATATTATCAGCAATTCGGGAGACATATAGAAAGACAGCAGTGAATAGGTATACCCAAACTTATTTCCTACTACTGTATCTTCTTTTTCCCAATTTGCATAGTTAACCTCCACATCTTCCGGGCAACCTATTTTATGACCTTAATCTCCCTCTTCCGTATTCTCACCCTAATATCCCCCCTCGGCACCGCCATCACACTCCCTGCCTTCTCCCCTGGCATCTTCCACTTCTTTTCCTTCCCGCCTTTTGGCTCTAATACCCAGAGCTGTATGAAGCCCGCTACGAACGCCGCAACTAGCTCAACAGCCCACTGCATAACCTCCTCATCCACAACCAGATTACCGATAGCCTCATCCAGCGTCGTCGAAGAGTTGACGAACCGTTCCGGCTTCCACGTCTTCGGATCAAGATGCAGCCGAGGATCTGTATTCCTCAGCCAAGCGCTCGCCCCGATATCGACGATATCGCCCGCTTTGAGGAGCCAGGTCGTAGGAGCGCCGCCGGCTACAACATCTTCCGCGGCTTCGGAGATGGAAAGGTTTTTGGTGACGAGCTTTGAGGAGGATGGCGTGGCGTAGAGACGGAGTGTTTCGAGGACGCAGGATGTGAGGAGCGGACACTTCGAGGCCAGCGTCGTGGAGAACGTAAGGTTTGTCGGACTCGGGAAGGAGGGGTGTATTGGTGGCGGTTGCGTCGCTTTCGCGTAGTCTTTCGTTTCGGCGAGAAGCTCGGGGAGGAGGGTCGTAGAGTCATGGGCGTGGATTCGGAGGAGAGTCCAGAAAGCGAGGGGGACGGTGGAGGAGACGAGCTGGTTCAGGAAGCCGAGGGTTGCGGAGGCGCGAGCGGGATGAGGGAAGTTGTGGGTTGACATGATGGCATCGAGTTGGGAGAGAGGGGTTGGAGCTTCGGCGTCGGCGTCTGTGGAAGCAGAGGCGGACGAGAAGGATTCGTGGTGGATGGTGAGGGCTTGGAGGAGGCGGTTACGGGAGAGGTAGGCTGGTGTCAAACCACGCAAAGGGAAGAAACGGGGTAGACCGGTGGCAAGGGCGTAGAAGTAGGTTGAAAATGTGGACAGATCGATGAAGAGAAGTTGATTGCTTTCTGGGAGAGTGGAGCCTGTGATGGGGTTCAAAGCCACTGGGGAGAGGAACTCGTTTATCAGGGATCTGTACACGTCAGAGTCCGAATGGAAAATATCGTCTGCCGTTGCGAATGAGAATAGCTTACAAAAGGTTAGTCTCGATTGTGTCCTCCACGTCCTCTAATATGTCCAAGTCGCTCACGCGCTCCCAGGGCATCTGGTCAACTATGCTAGAGTTGAACGTGGTGAGATCCGGAAGAGTGTACTGTAACGAGCCCATAGATTCCTTCGTGAGCTCTTGCCTCTTGTTCTGATCCACTAACTCCGCCTTGAAAGCGTTAGTCAGGACAGATCGAGCTTTGAGATACTCCGCCTTGGCCGACAGTGGCATCGCCAGTGCATTTTGCGGAATAGTCCATGCATCAGTCTCGGCTTCTGAAATAGATGCGGGCTGTGAGAGTACGGCTTTGGACAAAGACGGCGAAAGTAAGACATGATGAACTGTCCCGGCAAGATTGTAAGAGAAAATTCCATCAATGGTAGAATCTCTGTATCACGTCAGCTCATTCGTTCCCAATATGAAGCACGAACGTCAATTACCTCGCGCTCTGAAGAAATCCTTTGTCAGATAGTACATATGGCTCCAGGCTCTTCGTCCATGGCATCCAGTACGGAACTACTGGTACCCGCCGCACCCTCCCATTAGATTTTGGCGCTCTACCGCTAAGGATCCGCGTCAAGAGACCAACAACCACAAAGGCAATGACGACCTGAGGAAGGAACTCCAACGACCTCCAAGCTTCTGGAATGAATGAAAGCGGAGATATTTCGAGGTTAAGAAATCGCACTAGGAGAAGGATGAAGGGGGAGACGAGAAGAAGCCAGCATGCTGGAATGAAGCCTTGCTTTATGACCGCGTTGGACGCATTTACGCCATTAAAGACGCTGCGTGCAGAAACCATGATGGAGGTGGGAGATAGACACAGCTGGAAAGGCTAAGTCATAGGCGTCTTCGCCGGCTTATGTTGAACGAGCGGACTCAGATGAGAGGTGAGGTCTTGGAGAAGAAATCTGGCTTGCTCGACTCTGATCCCCTATCCCATCAAGCTCGAATCTTGGCTATAGTCGCGCAAATGTCGATAATTTCGTGCTGCGTCAGCAGGATCAGAGTTGACTTTTAAGAGACGGTGTGACAGGGCTGAGGAGACGCAGCCACAGTAGCATCCGAGAATAGCGCTAGAAACCCCAGAAAAGGCACACTCATAGATAGGGTTCTCGGTATTTGACTAGCTCCATAGGTCCCCTATATGTAGAGCACTCGAGAGGATGGAAAAGCATGTGAATGGAATTAAGGGACATAAGCTCAGCCACAGCTGAAGTCTCCCATGCGCGCCAAGAGCCTCTCGTCCGTCTTCGGAGGGCGGGACGATTGCTGCAATAAGTCTATCTTATGCATGTACCACTCCACACGAATTCAAGCCCAGTCATTACACCCGCTGCTTACCATACACGCGGAATAAACAGTCGACTCGAAGAAGATTTACAAATCCGCTTCTGGAGATATAATAGCCTGTTGGCACATTAGAGCAAAGAATCCTCAACCCCACCATCATCCTTTTGAGCTCTTCCGGAACAACAAAATTTCTCCAGCATTAGAAACAGTCAACATGGCGCCGACAACAATTCCCAAGCACCTCAACTTCATCACCGGCAATGCCAATAAGCTCGCTGAAGTGAGTGCCATTCTCGGCGATTCGATCGAGCTGCGGAATCAAAATCTGGATTTGGTGGAGATTCAAGGAACTGTGGAGGAGGTCACGATCGATAAATGCAAAAGAGCTGCTCTTTTGGTATGTCAACAACGCATACAGTTATCAATTTTGGTCAAGCTGAGATGAGTCATGTGACCTTCTTCTATTTTGATGCAGTTGCCTGTCTAGGATCGAAGGCTAACGAGCTACGCAGATCCAAGGCCCTGTCCTCGTCGAAGACACATCCCTCTGCTTCAAGGCCATGAACGACCTGCCGGGCCCGTACATGTACGACTTCCCAATGTCTCAGCCAGAACTCGATTCCACGCTACTTCTCCAAGACCAGGCTAACAGCACGCAGCAAATGGTTCATGCTGGCCCTCGGACCTCAGAATTTACATAAAATGCTCGACGGCTTCGACGACAAATCGACCCAGGCAGTTTGCACCTTTGCCTACTGCGAAGGCCCTGGCGAGGAGCCAATCGTGTTCCAAGGTAGGACAGACGGCAAACTGGTAGCGACAAGAGGTCCCACGGTATTTGGTGAGTTCAGTCGCTTCCATGCAACTCCCTTCGAGATGCTGATATTCGCAAAGGCTGGGACTCATGCTTCGAGTACGAAGGCAAGACGTACGCGGAGATGGACAAGGCGGAGAAGAACAAGATCTCGCACCGAGGCAAGGCGCTCGACAAGCTGAAGGACTGGCTAGCAGGCCATGTCGCAGCTTCGTAACCTGTTTCCTTTCCATGATATCCCACCTTCCCGTAGACCCAGAAAGAACAAATCTTCAGTCTAAAGACCTTCCCATTGTCTTGACGCATCCCGCTCTATTTCTTTTCCTCATCCTCCCGATCCTTCTTCCACTGCGTAATCCACGCCTCAATCCTCTCCACATTCCCCTCTACCTCCTCCGCAGTATCGCTCCTCAACTCTACCACAATCTCCTTCTCATAGCTCTCCCGCGCTTCCTCAAGTAGTACCTGCATGATCTCCGCATCCATATTCTCCTCCAGCTTCTTGCCCTTGTAGCCCCGCGCCGTCAATCGATCATACAAGATCGTGCTGTCGCAACGCACAACCACTACAAGGTCCACCCATCGCACGGGGAAGAGGTCGCAGGCGTGCCAGTCGAGGATTTGGCCGCCGGGCGCGACGAGGTCTTCGAGGGTGTCGAGGAGCTATATGATCGCAAGACGAGTTAGCGGATGTGACTGGGGAGAGCTTGGAAGGGGTGTAGGGATTTCAGGGAGGCGGACCTTGTCTTCGTCTACAATCCAGGTTTCTAGCTCATCGTCCCATCCTTCGTGGCATTTCTCGGTTTTGACGATGTCGTTGATGCTGAGGTGCTTGAGGCCGGTGTTGCGCGCGAGGAGCTCGGCATGGGTGGTTTTGCCTACGCCAGGCGTGCCGGTGACTACGATGTTGGGGTTTGAGCGCATGGTTGTAAATTCCAGGTCGAAAAGACGAAGGAAGGTAGGATGGAGGAACGGTAAGGTAGTGGAGGGGTGTTGTGGTGACGGCAACAAAATTTAAAAATTATGCAAGGTGGAAGCCGGGGATCAACCGGCGACAGGGGTCTAAAGTATGATGTGGGGAAAGTTAAGTGCCTGAGGCGGAAATCGAGAATCAATATGTTTCTGAAACTCGTTGAGTTATTCCATACACAACCACGAGAACGAGGCATGGCAAGAACTACCCCATTTAAGTCTTTACAGGTACGGTATGTGAGAGTAGACGGTTCTTAGATCTTTCGAGACCGCAGCTTGACACGGAAGTTGAGAAAACAACGTCGTCCATTCTTGTCAAATTATTGTCAAATTTAAGCTACTGGGGATTGAAAACTACCTTATGAGGATTCCTGAACTCTGACATATCCAGCCCAGTCGTAAAGGCTTCAGCGCTTGTGTCAATGCCCGCATGGGGCTTTTGATTGACCTGGTTTTGGAAACTGATGACAATGCCAGCCAAGTACTGGTAAGCACTTCTTAATGCGTCGAATAAGGGCCCTTAAGTCGCCCTCGCGTATGAGTCGGATCATGATATTGCTCAGCAAGCCTGAGATTTTGGTTTCAGATATCATGTATTGCGCGCTTTGAACTGACTCCCACTACATCTTTGAGCGTTCATGATTCAAATTGTCCTCCTTTACTTGGTCATTGAGTCACACGGTTAGTTCGAAACCGTTGCACTGTTCATTGAAAGTCCTGCCCGGAAATGTCATTTTTTCATATCTGAAACTTCTGCGTCTTCAATTGCACTCACGGATAGCTCTTGGGTCCATCAACTGAAGTCACAGGTACACCGTGAGCCTTCATGTGAACTCAGGGGCAACCCTTAGGTCTATCAACTAAAGTCACAGGCGTTTCATGGTCCCGTTGAAGACTCACAGAAAGTAATAACTCACGGCCAAAGCTCCCTCTCCAGAGGTATAAGTATGCCAGTTCGCACACCTCCTCGATACTATCTCTACCACACTATCAACAAGCAACCACAAAGAACTACCAACATTCTTCCGAACCGACTCATCATCTACCTTTCCCATCCAACTCAAAGCACACACTCCTGAACCTCTACAGGTACATGACCCCCAAACCCCCCAGTTCCCCCTCATTCTAACCAACGCCTCAGCAAAACCTTCCCCGCCCATTCCTCCAAAATGGCAAGCTCCTCCGACGCAATGGACATCGACGCCGGCAACGCCGACGCCCACACCACAGCCACCGACAACGTCGAAGGCGGCTCGCCCTACTTCTCCGACGACGGGCAGGGGAACTGGGAGTACATCGGCCCGGAGCCAGCCATGACCAAAGACGACTGCATATACTGGGAATGCTGCAAGTGCAACGACCGGCTGCTGATCCCCAAGGCCTTCACCCCTGCCTTCGACCGCTGCCCCAAGGGCGCACGGTGCAAGGGCGCGGTAGAAAACAAGCGCGAAGTCTTCCTTGTTCTGGACAAGAATGGGAACAGCGAAAAGGTGAAGGTTGCGGGACATCAGAAGTGCAAAGGATCTAGTAGTGGCGGGTGCGCGGACCAGACACACAACGGCCCTTATAGACGCGAAGATTTCGCGTTGACGCGGGAGCAGTATGAGGCGATGGACGAGAAGTTTAAGAAGAAGTATAATTTGATGGAGAACAGGCCTGTGCCGAAGCATCGGAGGCAGCGGAGGAAGCACGGAATTTCTCGATCTTAGTCTTTCTTTTGTGGGATGTTCCTTTCTTGGGTGTTCTTATTTCGTGGTTTTTCTGGATTCTTGGATAGACCGCGTGGCTGGGAGGTGTTCCGCACCTTAGATCTCTTTTGTTAGTTATAGTGCCTGGTTTTCTTTTCCCTTGCAGGCTATGTTTGGATTAACGGAATAGACCATGTATCATATCAACATACTACATATTTCCACATCACACATATCTTCCCAGTGCGTCGCCAAAAGTCTGGGCACACTGATATACACTGCTCCAGCTTCATTCTTGCTCCTCGACACCGCTGTGAGGAGTGCCCCAGGTACCATGTCTTCGATCAGTCAAAAGGGGGTCCAGTTTCAACTGCGTTAACCTTTACATCGTATTTGGAATTTCCAACACCTGTCCGGGCACCCCAAACAGTAGCAAGGAGTGCCCAAACTTATGGCCTTGGTAATGTAGATGTTCGGCAGGGGAATTGCGGTGATTAAGGATGCCACAAGTCTACGCACACTCGCTCACCACTGTTTGAGGTGCTTCGTTGCATTATAAAGACTACATTTAGATGCGAAGAGCTTAAGAGTTTGAATCAGAGAGGCTTTATGCGCTTACACTCGGCCTACTTGGCCACTGTTTGTGGTGCTTCAGCATCCTCATACTTCTGGAGGAGATCAAAAGACGACATGCCTAAACTTGTGACCTAGTACTGTACCACACATTATCATCAACGCTCATTGATTTGTCTATGGGATATTGCTCATCCATAACCCCCATATTCAGCCTTTTCTCTTCCAGATCCACAATAGCAATGGAATAAGGCCACAAAGCGACATAATAACCCCCGCCACCGGCATTATGAACGGACCCGAGATTTCCCCGCTTTGCACAAAAACTGCGCTATTCTGGGCCTCCGGACATTGGCCATTGGTAGCCTGGGCGTAGTGTGAGCTGTCTCCGAACTTTTTGTCTTGTGCTGGACAAAGGGAGAAAGTAAGGTATAGGGGTTGAGGGGCTATTAAAGCTTGGTCGTTAACGCACCTGCAGCGTCGCTGAACTTGTATCCGTAGGATGACGTGAAGTCATCCAGCACGGCGGGACCACGGGATCCTGCTTCGGGTTAGCGTGTGATTTTGACGAGTGTTTGGGATTGGGCTTACCGTAGGGATACTCCATCGGGATGATCTCCTTGTTGTCATCTAGATAGTGCAATAGAGGAGTGAAGATTCTCCAGCTGGCGTCCAGCTCATCGTCACGAACAAAGTTGGAGTGGTCGCCCTTGAGGGCGTCGAGGATCAAAGACTCGTACGCTTCGGGGATCTTGAGATCGGAGAATCTCCGTCGGTAGGTAAGGTCGAGCTCTGTAACAACTGTCTGCATGCTCAGGCCGGGTAGCTTAGAGTTCATCTTGATGTAGACACTCTCGTTCGGCTGGACTCGAATGACGAGCTCGTTTCGGGGGATGTCCTTGAAGATACCAGAAGTGACATCCTTGAATTGGATGCGGACCTCAGTCTTTTGCTCATTAAGAGCTACGAGACGTTAGATATGGTCTTCCGCACAATGGGAAACGGTCCTACCTTTGCCTGCCTTCAGAATGAATGGCACTCCGTCCCACCGCTCGTTCTTGATGTATGCGACCATCGACGCGAATGTAGGGCAACGGGACTCCTTCGGCACGGTATCATCCTCCTTGTACCCTGGCTTGCTTCCATCGAGAGATTTCCCGTATTGACCGATGATGACGTTCTTGGGTTCGATCGAGGGCATCCCGCGCAGAACACGGACCTGGATTGCGGTTAGCTTGCGTGGCCTAAGATTAGGTTTCTTTCCCCACCTTCTCGTCTCGAATATCTTCTGCGGAAAAAGAGATTGGCCGTTCCATTGTGAGCAGTGTGAGCACCTGCAGCAAATCTACACTATGTTAGCTCTAGACATCGAAGATACGCCGAAATACATACGGTTCTGCATGACATCACGGATGATGCCAAACTCGTCGAAGTAGCCGCCACGACCCTCAGTGCCGAAAGGCTCCTTGAAGGAGATCTGTTTACTGATCAGAAAATTCTCTTCTCCGAATGAGCTACTTCCATACCTGAACATTGTCGATGTGGTTGCGGTTCCATGTGGCCCCGAAGAACTCATTACCGAATCTTAGAATGAGAATGTTCTTCACCATCTCCTTGCCCAGGTAATGGTCGATACGGAAAATCTCATCTTCGCTCCAGTCCGGCGCCAGCGCTCGTTGGAGCTCCCGGGAGCTTGGTAGATCGCTACCGAATGGTTTCTCGACCTACGAGAGCACGCGGTTAGCCATAGAGTCACAAAGCATAGTAAAAGCGGGGACGTACAATGATCCTAGCTATGCCGTCGTTTGGATAGCAGTTCCTCTTGAGGTGCTGAGACACGGTGATGAAGACGCTTGGCGGGAGAGCCATGTAGAATACCCGGTTGGTCTCCTTCCGGCCCTTCTCGAGCTCCTCTAGGTGTTTCCGGAGTTGGATAAAGGAGTCATCTTGATCGTACTGTCCAGACACGTAGGTGCACATGCCGCAGAACTCGTCCAACTGCTCCTGCATCTCCTTGGTGGGCGTCTTTATGTAGGACTTGACCCGCTTGAGGTACTCCTCGTGGTCCATTTTCGTCCGGGCATATCCGACGATCTTGACATCTTTTGGGAGGAAGTTGTTTCGGTGCTGCTCGAGTGATTAGGCTTAGAAACGGAGCTGTGATCATAGAGACTTACGAGGCCGAACAAGGCCGGGAACTGGACGGATGTTAGCGGGGCACACAGCGGTGCGGAAATCAACACTCACAGTCTTCTTCTTGGCCAAATCACCCGAAGCTCCCAGGACTACTATGACGGTGTTGTCCTTCAGCTCAATTGTTCTGTAGAAGTCAGCATCGGGTCGTCGTCGTTTCGTGGTTTGAAACCCGTTGGGGAGCAGCCAGGGCTATCCCAACAACACGGAATATGGCAGGGCGAGCCTGGCAGCAGCTGTATACAGAAGTATAGTCCCAATGCGGCCGGAACATCTCTCTCTCGACTCAATGGACAGCACTTACCCGGCATTGGACTCAACCTCAGGCTGAATGACGGTATTGGCCATTGCGCCCGCTCTATGACGAAGCTACCCCGGAACCGGTGGGTTCTGGATAAGAGACTCGAAGCTCGGATTGCGAGGATGGAGGGTTCGGGAGAGAGTGCTGGTGCTGCTGGGGAATGGGGCGGTGGTCTGGTCAGTCTGTTTGGGGGGCGGTTGTTGTGAGGAAAGTGTGGTGGGGTTGGCGGAAGAATCAATTGGGCATATCAAGGCGCGCGCTGGGCTCCTGGTAGGGTTTGGTGACGTACAAGCTAGCAGACGGGCGGTGGTGCGGAAAACAAAGCGTCGCGGGGTGAAGAGCAGCGAGGGCGGCCGGCGGGCGCAACGATATTTATTAACAGCAGCGCAGATGCAGCTGGGCCCGTGTATCACTAAGCCTGGATGGAGTCTTGCAAAGCTCCTAGCACATCCCAAGCAGCCGGAGCCACCCAAGTCACGATCTCGCGCTGAGGAAGCCTTTACTAACGCCGAAACGCCCGACCCCACCACTGCGCCGTCGCACTGCTCGAGAATACCACTCCCAAAATCCCCGGCCTGCTGGCCTCGTCGCCCACTGTGCGCTGGAGGGCGTCTCGACTAGTGGAGACGTAAGAGGAACCTGTCACCGCCGAGCCCGGGGTTTGCATCTCATAGCTGTCAGACCTCGATTCTACGAGGTGTGCGCTACTGCAACCCTCCCACCAGGTCAGCGAGGCCGCCAGCTCCCACCGCCGATGAATGCCCCGATGCGCGGAACTGTAGGGAGTGCGAGAGAAACCATTGATACCTCCGATTAGCAAGCATGGGGAGCCGTGCCTATGCGGCCTACGATGCTCTAATCATCCGTGCCGAAGAAGAAAGGGAGGTACATTTCCGGATGCCGTGCTTTGAAAAGTCCACCATCGTGGCTTTGGTCATTAGGACAGTCAGAAATCTGGGGATTTACGAGCCTAGAAAGCTCCTATTCGTGGTTCCCCGCGTTTACCAGGGCCTAGAGTGAATGCCTATCAAACTTCCGGCGATCCTCAGGGACCCGGCGTGAATTGTCGTGGGCCGTGACAGGCTCTTCCCGTGGAAGCTGGTGTTTGGCCATGAAGCAGACGGGATCCAATCAACGAGTAGAGGCAATTGACTTGGCTCCTATCTGGGAGGCTGAGAATAGCTGGGAGCTGAAGTTGAATTCTAGAAGAGCCAGCTTTACACAAGTCTTGAACTACCCTTAAGACTACAGCTAAGCGACATGAGGTATACTCAAGGGCTGAAGATGCACCGAAAGGTCTGCCATTGACTGGGTGCCGAATAATGCCGTAGCATCCGCGGTGAGATTCACACTAAGATGGAGATTGGACATTGTGGTAGTGGAGGCATGTTGGGTGAGCGTCGTTTCAAGTAATTATGAGGTGGTGATGATGTAAAATGCAATCGAATTGAATTGTATGAGGGGCTGATGAGGATTTGAGGCGAAAGGCCTGTAGATGGCCCAGTGGACGGCACGAGGGACGTGGCTTGGCACGCTAGCCCAGTCAAGTGTTTTACGCGACCCTTCGATTCCACACTCCAATTTCAACGCCAACGGCGAACCCACCTCCATTCCAGCAACCACCAAGACGACAACCCACGATCCCTTTAAATCGTCACAATGCCGGAGGCAGGTCACAGACTGTGAGTGCTCCCCCTTCCAGCCCAGAAACGGCCGCCTGCAGATATTCTGTGTTTCGCCATGTCCTCGCAGCATCCCCATTGAACCTTTCGCTGACGTATTCTCTCATCTAGTTACGTGAAGGGGTGAGTTCCATCTTCCAGTATCCCCTCAAAAAGAATTCCTTCGATTTCCCTGGCGACCGGCGACTCAATCCCCGATTTCTTGTGGTGGAGCATACAATTTGGCCGGAGCGCACACACGGCTACAACATCATGTTGGAAGGGCACCATGGAGACGACCGAGACAACTGCGACCGCGCAATTTGAACAGACAGGCAGTATCCAGAGCGAAGCTGACACTGGCATAGCAAGCACCTCAGCTACGCCCGAGGAAAGAGGAACACCAGCCCCGGCACTTCGTTGCTGAAGCTCGAGGGTGTGGACGACACAAACGCTGCCCGCTTCTACTGTAAGAGATGACTCACGTCCAAGGACTCCTCTGAATTGAACGCTGACTCTTCGAAGGCGGCAAGCGCGTCGCATACGTCTACCGCGCACAGAGGGAAAAGCAAGGCACCAAGATAAGGGTCATCTGGTACGCCACGCCCCAATCCTGCGAGCCTCCAGCACACGCAGCATACAATCGCACAATCCCCTCCGCCACACAGATATTTTGTAAATTCCGCGCACAGGCTAACACTTCCGCAGGGGCAAGGTCCAGCGTCCTCATGGCAACTCCGGTGTGGTCCGCGCGAAGTTCAGGTCCAACCTCCCCCCGAAGAGCTTTGGTGCGTCTGTGAGAGTCATGTTGTATCCGTCTTCGATATAGGCAATTCTCTTCAGTCGATGATGGCGATGGCGGTCAGATGATTGGGGATGGAGGAGGGCGAGAGGTCGATGTGGTTCCCTCGAAAAGCTCAACCAGCTGGGAAGTGGAAGTTTGGTGGCTACGATATCTTGCGTGCTCTGGTCTCTCGTCCACAAAAACGGCATGCTCTCTCGGAAATGGAGTCGATTCTTTCCCACACAAACAAGAAACTTAATGGACTTGTTCCTCTCAACTCCCAAGTCTTTCTGATCTGTGACTTAGTATTTCCTTTGTCAACATTATTGGAAATGCATACGCTTGGATGGTGCGCAGGGATTCAAGATATAGGGAGCCTTCACAGAAATGGCAGCGAGGGAGATATGTTGCGGGCCCTGCTTTCAATTGTGCTTTGCACCGGTACCTTGTGTTTTACACCTCTTATTATTTCAGAGCTCTCACGCTCATATCGACTTTGGTACCTGCAAGGCTGAAGCTCGCCATCCAATCGACCATCGAGTCACCTTGCAGGCATGCTTGGAAATTTCAGGCTATCACCAAGCACAGAAAAATGCACAGGTCGACGAATGTACTCTTCCTGACAATCTAATTCTCGCCTCATTGGTCCCATTCCCTAATACTCACATCTTTCGTTCTTACAATGCCTGGTCATAGATATCCATAAAACCCTTCACCACTGCGTGAGGAGCCTCAGGGTACTTTCAGCATTCCGAATGAGAGAGGAGTTCGGCATTTGGACAACCAGTAAACTCGAGAGGCTACCCTGGGCGGAGTCAGCAGGGTGAACGCAGATTGGAAGTAAATCTACTACCCCCGGTTTCTATTACTACGTTACACCCCCACTGACAGTGGCAGCAAAGTGTACGAATACATATAACAAGGCGCTGTACGTCGCAAACCGTTCTCCTCCGCCCTCAATGCGACCCAGCGACCTCCCCCCTCTCCCCCATCCCCACCGCCACAGCCGTCCACTCATCCAAATCCTCCACCGGCAACCCCAGGACCTCATTATCCAGCCCCCTCCTACTCTCGTAATCCCCATCGCCCTTCCCATTCGGCACAAACATCCGACTATACAACATCTTCGTAAACGCCGCCCGATCCCCCGCCTCCAGCGCCGCCCTCCCCTCCCTCCACCTCTTCTCAGCCGACTCATAGCTCACCTTCCACTCCTTCTCCGCCGTCCCCGTAACCCTCATCACACTCTCCCACATCTCCCGCTGCGTCACTCGGAAACTACTCACATACACCCCCCTCCCCTCCCCACAGAACCGGCCCACCGTCGCCCCCTCATCCATCTCATCCTCCGGATACTCCTTCAACCCCAACACCGCCGCGACCGCCCTGCCGCACTGCGCCCACGTACTCGTGTTAATCCGCACCTCGCCCTGGTCAAACAGCACCAAGCTCCGCTCCTTGAAATCAAACCCAAACCTGTCCGCCCCGCCGCCGAGGCTGAACTCGTACCAGAAGTTGCACGCGAGCAGGATGTACCGACTAACCCCCAGCTCGGTGACCAACGCGCAGATCTCGTCGCGGCGCGCCGCGAGCAGGCTGTCCGCACACAGCGCGTCGTTCACCGGGTCGTGCCCGAACCAGCTCGGCAGGATGTACGAGACCCCGGCCGCGGCCGCGGCGCGGACGAGGCGCGGGAGGGTGTCGCGGGGCGCGGCGACGGAGAGGGCGATGATGAGGGCTTGCTGGCCGCGGAGGGCGGCGACGAGAGCCGGGTCCGAGGAGGGCGAGGTGTAGTCGACGCGGGCGACGTGGAGGCCGGCGGGGAGGGGGCGCGTGCTGGTGGGCCGCGTGATGGCGGTGAGGGTGTGCTTGCCGGTGGCGAGGAGGGCGGCGGTGAGGTGGGTGCCTATTTGGCCGGTGGCCTGCGAGGGGGGGTTAGAGATGGGTGGGGGATAGGGGAGGGGGGGCGGACGCCGATGATGGCTATTTTTGAGATGTGGTTGGTGAAGCCGGCGGCCTGGTCTTTGGCGTCTCTTATGGGCATGTTGGGTTAGTGGTGGAGGAGGGTAGGAGGTGGGAGATAGTTGTGGAAATGGATGCAGGTCTCAATGTCTGACCTGGGTGGTATATAGGGTTGTATTGATATATAGACAATGCTCGTACATCACGGCTAGTGATTGGATCAACTCTATGCCTATGCCAGCATCTCATTAGCTAAGTAGATAGCGTTTGGCGATGGATATAACGGTCTTACATATGGAAGTGGTGGTTTCAGCCCGGACTTATCGGATTTACTGACCCGGACTAACTTGAACGAGGAGCAGCTCGTGGTGTATCATGCAATAAAGAACATGGACGAATAAGAGGCTAGTATGTACGACGTACAGGAGAATTGGTCGTATTTTCGTGCGTTGTACATCCATAGAGAAATGAAGAGAAGAGCGCGTAAGCTCAGACCTCCAGGGAATTACCTTGACCAATAATGTTTTTGACGATGCGATCATGAACATTTAGAGACGTAGTGAAGTCAAGCCAAGGCGCACAATACCATAACTTGAAAGCGACGACTCAGGCTTAAGTAGACGTATCAGAATCTGACTCATCAGCGAAACCTACGTGTCTTTTTAACGGCTTCGGTCGGGTTCGTTCGATCAACTCGATGGAAAGCCTAAAACAAGAGTTCAACCTTTTGACGAACTTTTTACAATCATCGCAGATCTCTCTCCCGTATGCGCTGACTATAATGGTGGCTTTGGTTAAGCAGACTGGCGGGGCGTTCTCCGACATGGCGATAAGCTTTTGGTGCATCTCTCTTTGCCAGCTGTAGAAGCAGATATCCTTTTCCCAAAGTCTGCGAGCCTCGCCTCGCTCCTCTTCGTCTTTGGACTTGCGTTCCGTAAACTCGATCTTGCAATCTAATTCTGTGTCGGGCACTCGATCTCTCGGGAGGAAGGCGCGGTGGTCGATGTACCACGCTATCAGCTGCGTCTCTGCGTGACTTGCTTGGAAAGATCTTGGCTTTCTACGGTCGTAATCAGAAATAGTGAAAATGTGTCCTACGATCTCTGCTAGTTGCAATGCCTTCTCCGTCCACTCCTCGCCAGAGATGAATGAGTCATGTGCGCGATGAGAGCGTCCACTCATCGCTGCGATCGGTTCGAACGGACCTCCCCTCAGCAGAATTGTGACGGCCTTTTCCCGAGACACCTGAAACGTCACTGATTTGAGGCATCTTGCTCCCTCGCGTGTCAGAGCTATCGTTGTGGTGCTCTCAACCGGGGCTCGCTGGAAAGACAACTTCCTGGGGTCTGACTCCTTTGGTGGGGTGAGAAAGGTCTTGCGGTAATCAGCCTCATTCCTTAGAGCTAGTTCCATCTTTTCTTGTCCGCCTCCAGTGACTTTGGAAGTATTCAAGAGAGGCTATGGCTGCTCTGCATTTCTACCATCTATAGACATTGAAGAAAAAATCTTTAATGAGTTGCTTATATTCGCTTAATTGCTCGTTCTCTTCCGACATGAGGAGGTAAGCGAGGTCTGTTATCCGTGTATGCTTCCGAGTACACACATTTTCGAATAGGCCTCTCGATTTGTTGATCTCGTACCCCACTTGGCTAGGTTCCTTACCGATGATCTATAGGCAGGCCCTCGGCTGCAAGGAGGTTGCTCGAGGATAGCAGCATAGGATTTATAGGTATGGCAATGAACATTCCCGCAGCTCCGGTATGGACAACGAATGAAGACTTTGGTGTCATTCCAGTATATGACATCGACTTGAGACACACTGTACGTGTTGTCGTCGGAAAGGATCGCTAGTGTATCTTTCCCTTCTGCCTGTCCTTCCGCCATGGCTTTACTAATGTTGAAGAACACGGAAACATTTTGCGATGCAGCCATGAGTTGGATCACAAAGTGCAAGAGCGCGGCGCGCATCTGGCGCATCTCCTTTGGCATTTCACTGGGCGGGTCGTCCGTTCCAAGCATGGCTATAGCGCTCTCTAGGGCGATGCTGGCCTTGGTGCAAGATTCCATCATGGCGTCGAGATACATGCAGAGTGCTTCTTTCTCACTCATCCGCATGGCGAAGGATGACATCGGTTGTCCTGGTCGATCGCGGGCCTGGTGCGTTCTGCCCGTGTGAGGTTGAAGGCTTTGTTTAGCCTTGAAGTCACCCCTTGCTGAGAAACTATAGTTTCTAGAGAAGAAATGGCTGCGTGATATCGAAAATTTCTGTATACGGTCTTGATCGATTTGACGGACGATGGAACGATGAAGAGAAGAAGGCAGACACAGAAAGTTATACAGCCCCTCACGGCTGCCTTGCTGCCTTACCTTTACTACCAGCACATGGTAACAACATATTCACGGTCGATGCTAGTAAGCGTACAGTGGAATCAGATCCACTAACAAGATCAAGCTGCTTCTTTTCCCAGGTAGTCTTTAGTATATGTCCATGGCTATTAATTCTCGTAGCATTGTACATGTTCTCCAGAACTCCAGACGGAACTGTGCCACACCCAGGCTGAATCGACGAGGCTGAAGAAGTGAATGGAAGACGGATTGGTGGTGTAGAAGTCTGTGCCAAGTCCGCCCCTCCGCTCACGGCCGTGTGGCGGACCAAAACCCGGTCAGGAAGGTGCCCCATGTGTCCTCTTACAGATTTCCGCAACCCTGTCTCTTAAATTCATCACCACCGCGCCTCTTCTCCCGTCACATCTTCACTCCTGCAATCGCATCCTCTCCATCTTCCCCGAAGAAACCAGGAACCCGCTGTTATGATGGCGCTCAATCCCCAGGTGTAAGTCCGCTCGCGCAAGCTAACTGCCAATTGCACAACTAACGTCACTCGCAGGACGAACTTGGTCATTATCTTGTATGCCGACCGCCCCAATCGCCTCATATACCATATTCGAATGGATTTGTAGAGAATGAGGCCGTGCTAATCGGACCGTAGGGGCTTCATGCAGCTCTCGAAAAAGATCGACTTTGAGGACCCCAACGTGCTCATTGGCGTGCGCGCGCTATACGTTGTCTCCAACGTCCTCATCGCGGGCATATACCTCTATGTGCAGAGCCAGATAAACAAGAAGAGAGGTGTGCTACCCATCCCCGACCTCGCTCTGGCGCTCCCGCCTCAGAACCCCCATTGCGCCGCCATTTCCGCCTGCCTTACGCGCGGCCTCCGAAAACCTCCCACCCCTCAGAAAGACCCCCAAACTAACCAAACCCCAGACATGACCGTCCTGAAATACGTCGAGCCCGCGCCCATGGGCAGCGGCGAAGACCCCAAGCCCGTCAACACGACCGTGCACGCCTACGACCTCTCCCAACTCAAAGGGCTCTACAAGGCGCAGCTGATGGGCGTCGGCATGATGGCCGTCATGCACTTGTACTTCAAGTACACCAACCCGCTCCTGATCCAGAGTATCATCCCGCTCAAGGGCGCCTTCGAGGGCAACCTGGTTAAGATCCACCTGTTGGGCCAGAGCGCCACATCGGGCGACCTGAAGCGGCCGTGGAAGACGTCGGGCGGCATCATGGGCGCGATGCAGGGGGGTGAGATTAAGACGGATAAGAAGAGCGTGGAGGCCGCGGAGAGGGCGGGGAGGGGAGGGGCGAAGGAGGAGTAGGGCTGTTGAGTCTTCGGCGATGCTGATGAGAGGGTTTGGGAGGGGGTGGGATGGGAGTGTGCTGATGGGTTGAAGCCGGTTGGTGATGCTTGTGTAGATGGCCTTGCTTGGTTGCCACAAATGGCCGAGGACTACGGAGGCAGTCGTGGTATTGATAGAATTCATGCTGTTTCTTCAAGACCTTTTTTTCAAAGCATTTCGACACTAGCGGCCCAGTCAGGTTCCGAATATCCCAATCACCAGCAATCCGTACTTGACCTACAACGTACAAATCTTTACATTCACGCTTTCTAGTCCTCTAGCTCCCTGAGGGGTCTTGCATCGTTATCTTACACCCTAAAACGCACATACATATGCCCCCATTTCGGACGCATTGGAAAAGGCACGCGATAGGACTGGTCACATGATCGAGGCCTGATATACGATGTCACAACCTTTACATTCATGTTAACCAAATGAGAAGCCCCCTAGGGTGTCTTTTGTGAGTATGTACCCCCAAGAACCACGTGCAAATGCCTCGATCTGGGACATGCAAGAGCCTATAGATGTAGCAGAGCTCAAGAGTCTTCTACCGTAGGGTAACTTTCCCAGCACCATACCATCTGGCCGTTGGCCGACTCGGCATACTGTAGAGCCAAGAAAACTCCCTTCACTACCTTCATAGCAGCTATCTCGATGTCCAGCTGAAACCCTCCAGAAAGCTCCTCAAATCAGAGCATCGCCACCACTGCCCCCTTGCCCATCACCATCCCCAACCTCTGCAGCGCCGAGAACAAACTCCCCGCCGGCACTTCCGGCCCATACATCGCCTGGAACCGCGCAGCCCAGGACCCTATACAACCGTTAGCCACTGCGCTCACCCACATCAACTCATCTACAGCGAGCGACAAGCCATAAAACCGCACACACGCTTCTACCACTGCCTGAAGCACCCCGACCAGCTTCGTCAACCCCCACACGACGTAACGTCCAACGTCGTTGAAATGAGCCACCACCTTTATAGCAGCGCTGGTACATGCAAGCCGGGGCGCTCCAGACAGCAGTACCGCTCGTGCAAAATCATAACACAAGCAATCGGCATCCGCATGCCCATTTTCATAGCCGAACGAAAAAGAGGGAAAGGAGCTTACCAGCAACCGGGCCCGCCTCTCCAAACCCCAGCGCGCTAACAACCCACGGCCAGAGCAGATACAAGACGCCCAACGCCACGATAGTCACGATGACGGCCGTGTAGACGGGATGCTCGCGGATGAAGTCCGCGGCGAAGGTGCGGGCGTGGGTGAGTACTTCCTATAGTAGCGTGCATTTTTAGCACACCTTCTCTCTAACATTGGTAGATAGGGGTGGGAGGGGGAGGGTTAGACGTACACCCACAGCCCCGCCGATGGCTTTGCCATCCTCGATTGCCCGCTCCATCCCCGCGAGCAGTTTGGCGGCGACGGTCTCGTACCAGCCCTGCGTGCGCACCTCGCCGGTAAGGTCTAGGTCGTGCTGGAGGGACTCCTGCAGGGTTTTGCCGGGTTTCTCGGCGCGGAGGAGGGTGGTGAGGAGGCGGGATGCCATCGCCTCGTCTTCGGGCGCGGGGTCGGTGGAGAGTTTGATGTCGGGGGTGTAGGTTAGGGGGCTGGTGGTACGACGGCGGCGGGGGGAGAGGCAGGGGAGGAGGGTTTGGAGGAGGGTGGGCATTTCGTTTAGGGATTGTGGATGGAGTGGGGAATTTTGGGTAGATTGATGAGGTTGGGAGAGAGATGGGCGGAGTAGAAGTGGATGATTTATATTGCTGTGTGTGGAGCTGGATGGTGGAGGTTGGAGATAAGGTCGGCGCGTAATGTGATGTGGCACGGCGGTCAGCCTTGCTGCCTCGTGGTACGTGGGATGCAATACGGCTACCGGAGCCTATCGATTCTGAGGGAAGAGTTGATTGGTGGCATGGCTGGTGCGGCACAGAGAGGGACTGGATTGATGAACTTGAGAGCTGAAAGAAATGGATTGTCACGCGGGGCATGGAAAAGGTGGCACTCTAATTCTACAAGAAGCTGTCTCGTGCGTACACTTGTCTGCCACTGCTTGGGGCGCTTTAATGCATTTTCAGGATTCTGACCGAGATGGAAGCCATTCACCTTGGGCTATGTGGAGACGCGCTGAAGCACCCCAAGCAGGGACAGTCAGGTGTACACACGAGACAGAGTGCTTGATGATTGTGCTACTTCTCTCCCGCCCAGCCAGCGTGATTGTGTAGGAAGCATAGTAGGTAGTTTCTATATTCTGAGAGCTTCGTGACACATCGAGCAGACTAAGAACGTATTCGAAAAGATAGAAACAAATAGCTGAGGCACTTCAAGACGTTTACGTTACCTACGCAAAAGCTACCTCAATGCAATTTTCCAATCCAAAAATGCATGAACAGCACTTCGCCGCAACCTAGCCGCCTCAGCCTCCCTTTTCAGGCTCCACTTGAATCTTCCTTTTCTTACCCGCGCGAAACGTCCCCCGAGCCTCTACCCTTCCAGCTACAGGCAGAACTCTCGTCGCCGTAAACAGGAATCCCTCTGCGCCGCCTCTGCTCGTCATGAGCGGGTGCGTGCGGCCTGGGAGGACCTGATACTGGCGTGCTCTCGCGGTCTGCAAGCTAGGGGCGAGGAGGAGGGTTGGATTGACGGGAAAGTCTGGATCTATCGCTTCGTCGGGCCCTAATGCTTTCGTGCTATCATTCGCGTCTTGACTCTGCTCTGTCGTGTCGATGTTTTGTCGTGATACGAAAGCCGTCCGGCGCTCTTTGCTATAATAGTCGCAGAGCTCGACGAGCGGTTCCACGTTTGCGCTGTAGACGGTTACAGTTGCGCCGCCTTTTAATAGTGGAACGCAGGCACGCAGAACAGTGGCGGGCTCCATAACGCTCGCGACAACGAGGCCGTCGAAGCCCCCGGCACGGGTTTCTTGGACGACGCGCTTGACTCGTTCCCATCGCCTTCGTTTGCGGAAGTAGGTGCCGCGTTTACTTGATTTCATCGTTGAGAGGAGGTCATCGGAGAGAGTTTCGGGCTCTTGGTAGCCTGGGTCGTCCTCCGGGTAGAGCATTTGCAGCCATGTGAGCGTCTTGAGGTGGGTGTGCAGAGGGTGTTTGGGATTTGAGGCGGTAGCGTCGTAAGAGAAGTATTTGAGGTACCCGAGATTTGGTTGCGCGTTGCTGTGGACGATGGTTAAGGTGTTGGTTTGGGCGGACATAGGGGGTATGTGTGCAGCCCGTGGCGTTCGAGGTTTTGAAGGGTTGCTTTCTGATGTGGTTGTATTGGCTTCTTTTGGTGCTTCTGGTGGTTCCTGTTTGGTGGTTTCTGAGGTTCCCTCCGCCGGAGTGTCTATGACCATGGCATCTTCTTCCGGTATACCATTCGATTTGGACTCCTCCGTCGGCTTACTCTCGATGGCTTCTTCCTCCTTCCCCGAGGCTTCGTCTTCTGACTCTTCTGGGTAGAGAAGGCCCATTCTCTCAGCCAAGGACGCCACAAGGAGCCCCCCCGTGTCGTCCACGACGAGCCACCGGCCACCCCCAATCATCCCCTTGCCGCATGAGGAGGGTACTATAGAACTCGATTCGGCGCAATGAATATTAGCCCAGCTGTTGATGAGGCCCAAATTCTCTTCTCTCAGCTCCATAATCCTATGCGCTTCTTTGTCTAAGACATATTCCGAGAGCATATTAACATCCGCTGGGAACACAGTAAACCTGCGCAAATATTTTCTCGACTTCCGCAGGGTGTATTTAGCCAGCGAGAAGGGTGTTTTCTCGTCTATCGCCTGATGCGACTTCATAATCCTGGCTATTACTTCCTTGCCGGACCCAGTGCCGGCCTTTTTGAGCTCCTCAATCTCTTCCATAGTTAATGTCTGCCGTGACGGGTCATCTATCGTCAAACGATTACTCTGCATTATGATTTCCCCATTATCCCCCACGATATCAAACTCGGCCCCACCGTCTGCGGGCTCGTCTGTCGACTCGGCTGGCGTGTCATCTTCGGCGGTGGTAAGGGAGCTTTCATGAAGCTCTGCAGCAGGGACCACGCGCAGTTCCGAGTTTGAATCTCCTTCTTTATCGAGGATCTCAAAAGTAAGGTAGTATGGGCGTCCGAGCAGTGAGTTTGCTTGAAAGGTGCCGAATTTGCCTATTGATATGTTCCTGCGCGCATGGTCAGAGATTGTTCGCGCAGCACTCAGCACGGGAGGTCAGTGGATGCTCACTCCAACTAGTCCACATACGTATTTGGGAGTATCTCCAGCAGCTTCAGGATGCCCGAGGGCAGGCGGAGGACGATGTACGTGTTTGGCCGAATGTAGGAGTGCATTGCGCGGCCTGGTGCAGAGTGTGCAGGATTCGTGGAGCTATACGGGCTTCTCCATGAGGGGTGGGGGTGTGGGATAGGAATGAATTAACTGTAGGCAATGCGACAGCTGAGAATACCACGGCGGGAATGCGCAGTGTTTTTTGATCTTGTTCCACAGCGCTCGCGACTGCAGCCGTCTTGAGCAGAGACAGTCGAAGAATCGTCGAGTGGGGCGTGCTCGCCGCCACTTCACCAGCCACGGCGTCGTCATTGCCTGCTGCCACCAAGTTGACCTCCACCGCAAGCTATACAGAGGCCGCGCAAGCACATTGCCCCAAGGCCTACTCACAAATTCAACCCTCATCCCCGCGCACACTTGCTACTTCGTTCCTTCAACCGCGATCCACCTCTGCTGACGGCGATCTACTTCGTAGCTGCGCCTCCCCAAACTGGCAAACAGCCTGCGAGTACGGCGTGTCCTCCGCCTGCATTCTCACCACCACCACCACTTCTTCGCCAACTCTACATATACCTACTTTCATATTGATACCCATACATAGACAGCCGCCATGGTACTCCGGAAACCAGTAAACGAGAGCTCAGGGCTCGTGCCGGCTCCCCTCTCTCAGGCTGCAAACAACCCGCCATACCCTACAACTCCCACCTCCTCCGATCCTCCTGCGCTGCCGAATACCTCCGATTCACATACCGAGGTCTATTCACCGAATCTGCATGAATCTCCCGCCTTCCGTTTGAAGCCGCTTGGAGAGGCACAGGCCCGAAAATATGATGGCGATTCCGACCTCGACGACGGCTCGGATTGGGACAAGTCAGACGACGAGTATGACAACCACCACGCCTCAGAGGAGCTTCCCGGGGCCCTAAGGATTGGTGATGGTCAACCGATAAAGAAGTCGAGTGAGCTGCCGTCGACACTTCGCGTTGGTCCCGCCGACGGAGCGATGCGGAAGCCTCAGGAACAACAAGACTATGCAATGCCGCCATCTTCACTTGGAGCAATCAGCACCAGCTCTACGGGATCTGCTCCTTTAAAATCTCAAAACCCGTACCTAAAAATACAGAACACGGGACAGAGCCAGACCAACTTCGGCTTTGGTGGTGAGAGCAGCGCCCAGGCGTGGGGAGATGCTCCCTCGGCGAGCGAGAAACATGGCGCTCCCGTCGAGTTGCCCACTGAAAAAACTCCTGTTGATCCCTTTTCCAAGATGTCGCTAGCTGGATACCCACCTTCCCCGAATTCGAACCAGCCTCCATTAATTCCTGTTGCGACGGAGAATCCTTCGAGTCCTGTCCCCCGACACGACTCGACTGCATCCAACGCGTACGAGCCGGGTATGGATATCTCGTCCCTCGATGCCCTCTCACGGACGTATGGCCTACCCTCGGACGCAATCCAAGAGGAATCGCCGCAAAGGACTTGGCAAGAGCAGCAAGATTGGGAACGGGCTGAGAGGGAAAGGAAACTGAATGAGTTGGCAGTGGCACATCAAGCGGCTGTTGCCGCCGAACAGGAATGGAAGGCGGAAGAGGACTGGCATCAAGGAGAGGAGGCAGCAAGGCTAGCTGCTACTCGTCAGCCTCAGCGACATGAGCCGCCTCAGCAGTACGAGCCGCCTCAGCAATATGAGCAGGCTCAGCAGTTCCAACAACCCCAGCAATACCAACAGCCACAGCAGTTTCAGCAACCTGCCAGTCTGCTAGATTTAGATGATGTTCCTCCCGACTTGCCACCCCGAAGGTCACAGGAGGTTGAAAATCCTCCTCCGCAACCTCCGCGTCCGAGTGGTGGTACGGGCTTTGGCGGTACCTCTGGAAGAGCAGAGGTGGAAACACCGGAATCGAGAGCGAAACGGCAACGAACAGAACATTATCAGATCAAGCACATCCGATGGTTTGACGGGCGTGGAATCCGGAACTCTCCCATTTTGACCCAGAACCTGAATGGCCCTTGTCCGCTACTAGCTCTCGTAAACGCTCTCGTGCTATCAACACCAGGAAGCGCGGATACTGCGCTAATCGAGACCCTGAGAAGTCGAGAACAAGTCAGCCTTGGCCTGCTTTTAGACGCCGTATTCGACGAATTGATGTCTGGTCGTCGAGGCGGCGCCGCCCAAGAACTACCCGATGTCAGTGAGTTATACACGTTCTTGGTCACACTCCATACCGGAATGAACGTCAATCCGAGCTTCGTCAAACCCCCTGCTTCTTCCGCCATCCACCCGGCTCTTCGCATTCAGCCTGGTGGATTCGATGACACCCGCGAGATGCGGCTATATCGGACCTTCAACATCCCACTCATACATGGCTGGCTTCCTCCTAGCGAGTCTCGCGCGTATGCTGCGTTCGACCGTATTGCAAAAACGCACGATGACTCTCAGCTTGTTCAATTCCAGGAAGAAGAGCTAGATGCAAAGCTACGGTCTGTGGGACTGAACCAAGAAGAGCAACGCATGTTTGAAGATGTTCACGCCATTAAGGAGTTCCTGAGCCGCTGGCCCACACAACTCACCGACTTTGGGCTACAGACTATGATCAACAGCTTGAAACCGGGCGAGATTGCCATCCTCTTCCGCAACGATCACTTTTCAACCCTCTACAAAGAGCCTCGCTCCGGCAAGCTTTTGACCCTTGTAACGGATGCTGGCTATTCCTCCCACGACGAAATCATCTGGGAATCCCTCGTCGACATCAACGGCCAAAACAGCGAGCTCTTCTCCGGCGACTTCCGCCCCGTCGGCAACAACGAGCCTCCATCCCGCTCCTCCAACAACCCCCCAAACATCCAAAGCATGTTCGACGTCGACTCCTCCCCGAACGCCTGGACCACCATCCAATCCCGCAACCCCACCCGCCGCAGCACCCAACAAGCCACGCAACAATCCGGCGTCATCCACCCTGGCGAATCCCTCCCGCCACCCCCGGACGCCTCCCGCACCGAGCAGGAAGACCACGACCTCGCCCTCGCCCTCCAGCTCCAGGAAGAAGAGGAAGACCGCCACCGCCGCAGCACCGAGGCCCGCCGTCGCCGCGAAAACGAACTCTCGGAGCAGGCCATCGCCCGCAACTCCCAGGGCCGCGCGGGTAACAGCGAACAGCCCCCCGTCATCCCGCCCCGCCGCAACGGCGGCGTCCAGCGCCCCACCGTCACGACTACGAATGAGCAGGGCGAGAATTTACCTACATACGAGGAAGCGGCGACCAGCCGCCCGTATCACCCGCCGGCGAACCACCCTGCCAGCCCGCTCGCGCCGGTAGGGCTGCAGGGCGTCCAGGCGCAGGGCTCTGCGTACCATGCGAATGCGGCGCAGGTGGGACCGGGGCGGGGAGGGGGGCCTGGGCAGGGGCAAGGACGGAGGAGGAGCTCAAGGCCTGGGACGTTGGTGGATCAGATTCCGACGAACAATGTGGGGATGGGGAGGATGGGGGGGAGGCGGACGAGTGTTGGGCCGGGGGGCGGGGGATTGTATCAAGGGGTTGGGAGGGGGAATGTGCAGCAGCAGCAGCAGCAGCAGGAGAGCGAGAAGTGTGTTGTTATGTGAGGAGGGAGGAGTGGGGAAGAGTAGGAGGAGGGAGACAGAGGAAAAGACGGACGGCGTTCCGGCTTGGGCATCGCGCGGGTTTTAGGGAATTGTAGTTTTAGGACCTGGGTTAGTTTTGATACCCGTTTAGCGGATCTTTGCGCTTTCGTCGTAGCATACACAGGACTAGGGACAAGCACTCTACCATATGCAGCGCTATTCTCTTCTAGTTTCTGGGATGCGATGAGATGGTGCTGCGGTGTAGGATGAACACAGCCGCGTTTACTCTCTCGCTCATCATTAAGTTCTGGAGCAGCGTGGCAAGGAACGGAACTGAATCTCGGCCGAGATAGCAGAATGCTACAGCAGTTAGCCCTAGCACGGGACGGGCATGCCGGATAGAGCACACATCAGTTGATGAACACAAATCGCGCTCCGTGGCCAAGTAAAAACATGAACCTGCATTACTAACCCTACGTCATCACAGACATGCATGCACAGGCATACATCTCTGTAGTTAGGCCTCATCATAGACATAAACGGAAAAGAAACTCAAATTTTTTTTTTTGGCTTCTTGACTCATTTAGTCCGTTAGAATATACTCTCTAAACAAAACTCTTTTCAAAAAAGGACCCACCGTCGTTCTAGATGCATCGTCTTCTGTAGCGCAGCCGTCTATTCCAAGCCGTCCGTCTAATCCAAGCTCCGTTTTTTCTATCGATACGAGGGGATCCAACCGCCTGGAGCATCAATTGTTCCTTTGCAGCCAACGAAGCCCGCTCAAGGAACTTGCCCCGTCTCTGCTTCTCCTTCTCCTTCAGCCCTTAATAACAACCGGCCGCACCGTCTGCGCGGACGCCGTCATGCTCTCCCTTCGCTTCTTCAGGTTGGAGATGCCAGCAGCCGAGGGCTTCGGCTTCGCGCCCACAGCGGGCGTGGCGCGCCGTGTGGTCCAGACTCGCATGGTGCCCTGTCCGTCGGGCATAGTGACAGGGGTCACCCAGCGGCAGGTGGTGAAGGTGCGCCAGAGGGAGAGCATGAAGGGGGTGCTGTCCTTGTGGTAGGCGGCGCCGAGCACGGGGACGATGGCGGCGGTGGCATCTTCGGCGTAGTAGAAGGGGATGCGGCTATGGAGAGGTTAGTTTTGGATGAGATGAGAGTGTGGGGTAGGTGGCGATACGGATATGGGGAGACAAAGATATGACACGAGAATATGGGGGAGAGGGGAAGGTGAGGACAGGGGGATAGGGGGTAAAGCGAATGCTTACGGAAACAGATGATGGCACACGTGCGTCCCGATGATGCCGTGGAAGAGGTGGCGGTCGATGAAGCCCATATCACGGTCGACAGTCGACGTCGCGCCTCTCGCGAAAGTCCACCCATCCGCCTCAAAGTGCGGCAGGTCGGCGTGGGTGTGGTGGAGGTAGGTGATGGCGACTAAGCGAATCGTCAGATTAGGGTCCACAAATGGTGGTGCAGATCAGGGACAAGCAAACTTACCGAGCCAATGGTGCACCCACATGTACGGCAGCCCATACAGGTTCCACACCATCGCCCACCCCATGCGCTGCTTCAGCACCCACAGCGCCGCCATGGTGAGGCCGAGCCCGACGTCGGACGCGAAGATGTACTTCCATTGCTGGGAGGTGAAGAGGACGCCGCCGGGCGCGAAATGGCTCCTGTTATACCACGTTGTCTTCCGGTTGCCCTTGTGGATGTCCGACCCCTTGCCTGCAGTGATCTGGAAGATGAGGTAGAGCGGCCAGCCGAGCGTCTGTGCGACAATGAGACGCAGGAACGCAACGATGGGAGCGTCTTCGGTCATGTTCTCGAGGCTCTCCATTGCCGCAGCGAGATCGGAGATGGGCTCCTCCTCACGGACGGGCACGAACGCCGTGTCCTTGGTCATGTGGCCAGTAAACTGGTGGTGCTGGTGGTGGGTAAACTTCCACGAGAAGAAGGGGACGAGGAGGGAGGAATGCAGCGCCCAGCCCACGACGTTGTTCAGACGTGTGCTGGCAGAAAAGGCTCCGTGGCCGCACTCGTGGGCAAGAATCCAGATGCCGGTGCCGACGAGGCCCTGGCAGAAGCCGTAGAGCTGCCATGCGAGGAATCGAGGGAGGGAGGAGGAGGTGGTGTATGTGGGGATCGTGTACAGAGCGAGGTAGGCGAGCGAGCCCGCCAGGAAGAGGTCCCGCGCTACATAGGCTAGCGATCGAGCGGTTGAGGCTTTGAAGCAGTAGTCGGGAATAGCTCGACGGAGCTCTTGGATATTGACGTCCTGCATGCTGGCGAGGGAGATGGGTGCAGTCTGGAGGGAATCGAGGGGGGAGAGAGCTGGAAAGGACGGAGGACTCGAACAGAGGTCGAGTTTTCTGCTCCTGGAGCTAACAAGGGGTGCGTGCCCAGCAGCGGGCCAGACGGTAAGCGCATTTTGCTAGGAGGTTGATTGTGCTTGCCAAGGGCTGATCCATGGTCCATGGGAGGACTTTCTACGGCGCGCGGTAGGGCAGCGGCTTCTTCCCGCAACGGGGGTCGGGGTCCAGGCGGTGTGGACTGTGGAGGTCATCGCCGAGGGCGTTGATTGCGGGACGCCAGAGCAGAAACAGTGCTTTTACGAGCGGCGTCGACAATTGCGCCAAAACAGAAGCCGGCTCTTACGATGACCTCGCCGTTGACACGCCAGATTGTGGCATTCCCGTCACATGCAAGACCGTTGGTGTGGACACGTCGTAGGGCTGAATTCAGGGTCTACGCCCTTGCGTGGCCTGTGAGGGACGCCCATAGGTGCACGCGGCCGAGGCTGGCCGAGACTAGACTCGCGGCGGGTCGGGCTTTGGTTGAGGTCCGGCGAGTGTATTCGGCCTAGCTCGAGGCAATTCGTTGAGGACTGTGCCGGAGAGATGGAGCGTGCGACGGGTGGATTGGATTGGAGTATAAAACGCGTGGAGTGAACTCCGTTTTGTTGCGCTGCGCTGAGTAAGGCGGGATGGAGCAACGTGGAGCCGAGGGGCAACTTCAGACGAAAGACCAACTCCTTCGTGCCGTATGAAGTCTAGAATATCACGCAATTCACACCAAACGGCGGGAGATATCTGAAACACCCAAACACTCGGTCAATCTCAATAACCCCAAAATTCTTATAGCGCTTGCTGTATCTTTCACGAATAACGGATATGGCAATAAAACATACGAGCCCCTCGAGAGGTAGATCCTGACGAAATACCCTGATGCCATTGATGCCATTGATGCCGTGGAGCCGCTCGACACTTCGAAGTTCCCAAGCCGCTACACGCAGCTTGAGCACGTCAAAGATCTCTGCCTCGCCGTTGTGCAGCTCGCGCTCGATGGGCAGATGGACGCAGCAGCATAGCTTGGGCTATGGTTCTTGTGTTTCTCGGGGGAGAGCTATCAGCTGGCAGCGGACTGTTTTCCTGCTGTACTCTTAGCTAATTCTACTCCTAGTCTCGGCAACATCACGCAATTGGATTTGCATCTGCCGTGGAACCGGCCTGGGGTGGCTTTGGCGAATATGGGACGGTATGAGGAGGCGATTGATGCGTATCAGGTGGTGTTGGCGATCACTATGAACTTTGTCCGCGCTCACCATAATCTCGCTGTTCTTTATCATAAAGCAGAAGACTGGGTTTGCTAAAGCACAGAAGAGGCAAGCGGATGGGTCAGCAGCTGGTGGTATTGCTGGTAGCAATACCTGTTGTGAGGAAATGTATGAGTTGATACGGAAGACTTTGCGGGGGCTGCTTAGATAGGACCTTGAGAAAGGGGTAGGACTAGCATGGATGTCGTAGCATTTAGAAGAGAGTTATCTAGCTAGAAATAGTACCATGATGTCCTTCTACGTACCACAGTATATCTCGTGCCAGATGCTTCATCCTTAATCCTCGAAAATTACCTCTTGCAGTTCCTGCCATAATGGGAGTACATAAGTATCCCCAAATGGAAGAATCTGTGTCATGCACACAGCCGCGACGCCTTTCTCTCGATCAACAGTCCAAAAGCAGTTGCTGAGCCCCGCTGCCGATCCTCTAGGAAATCCTTCTTTCTCGCATAAAGCTGGATTCAAGGCTTTTGGATTTGCCTGTAGTTCAAAATTAAGCCCCCAGCCAAAGTATCCGGCTACTGGCACTGGCTCCACTGTTGGAGGGACAACAAGGTCGTGTCTGGAAACTCCCTGAGCAACTCCAACGTGCTTCGTCATGTAGTCTGGAATTTGATTTTGGAACATCTGGTGGACGGTTTCCTGTAGCAGAATTCTTTGCTGGGTGTGAGGTGATACGCCGCCATTGAGGATCATACTTAGTACTCGACTGTAGTCGGGAGCTGTGCTTAAGAGGCCGGCTTGTGGATGTCAGCTCTGAACTTAGAAAAGGCCGTTGATATTGCTCTGGAGGACTTCTACTAACCGCCAGCAGACTGAAAAACGCCTTCCATCTCTTCTCGGGCTGGACCATAGAGATGGGGTCGCGCGGCTAGAGTCTCTCCCCTTTGGTGCAAAATCGCCATTTTTGACCGCAACTCGCGCGATGGCACAAAACTGGTGTTGGCCATACCAAGAGGCTGGAATAGGTTGATATTCATAAAGTCTTCCAGACTTTTACCGGAGCGTCGTTCAATGAAAACACCAACCCAGTCAATCCCAACCTGCAACCTTCCGTCAGCATGCACGAGACGTTGAATACGTGCGGAAATTCTATACAGAGTAATCATAGCTACTTCCTGGCTCATAAATCAGCGGCTGCTGAATACCTTCTATTTTCCCTTGAAACTCGTCTTTTGTCGGATCTCTGTCAAAGTGGTGAGTCTAGATATCTTCGTTGTAGAACGAGTACGAGAATCCTGCAGTCTGGAAGGGAACCGAATCATTAGCTTTATTTTTCAGAATCTTCTACACAAGTTCTTGCAAAATGCCACTAACATGAGTCATTAACATCCGTAGGGTGATCCGATTAGCTTTCGGTCTTAGCTTCCCGTTCTTCAAGATTTGAATATCCTTCAGCTCATGGACGAAATCTTCTAGCAAATCTGCCGAATCTAAGTCTGCTTGTCCTTGTTCCACTAGCTTCATGAGAGCAATAGCCGAGAATAATTTCGTGCATGAGGCGACCCAGAATACCGTGTCGGTCGTCATTGGCTCCTCAACACCTAGCCCTCTGATGCCCGATGCACTGGAATATTCTGTGTTTCCATGTCGGTCTACCACCTGAACTACGAGCCCTGGTATATGCTGAGGGTTTGAGGTGGCATTCTGAATTAAAGAGCTCAGACGGCTAGCGGTTGAAGGAGAAGACGTCGATCCAGGCATGATGTGAAGAAAACGACTTCAAAGGGTATAGAAAAACTCGCCTATGAGTAAACAAGAAGCGGCTATATGAGAAGTAGGTTTTGCAGCACAAACATTTGATCGGACCTATTTGCGAGGCTTTTGCTTGCCCACCTCTCTGGAGCGAGCGGGGTTCTCGCGCTAACAAAACTACACCTGTCGCGGATCAAAGTCCCGAAATGGCGTGCTTCGGTGCACTTTCGTGATAAAACAGCTCCTAGTCGATTTCGATATTGGTATCCGATTCAATATGAAAAGAGTGAATAGGTTTCTCGCATCTGAATTATCGATACCATCCTATCATCCATACCCGTAATTTGAAAAATACGTGTAATCGGCGTGACATCTTCTACATGGGAAATACAAGCGTCGATATGCCGCTCAATCCTTAGGGGCTCTATCCCAACAGCATTTGAACTTTCAGTCGAGGAGCCGCCACCAGAAGATCGTCTCAATATACTGGGCGTACAGTAGAACCCAGAAGGGTCTCGTCTAGATAAATGCAGATTACTGATAGTGATGCAACACATCTTGTGGCCGAATTGAGTGCTGGCAATTGGAGCGCTGAAGAAGTTACGACTGAATATCTGAAAAGGGCGATTATAGGGCAACAGCTGGTAACCATACACTTCATAGAAGTCTTAGCTGAACTTTGTAACTGAAGTTCTGGCGGATGGAGCTCTGGAATGCGCGAGATTGCTAAAGAGGAAAAGTGTTAGAGGGAAACGGGGAAGATCAAAGGACCACTTCACGGGGTTCCGGTATCTGTCAGAGTATGTTATCTCGAATTCGTGCATTGAAGACTCCAACTTCACCCCTGAGAAGACTCTGCTCGTTGTTTCGAATATTGCACAAGAAGATGCATTGACTGTACATACAGCTGCGCAGAAAGTTGGGCGCAGTAATTTTTCTACACACTAATGAAACTCAATCCTTGATGGTAAGTATCTATATCCACGAAGACACAATTCAACAGCACGGGGACACTAATGACAACGTTACTACATGACTTCGAACCCAACGAGCCGAACTCTAAGTGCTGGAGGATTGTCCGGAGGCGAAGGCTCAGCAATTGGGGTTGGGATTTGGGACCAACTTCGGTGGCGCCATTAGCCATTCCATCAGCGTTCAACGGCGTATATGGATTTTGTCGAACGGTTTTGCGGCTGCCTTATAATGGTTTCGCCGCCGGATTTAGTTTCCCTAATCCCTGCAGAGCTGTTTCGCATTGGTACGGAAATATCACCATGATTTCACTTGCGATTAAGATCACATGACACGGAGTGGAGTAACGTTAAGCCGGGATGGACTACACTGCGACATCAGGCGAAGAAATAACATCTTCATTGGTGATATGAAGTCCCAGAACTACAAATGGCCTTCCAGAATACGCTCGATGGGCATTAGAAAGTCCTCAACCTCTTGTGTCGGAGCTCAATCTTAGAATAAAAGGAGCATTCGGGATGACAGCCCCTGAATAAGGTGATAGAAAACTCACGATGCCAACTCGTAATTTCATGTTTTTGCATCAATACTAGGGGGCCACTGCTGCAATCAATGGATCATTCAAGAGGATTGGCTGCGATGGTATGTTTTCAGACTACACAATAATTCCGAGGTTCACAGGAACTCTCTTAGGATGGTTCTAACAGCACGAACCAAATATATATCTGAGGGTTTCGCATTGTGGGGTCGCAGATGAGACTTTTGGCAGTTCTTTGGCCTCCCAGATAACTGACACAGATACCGTATAATTTGGCAGTCAGACCTTCCAACGCCACCCTTATCCTTCCGTTGCTATATCAGTGCCGATCGAAAGCCTCAGTTCGAACCCTCTCCCTGCTTCTTTCAGGTGCTGCTTCGTCAGCACTCGCAAGTCGACTCTTCATCTGCTCCAGTCTCTCCAGAAGCTTCTTCATGACGTCGGAGCGGCCCTGGATCTGAGAATCACGAGCGCCGATTTGGCGGTCCTTCTCGTTGATTTGTTTCTGTAGGCTGTCGATCTCTTTGTTGCGGCTGAGTAGCTGAGAGTTACCTTCGTCGATATCGCGCCTAAGGTCTTCGATTTCATTGTCTTTCGCTTCAACTTGATGGGTCAAAGTACGCTCCTCCCGAGCAAGGCGCTCTATGCTCTGTTCGCGATCCCAGATGCAAAAGTTGCGGTCGTCAATCTCGTGTTTGAGGTCAGCAATCTCTTGCTTTTGCTCTCGAATCTGACCAAGCAGCACTAGAGCATTGCTTTTCCTCTGTTCTTCGTCACTGACTCGTGAAATCAGGGCGTCATTGATTGCCTTCATCTGTTCCTTGAGCTCTTCAATCTTCAGGTCCTTCTCTTCAAGTTCGCGCAGCAGAGGATCCAACTTTGCTACCTCTTGCCGGAGACCTTCAAGAGCTTTCTCGCTATCCCTAATCTGGCTTTGGGCTTCTTCGGTGCGACCCGTAAGATCCTTGATTTTGGCCAGTAGTTTGGACTTCTCGCAGTTGTCACGATCTGATATGTTCCGGAGGATCTTCGATATCGCGGCTCGGTTTGCGGGGTGCACTGTCTGAGGGTCAGACGTCGCAAGGGCCTCGATGAGCCGGTTCTTGTCGTGGTCGCTGCAGTCGAAGTGGCTCTCTGTACATTCCACACATACAACATTCGGAAAGTCGAGGTTCGGCAACATGCTGGTGAACGTCAGTATTGGTATAACTCAATCAGTGAAAGACATTCAGGCATTTGGAGCTAGCAGCGACGTATCCTGATGTAATATATTTCAGTCGATGCGTGTGTGAGGATCACTTACTTAGATGGCGGTGTGGATAATATTTTGAGGTAGGCAAGTGATGGTACGGTTGAGGTGTTTGATGAAGAGGTTGGAGATGTTGCAGAGTTGTAAGGGTGTCCGATAGCCTCGTAAAAGCGTGAGTTCTAACAGCACGACACTGAAAGGCGACATCAATTCATTCACCATCCAATTTTTTGAAATCATAAATTAAAGGCCTTAAGGATTGCAGGTCAATGTTCATCACGAAGGGCTGTACTTGGGGAATGTGTGATGATAGTGGTAAGTCAACCTGGATTATTCCATTGCCGGGTTGAATCTGTTACGTAACAGGAGAGAGTGGATGTTATACGTGCTGTATTTGATGAAGATTGTGAGGATTATAGAGGAGAAGGAGAGGTCTGGAGGAAGGTAAGGCTATATACACAAGATGCTGTGCGCCTGCCGTAGCCCTCACCGCTACTCCCTGACAGAATCATTCAAGATTTTAATTCGCAACTGCACGAGGAACTGCATGTTATGAGGAAATTAAGGGTTTTCCGGAGGCTTCGTTTTGGTTTGATTTATTAGAAGGTATTTGGCAGGCATGTTCTAGATACCAGAGCCCCTTATGCTGTGACAGTGCTTCCAATAACACCATCATCTTCGTCTCGCTTTTCCACACTCTATTGGGAATCAAGCGGCTCGGCACCCTACTTCTTGGGAATATCCGCCGCAATAGTATCAATCTGGGCCTTTAAATTATGCAGCTTCTTGTGGAGTGCAAGCTGCTCCCACTCCAGCAACTCTAGCTTCCAGCGATCACCTAATCCTCTAGCATCTTGCATCTTTGATGTCTAAAAAGCCCCTCAGATCCCTCCACGCTGGGCGTGAAAAAGCTGGCACACTCAAGCAGTTCAACATGGTCTGAGGTGGCCCGGAGAGCTATCAGGCTTTCCAAAACCTGGTTTTCATGAATAACAACAGCATGCTAGAGGACCTCAATGGTGCCAAACTAGCGTACATAGGCAAGCACATAAATTCGTGTAAATATACCTTGCGGATTTGTAGACTGCCACTTTCTATTAACATTCATTAAGCACGCTGTTTTATAGGTATACCTGTCTACTACTGCTTGAAGTGCTTCAACGAGTTTCTTCATAGCCCCGAGTGAAGAGCCTCCCCCCCATTCAGATTTTTAAAACTGCATCAAAGCATCCCAAGTAGTGGAATACACGCATATAGAGTGCCACTTTTTCCATGCCCCGCGTGCCCTCATGAGCCATCGTCCAATGCCAGGATCTTGATAACCTAGCAAACTCGGCCGCTGTCTACTCCCTAGTATGCAAACTCCATTACGTCATCATCGCCTTTCGTTGGACGAGGACGTTTCCTTGATGGAGGGTTATCCGCATTAGTATTCGTAGATCCTTGCGAGGCCGTATGAGCAGCGGAGGTATTTTGGGTGGCTAGGAATGGTGGGATGTCGTCGTTACTGACTTGCTGAATCTGACGGGGCTCTTTGCTTCGCCGGGATCGGAACACGAGGTTTCGAGTTGCCGGACGGCCCATGCGATGTTGGCTTTGGGATTCATTCCGGCCAACTTGGCTAGTCGGCTTCGTTATTGTTTTGGAACCCTGCTGTTCTGCCGCCTAGTAGGCTTCTGCTTCGAGCCGATGATACTCATCCTTCGCACGCTGCTGAAGCTAGAAGCCCTCCATCATCTTCTCGAGCTCAACCATCCTCGTGTCTTTCTTGGCTTGTTGGCGCTCCGACTCCTCCAACTTCTTCTCCGTCTCCTCCAACTTCTTTTTCATCTCCTCCAACTTCTTGTCCTTCTCCTCGATCTCTTCTTCTTTCTCAGAAATCTCCGCCTTCAGGTCGACATTGTCCTCCTTCAGATCGACTATCTTTTGCTCCTGCTCTGCACCATCCTCTTGCCACCCCTGTTCAGAGGCCATAGACTCTTTCAAAAGGTCTTCGTAATTGTCTTGGGCGCATTCCTCGCTTTCTCTGTGCTTTCTGTCTTTAACGACCGATAGATGCTTCAAGATTTGTGCAGCTTCCTTCCCTTCGCTAGATAAGCCGGGGTCCCTCTCGACACGATCCCACAGTCCCTCATTGCTGTGATCCACATCAGGGTCATGGTACGATCTGCAGAGGTAGCAGAAGGGTTGCTGGGGGTGATCCATTGTCAACGCTGTGATGTGATTAGTAAAAGTTGTAATGAAGAGTTCTCAGCGACCCGCGTGCCAATGTAGGAGACTGATCAAAAATATTTTGAGGCTGTCAGGCGTAAAGCAACATGTACCGTCGCGGCACGCTGGGCATGAAATAAGCGACATACTAATTCTAGAACAAGCTGTCTCATGTGTACGCCTGTCTGCCACTGCATGAAGTGCTTCAACAAGTTTCCACATTGCCCATGGCGAAGAGCTCTTGTCTGCTTCAGATTCCTGAAAATATATTGAAGCAACCCAAGCAGTGGCAGACAGGTGTACACACGAGACAGCTTGTTCTAGAATTAGTGTGCCACCTTTTCCATGCCCCGCGTGCGCGGCTGCCAATCCTCTGGCACAGCCGCTTGGGCCAGCGACGGAGGTGAAAGGATGCAGGACAGAAGCGGAAGAATCGGAGACCTTAGATAGATGACTTGTATGAATAGGGAATACTTACAGAGTCGTGTCTGTACCGTCGGAGGAATCTGAGTGGATGAGTGGCTAATGGTGGAGTGAGATGGTGTAAGAAGGATGGAGAAAGCTAGCGTAATCCAAGTAGCTATAAGAGCTTCGTCATCGATCCCGTGCAGAACCGATGTTGCCATCACATTCACCGAGCTCACTTCCACTGACCTCATCGTCACGACCTGGACTCACTTCCACCAACCTCACTTCATCAGGACCTGGACTTCACCTCCCATCTCCCACCCATTTGCCCACTACCAACCGAGCTTGAAGCCTCCGCAAAGACCTCACATCTACTTACCTCAATTCATCGCGACCTGGACTCCGCCTTCCAACTATCTGCTCACTACCATCCGAGCTTGAACCACCACATCAACTAAACTTCGAGACCCCGCAAAGAACAAAATGTCTCTAGACACAAAGTTTGCGCAGAACGAGTGCCTCGTGTGCGAGGGAAAGCACTGGCAAGTCACCGATGTGGAGCATTGCAGCCTCATCGACGCCGTCATCGGAGCTTCCGACGCCCGAAAGCGATTCGAGATAACGACGGTCCTGCAGGACATCTGCCAGCGGGAGAAGTGCGAAAAAGCGGCACGTCGGGTCGAGCAAGCGGCGGACAAAGCAGTATTCGAGACTTATCGCGTTCAATTTGAGCTATCATTTCGCCATCAACTCGAATCCAAAGACCAGCAGATGGAAGGACTTAGGCGCCAGCTTGCCGACCGCAATGAATCCAAAGACCGGCAGATGGAAAAACTCAGGCGTCAGTTTGCCGACCGCGACCTCCAGCTTGCCGACCACCACAATGGAGTTCAAGAAGTCCAAAATCAGCTCAAGGACGAGGTTGCCGACCTCAAGACGCAGCTTGGCGATCGCGACCAGATTATCCAAGAACTTCAGCAAAAGGCCGACGAGATGGAAGCTCGATACGCCGAGTCCCACTACAATCACGGAATGACGATGCGAGCGAAGCGCAAGCTAGCCGAAGAGCTCGAGGAGACGTCTGAGAAGTTCAAGACGATGGAGAAGGAACGTGTGGAGGTGGAAGCCGGCAAGAAGTGGATGTTCGAACGTTGGGGAGAGTTGTCCAACTTGAGAGCGGAAAAGCGTGCCCGAACCCAGCCGCCCGTTCACAAGTTGCGGTGCTTCAACTGCTTCAAGACCATGCAGGGTGATTGTGATGGAACCCCGGGCTGCCAGAACTGTCTAAAAGCGAACTTGCCATGCACGTATCGGCTCTGTCGGCCATATGACGAGAAGGCCAGGTTCAGCCACGGAAAGGGGTGCACTAAGGTTGGGTGCACCCAGTTCCACGACGAGAAGAGGGACGGTTACTGTATCGTTGAGTAGGGAGGTCACGCCGACGAGCACAAAAATGAGATATAGAGAGGTGATTGTTTGAACAAAGGGACTTCTTTTGCGACGGGAATGGCTGGACACATCCTCATAGCCTTAAAACTTTGCAAACTCCACATGCTTTCACTGATTCTGGTTGAATTCCTTACCTTTTGTGATATCTGTTGTAACCCTATACGTGTCATTAAAAGTTCCACGAAGATGTGACAACCTCAAGGCCTCGGGATCGTGATTGAGAGGGCGAATCTTCTGAACATGCCCTTAGTCTCTCCAGGCACCTGGCCCTACCTTAGACTCTCTAATGTCGATGTAATTTCTCAGGGCTCTAAATCGCAATGCAAGCTATTTGATGTTGTTCTTTCGGCTCGATTTCTGCGGACTTGGATTGCGGCTGAGCGTGCAAGGCTTTTGAACATGCCAATATCCCTCCTGGCGCCCCTGGCGGCTTCTCGACATTCTCGATATTAACGTAATATCCCAGGGCTCTAACTCTGCACCGCATCAAATCTTGGTGTGGATGCCGCGGGCGGGCTGTGTCACGAGACTTTGGCTAGGCTGCACGTGCACGCTATTCTAATTGAGAACTAGCGCGAAACGTTTCCAAGGTTCCTACTTAAACTTCTTCCACCTCACTCGACCTTCCTTCCTCACACATGCCCAGTGCACCACCACCCACTCCAACGAACAACTCCTCCAGGGAGTATAAGCCGCACGTCAAAGGATGTCATGACCTCTTGTCAGGCATCGGCAGTGCCTTCCTCTTTTCCCTTAGGGAGCCCACTCGCACGTCAAATATGGGTGCCATGGCCTTCTTGTCAGACACCGGCAGTGCCTGAGTGCGGCGGGCAGTATTCCATGGGGAGTGGGGGCTGCGCCTCGCGCGTCTCTGCTTCTCACCCGGAATCTGTCACTCGCGGGTGAGGAACCGTTGTATTCAACGTGGAGCAGACCGACTTGTTCAAGGCAGCATGGACTCGCTGGACTGCGACCGCCTAAGTTGTTGCAACGAACCCTCTCCCGTAAGGGGCGAATCCATTCGGTGCTCGAGTTTTCTCAGAGCCGGAACCGTTGGAGTCGTTCAGTGGCATGTGGCTGCAAGGTACGTCGTCCCTCCCCTCACTAACCCAGTTTTCATTGTGGACGAGTCGGGTGGTGGTTCGGCACCAGCTGCGAGACGCCAGAGGGATGGTGGCGACTTTTTTTCAACCTTATGGAAGTATTCCCCTCCCAGTTCTTTCTCATTGCCTTCACTAACTCTACTAACAGGGTTGGATATCGCTGGGAGGATGCTGGAGTTCGGGTTTGCGTCGCTCTCTTAGTCACAATTAATGCTATCATCTTCTTCATTTTGACTTTCTCTTCGATCTTCTTCGTGATCTGTGATGTGATGACATGCTTTCGCACAGTGCTGCCGTCAAGTACAATATTTCCATTCTCCAAGGTCTGTCGCAATGTCTCCGTACTGTACATCATCGTCGTTGCACAAGAATCAGCATCTCCATCCAGGTCTGATGGTCCAAATCTTCCTTCACCAACAAGCGCCGTTGCGGTCAATTTCTGACGACCTCCATCATCGCCACTGTTCAGCGAAGAGCAGAAGCTGGAATTTTTGGCCACATCAGCCGCTAGCGGCCTTGGACTTGGGCACCCTTCGAGCGCGCTCCCTCAACACTACGCGCTCCGTTAAGATGCGTGGTGAGTTCCCACGTCACAGGGAAACGGGTGTTTTTTGCCGTGCGGACACTGCTCATCGCGGCTCCGCAAGTTCCGCCGTGACCGTCGCCGAGCTCGTTCTTCTCTCCCAAGCCTTCGTCCACCCCGTCTCAATCTGATCTTACTCACACTCTTGTCACTTTTGTGTATTCGGATCTCGTACCTATCAAGTCTAAATGCCGTCGCCGACCAGCAGGCTCACCAATAGCAGCCAGTAAGCCATCCAGCACAGTGCCATCAACGCGCCTCGACCACCTCCGCTACCCTCCGTCCCCTGTCGCGATCGATCCCCCTTCGCCTCCAATCCGGGATTCCTACCTACCCACGCCCAAAACCTCCGCATCAGCGCCGCCGAGCTCATCATACTTCTTCGTGGTCACGTCACGGCCGATGAGCGCGCTCGTGGCGGATAGGAGGGATCTTGAAGGAGCGGGAAAGCCGCTGGAGTGCACGCGCTGCTCTTTTGGTATATCCATCGCTCTGACCTCTGGAGCTTGTATACCGGCTAAGTCACCTCATACATTTGGGTTTCTGTCAATGGACAGGCCCACGGCCGTTGACGGTCCCAACCACAGTGCTTCATCCTGATACCTCAAGGGTCTTCGCTGAAGGGAATGGAAACTGCCCGTTCAGGCTTCGGCTGGTCTTGCTAGCTGCGACAGGGCCCCTGTGTGTGCGTGGTTGGGAAGACGGCTGACGCAGGAGAAAGTCACACAGATCGTGTGAAGGGATTGATAGGACGTCAGTGAGAACTCGTCGTAGCTACTGGAGACCGGAAAGGTGGCGAATGCAAGTATAATACTGCTTTCTATATCCTAAACTATGCATGGTGATGAAACAGAGCGACAGATCGCGATTCACCCTGGAGCTTGGCCTCGTAGATCCAACGCCGAAATCCACGCACCTAGATCCTGTGAACTTTCAATCAATGCTGCAATGACAGCCTCCCACGCTCACCACAATCCGCAACCAACCATTTCACACGTAGTTGCACCTTTGCTCTCTGCCTACGCATAGCGGACTGAGAACCTCCATAGACAGTCATAGGTTCGAGCCCGTAAGTCGCTCGTGTCTCCTGGCCACAACCATTGCTAACCACGCTCATGTCGGAACAGCATTCACGCCTTAAACATGCCAACCTTTCAGCGCCACCACTGCCGCGTCTGTCGATCGGATCATTACGAGGTCACCGACGACGACGAGAGAAACCTTTGGATCCGTCTCGGGCTTGAACGCGACATGGCTCCTGAAGAGAAGGAGGGTATATTGGAGGTTCTGCGGGATCGACGCGCTGCCCTAGACTGCGACCAGCTTGCCGAAGAAGCATCAGCCGTGAGTCAAGAATATGCAGAGATACTATCAAGGATCATAGAGCAACAGCGCGACTTGAAAGCTCGTATGGTCAACATGACAGAGAAGCTCAAGGATGGAAAGGAGACTTTACAGAGGGAACTGGACAAGAATCGCGAGAAGGTGGTTCAAGCCCGACGCCAATGCCAAGAACTTCGGGAAACACTCGACCAACGACATGTAAAAGAACAGTGGCTTCGAGACGAGATACAGCGGCTTCGAGACGAGAACGAGCGGAAACTCGCAACGGAGCAGCAGCTCCGACGTGAGTACGAGGCCTGGAAGGCAAGAGACGAGTACCGGAAGGCAACACTCCAGCAGTTCCAACGTGATACCGATGACATAGAGACACGATTCGAGGAGGGAATCATAACAGAAGAGGAGTTTCAAGCCGAGGAACTGGCATGGCAAGCAAAAGTGGACCTGGAGCGGCTTCATTCTCAGCAGATTCGCGATGGCATCTGCCAGCCCGACGGCACCCTCAATAACGACATTCAGGATCCCGGCCAAGATACACAGCCGCAAGCCCATCTGCCGCCTTCCACTACCTCCGAGTCCACTAGGACCTCGCGCGACATGCCCCCGCTGAGCGCCCGCCCGCAAGATGAGTCGTCGTAAGCCTGTGTACACGGGATGCACCCAGGAGGCGAAGTTGTGTCATGGGAGGCTTCCTTGTGGTACTTGCCATCGGAAGACTAACTACAATGGGAACTATCCTTGCCAGGCTTGCCAACTATACGGTTCTAGATGCCGTTTTGAAGTTCAGGAATAGGTGTTGTGGAATACTGGATTGTAGGTTCGTTCATGACGAGCACGGATGCTTGAGAGGCGATAGATGGGTGTTGAAGCTCGTCGGCTAGTTTGCACGGTACAAAAATCACGACATGGGTGGAGTAGGTGGAGTTGACGGCATCTCTGGCGGCTCTACATCATGGTTTGAGTTGGAGCTCAGTTTCTTGACGAGCTAGAGTAAGTTTTCGACGGGAGGAATGAATGGTCTGCTTCTTTCATAAGGAGGTATTAGATTTCGGGATTCTATGCTTCCTGAAACGCAACATACTCAATGAATACCCAGAATCGAGCTTGTCTAGAGGCCAACACTCCAAGAATGTAGCAAATGATGCAGTGCATTTCCATATCTCCCCATACCCTTCTCGCTTACTGCTCGTGATCTAAATAAACCGAAGAGATTTAAGAGGAGATGAAGCTCCCGGACGCAACAGCGACACTGGTGCCAAGGAGAAGCAGTGACTTGCGAGGGTGACCTACGGTAGGCATGAGAAGTACCTAGCCTCACCTTCTTCCAGACCACCCTCTCCTCTCTACGCCATCAAGTTCTCTACACGAACATTGGCCTGTGAAAGTTCGTCCCAGCCCTTGATAGTGAATACAAAAGAACTCACAAAAGAACTAATGTCCGAGATTCACCAGCACCCGCACTCGGCCCGCCCGCGTAGAGCAGCCTTCCCAATCAAACAACCCAGCAGCAAACCTTTACAACTGCATCCACACCCCAAGCAAAACAGTCACAGTAGACTTACACCACATTGTTACCATGGACGCGTATACCGTCCGCCCGTGCCCTATCTGCCAATCCGACCACTGGGTCCTCACCGAAGACGACGAGAAAGGCCTCTGGGCCCTCTTCAGCGATATGGCGTCCCTCTCCACCATCGAGAGGGAAAAGCTCCGCGAAGTCCTCCAAGACATGTCCGCATCCAAAACCTGCGCGAGCCAGGCCGCCGCGCGCAACGCGCTCGCAGCCGCAGAGCAAGAGCGCGACGACCAGATCAAAACAATCGCAGAACTGGAGCGCGAGCGCGACGCCAAGAAGAAAGCAATCGCGGAGCTCGAGCGCAAGCTGCGGGGCCAAGAGCGCGCGCTCAAGCAGAACGAGGACCTGCATATGGGAATCGAGGAGAAGTGGGAGGAGGGCAAGAAGGCGAAGGACAATCGGATCGCTGCGCTCCGGTACGAGAATATGCAGCTGGCGAATCAGCTTGAGAGGGCCCAGGGACGGGATCGTGCGCCAATTTCTGCAAACAATAATCAGCGTCATGGCCTCCAGCGTCGTGGCCAGGGCGTTGCGGATCTCCGTCGCAAGGGTTTCGTGGGCGCTGCTCCGACGGGTATTGCGAAGTCCAGACATGCGGTTGCTGCTCCAAAGCCGGTGCGCAACTTGCGCGATAGGGCGGTGTCGCCGCTGACGGGCGTCAATGTTCACCCTCTACCCACAAATCCGACAGCCCCAAAGAACGAACATAATCAGCGCCATATGGCTCCCCGTGGCGGCGACCATCAGGCCAGCGGAGGGAGGGGTCGCAAGCTGACGTGCAAGAAGTGCTATGCGCTCAAAATAGACTGCAGCGGCGGCTATCCATGCAAGCTTTGCAAGCAAGGTCAACTGACTTGCAAGTATAGCGTGTGCGCCTACTTCAACACGGAGATGGGCTGCGTGAACCCGGATTGCGGCTTCATCCACGATGAGAAGGGTTACCGGGTTCGTTAGGGAGCCTGAAGATAGTGCGAGGGTTCTAGATGGTCTTATACTCCATCTGGAGGCTGAATCGGGCTCCGGGGGATCAATAGAGGCTATAATATGGGCCTTGTTTTATCGGCTGTCAGATTGGTGGTGGGATTTTCTGCCTTCTGCGGTAATCGGGTTATTCTCACAGATATTCGGTCAAGCTAATCAGATCCGAAGGTGCGTAGGTTCAGCAAACACTGGACTTAGATTAGCGAATGCTAGCTTAAATTTGAAGGCGCAACTCTGCGCTCCCTCATGAAATTGGGCTTGGGCCAATAGATGTATATATACATGAGAATGGAAATACGATCTTTTCCGGACACCCCTGGGTCCGTAAATCAAAAGAAACGACTTGATCTGTTATCGTAGCTGGAAGACACCGTACTCAACAGCTTTGACTGTTCTCTAGGATGAGCTCCGAACTCAAGAAGAGAAGTTGGAGCTCGCTTCAGTGCTCGCCCCGCTCGCTATATTGACACCCTTCACAATGATCTTTTCGCCTGTAGTGCTGGTGACACGGACATCGACCGTAGTGGTGCCAAACCCGCTAGCCTGTTGGAAGAAGTTGTAGTCTTGGCGCTCAGTGGCCTGCCATGTGACGGAGTTGTCGGTAGATACTTCGAGGGATTTCACAGGAACGTTTGCGTTGACAACTTGCATGGAGAACCTAGGTCACATTAGTATAAGCGAGTTGAGGTAAAGGGAGAATAACGCCAGCTTACCAGTACGCAGAGACTCCGTCTTTGTTGTGGAGGGTGATTGGAGATGTGATGTCGCAAGGCACAACGTTCCACGATACGTCAATAACGCCCTTACTCGGGTCGGCCAGGGCAGAGAAAGCGTCGGGGAAGAGGTCTAGGTGATTGAGGCCGCATCCTGGGCATTGATCTACAATCTGTTCGCGGAGCACATTAGAATTCATTCCATGAGGCAGTCAATGCCAAGCAATGTTAGGGTATGAGAAGAGATACTAACCATCGCTCTTACAGAGTTACCACTTGGCCCGGTCACAGAGACACATGCACCACAGTTCGCGGCGGTATCCCAATTTGAGTCTGAAAGGGCGGTCCCGAAAATGCCAGAAGGAAGAGTGTATGTGGTAAAGGAGCACATGCCGCCTGAGATGCTGCCATCTCCATAATATGTTGCCTGACCAGAGTTGCTACCACCCAATGCATTGTCGCTGCTTGAAGATGGTGTAGCCGCTGCAGCGGCGGAAGAAACCTTGGAAGATGAGGCCTTGACGGAAGTGGAAGCCTTGATGGAAGAAGAGGCTAGTTTCGAAACCGAAGTGTGCGCTGCCTCCTTCTTGCCAGCAAGCCCTGCCGCTGCTGTGGAGGCATACACGAATGAGAGTGTGGTGGGGGTTCCAGCGGACGATGCTTTATACGAAATCAGAGGGCTGGCGCTGCTTGCGGCCTCAAGAATGGACGACGACGGAAGCTCGGCAACTGGAGATGGCGTGAGATAAAGGGTCGAAGCTACAGTTACAATGGAGTGGGAGGCTTCTGAAGGTGGAACTGTGACGGTGGTCGCTTTCAGGGTCGTTGTTGTATAAATGGTACCCCCGCAAGTCTTCGTAACAGTCGGAGTAATCGTCACAGTGATGGCATTTCCAGGACAGAAACTGTTTTGGGCAAATGCAAAGCTGAAGCTTGCAGCGAGAACAATCAAAGAAGACTTCATCACGTCTGATCCGGCAGATTCGTAGGGCACAAATATCGAGGGACGGTAGGTAGAAAATGAAGCTAATGTGTAGAAAATGAATGTAATAGAGTCAGAGACCCTGAATAATGTCTACGAAAGAATGCGAAAAAGAGTGCAAGTGACAAAGAACGAAAGAAAGGGAAAGCCGCTACTATATCCATTTCCGCATTCGTCAGAGAATTACGCATCGGAGATTTCTTCACGATTAGGACGGGTATAGGAGATTAAGGAAGACTCGAACGAAAGCCCCGCCTCGCACGAGAACGTCTGGTTGACGCTACGGTCGGTAAGGAGGCGAATACGGCATCTTGTGCGTGTCCTGACACGCTTTTGATGGGGCCAGCGGGGGTTTGGGAGACTGAATTCAAAAGCTCAAACGTAGCGAGATGATCAAGGGGAGACGGTGTGAAGCAAGCCACCCGAGCTGCATGTCGTTGCTCGGTTGGTGGGTATTTCCGGCCCCGTCTTGGCACGGTACCTTCCATCCCAACCTCACTTCCGAGGTTCGTCGCATCTCCACGATACCATCGATTTTCATCTGATGTTGTATCTCTGGTCTCTAACTCGGGATCGCAGTACCAATACCGCAGCTGACTGGAGAGATTATTCTTCGAGTCACGGCCTTCAGTTTCCGTTACGCGATCGACTCCGAATTGTGTCACGCTTCACCATCCCACCTTAGGCATCATGAAAGTACCTCGCAAAAGCTTCCATAGTATCGATCGATTCAACGAGGCTGCTAAATATAGCAAGGGTCTGAATGACATATTAGCGCTCCTGCTACCTACAGAACGCTCGGTTTTCAGCTCGACGGTCATGCTCGTATCGTGGTGAGGTTTCTCAGACAATCGTTTGCAGTAGCACATCCGTCGACCACGTCACCCTACTCTTTACTCCTTTTGATGTTCGCCTGCCGTATAGGAGGTCTTGACAAGGCTGCCAAGCGCTCTTCTCCAAGTTTCATTGGGAAGGCTGAAGATATCTGTGACCATGTGAAAGGCAAATCAGTTCGCGCACCATCGTGGCGCATCTTGGCACCTTCGTGGCGCAGCTGAAGAAGCATTTCAATAAAGGTATGCATGTAAGTATCGGCTCGAGGCTCACTAGAAGGCAAACCTCAGCCTGCCAGTTGCTGCCTACGAGAGCCTCGTGTGAAATATTATTTATGCCACACTTCATCTCAGTCTTATCTCTCTAATACAGCACTGTTTTCCAGTACTTACTCGCACATCATGAGCTCATTGTTGAGCAAAAAACATCGGAAGTCACGTGAGCAGTATTACGACAACCTTGCCATGCCCTACCCAGCGCAACCTTCAAACAACTGGGTGGAGCCGCCCGGAAGGCAAGCTCCTATTCCACCACAACAAGTAGTTCGAGAAGCACCATCTTTCCCAGCCGAAGATCCTTTCGATTACAGACGTCACCAATCTTCGTCGACCGCAGCATCTTCCTCGACTTCTAAGCCCCCCAGTACGGATCATCCTAACGACAGTAACGTTCGACGTGAGAGTTTATCTTACCAACCCCAACCTACCCCATCAATTGTAACCTCGAAATCTGAAAGAGAGAATACTGCGAAAATGACTTCCCTCCATCGGCCACCTAGCCCTGCCATCACCCCTGGAAGTAGGACCCCTGAGGCAGAAAAGCTCCCGAGTACATCTATGAATGCTCCTCCGAGTCCCGCACCGACGATCAGCTCCCCTAGGTCCCCTGCTCCTCCAAGTCCCGCACCGACGATCAGCTCCCCTAAGCCACCTGCAACTCCAAGTCAACCCTCTTCCAGACCCGTCAGACTCACAGCGCACGAGTCTCGTCCGTCAAATCCAAAGGGAACCGAGCCTGATGAGTGGGAAGATGTTATTGGCCTCTGGTCATTTCAAGATCCTAGGGAGATACAATTTCTCAACGTCGTAGACGCGATTCGGAATCACGACCTCCGAAAGAGCTCAAGCTACCTCAGTTAGTGGTCTGTGGGAAGCAGTCCTCAGGCAAAAGCTCCGTGATGGAAGCTATTACTCATGTTTCGTTCCCACGTGGTGACGGCACTTGTACACGATTTGTGACCGAGTAAGTACAGCTAGAACAAGTAGAGTACCAAACTAGGTCTGATTGTCCACTCCACGAATTCGGAGTGTCGTCGTGTAAAGAAGCCTGGGACATCGCCATATTCCCATGACCATTATTCTAATGAAGGTCGCTAGGATTGTCTAATCACCGATCACACCCTGACAAAGATTGCTATCACAGCGAAAATATCTCCCGACACTTCACGTACTGAAAGCGAACAAAAAGTTCTGAAACGATTCAGAGGCACATCGGGTCCTCATGACTTTGACAGACTTGTTAAACTTGCATCCGATGCAATGGGATTCAACGACAGCATTTCCGAGAACCAACCACATTTTGCTGGAGACGTGCTTTGTGTTGAGATTCGGGGTCCAAGATGTCCTCGCCTCACTCTTGTGGATCTGCCAGGACTAATTGCTGTAAATCCTGGTAAAGCAGCTCAAGGAAATGCAGACGACATTCGCATCGTAGAGGCAATTACTGACAAGTACATACGGGACGAAATGTCTGTAATTCTGCCAGTCGTCAACTCAAATGTTGATATTCAGGTATGTCCTGCCAAATTACAACTCTTTTGACTATGCTGATAACCTAAAAGGATCATGGCATTCTCGAAAAGGCCCGTCGCGTGGATCCAAAAGGCCGACGAACGTTCGGAGTTATTACCAAACCCGACCGCATCGATGCTGGAGGGAAGAGCGAGGAAGACTGGTTAAGGCTCGCCCGACAATCCGAAGATGCATTCTTCAAGTTCGGGAAAGGCTGCCACGTTCTCGTCAATCGTAGCAATCAAAAACCACAGACCGGAACTTCGTCTGCAGAACGCGACGTGAATGAAGAGAACTTTTTCCGCGAAGAGTTCTGGTCCGAAGATAGCGGCGAGAATGCAGGGAAGACAAATAACTGGCACGCACTATACCCAACAAATCAATGGGGCACGAGGCACCTAGTCCCTCGTCTCGGTACTCTTCTTTACAAACATACGCTTGAGCAAATCGATAGCGTCCGCACCGACATCGAAACGAGACTCGCAAATTATGACGCGCAACTAGAACACCTAGGGCTGGGCCTACTCGATTCGTCCAAACTCGCCAACATTCTCTTGGCACGCTTTCTCGAGATTTCGAAAACTACATCTCAGGCCGTCCTCGGTACCTATCGCCTCGACCCCTCCTTCTTCGGCATAGACGAAGACGAAAAGACGTCTCGCTACCTTCGCTCTCGTATCCGTGACGGAAACGCCGCGTTCCACGCGCAGATGAAGGCGAAAGGGCACAGAGCAGAGTACAAAGTCGCACCCGACGAGGCACCACCAGATGACTTTGCTTGGGCAGACTTCTTTCATCGATTCTTGAAAGAGTCTGTGGGGACAGAGTTACCAGGCAATTTTGATCCAGAGCGTACGACTAAGTTGTTCCATCACTACTCTAAGCCGTGGGCGGAATTATCCCGCGATTACCTCAAGCTCGCAAACAGGCATTGCAGAGATTTCTTACTCCTCGTCGTCAACCGAAAGCTTGGCAAAGACTTCCCTGATATCGCCACAAACTTCTGGAAGCATGTCATGGAAGCGCGACTACAAGAGCGGGTCAAAAGCGCAGCCGGTGAGCTTGCAGCGCTTGAAAAAGATCGCACCGGTGACCTCGTAACGGAGAACTTGATGTTTCTAGAGCAATCCTCAGAGAAGTTCGCCGTCAGGCTCGCAAAGAGGATCAAGGGTGCTGAGGCCCAGAAGGTGTTTCCGCCGCAGAGCGATGACCAGATGGCGAAGGTAATTGGGCTTGGTGATCCGGCAGGGAAAAGACAAGAAGCTGCGGTACAGATGATGCAGGAAATGTTAATTTACTACAAGGTCAGTATTTGCCATGCTCCACTCTTCCATACTTTACTCCAGGACATGTCGATTGACCTCTATGACTATAGATTGCACGCGACCGCTACATTGACAACGTTATCATTCAAGTCGTAGAGCGCCACTTGCTTCGCTCCCTCGACGAGGAGTTCAGTCCTGACTGGATCCGAGACGCGAGTCTGTTCGATCGGGTCACTTGCGATCCGAAACACGATGAGCGGCAGAGGGAACGGGATGCTGTGCAGCGTAAGCGGGATAATTTGCAGGATTGCTACTTAACGCTAGAGAGTCTGCGAACATAGTCTAGTGTGTCTGTGAGTGTGGGCACATTGGCCTTCTTTCGAGATCTGCTTTCCTTCTGGGGCGTCATGTGTATCGTCTTGCTACGGCATGGCTATACGCAGGACTGCGCTCTAAATCACAACACCGTAACCTTTACATTCAACTTCTAGGTTCATCATATCTCTAGAGGTGTCTCACATCACTATCTACCAGCCCAAAATGCGCCCCCGGATATCCTATTTGAACCTTGTAAGGAAAGTAGTAAACCAGCGCTATGGATAGGGTTACAAGAGAGTTACTTGCATTCAATTGAATCAAAGTTTTGGCAGAGTTTATGAATTATTCCAGTAATTGAGGTGGCCTCAATGTCTCTCCACATCCAGCACGATCCCAACTAGACTAGCTAGATATACACTGCGGTATTCGAGCAATGCAACACGAGTGCATTATTAAGGCTCATTCGTACCTCCCTCAGATCATCATGCCCAATCAGGTGAGACGCCATTGATTCTCTGCATCAATTGCAGCCCATCAAGCCGGCATCAGCGCCATGTCGTCGTTGTCCTCGCCATTATGCTTATGCTTACGAACATACTTGCAATCTTTACCAGCGCCAGACTGCACACAGGCACGGCAGGGTCAAACTCCGTTGCAAACCTTTCTCGCATCAAGACAGGCCGTACAAGTCGTAGGATCGCAGCACTTTCTCTCATTAGATCGAGAGGAGGAACTCAGGACAGTGGAGAAGGACAGGGCCATTATGAACCAGCTCTGGACAAAATTGGAGGGTTTACGAGAAGAAAAACGTGTCCGGTTGGAGCCCTCCGCCCGTAAACTCCGCTGCTCTCACTGCTATCAGTCGAATCTGGACTGCGATGGTGGACCGAATGCCAGAACTGCCAGGCGGCGAAGGAAGAATGCCTGTATCAAATCTGCAAGCCGTTTGAGGAGCATGCGCGCTGGGGCCACGGCAAGTGATGCAAGAGGGCACATTGCACTCAATTCCACGGGCAGGGTAGGACTGGATACCATTTTAAATAGGTACAGAGCAAAACGGGGCAACCAAGGCTAGAAGGGCTACGACACAGAAGGAGGATATCAAAATGGGCTGCATGGCGGGCGCAGCGGCCACCTTACCTGTCCAATTTCGCGATGCAGCTTCACTCTGTTCCCATTGTTCTCATCCGCCAACACTACCTGACACATCGAAACACCCTCTTAAATCACTGCTTCCTGTATATACTTCTTTATTTGTCTAAGAAAGAATATCGAGCACACAGGCTTTTCTTGTCAGCGGTGTTGGCCGGGCACGGGATTTAAGCTGATGCCTGTCGATAGAGCCCCTCGACCCTCTAGGCTCAAGTAGAGCGCAAGGTTGCAACTATGTGTGATGGGGTTGGCTCTAGCTCGTAATGGGCGTGGGAGGCCGTCGCTGCAGAATTAACTGAAAAAGTTCCAAAAGATAGGCGCAGATTTCGGTCCTGAATTCACAAGGTCAAGCTCTACGGTGACCCATGAATGGCCTCTCAGCTTCATGAGCATAGGTTACTTAGCTAGAAGCAGAGATCAAAGATGTGCCAAACACTGCATCCAGCCCGCAATTTGACCTCTTTAAACATGCAGTGGTGTTCGGCCACCTGATCTGTGACCTATTTCCGTGCCATCATAATACCCTTGTTGTTATTGAACAGTGATGATAGTGCACGAGAGGAAGAGGCAACAAGATGTGGCTGCTGGTAGCGAAAGACAGAGATTTCCTTTTTTTTGGGGTGATGGTGCTCGCCATTAACTTATCTCGATGATAATAGACGCGATTAGTCAGTCATAATATACAGTATCGAAGAGGTGGAAACTTGCACTTGAAGATGATAGGACTATGGGAATGAAAACATAACGTCACATCACGGATTACAAAGATCTCACTGCTGCAGATGGAGATTATAGTAGTATTGATTTGATTATAAGAGCGACGCAGTCCTCGGCTTGAAAAGCCTCCCAGCGATATGAAGATAAACATGCTAACAGAGTTAGTGAAGGCCTTGCAAAAGAATTGAGAGGGAATACTTCCATAAGGTTGAAAAAAGGTCGCCACCATCCCTCTGGCGTCTCGCAGCTGGTGCCGAACCACCACCCGACTCGTCCACGATGAAGACTGGGTTAGTGGGGGGAGGGACAACATACCTGCAGCTACATGCCACTGAGCGACCCACTGGTTTAGGCTCTGGGAGGACCCGAGCACCACATGAATCGCTCCTTACAGAAGAGGGTTCGTTGCATCGAAGAGTTCTTGGAGGTGGCAGCCCGACCCGTCTATGCTGCGTAGAACAGGACAAAGCTTGCCCCTCGTCGATTGCAACGGTTCCTAATCTGCGAGGCAGCAGGATCCCTGGTGGGATGGCAGAGGTACAGCTGTAGCGCGCGCGCTCATTGTCCCGTGGGTCTGCTGCGCCGCAACTGTTGTGCACTGCCGGTGTCTGGGAACCCATGACACTTTTGTGGCGTACCAGTTGCGCTCCCTAATGTCGGGAATCCCTAATGTCGGGACGGTCCTACCGGTGGCATGTTGGTGTTGGCTTGAAGAAAAGAAGTTCAGGTCGGCGGGTGAGGAGCAGAAGATATAGTCGCTGGCTTGGCTGATTACTCAGCGGCGCACGGACACACTCCGCGACCCGCGCAAGTCGGCAGGCAGCAACGAGCAGCGAGCCAATCAGAGGCTTTCACGTCACCTAACAGCGTATAAAGGCCCCTTCATCACGTGCCCGGCAGTGATTCTTACCTTTGTATGAACACTTCACAAAGTAATTCCGCAGTTTCTAATTGGCTACATATTCTCTCCGTGCGTATCACCCTTGTAAGAATGGTGCGCTATCCTCTAGAGGTCCTTTCTAGAGAGCACTTCTACGGAACGCTTATAGATAACAGCCTAAGGTAGCTATTATTACTTACTGCTGTAGGTTACGGCCAGTGTTATAATAAGCCTACGTGGTGCTGCTAGCCCATACTGCGGCCTACACCGTAATGCGGCCTATACCGTGATGGCCTACATGGCCTACACCGTGATGCAGGTAGCTATCGGCTCTTACAACGTATTGCGCGGCACACTCCTTAGACGCTTACAGACAACAACTATTACTATTTTTACTAAGAAGTGTTCGCCTTCAGCCTTATAAAGTGCTGAAAGATGTTTACTGTGCACAGCATACAAGTGTAGTAGAAGGATAAGATGTAGCTAATCAAAGCCTGCGTTGTAAATATGTTGTGCTGTTCATTAAAATCGCTAGCGAGCACGTGACGAAGGGGTCTTTCTGAGGGACCTGCCCCGAGGCTGCCCGGTCATAATCCAACCTCAACTTCAGCTGAGATCCCAGCCTTCCCGCTGCTGCCTTCGAACCCCGCACCACTCTCCCAGCGGGCCGTATCAAATGATGTACGGCAATATCGCAGGTATAAGACTGATGTATTCGGCTCCGTCAATCAATCTAGTATTCTAAACACATGCGGTATCTTCGTCCCCAATAAAAGCTGCCTTGGCTGCTATATGTTTCAATTTGTAATAGCAAGCTGCAGCTTTACTAGCAGTCCTCTCTCCTCTGTCGCATGTCAATACTTTTCAAGGACCCGACTAAAGTTCGCAACTTCTAGCTTTCCGCCCCCCACTGCAGAGAACCACGGAATCGTCTCATCGCACATCAGTCCAGCAGTTCGAATTTCTCTGGAAGAAACCGGATTTGAAAAGGTCGTCTACATCTGTCTCCGATGCATCCATCACCTCCCAGGCATCTACTCCGCTTGAATCCGCATCATCAGCCTTCAAAGTCCGTGGATTGATACATTCAAGAAAGTCTTCTCGAAACGTAGAAGCATTAGCTACTTCAAAGGATTATTCAGAATGCGCGTTCTGTGGGCCTCTTCATCGACAAACCATAAAGTGGGAGACTTTTCGGCTCTTGCTTTACCGCCTCGGCCAGAGCAGTGAGACATGCCATCAAACATGTCGGGTGCTTTTACAAGCATTAAAGCCTTCAATTCCTCCGGAAAGCGAGCGATGTCGGAAACTGCTTCAGAACTTGGATATCGCCGTGGAGTCGCAGGTGCGTGCAGGCGGTTTCGTATTCAATTTTGGGAAGACCGCGGAGAAAGAGGCCCTTTCCGTTTCGTTGCCCAAGCCATCTTTAGGTAAGTCGCGTTGCTTTTGCAGCGAAAGAATAGGCGCGCGTTATGATGCTGATTCTCGTGATAGCTGACAATATCGCTGGTAAAATCTCCTTGCTGTTCTCTCGCCGCCAAAAACCTCCCGGCCCCCTTCCTCAAATATCAAGTCGCTCCGATTCGGAAGCCGCCTTCAAAACCGTGAAAGCTTGGATCCAAACGTGTAACTTGAACCACCATATGTGTTCCAGAAGCAAAGACGCCAAACTTCCGACCCGAGTCCTTGACGTAGGGCGGGTCGAAAATCAGACTGATTCTGCCGAAAGGTAAAGAGGATACCAACTACGTTGCGCTCAGTCATTACTGGGGCAATACACATACCTTTATAACCACAAGTACCAATCTTGCAAAAACATACGAGGGCATCCCCTGGTTGGAGCTACCAAAGACTTTCCAGGATGCCGTGATCATAAACCGACGATTGGGCATTCGTTACTTGTGGATCGATTCTTTGTGTATTCTCCAAGATTCAGAGTATGTGTTTGCATGCTTCTTAATCCTTCCACTGACCAGAATCAGAATCCGCATGTAGGTACCGGAGTGTTGAAGGTCGCTAATGGGCATGCAGAAGTGATTGGCATTTTGAATCCGCTCGAATGGGCGAGATATACACAAACTCATATATAACCAGCGCCGCGTCTCTTGCTCCAAATGGTGGAACTGGGATATTCCATTCCCGGTCCGGGGAAACCTACAAATTTGAGAACGGTGTTACAGTCAAACTATCTCTTGCAAGTAGCCATCTAGACCCCCCAAGACCATTGACCCTTTACTCACACGCTCATGGGCTTTTCAAGAGCGGATCCTACAAGCTCATGTGCTATCGTACGGCTCAGAAGAGCTGAAATGACACTGCAAGACCTCCAAGAAGTGCAAATGTGGCTTTGGATGGCCAGAACCAGCGCGAGACGCCCCAAACGAAATGCTGCAGGCACACCGAGAACTCCGCTACCATGAGCTCATTGCCAAAGCCACCGCTCTTGCGATCGAGAAAGAAGGTGCAGAGATCCGAGAAGAGCACATGTTTGAGGAAATTGGCGCATTTCTCGCACTACGAAAAGAGGCCGTAGACCCAGACTGGGACATCGATGAAGAGGAATGGCTCGATTTGTACGATTACTGGAGGGACTTCGTCGTGCCGGCATACACACGGTTGAAATTGACGATAGAGTCTGACAGGCTTCCTGCTCTCTCTGCGATAGCATCAGGTATCGGGGCGGCCGTCCCAGATACCTACCTTGCCGGCTTATGGCGTAAGGATGTTCGCCATGGTCTCGCATGGAGCGCATCTGCCGACGCAAAATTGCCCTCAGCATATCGTGGTCCGTCATGGAGCTGGGTTTCCGTCGAAGGGCCCATAACTTACTGGCCGTTGCTGCGCGAAAAGAGCCCTCCTAGCGAGAACAGATGGTCGTCATACCGAGATACGAGAACTCTGCGCCCGTCTAAACCTTCTCTCCGAGTCCTCAAAGCGTCCTGCACACCGGTATCCTCGAATAGCACTGGCGCCGTCAGCTCTGGTATGTTGAAGTTGCGAGAGGATAAGTATAGCGCAGTACTCGTAGTCGACTCAGCAAGACAGGAACCCGGGATAGAGCAAGGGTCGAAAGTGGGAGCCCAGGTACACTGCTCGATGATTTGTGCAAAAATTCACATGGTACGTTATGAAACTTGGCATGATACTTTGCTGTTAGATCCTGGTCGAATAGCATCATTCGCGCTGATAGATATGAGCGACCCGAACATCTCTATCACTCTGCTCTACCTGGGAGAAGAATGCTCGACGGACGAGAATTTGAAGCCGCTGGAATGGCGACACGATCTACCGAAAGACCAACTCATATCACCCTGAAGGCTTTTCTCGTACTGCGCAACTCAGAGAAAAAGAAGCGCGCGTTTGAGAGAGTCGGAATGTTTCGAGGCGCGAGTTTGCCAGCTAGGATAAGTTAGGTGCGGACTGAGATCACAATCCTGTGACGAGGCCCTACCTCATTTCATCATGGTCCTTTCGCCGTTGGAATACGTCTCAACACTGGACAATCGAGATGTTATCGGCTCTCATAGCTCGTTTTCCGGAAGCTGTTCTGCAGAGCACGAAGTAATGGGCTTGGCATAGCTGCGCTTGCCGTCAGGATGAGGCTCGACAAGTCAAATTGTAAGTAAGATCAATTTTGTTGGCTGGCTAGATTTACTCACCCAGAACGCGTGCAGTCACAGTGAGACATTTTGTCAAGCTAAGAGCATCGCTGGTCTGGATCACCAAGTTTTCCCTGACGCTAGATATCCACTATCGTGGCTCGATCAAGGAAAGAGGATAAGCGATGTGGCTTTGTGGCGTCCTACACTAGAGCCTCATCAAGAATGCCAAGCCCCCCTCTTTCGAGACAACAACATGCATGCCTTGTGACGGAGTACGTATTCCTAGCCAGCTAGCCTACGGAGTGTGGTACGGCTAGCGTCGGCTACCTTAATATAGAACACGGTTCCTATATTTAGCCCTCACAGTTCTACGGTACGGCTACGTAAGCCTCCACACACAGGAGTATATATACGGCGTACGTAGCCTAGATAGATGCTCAGCCAATACATCACTTACCTCGTTCAATGCATTGTTTCACCTCCATCCTCACCTTGCAATGCTTCCCATCTCTCAGACCATGAAAATCCTCTTCAGCTCCAACTCATGCAATTACATCGCACTGAAGATCTCTTGTAGTTAACGATGACTCGACAGCTTCGCGACAGGCCTGCTATTGAGATGGAGGCGCGTTGGACTCTATTTTGCACAAACGCATCGCCAAATACCAAGAAAAGCTTCAACAGAGATGCTAAAATCTAGACTGCCGTCATGCCGCTTTCAGATTCTCCTCGTCTGGTTCTGGCTTGGTGTCCCATAGAGCCGCGGGGACGCCGTGTTGGGCTCCTGCCTCGACCTCGTGGCTGGCTGGGGACGAGATCGGGCTCTGGCTTATGACCAGATGCCTGCCGCTCACCTTCGCGCTTTGCTCTGACTTCAACCTCACTCTGTCGCGTTTCTTTTGTAGAGCACATCCACTCGTTATTTTGATCTTGTTAGCCGCCACTCCTCGTTTAGACGAAGCAACTGCTATATTTTATTGCTTTGGTCGCAATCATGCTGCTCTTGTTTTGGGTCTCAGCTCTCACGGGCCTTGCGTCTGCGGTTCCTACGTCTTATGATACATGTAAACCTCTCCCCACTGGTCATGGACCAAAAGCGAAACCTGATACTGTGGAGGAATTTTATGCTCTTTCAGCGCTCAAGGCAAGCGCGCTTTCCATTTACTTCTCCAGAAACGCTGCTAATCTGTTTCAAGACTCTATCATCTTCGACGCATACTCCAGAGGGGTATTCTCGAGTGTTTCAGGGAGAAAAGGGCTCCGTGTCGGCTTCTAATTACCTTGGCTCCTACATCTTGACCAGTTATAGCGCCGAAACCTGTGCTCCGCTGTGTAATACTAAGAAAGGCTGCGAAGGTTTCAATATGTCCGTGTCCGCCAGTTTTATAAATTTACCTACTTGACACTCTCCTAGTTTTATCGAGAGGGATCCTTCCCTTGAGCCAAAGCCTTCTAAATGTCCTAACCCACCTTCAACCACAAACTACAAGTGTACACTCTGGGGAGCGGCCGTACGTGAAGCAAGATATACCGAGCTTAGCAGCATTCCGTGTTACTGATGCTCGTTTCACAGGTGTGTGCCAGTCAGGTCAAGGACAAGGGCCATTGTGAGGAAGGCTTCCACATCGTCATTACCGGGTCGAATGGTAGGGCGCTCACCAAGTCAGACACTTCCGACGTTGCCTAATAGCTTTCAGGATACACCAAAAAGGCACCGAAACCGAAGCCACTCTCCAGCGCGAAGTCCAGCATCAAGACAAGCTCCAAGTCTGGCTCTAGCACTAAATGCAGCTCCTCTCTTTCCACGAAGGTTTCCAGTACAACCGCCAAATCCAGCTCGTCTACCCCATGCAAGTCTTCAAGTGCTTCCAAGCCTACATGGGTTTCCTCCGCGCACTCGACAGCTCGCACTTTCGGGCCTTACTCTTCCAAATCGACGACTTCATTTCCGATTTACACAAGCGCATCCCGCGCTTCGTCTAGCGTTGTTTTTTCAAGCACGTCTTCTGAGCTCGTCCCTTCATCTTCATCATCTGAACTGCAATCAAGCACGACATCTGCATCCAGCATCTATACTACTATACCATCATCGACGACTAGCAGTCCTGAACCAAGCCAGACGACCTCAACCGTCACCATCTCCTCGTTCAGCAGCTCTACAGGATCCCAATCTATCTCTTCGGTATCTTCTGTAGACTCCCAAAGTAGCATCCTCTCCTCGTCCATTAGCTCTACGGACTCCGAGTCGGCCACTTCGACGTCTACTGCCGGCTCCCAAACAAGTAATATCCCCTCCTCATCCACCAGCTCCACGGACTCCGAGTCAATCACTCCGACGTCTGCTGCCGACTCCCAAACAAGCAGCACACCCGAATCCAACACGACCTCCGAAGTCGCATCATCTAGTGCGTCTTCAACAAGCGACGTTACTCCATCACCGACGTGCACTTCGACATGGGTCGTTACATCCGATCTCGACTACTTTGGAGTCGATGACCGTAACAGTCCTGAAGTTTACAATAGCCTGGATGGCTGTATCTCAGCGTGTGATGATATTAGCGAATGAATTGCCGTTGTCTGGGCCCAGGGAACCTTTTGCTACCTGAAAGACACCATCACAGCCGAAGTCCCTCATCAAGGATACACGGGAGCGAAACAGGTCGAGGTATGCACCGGAGCGGCAGCTTCGAGCAACACGTCCTCGCCTGCGACTCTTACGAGTACGTCTGAAGTGAGCTCTACACCAACCGCAGAACCTAGCTCAAGCAGCTCAACTATCGATGAGACTTCAGCATCCGCGTCTTCCTCTTCTACCGTCGATTCTCCTGCCACATCTACCACGGCATCAGGAAACGCGGGCGCCAACTTCGCCCTGCCCCAGCATAGCGGCTTGAACGAAGCGCTGCTCAGTACCGGTAGCCCTGGCGACTGGGTATGGGTCTCTCAGACCATTACTGTGTGCCCGGACATGTTTTATGATTTCAGCGCCTGGGCACGACCCAGGTACCGAGCATCCGGCACCGGCGTCCCATGCCAGCTGGTCTTCCTGGGGGATGGCGTAGAGTTTGCGAGGACGGCACTAGTGAGACCTGCCAACGCCGCTGCAAACATCTGGCTCGAGACGATGGCGACGGGCGTTCAGCTCAGCAGCAGCACGGTTGATTTTAGCATGCGGTTGTCGTGCGAGGGTGTGCCGGCAAATGATCTCTTCGGTCTATGGCTAGATGATGTTGCGCTTACGGCGGCGACGACGTCTGCTGCGGTGCAGTCTGCCGCTGCGAGCTCCGCGGTAGCGTTATCGAGTTCGGACATAGCAGACAGGTGAGTAAAGACCCCAAGGGCCCGCTGCGCTCGAATTCGAGAAAATGCTAATCCACCTCCTAGCACGCCCACGCCCACGCCCACGCCCACGCCCACGCCCACGCCATCTGCTACTACAAGCTCCGCGATAGCTGCATCGAGTTCGAACATGCCATAAAGGTATGGTGTTTTGGGGGAGTACGCGCGTGCTTGGAGTGGAGGGTGTGTGTCCGGAGGGAGAGCTAGCGTAAACGCATCATGATTTCTCCTTAGACGATTTTAGTTTAGCGGCGGAGAACGGCGGATGAAGTAGATGCGCTGGTGACTTTGTTGGAGATGAGTTGTGTGTATATATTACCGTTATACTTGTATGTATCAAAATACTAGTAGGATTCGAATCATGAGATAGCTATAGTCTACGATTTTCAAGTATACTACACGTGTCGATAGAATCACGCTGATACTAGATCCTGTTTTGCTAATAGTTTATCTTTCAACTGTGCGAGCGAGCAAAAGCACCCCGAAACACCCTCCTCTGAAACAACGATGTGGAAGTCGGCGCCGCCGTTACGCTCGCCAACGACACCGTAGCGCATAGTCACGTTAACGTCTTCAGAAGTTGACTGGGAAACTCCCCTTCGCGCAAAGCCTCCCCGTGCACTAACCCTATGGAAGGAAGCTCGACCCACGTGATCCACAGGATCCAACCACCAAACTCCGTGCAATCCACGTGCTATCCCCCTCGCTCGGATATATAACCTCCCCTCCTTGATGCAATCAGCGACGCGAACACCGCACCTTTGTGGTGTTCAAACGGAGTCCTAGGAGGTTGCCCATGGTTTGGGGATTTGGGTGGGAGGGAGGATTGAACACCGCAGCTTTGTGGGATTCAAAACCTGCTAACCATAAAAATTGATGGTTTGGGGGATCTGGTGGATTCGGGGGCAGGGGATCCACATGCGTGGATCGAATGGCCCATGGGGTGGTGGGTGATGTTGAGCAGCGTGGAATCCTCATGTTGGGAGCGGTGTGTGGGGGTGCGTAAGCTGGTTTGGTGGTGGGTATCGTGAGGGAGCGGTGGTGGTGAGCGTTATTTCTTGAAGCTGGTGGAACCTAGGACCGATTTTAGTTGATAGGCCATGTCTTCTTTTCAGGATTGTTGGAGGCAGTAGAAGCTGGGAGAGTTGCCGGTCATCACTTCGAATAACTGCCATCCTACGCGGGTCAAAGCTTACCGTAATCCCACTGGGAATGGTGCCGATGAAACTTCATATTGCGCGGCACGCGTAGCATCCATCCCATGAGATGGCGGATGTGGTAAGATCGTGACATGTTGACATCTTCAACGAAGCGTCTCAAGGCAATAGCAGCAAACTTTACAGACATGACCTGCATGAATGGGACAAGTCGGTGGTTGCAATTTATTAGCATTATGATCTACTTATGGTAATCATTGATTCACCGCTGATGTACAGCGACTGATTAATTTGCAAATGAAGTATATATCATGACAAAATAGGTACAAGATGTTCGTCCTAGCTTCGCCCAAAGGTTACTGGTCTCCAGCATTACGAAGAAGTGTGAACTCGATGCTGAGGGGGGAAGGGGCAACATACCTAAACCTACCTTCAGCAGTACCAAACGACATGCCACTGAAAGGAGTTCCCTGAGGGACATACCCTCCCTTGTAGACCGAGATACAGCGACTCCCAGGTCTTGAATCCTCATCTCTTACTGCCATAGAGAAAGAAACAAGGAGCCATGTTAAGTTGCCTACTGTTCTCGGTCCGCGAGCTCGGTAGCGAAGATCAGACCAGAGCCGCCTCGCCAGCGATCCAGAGGAACATGTGCCATTTTCGATGGACGACTCCGGCCCTCACAACACCACCAAGCGGGTCCAGTTGAGGCGCCTTGCGAACTCTCAGCCTTTCCGGACTCAGCTGGCCCGCCTTGCAATCCTCAGCCCTGTCTGAAGAATGAATACCTAGCCTATCGAGGTCCAGCTGGCTCACCTTGCGATTCCCAGACTTTCCAAGAAGTCAAAGGCAGAAAAAAGAGAGTCAACGTGGCATGTGTGGAAGGAAAGATGAGGAAGTGGAAAGTTGCAGAGCGAGACTATTCTGCGCGGGAGACGCTTAAGTACGCAGGCGAAGGCGCTACATTAGACTCCACGTGATAGTCATTAAGTCACGAGAAATGACTCCTCCGACCTAACGCTTAGGGAATATCTGTTCTCGCACAGCTAGGCCGTACCGACCTCTAGGTTATGGCCGTAGGTTGTTACCGATCAAACTTACACGCAGTTATCTTCGGTGTCAATCATGTGGTTTTCACTCATAGACAGGCCATACCGGCGGTGCAGATATGGACTGTGTTAAATATCTCATCTCTCCCACCATAGATTGACATCAACTTGCAAGTTTCGTGTATATTTGCATCATTTATGCCACGTTAAACTCCTGTGAAGTCAAAACTGAACGTCTTGAAGCACTGATTGGCAGGTACATTCACGGAACCACGGAACAAGACGAAATGGGATACAGGTTTAACGATAGCGATGAGAGCGTCGAGGGCGCTAGGGCTAGGTGATCATGGTTGCAAAGCGTCTGTGAATTGGTGATAGTATTCTCTCTTGGTTGCCGAGTGTTTCATAGCAAGCCGCACTAGATCTTGGAGCCATGAGCAACACCAATGGGCTAAACTCTTTAGTATTATCAGCTATTGATAGCGATCCTCAGTTCACTGCTGTAGTTTAGAGAAAGTGAAAAGAACAACACAATAGGGAAAGAATCAATTGACAGTTACAGGGTGAATTCATAGCCCAATTCTTCCATCCTGTAGATCCCCCCTTCTCAATCTCAAGACACCCTCTTCCTCTTCCTCGCAGACATCTCATCGGCTTCCATCTCCTCGACATCCTCCTGGGAAGCAGACTTCCTAGCCGCCGAATTCCTGATATGCTGATCCCAACCATAGCCAAGCTCGCTATGAACCGCACTACAGCTCTCTTTTAGGCAGCCATACTCCCTCGTCCTGTTGGCAAACTTGTCTCGCTTGCAAAGCCCATACCGGCACTTCTCCGCGTCCCCAATGTCGGCGCATTGAGAGCAAGGAAATCCACCATCACATTCTTGGCCGAGCATGTAGCAGAGCCCGCATTGGAGTTTACGTGTTTCTTCTGCGAGTGGAGATGAGTTGGCTGTAGGACGTAGCGCGCGTTTCCTCGTGAGGCTGCCGAATGGGTCGATGCTTGTTGGAGTGGCTAAGAACCCACTCCTCGCCTTCTCTGAGCGATCGGCCTCAACCCTCGCCATCTCCGCGCGTTCGGGAACCGAAGCCTCCTTGCGAGCCGCCCTGAGCTTACTTACTGAGCTCCGCAAGTAACCTGTCCTTCTGCTCTGTGAGACGATCAATCGCTTCTCGACCCGCCGCTTTCCGTCTCCCCCCATCCGCTTCTGTAGCCCTCAACCGTTCCTTAATGCCGTCCCGCTCCCTCCTCAGCGCAGCCATCGTGCGCCCAGTATCCGTAGCCGCAGCCTCCCCATAATCCTTCCGAAGTGCGCGGTGAATCCCCTCGGCCATCTCGCGCCGGCCCTTCTCGTTCTCATCCCTATCGCCTGCGATCTCCACTTCATCGCTCACTATATTGAGCATCTCCGCATGGCACTCTCGCTCTCCTTCCCGCGCAACCTGCTCTTCCTCTCGTGCTGTCGTCAAGTGATGCTGCTCCATCGTCAACTTCTGGACTGCCGTAGCAAGCGACGCCACTGCGCGGTCGATGGTCGCGCGGATCTTGAGCGCTTCGTCGGCAGAGCCCGATTCCCGATACCGAGCGAGGAGGAGCGTCAAGCCGGCTTGGTCGGAGGGGAGGGGAATCTCGTGCTGTGCCTGGCAGATCTGGCATGGGTGGGATGCGGAGGAGGACATTTCGGGTTAAGTGTGGGTGGTGTAGGTTGGCGGAGGATGAATGATGGTGATGGATTGCAGACAGCGCTGGGCTTGTAGGCGCGCGAATGTTGTAAGTTTAGTTGAGGCTCCTGATTCAGAGAGATTGAAACGTGGCGTGGGCGTGGGTGAATGGTTGGTTCGGCGCCAGACGATTTTACACGTACCACACTTGATACTTCTTTTGCTCGCCAGCGACGAAAAAGCACGTTCTGTGGAAGTTGAGTCAAGAAAGGTGGAACTCGTTCAAACCGAAAGGAGGTTCAATCTTGTGTCTCTACCTGGTTAGGAAAGCCCGCGTGCGCACTGTTTCGAGTGAAGCACAGGAACTGCCCCCCATACTTTCTCCCTGGGCACATATCCGCAGCACTGGACCATCGTTTTCAGTCTAGTTGGGCTCCAATCTTGCTCCCCCGACGCCACCGTAAGGAGCAGCCCAACTAGCAGGTAGTCGGTCAGCCAAAAGGTAACCAAATTTCCACCGCTCAACCAATACGTCCATCCCCACTACCAACCCCCTGCGCAACCGGCTCATTCCAAAACCAAACTCTTGACTTTCTTAAAAGCACCCTCTCCTCTAATTCCCCACTAACAAGCCCCGTCCCAGCACCAGCCTGTCTCCTAACACCCCCAAAACACATCCACCCATACTCCGCATCCCTCTCGTTCTTATTAAACACGCCAAGAAGCTCTGCTTCATCACGCTCGAGCGGAAACGGACTATTATCCTGCAGCCAGACGTATCTATACCTCGACCTGCCATGGTCTGCGTTCCAGTTAACACGATAGGCGAATTTGCATGCGTCTTCGGCGATTTGAGTGAGTGCGAGTTTGACGAGGTTGCGCGCTTCTGGGGCAGTGGCGGCGGGGTAGGTGTAGAACTCGTCGAGGCCGTTTGAGATGACGCTTTCGACGTATTCGGCGGCGAGGCGGGGGTAGAGCGCTTCGTCGATGTCTGGAGGGTTGGTCGTGGTTAGTGGATCTTTCCAAGCATGATGGGGGATGGGGCTTACCGATGTTGTTTTGAGATAGTGTGTCTACTAGATCATCTAATCCGGTTATTTTTGCCATGTGAGGTCGGCGGCGTTGGTCTGAGGGTTGCTGGGACGTGTCCTCAGAGGGCTGCTCCGACGGTGGTTCCGTGGGCTGCTCATAGCGGAAGAAAGCTTCAAATAGTTTAAGCCCGATGTACCATCTCAGAAAGAGTGACCGCATCTCCTTGTATTGCGCAAAGTTTTCCCATTTGTCCGTAGCGGTAGGTTCGTAGCGCAGTATCATGTTCGCTATTCTTTCGATCGTATTGTCGAAATCCTCGAAAAACGTAACGACGTCCCTGTCAGAGAGGGGTGCTTCTGACAGCTGAGAGCCGTGAGAAGGTATTGAAGCACTTCGAGCAGCTCCAAAGGAGTATTGGCGATCATCGGGCTTGGGCAGTGAGATGAGGCGCTTGGTAATTTCTTTGGTGAGATCTTCCTTGTATTCAGTGATAATGTACTGGAGCGGTGGTAGCACTTCCTCTGCCACGGTTCGACTCTTGCTTTGTTTGGGCTCCGCTCCCATCCCCTTAATGCCACTGAAATGAGCTGGGTCATTTTTGAGGTGCGTTTTAAGCTGTCTGACCTCCTTCGTCAGACGCTCATTATCGACCTTCAGCTTATCCGCCATCGCCTTCACTGTATCACGCTCCGATGCAACCTCTTGTAGTAAACTATTCGTCTTTTCTAAGCCCGATTTCTCTATGATCAGTGCCACCATCTTTCGGCGTAGACTTTCGAGTTGCTCGTGGAGCCTCATCACATCGGGTGTCTGGGAGAAGGAAGGTCCATCGGGTGCTCCAGATAGGCTGTATGAACGTGGCGCGCCATTAGGTGTCTCGTCCGACGGCCCGTCCGACGTTCCTTCATTCCGAGCTTCTCGAGCCCTGAGTTCTTGATCACGCCGGGTACGGTAGCGGTTGATTGCGTCCTGGAGGTAATTCCTCAAGATAGCCTGAAATTTGGGGTCGGCAGGATCGATGTCCGGCGGCCATGCATCATTTCCGTCGGCCATGCTGATCACGCCTATGGAATGGAGGAGAGAGGTGACGCGGGAAACATTCTTGGTGTGACGAGGACTGGAGAAGAAAGGAGCTCGGTTTCTTTGTGAGCTGCCAAGGCGTGCCCCTCGAGGCAATGCGAACAGTTTGACAAAGAAACGTGGACATTATCTCAACACGTGCTTAGCGAGTAGGAGAAACACCGAGGGTCGTTGACACTCGCCCTATCTACTATGCGGCCTGATTCTCTATGCCATGAAGAGTTAATGAAGCGGTTGGGGTTTCGAAAAAAGAAATAAACAGCAAGGATGCGCCAATCAGCATCTAACCTTGCCGTTGCCTACTCAGCATCTAGACGGAAGTATAGAGATTGGCTCCGTCTGTAGTGGGAGTCCTCCATGGCAGTACGTTACACTCTAGAGTGCCTCAGTCTACCAAGAGGGCCAAGGGGTGCCGAGAAACCCTCGAAAGACCACATATTACTTCCAAGGAGGCGGTGACTAAATCTACATGGTGCCCAAATTGCGAATATCGGTTCCAAGACCTCCAAATGGTTCCACGTACCCAGTGTGAGTAATAGGCTGAGATAAGAAGACATGCGACGACTCGTAGTGGATCCTAAAGGGATGAACGAACACTGGGCCTTCCCCGTGCCACTCTAGCGGCCCAGACCCCGTAGCTGCATAACAAACCTATGGCCGTATTCAATCATCAAGACGGCAGCCAGAATATCTATAAATAAGGCCGTTCTCTGCGATGAATTCCAACAAGACGTCGATTCAGAAAGTCACGATGCAGTCGCGGTGTTGGACCTATTTCCGTGGGCGATCACTGCCACAACACGACGCGCCAACCCACGCCCGCGCTAAACCCCCGTGACAGCCCCAGCCTTATCTCTAAACTTAGCCGCAATTCCAACAGCAAGGTAAAGCTTACGCACAAAAAGTACGAGGGCTGTGATTTCTGCGTTACGTATGTAATAAACCTCCGTCCGTCTCTCCTTGACCGCGTGTCCTATTGCTCCTACAATTGTGTCTACCCCTTCCCTCTCGCCGCAACCCTCAGCTCCTCGCATCTACTCTCCAACTGCGCCATCCGCCCAGCGCGTCTCACCTCCCACCGCTCCGAATCTGATGCTCCCCCAACGCACCTCCACCTGAACTACGCGCGCACGCGAGCTCGTCGCGGACCACACAACCACCACACGGCGAGGAATCGAGGAGAGGCAGTGGAAGCCATGCCGCCGGTCTCGCAATGGAGCGGCACGCCGGCCATCAAGGGGTCGACCGAGTCGATGCGCATGGCGCTGCTGACGCTGGTGCTGGTTGGGTTGCAGTACGGCCCCCTCCCCATATCCATTCCCTCCATGAAGATAGGCATGTTGGCTAACAGGAGTGGTTAGGTTCACCTGGGGCATCGAAATGACTTACTGCACGCCCTACCTCCTCCAGCTCGGGCTCACCAAGAGCCGGATCAGCCTCGTGTGGGTCGCCGGCCCGCTGTCGGGCCTCATCATGCAGCCCGTTGTGGGCGTCATCGCGGACCGGTCGACGAGTAAATGGGGCAGGCGGCGGCCGTTTATGGTGGGTGGGACTGTGGTGGTTAGTCTGTGTTTGCTGGTGCTGGGGTGGACGAGGGAGCTTGTGGGGGCGTTTGTGTCGGATGTAGAGCTGGTATGTCGGAATCTGGGATATCAAACCTAGGCATGGGGGGATTGCGCTGACAAGGTGCTGCAGAGGAAGTCGTGTACGATAACGCTGGCTGTGTTGAGCATTTATGCGGTGGATTTTGCTATCAATGCTGGTAAGGGAGACGTCTGTGGTAACGTGAAATATGGCTGACAGTTCGCAGTTCAGGGATCTTGTCGCAGTCTGATCGTGGATACGCTCCCTATTTCGAAACAGCAGATGGGCTCATCGTGGGCTAGCAGGATGGTTGCGGTTGGGCATCTGATCGGATATGGAGCTGGAGCTCTGGACCTTGGGAAGATATTTGGACCGACGCTGGGAGATACGCAGTTCAAGCAATTGACCGCTATTGCAACTATTGCATTGTGTGTCACGGTTGGGACGACATGCTGGGCAGTCACTGAGAGGGTTCTGATATCGGACGGGTATGTTCAGAGTGGCGATGTATGGGATGTGGAACAAAGCTAACCAGCTCTTAGAAAAGATGCTCAGGGCGAGATCGGAGCAATTGAGACCATCACACAAATCCTGAAGACGGCTACCAGCCTGCCACCTCGCATTGCAGCTATCTGCTTCGTACAGTTCTGGTCGTGGATTGGATGGTTCCCGTTCCTCTTCTACAGCACAACTTGGGTGGGAGAGATATACCTGCGATACGACGCCCCTGTCGAGGCGCGAGAGTCAGACGACACGCTCGGCCAAGTTGGTCGAATCGGTAGCATGGCTCTGATTGCCTTTTCAACAATCACTTTCGCCTGCTCCGTCATGTTGCCATGGTTCGTCGAGGCTCCCCAGGACGAGAGGCCAGGCTTCACACCTCGGCCGCCGACCCGAATTGCGCCGATGTTGATTGAGCTTGAAAAGTACAAGCCGACGCTCCTTACGACATGGATGATATCTCATTGTATCTTTGCCGGCTCCATGATTCTTGCACCGTTCGTTACGTCGCTGCATGGCGCAACTGTCCTGGTGTCGATCTGCGGGATGTGAGTATTTCGTGCAGGCTCCCTCGGATACTTCTAACCTCTCACAGATCCTGGGCAATCACATGCTGGGCGCCTTTCACCTTCATGGGCGTTGAAATCAACAAAATCAGTACAGTAGGGAATGGCCATTCTTATGGCCATTTGAATCGTGATTCCATAGAGCTCGAAGCCGGCAGCTCTCCTGTCCTGCGCCTCGCCCACTTTCCAGACGAAACGCCAGCCTCGACCGGAGAAGGATCAGGGGTCTATCTTGGCATTCTTAACCTCTACACGACGCTCCCGCAATTTGTCGGGACCTTTATTTCATGGGCTGTGTTTTCCATTCTGGAGCCGGGGAAGAGCCCCGAGCTGGCCAAGGAGGCGCACCCGGACGAGCACCACTCGACGGACGGGCCAAACGGGATTGCAGTTTGCCTCTTCATCGGCGCGATATCAGCGGTGGCGGCGGCGTACGCGACCACGCGGCTGCGGCACATTCACTAAATTTAGTCTTTGTTTCTTTTCTGCGGCGTTTGGCGGCTCCAGCTCAGACATGGCTGGAGCAGGCTTGGGCGGCGATATGGCTTGTACAATCAGCGAGCGGGCGGCATTGTCGGGCGTTTGATACCACATAGACAGTCGATAGCATGAAGCAATCTTCGCATTGGCAAATATGTGTGTGCTCTGTATATGCCGCTGCGGTGGCCCGATGCAGTGCCAGGTGTCGTGTCGTCTGTACGAGTCTCGCCAGCGCACTCTCCATATCTCCATCTGCACACTACACAAATACCACGACCCGGATTGCTGCTCGTTGCACATACTCAGCTTCGTCAAAACACATTCACCGCGCCACCTGCACGCGTTTCAACAGATTATTGCCGCTGGGCCATTGCTCGGCTGCTCCCTGTCGTTGCTAGGCACATCGAGCGAGGTTGAGTGAGGGGCGAACTAGCGTACCTAATTTTCTTTGGGGCAACCCTACAACTCCATCCACTACCTCGATACCACTCCACGCCCGAAAAATCCTTCAACCGTTCGTCATCATGTCTGAGCCCATCCGCCAGAAGAAGCTCGACTCCATCACCGCTCCGTGAGTTTCCCATCCTCTACAACACCACAGATATCCTGCCCTCAGCCGCTTCCCCGCCTCGACGCAGCCCGTCATAGACCCAGCTAACACCATCGTCCGCCCGCCCAGTACGCCCCAGAACACGCCTGCCAATGCAGCCCCGATATCGTCAAGGGCCCAACAGCCCGGCGTCGCGAGCATCAAAGAAGGTGAGTCTCTGCCTGCCTCTGTCTTCTCCTCGCAGCCCCGCGTTGAGCCTGAGCTTGACCGCTAATTCGAATTTTCTGCAACAGAGGACAATGAGCGCGCCGCCGCCGCCGCCATGTTCGCGCAGAACCCTGCCCTCATGTCTATGATGGAGGCCAAACTCGGGCGCCTCGTTGGCCGCTCGTCTGGCTACGTTGAGTCGCTCCCCGCCTCTGTCCGCCGTCGCGTCGCGGGCCTCAAGGGCATCCAGAAGGAGCACTCCAAGCTCGAGGCCGAGTTCCAGGAAGAGGTCCTGCAGCTGGAGAAGAAATACTTTGCGAAGTTCACACCGCTGTACGAGAAGCGCGCCAAGGTCGTGAACGGCGCCACCGAGCCCACCGACGAAGAGGTCAAGGTTGGCGAGGAGGACGAGGAGGAGGACGAGGAGGCTCCTACCGAGGAGAAGAACGAGGACGCCGGCGAGGGCGTCAAGGGTATTCCAGAGTTCTGGCTCTCGGCCATGAAGAACCAGGTCTCGGTCGCCGAGATGATCACAGACAAGGACGAGCTGGCGCTGAAGCACCTCACTGATATCCGCATGGAGTACCTCGACAGGCCTGGCTTCCGACTGATTTTCGAGTTTGCCGAGAACGAGTACTTCACGAACAAGACCATCTCCAAGACGTATTTCTACCAGGAAGAGAGCGGATACGGTGGTGATTTCATCTACGACCATGCTGAGGGCGACAAGATTGACTGGAAGGCCTCAAAAGATCTGACCGTCAAGATCGAGAGCAAGAAACAGAGGAATAAGAGTATGATTCAACCCGACTTGAGCCCTTGAACTTCGCTAATATTCTATAGACACTAAGCAGACCCGTGTCGTGAAGAAGACGGTCCCCACCGCATCGTTCTTCAACTTCTTCTCCCCGCCCAAGCCCCCACAGGAGGAAGACGACGCGACCACCGACATCGAGGAGCGTCTTGAGCTCGACTACCAGCTCGGCGAGGACATCAAGGAGAAGCTCATCCCGCGCGCAATCGACTGGTTTACCGGCGAGGCTCTGCAATTCGAGAGCCTCGACGACTTCGACGAGGGCGAGTTTGAGGACGAAGACGATGAGGAGGATGATGACCTCAGCGACCGAGACGAGGATGACGACGAATCGGATGAAGGCGTAAGCCTATCCCGTTCTTCCGCTAATTGACAGCCACTAACACGCTTCTTCTAGGACGACGGCACAAAACCTAAGCAAGAAGCCGCCGAGTGCAAGCAGAGCTAGACGCTTCGCACACCTTTTCTGAGTTCATATCACGGTCTCGGTGCACGGAGATAGAGGGATACGGGATCATGCATGGGTAGTGTGTTTTTGCGACGTGGTGTTCTATCCATCGGCTGCTCTATCCATCGGCTGCTCATTCTTTCTTCGAGGTCGATGGGCGGCGCGAGATATGGCTTGCATTAAGAATCGGGATATACAGAGATGGTTCCGCTTCTTGGTGTCACACTGCCCCGCTTCACATCTGCAGTTTCTTTCCTTAATTCCCTTTTTGGTCCTGGCATAGTAATTCGACTCTCCGAGGCTTGACTCTTTATCCCCAGACCCCGCACGACAATACGATCGCAAACTACTGTCAAGGGCTTGCTTACGAGGCTAGCTCCACCCACACACGTACTCCATCGACCATACGGATTACGCTCTACACACGTTACGACACATCACACGCAGCACCCTACATCACTTTACTTTCCTTGACGTCTTTCCGGCTAGATTATGCGCGACTCTGTTTTGCTTCATTGGGGTCGGCGCTGGTTTTCTTCCTTTTCTTTCGTGGGTGGGTGGTTTCATGGCTTATCCGTCTATGCGTTTATGCGTTGAGTGCTTGGAAAGGGTATGGGAGAGCAAGCGAGCGGAAGCGGAAAAGCAGGCACATGGTAGCTCGTTACTGTAGACAAAGACTTTGATTCCTGAGTCGTGTGCGCGGTTTCTCCATGCTGATAGGTTTCCTCTCCGACGTGGTAATAGATTCTACATCATTGGTGGGAAGTTGTTGGGAGATAGGTGGACCGCGCTGACGACGGCCGGGGTATAGAACTGTGAGACGACCGTGATCGGAGGTGGTTGGGGAAATGCCGGTTGTGCCGCGTAGATTAGTAGTGCAAGCAGGTACTTGAGTCAAGTCAGTCCGGTCGGGAAGTCTTTCGGGGTTCCTGGTTTAGAGGAACGAGAACTGGATGATACTTGGAACCATTCTACTCAATAATCGAGATATCAATGAAATCTTGAGAATTGAATCTTTAGCACAAGCATTTCGTCCCCAGGTTCTAACGAGCATATACGAGCATACTCCTGAAATATCGGCCATTCTATCGCCGTGCCGTCCGGATTCAGAGCAGTAGATCTCAAAAAGCGCTCGGTCGGGCATATACTCCTTGAAACATCTAGACCTTAACCTTTTCTTCGGATCTCAGCATTCAACCATCTCGTGCAAACCTCGCCTCCATTCCAAGGTCGTTCTCCACGGACACCGAAAACGAAAAGTGTGGCTGACGGCCCCGATGCCCCTCTAATTACGCCACAGTTTCTGGGATTATAATTGCATCATCAGCCTCGATTGATCATGGCCTCTTACCAATTTTTCTACATTGACTCAGACTCGCACTACGACTTTGACCGAAGCCCCACCACGCCTTCTACGCCCTCGACACCATCAATACCTGTCACCCATTTCGACCAACAACGTTTCCCCCCCAGCCGCCTCCCTCTTCCTCAAATCCTACACGTTCTCCCCGCGTAACTTCTCAGTTGGCTCCGAGACCGGCCCGCTACCATTATTCGACTACGCATACGGGGAATATCCCAAGAAGGAATTCGTGACTCCTTGGTGATATCTATTAGAATTAAGCCCAAGGACAGCATCCGGGGAATTTGGTCCAAAGGCTGCTCAGGAGAGGTATAGTTCCACAACCGCGTCGTCACAATACAGTCTCCAAACCACCTCATCCGACGACGAATTCCACTAAGACGAGCCATTCGACCACGACGTGATAGACTCCGGAATTGAGAGCTCCACACCTCCGCAGAAACGTATACCGCGCCCGCCTCCCACGCGAACCCGCTCACGCTGTGCCCGCCGGTCTCACACCAATCCCCGAACCCGAGTTATAACCCCCGCTCCTCGTCCCCGTTTTTCCACAGCTGCCAATATGACTCCGGCTAGGGATATCCTGCCCCGTGCCGGCGACCTCGCCCGCACCGTCTCGAACTCGCTGTCCCTGAGCACGAGCCCCGAGTTCAACCGGTTCCACTCCCCCGTCGAAGCGCGGCAGGGCAGCTACTCGAGCTACGGCGGCGGCAACATCGGGCTCGCGGCCAAGCAGCTCAAGCCCTTCGAGACCAAAGACATCAAAGTCCTGCTGCTGGAAAACGTGAACGCGACCGGCGTGGATATCTTACAGGGGCAGGGATACCAAGTCGAAGTGCTGAAATCGAGCTTACCGGAAGACGAACTGGTGGCTAAGATTAAGGATGTGCATGTTATTGGGATACGCTCGAAAACGAAGCTGACGGAGCGCGTGTTGAAGCAGGCGAAGAACCTGATCGTGATTGGGTGTTTTTGCATCGGGACGAATCAGGTGGATTTGCAGTATGCGGCGCGCCAGGGGATTGCGGTGTTCAATTCGCCGTTTAGCAATTCGAGGAGTGTGGCGGAGCTTGTCATTGGGGAGATCATAGCCCTAGCAAGGCAGCTGGGCGACCGGTCGAACGAGCTGCACAACGGGACGTGGAATAAGGTCAGCAAAGGGTGCTGGGAGATCCGCGGCAAGACGGTGGGGATCGTGGGGTACGGGCATATTGGGAGCCAGCTGTCCGTGCTGGCGGAGTCAATGGGCATGTCGGTCATCTACTACGACGTGCTGAACCTCATGGCGCTGGGGACAGCGCGGCAAGTGGGGAGTTTGGAGGAGTTGCTGGCGGGTGCGGACTTTGTGTCTCTGCATGTGCCGGAGCTGCCCGAGACGACGAATTTGATTGGGGCGAAGCAGTTTGAGCAGATGCGGAATGGGAGCTATCTGCTCAACAACAGCAGAGGAAGTGTCGTGGATATCCCGGCGTTGATTGAAGCTATGAAGAGCGGGAAGATTGCGGGCGCGGCGTTGGACGTCTACCCTAACGAACCCGCTGGGAACGGTGACTACTTCACCAACGACCTCAATCCCTGGACAGAAGAACTCCGAAAGCTCAAGAATCTGATCCTGACGCCGCATGTGGGTGGTAGCACAGAAGAGGCACAGAGCGCGATTGGGGTGGAGGTTAGTCAGGCGCTGGTGCGGTATGTCAACGAGGGCACGACGCTTGGGGCTGTCAATATGCCCGAGGTCAATTTACGGTCCCTGACGCTGGACGAGCCAAACCATGTCAGAGTCATTTATATACATAAGAACGTGCCGGGTGTGCTTGGGCGAGGTAAGACTTATTCCCTCTCCTTCTACTAGCCCTGTCCTAATGGCACAGTCAACGCGATCCTCGGTGACCACAACGTCGATAAGCAGATGACTGATAATAGAGGCGAGGTGAGTCTTTTTATCCTCCCCCCCCCCCCCCCCCCCCTAATTGAAGTGTACATGAAAGCGTCGATGCTAACGATGACTGTGACAGGTGGCCTACCTCATGGCCGACATCAGCGATGTCAAAGAAAGCGAAATCAGGGATCTTTACCAGAGCCTTGAGAATCTGTCTTGTAAGCTGAATTCATCTTCAGTCAAGACGCAGCCGCGGCTAATGAGTTCAACAGCTCGTATACGCACCAGGGTGCTCTACTAGATGCGCTATCAAGAGTGTTTGGATGCGTGTTGCTGCATTGGATTGGGCTAGTCTTTCAACCGGGATGGGATAGAATATTCTTTTGGGGAATAGAAAAAGTAGAGAAGTGCTCAACGCACGTGGAGACTGGCATTCAACATGGCGTTTTGTCGGCGGAATTCGTATTGATGCTGCATTTGGTTTGGCGGAGAAAAGGCTAGCTTGCTACTCTTGTCCTCCAGCTTTGGAGTGTCCTTCAGCTTTGGAGGGGAGGGCGATGGACGGTGGAGGTAATGAAAACGAATTTTTATTAGTACTAGAACACTTCAGTGGTGTCGTGCTATTATGCAGTAGCCAAATGGTAGCAAACTCTGCTCGCTCGCCACGGTCTGGATGAGGCAAACCCCAAAATAGTGAATGAAAGCGGTGAACAGCGGTGGCTGGGATCGGCCTGTGAGTGGCTGGAGGCGGTTTCAGATGGCCGGGGACAGCTGGGATCGCAGGCCGCTCCCTTCGCCTGAAATGTCGAGGTGAATTCTTACGCGAGCGCTGGGGACGCTGGGTCTGCGTGTGGGACGTAGAGGAGCCGTGGTTGACTGGACTCATGCCTGTTGATGTCTATATAGATGTAGGCTGCGAGCAGCTGCCAGGTACCACATGCAGTCCTTCTTGCTTGCATGCCGTGGCTCGATGCGTTCGGCCGTCAGGGGCGGTGTAGAATCTTGACCCCGGTCGCGGCACCTCCACGCCAGCCGCTCTGCTCGACGGGCGACCCAACTTTATTGCCAAAGACCCTGACAGCCTCCACAACAGCACTCTTCCACGACCAGCGCCCTCGGCGACATTGACGCCTAATGCGAATGCCTTCTGCTCTGAGCCCTCGCATCCTCGCCCTGTAGCGCCCGTGCTGTGCCTCAAAGACTCTTTCTTTCTCGCGACGTCTGTACCTCGACGCACCTCCCGCCGCAAGTCTAGCCTTCACCACGACCCACCTACATCCTCAATATCCCCCATAGCCCCGCCAATATGGCTCACATCTACGACGTCGGCACGCGGGCGTGGCAGCCAGACGTCACCGACGGCTGGGTGGCCTCTGAGGTCGAGGACAAGATTGTCGAGGGCGACAAGGTCAAGCTGATCTTCCGCCTGGACAGCGGCGAGGTATGCCTTCCTCTCTTACTACTCCCGTATATGCCTCTGGACCGGGCTAATCAGACTCTACCATGGCAGGCCAAGACCGTGACGACCACCCTCAAGGCCATCCAAGATGGCTCCGATCCCGCCCTACCCCCCCTCATGAACCCGGCCATGCTGGAGGCCAGCGACGACTTGACGAACCTTTCACATTTGAACGAACCCGCTGGTAGGTTCTGATACACCTCATGGCCTGGGACTCGAGGGATACTGACATGGGAACAGTCTTGCAGGCTATCAAGCTGCGGTACTCGCAAAAAGAAATTTACACATACAGCGGTATCGTGCTGATCGCAACGAACCCCTTCGCCCGCGTGGACTCGCTATATGTCCCTGGGATGGTGCAGGTGTATGCCGGCAAGCAGAGGAGTTATGGCGCCCCGCATCTTTTCGCTATTGCGGAGGAGGCTTTTGCGTGAGTGCAGCAATTTCTGATTATCTTGATATTCCCAATCTAAGCTCGACACGGTGCTGATATGGAAACAGCGACATGCTCCGAGACAACCGAAATCAGACCATCGTCGTATCTGGCGAGTCTGGAGCCGGAAAGACTGTCAGCGCCAAATACATTATGCGATACTTTGCAACACGGGAAGACCCAGACAAGCCCAGCAAGCGGGTCAAAGGCCGGGCAGACACCATGAGCGAGACTGAGGAGCAGATTCTGGCCACGAATCCCATCATGGAAGCGTTCGGTAATGCAAAGACGACGCGAAACGACAACTCCTCCCGTTTCGGCAAATATATTGAGATCATGTTCGACAAGAAGACAGACATCATTGGCGCCAAGATAAGAACGTATCTGCTGGAGCGGTCGAGGCTCGTTTTCCAGCCGTTGAAGGAGCGGAATTATCACATTTTTTACCAGATGGTTGCGGGTGCTACGCCAGAGGAGCGGAAGGAGTGGAGCTTGAGGCCGGTTGAAGAGTTTGAATATCTCAACCAAGGGAGCGCGCCGGTCATCGATGGAGTGGACGACAAAGCCGAGTTCGATGCGTTGAGGGCTTCGTTGGCTACGATCGGTGTGGGACCGGATACTCAATCACAGATCTTCCGGTTACTCGCCGCGCTTATGCATCTTGGAAATGTCAAAATATCTGCCTCGAGAACGGAATCGTCTCTTTCTCCGGAGGAGCCAGCCCTCGTCACGGCTTGCGGACTTCTCGGGATTGATGCCAACAGTTTTGCCAAATGGACTGTCAAGAAGCAGCTCATCACCAGAGGCGAGAAGATCGTGTCGAATCTCACCCAACAACAGGCCATAGTAGTTCGGGACTCGGTTGCCAAGTTTATTTACTCGAGTTTGTTTGACTGGCTCGTGGACATCACGAACCAAAGTTTGGCTACGGAAGAAGTGCTGAGCCACGCCAACTCATTCATTGGTGTTCTGGATATCTACGGTTTCGAACATTTTGCTAAAAACTCCTTCGAGCAATTTTGCATCAACTACGCCAACGAAAAGCTGCAGCAAGAATTCAACGCCCATGTTTTCAAACTAGAACAGGAAGAGTACCTCCGCGAGCAGATTGATTGGACTTTTATCGATTTCTCGGATAACCAGCCTTGTATCGATCTCATTGAAGGGAAGATGGGCGTTTTGTCGCTGCTCGACGAAGAGTCTCGGTTGCCCATGGGCTCGGATGAGCAGTTTGTGACGAAGCTTCATCACAATTTCGCTGCTGATAAGCAGAAGTTTTATAAGAAGCCAAGATTTGGGAAATCTGCTTTTACTATCTGCCATTACGCCGTCGATGTCACATACGAGTCTGATGGCTTCATAGAAAAGAACAGGGATACCGTGCCGGACGAGCATATGGAGGTTCTTCGGTCATCGAATAACAAATTCCTCGGGAAGGTCCTGGAGGTTGCGGCGATGATTCGGGAGAAGGAATCGGCTGCCACGGCCTCGACGAAACCGGGCGCAGCTATGTCTGCCGGGCGCAGAATTGCCGTCAACAGGAAACCAACGCTTGGTGGCATCTTCAAGTCATCTTTGATCGAGCTTATGGGCACCATCAATTCCACCGATGTCCACTATATCCGTTGTATCAAACCCAATGAAGCCAAGTCAGCCTGGAAATTCGAAGGTCCCATGGTTCTCAGCCAGCTCCGCGCTTGCGGTGTTCTCGAAACTGTCAGGATTAGTTGTGCTGGATACCCGACTCGATGGACCTACGAGGAATTCGCGCTACGCTACTACATGCTCGTCCCGTCATCGGGATGGACTCCAGAGATCCGGCTTATGGCGAACCAGATCTTGAAGAGAGCGCTTGGTGCGGGCAAAGGTGATGGAACGGACAAGTACCAAATGGGTTTGACCAAGATTTTCTTCCGCGCTGGTATGCTTGCGTTCTTAGAGAACCTGCGAACTGCACGTCTCAACGAAGCGGCCATTATGATCCAGAAGAACCTGCGGTGCAAGTACTACCGCCGCAAGTATCTAGAGGCTAGGAGTGCGATCATTGCATTCCAATCACTTGTCAGAGGCCATCTGGCCAGAGAGCGTGCGGAAGAGGCTCGACAAGTCAAGGCGGCTACAACCATCCAACGTGTCTGGCGCGGACAGAAGGACAGGAGACAGTTCCTGTATATCCGGAAAAGCATCGTTCTGTTCCAGGCTACTGCGAAGGGTTATCTGGAGCGCAAGAACATCTTGGACACCAGGCTCGGCGCGGCTGCGAGGATGATTCAGCGCAACTGGCGGCAAACGAGGCAGCTCAAGTCCTGGAGGAATTACAGGCGGAAGATTGTCATCATCCAGAGCTTGTGGCGCGGAAGGAAAGCTCGCCGCGCGTACAAGGGTCTGCGCGAGGAGGCGCGCGATCTCAAGCAGATCTCGTATAAGCTGGAGAACAAGGTCGTGGAGCTCACGCAGTCGCTGGGTACGATGAAGCGCGAGAACAAGACGCTCCAGGGCCAGGTCGAGAACTACGAGAGTCAGCTCAAGTCATGGAAGACGAGAAACACGGCGCTCGAGGCGCGCAACAAGGAGCTCCAGACCGAGGCCAACAAGGCTGGTATCACGGCTGCGCAGCTCTCGCAAATGGAAGACGAGTTCAAGGCTCTGCGCCACAATTACGACGAGAGCACGGCCAATATGCGCAGGCTGCAGGAAGAGGAGAAGCAACTGCGTGATTCGCTCAAGAAGACGACTGATGAGCTGGAGCAGTCGAAGAGGCGGAGCACTACGTTTGAGTCGGAGAAGTCGTCGCTCAAGCAGCAGTTGGTCGATCTGCAAGATCAGTTCGAGTTGCTCAAGCGCAGCGGACCGATCAATGGCGAGTTGCCGAATGGTATGGGACATACCGTCCAACCCGCCAGCAGCCTCATTAATTTCGTTTCGTCGAAGACGCCGAAGAGGCGGAGTGCGGGTCCCGAGCGCGCGGATCTCGATCGCTTCAGTGCTACGTACAGCCCCAGGCCGGTTTCTATGGCTATTGGCTCGACAGTGCACCGACAGAACCTCTCTGGGTCTACCTTTGCCCCGATAGATAACGTGGAGCTGGAGCTTGAGAGCATCTTGGCCGATGAGGAGAATCTGAATGATGAGGTCACGCTTGGTCTTATCAGGAACTTGAAGATCCCATCGCCAACTACGACACCGCCGCCAACGGACAAGGAGGTGCTCTTCCCAGCATACCTCATCAATCTCGTTACTTCGGAGATGTGGAACAACGGCTTCGTTAAGGAGTCGGAACGCTTCCTCGCCAACGTCATGCAGTCGATTCAGCAAGAGGTTATGCAGCATGATGGTGACGAAGCTATCAACCCGGGCGCGTTCTGGTTGTCCAATGTGCATGAGATGCTGTCCTTTGTCTTCTTGGCCGAGGACTGGTACGAGCAGCAGAAGACGGACAACTACGAGTACGATCGCCTATTAGAGATTGTCAAGCACGATCTCGAGAGCCTTGAGTTCAACATCTACCACACCTGGATGAAGGTGCTCAAGAAGAAGCTCCAGAAGATGATCGTCCCCGCCATCATCGAGTCGCAGTCTTTGCCCGGATTTGTCACTAACGAGAGCAACCGCTTCCTCGGGAAGTTGCTGCAGAGCAATAACACGCCTGCGTTCAGCATGGACAACCTACTCAGCCTACTTAACAATGTGTACAGGGCCATGAAGGCGTACTACCTCGAAGACTCGATCATCACCCAGACCGTTACGGAGCTGTTGAGGTTGGTTGGTGTGACGGCGTTTAACGATCTGCTCATGCGGAGGAATTTCCTCAGCTGGAAGCGTGGTCTCCAGATTAACTATAACATCACGAGGATTGAGGAGTGGTGTAAGAGCCACGACATGCCCGAGGGGACACTGCAGCTGGAGCATTTGATGGTTTGTTCTCTCATGTCTCCCACCCTCATCCTAAATAAATGTGTGCTGATCATTTCAATCCGTATAGCAAGCAACCAAGCTCCTGCAACTCAAGAAAGCAACCCTCAACGACATCGAAATCATCCAAGACATCTGCTGGATGCTGTCGCCCAACCAGATCCAGAAGTTGCTCAACCAGTACCTCGTCGCCGACTACGAGCAGCCCATCAACGGCGAAATCATGAAGGCCGTCGCGTCGCGCGTCACGGAAAAGAGCGACGTGCTCCTCCTCACCGCCGTCGATATGGAGGACTCCGGCCCTTACGAGATCGCGGAACCCCGCGCCATCACGGCGCTAGAGACATACACGCCCAGCTGTGAGTTGTCCGCTTTCAGTCAAATTAACCACGACGTCAAGAGGCGGAATGGGGACCGGTGGGTGTGGAACTACTGGTGGTTGAAGCGGTTGAGGCGGTATTACAGTCTTCACGGTATAGGTATCGACAACCACCACCACCAGTTTGAGTTTTTTCATGAGGAGAGCGGATGTGAGGAGAACTATTTTTATCGTATGGAGGCTGATCGTTTTGTGTGTACAGGGCTGCAAACACCGAGATTGAAGCGCTTGGCGGAGATTGTGAGCGCGCAGGCGATTGCGCAGCAGGAGAAGCTGGAGTTTGACGGTGACGAGCCGAATGGGGTGGAGAATGGCGTGGGCGAGGCGAATGGGAATGGGGTGCAGGGGCTGGCGATTCAGGAGGTTGCGGGGGTGTAAGTATCTCACCTTTTCTCGTCGTCATTGCTGCCCACACTCCTACACTTTTCCCCAGCGAGCGTGGAGAACTGGGGGTGACGGCGACGGCGACGCAGGGAGTGAAGGTAGAGTGGAGGAGAACGAGCGCGGACTAGGACTATGTGCCGGGGAATTGGGTCTTTCGCCGAAATGATTTGTTTACATTAGATTCATGACTGGTGGACTTTGGGCTTTTTTACTTTCTCTTGCGGGCGCTGCTGTGTCTATGGCCACTACGCTCGGCTTTATTTGACGCCCTGGGAAACGAGGTTTCTGGGCGGGCTGGGTTGGGTATCGTAGCATCTTTTGCGTAATGGTTTATCTTTTGGACGGCTGGCTTGATGACGGTGTGGAGAGTAATGCGTTTGATAGAGGAATAGAGGTCTACTACGCTCATCACGTGACCGTGTACTTAATCTTGGAGGTGTATTGATATATCAGATTGTACTTTCTTTGAATACGTAGCCTGCATGATATAGGATCCTTTCCTACGTGCGAGTCTACAGCGACGGGAGTGTGAGAGTCTGAGCACGTGCCAAGGCTCGACGTTCGTGAGTGCCGAGTTTGGACCAACTTCAGCCTGACGTGCGTCTATCGCCAGCTGACCTCCCAGGCCTATCTCCATCGTGACTACTCTCTTACTCCTCATGCCTGGATGACACGACGGAGAAGCCAAGCTGGTGACCCGCGTCGTCAGCGTGGGCCTTGGTAACAGCGCATTCAGAGAGTGTGCGTGGAGCTAAGCCACGACGCCACGACGGCTTTTGGGGAGGAGGTCAGCAGCAAATACCTTCAACCAAGAGCACCTGAGCTGCAACATCGCTCTCACTTTAGTTCCGGAGGAGGTCCCGGAAGAGTCTCTCCTTTCTTTCTCTCAACTTCACGGGCGGTTGAACCTGCCGTTCTCTCATCATGGCCTCCGCATCTAAGTCTGCTTCTCTCCTCACTTGTCCTATGTGTCAGTATTCAGTGCTCCCGTCGGATAGCTATGTCCTGGAACTGCATTTCGAGCAAGAACATACCCCAGATTCGCCTTTCAGGATCCAAGAAGGCGGCGACGAAGACGTGACGGGTGAGAGAGCCCTCCCGCCGCTGCCGCCCCGACCACCTCCCAAACCCTCGCGCTCTCCTCTCCACGAGCCATCTTTGGCGGAAGGCAGCACGAACGACAACGACACTTCCTCCTCCGACGAGGACGATGACAACACAGTGCTCTGCCCCGACCCCTCCTGCGGCGAGACCATCCTCCTCGCCGAATTGAACGAGCACCTCGACTTGCACCAAGCGGAGCGGCTGACACTCGATGCGGACGCCGACGACCATCACCATCCCCATCAACAGCATCCACATTCACATTCGCCATCAGCACTATCATCCACCACCATGCAGACGTTAACCGAAGAACCCGCACCCTCATTCCTAGAGCAGAATTTCAACACGGCGGCCGTGCCCGATGCTCTCCGCCATGGCGGCAAGGCGGCTAGCGGGCCGCACAAGGCAAAGGGTGCGAAGATCAAGCGGAAGAGGGGGAATTCGTCGGCGAGTGAGAAGAAGACCTCGATTAGCCGGAGTATTCTGAGCTTTATCCCGTTTTCGTTGAAGAGTTTGGCGAAGGAGCGGAGGGTGCCGGCGGGTGGGGTGAGGTTAGGGGTATGTCTTCCTCTCTTCGATCTTCATCGTTCATCATCCATCTATGCAATTTGGCTGTTGTCTCTCGTAGGAGGCTGTGCTAATCGACTATCAGAAAGCCGAACTGGGCCCCTACGCCTGGGAAGAAAAGATGCCCAAATGGCTCCGCCGCCAACTCGAACAAGGCCCCAAAATCTCCATGGTCAACCGTATCGGCCGTGATGGTCGCCTCATTCGTCAAGAAGAAGTCCAAAACGAAACTCCGGGCCTCATTCCTATTCTTGCTCAGCTATCCGCCGTCGACAGGACCGTGCAAGCCGCATACTACTGCCACCCTACCATTCTACACATCGGTAAGACGCCCAATGAGGGTGGTTTCTGCGGGTACCGCAGTATTCAGATATTGGTCTCGTATATCCAGGGTGCACGTGCTCAGGGCCATGACGAGTTCACCGGGCGCACGCCTGGTATCCTCAAGTTGCAAGATATGATCGAGCTGGCGTGGGACAGGGGTATCAATGATATTGGTAGAGCGCAGACGGGTGGCATTAAGGATACTAGAAAGTATATTGGCACTCCAGAGGTATGTGCCTTCGTCATTTCCTTGTCATCGCGACTAATCGTGTTACTTCTCAAGGCACAAGCCCTCTTCCTTAGCTCTCAAATCGACTGCGCTGTCGACGTCTTCAGTGACTCCCCCGATGGTCGTCTCATGGCCCATGAACAACTGTTCAACGCTGTGGAGAAGTATTTCCAGAAAGCCGCTATCCCGGACGACCGCTCCAATGTTTTCAAGACGCTGCTGCCGCCTATCTATCTGCAGCAGCCGGGCCACTCACTCACGATCGTGGGCTTCGAGAGACGCAAAGACGGATCGTGTAATCTCATCATCTTCGATCCGATGTTCCATACCAGCCCGAGTATGCATAGATTAAAGGGCAGGAGGAATATCAGGACGCCTAGGCCAGAGGTGTTGCACGCGTATCGCAGAGGCGCGAGACAGTTGAAGATGTATGCTGGATTTGAGATTTTGATGTGAGTTCGCTAGCCCTTTTCCGTTCTCTCATTAGCTAATCTTGGTTTCTCTTTAGGTTGACCGCGCATCCACCGTTGTTCCCGGCTTGGGATGTATGAGAGATTCACTCCCAAAGCCTGTCAGCCTTTGCACTTCCAGCGATCTTAGACTATATGATACCCAGATCATACCATTTATCAACGCATACATGCGCTCGATAACAATCAAAACTTCTTTCATCACCTTTTGCTAAACTCTATGTGAACGACAGGTACTCCACCAGTTCCCCGACTGCCGTTATCTGTACGTCTTCTTCCGCTCGTGCACGCTCGGATACGATGTCTACCCCGAAGACCACTTTCTGCGCAACTTCCCATGGCAGAAATACGGCGGCCTTGTCAGCGTTGATGACTCCCGATTCGCTCGCGCCGAGGCCATGAATCCACTTACTGCGGCTGCCCTCCGCCGTCTTACGTCTGAAGGCGCTGCAGTCTCGTGTTTCAGAGATAGCGGATATGGCTCTGCTTATTCTGCCGCCGATACTATGGCTTCCCGTGCCATCGCCCGCATTGCTAGTGTTTCGATACAAAGCGCAGCCCAGAGCCGCAGAGTAAGCGCCATGGGCCCGCTAGATGGCAGCGCAACGGCTCCACTCAGCGTAGGTCTCAACGAGGTCGATCCCATGCTCAATTATATGAGCATGTACGCTGCAAGTAAATCGGCCAGTCCGTTCCCTGTAGCGAAGTTCCATCCAGGGTATCTTGGGCCTCATAGCCCTTCGCCTGACGCGAAATTCTTCTATCCGAGCCCTCAGTCTTCTGGTAGGACTGGATCATCGTCGACACCATACGGATCTTTCCAGTATAGCTCCACTTCGACAGTACACCACAACAGTCCCGTGAGCCTTGACATGAGCGACACCAGCGTCCCCTCCTTCGGCGACCTTTGCGGATTCCCTCACAACCACTTCAGCAACCAGGCCGGAGCCTTGCCCGAGTTCTTCAGCGAGACGATTGAGACAATCATGCCAGCCTCGCCCCCGAAGTCTTCATCCGATGACCAAAGCCCTCTGAGCCCGCGCACCGCAATGTGGAACGCCAAAACGCGCCAGGAGGTCTTCTTAGGCCTCACGCACAACCCCGCCCGCCACGGCCCTGCGCCGCCGCCCCATCTCCAGCCCGGCACCGGCCAGCAATACGAGCCGCTCCAATTCAAGCCGCTCAGCATCAGCCTAGGCGGGCCCCACCTCGGCCACTATCCCACCAACGTCCTCCAGCCATCCGCCACGGGGCCCATCCAACCCCCCCAGATCTCCCCACCACCAGCGTCCTCGGGTCTCTACGCCACCACCGCCGCTACTACCACGCCCTCCCCGCCTCGCATCGTAGACCTAGCCGCCGTTGCGCAGCTCACCTACCCCAGCCCGCCCTACCCCAGCACCCCCCCAAACGCTATCGGCGCCAAACCCAACCAGTTCCAGTACCAGCTCCCGACGGGCATCGTAACCCTCTCGGCCTCGCCCTTCTCCGGCTCCGACACGCCGACACTGATCTCCTTCACGGGGTTCCGCAGCGCGGAGGACGGGCTGTTGGCGGTGTGCCCGCTTAGCGAGGCGCTGGTCGCCGAGTATCGGTTTTGGCAGGCGTGCGGGCGGCGCGCGTGTCCGTTTGGGTGTGCGGGCGGCGAGAGGGGGGAGTGGGAGGCGAGGGGGAGGCTGTTTAGGGATGAGGAGGTTGTGAGAGAGGAGGTGCTTGAGGAGGATGAGGGGGGGTGGGATGGGGTGCAGGAAGTTAAGGTGGAGTATATGGGGGAGGAGATGAGGGGGGATGGGACGGGGGTTGGGGAAGTAGAGGCGAGGAGGTTGTTTAGGGGGAGGAGTGAGGTGGGGGAGTAGGCGGGGGGGTTGAGCCATCTGAGGTTTGCGCGGACGGTGGTTCGAGAGGGCGGGTTATGAGTGCTCGGTAGGCGTTTTCTTTTCTTTTTTTTTCTTTTTCTTGGTGTAGTCTTTCTTCTCTGGTTGCGTTGGGTAGGCGGTGTTGTGAGGGATGAGGGGTAAATTCATAAGGTTGTTTTCTTTTCATGGTTCCGCGTACGGAAGACGGGCTATAAGTATGTGCACACTTGCTTGCCACTTGCTGGAGATACCCTCACGGGAATTTCGAAAGCCTAGGCGCGCGAAACGTCGAGTTTCATGCAGGTTGCATATCGCACTGCTGTTTGACCCGCTGGCTACGGACTAGCTGGGCTGCTCCTTACAGCGGTGTCGAGTAAGCAAGATTAGAGCCAAGTAGGGATGACCGCGTGTGTGCCCAGATTCATGACCTGGGAATTGTGTGTTGATGAGGATTTCGAGGTGGAGTTTGGGATTCCTTAGGTCTGGGTTTCTGGGGCATTAGGTACGCTGTCTTGGTATTCTTTGAGGTGGCCTAGCTGCAAATTCTGAAGGAACAGTCTCAGCTCATGGTCTAACCTTACTGATTGCACAACCCTCGCAATACCGGACCATATCTTGTCTTCATGAAATGGTCAAGCATATCCCGGGGAAGGCCTCCTCTTTCCATACTTCAGTCAAGCCCAACCCCCTTCTCATCGTGAACTTGCGTGCATGCTGCGTTGCTGCATCCCTTGCGCCCATACTTCATGTTGTCGAACCTCCGGCACTTGACATATTCGCAGTCGAGGCCGTCCACGGCACACTGAGCACAAGAGTATCCTCCATCACAAGCTATCCTCCTCTTGTGACATCTCTTGCATATCAGACTACGTGTGTGAGGCTGTATGTCCTGCAACTCCTTCACTGCGCCGGGAATACGTCGCTCCAGCTCCGCCATCTTCCATTCGAGTGTCTGGTTGCGCTCAGATAGGTCTTTCTTTTGCTGCACGAGCACCCTGTTCCCTTTTAGGAGCTCTGAGTACTTCTGGGAGTTTTCCGACTCTGCTTTCTTCAGGCTCGCTATCTCCAGTTCCAGCGTCTTGTTCCGCTTCTCCAGTCGGTCGACAACCGCATTGTGCTTCTTGCGGTCTTTGACCATCTTCCGCACCAGTTTCCTAGCCAGAGTGTTGTTGCCTTCAGTTTCAGCCATCTTAGGTATCTTTTGGTGGAGCAGATTCGTATGGAGGGATCCTATGACTGCAATGTTAATGAAAACCTTGGATTGAAGCAATCTTAGAGGCATGAATACTTGTGGAGCTTAAGTTCTGGAGAGCCAGACCAGATCTGGATGGGCTCTTAGATGTTGACATTTTTTGGTAGGTGACAGTTGCGAGGACGCAAGTTGAACGACCTGATTGTTAGATGTGAGAGGGGGCGCAGATATGCCGTTGCGCCTCCATTCACCTAAGGCTCCCCCCGAAGCACCTCCGAATCCCGCAATCACCCAGGTCCGCTACTTCTTCTAACACCTCACCTCTTCAACCCACCCAAGTCGTAGGCTCCTCACTTTATTTGGTCCTATCAAAGACAGCTCCTCACCTCTAAAGTAAGGAATCCGCCCGCCTCGTGACTCTCAGCCAGCGGCTGCTGCGTTGGCCGGGAACCTTCGCCTGTCAGTATGAACGCTCTTCTACCTCCGGAACCAGCCTTAATAGTTCACAGCTCCGACCGTCTCTGGTGCGCTCCAACTCCACTGCAGCTGCAGTACCGCAGAATCGACCACCCTATTATCCCTGAATCAACCACCCAAAGGCGGCCCGTCTTAGGCCTAGAGCGAATTGCCTGGCCACGATTTCCGTCACTCCTCCAACCATTCCAGTCCCTATCCGGTCTTCCTCGGCCAATCTGTTGTTACGACCAGACCACGCATCCCCAACAAGAGCCCGACCGCTATCGAGCCTCTGATTCTTGCAGTCTTTCACTCCAACGACCGCACTCAATCTTCTCTCTTATCCGCCGCAGCCAACGGTTTCCCAACACTATCACGCTACTAGCTTCACCTAGAGACCTAATGACCATAATCAAATCCTTAAATTGAGCTCTATCATAGTGCCCCGAGCCCAATCGAAATGTCCGAACAGATTAGACGATGCCCGTTATGTGGCACGCAGCATATTCTGTTCCGCAGCTTGCTTGAAGAGCGGAAGGCGCTGAGAGAGTATCGCAAGGCGGAATCGAACGATGAGGCCAGTGTCATGGAAGACAGAATCCTGGACGTTTCTCGATCCCGCATCTGCCATAGAAACTACTCCACTATGGTCATGGCTAGCAAGATTGGAGAGTTAGAGGCTGAGCTAAAGTCTGAGACCAGCAAGATTGGAGGGTTAGAGGCTGAGTTGCAGTCTGAGGCTAGTAAGACGGGGAAATTAGAGGTTGAGCTGAGGTCTGAACAGACAACCAAAGAAGCTCTGAAGGAAGAAGTTGGGATCTTGGGCGACTTCGTGGGCAAAGACTTCAAGGGTGTGATTGAGGACCTCGAACAGACTCGCAAGCGCAACAAGACATTGGAGAATATACAGACCGAGTCTAGCCGAACAATAGAACAGCTTCGAAAAGGATGTCGATCACAGGAGGCGTCACGCTGACTACTGGAAGCAGAAGGCTCAGGCTATCGCCGATACCCAGACTCCTCGAAAGCTTCAGTGTGCGCGTTGTCATGGGGAGGATCGGAGCTGTGACGGCAAGATGCCCTGCAGGCGATGCGTTGGAGCCGGCCGTACTTGCAGGTATAACAGATGCAAGGCATATGAGAAGATGTCACAAGGGAAGGAACGCAAATGCGAGAACGAAGATTGTGGAGCTGTTCATAACGAAACTGGCTACGGCTGGGACAAGAACATCGCCAAGGAGGCCAGTCGCAAGCGGAAGCTGGATGATGACATGATGGAGATGGAGATGAGCAAGACTGGCAAGACTAGAAGAGGAAACTGATGGTACGCCCTATGATGGTATTGAAATGTACCGGTCGCACGGGTCAGACTGGATGATCGCTAGCCAGATCACCACATACTCCCACATACTCCAGATACTCTAGGTGGAGAGCAAGCTTACAATCTTGATTGGTTGTTAGGCCGAACGGAAATCATCGATGGGCACCGGACAAGTACGAGTGATTCAACTTTCTCTATACTGTATTCTAACGACTGTTTTCTTGGAAATCACCGTAGCTTTGGGCGAAAGGCAGGTGGAAGTCTAGTCAAGTAGGTCGCGATGATGTAACTTATCAAGGCATCCTACGGCTTTCGAGCTTTCATTATACAATTTCGTGAACGGTGTCAAGGGCAATTATTGCATATATAGCAATGAAGGCACTTCATAATAACTCTCGCTCTCACCTTCGTGATTCATCTCCGCTATTACATTACTAGCCCTTAGGATTGGGCACACCAATCTTTCACTGACTGGACTCCTGCACTTATCTTCGAATCGATTTGGGACCCATAGGGGTACGCCTAGTAATATCTAGCCCATATGCCCATACTGCATACAGTGGTCACAGTGAATACATAGCCCGCAACCTTTCAAAGACCCCCACTCCAAAGCTCAACCGAGCATCTCTTCAGTATTCTGTCATACATCACGCCCCGACTAACTCACACCTTCTGTGGCGCGGTAGCCAAATCTTCAACCACCCCACATCCATCACCGCGTTGCCGGCTACGTCTACACACTTTTCACCCCAACATGCCGTCCTTCCCCACCGCCTTTTGCGGCGCCTGCGGGCAAGACCACTACGACATCTCCTCCGAAGCCGAGCTGAAGCTCTGGAAGGATCTCGAAGCCGCCAATGCCTCCTTTGACTCCCGCGTAGCCTCCGCCATCATCGCCATCCTTCGCGATTGCTCCACGGGCAAAGACTGCTACCTCAAGACTACTATCCATCACGCGATCCGGGTCGAAGGCGAACGAATCCAGCTGCAGCAAGAGACCTTCGACCTGAAGGCAGAGAAAGATGGTTTGAGAGGGGAGATTCAGCGTCTTCACAACAAGCTACTCGATGAACGCGCGGAGAACCGGGACTTGGCTGGAGAGATTGCGATGCTGGTTGGTCAGAAGGAGGAGATGTCTCTGCGCATTCAGGCTCTTGGGGCCGAGAAGCAGGAGCTGCAGAAGCTCGTCCTCGATGCTGCTGCGAAGGATACTGGAGCTGAGAAGGTGGACAAGGAGACGTCTGATGGGATCTCTGGCCCGCGGAAGCTGGTCTGCCAGGCCTGCTACGAGAGCTCTGGAACGCCTATCGACATGTGCGATGGGAGGTATCCGTGCACCCAGTGCATGGCGCAAGGTCATACGTGCCTGTACAGGAATTGTTTCAAGAACCATGGTGGCCGTGGATGCAAGAGCTCCAAGTGTACCATGTGGCATGGGGAGGAGGGGTATGGACATGATGAGCTCTAGACGGTTGGGTTTGATGAAGGCTTTGCTGTGGGGATTGCGTGAATTGAGGGTTGGTTAAAGCGGGAGATTAATTATTCGGAAGGAAGTTTGAGTAGCTGGTTCTCTCCTTTTGCAGCTCCGAAATCTGCATAAGCTCACACGCAGTTTTCTTATGTGCACTGTGCACGTCTGTTCGCCTTTGTTTGAGGTGCTTCGGTGTCTTATTATTAATCCAAGGAAGAGGTATATACTAGGGACTACGAGTTTGAGTGGCTTCAAACGCTTCTGATCGGCCTACATCGCCGTTGTCCGGAATGGTTCAACCAGTTATCAGAATTTGGCAAGAGTGCTCAGAACCTGGGGCGAGAGTGAGTGCACAAGCTTACATCGTAGTTGCAGGGTATGTATTCACCGAGTTTGGCCAGTGATGTCAGCGCTGAGAAGAGACTCCTAATCTCAGATGAAGACAAACGCTTCAATAGAACCTTTTCTCTACGACTCCCAGAAACTTCAACTCCAACCCACACCTCCCTACCCACCAGCACACACCAAGAAACTACCACCCCGTCTCTACAGGCACCATGGAGTCTCTCATCACCTGCTACCCCCAAATCCACTGCGGCCACTGCGGCGCCGACCACTACAACCTAACCGGCGAAGAAGAAGACAACCTCTGGAGCATCTCTGATGGGGGAAACCTGAACGCCGAAATCATCCCCATCCTCCACGACAACTCGGTCCGAAAGCGCTGCCTATTCGACGTCATCAACCGGAACAACGCCTCTCTCGAGGAACGATTGGAGAAGAAGGTAGAAGCTTTCACGATCTTGGAGAAGAGATGCCTTGAGCTCCAAAAACACCACACGGATCTCAAGGCGCACTATGATGAGCTGAAGAAGGCGGTTATAGAGCGAGTGGCGGCGCATGAGAGCAGGATACGAGCTCTATGCAAGGAGAAGATGGCGTTGGAGGAACGGAATAGGCAGATGGAGGCGAATATGGCCGCGTTGGAGAGGGTTATACCGGGTATGGGTAGGGAACTGGGGGGGATGAATTAGCCGGATGTCTGATGTAGCATATGAGCAGTTGCGACACTGAAGATAAGCAGATCTGGTGGATGTTTGCTAGCGGGCGTCAGCAGTGGCTAGGATTGAAACGTCTAGAGAAGTCGGGTGCTCACATGTTTGACGCTTTAAAGGACCTCCGGCGATATCAAGCCTGTAGAAGCTGTAAAGGGGAAGCTGTGGCCCTTGGATTACCTTTGATTGCTAACCAACAATAATAGACACTGTAAATTGATTCTGGTGCAAAATCAAGAGCGAAATAGGCATGAATCTTGACCAGGAAATTCACGGAATACTAATGAAGCCATGTTTTTGAGAGACTTCCTAGCTAGTTGATCACACCTACGTTTCCCATAAGCCCTTCCAAGCCCCCTCAACCCCTTCGAATAACTCGCTCTTTCCCACAGTCTCCCAATCCTCTTCAAGAATGGCATTCAGTGCCTTCACTCCAATCACAACCAGTTCCCTAGTTTCCTCTTCATCGGCCCATTCAACCCTCGTCGGCCAAAACGCAACATGCACCCCCCAATGCACCGCCATTCTCTTCAAAAACTCCCTATCTAGCTTATTCCCTCGCGCCTCTGCATACGCTCCCAAAAACGCCTCACGCAATCCCCTCCCTCCCCTAAACCGATCCAGCAAAAATGCCTCCGCCGCAAACTGCCCCACATCCGTTGCCCCACACCCCCGCCTCGCCATCTCCCAATCCGCAACCATCAACCCCTCATCATTCCCCACAAGCACATTTCCCGGCCAGAAATCCCCATGACAAATCACCTCATCATCGCTGGCGAGCAGCGCCCCAAACTCCTCATCAACCCTCTCCGCCAACGCCACATCGAAGCCGAACTTCGCAAGCGCAGTGTGCAGATTGCGGTACGAGTGCCTGTAAATAAACTTCGCCGTGCGATTATCCCCGATATCTGTCTTGACCGTCGCGGCATGCAACGTCGCAAGCCAGGTCCCAATATCGCGGCCCATAACCCGCACATCGAGTGCCCGATCACTGTACGCATCTTTCAGGTGCCGCGGGCCGCCGTCGGCGATCCAGAGCATATGGTCGTCCGCGACGTACTCGATGAGGGGGACGGGCTGCACGGCTGTGGGGGCGCCGGCGGCGAGGAGGAGGGGCGGGAGGTCGCGGAGGGCGCGGGCCTCGAAGTCCATGCGGTCGACGGGGAAGGCCATGGAGGGGTTGGAGGCGATGAAGGGCTCGGCGTGCTTGAGGATGAGGGTGCTGCCGGAATGCATTGTGAGGCGCCAGACGTAGTTGGCCGTGCCGCCGGTGAGGAGGGTGATGGATTTGTAGAGGTCGGTTGGGATGCCGGTGGCGGTGAGGACGGTGATGTAGGATTCTAGCTCTGCTGTTGTTGTGATTTGGGGGGCCATTTTGGTGGGTTGGGTGACGTATGGAAGGGATATGGAGATTGTTGATGGGGTGGGCGAGGTACGGGAGGGATGGGGAGGCTGATGGGATGGATGAGAAGGATTGAGGTTCCTCAGGGATGGAGCACAGTGAGATTTTGAGAGAAGTGTTGATACGAATACTAAAGAGATCGGATGTGTTGAGTTTTTATAGAGAGAGAGAGAGAGCTTAGCTAATGTTATAGATTACAGTCGCCTTTCCTAGGCAAGGGTCATGTACCATTCCTGATGCGGGTTTCAGCTTGCGGGGATACCAAAGAGTCATCGCTATGACAGAATGTCTTGCAGCTTTTAAAGGATGTTTTAAACCCTTTCTGGGGGAAAAGTGTACATATACGAATGTGGCTGCGCTTTGTGGAGCGCAATCTCGGGAGTGACTCACCACATCAAACCCCGTGGTGGGAGTGCGGTATTTCTACCGAAAGGCGGGAAAGAGGGGAATAAAAACCACAAGGAAAAAGGCCTTACCCCGATCGAGCAGTGCAGCAGATGTACGGTTGGCTTTGAGATGAAAGGAAAGGTCGGGAGTCGAGGGGTGAGGTTGGTATGATGATGACTAAGCATCGTTAAAAAGACTCACGTGATACTTTTAGCAAATCTGGGAAATAAAGCATCGCATCTGAAGCATTGAAAAGTCCAGAAGAATGGAAGAGTTGTAGGAGGAACTTAGACGGTAGAATCATTGTTGGGGCGCCGCAGGATCAGTACCACAGTCAAAGCCATCGAATAAGACCACCCTTTCCCAGCAATCCCAGCCTCGTCAACCAGAAAATGGCCTTCCCTATCCCAGCAAAGGTAATCACTCAATTTCACCAGGCGGAAACGGAAAAGTACTCCGATGGTCGATCTTTGGGGGCGCCTCGTACTCGCACGCGGAGGTGTCCAGACAGCTTTGGGGACGATTGTGAGCTGTGACTACCGTAGTTTTGCTCGTAGTGAACAGTGTCGTTGGTAACAAGCCGCCTGTAGATCAGTGTCAGTTTCAGAAGTATTCACGTTATCCGGGCAGATGGCCGTCCGAAAATCAAGGCCAATGTGAAATGTGATAGGTTCAACCGCCTGGAATACGCACGTACCTGGACTTGAAGCCTTCTTGTCCGCCTTGCACACATCTCCTCCCGCTTCCTAGTTCTGTATCGGCTACTGCGCCACCAGAAATGGATTACCATTGCGAAAAAGTGGCGAGCGAAGGATGGAGTGCAGGTTTGTAGGAGCGATTGCGATTGTCGGAGGTGATGCTTAACTGGGGGCTGATTTCGGAGGAGGCAAGGCCGACAAAATCGACCCACGCGCGTGGGAGCTTGAGTGATAGCAGCTTGGATGGAAGAGGTGAGGATGGCTAAGCGATGAAGATTGGAAGTGAGGGATTTCGATATGCAAGGACGGAGTAAGGATCAGACGGGCGGCTGCTAGAGAAGGAGCAACACACCACGGCTACTTGAAGTCCTCATGGCAGGAGCAAATCGCGCAGTAGTGAGATTCCTGGTAAAAACTTTCAACTCGACTTTTACATTGAACCCCGATAAATGCTGAGAGAGTAATATGGTACATAGTTTACAAAAATTCTGCGACTAGATATTTTCTGTGGCGTGCCCAGAAGGGCCTTGGAATGTATCTGAAAGCGTAAGCATGGGATCTCATCGTCTAGAAAAGAAAATTAATGATGTGAACATACAATCCATTGATACGAACGCCCGATCTACTTCTCCAAGACCTAGGGACTCCATGTCAGCTTCGTGGGGGTTCAAAATCTGGTAATAGCTGACCTTCACAACAGTACTGCAAGGTTTCCGCAACATCATGGGCTCTCCTTAGCGGAGTCTGCTCATCAAGCACAACATCCATCTCAACCCATACTCCATCGCCGGCGTGGTAAGTCTTGACTGCTTTGTAGCCATCGACGACAGGAGCGAAGCGCCAAGCCAAGAACATCATTTTGCGAGCAATCCTCTCAGGCGCAGAAACTCCGGTGAGGCGCAAGACGTTTTCGAAGCATGTTTTGCCCTAGTCAAAGATGATGAAAAGAGATAATAGCGCAGCTCCAACGTGATCGAGCCACCAAACATCGAGCTGATAGCCAATGACCGGAAAAAGAAGACAGAGCGTGTTGAAAAACACGTCAGTTTTGCAATCTAGTAACCTAATTAGCATCGAGCTAAGCTAAGAGTAGGTTCGGGAACTCTACCTTGCGCGAGTGCCTGAACTTGGGTAGTCTTGATCTGGATACAGCCGAACCAAATGATGCCTTTGACAACGATAGTACTGACCATAGCACTAATAGCAACTGGCGGCAACTGAGTCACTTTGTGCTTCCCTGAAGGGAGCAACTGCTCAAAAGACTCTTCTAAAATTTGCAAAAAGGATATTACCATAATCTTTGAAGCAAATTGTTAGCACGTTTTATGTCTCGGAAGTCGGGAAAGGCACTCACGATTGAGAAGACTAAGATGCCTATTGGTTCTAATCGACGGCGATCGACCTGAATGCCCCTTGAATCAGTACACTGTTACTTACTAGAGAACAAGCAACGCACGGGAAATTTGGGTTTCAAGCTTTCAACTTCCACGCCACCAACTTATTCGTGCTCCATATTATCAGTGTACACAGCAGGTCTAGAGCAGAGTCGACCAAAGATGCAATGAGTGAAAGGGACGAAGAGTAGCCAGCCGCAATACACTTGGCAGCTAGAAGAAGAATGTTAGCGACAACGTTGATCTAAAAGAGTGGGTGGATGTCACGTGGGTTTGCCCGGTTGAGGTCTGTCTTACATTGATGGCCAATCTCGCAGACCGGGCTTCCTTCCGCCTCTTCTCGCGTGCTTCATCGGGCAAGAAACATTCCACATTCACCCCGCTGCCCTGAAGCGGCCCTCCGGCTTCCGCAACGCCGTCGTGATCTAGATCACGTGGGTTCATGCTGTCAACGACATCGTCCGCTAATGTCATGACGAGAGTGTCGACTTCCATCCAGTCATCCAGTCGCTCGTTTTGGTCTTCGTAAAAATGGCGCACTTTCTTGTTCTTGATATCTTTCAGCTACGATCATGTCAACGGGAGTCACGGATTTTTAAAATTGGAGGGATCCGACCTCTTCTTCACTCTTTCGATAACTTTCTAGTTCCTCGCGATTGATCCCATCAATAAGCTTCCGTTTAAATTCCGTGGCTCTTTGCCTGTCAATCATGGCTACGATGGCATCCCGAAAGCGTAGGCGCGAAGATCTTTTTCGACCATTTTCCACGTCGTCTCGGTCATACTTATCAGTATCTCTATACGGAGGGGCTGAAGTGAGCTCTCCGTGGCGCGATGCTACCTTTGTGACGGAGCTTGTGGATGTTTGGTGGTCGGAGTTCAGGGCAGAATATACAAGCCGACAAGGTTGAGAGAAAGAGGAGGTGGAGATGCAGAAAGACTGGCACGTGACTGGTGGCCCAAATCATAAGCTTCCTGACGCGTTGATCTGATTCGGCTTCTATGCTGTAACTAGAATAGCATACGAATAGTTCTTGGCAATTCTTGCTGCTTCAATGGAAAGTTGGTAGCGGGAATAACGGACATAAGCCGATCTATGACGCAAAGGATCACGACGCGTGAAATCACGACGCGTGTTTGTAAATAAACCCGTTCTCTCCTGCACTTCTTCGAGCATCATGTGTGCATCGTCAAAGCTGTTGTCTAGAAGAACAAGGTGCCGGGAAATCGTCTTCAATTCGCATTGTTTTCGCTGTTGGCAGATTTCGTCCGCTCCACTTTGTCACCTTCAGCTCGTGGCTGCCACCCCCGTGCTGCGATACTGCCGGCTGAGCCGTCAAGCCTCATCGAAAGACAGTGTGATCTGGACCCTGACGTGAGAAGTGGTCGGCGAGGTGCACAACGTCAAAAACGTGATGTTGAGCGTGAGGTTTCGCCCCCTTTTCGTGAGGGTCTTCGGGCAGAGATCAGACCTGCAGCTCGACCGGCGGCCGGGTCCCGCTATCTCAACACGCAACGGTAACTCATCAACGCCATTCCTCGCCATCTCATCCATCTCGTCCATGTGCCCTGAAAGGCTTAACACAAAGCTTGATATTGTGACTTCGCCTTTCCTCCTTGCGTCAAGATCCAGCTACTCAATCTCGCACCACCACAGCGCAGGCCGTAAACTCCATGGACTCTCCCACCATCGGGTCTTTTCCAGACCACAGCATTCGCTACCAAACCATCAGCACCCCCGAATTAACCAGACCTGCAGCGTTAGGCGGTGCTGTGGTACTCAACATGATGCAGATATCCTTTCGGCTTCGGATATAAGATCGTGAGTTACCACGGAGAAGAAAGGCAGATGTCAGATTGGTCCCGAGGATCTCCATCGGAAGCACAGATACCTGTGCGGCGGTCTCAATTTCCAATGCATGCTGTACCTCGTCCCAAGGAGATTGACTCTCTGCAGCCAGCATGCGTGTTTCAATCCGTCGCCCAATAGCCGGAAGGCTTTGTGCTCCTTTGTGACATGGGGGCTGCCTGTAACGGATCCCCATCGCATATCCTCCGCCGCAGTTCCTTCCGGTTCCTGGATGTGGCTTTGCTCGCCCTCGCCGCGATATTTTCTATGGAACTGGCCTTGCTGCTAACCACGCCTAACCTGCTATTGTCGGTGGATCATTCAGCTCTACCAGTTCACGACCCAGAAGATGCGGTCAACGGCGTCATAAATCGCCGATGGCGCGGACTGCGGGAGTGGAAGTATGAGATATAAATCTCCTGGTGGTCTTGTAGTTTTCTCTATCTCACATCGTGGTTCTTCTTGTTCCCTTTTTTCCGTATGCCAGCTTCAATCATGTCTTTGATTCTTTTTTTCTTTGCTTTCTTCGGTAGCTGTCTAGCTAAAACTGTCACTTATAATTTCGATATTTCTTGGGTCAATGCTGCCCCAGATGGCTTCTCCCGTCCTGTCATCGCCATGAACAAACAATGGCCTCTCCCAACAATCGAAGCTGACTTAGGCGACACCGTTATTGTGAAAGCTAGGAACCTCCTCGGCAACGAGACCACATCCATCCACTTCCACGGCATGAATCAGCTTGGCACCAATCCCTCTGACGGCCCGGTTGGTGTTTCGCAGTGCTCAATCCCGCCTGGCGGCGAGTACACTTATCAATTCACGGCAAATCCGGCGGGAACGGCCTGGTATCATAGCCACGACAAGGGACAATACCCAGATGGCTTACGTGGCCAGATGATCGTGCACGACCCGGCGTGGGAAAAAAGCCTTGGAGTTGACGAGCAGATTCATCTCAGCGTCTCTGATTGGTATCATGAACAGATGCCGGTGCTGCTGCACAAGTATTTGAGCCCCGAAAATCCAACCGGTGCCCTCCCGATTCCCGACTCTATGCTAGTCAACGACTCTTCCACACCTCCGGATATCACGTTCGAGCCTAGTAAAAAGTACCTACTTAGGATTGTTAATATGGGCGCCCTCTCCTGCTCGTCTATACAGTTCCGTGAGTTATCCGTTATCCTGCAGTACGATGACAACGCTGACATCGCGCAGAGAACCATGATATGACGGTTGTTGGCATTGACGGTGTTCATGGTAAGTTCAATTACGTCTTGTTACTTACAATGGCCCTATTAATCTAACCCGATAATTTAGTCGTACCAAAGACAACATCAGCCATTACTATTTGTGCAGGACAACGCTACGACATCGTGATTCAAGGTCAGACGAGCCCCAAGAACAGTGTAGGATACTTGGTCAAGATGGCGACTGATATGTTCGACTCGGTTCCATCTGGCTTCAAAACCGATTATACCGGAAAATGTCTCTACAAGTCGGGAGGAATCATCTTACCGATGCTTGGCTCCGTCATCTCTAATCCGTCACTATCCCCGTCTACTACTCTCGATGACTTTACCCTCCAGCCGCTCGATGGCCAGAAGCTGCTAGGAGCACCCGACCAACAAATCAAGTGGTACATCAATCAGACGAACTATCCGGGAATCGGGTCACGGTATGTAACTTCCGTTCTCTCTACTCTTTACCCAGCCTAACACCATCCAGTATCTCTCTTGCTCAACAACCCTGGGTCGAGCCTGATGTGCCCTCCCTCTACACAGCCCTCACAGCTGGCCTATCTGCCAACAACCCCGCTATCTACGGCCTCGGCGCCGCCGCCTCTGTCCTCGCCGCCAACAGCATCGTTCAGATCGTGCTCACGAACCCAGAAGAGCACCCTCATCCTATGCACATGCATGGCCACGAGTACCAAGTCGTCGCGCGTGGCACCGGTGTCTGGGACGGCAACACCAATAATTTTCCCGCCGTGCCGATGAAGCGCGACGTCGCCGTTGTGCCGGCGAAGGGGTACTTCGTGCTACGATTCAGAGCAGACAACCCGGGCGTGTGGTTTTTCCACTGCCACATCGACTGGCATCTTGCGGCTGGCATGGCGGCCACGCTAGTAGAGGCACCAGCGCAGTTGCAGAAGAGCCAGGCTATACCGGCTGCTGGGCAGTGGTTATGCTGGAGTAATGGGAAGCAGGCGAGTGGAAACTGTGCTGGCGCGACGACGGGGAACTTGGCCAGTGCAGACACTACAGCGAGTTGCCCGACTATTTTCAATACGGATACGGATGGGTATGGGGCGTTGGTTATCAAACAGGGGAAGGAGAGGCGTGATGGGCGTTGGTCTGCGTAGAGGGAGGGCGTTGGGAATCGTCTTCGTAGAGGGTAGGTGGTAGAAGGTAGGAGTTATGTGCGACGTTTACGTATTTCGGTCAACTTTACGTTTATTTCCCTCTTACGCTTTGTTTCGTTTCCGGTTACTAGAGCTGGATAGAGCTACCATTGTTGAGTGGGAATGTCACTTCTCTGATCTGTGTCTGTATAGTTAGCGCTTGGTTCACGCGTGACTAAGCCTAAATCGAAACCTCTTCGTTTCGCCGGAAGAGTTAACTATGAAAAGTAACCTATTCAAGCCATGTTCCCAATTTTAACCAATCACGGCCACGCCATCTTGCGACTTCACCGGTTGCTGCAGGGCCTGCTGGAAGTCCGCCAAAGTCATTCTAGTCAGACTCGCTTGAGTCAACGCTATCCCAACTACGGCAGGTGGTGCAATGTGGTATAATCCTCTCAAACCACCGCTATTCCGCCGCGTTATCACGACATCGCCTCTTCGTTTTCACAGCCTCCTCTACTTCAACGAGCGCTCCCCGGCATGCTGGAACCGTAGTGTTGCAAGATCACTACCTACGACGCGAGCATGGCCAATCTAGACAACCATGGCATCGAACTCGCACCAAGCAGGGGTGCGGGATACGACAATGACGATTTCGAGAAACAGCATATCGTTGAGGACCAAGAGGAAAAGAATCTCTCGCGATCTTTGAAGCAGAGGCATATTCAGATGATAGCGTTAGCTGGCGCAATTGTAAGTTCTTTTCATTCTTCCACTATATACTTCATCACGTGCGAAATACTTTCCTATCAATTCCCCAGGTTCAGCATTTATTTATATTCCCTCTTAACCCATCTCCAGGGCACAGGTCTCTTCCTCTCCCTCGGCAGCGCTCTCCAAACTGGTGGACCCCTCGGCGCCCTCCTCGGCTACGCTCTAATTGGGGCGGTCGTCTGCTCCGTGCAATTCGCCCTCGGCGAGACCTCCGCCCTCTTTCCCGTCACCGGTTCCTTTGTACGACACGCCGAGTTCCTCTTTGACCCTGCGCTCGGGTTCGCCGTGGGCTGGAATGTCGTGTATGGCGCCTACCTCTCCGTGCCCGCCGAGATTTCCGCCGCATTGGTGCTTATCCAATTCTGGACGGAGAAGTACGCCGCGCTGTGGATCACGATATTCATCGTGCTGACGTTTCTGGTGGGGATTATCTTCATTGGAGTGTATGGCGAGATCGAGTTCTGGCTTGCCATCCTCAAGATCATGCTCATTGTAGGCATTATCCTTATGGGACTGATCATTGACCTCGGCGGGGTTCCCGGCCAAGGAAGAATCGGATTCCGGTACTGGAACCATCCAGGGCCATTTTCGCAATATCTCGAAATACCTGGCGCGTGGGGCCGCTTCCTTGGATTCTGGGCTGTGATGAACAACGCCGTCTACTCGTTCTCCGGTATCGAGAGCTTGTCTGTCGCAGCGGCCGAGACGCAGAACCCGCGACAAAACATTCCCAGGGCGTGCAAGAGAGTCTTCGCACGGGTTACGCTCTTCTACATCCTCGCGGTCCTGATCGTGGGCATGATCGTCTCGAGCACCGACGACGATCTGAACAACTACTCCGGAAACGCCTCGCAGAGTCCCTTCGTATTGGCCGCGACCCGCGCAGGGATCAAGGCCGTTCCGTCTATTATCAACGCTGTCGTACTTACCTCTGCGTGGTCGGCTGGGAATCAGAGCATGCTTGCCGGTACCCGGATCTTGTACGGACTGGCACTGAAGGGCCAGGCACCGCGCTTCTTGTTGCTTACCACGCGTTGGGGTATTCCGTGGGTTTGTGTGATCGCACAGACTCTTGTTGCCTGCCTCGCGTACATGAGTCTGTCAAATAATGCGCTGACGGTCTTTTACTGGTTCTTAGACCTCACAGCGTCGGCGGTATTGATCAGCTGGAGCGCGATTGCCTGGAATCATATTCGGTTGCATCAGGCGTTGAAGAGGCAGGGGATAGTGAGGGAGGAGCTGCCATGGCATCATTGGTGGACTCGTAAGACGCCTTTGATCGTTTTATGGACAACTTGCTAACGATAAGTCCAGCTTACACGTCTTGGTTCGCGCTTGTTTCTTGCATCATTTTCCTCCTTACCGGAGGTTTCACGGTCTTCATCAAGGGCAACTGGGATAAAGCTACCTTCATCTCAGCTTACTTGTACGTATTCCCTCAACTTGTAATCGTGACCAAAGAGTCGGAACTGACAATCATGTCCGCACAGGGACATACCGCTCGTACTAACCGCATACTTCGGATGGAAGTTTCTCAAGAAGACCAGAATCTTGTCGCTAGATGACGTGCCTTTACGAGCGGCACTCGACGAGATTGTGAGCAAGCCTGAGGAAGAAGTTCCCAAGGCCAGAGGCTGGAGGAGGTTGAATATTCTTTGGGGCTGAGTGGAAGCGCACGTGACTTGTCCGCGATTGGTTATTTGTGCTTGCCTTTTGCGCATCGTTGTAGCTGCTTGAGACTTCTGTAGAGATAAAGAGAGCTTAGAAGAAGGCATAGGAAATGATCGTAATCTATACAACCAAGTCAAATATTAATCTTTCTGCTTGCTTGACGTCAGGTGTTTGGCACGTGACCAACACCACAACAACGAGCGTATCGGCCTCATCGTGCTTTGACACGCCCATCTCTCCCACCAGAAAAAGAAAACACACAATACCCAGCCTCCGCGTCACCAAACCGACGCCTCGATGGTTGATTTCAAATCCCCGCGGGGAATTGACGCTATCACCTCGATCGCGTAAAGTCTCTCCCCCATTCCGCCATCTAACCGCAACGACGATTAAAAGCACTTGAAACCCTGACCCTCTCTCCCCAAACAAAAACCCCAACCCTCAATTTATATCAGACCCAGCTCCCAAAATGGTCAAATCAGCAGACAAACTCGTCAACAAGTCCGTCATCGTCGTCGGCGGCACATCCGGGTTCGTACCCTTCGCTTAACCCCATCCCATCCATCCCATCTCCCATCCCTAAACCTTTTCAAATACTAAACCCCCTACCTTTCCCCTAATATATCTACTAAACTTCTATGGCAGCATCGGCTTCGGCGCCGCCGCCGCCTTCCTCGCCGCCGGCGCCCGCGTCACCGTCATCTCCTCCAACGCCGCGCGCGTCGCGGACGCCGTCAAGCGCCTCGACTCGCCGCACGCGGCTGGCGAAGTCGGCGACGTGCGCGACGAGGCTGCGTTCGTGGCGCTGCTGCAGAAGCTCGCGCCGGTGGACCATGTGGTCTTCTCGGGCGTGGACAAGATTATTAGGGGGAAGCTGGAGGAGCTGGATTTGGAGGACGCGCGGTATTTGTTTGGGGTCAAGTTTTGGGGGGCGGTGCTGGTGGGGAAAGGTGGGGTTTTTGCTCTTCTTTATTGCTCTTCATCGCTTTATTTGTCGAGTTCATCTCTGTCTCTCTCTTGTCGATGTTGCGAGGTTATATGATGTGTATCTTTTCGGCCCTGTGGCGGGGCGCTCTTTTTCGATTTTCGAAGTGGAGTGGGGAGCGGAGGGAATTTCAGCGTGTGCTAGATTGGGAGACGCGACGCTAACGGAAGGTCTGATATCTAGCCGTTAAGAAACACGACATCATCAACCGCGGCGGCTCGCTGACTCTAACCTCCGGCACCGCCGCGCTGAAGCCTGGGAAAGGCGCTTCGACTGGCAGCGGGCTGAACGGGGGCGTCATCTCGCTCACGAAAGGCCTCGCCGGCGATCTCGCGGAGAAGGGCATCAGGGTCAATGTCGTGACCCCCGGGCTAGTGAAGACGGAGTTATGGGGGAAACTGGGAAAGAGCGAGGAGGAGCAGAAGAAGACGTTTGAGAACACGAAACTGCCGGTGGGGTTTGTGGCGACGCCAGATGATATCGCGGAAGCGTATTTGTATCTCGCGAAGGCGGATTATTCGACGGGGGAGAATGTGATTATTGGTGAGTAGTTCTTCATTTTGTGTTTGTGGGGTTTGAAAACAGTGGCTAACTGGGAGTAGATGGAGGTGCGAGGTTGGGGATCTGATGAGAGAGAAATAAATGGTCGAGATCGCACCGTCCATTCGAAGGGGATGGAAGTCCTCTAGGAGATATTGGAATTAGCATTACTGCTGTTCGAATCATGATAACTAGTAAGATCGAAGGGATCCGGTAATATGATTGTCTTATTCCCTGGGTATATCCGGTGCGCTATTGACACGCTTGTTGATCCCTTGCGCCCGTCAGCGCGATAGTGGGCCAAACCCGAACTGTCACTGTCAGTCGCCCACCGGCCCCCGTTTTAGCCAGATAGCGGTGAGCTGGGACGCTGGAACGCGTTTGCGGAAGAAGGCGTGTGCGCGGAGCGAAAGAGGCGTCCGGATTTACAGACACTGTTGGGTGCTGGTCACGTGTCAAGCACATTTAACAGTCCTACGTCGCGAGTGAGATCCCAACACACTGTATTTATGAAATTATGCAAGGTCCTGACTCCGCAACTGGACTGGCAACATTCTATGGAAGCATTGAGCAAATTCCTATTGTCTTACCGTAGGAATGCTGCCAAGGAGGGGTTTTGAAAGGGCAGTGAAGGAGATATCCAAAATGGTGTTCCAAGGAGTTTCCAATTGACAGCAGCTCGAGCATGGAGAACAAATACGCAAAGCTGACAGGATTAATCGGCATGTTCCCTCGATGGTGCTTCAAACTGCCGAAGGGTCATCTTGTGATATACGGGCGAGTCAAAGCCACCCCCGATTCAAGGACAACATGACTCTAAATTCTGTTATTGTGGATGCGAGAACCTCGTTATCTGGGTGGGCGCTTTTATTGCGGGTCATCAAGGGCACTGCTTTTCTTTTTCGACGTCTTGGTATGCGGGTCCTCCTCGGTAAACGATAGAGGAGGCGCAGGTTCACTCAATTAGTTCGGACGCCACCACCTACGAATTCAGAAGCAAGGCGTTTGTATTGGACTCGACCTGATCCTCTCGCTGAAAGCTCGAGGGGGCCGCAGCCCCGACTCCTTCTCGTTTTTGAGCTGCTTTGGATCCACGATGATGATGCCTTAGCTCTCATGTTCGCTTGGGTATTGCAGTGACTCGGTCGACGGAGAAGCCCAGCTCGGCGCGCTAGTAGATCCCCTAACGCCAAGAAAGTAAAACAATGCGTCGTCGCTCAAGTGTCAGGCCCATTCAGGCGCTCTCGGTTCGCAATTTGACCCGCTTGGGTTGATCTGATATGCTGAACAGTTATGATGGAGATAACGTGTTAAGGACCTCAGGTGGGTTTCTCAATTGACCCTTAGGTCGCCCAAGCATTCCCGTTCTCCGCACCTCAGGGGGACCTACGCAACTTGCTCCTGGTAATGACCCTGCTAGTCCTCCACGTAATGTCAAACGCCATGAGACTCCCTGCGCCCCCTTGCCGCAAATAGTCGGTGGTACGACGGGCAAAATGCAGGTACATTCTCACGCCTATATATACATACCAAACCGACCATACAAGCTTTGGTTAGTTTCTCCTGCAAACAGAAATCGCACAACGTAACAATCCACAGATGTTTATGCAGGGCACTGTATCCAGTACAAAATAGTACATAGTACTTGGTCGCTTGTAGCTCGGAGTTTTTCTTCGCCTAGGGTCGGACTAATGTCATTAGCAATTAATTATACCGACCCCTGTAACCGGTCCACTATCCAATCGACGTGCCTAGCATTTGGGAGGCTTTGTTCTCGGACATACAGATCCGCGCCCTGGAGAAGCAAAGGCTCACGGAAGATGGATAGATACTTGCGGTGATGGTCTCTGCCTCTGAAGGAGCTGGAGGAATGGTTACACATGTATTTATCAAGATCTTAGCTGCGGGTGCTGGCCGCCGGCACTCGGCTGCCGAGCACTCTGTATGCATGCACGACCCGGACTTCGGCGGGATCGTCCGCAATCGAGACGTTACGGGTCTAGCCATACGCCTCACAACGGGGGGAAGCAGAGAAGCAACCCGGCCACCACATCTCTCCACATCCAACCACGGGGAACTGGAAAAGCGACCCGCCACCGCCTCGACTCCACTGGACGGGACGGCTCGCGAGTCAGCATGACAACGGGAAGGGCCGTCACACCGTCAGAACCCTTCTTCGCAAATCTAACTGCGATTCCCGACCTCTGGTATCGAAGGATTCTATATAGTATACACAGCCCTTTTCTTGCGAAAGTCTTGTGGTGTTGCACCAACATCAACACGAATCCTAACAATCTACTCGGATGCCGAAAGATTTAGCTTGCCAGACGAGCACTCCATGCAGCAGCATGCATCCATGGAGGACGCTCGGTTTTGGCGCGATCAGCAGGTCTGAGACCAACCTGACTCCTAGGCATGAACAGCTCGGCAGTGAGAAATGCGGCACGCCGGGATCGAAAACGAGTGACCCTGCGCAGGGGAAGTGGGTTCCCAACCCGACGCCTTGGATCCTCGGTTTCCGAAAGGTTGGCGTCCAAGAGCGGCGTCTGTCGCCAATAAGAGAATAGGCGGTGTGACGAAAACGGCCTTCCTCGAACTTTACTTGCAGCTGTTTTGACCTGGGACACCCCAGATGCTGGGACCAAGAACAGAGTTTAATCTAGTCAGGGGCCGAGTCCTTCTTCGGCTTCGAGGACTCCAAGGACGGCTCTCCCGACGGAGAACTAACTCTTCAGACCGGGGCCTCTCTAGAGTCCCTGTTGAAAAGCTTTGCTTGCAACGGTGTTACTTGTGGGGCTGTGGGGCCAGCCTCAATTCCAAGCGAAGTGCTCTCTGTACATCATTCGCATGTTCCATCACCCTGTAGGTTCACAGGGTGGTGAGATCATCACGACCCCCAGGAACGCATCGCCAAGGTCAGTTCTGCCCGCAAAGAGGCTTCATAGGCGCTCATGCCTCTTGACCTCCTTACTTCAATAAATCTCTTCGTGTCCTCTTTGCGCTTTTTGTTCGCACTCACCAGCCTTCCAAGTTCCGCTCCACCGCAATCATGCTCAAAGAAAAGGCACTGACGCTGGTGGTGGTGAACTTCGTCTTTTTCCCAATTGCTGCCATTTCATTGGCTATGCGAGTATATGTTCGAGCTACTCGAGGAGCTGTAGGCACAGACGACTACCTATTACTCGTCGGTCTGGTAAGTACCCTCGTTGACCCAATAGAGCTTTGCTCTAGCAGAGTAGGAAAATTAATGTTGCAACAGGTTCTATTTGCTCTAACGATTTCTATGTCAACGGTTGCCGCTTATCATGGAGTTGGCGTTCATCACTACGGTGCTACTGCCGCACAGATGCGTGATGGAGTGATGGTACGCTCATTATAGCCGTCAAACTTTGGCTTGCCCGCTGAGTTATCCTGCTAATAGAGATTAGTACTTCTCCTTCTGGCAGATATTCTTCATCACGAGCACGGTTCCAATAAAAGCGTCTATCTGCATCTCGCTTCTACGCATCACGACCAACAAAGTGAACAGAATAATCCTGTGGACACTTATAGTACTGTCGTCTATCGCAGCACTTATTTCCAACGTTGTAGTATGGTCGACTTGCCGCCCTATGGCATTTACCTGGGACAAGACAATCAAGGGGGGGAAATGCAGTTCCATCGATATAATCCTCGCTCTTAGCTATCTAGTATCGGGATCGAACATCATTACGGACTGGACCTGCGCGATACTGCCGGCATTTATCCTCTATGACATTCAAATGCGCACGAAGCTTAAGATTTCCATCTGCCTGGTTTTGGGTATGGGTGCTGTGTAAGTCTAACCTTGGAATACCGTGTGCTACTGCAAGCTTGCTAACCAAATACTTCGTAAAGGGCGAGTACCGCGACTTTGATACGCTTGAAATTCATTCCTAACTACAAAAATGCAAACGACTACCTTTGTAAGAATGCTTGCCCTCTGAGAATCGCCGCGGCTACTAACTCTTATATCCTTGCAGATGGATTGGCAGATATTGCGATCTGGTCAGTAGTTGAGATTGGACTTGGTATCATCGCCGGATCGATTGCCACGCTGAAGCCACTCTTCAACAAGATCTTTGGTAGCTCGAAGGACCCCTCCCCGTACACGAACGACCACACTCCAAGGCCATTTCCCGGAAGTTACCGACTACGCGACGTTTCGAAAGGCGGACTGGAAACGACAGTAAGGGGAGGAGAGCGTAGCGATATTAGTGATGAGGATACGGCGAGCCAAAGAAGGATGCTACGGAGCGTTGCGATTGAGGGGCACCATCCGGAGGGACATAGTCCGCCAAGGCAAAATCTGGAAGGCATCAAAGTTACCTACGACATCAGCGTGAGCAACGATCGGGACGACAAGAAGGAGAGGAAGGTGGAAGAGATGATATAATTAGTTGAGGTCATATTATTGGTCGTTAGGTTGCACGTTTCAAAGGCAAAAAGGAGTCTAGGCATATGTATCAGTGCGGAATAGGAATCGCTTCATAACGCTACCGGCAGGTCTAGTGCTGATAAGTCGGAAACTTAAGCTCAATTGAAAGGATCTCGGGCCTTCTTGTTTTTGACAGAATTGGAATCATGACTTATGATTCTTGCGAGAGAAGATCTTCGGTAGTCCTTGTCACGGTTGATAGCACTAGACAGCGAGGTCCTGAATTGGACAGCGAGGACCTGAACTAATCGGCGAGGACCTGAATCAGACCTCAAGGATGAGGCACCGGCACTTGCCGCCAAGACTGCATCATGCATTAGCTACGAAGGCCTCGAGTGATAGTATCGTGAGCCCCGCCCGGTACTCTGGGTAGCCTATGGCGTGTCACGGCTTCGTGGCACGTACAGTAGCGAAGCATATGCAGGTATGCTGCAATGCGGGCGGAACGATTCATGGCCAAGTGTGGGGGCATGAGCCGACCCGCGGGCAGATACAAATCAATCCTACTGCAAACGTATTTGACCGTAACGGCATAATCCAGACGCCTCAGCCGCCTGGCCCTTGCTATCTGCATATATAGCCGTATCTTCCTCACTCTGTCCGCTCCTCCAACCTCACACTTCCAATTTTCCTACATCACCGAAAACATGTCTGCTATACCTGTTTCTGCCCAGCTGAGCCCGGAGCAAGTCGCTGCTCCCGTGAGCGGCGCTTCACTCAAGGGCAAGAGTGCTTTAATAACAGGCGGAGCATCAGGGCTTGGTGCTGCCGTCGCGCTCGCGTATGCCGAGAAAGGGTGTGTTAAGATAGTCTCTCTTAACCTAATGACTATAAACCGCAACACTTAGAACACTTCTGCTAATCTGATCTTAATCTAGTGCCTATGTTACGATAGCTGATATCAACGAAAAGCTCGGTAACGAATACACGAAATCGCTCCAAGAGAAAGGCCTGCAGTATGTCGAATTCGCACACCATTTAACCCCCCTCGGCTCAGGTGATCTGATTCGATTAGCGTCCAATTCATCGCCGCAGACGTAACATCCTGGGAGTCCCAAATCGCCGCTTTCAAAGCGACTGTCAAGTTCTCCCCAACCCACGATGCGATCGACATCGTCGTCGCTTCCGCCGGCGTGGCCGGAGACCTGTGGTCTGACCCCAAAGAACCTCCATTCACGCTGGAGACGAATCCTCCAGCTCCAAACATCAGTGCGTTCAAGATCAACAGCATTGGCCTGTACTACACGGCCAAGCTGTTCGAGCTGTACTCCAAGCTGCCGCGTTCGGTGCCTGCCGCAGATCCGCCGGTTCTCATCCTGGTCGCGTCGCTGGTCGCGTATCTCGATTTCCCGCTGATGAGCAGCTACACCTCGTCCAAGTACGCTGCGCGTGGGCTCTTCCGCGTCATCCGTCCGCTTCTTTCGGCCAAGGGCATCCGAGTCAATCTCATTGCGCCTTGGATTATCGAGACGCCTCTCGTGACGGATTTGGTGAAGCTGTTCGCGGCAATTGGCGCGCCGCCGGGAGAAGTGAAGCAGGTTGTTGAGGCTGCTATGTTGTTTGCTGACGATAAGACTATCAACGGTGAGTTTCATGTCAAACCTACTCAGATGCTTTTGCTGATATATCATGCGTCTTGTTAGGCCGAGCCATTGCCACCGGTCCCAAGAGGAATCTGGATCTCGGTGATGATGTTGCAGGAGGAGATGGAGGCAAGGTCATGGCCGGGTTTTTCGAAACGGAGTTGCCTAACTGGCCTACGCACTCCGCTGGAATCGCGAAGTTGTTGGGTTTCTAAGTAAAGAAAGCCTTTAGAGTATAGCGACCAGCGAACTTTGAGCGTTGCTTTTGTCAGATAGATCCTCTCAAAAGCGAGGGTCTTTCTCGCGCAGAATATGATATGTCCATTCCAATATCTCGATGCAGGTCCATGGTGGGCCATCTTGAGGTTTGCTCTTCCGTCTCATGGGTAAGCAATCTCGTGGAATTTGAGCTGTATCTTGACTAGTTTGCTTCCTAGCAACGGGAGCTCTGCTAACAGCGCTGTCTAGCTTCCAGGAACGGCACCCAAGCAGTGGCCTATCACTTTCCTTAGACTCGTTGCTCAACAATGTAACCTAAGGCGACCGGGCTTTATTTAGTGGAATTCAGGGGCAATCCGGCAAGAATAATCGAAGAAGGATGCGGCCTTTACCCTCCATTGTTCTTGCCCCATCTTCCTTCGCCCGTCTATTTCCCATAACTCTTCTCTTTCTCATTCACTGTCTCAATTATAATTGCGATCACTCTATCTAATCATCCCGCCTACTTCTGCGTTTACTCCCGTTTTCCATGCCGACGTCTTCTACAGCACTAGGTCATAAGTCTGGGCACACGGGTTTTATCACTACTTGGCTCCAATCTTGCTCACTCGAGACCACGGCGAGGAGCAGCCCAGCTAGTAACTAGCTAGTTAGTCAAGAGGCAGTCTAATTTACACTGCTTGAAACCTGACATCATGCCTAGGTTTGTGAAATTCTATGGGGTACCCCAAGCAGTGGTGAACGCGTGTACACAGACTTATGACCTGTCACTGTAGGGCCCAAGTCGCTGCCACGCAATCTGATCTAATGTGGCTTTCGAACAACATTTACTTCGCTGAGGTGTCCTTCTGTATTCGAAAACAGCGCGAGAATAGCCCTATCTCAGAGACGCGCCAAGCGGAAAGGTGTGCCTGAATCGCATCACGACAATGATGAACATCGCATGCTCTGTATCAGCACTAAAGCACCCCAAACGGAGGAAAGCACATAGTATACAAGTTCATGGTCGTGCTTTGGATGGTAAGCTCCAAGCCTTTCATTTCCATCTAGCAAGGAAATATTTCCATTCCCCAAGACATTAATGAGTCTCATATCAAGGATTCCTGATGCAAGTTGCGCAGGCTTATTCGAGAAGTGCATGTTCTTGAGAGCGAGGATTAAGATGCACGTGCTATAGCTGTATTGGTCTTCGTTCAACAGGGTGGAGTTGAGCCGGTAGTGAAACCCAACAACATTTGCGATGATGGCAATGCGGTCAGATGGTACCAAGTTATCGCAGCTTTCCATCATCTCAAACGTTTTCAGTAAGTTGTCCCAGTCCGTGATGGTATCTAGATACCCTCGATGATTCAAAGGAGATGGTGCCATGATTTCTTGGATACTCTTGTCGATATTCCCAAAATAGTAGTCTCTTGGCGTACAATTGAATGGGCCTCTGCTAGAAGAATATGGGTCGATGTAGATATCAGAACTGGAGTGATCGAATCTCTCGACGGTGAGATTGGGATTGATTGGAATCAAGTACCATAGAGCTGAGGCACAGTGCCGCTCCTGGAAAGTCCAAGTTCGCATGAACCATCTGTCCTGGGTAATATGGCGGAGAATTCTCTCGGTCATCTCTTCAGTCTTAGCTCCTGATCTTATGATATTCGTTTGAAACCTCCTCTAAAATTCTTTCGTATCCGTAACGAAGAATTCTTCCAAATTATCCAGGAAGCTTTGGCTCGATATCTTGGTGGAGAGAATTGCGGCTGTAAATGTGCTCTGTGAGTACACGCGATGCATGATTCGCAGATGTCTCTCAATATCGGCAGGATCGGTCTGGTCAATGCATTCCTGATCGATCCAAACTCGAGGACTCCCGCCCAGCGAAGCCTCTTTGGACCGTGCGAAGCAAAACGCCCGATGAATAATTTCGACGTGACATCTAGGCGGCCGGAAAACTCCACCAGCCCATATGACATAGTCAGGAAACGACTTGTTCTTGTCTTGCGAATTGTCATGGTCCCAAGTGTATGAGACCGCGACCTAAGGTATCCGCTGCATGCGTTCCGAAGGATCTGTGACCTTAAGATGGACTCTCTTCACACTCCCGTCGGCATCGAAGCTCGGAGTACCATGAGGAACGAGAAACCGCAAGTTGATAGGCGCAGACTCTATATGAAGCTGGGCTTCTTCTACAAGGGCGACCTCTTGGATCTCATCTATACTGGCTTGTAAGGCTTCCAAAGAGCCATGGATGTCGCCAAAGGTGAGTGCTGTGTCCCGTTGCATAGTGGCACAATCGTTCTTTTGGTCTCTACGGCTACAAAACGTGTGCTGGGGTGCTCTTCAGGTAAGGTGATGAATGAGACATGCAATGGTGGGTGAAGCTTACAAGATTGTAGTGCTGACTTGAAGTAGAAATGTAACTGGTGGAGTGTCTGCATGAATGTCCGGATGGTCTGTTCTCCGAAAGTGTTGAAGCTCAAGTGTGTATAAGGGGGATGGTGTTGCTAGGCTGAAGTAGCGGAGCGGAGCACATCAGGCCGAGAGGATCCATGCGGAGTTCATGCACGCCAAGCATGAGGCGTTTTCAGCTGTCCCATTTTGCTGAGATGCATATGCAAGCTGTTGCTGGCAAAGACTTGGTATACATGCAAACAAATTTCTATCCGCCCCACAGACTCATTCGCTTCACTCATCAAAGAGTGAGTCGACGGTCTTGTGAAGGATTACCCCACATAAATCGCTAGTCAATTAAAATCTTCCGTGGGTGGCCTGTATCACATCCTCAAAACTTCACATCTCGCCCATATCCCTCAAAATCTGGTGAGTATTCCCAAACGGTGGTAAAGAAAGACGCACAGACATCTATCTGCAGACTTCAGCGGACAACGACTGGTTTCTTACTAGTAAGGATCTGGGTTCATCCAATTGTGTGCTTTTGAGTAGTCTTCCAGGTTGGCAAGGGTTTCTTCGAGCGTTTTTTTGAGGAGGCCCCATGATGGTCGTAGTTCTAAAGGATGGCTGACGAACCATCCGGAATTTTTCAAGGCCAGAACCAGAATACACGTACTATAGCTATATCGTTCGTGGTTCAGCAGCGTAGACTTTAATCGGGCCGGAAACTTGTTGACGCTGGCAAATATGGCTATCCTATCAGATACAACGAGGTTATCGCAGGTCTCCATAATTTGGTGTGTCTTTTGTATGTTGCCAAAGAAAGTCTGGTTGGAGTTTATGCCAGTTTTTATGGGAGCCTGTGGGTGAGTTGGCAGTACAGCCTGCGGGCTATATGGAGGGAGAGCAAAGTGGCTTTCGAGTATAAGTGCGAGGCCGCGTGTCGTGTCCCAGCTGTGGTCGCTCCATCGACACAACCTCCTGAAAAGGAACAGCTTCTCGAGACAAATGTCTGAACCGACTCTTTCTAGTCGCTTGAGTTGGACGGTCGTACCGACGGGGATCAAGAAATGTACACGTGACCCGCAGTGCTTTTCTTGAAAAGTCCAAGTTCTCCTAAACCATCTGTCTTGGGTGACATAGTTGAAGGCTCTCTGGACGGGTCCAAGAATTGAAACAGGGTGATTTTTCCGATCCGTCAAAGTCAAAAGTGCGAAGTCTTCACGCCGGGGTGTGCGATTTGTACCGAGGTCCCAGTGGAGGAATATGTCGAGAGCGTCTACAAGACGTTGTGCTAAGATTGTCGAAGACAAAACGGCGACAGTAAACGCACTCTCAGAGTAGATCTTGTGCATTATCTGCAAATGGCTCTCAAGATCATCAGGGTTGTCTTGATCTATGCATTCTTGATCAATCCAGAGTCGAGGCTGAGGTAGCTTTGCAGCGGCAAAACACATAGCTCTGTGAAGGACTTCAACGTGGCATTTTGCCGGGCGGTAGGTAGATGCTCCAGTCCAGATATAGTATTCCGGGAGAGGATCATAACCATCTTCAAGTTTGTGTGATTTGGCGTGGTCCCAGGTATAGGAGACTGCAATGTATGGTTGCGAATGTACATACTCGGAAAGATCTGTAAGCCGAAGGTGTATCTGTTTTCCAGTGTTAGGAGGTGTATGGCATCCGGTTGTAGATGTTGGAATTTCACAGGGAACGAGATGACGCAGGCGAAATGGTTTCGCATAATCATGCGTAAAATCATTGAACCTGGAAAACCTCGGGAAACTGTTGGCCTCAGCTTGAAACGCCCCCATTGAACCAGGTTCATCAACCATGGCAACTCTCTGTATCTCGTCGATGCTTGCTTGGAAATTCTTTAAGGTCCCATGAATGTCTTCGAATGTAAGCGCCGTATCTCGCTGCATGATTGAAATCCGGTCGCCGGTGCCTCGATATATAAAGCTTTGGTGTTGGATGTGTAGCGTAAAGTTGGGTAGATTGGTTTAGTTTGGGCCTACTTTGACGCTGTTTGAGGTCCCACAGCATCTCATGAAATAGGGAATGAGATGTAAAGATGTCGGTATCGTAAATCGATTTGATGTTGAGGCCAGTCCCTCGGGCTGCTCAGAAGCTCTCCAAAATACTACGAAAGTTCGTAGCCTAATGGAACTATTCCCCTCTTTGATCCAAAGCTTCAGAATTGGTGATGTAGAGATGATGTAGAGACGGAGCGAATGATGGCTCGATGATGTTGGAAGCGCTGCAGCCTCGTCGCGCACCATCCGACGTCGACTTTCTCACGTGTGCGCGCACTTCCGCCAAGGCACGCACGAACAAAATGTAAGCACACCCAAACTTAGAAGTAACTGTTGACTGGACAAATGGTGCTTGTAAAGATGTTGGTGATCCCAGGCTGAAGCAGCGTGGTGTTTTAGGCTGAAACGGCTTCGTGGCGAAGCTCATGCACGCCAAGAACAAGGCGTTCCCGAGTGGAATGGGAGCCGTCCTTGCCGGCATCTGGTTGTAATAGCAATGCTTGTTGGGATGATCATATATTGTATGCTAATCCGTAGATGATTGGAAGTACGCGGTGTCTATTTGAATGGTGGAAAGATAAAAAAACGCTAGGAGGGAGTTCTGAATACGGGTTTAGATTCTCATATATCCGTCCCACAGACTAATTCGCTTGCCCTCGTGCAGTTGAGGTTGTGGATCCTCGAGCAAGAGTAAGATTCGGATCAATTACTTGAGCAAGAGCAAGACTCTCTATTTGTTCGATATTCGCCCTGAGAGCCTCGATTGAGCTAGAATGTGGTGGCGAATGGTGCAAGCTCGAAGTAGGCCGCACTAGGTCTGAATTCGGCAACTCGTCCAAAAGTAGGACCAGTATGATCGAACAACCCCGGCAAGATATATGCCGGGATGAATGAAGCTGGCGCAATAAGGAGGTGTCCAATAGAAACAACAGGGCGGAACATATGCACGCCAAGCGCTTCATGGCCTAGAGCGCTGTCAGGTGTCCCTAGTCCATCTATTGTCCGATAAGCATACCTACCCCACCCCCGCAGCTCCCCTCTCGTCCGTCCCATCCCATCCCCGAACCTCCCACATCCACGCCGATCTACTCTTCGCCAGAATCACAATGTCCATTGACCGCTTCATTCCTTGCGCTCTTTTGTGTGTCCTCGGTCCATTTGGCCCGCATCGGCCATACAAGCGGACCGTCACTAGGCGCCGGCGCTACGACTAAGACATATCGTGCCGCTTTCCTATTGGTCGTGTTGGCGTTGCTGCGTTGTTCTTGACCGGAAACCTGCCTTTTGACGACTTTACGAACAGTTTCATGCAAGCCTGCTGCTTTTACGATTTTGAGTTTGATTTTGTACTGCCGCCGCGAGTTGCGAGTTGCTACCGTTTTCGAGTATTATCGTTTATACTGTTTGGCTCAATATCGCGATCGTTTTTGTCGGAACTGGATACCCATCCCTTTCTACGCATTTTATCAATCAGAAGGACATTGAGGATGACCTACTCCGCCTGGCATGCTCTCCATTTTCCAGACCCGCTGCATGTCCTCGACGTAACCCTCGACATCCTCCGCGCATCGTCTGAATCGACTGAACGTCCCACTCGCGCCCTCCTTTACGATGTCACGAAAGCCTTGAGCCCGCATAGAAACGTAGATCTCCGCCTCGGTTGGGGTCCAGTGGCAGCACTCTCAATGGAAAAGCTCGGACACAGGCCAAGGGGAGATATGTAACTCTGTTATATTGCTGGGCAACTCGTCGCAGCTGAGACTCATCACCTCCCGACTTTCCGAGTTCGAGACCTTGGGTACACCAATTGAAGAGCTTTTACAGACAGCACTTGACGCCGCGCAGATATGCAAGACGCTCGACATACAGTACCTTTGGGTAGACGCGCTCTGTATTGTGCAAGATAGCTCCAGTGACTGGTTCTACAAGTCTTGCCGCGCGTGCGACGTCTACTCCAACACGGGACAAGTATCTCGCTGGGCTCTGGCGCGGCAGTCTAGCGAAAGAGTTGCTTTGGGTTATGCCAGCCTACTGCCTCCCCGAAGCGATACCACCTACACCCCGTCCAAGGGAACGTAACATACATACGTGGAGTTGGGCGTCAATCAACGGTACCGTACAGTTCGGAGCCGAATCCGAAGCCGAATCTTTGAACCAGCTTTCCAGATCCTTCAATGTCATTTTGATGCCGCAACCGACGACCCAACGGGACAGATTACAGGAGGGGTTCTTGGTCATAGAAAGTCCGATTTCTCATGGTGATGAAACCCACCTTCCACCACAGTCGGGGGATTGCTTTGCGAGATTGACGAATGAAGGCTCAGCTAACGGTTTTGGATTAATCATTGACAGTTCAGACGATGTAATGCGAGGCGAGCACAGCTGTGTGCACGTTGCGCACATAACAACGGGGCCGGATCAAAGGTGCGATTGCTTGTTCCTAGAACTGAGGAGGTCTGCCTCTGTCGAGGGAACATTCAACAACGGATTATGGAGAAATTCTAGGACTGCGGAAATGAAGATTGTGCAAAGAACGAAGTAGAGACTATGTGAAATTGAGAACCAAGAGCGTATATGTAGATACATCCGGATGAAATCTTGACGTACTTACCAGGGTTTTCATACGCCCCACTTTGAAGGCCACGGCCATGAGAGAAGACTTCCTGTGCTAAAACAACCTGAGTCCCTCTCTAACTCGACCTAGACCTATTGCTGGCGACGAATTGGATGGAAGATGGATGAAGATTGAAGGTTTTCACGCCTCGTCGGATGAATGTGCCTCCGACTCGGCTAAAACTCGGGGCGCAGCAGTTTGTGGCGCTGTGGCTCAGCACTTCAGCGGGGTGATCGCGTCGCTATCCCGACCTTCACTCAACATCGGACGACACGGCTGCCTGACGTGATTCAGCACCCTACCAACATATCATACACATAATGTACCTTGCATGAGACTGGGTGTTACCTTTTCGACTCCAACCTCGCTTTTTACACAACATCGGCAAGCAGCAGGCGACTCTGAGATGCGGACTCCCAGCACGGCTATCATTCAGCCTCGCGCCGCTTTCTGGCGTCCAACCTCTGCCTAATGACTTGTGGCGCTGATTTCTACTGATCAATAACTTGCTGCCTCGCGCCTTCGCTTCCCCGGGCTTTTGTCCCACAGCCGCACCTTTTCTGCGCGTCATTCTGCCATCTGTTACTTCGTTTTTACCCTACTTGTATTCTTACAACCAACTCCATTATATCGTCCATATCATCTTTGTGCTTGAAGCCACCATGAGCTGCCTTACGGGATGTGGGAGCTACAAGCATGCAAAAATGCCCGAGGCCGACGAGAAGGGCACGGTGGGATGCATCCTCTTTCTCCGGTTCTGCGAGGTCATCGTTGTTGGGATACTAGCATTCGCTGCCAAGGATAACTACCAGCTGGTAAAGGACCATGATCAACTTTCAAGGCCTCCATACAATAAGAACGTCATACTGTCGCAAGAGCTGCTGTATGCGGGGGTACGTAATAGCCTATTTCTTCATCAACATCACCAACATTAATCATTAGCCCATCTTTCGTCTCGGATCTTTTTAGAAGTTGATGTCACATATTTCAGGACTCTTACTAACGCCTGAAAAGAGTATGGCAGCTTTTGGGTGGACCTTTGTTGGTTTCGGCCTCATACTCACATGGAAAGGCTGGGCAATCTTCTGGTATGGGCTTGTCGACCTTACGCTTTCCCTGGTTATGGCCGTCGGCGCTGCCATGCAAGCGAGTTACCTCCCGGCTACCCTGACTACATGCAAAAAGGCGGACACTTGGCAGGTTCACGGTGACTATCCCAGCTTTTTCGCCCTGGCCGCAAGCTATAGGTCTCGGGAAGACGCCAATGATAGGTGCCACTCCTTCGTATTAGTTTGGATCTTAGGAGTAGTAGTGATGTACGTGTCCCCAACGACTGTTGACATCATTGCTTACTCACATTAAGAATAGCGTCTTCCAAATGCTCATCGCCTACATCGGCATCTTTAGCGATATCCGCGAATACAGTATCCTCAACCCCTATCGGCCCTTCGCGTGGTTCGTGGTTATTGTCTTTGGAGGGCCATACTGGCTTGCCTGCGCTACCGTTCGTCGATCTCGATTTCTATACAGACTTCTGAAAAAGGTGGCACGTCAGCTTCGCGGGTGTAAGCCAATCGAATTTGAGAAGCCGCCGAAATACGTTCCGAATTACAGTGGCATCAAAATATCAAACCCTAAGCTTGAGAACATTTTCAACATCGAGCATCTGCTCCTGCCAATCGCCAGTAACCTCCACTACGACGACCTAATCAATCTAAGTCTCACTTCAAAGAGCGTCCGGGAAGCAGTCTTCCCAGCCGGCGACTATGAGCATCGAGTTCGGAAGCTCAAGGCGTACTCCTGTAACAATAACACGAAGAGTCGTTGCGAATACTGCAATAAGCAAGTTTGCGCCGTAAGTTACTCCAAACCACGTGCACGCTCTTCATCACCTAGCTCCTAATCAGAACCCAACAGGAATGCACCCAATGCGCAAGAATGCCCGGCCTTGCCGGCCTTCGCCATCTCCAGCTCTGTAGACCCTCTTGCACAAAATGCTACTTCAAATCAATCCGTCCTGGGCTACGACGCACTGCCATAGACAAACGCCAATGCCGATGTTGGGTCTCTGACGCGTCGATGCAAGACCACTGGATCTGCGCCGAATGCTATGCCAAATCCAAGTTTGGTTTTGAGCTGCAAGCAGCGAGGGAAAGGCGCTACAAAAAGCAACTGAGAGAATATGCGCAAGGGATCGGACTACCAGACGGACAGAAGCTGGAGTGCCGCACATGTAAGACTGAGATGCAAGGCGGATCTGTGAGATGGTGGGTATGCAGCAGGTGCTTTGGTGAATGCACAAGTCACATGCATCCGGCGCATGCACGAGTGATGGCGCCAGGGGATCTTGAGAAGGGGGAAGAAGGAGATGCGGAGGCCCCGAAGACCTCATGGTTGAAGTTCTTCCAGTGGAAGTGAGTATTATCTTTGCTTTCTTGGTCGTGATGGATCCATACTTGTCTTCCTAGTCTACTCTACTAACGCTTCTCCCAAGCTGAAGCAATTGATGATCTCCGGAAGGTCACTTCAGTCCGTCTCCTTTCGATTGGTGTATTGGATCTTCCCCCATGTGACGTGGAATACTCGCCCACTAGGGCGGCTTCAACCCGCCGATACTCGACCTTCAACCAATGACCATGGCAACATGACACACACCAGCCGCTCGAATATCACTCGGGATCCCGCTTCCTGATCTTGAAATACGCTCATACCCGATATCTATCGTCACGATGCCGCCCTCGGCGACATAGAACCCCGCTTTGCCGACACCCAGAAACCATCTCGTGGCCTACCCTCCGCATCTTCCTACTCTTGGCTACACGCGCCCCTCTTGGATACCCTCAATTTTTTCACATCAAATATCTAAACTCCATCCTCTCCTGGTTGGTCATCTAATCGGATATGTTCCGCACATCTACGTGTATTTCCGCTGTCTTTCATCATGTGTTTCGCCAGGATATTGTGTTTCTCGTTCCGTACCCGACTTTCTCCTGCATAGATTCCTATCTTGCCTCACCGCTAGATCCCGTAGACCAATCAATGCTCTTCAACTCTCCGCATCTTTGTCTTCACATGCATTGCTACTAACCCGTGCCTCGTTTGCCTCCGGTTTTCGCCATACACACGTCGCGCCCTCGCATCGTCGGCTTTCGGAGATGCTGAGATTGGTGCTGGTGGGCGGGTATATAGGAAGGGCCTCCCAGGCGGTTTGACAGTTTTTCTAGCAGAGGGAAATGGGTGTTCGGGGTTGTCAACGCAAATCAAGGCTTCCATACATGGACTGCAGAGAGGGTTGGTGTGGATGGGGGTTTCGAAATCATGAGGACCTATGGATATATGGTGGGATGTGTTGGTGTTGAACACCTCGAAACAATGTGGGAGCATGTTTCAGTTTGGAGAGGCGGAGATCGAATTAAAGACCACGATACATATCGTCATGGTGGAGGCAGGCTGTGGTTTGCGGGCTCGAAAGTTGACCGCATGATCCTTTATGGGAGTGATTGCGCCCTGTATTTCGAGAATCAATCGTCACACAGTCACCGACTTGGGAATGTGTGAGTGTGCGGTCTTGGTCTTCAACATATTGGAATGTATGTACGACCAGTGCGTGATCTGGAGGTTGGAAATCAAATTTTAGATGAGCTCGACACTGATGGGCAGGGGCTGTAAGCTGGGACTCAACATACACCGTACACATTTTCTGTCATGTCTGGGTGAGCTTAAACTTGAAAACACAGGCAGTTGCAGCCGCTATGTTCGGGAGCCCGAGGATAAAAGTAGCAGCTTGGTTGTTCATGGAGGGGGTATTGCGAGCTGGAACGAAGACGCCAAAAACTCACCGCGGAATGTGTGGGTGGTTTTGGAGTTTCACATACTACCTACGATACATCCACATGTTCTGAAAGCGGGGAATAAAAAGTACACGCACAAATTCCCCAGGATGGAGGATGGTTGTGGGCGAAATTCAACAGGCTACCATGTGGGGATATCTTAGTCTTCAATATACAGTACTGCAACATAACTTTGAGGACTCTCCTACCACTGCTTGGGGTACTCTTATGGGCTTTCACAACTCCGAACACGATGTCAATGACGATGCAATGGGGACTGGGCAGCCTTTTGACTAGCCCGCTACATGCTAGCTAGCTACTTCTTCCGGTAGTGTCGAGCGATCAAGAGTGGAACCCGCACAGTGGTATCCCCGGGTGCCCAAGCTTATGACCTAGTACTGTACTACTTAACGTTGAAGTAGCTGTGCTATGGAGCCATGTAGGCGCCTTGGGGATTAGGTTCAGCAATTTTCAATGCATGATGGAAGGGTGGCTGCGTGCTACAGACAGGCTGTCGCCCAACATGTGTGGTAGGTCCTGGTCTCAAAATACTTCAACGGAGGGGATCCTGGATCATGTTCTGGAGCGCCGCAAATTAACTTATCACTACACTCTTGGTCATGGAGGGTGACTTTGCGTGGAACTTTTGAAATCTAACCGTCATCAGCTGCCATGTGCGGATAGTGCTGGTTTTACAGAAAATCCGTCGTCCAGTCCAAAATTTTCTGGTGCACCGGATTTTCAAGTAACACTATTTCGTTCAAGATGAAGAGCAGTTGTGGGCTAGATCGTGAAAGCTGGAATTAGCAGACGAGTATGACTATGTGGCTGGTCCCTGTGTTCAACAATGGATGCTACCTGGCGCGAAGGCCCGCATTGCGGGGGACCGAAAAGTCAATCAAAACACGCCCCATGAAAGGCGGCTGTGAACCGGAGTGCTGAAGCTCCTCGTGGTTTTCCGGCATGTGGGGTTGGTTTGGACACGACATTATTAAGTTCTTATGCTTTGGAGGCCTGGGAATCAAACAACAATTCTGCAAATAATTCGATGAACGCAGATCGTAGATTGAGTCTATAATACAACTTAAGTGCTTCTTTTCATGTGGATGGTCTTCGTAGTAAAAAATCATTATGGCTCTAATACCTATGTCTGGGTGCGTCAGGAGTGAAATAGCTTAGCATCACTCACAAACAACAGAAGAAGCTCATGGGCCTCCTAGCATGGAAGCAGCTATGGACGGGGATTTGAAAACGGGGATACGCCCATATTATGAGTAGCTCGTGTGAACTTGAACATACTCATGTGGAGCACAGAGCTATGTTCCGGGGCGGTGTTAGCCACAATTTCCAAGTTTGACCTACATGGAGGCCCGCTCTGACCTGGGCTCTAAATACAGTACGCGGTGGGTAGACGGTGCGTCTAGAAAATTCTCGTAGTCTTTCAAACCGAGAAGGATCAAGGGCAGTGGTCTAGTGGCTTTTTAAAGTACTAGAGGGTGGAATCGGATATTGGCCCCGCTCTCAGCGTTGCGGTCGAAAATTGCTGACGAACACGACCCATGTTCGTACATTTGTCGGCACTGTTTCTTTAATTCACTTGTGGAGTAAGCACGATGTTTGTGTCTAACTTCGAGGCCTACGAGCTAGTGTACTGCACGTGTGATAGCAGCGTCTATGGTCCCTCATGACTTCAAGCTTAATTCAAAGACAATGCAAGATATACGAGGCCGTAACTTGGAATGTACAAGGATTATGGATAGAAGCGCTCTCATCTTGATTCCAAAGCTTGTGATGTTGTAATTTGTATGCGCAACGGCCATGAGTGAGTCCCTGACATGATCCAAATCACTTCTAGATAACGGGAATGCCTAAAGACGGGGAAATTAAACAGGAAAAAGCAGCAAACAAACGTAAAGGCCGGTACCATATACTTACACTACTTATCATTATATATCACCAGCTCTACAAATGTTAGTGATGCGAGCTAATATCAAACCACCCACCCAGAAGTAAAGAGAGGCTTCAGTCTCCGGCACAAGGCCCGATAACTAATTCTCTCCACGTTGCCGGATTGCAATGTGTCTACCACCAGCACGAGAAATATCGGACGCAGCTCGAGTTTCCAAGCCTGTGCGAAAGCCCCGGTGGGAGCACTGGTCTCTAACTCCACTTAGTCGAGGTCCTACGCCAGCCATCAGTGCAATTTACATTACTTGAAACTTGACATCGCGCCTACGTTTTTGAAATTCAATGGGGTACCCTAAGCAGTGGTAAACGCATGTGCACAGACTTATGGCATCGCTGTAGGCGGGACATGTTCGGAACCATGTCTCGCTCGTGACTTCGGGTAGGGCACGTGATGTATTGCCAAGTCTGAATGGCAGACCTGCGTCATAAATCTTGTATTACTTCCTCGCGGGTTGTTTCTCTGAGCTTCTTTTTCACCTCACTTACTCTTCATCCTCTGCAAGTAAGTCTCACCACCAACTTCGTCCATCCATAAATCTAAACCCGCTTCCATCACCCAAAGTCTAACACCTCACTCCCAGACATGGGGAAGAAAGGCTTCCACCTCGCCGAAGCGCGCAAAGGCTTCGACGAGCTCCTCCGCATGAAGCCAAACATACCCTTCGAACTCTGCGACGCCTGCCAGAGCGCCGACAGCGACGAACCCCCGCATCCGCCATGGTTATGCCTCCACCAAGAACCACGGGACCTCCATAAGTCCGCCCATAGCTACAGGGAACTGGCGAAGCAGCAGAAGTGTTCCGAGTGTTCGCAGCGTCGCCATGTCCACAACCCACATTTGAGCTGCGATTGCCCCTACAAGACCGAGCAAAAGCGCCAGCAGTTAAGGGCGGCGAGGGAGGTGAGAGTGGCGAAGGCGCTCGCGAAGACGAATGCGAAAGACAAGAACGCAGCTAGAGCGGAGAAGAAGAGAGCAAAGAAAGCTGCTGGGGTGAAGAGAGAGAGACTTGAGCCATCACGTAAGTCACAAACCAAATAGCGCCCACACTTATCGTAATCATATCCTAACTCGCGCATCTCCAGGCGAAACGGAAAAGGGCCACCCACCCTTCACCCTCAAGCCCGCTCTAAGGGGCTTCCAAGCTGTCCTCCGGGCATACCCAGACCTAGTCTTCGAGCCGTGCGCTCTCAGCCAGCAGATTGGCCACTCCGACGTCGCCCATCCCCCATCGCTATGCCCGTTCCAAACACCAGAGCAACTCGAGATGTCGAAGCAGTGCTGGATAGGATTGTGGGAGACGCAGCCGTGTGGTATATGCAGGGGAAATTACCGCGTTCACAAGGCACATGAAATGGTTGATTGCCCATTCATAAGCCCACAGCGACGCGATAACCTTATGAGACGCCAGATGACGGGGGGAACTGTGACGCGGGAGGAGAAGAAAGCCCGCCGCCAGGACAGGGCAGCGCAGCGACAGATGAAGAGAGGTGGTGAACTGCCTGGTAAATCTGCGAAACAACAGCGACCTTCATCCACGCAGCAACTTCTGCCGGCATTCCCCACCGACCAGGCGTTCAAGCAAGGCCAGACCAATAGAAGCGTACAGCAACTCGCCCTTCCGGAGCTGACCTTGCCATTTGGCGTTCTCAACATCAGCGAGCCGATGGACGATGAGATGGAGTTGTAGATGATTGCGAGGGCATGGCAAACCATCGGATACGGATAACAACTGACACCCCTGGAGCTGACTTTGCCGCTCGGCGTTCTCAACATCAGCGGGCTAGCGGGCATGGCAATAGATTTGTACGCGACGGCAACTGCGGTGTGGAGATGGGAATGATGCTGCTGTTGCATACTAAGATATTGAATGCCATTGCGGTTACGGTACTGCTCTCCGCCCGCGGCTTTGGGGCGGGTGGAAGAGCTAGGTCGTAGTTTTGAATTAAAGGAATTGGATCCCATGCATTGCCTACGGCGTTAGCCTCTCCAAGCTATTGTGATATGTATTTGTCTTTTGAAAGTGAGAACATGCCTCTTCGTAAATCTGTGTACTCCTTCCACAGCTGATAGATGTGCTTTGATGCAGGAATTGTGGGGTTTGAACGAGTAGGGCAATTGTTGCATTTAGCAGATGTTGAATGGACCAGGCGACATGCGCTAGGACTTGATACCGTGCCTGGCTATATATATCCGTACATTTTCCTGCCACTGTCTATGGGGCTTCAACCTACTATTAGAAACCGGGGGCAGCGGATACACTCCCAATTTGCGTACACCCTGTTGATGTTGTTAGCGGTAGCATCGCGAGTTTACCTCTGCGTGAGGAACCTCATGGTATTTTCAGCGTTCTAGAAAAGAGAGAAATTCGGCATTTTAGACAAGTAGTAGACGAGTATACGGATTTCCATGACGAGGCATTTACATGTATACTTGGTATAAACAAGAAAAACGGGAGTCTTTGGAATCTTCCTATAAACAAAAGAATGATCAATACCCGCCCATGAACTTGAGATCCATATCAGGATCAGGCTTTTTGAACTCAAACATCGTTCCCGCGAACTGTGGAAAAAAGAATGTAGACGACGTTACAAGCGCGGTGATTCTCCCAGGTTACTCCTCAGCCACAGTCACCTCCTCAGCCTCAGTCACCTTGCATAGCCCCCATCCCGAAACCGGTTGCAGTGTGTCGATTCCGCTCCGCTCTTCACCCTGAAGCAACCTTTCGCTGCTGGACATGCGGGCACCGAATGATCCAGCGACGATGCGGATGCTGTAAGGCTACCCGTGGTCCTCGTCGGACATCTTCACCGTCACCCCGGCATAGCCATAAGGAATCTGACGCACCGGACACGGGTAGTATTTTACCACATTGTCCTTCACGGGGGGGTCCTCATTCACGCGGTCATCGTATAAGTCCTCCTCGTATAAGTAGTCCTCGTCTTCATCGTCCTCGCTCACGCCATCTTCGTTCAGGGCGTCCTCGTTTACGGCGGCCCTGGAGAAGAGGAAGAGGTGTGTGAGGGGGATGAGGTACACGATAAGGCCGGCGAGGAAGGAAGTGAGGATGCGGACGATGCGGGCGATGCGAATGATGCGGACGATGCGGACGATGCGGACGATGCGGAGGAAGGCGTTCTCGTTTACGTTGCCGTCTTTCAAGTCGTCGTCATTTTTGAGAACGCAGCCCCACCCGCCCCACGACCTAGGGCGCAACGTTTTGCAGCCGTCCGCCCCCTAGAAGCAGAAGGCAGTGATCCATCCTGAGAGATAAGGGGAGTTCGGTCGATTGTTTAGATGCGCAAACTTTTTCCAGAAATCAACGGTACGCGCATCACCTGGACGATCGAAGCACCGAACGAAGTTGGTTAGAATCGGCTTTAAGAGTCGATAGAACTGCGCCGGCTCTGCTCCTCCAAATCCCTGTAGATAGTCGAGCCTGTTTAGCATGTCTTCCCAGTCTCGGCGCTTTCCGAGCAATGTCTCAGCCGGAATGTCAAGGCCCCACGGCTCTCTCGTCGGGAAGTTCAAACATTTCGGTCCTATCCCAACCACGAGGGTCGACGCGACCACCCTGTCCGAGTCTGTCGTAGTAGTGAAGTTAGGCATGATCCAATTACGAAAATCTGAATCTTTGAAGACGTTTTGCGGTGTCATCTGAAGTGCCAAGTCGCTGAAGTCAACTGTGTGGAAAGCGCGGATTATCTTTCTTGGGAGATTCTTTTTATACTCGTATTCGACGATTGGGAAAGCTCGAGGTCTCTTATTTTTGTTGATGAAGAAGCCGACCTGGATGAGGATGGCAAATCAAACGTCCTCAGGGCGAATGCAGAGATGATGATGACCGCAGTAGGCGGTCATGCTAGCAAATATGAACCCATTTTCGCTTGGGTGGATTGCTGACTGGCTTGGGATGTCGCTGAAGGAGGACTCGAATACATTTTGGATGGCTGCTCTCCCTTGTCCGAAAGAGTTTGGAAGGAGATCAATATTCGAGGATGCGATCCGTGATCGAAGGCGGTTGTGGATCTCTAGCGTACGAGAACAAAGACGAACGGTCGTAGGCATGGTGTATGTGGAGTTGTATCCTCTGTGCCGCGTTAGAGGGGTATTCTGAATAGTGTGATGGATAGGAGATGTGTAATAAGGTTCTTGAATATCTATGAACTTTCTACTTACCCGGGTAGAAATTCGGGGTGATAATTTCAAGGCTTGATACTGAATTGCGGAAACTGAAAGGCGTGCTAGAGGCTGACTCAAGTATTGGCTATGAGCTAAGTGTAAAGACGTCAAAAATTGGGATGAGATATTGTAGCGAATGGCTGTATGTCGATGGGGATGAAGAGTTGAGGGGTGTAGCTCTTCATCGGCAGGAGGAGAGATAAACACAAGGTGCTGCTGCACAGGAAGGGGCCTGACATCGTGGCCGCCCAATATTGGCTGGAAACTGCAACGCCCCATGTGTAGTTCTTTCATGAGAGAATGTCGAAATTCGCGACGGGGAGCCCCTTTCTACCAAAAGAGGAGGCATGGTTCGTTGAACAAAAAGTGGCAGTCTGTTCTGACTTCGTCCGAGGTAGCTCGAAGAGCTATTCTACTGGCCTCGTCAAAACTGACGTTTTTCGGTTTTTGATAACGCACTAGAGTACCTCAGGCGGTGCTAGGCAAATGTGCACAAGCCTAGAGAGAGTGTTTATCTAAAGCAAATGAGGTTTTAGCAAGAGTCACAGATTCGTGGACAGCCACTTTTTGATCAACGAATCCTGGGGAATACCATAAGAAAAACTCAGGAACACCGCAACATACCTATACCTACTGTTCAAATCCCAATTCCCTCAGAAGCTCCTCCTTGGCTTGTGCTATCATTTTAGCAAATAAACCCCTTTTACGAATAGCCGATTCTAAAACTCCCCATCATGGCCAAATTTCTTATGACATTCGCAGTCTTATACTTGGCGTCGCAGAAGGATGGCCGATTTAATTTTTCACGGTCTCATTGGGCATAGTGCACGTCACGGTCGGCCTGTACAACTAAGTCGAAGCTACCTTGATTCCTCTTCAGCTTGTTCTTGAATGCGTTTTACCTAAAGTTGCCAGCCCGAAAATATTCCTATCACCACCAACTCTTGAGTACAAAAAGCTAGTTGAATGTTCGCTGTATTCATTCCAGCAGTGAGCAAGTCAGCGCCCGGGCGCTTCCGCCATCTAACTCGCTCGATTTCATGTTGCGTGTTGTGAGCAAAAGGTATGGTGTTGTTAAAATAAAGATCATTATTAGCGTCGGCCAAGCCGGGGGGATATCAGCCCGACCAGGTGGATATATAGCCCGACTCCATCCTCGCATCCCTCCGAAACTGCATTTTCGACCTCCAACTTTCGTCCAGCACGAGAAATTATGCTGCTTGACGAGGAAATGCATGTCCATGGCGACAAAGAGCTAAGGAGGGCGGTAGAGTATAAAGAGGAGGATTGATTCTGCTAGGGAAGGAGCATTTTCATACATCCACAACTCTCCTCTCTCCCAGAAAAGATACATCTTTCAAACTTTTGCCAAAACACCCATTTTATTCGAGAACTACGTTCATCTGCGTGTCCAAGATTCACAATGACCACAACCAAGCCCACCCTAGCCTTCTTCGGCGCGACAGGCGGCTGCGCAGCAGCAGCTCTATCCGCAGCCCTACGAGACAACTACACAGCAACAGCCCGTAAACACCTCCACCCCTAAGCCCACCACACACCTAACATACCCCCCTCAGTGGCGCGCACCCCCGACAAACTCCGCACACTACTCACCACCACCCACTCCATCCCCTCCTCAACCCTCGCCACCCTCACAATCCACACCGGCAACGTCCGCAACGTGTCCGACGTCAAAAAAGCCCTCATCTCCCCAACTTCCCCCACCCACCTCGTCGACACCATCATCTCCGGCATAGGAGGCGGCAACGCGCACTTCCAGGCCTCGCTGTGGAAGCCCGTCGGCATCGACGACCCGCACATCTGCGAGACGGGCGTCGCGACGATGCTCGCTGCCCTCGCCAGCCTCGCCGACGAAGGGATCAGCACGACCGCTAGCGGTGCGAAGCCGCTGCTGGTGGCGATTAGCACGCCCGGAGGCTGTGAGTCGGGGCAGAGGGACTTGCTGGTTTTGCTTTGGCCGGTGTTTTACTGGTTGCTGGCGGAGCCGTATATGGATAAGAAGGCGATGGAGAGGCTGATTTTTAGCGCTGCGGAGGAGGGGAGTGGGATTAGTGATTTTGTGGTTATACGGCCGAGTCTTTTGATGGACGGGCCGGCTAGGGGGCTAGAGATGGTTAGAGCTGGGTGGGTGTGGGGAATTCCGGGCGTTGAAGGGAGGGAGGAGGAGCAAGGTCCCACGCTCGGCTGTACTGTGGGAAGGGCGGATGTTGGGGAGTGGATTTTTCAGGAGGTGGTTAGGAAAGGGGGGTGGGCTGGGAAGTGTGTCACTTTGAATTGGTGAGGCTTTTGACAGATATCCAATTTTGAAGTTGATAAGATGGAGTGTGCTCGTTGTAGCTGATTGTCATCCTTCAACAGTCGTGCCTCCGAGAGAAATTCCAAAAAATAATCCTGACGAGAGCGGGATTCGAACCGAGACCTAGCCAAGCAATACAAAAAAGAAAAACAAGACCTAGGATTAGCATGTTGGGAGATACGGGGCCGACGCCACTGGGGCAAGGTTCCTGCTGGTTAGTACGAGGAAGGTTCATTTTACTCGAAATATATGGATAGATTGATGTGAGGGGCGGGATTTTGTGTTTGTTTTGGTAAGGACACGTGTGTGAGGAGACGCCCCGGCGTGGTGATTTAAGAGGCGCACAATTAATGTACTATTCGCCCAAAGAGAATTTCAACTTTGCGAAAGCATTCGTGGAGGCATGCTCGAGCTCTAAGTCGATGGCCCAGCGGCCCGTAACCTCTTACCAAGCCAGGGCATAAGAGTCAAGTCTGTGCACGCCCGTTTACCACTGCTTGAGGTGTCCCCGTAGATTTCCAAAACCCTAGGCGCGATGCCAAGTTTCAAGTAACGTACAGTACATTAGACTGTCTCTTGACTGACTGGCTGCTTACTCTCTGGGCTGCTCCTCACAGTGGTGTCGAGTGAGTAATAAGTCTTAGAAAGATGCTAGACTCCATGTATACGGCCGAAGCAACCCCAGAAGGATGTAATACTCAACTTGCTTACTTACGAGACACTATGGTAGCCAGTGCATGGGTTTACGCTAGTCCCAATAAGTCTAACGCCGCGCTCCGCCACTGAGGCCCACTGCCATTTCTCAGGCCCTCAGCCCCGTTGATTTATCAGTACTCTTGGCCATCTCTTCCCACTCCCTACAAGTCTTCAACCCCTCTTCGCACTTCGCCCTGAAACCCGCCACTGCATCGCTCCCAAGAGGTACCCGCAATGGCAGCGTTTTCCCCTCAGCCATCCCGGTCCCTTTGGCCAATTCAATCATGCGCTGCACGCCTTTCTCCACATCCCCGGGCTGGTGCCCATTAACCCTCTCTTCAAACGCTGCTGACGCCGCGTTGAACTCCGCGTAAGCCGGGAGGCGTGGCGGCACGTGGTATAACTTGGTGAATGCCGCGGTGTGGAAGTAGCCTGGCTCGACGAGGAGAAGCTTGATGGCGGGCGCCACGACGGCGAGTTCTTTGGCGAGGCACTCTACGGCACCTGGAGAGCTGGTAAGTACGGCAGACTAGACGCGAGGAGAGGGCTAGGAACCTGCGATTGCGAATTTGGGCGAGGTATAGCTGATTGCGCCGGGGTTGCCTTGCCAGCCCGCGATGGAGCCGATATAGAGGAGCGTGCCAGAGCCCCTTTCCCGGAGGTAGGGAAGAAAGGCTTTGGTGACGTTGAGCGGGCCGTAGAAGTTTGTTTTGATCCCCGTTTCCAGCTCTTCCTGGCTATACATGGATACATCAGTCGTCGTCGTCATCTCAGCAAAGATCATAGGGGAATGCTCACGTGAGTTCCTCTAGCGCGCCACTGATGATAGCTCCGGCATTATTAACCACGATATCGACCCCGCCGAACACGCTCCATGCTTCCTTTGCTTTCTCAGCAATCTCCGCTAGCGGCTCCGTCACATCTAGATCCATGATAACGGCTCCCGTGTCCTTGAGATGAGCGAGCTTAGTCTCGGCATTTCGACCTGTCGCAATTACGTTATCCCCCGCGGCGCGTAGCTGGCGAACGAAGCCTTCGCCGAAGCCGCTAGAACAGCCCGTGATAAACCAAGTTTGAGGGGATTCCGTAGCCATTATTGACGAGCTAAGGTTGTTTGAATAACAGAAATACGCTCCACGTGAGATAAAGAGGCTGCGGGCTGCTAAAATTTGGTGATTTTTGAAGGCGCAAGAGAGGATATGAAATAGAGCAATTACAGAGAAAATAGATATGAGCAAGATATAAAATGTACGTCAACGGCAGTTCGAGCTTATATAGAGGACTATCAATTAGAAGCAGCGTGACGGAAACGAGCCACAAGCTTAGTAATATGATATAGCTCGGCTCTATAGATAAACGACTGATCCAATCACAGGCCGAGTCTGTCTTATGGGGAAAAGCGCAGGGATTACTGAAAGTAGGAGGAGTCGCAAGCTCATCCTCAACGAAAGTAGGGGTATTTGCAAGGTCATCCTCGACAAGCTATCCTTAACGAGCCAAGTTGCCCCAAAGTGTCGGCTGACAAGGGACAAGGTAAAGAAGGTCAGGACGGTTGTGGAGATGCAAAAAGTGGAGCGATGAGCTAGCGGTGTTGGCTTCCAAGATTCCTCGTTACTGCTGTGCCTTGCAGTTTTTCGGACATGCCGAACCAGGATGGATGGAGATCGTCGTAGACTATTCTAGATTGGGTGCCATTCAGCGATTGTAGAGCACCATCCATATACAGCATGAGCGCCGCAATGAGCTTGGAGATGCATATAAGAAGCTGCAGAATGGCGTTGACGTTGGGATAATCTGTTCACCAAGCGGCCATAGTCATGTGACACGACCCGGAAACTTACATCAGCCGCTCTCCGACTTCATCCACTATCGATGGTATAAAAGCTTGCCGTGACAAGTCCAGAGCCTTTTCCATTCAGGAAGATGCCTCAATGGAGGATGTTGAGCAAAGAATGCGTCATGGCGTGCAATGGTTCAAAACAAAGCTGAGCAGAGCAGCATGGTGGCACTTGGACCGAGAGGTTGAGCGCAGGACGTATGAAAGTAAAATGGAGACTAAACTCGGAGAAGAATCTGGGGCAACGGCTGCGCCGTCGGCGTTTGGTGTGGTCAGCGGAAGATTTGTAGTGATGCTCTGCAGCAGCGGCGATAACATCGTCCCGTTCATCCCAATGATGTCAAGTTTCCATACCTCGACAAGTCGAAACCTATCATCTGGCACCTTTGAAAGTCAGCGCCATCCAAAACCGTAGAAGATCACCAGATAATCATGATGTGACAAACGTAGCCCCCAAACTCCATGGACCGAAGAGCGAAACATGTTTGATAACCGCATGGTTAACCTACACACGGCCATCACGCTCCAATATCCGAATCATTGATCCCACCAACTCCGACTCCCACTCCATTGCTGGAGTTGACCTGATGATTTTGAAATCAAGAGCCGAGGACGACCTGGCTGCCCTCCATGTCTCCGCAGACAAGAGATTTTATACCTCGCCGGCAGACGAGAAATCTTGGATCACATGACCCGGCCCCTCCTGATAGGACGGTGACCTAAGCAGCATTTAGGAAGGCATGGCGGTTCACATGACGTTCCCGCGAAGGTCCGCGTGGGGATCAGCTGAGGCCGAGCCGAGTGAATATCCTCCGGGATATAAAACCTTTTACTCGGCTCGTAGGATGAATAAGCAGGCTTCAGGGTGGTTGAGTTGCAAAAACCCGTGAAGGAGAGATCAATGGCCGCTGGGCGTCTTCAAACTGCATCTGAAAATGGTGCATGTGTGCGTGGATCGAAACCGAGCAGACAAGCAAAACGATAGAGTGCAGTCCTTCGTTGTCCTGAAGTCTGATGGAGTCCGCGCACCTCCGGCTTCAATTGCTGATCATCGTGACCCAAAGATCGCGCTCTGGAGCATTCGACGAGATTGAGGCAGATCGTCTACGCCTGAAGGAGGCCATGTTTAATAACGCAACGTATCACTGTGTCTTCAATAAGCGTTGGTACTCTTCATCGTCAATCGATGCAGGCCTCGACCCCTCGCGGAAACCATGCTGTTTGCTGGTTCTTCTGTTGATACTGTTGGTTTGCAGGCCGTAGCATCTGAACATTGATAGAACGCGACATTATGTACATGGAAGCGCCCTGTTTGCTACTAGCATTGATTGCTGTAGGTGATTGTCATAATCCAACAGACACCACTCCAACCCACACTCCATTCGTCCCAGCTGTCGAGGATATGTAATCATCAAATGACTACCGTGCTTGTGTTTTGAATAGCCCAGCTCCACAACCCGGACATTGTGCTTGAAGTCGGCTTTTTTGAGTCCCAAACCCAACCGCACCATTCGTCGCTGGACTCCACATCCTGACACTGGCACACGGCCATGTCGCCCTTGAAGAGATTATAGAAGCCAGAGGAGAGCGAAGATATTATAGTCGAAGAACAGCTGAGTAATTGAGTCGTACGTGAGCAGTGACGAAAGGTATCAGGTGACTTTGTCAACGGCGATGTCCAGGGAACTTGGTGGGGGAATGAATGTTCTGGCGCCGGCGTTCAAAGAGATGAGGCGGGCTCGTTAGATTGAAAGGGGTCAAATGCTTGCCCGCAAGAGGAGAAGAACGAGCATGCTCGCAGGTCGCTGTGGCATTTGAGACCGTAGAGTGGTTTGATGCGATACGACACGGCCCTAGATCGACGTAGTAGCCCTGCATGAACGCGATCTCTCTGGGAGGTTGTGAGGTCGGACAATTGAGAATTCGGATCAAGAGGGCATTGAGGCGCTTGAGATACGCGGTAAGTGAATTTGAAAGTTGAAGAGGAAGCCTATCGCAACTAGATCATGTCTAGAAGGAAATGATGCACCAAAAGGTTTGATATTCCGAGTTGAAAAGCTGAAAAGCCGAAAAGAGTGGAAAGAAAGCAGAGAGGATGATGAATGGGATTTGAAATCTCTTCAAGTCAGATACTTACCTCCGTTAAAATAGAGGGAGGTAAAGGCACGGGTCTCATCAATCGAAGGTCTCACGAGTTTAGACACCCACCCTAAAGATCAGAACGCTTTGATTGTCGCATGCTCCCAAGCTTTAGCAGACGATGGCGCTATAGCATACAGATTGAAATAAAAATTTGGTATAGCATCCAGTTGACCACCCGATCCAGACACCAAATACCCCCTAACACCAATGCCCATTGAAACGCCAGATAAAATCGAGGCCTCCCTGGCGGTTGTAAAGACGCGATTCGAGTGTACAGACTCGCGCTTTGAGAGTCTTGTGGCCTATAGTCCATATATAATACAAGAAAATTCGAACCCGCAATCACCCAAGCTCGGAAGACCAGACCCACACCCTTCCTCATCCTAGCCCTCCCCAGGCTCCTCTTATCCTCCGCGCTAGCTGGATGTCTTTCTGCATGATCGTCACCCGCTTCGCGTGTATAGCGCAGAGATTTGTATCTTCGAAGAGGTGCACGAGGAAAGCTTCGGCGGCTTCTTGCAAGGCCATGATCGCTTGTGATTGCCATCGGAATTCCTGGTCTGGCGGCATTATGTCTAGCGCTATTTCTCGAACCTGGAATACCCATTAGCAAAGCACAACCACCACAAAGCGTCGAACAAAAAGCGATTGTGCTGACAAAGGAACGGGCAGGTTTAACTCACCAGTCTCGAGAATGGTAGTTTTAATAGTAGCAGATCTGTACTCTTCTGATATCGGCGGATTTCTTTGAGGGCTAATGTGCCAGGTTTGTAACGCCGTTTTTTGGGGTATGGTATTGGATCCCCGGCTGCAGGAAATCGTTAGCCTAATGTGCTCAACCTCAAATCCTACGCCATTGCAAAACGGCAGGCAGAGACGTACGCTGTACATCTCCTCTCCTTTTCCCTATGGTTGACGCTCCGCCTCTCGCTCCGCCTCTCGCTCCGCCTCTCGCACCACCTCTTGTTGCGCCCCCTCTTCTGGCCATCCCCAGCCCCCCACCGCGCGTCGGCCGTCCGGTTTGTAGTTTTGCTGGCATTAATGTTATGTAATTACTACGCGCAGCAGTGCTTCTCTACTCCTCGGTTGAATGCGCCTCGCGATGTATGGACTATTTGACAGGCAGTGGTGAGAATAGTCGCGAAAACGGTTTGGTGATTGCGGTGGCTGGGACGCGCTTCGCTATGCGCCGGATGCGGTACCGAGAGCGAGCGCTGGAATTAGGCTGCGCGCGATGGACAGGAGATTGATTTGGGCGTCGGGGAGTGTTTGCGGACGTGCGATCGATATTATGGATATGTTGAGTGTGCTGGTCGGCGGATGGTGGTGACAAAGACGCGGCGGGATGTTGATTCTTCGCGACGAGGGGGCTGGGAATGGACAGGGTCCTGGCGGTCCGCCTTAGTCATTATCCGCCAAGCCATGCCCAAATGTCAGGGACAACTTGAGTGTTGGTGAATGAACTCTCGATATTCTGGGGTAGAAAGATATATACTTGTTAGATTTTGTTCATGCAGGCCTCATATTCCCCACATATATAAGTGCAAATCATAGTGCTTGCTCCTTCTACCCGCAGTCCAGAAATAGCCTGTGCGCGAGCACGGTGGAAGCGTCTACGTAGCCGTTCGGGACTCTCTATTTGTTTCACTCCACCACTGCCTGCCTCTTCTTCCTGCGACCTTTGAAACGACAGGGTGTCCTCTCGCTCCTGCAATTATCCCACGTCTCATCCACTGATATTTCTATACTACGCCTTTGTCTTCCAGCTCCGCATCGCTCCGTACACACATCCACTCACTCCACCATGGCGGACATGCTCGGCGGCGGCGGCGGCGTCATGGGCCAGTTCCCACTGGAGCAGTGGTTCTTTGAGATGCCCGTATGCACAAGATGGTGGATGACAGCGGCACTGGGAGCGAGCGTGCTGGTACAGTGTCACATCATCACTCCATTCCAATTATTCTACAGCTGGAAGACCGTATTCTACAGAAGCCAGGTATACACAATCACTCGTCCTCCCGCCAGGATCCATACCATGAAGTCTAACTTGAAATCAGTACTGGCGGCTAATAACTACATTCTTCTACTTCGGCCCCCTCAGCCTCGACTTACTGTACCACATCTTCTTCCTTCAGCGCTACTCGCGCCTCCTCGAAGAGTCCTCCGGCCGCTCCCCCGCCCACTTCTCATGGCTTCTCACCTTCGCCTCTACCCTCCTCCTCTGCATCGCGCCCATGTTTAGCATGGCCTTCCTCGGGACTGCGCTCTCGAGCACCCTCATATACATCTGGAGCCGCAAGAACCCGGACACCATGCTCAGCTTCCTGGGCCTGCTTGTGTTCCGCGCGCCGTACTTGCCGTGGGTACTGTTGCTCTTTTCGGTGGTGGTACATGGGACGGTGCCGAAGGATGAGATGTGCGGGATTGTGGTGGGACATAGTAAGTTTTGAGTCTTGCAATTGGAGATGAATATGGGGGCTAATCGTGGCAGTTTGGTACTTTATGAACGATGTATACCCACCGTTACACGACGGACATTCGCCACTAGACCCGCCTGCGTTTTGGATCCGGCTGTTCGATGGAAGGCCGGAGCCTCCACCACAAATAGAAGAGGATGCCCAAGACACGGCTCCGGAGCCGATAGATCGAGACCTGCCTGCTGTACAGGTGCCAGAGGTGCATTAGCTATGTCGAAGCGTTCCATGAAGCGAAATGCGCAATAGTAGAGCGGACGAATGACTTTCTATTGAGATACCCGGCGTTTGGAATTGAAGGGGCGGTTGTACAGTATGACAGCACGACGACAATTGCATATAGGTAGGAAAACTAAAGAAATTTTTCAGAAAAGGCGTCTCAAGTCCACGTTACCCTATGTCTACACAGCGTGCGAGCGATTGGACCGTGGGATCGACCGATCACGTGACAACCCAATAGATCCTTCTAAATATCAAACCACAGAACTCGTCACGGCATCTCTTTTTTATGGAAGGTATTATCAACCCCTTCCCTGGTCTATTTTCTCTACTTCCTCCCTACCACGTCATCTCCATCTCCCCCTACCCACCTCCCCCATCCATCTCCATCCCCGATATCCCAAATCCCAGGAAGATACATAGTACCTACTCTCGGGGCATTAGCATCAACCAATCCCATCTCCTCTTTCGCGCATGCCGGCAGTCAAAAGTAGCAGTTGGATCTGCCACCATGCTAAGATTCCAGGATCGCCGCGGGAGCCAATCAGGCACGCGAAGCGGGCTTGCCGCATTAGGCAGGCGGCGGCGATTGGGTTGCGATGGGGGTGCGGTTAAGCTTTCGAGATGGGAAGCTTGGAAGATCAGTGCTTGTTTCTCGATTGTGTTACTGGTGTTCGCGAAGGAGATAGGCGGGGTCTGGCGGGCCCTAGGCGCGGACGCGACCGATGGTGGGGATGAAAGAGGTACGGTGTTTCAAGTAAAATCGTGTGTTGTGGTTTGTGTACTTATATCTATGAGCTCCTCTGGCTTTGTTTCTTGGCTAGGACGGATTTGTTTCACTCGTTCTATCCATCCCTTCGCTACTCTTTACCCTCGTTCACCATGTCTCTCAAACATTTCCTCCCCCTCCTTCTCACTACCACACCCCTCGTCTCTGCCTGGGGCACTCTCGGCCACGATACTGTCGCCTACATTGCGCAAAACTTCGTCACCAATGCTACGGAGTCCTGGGCGCAAGGCATCCTTGCCGACACCAGCAGCTCTTACATGGCCTCCGTCGCAACGTGGGCGGATACCTACCGGTATACCGCTGCCGGGAAATTCTCCGCGCCTTACCATTTCATAGACGCGGAGGATGATCCACCAAAAAGCTGCGGCGTTGACTATAAGCGCGATTGTGGAGAGTCGGGGTGTGTCGTTTCTGCAATCCAGAACTACGTATGTCCCACCGATCTACTCTTCTAGTAGCCTATCAGGATCATAATACGGCTAACAATCAAATAGACATCACGCGTAGTAGACAAGAGCCTCAGCACCACCGAAAAGCAAATGGCCCTTAAATGGATCATCCACTTCATCGGCGACATCCACCAGCCGCTGCACGACGAAGCCCTCGACGTGGGCGGCAACACCATCAGCGTAACCTTCGACGGCACGGAGACGAATCTGCACCATATCTGGGACACCAATATGCCGGAGAAGTTCATCGGGGGTTACTCGCTGGCCGACGCCTCGTCCTGGGCGAAGAACCTCACCGCGCGCATCAAGACGGGGGATTATAAGAGCGATGCCAGCGGGTGGCTGCATGGGATTAGTCTGGATGATCCAGTGTCGAGCTCGATGGCGTGGGCGACGGAGAGTAATGCGTATGTGTGCAGTACGGTGCTCACGGGAGGGGTGGATGCGGTCGAAGGGAAGGAGCTGGATGGGGGATATTATGATGCTGCGACTCCGGTGATTGAGGTGCAGATCGCGAGAGCTGGGTACCGGCTTGCGGCGTGGTTGAATCTGATTGCGACGGGGGAGACGGGGCTGAAGGTTGCCGGGGAGAAGAGGAGTATGAGGCCGATTCAGCCGGTGAGGGTGGAGTTGGAGGATTGGGCGAGGCCGTTGAGTGCAGCGAGGTTGGCGAGGTTGGCGCACGGCTTTAATTGTGGGCATGAGCATTGATTATGGGATGAGTGGTTTGGGTCGGGGTAGGTTTTGGGGTTTTCCAGGGTAACATGAATGGGTACACCACTCGAGGGCTACACTATGTATTTCATGCAGATTTCGCGGATGCTGATTCCCAAGTCATCAAAACAATGAATATCCCCATCAAGGTAACTCAAGACATCTCGACTAACGTCTGGCATTGTTGTCTCATCAAGTTTATATCACCTCTTCTGTATTACAGACAAGCCACGTGACGAGCACCTACCACTCCCTGTCCATACAACACCACCTCTAGCTATCCGGTCCTTCACCAATCTTCCCTCATCATCAACAACAGCTTACGTTTCTGTGCTACCACAGCGCGCGGCGGGATCTTTCAACCCGTCTGAATGCCATCCTAGAGCCGGCTTCGGCCCGTCCTAGCTTTTGGAGGGGTAATGTCCTTATCTTTCCCATCCCACTTCCATCGGACCCTTTGTAAGGCAGCCTCGAACGATCCAACCAAATAACATGATCTGTAAGAGCAACTGCCGTCGGGAGCGATGTCGGGAGGCTGTCGGTAGGGCATCGGTATCACATCCGACATCTCGCGGTTCCATCGCGGCACTCTTCCGATCAGCGCGTGGAGTTGAGGAGGACGCGTCCGTCAACAGATCTCCATGAAATAATTTCTTTCAACTTCATCTCCTCTTCCTCCTCACTCTCTTCTCATATTCAAGCTCTCTTCTTTCTCCTAATCAATTGCGCATCTCCTGCAATCAACCCTCACAATGGAAATCGGCGTCTTCATCCCCATCGGCAACAATGGCTGGCTCATCTCCACCAACTCGCCCCAATACATGCCGTCCTTCGAGCTCAACAAAGCCATCGTCCTCAAAGCCGAGAAATACAACCTCGACTTCGCCCTCTCCATGATCAAGCTCCGCGGCTTCGGCGGCAAAACCGAGTTCTGGGACCACAACCTCGAGTCCTTCACGCTGATGGCCGGCCTCGCCGCCGTCACCACAAAGATAAAGCTCTTCGCCTCTACCGCCATCCTCACCCTCCCTCCCGCGCTCGTCGCGCGCATGGCCACAACCATCGACTCCATCGCCCCCGGCCGCTTCGGCATCAACATCGTCACCGGCTGGCAGGAGGCCGAGTACAGCCAGATGAACATTTGGCCCGGCAACGCCTACTTCGGCTACCGCTACGACTACGCGACCGAGTACGTGCAGGTCATGAAAGAGCTGTGGACGACCGGCGTGTCCAACTTTAAGGGCAAGCACTTCACGATGACGGACTGCAAAATGAGCCCGCCGCCGGCTCACCCCATCAATATCGTGGCAGCTGGGCAGAGCGGCCGCGGGCTGGAGTTTGCGAGCGAAAACGCGGACTTCAACTTTGTGATGGGACAGGGGATTAATACACCAACGAAGGTGAAAGAGGGGACGGAGAAGCTAGTTGAGGCGAGCAAGAAGGCGGGGAAGGACTGCGGCGCGTACGTGCTGTTTATGGTGATTGCGGACGAGACGGATGAGATGGCGCAGGCGACGTGGCAAAGCTACCGCGAGGGGGCGGATGTGGATGCGTTGGCTTGGATGGCGGATCAGGGAGGGAAGGACGAGAAAGCGGATGGGACTTCGACGGCGAAGACGATTAATTTGCCGGAAGGGGCGGTGAATTTAAATATGGGGACGTTGGTGGGGAGCTATGAGACGGTGGCGGGGTTGTTGGATGAGGCGGCGGAGACACCGGGGACGAAGGGGATTATGTTGACGTTTGATGACTTTTTGGTGGGCATGGATAAGTTCGGGGAGAAGATTCAGCCGTTGATGAAGTGCCGGGCGAAGGTTGCTGGAGGTGTGTAAAGTATGTTTTATTTCGTTGATCTTTCAAGTCTTAGTCCGTTTGACTAGGTGACTTTCTCGTGACTATATCTTGCTTTTTCTTTTCCGGTATATAAGCTTAATCTCTCACATCCTCCTCAAACTCAACAGGGAGTCGACGGGGCTTGGAGCAAAACGTAGGAGCCTACTCTCGCATGGGGTGCCTCTTGGTATAAAAGATCTCAAGAAGCCAATCATCTAATGGGCGCTTGGGTGTGGCCTCGATCAAAAAGCCGCTTCCATCATGCCTTATGGAGCCCTGAGCGATACAGGGGGGGCTCGCCCATTACACCCTTTCCCGATGACCACCATCCCTATTCTTTATCAATGTTCTACCCCCTTTCTTACCAACAGCTCCTTCCCATATCACGTACCCCTCCCCTCTTCACCGTCACCCTAAAGATAGAGCTCACCGCTCTCTCATCGCTCCGCCGGCCGCCCAAAACCAAACTTGACGAGATCCATCATCAGCCCACACTACTCCCCCCAGCACTCCATCGCACCCTTTCTTCGAAGTTTTTGATACTCCATGCAGCTATGCCTCGTTCTTAGGCGATCTCCCTCCTAGGCCACTATTGCCAGCTCTTCCTCTGACGTTTGATCGCCCAGACATTCCTCCACATCGTACTCCATTTTGGGTTTGAACACCCAGCACCACTCCACCCACCACTCCATCGTACCTCTTCCTCCAATATTTCGATACTCCATGCAGCTGTGGCCTCGTTCTTAGTCGACCTCCTCCCCACCCACCACGGACCTTGTCGCTCGTCCTTTTTGATCACCCACACACCCCTCCACATCAGAAGTTCGCCCTTCCGGTTTTTGAACACCCAACACCACTCCCCCCACCACTCCATGGCCGTTTTCCTCTACTCCTTTGACACTCCATGCAACTGCGCGTCGTTCTTAGGCGATCTCCTTCCCAGGCCACCATGGTCAGGCCTTCCTCAGTCTGTTGATCACCCAGACACCCTCTCCACATCAGTACTTGTTGTGCTTGTTGTTGAACACCCAGCCCGTTCCTCGATGCATCTCCCGCCTTCGCGGGCGGAGGGGGTTTAAGTACCTCAGGGACAGAAGTTCCGGAGGGGGTCGGGCCGGTGCGGAGGTCATGTGGGGGGCTCGTGACGGCATAGAGTACCTAGGTATTGAAGGAATAGAGGGGGTGGTAGGGGGGAACAGGCACGTGTCATTCGCGGAAGTCAGGGGAGTGGGGGGTATAAAAACTTCTTTTGGAGGAGGTGGAGAGGTCGTCGGTGTGAATCTGGATCTCTCTTGAGGAGAGGGTTCAAAACGTGGGAATCGGAAAGACATGTGCTCGTTGTGGAGGGGATGGGTGCAAACCTCTGGACACAAATTCAACATGGCAGTGGTGCTTGCCGAGCGGTGGGTGGATATTTTGAAATTGTGGTGATGGCTATTGGTAGCGTGTAACTTTGATGAAGGGTGGCTTGAAGAGTTGATGGAGGTGGACAGTATAAATAAGGAATTGTAGGAGATTGGCAGTTACGCTTAATAGTGGGAAGCATTATTAGTACGGTGATGAGCTTGCACCGATCTGCGAGACTCGCCACTCAGCTCCATCAATATGCTGAAGAAGAGTTGTTGCAATTCCGCCACTCTCCCAGCTCCATTAAATATCTCATCCAGATGTTTTACTCCGAATTCAACTACCTAGGAACCTAGTTCTCTGAATAAACTAAACAGAGACAGAAGAAAGATGCTATATAGCCCGCTGGTTCAGGAGATCACGTGCCCGTTACGCGATCGTCAACTTCCCGTTCCGTGCAGCCTTGGAGTACCTAGCCAGAATCTCTCTCATTAGCCATTGATTCAGGCACCACGGAGTGCCCGGCCACGCGGTTCCAGATTCCTGGGCAGAAATAGCGCTATGCAGGTACCCGCGGGCTATTTCGAGCACTGACAGCCGGCTAACTCTGCAGGACTGGGAAATCCGTACGCCTCGATTCTGGCCCATGGGAAAGCGAAATGTGGCGGGCTGGGTCTATCGATAGAATATGTCTGGGCAGCAGGGGTTCAATGGTGCAGCTTGAAGAGGTTTAGCTCGCCTCCTTATTTGAACCCCCACGAAGGTTTCCAATTCTCCGATTTCGCATCAACAATACCATCACGATTGAGCCACCAACGAGTTCCAGCATCGAACCTCGACGACTGAGACGAGTCCGTGGTCTTCCTTTATTCAATGCTTAGGGTCGAAGCCGTCTATTTAGAAGGAAGGATGAGTCGCTCGCTTTTGACACCAGCGCGTCCATCTCGTATTGCCTTCTTGAAATACACCAACCAAAGCAGCAAGCTCAACATGACATGAGCCTTACCATCTTCCTTACCGGTGGTGCCGAGTTGCGCACCGCCGCAGCCAGCCACATAAGTACGGTAGCTGTTTAGTGGTATTAGCCTCCCTATAGTCCTAGCCAACACCCCAAAGGAGGCTTTTCGGCGTCTAGCCACGCCACAAATATTCTTCATCGGTTTAGACTTATTCCTCCCTGTTCCCGCGGGCGTCAAAATATAATAATGCGATGCTCGCGATTGCATTCATGCTTTTCAGATCTCCAGACTTTCACTATCACTGCTTTTCGTCCTTTGGACATCCACACTCGTTTCTGAGATCGTGTCTCCTGACGCGATAGTCATTCATTATGCCTCAACTATCTTTTGTGCGCCTTGCAGCGCTGTTAGCTGTCATCCCGACTTTCGTTAGTGCCTCTCCGACTTTCCGCAAACTCGGCCGCGCGCCTTCAACCGTGTCCTGCCCTGGCTCTGACGGTCAAACTGTCACCGTCGGCACTTCATCTTTCCAGATTACATGCGACTATGATTACTACGGCTCAGACATTACCATGTCTTGGGAGACGACTCTCAGTAACTGTCTTGCTACTTGCAGTACTACGACCGGGTGTACTGCCGTCTCCTACAACGGAGGTGCCTGTTACATGAAAGATTCGGATGCTGGCGGTCAGGCTAATACCGGGGTGTGGGCTGCTAAGAAGGTTCCCACGCTCTCCAGCTCATCGGCGAGCTCATCGGCGAGCTCTTCGACTACTAGCATTTACTCAGCACCTGTAGCTACGACGACACCGGATATTAAAACACTCTCTTGCCCTCAATCTGATGGGCTGGCCTATACCGCACAAGATGGCGCCACGTACTTGATCCAATGCTCAACGGACTATTACGGAGGCGATTTGAGTGTCTCCTGGGAGTCAGACCTGGGAAGCTGCATTGAAGTGAGCGAGAAAGACTCTACGCGGAAGATTGGATGCTGACTGGTGTGACAGACCTGCGAAGCAACACCAGATTGTGTTGATGTCGCGTACCGCCCTGGCACTCCTGGTCCCTGCTATTTGAAATCCATCGTTCGCACCCCAGTGTCCAATTCAGATGTCTGGGGAGCGATACTTGCAACCGCGACGGCTTCGTCAACCACGTCTCCAGCCGCAGCTTCGACCTCGTCAACCTCATCAAGCGCCTCGTCAACCTCAGCCAGTCTAACAGCATGCCCGGTGCCAACATGTTCTCCACCGGCTGGAACAATCGGCTCTGGAACGATCATGGACCCAGGATTCGAGACTCCTGGTACCACTCCTGACTGGGCTCTTATCGATGGCCAATTGGCCGATGACGCAGGCGGGTTCTACTTCGAGTACAAGAACGGCGATGTATATACTGCCCATAGTGGGACCCACTACGGACACCAAACCTTCGGTTCTCGGACGGATTGGGGCAAGTTCGGTACCACGATCCTAGACCTGACTCCGTGCGTTCAGTACACCGTAACTTTCTGGGTCTTGAAAAACACCAACGCACACGCTGTCGTCAGTGTCGAAGGATGCTCTCTGGATGTAGCGCCTCTCGGCGGTACCAGCTCTTACACTCAGTATTCATTCACCTTCACGGCGAGTGGTACGACTGCCAGTTTTGCTATCACGGGATCTTGCCCAGCTTTCGACGGGGCTTGCGGGCTTCTCTATGACGACTTCGCAATTGCTCCTGTACAAGCCTCCGTAGCCACATCGACGACGTCAACAATATCGACAACATCGACAAGTTCGACAACGTCAACAAGTTCGACAACGTCAACAAGTTCGACAACGTCAACAACGTCGAGCACGCCGACTCCTACTCCAACCCCAGCACCTAGTGGGTGCGGCCTAATCAAGGACATGGACTTTGAAACTCCCGGCACCTCCCCAGACTGGACGATGCTGCAATCCATTCCCTCCACCAACGGCGTCACCGTCGCATTCGAGAACCGCGATGGCCCCGCTGGAACAGCCCACGGCGGCACCCACTACGGATACCAGAGCATCTTCTCCGGCGGCGGCGGTCATTTCGGCACCACCATTACAAACCTCAACTTAAACACTCCGTACACTATTGCCTTCTGGGTCAAGAAGAATATCTGTGCGGACGTCTGGATCATGATCAACGGGGTAAACGGGAATATACGCATACCGCCTGCTTCTGCTGGAGGGGTTACCGATAGTACGGTTTGGTATCACCAATCGTTTACGACGATGGCTTTTACTAGTAGTATCGCGATCGAGTTTGATACGACGTGTCCGGGGTATGATGGGCAGTGCGATGTTTATTGGGATGATTTCTCAGTGTATCCAGCCACTGGGGTACCGGCTGGATGTCCACACTAGAACGTCCCCGACCTCTCGGGGTTTTTTAGTGCATGATGTTTATGAATATCGCTAATTCGACATATAATACATCCTATATCCAGTCAGAATCATGAGATCATTCGAGCCAAGCACTCTGATATACTTTTGAATCGACCTCTTGAACTCTAAAAGGAAGCCCTTGGGGATTTACACGCGTTCCAATTCGGCTGGAATGTGATTAAAATTAGATGGGTAAACTTACCAGTCCCCGCGTTTATAGATGTTACACTACCTTCTCTCTTGGATAGTCCACTCCTTTCTTGTCGAACCACTTTCTGCGGTACGTTAGACTTTCACACACCTTTATCACAACTTTGTTTCCTCATTATGCCAAAGATTACATTTGCACAAGTCATTATCTTCCTAGCCATTACCTCAATTTACGCTTCCGCTTCTCCAACTCCCCACGAATTCCGCGATCCAACAATTTCCTGCCCTGCGTCCAATGGCCAGACCTTTACCGTTGGCAGTTCCTCTTTCGCCATCTCATGCAGTTATGACGTCTCGGGTGGGTATATGGGTAAGTGATATTGAACAGATCTATTCTTCGCGGATACTTATACGTCTTGGCCTGTAGGCATGTCATGGGAAGCTAACCTCAGCAAATGCCTTTCCACTTGCGATGTCACGCAGGGATGCATCGTCGTTTCATACACGGGCGGGGCCTGCTACATGAAGAATCGCAATAATGGTGGGAGGTCTGCGACAGGGATTTCGTCGGCCCAGAAGGTTGTCGGAACCCCCTCCAGCTCATCAAATATGATATCTACCGCATCGGCTCCCTCCACCTCTACAGCCACGGCGACTCCGAGTCCCTCAACCATCTCCTGCCCTGCATCCCATGGGTTAGTGTACATTTCAACAAATAGCATCTTCAAGATAGAGTGTTACACGGATCACCTCGGAGGAGATATGGGTCTTTCGTGGGAATATAGCCTTCAGAGCTGTATTGAGGTAAGCCAATATCAAAGATATGCGCACACGGTCGACACAAGACCTAACCAAGATACAGACTTGTGACGCAATGGCAGAATGTGTTGATGTTTCATACCGTCCCGGATCTCCCGGCCCCTGCTACATGAAGGCCGCAGTGCTCAATACAGGGACGGATCCGGGTATTTGGGGCGCTCCCCGCATTGGGACAGTATCAAAAGCATCCTCGATGACCACCAGTTCAACATATGTAACATCTTTAAGCTCCCTGGGATGGACTACTATATCGACTTCCATTCCTCTAAGCTCGCCGACTGTGACATCCTCGAGTTTCCCGAACTCAACCAGTATAGCATCTCCCAACTCTGCAAGCATAGCACCATCCCCGCCACCACCCTCACCTCCACCCCCACCAATCAGCTGCGGCCTAATCCAAGACGCCGACTTCGAAACCCCCGGCACAACTCCCGACTGGCACGTCCTCAGCACCTCCACAACCAACTCCTCCACCGGCTTCTACCGCACCCAACCCTCCACCGAGACCAGCCATAAAGGCCCCAACGTCTTCTACACCCTCAGCTCATCCCCCAACGATAGCGTGACCTGGGAACCACCATCTTGCAACTCACTGCGGGAATCCAGTACAATATTACCTTTTGGGTGCGGAAGAATACCCCTGGGATGTCAGTGGCTGTTGTGGATGGCGTGCAAAGGGGGTTAGTGCCGGCGAGGGGAGATTTGGGATGGCGGCAGTATGAGGTGGGGTTTGTGGCTCAGGGGGCGAGTGCGGGGCTTGTGATTGTGTCGGCGTGTCTGGGGTATAGTGGGTTGTGTGGGCAGATTTTTGATGATTTTGGGCTGAAGCCGGATGCGGGGCGTGTACGCTGTGATTGAAGCTCTGGGGATTGCGAGTTGGTTGATTGTGAGATGGGGTGATGGTGTTGTTGGGTTTCAGTTGATCTTGTCGGAGTTTAGTACTACTTGCATAGAACTCTTGATAACTGAACTTTTTGGACTGAGATGAGATCTATTTTGCTTCTTACGTGATTGGATATGCTCAACCTCCAACGTGCCATGAGGTTGGAATGGGGTTGAAATGTCCGCTAGACCTTTTGTGGCCTAGTGTCGGCATTCTCAACCTCCAGGGCCTCTATCACGACTTCTATGCCTCTCTTCGTGCACAAACACGCAATTCATCATGAACAAGGTTCCACTTGATTCGTTGATTCAGGTAGGAGGGTCTCTTCCAAGATTACACTCATCACAATGCCCACGGCTCTAGATTCCCGGTGCTGTTCGGAATTATCCTCAGAATTCCGGCCTTGAAACTATTCTCTTTCCATCAGCAAGAATCATTCTTAAAGAAAATTCATATCTTCCTAATCATCTAAAGTATTCTGATCTCCACTCAACTTTCTGCCTATCTTTCTCGCGTTTAATCTATTCCATCTCCATCCCTAGCCAACCCTTCAACTATCATCATGCTCGAATCCAAAGTCGCCGTCTTCACCTCCCCCAACACCCCCATAACCCTCATCACCGAGCGCACACCTCCCCCCTCTCCAACCTCCCTCCTCATCCGCGTCTCCCACGCCGGCGTCTGCGGCAGCGACCTGCACCGCCTCACGGGTGACTACCCCCCGCCCCCAGCCCCCATCTCCTTCGGCCACGAAGGCGTCGGCACCATCGCCGCCCTCGGCGCCCTCATCACCCACGACCGCGCCGGCGCGCCCCTCTCTCCCGGCGACCGCATCTACTGGGGCCCGTCCACCCCGTGCGGCGCGGCCACCTGCGCCGCCTGCGCCGCCAGCACGCCCATGAAGTGCCCACAGCTCAACTGGCCGGTGCTCGCGGGACGCCCGAACGCCGCGGCGTACCGCACGTTCGCGACGCTCAGTGAGAAGCATTTCTACTACAAGATCCCCGAGGGCACGAGTGCGGAGAGCGTGATCGCGTTCGGGTGCGCGATGCCGACGGCGTTGCGGGCGTTTGCGCGGCTGGGGACGCTGGAGCGGGGCGCGAATGTGGTGGTGCAGGGGTCTGGGCCGGTGGGGTTGGCGATGACGGTGCTGGCGGGCTTAGCGGGGGCGCGGGCGGTGGTTGTGATTGGGGATCCGGAGGTGAGGTTGCAGGCCGCGGGGAGGTTGGGGGCGACGCATGTGTTGTCGGTTAGCGGGTCGACGGTGGAGGAGAGGAGGAGGAGGGTTATGGAGATTACGGGGGGCAGAGGGGCGAGTGTGGTGGTTGAGGCGGCGGGGGTGCCGGCGGCGTTTCCCGAGGGGTTTGAGCTGCTGGGGATGAATGGGCGGTTTTTGATTGTGGGGTTGTATTCGGGGAAGGCGGTGTATCCAGTTGATGCGGTGAGGATTAATAATTTTAATCTGAGTATCATTGGGAGTGTGGGGATTGAGCCGGAGAACTACAAGAGGACAGTGGAGATTGCGGAGGAGCATGGAAAGAGGTTGGGGTTTGAAGAGTTGATTACGCATCGCTTCAAGCTGGAGAATGTGGAGGAGGCAATTCGGGCGGTGGTCAGACCGGATGCGGTCAAGATTGTCGTGATGCCGTGAGAGTTCAGGGGCAGAGTGCTCCAGCCTGGAGTCTTGAGAATCTAGAAATGGAATCCACAATCAAGCGTCTTGAAGAGTTCTGTCGGGGGCTTACTTGTGGCCAAATAATCCGAAATATGTTTTGTTTTGTACCAAACTCCTCTCCCGTTCAATGCAGAATCCCTTTCAAGTTTCTTTCAGTGTCAGATCCACAGGACCAAAATCATTCACCCCCTGCCATTTTTCAAGTCATGGGCAAGTTCTTAGCATGTGACCCCGGCCGTTTTATTTTCCTTCCCGTAACGGCTTCCGATAGAGTATTAAAACCACTGCTCCACAGACATCACTCCATCAACAGTGAGGAAGGCTAGGTTGAAAACAATGGACCTGAAAACACTATGGGTTGCGGGTGCAAAATAGAACGATCCAACGGCCTATGAACATAACCGGCCCTACTATGCCATGTGGGTGGGAAAATGGAAAAGGAGGAGGCTGATGCGGACTCCCACATCCTAGCAAGAGGTGGCGAGCATCTTTCTCCTGGACAAATGTTGACCAGATCTTTTTCCTGGTGGTAGACACCCGCATATACCCCCTCGATTTCATGAACACCAGTATTATTAATTCTTGGGGACTTTGTCATATTGTATACTCGTTATCACCATCATCACTCCAACACTGGATCCTCCGCGCACACCTCCAATTCTCCATGGTTCGTGCAACTTCGCGATTTTTGCACACACCCACCAACCCCTCCCCACATATAAAAGCTGGGTAGTCCATAGTTGATCCACCCTCTCCAACATGAGGAGATCCTTCTCTTCAGTTGACATCCAAACCACAGCCCACTCCACATTGCCGATTTGTCGGCGCCTTTTTGCTCCCGCGCACCTCCTCCACCATGCTGTTCCACCCTCCCCTTCTCAAGTCAAGCTTTTATACCCCTCCGCAAACGGAGATTTTGGTTCACACGTGTCGCGCACCTGACCTTCCCCTTTCACGCCTCCTGAGTTCCCCGTAGCAGGGCAGGTGACAGAGGAGTAGCACATGTGACCCTTCCATGACTAACCCGATCTCCTTCTCCGTCGCGTATAAGAACCTCGCTCGCAGCGGACTTACTTCATTCTTCAGAGGCGTTTGCGTGGAGGGAGCAAACGAGGCCTGGAAACTTACTAATGGTGTGAGAAGTGGGAGTCAAATCGCATTCCCCTCAACGTATGCGTGTTGGTGGGTTGTTAATCTACCCTGCGGGAACTGCGCCATGGCTGTGGTCGTGGGTGCAAATCCAGCTCTAACCGATCCGATGGAGTGGGGTTTGGGAGTCCTCCGGGACTGCAAAAGGAGACCTGGGGCGTATCCATGTGGGTGGGAGGTCAAATGCCGGGCAAAATCGCCTTATGAGGCGCCTGCTGGTGGCCTCGTGGGCTTGGGCGGTGATGGAGGGCAACTCGTTGAGATGGGGGCGTTGCTTGAGGAAAGTGTTCGGAGAGTCTCCGTACTAGCTACGTGTGGAGATGGCGAGAAGGCTGTCCCTCAGTTCGAGGGCCTGGTCGGCGAGAGGTGTCGATGATAATCACCTGTTTTTGCATAGTTCCTCCAGGTCATCATTGAGGCGGACACGGCGAGCTGATCCACCACTTCCAAACTCCAACTCCATAGGGAATCTCGACCGCGAGATTTGATCGCGCGGGGCCAGATCCATGTAGGATCTCCTGGTATGGTTTTGCTGGCTGTCACAGGAGCTCATGTATATGACATGGCCCCAGTTTTGGTACCCTGGAGCGGGGCTTTTCTTGATCTGCTCTTCTGATACTGGTAGGCAGAGAGTTTATATACCCGGATTCTGTTCATTAGTAATCCATATCACGTGCAGTCCTGAGAACTCCGTGATACCCTTGTCTAATCCCTTCAACTTGACCTATTGCATATCATACCGAACATCTCCTCCGCCATCTTTCTCCCCTTCACCACTCCCCTACTCCCCCGGCTTCTCAAACAAATAATGACTCACTCCCCACGTATCCCCCCCCTCAAACGCAAACAACTCCGCACACGCCAAATAAAACACCTGCCACCGATTCCACCACCTCAACGTCCCCTCCCTCCCATACGTCTCCTCCAAACACGGCCAAACCTCCCCCTTATTCCTGATCATATTCCCCAACCAATCCTCACACGTCCGCGCATAATGCCACCCATTAACCCACCACTGCTGCCTCACCCTCAGATCCCTCTGAAAGTAAAGCAGCAGGTCCGCACTCGGCATCGTGCCGCCCGTGAAGAAATTCTCCGTCATCCACCCTTGCTCGAAGTCGTAGGGGGTCGTTTTGTGCGCGAAGATGTGCACGAAGAGCTTGCCGGAGGGGACGAGCCAGCGCGCGACTTTGGAGAGGAGGGCTTCGTAGTTTTTCATGTGCTCGAAGAGCTCGATGCTGATGACGCGGTCGAAGGAGGAGGCGGGGAAGTCGTAGTCGACGACGTCGCCGGTGGTGACGGTGAGGTTGGTGAGGCCTTTTGAAGAGGCAACGGAGTCGATATACGTCTTCTGCGTGCGCGAATTCGAAAACGCTGTGATTTGGGAGGTGGGGAATTTTTCGGCGAAGCAGAGGGCGCCGGAGCCCCAGCCGCAGCTGCATTGGCAATTATGTTAGCATTCGAATCCCCCGGTACTTCCAGTTCGATTTTTGCTTGAGAATGCGGGAAGCATACCCAAGATCCAGAATCCGCATTCCCTCGCCTAATCCCGCTCTTTCCACATATAACTCCAGCATCGCGTCTTCCGCCTCTGCTAGACTTACATTACCCTTCTTCAGTTCCTCATCCTCATACCAACAACAACTATACTTCATCCTGGGCCCCAAACACCCCTTCAACACCCCCGTACCAACCTCGTAGTGCTGCGTGTTCGCAGTCGCGGTCTCAATCGCAATTGGACGCTGCCGTAACGCTTCGACGTACTTCATTTTGGTCTCATAGGCTTTGGAGAGGTTGGTGGTTGAGATTTCAGCGATGCGGGCGCGGAGTTGGGAGCGAATGCCGCGACGGATGATGGGGTGCGGGAGGTAGCCATTGTCGAGGAGGGTGTCAAGGTAGGGTTTTGTTAGGTTTTGGAGGGCGTCTGGGATTCGTTAGAAGACGGAAGCTGAGAGGAATGTGTGGTGGTGGGACCTGTTATTGAGTTCATGGTTGCGGAAGTACAGGAGAGAAGATGAGACAGAATACAGTGTAGAAAGATCACAGAGGCAGGATCTGAGAGACTACATGGAGGGATCAAGCTCCTGTTTAGCTTTTGACTCGAAATAGTTTCGACAGCTCCCTTCGGGTCTAGTGCATGATAGTGACGTAATTGACTCCATTCTCTAGGAATTTAGCGATTGAAAAAAGTGAAATCAAAGTGGAGGAAGGCTTGATTGATGCAGCGATGGTGGGATGAAATTTTTTGATAGAGGAAGCGTCAGCGAAACACCAGCGTGCGACTAAAATGCTGGGTGTGTGGCCAATCAAGGTGGTTGCTCCGAGGGGAGATCTCTGCTACATCAAGCAACCGCAACAGACCCCAATTCGCATCTATTTCTTAGAGAAATACGTTGATGGCGAAACAGGGTGGACCCTATTCGTTCGATGCTCGAAATGAAATCATAGAAATCCTTCAAGTATACTAGTCACGTGATATGCCGCCTGCGAACGATACTTTCGAATATTGCTGCTGAAATCGCTCTTAGAATAGTTTACTCAAGGTGGAATATGAAATACGATCAAATAGAATCGGTATCTCCATTTGTCAGAGAACAGTTCGACCGCTCTCATCTCCCTAGCGATCGGGTTCAGAGGACCACATTGATAGAAGTTACCGTTACAGGCACGGTCGAACTTCTCGATCTAGACTTTGCTGGAGATACGGCTGTGGTCTTCGAACTAGAGCTGCTTGTCTCTCTTTACGTCTGGCACGCCTCGGGCAATTCGATTTATCTTTAAGCAGAGGCGAAGTAGCTTGCACAGAGCTGACGGATCGTGCTGGTAATGGGTTATTGCTATATCCTGAAACTCAGCTAGGCCCACTCATTCCGTGTGCCTCAGTATAGGTTGTATGGTGTGGCCATGGGCAAAAGCGGCCGTACGGCTCGTCGGAGAGAAATATACTGAGGAATCGTTGTTACATTTGCCAATTGCTATAGCTCCTCTCCTAGTATGTACAATGCCATTGCCGTCTTCTCTTCCCTTCCCACCCCCGATATCTTCTCTTCGATCGACCCATCGTTCAATGATCCCAAGGGTGTTTCCAGCCGAGCATGTGGGGGAGATCTTGCTTCGCTCGGTACATCAACTACGACTATGCATCAGTATCCAGTCTTCACAGCTTCAGGTCCGGTACATACGAAGAACCACATGCTTGCGCCTAAGCCGGTGGCGGCGAATCTGTAGAGCGGGCGTACCGGGTGGATGTGGATGGGATGGGGGATTTTGCCGGGGCCAGCCATGGTGGAGTCGAGCTCTATGCGCGGTCAGCACTACTCGCCCTTCTCTGTCGACAGAACTGCTACGCACTTGCTCTGAACTTAGGCAATGGCTCGATCGTGGGTTGCGGTGGGATGGTTGATGTTGCGCACCGGCGATGTTGCTGAGGTCGTCCGCCAAGTGCACTAAATCCAGACGGGAATGGCGCCAAATCGGCGGCATCCCTGCGCGCGGTGGAAAGTGAGGTCGTCGTTGTCGCGACGGGGGGAACATCGCTGCTATTGTGCCCGCCGTGAATAGCCTGCCACTTCTATCGCGACGCATGGCCTTCCCAGCCCCCTCAATACCTTCGCACTGAAGACTCTTCCTCCACTCCTCATGTCCTACAACCTCCTCGACAAACCTTCAAACCCATCAGCCTCATCACCGTAAATCGCGGGCGCTTTACGACCAATACTCCTCCTCAATCCCCGAATCGCGCTTCCGTCCTTCATCATGGCTCAGTCTCCCGAGAGTACACCCCTCAGACCTATCGCGCGCCGCTTCCATGGCTGCTCCAAGATCGACGAGTACGATATCATGAGCAAGCTCGGCGAAGGCACCTTTGGCGAAGTCCACAAAGCTCGACAAGTTCGCACCGGCGCCACTGTCGCGATGAAGAAGATCCTCATGCACAATGAGAAGGACGGATTCCCAATCACGGCCTTGCGCGAGATCAAGCTGCTTAAGATGCTATGCCACGACAACGTCCTGAAGCTGGAAGAGATGGCCGTCGAACGCAAGAAGGGAGCAGGCAGGCAGCGCGCGATCCTCTATATGGTCACCCCGTATATGGATCACGACCTTTCAGGCCTGCTCGACAATCCGGACGTCCATTTCACGGAACCCCAGATCAAGTGCTACATGCTCCAGCTGTTCAAGGGCCTCCAGTACCTTCACGACAATCACATACTCCACCGAGACATGAAGGCTGCCAATCTGCTCATTAACAACAGGGGCCGTCTCCAGATTGCCGATTTTGGACTCGCTCGCCACTACGAAGAGCCGGTGCCACGCAAGGGAATGGGAAATGGAAGTGCTAAGCGGGATTACACCCAGCTGGTCGTTACGAGATGGTATCGCCCACCGGAGCTCCTCCTGTCACTCCGTCGATACACCCCGGCCATCGACATGTGGGGAGCTGGCTGTGTCTTTGGAGAGATGTTCAAGAGGAAGCCCATCCTGGCTGGCACGAGCGATCTCAATCAAGCGCACATCATCTTCGAACTCGTTGGGTCCCCGAACGACGAATCCATGCCTGGATGGCGCGATCTGAACGGATGCGAGGGCGTCAAACAATTCCCTCCGAATCCCAATCCCAAGCTCACTCATGTTTTCCGAGAATTGGGACCCTATGCCATCTCCCTCCTCAAAGCACTCCTGACGCTCGACTGGCGCAAGCGAATCAACGCCATTGACGCCATCGACCACCCTTACTTCAAGATGGAACCGAAACCGATGCGCGAGGAGGACATCCCTAGATTCGCCGACTCTCACGAACTCGACCGTCGCAACACTCGTGGACAGAGGCCCCTCCCTCCAGCACCAGCTGGTGGCGCTGTTGGCATGCCCGATTGGAACGGCACTGGCCCACCACCAACCAATGGTCCTTGGATGAACGGTGATCGACGCGGCGGTGGACCTCAGGACCGCGGACCCCCCGGCGTTGGACCACCCCCAGGAGGCTACAATCGGGGAGGGTCCTATGACAACCGTCGAGGCCCATACGACCATCGAGGCCCACCACCTCCACCACCTCGTCACCAGCACCAGCCATATCGACCCGACAATCGCAATCAAGGCCTTCCGTATGACGACGCTCCACCACGCCACGCCCTCCCCCATCCACCACCAGAAGGCCGACACCCACTCCCACATCCCCCTCCTCACAACTACGCTGGACCTGGCATTCGTGGCCCACCTCGACATGGAGATCCCGGTGACAGATACGTCCCGCGCTACGACGGCTCGCGCGACGAGCGAGACCGCCACGACCGCCGCTCTCGCGAGTCTGACGACGTGCGATCTCGGGATGGTCGGCGTGGCTCTCGAGACTCGGGCAATTCGAGGGATGCGCAGAGCATGGAGCGTGGCATACCACCGAGTCGCGACGATAGAGGAGCTTACAGACCACCGAGTCGTGACGATCGAGCGCAAGGGTACAGACCACCGCGCGACTACGGACGAGACACGAAGAGGAGCAGGACCCGGAGTCCGGACAGAGAGCGCGAGAATCAGAGGGAGCGGGAGAGAGTTCGGGACGTCTACAGGCGCTGATTTGGGGATGAGCAATGAAGACAGATCTGGAGCAGACGAGGCGTCTCCTTGGTGCTTGTCGGTGGGTATTTGACTTGGTGTTCACGGCTGGAATCCGCTATGGATCATGATAGGCATGTAGCAAGGCGTCCTGGCTTCACGGCGGCATATCAGGGTGTCTTTTGTAGGCGATCTTTCGGCCTAAGATTTGTGCTCTGGAGCTTAAGAAAGGCTATCAGATTATTAGTTAATATATCTAACATACTTCAAACTACTCTTTGGATTCTTTAAAATGCAGAAATCATTGCTGATATGCAGCTTCTTTCTGGATCATTCCTCCAATCTCTTCCGATATGCGGAAACAAGTCGCATTGCATTTTATCACGTGACCTTTACTCACTCCAAACCATCTCCCCATCTCCCCGTCTCCCCATCTCCCCATCTCCCCATCTCCCCATCTCTCCATCTATCCTGATCAATATAAAAAAATCTTCTTTCAAAGACCAATAGGCCAACAGCCTTTATCCGTACAAAGGTACCTACCCAATAGCCGACGGACCGGTATTGACGTTTGCAACGCCACCGATTGCGGCATAGCGGCCCCGATGACCTGACAGCCCGGCCGGAGCGAAGCCGCCACGCGCAGGGGTCTGGGCTCCGAAGTTTTGGTTTTCTGCCGCGCCCCGCTATGACTGGCCGACTTTCTCACTTTGTACATTACAGTCAGACAACCCTTTGCACCCTCCCAGTCATACCCACGCGACTTGGTCCACGTATCTATACTGTGAGTGCTGCTCTCTTGGTGCGACCTTGCCAGCGGAGCAGAGACAATCAATTGAGGGCGCGCTGGGCTGACAACACATTCCGCAATGGCGCAGGCTTTTAAGACGCGGGTGTTCTTTCAGAAGAAGGATACGCACATTGCGACTCCGGTTTTCGGCCACGCTTTGCATTCGAGGGCGGAGAGGTTTACGCTGCGGTTTCGGAGTCCCGCGAGTACCGAGACGGGCAAGATGGTGGATACATACGCGAATGGCGCCGTGCGGATAGCGCACACGGAGGAGAAGGAGTTGCCGGGCGGGTGGGTGGTGCTGAAGTTTGGGGGGACGAGTGTGGGGAAGTTTGCGGAGGGGATTGTGGAGGTTGTGGGGTATGCTATACATTCTGGTGGCATAGAAGGGAAAGGAGCAGGGGGAATGTGCAATGGACGAGTACTGACGGTTTTGCAGGGCGGGTACGAAGGTTGGGAGGACCGCGGTGGTGTGCTCGGCCAGGAGTAATAGTACCAAGTTGGAGGGGACGACGAATAGGTGGGTTCATACTTTGAATGGTGTATAAGAGAAGGGGATTGAGGCACGATTGCTGACGGTTTTGGGCAGGCTGCTACGCGCTGCTCGAGCGGCAGAGAAGCCGGGAAGACACTACGACGAGATTGTTGAAGCTATTCGCGCTGACCACGTCCAAGCCGCGAAAGAAACGATCAAATCCCCGGAAATCCTCCTAGCCTTTACCGAAGACGTAGGTGAAGAATGCGAGAACCTTTCCAAGCTCCTCGAATCCGCACAAGTCATGGAAGAGGTCACGACCCGTGCCGAGGACATGATTGTTAGCAAAGGCGAGAAGCTGAGCTGTCGCTACATGGCAGCTCTGCTCGAAGACCGCAGCGTCCCTGCGCAGTTCGTTGATCTCTCTAGCATTGTCAAAACCCACAAGATCAACGGACAAGTACTCAATGAGCAGTTCTACGCCGACCTTTCTGCCGCCCTGGCCGAGGAAGTCTACGCCTGCGGCAACAAAGTCCCTGTGATCACCGGCTATTTTGGTGCCATCCCCGGCGGCCTCCTGAACCTCATCGGCCGTGGCTACACTGATCTCTGCGCAGCCCTTGTCGCCGTTGGCCTGCGAGCGCGGGAGCTCCAGGTCTGGAAAGAAGTCGATGGTATTTTCACGGCCGACCCTCGCAAAGTCCCCACCGCACGTCTCCTCCCCAGCGTTACCCCCGCGGAGGCTGCCGAATTGACTTTCTACGGCTCCGAGGTCATTCATCCAGCTACCATGAAGCAGGTCATCCGCGCCCGCATCCCTATCCGCATCAAGAACGTCATGAATCCACGCGGGCCCGGCACCATCATCTTCCCAGACGCGATCGAGAACATTAACCCGCGCGCACCGTTGCACGATGCCCGCCTCTTTCGCACGCGGTCGGTCAGCGATGCCACCTCGCAAGTTGCGGGGCCCAAACGCCCCACGGCCGTCACGATCAAGCACAAGATTATGGTGCTGAACGTGCACTCCAACGAACGCACCCGCTCGGAAGGCTTCCTCATGAACATCTTCCGCTTGTTGCTGAAGTGGCACCTCTCCGTCGACCTCATCGCCTCCTCTGAGGTGCACGTGTCTATGGCGTTGCACAGCGAGAGCGCCATGATCTCCGGCGGTGGAGATGATGAGTACAAGATCGACAACGAGGATCTGAGAGGTGCGGTGGCGGATCTTAGCGAGTATGGGGTTGTGGATCTGGTGCCGGACATGGCCATCGTGAGTCTGGTGGGTAGGCAGCTGAAGAACATGGTCGGCATTGCGGGCAAGTTCTTTAGCGTCTTGGGGGACAACAATATCAACATTGAGATGATAAGTCAAGGTAAGCACAATCCTTTTCGCCCTATGTTCCTTGCTTTTCCTTCCTCGACGACTGTATTTACTGGAATTTGAGAGTAGATTTACCTCGTTTCAGGTAAAGGCTAACAACATCGTAGGAGCCAGCGAGATCAACATCTCTTGTGTCATTGAAGAGCGCGAGGCGGATCGAGCGTTGAATGTTTTGCATACCAATCTGTTTACTTTTTTGGAGTAGGATAGCGATGCATGGGTGGTGTTCTTTTTGCATCTTCTGGAGACTAAAAGTCACATTGATCTTATAGAGATAGAGAGCATGAAGATTAGTTGCTTAGAGAATTTGAGCTGAATTGAATTGAACTGAATTGAATTGAACCGAGTTGAAGTACGGTTTGAGATGGGTTTGCGGTGCTTGCTGTGATGTGTGGCGCTAAAGCTGTCGTGTCATGTGCCGACGAGGGTAGAGTAGAAAATGGTACTTTATTCTGCTAGCATACTTGATTTAGAATGCCCGGGTACTGACGGATGAGATGGGACGGTCCAACGACATCGACGTTTATCATCTTGTCTCATCCCGTACAACGTTTCCCTTCTTCCCTTCCAAGTCATTGATTATTATCTGTATTCTAGATGGCTGTTGTTGTCGCAACGCATCGTCGATGGGTCGCACGATCAGTTTTCGTTGGAAATGGTTGGCTGTAGGTTGCATTCGCCAAGAAGGCTGATATGCATGTCGTACTTAGCGGACTTACCTTCTGCTCAGCCTCGTAGCGGCGTCTACCTGCTGGCGACGATGACCTTTGCTGCATCTTCAGTCATCCCTTCTCCAACATACCCTCAAAATGACCAAAGCCTCGAGGAAACGAAGAAAGGCCCGTTCGAAGTTGAAAACCTCAAGCGTAGCTGGAAACGAACCTTATCCATATGTCAGGCTGGTCCCCGAAACCGAGGAGATCAGACTCATCAAGCTGTTGCCTGGAGAAGGAAAGGACCCTCTACGATTTGAGCTCTTCCATGTTCCGTTGCGGATCCCGGAGGAGCGTCCCAAGGACAGGATGTCTCTGAATGAGCTGAGGAGTACGTTGCCATCTAGATGGGATGTAAAGGAGACAGTTGAAGGCAACTACATCTTCTATGATGAGGTCTCAAGTGGTAGCACGTCATGGATACATCCAGACCCGAAGCTAGACTCTTCTCGCTATGCCAACCCGCCAGAATTACCGAGTCCCGACTTTCAGCCAAGATACGAAGCACTTTCCTATACCTGGGACTCAAAGGACAATCCCGAAGACGCTTATGTCCACTATTCGTCTGCATCTTCACCATCGAAGGGCGAATGTACTTTGATTGCAGAGATGCAAATTAGGCAAAACCTCGCCTCTGCGATGAGGCACCTGCGAAACCCCCGGAAAGCTCGAGTCTTGTGGATCGACGCTGTATGCATAAATCAGGAGGACGAAATCGAGCGCAACGAGCAAGTCAAACGCATGGCAAATATCTACCGATTGGCAGAGCGCGTTGTTGTCTGGCTGGGGCCACAGGTGGATAGGAGTAGGCTTGCAATCAAAACACTAGATCACATCGGCGCTCAATTGGAATACAACAAGGATAACTCCCGCGTTGTATCTCCTGCCGCAATGGAACCAACCTGGTTTTATCACCGCAGTGCTTTGCCCTATGGTAGTAACACGTGGCGAGACGTCGAAAAACTCATAGAGCGCGCATGGTTCAAACGATTGTGGGTGTGGCAGGAAATCCACCTTGCCAATAGCCATGCTCTCATGCAGTGCGGACATGATTCAATCTTGTGGTCCCGCTTCCGCCGAGCAGTGCAGTGCATATACTACAAAGGGGATCAAGCTACCGCTCAGCTTCGTTCAAAAATTATCCTCCTGCAACTTCTAACTGCGTTTCTTCTAGATTTATCGCTTGGGTCACTACTTGATTTCATGAGAGGCCAGATGTGTTCTGACCCAAGAGATAAAGTATATGGATTGCTAGGTCTTCTAGGCTCAGACATGGCGAAGATCGAACCACGTTACTCGGACCCTTTTGGTGTTGTCTATAAAGACGCGTTCATAACACATTGCAATCATGTTCAGCGATTAGAGCTCCTTGTATACTGTGATTTGAAAAATGCGCTGCCCGACACCCCATCTTGGGTTCCAAATTGGTCAGCAAGTAGATGGAGCAGCACAATCGTGGGTGGCCTTTGTAGCGGGGTCTCCCGTGCACAATTCACGTACACACCTCCGGGCGGTTTAGAGGTATTTGGGGTTCATTGTGCGACTGTGGAGACTGTTCATGGGCCAGCGGCATGGGAAAGAGGAGAGACGTTGGAAGATATCCGGAATTGGGCAGTAAACATAATCAAGCCAGGACCTTCATATATCACTGGAGAGAGCTTGGACGCTGCTTTTGCGTTGACACTTCGGGAAAATAGGGTGCGTGAGCGCTACCCGGAACTGGGTTCCTGGCCGACGACTCAAGAGTGGATAAATGTTTGCAAGAGACAGTTGATTGGCGATGGAGGGAGCGTAAAACTCGGCGATGTTGCCTTCGAAGGGAGCGCAGAGTTCAACGATAGTGATGAATCCTACCTTACCGAAGTAGTCGAACGTGCTGGGGGTCGTACTTTTGTAGCAGCAGAGGAAGGACACATTGGTCTGGGTCCTGCATCTGCGAAACCGGGTAAGGCATTGCTTAAACTTTCCAAACCAAGTTTCTGACTTTTGAATAGGTGATCTCATTTGTGTCTTGCTCGGTAGCGAAATCCCAATCTTCTTGCGAGCCAGCCCACTCGGAAGGTTTCTCGTGGTTGGTAGCGGCTACGTTCACGGCCTGAGCGACGCGACTGCGCTCCTTGGGTCATTGCCAGAGCATTGGAGAGTACAGGTTAGAGTTGGGGTTTTTGGCGAGGACAGTTATTCTTTATGCAATTCTACGACAGGCAGCCGCGTTCCAATGTCGGAAGACCCCCGGCTGGGGCCACTCGATAACGGATGGGAAGCGATAGAAAGAGACAGAGTGCACGGCGATCCTGCGATCTTTGAAATGTATCGAAACAGGATCACCGGCGAAGAAATGGACTCGGATCCCAGAATGAGGCCCGAGGCGTTGAAGGCACGCGGTGTTAAGATACAGACATTCCCGCTCATATAGCGGTCACGAATTTTATTCTCCCATTTATTCAATTCAGCTTCTTATCCCTCACGCGGGGCATGGAAATGGTGGCACTCTAATTCTAGAACAAGCTGTCTCGTGTGTACACCTGTCTGCCACTGCTTGGGTTGCTTCAACGTATTTTCAGGATTTTAAAGAAGATAAATGCTCTGTGCCTTGGGCTATGTGGAAACGTGTTGAAGCACTTCCTGCAGTGGTAAACAAGTGTAACCCGTCGCAGTTGGCTCTACGTTATCGATAAGGATTCAACCAATAGAAAGCTTTGAGGGATAGGAACTGCAGCGAAAAACTTGAGCAACACACTGCCTCTTGGCTTGTTATACACTTCCCTAGCACTGCTTGAGGTCCTCTAGTACGTTATGAAAGATCGGAAAAGAACAATGTTGACAAGACTGATAGCTTTGCGGGCCATCTCAAACGGTGTCGGACTGTCACTTCATGTTCAACGGAGCCTAATCCTAAGTCCGATCGTTGTGCCACGACGGGTTAAGGGATACTCCTTGCATTCCCTTGTTATAAAGTTCTGCAATTTTTAGGCTCTGGGGCGCTTATAGGTTGCTCCTGGAGACTGCTTTGGCTGAAATGAAACAGGTATAGACCACCTTGCTAAGAAGACTGACGTGCATTTCACCTGCCCTGGAGTTGCCATCGGTTCAGCCTCGTAATGGCCATATACTTAGCGTTGCAGCGGCGTTTCCCTGCTAGCGACGATGACTTTTGACGCACGGTTTGTCGTCTCTAATAGAAGATTCCCCATTACTTGTAGAGGTAATTTAAGACTTCTTGGGGGAGGATAACCAAGAGTTTGCCCTAAAAAGTTCAGCGCGGAGTAATGTCATGATTCCTAGGTCGGGGTGTGTGTCCATAGCAAACAAGGGTATGGTGCGTGGAGCAAAATGATATATACATGTAGGCGTGGTCTGAATGTATTGGGGCAGTATACATGTTTGCTGCGCAGCAAAGGCCTGGATGTTGGCAGTGACTTCATTGTACACTCGGCCGTATCCTTTATAGGACGCACTCTACCACGCCTTATTTCGTCCATATCTTTCAGCGATTTGACCACTTCATACAGGTCTGGCGTCCTCTACACAGAACCCTGCCTTGGCCTTTTGAGAGCAAAGCCGCAAACCTTGGTAGCGACTAGAAGCTGCCCATTCTTCGAAAATCGTGGAGATGTCAGCACACTCTACAGGGGCTGATGGCCTGCCTACGAGAGCCACGACCAATGGCGAGCCCTTATGTATCGTTGTTATTGGTCTAGGTCACCGTAGCCTCGAATACGCGATTCCCACCATCCTAGACGAGCCGCATCTGTGGAGTCTGCTAGCTGTCTGCGAAACAGCCCTAGAGAATTTCAAGGCCAAGAATCCGAGTGTACCCTCATTCACAAGCATAGAGGAAATGCTTCGATGGTCTAAACACAACGGGGTCCCCAATGTTCAATGTGCCTACGTAGCAGTACCTCACTTTCAGCACCCGAGTGTGATTCACACATTGACATCGGCAAAGATCCACATCCTCAAAGAGAAGCCCGTGGCTACCTCTAAGCGACAGATAGAGTCGTTCTAAGCTGCTGCGCGTGTTGCAGGGGTAGTATTGCAGACGTACAGTCAGACTCGCTACGGAAACTGCTTACTCAGGTTGAAATTGATGTGAACTCTGATTTCCATGGGTGTCTAGCTCGTTGTTTATATACTAGGGGAAGGAGGGGGGCCAGCCCCGGGGGCATAACGTGGTATCTCTTCCTGACGCGTTACTTGATTCATCCTGTTTCCTGATACAGTACTGATACCGTGCTGCAGCACTGCTGTTGCACTACCTGTTACTTCCTCCTGTATCAGCATGTTATCCTGATACGTTACTGCATATGAGTTGCTGACCCTAGGTTGTAGTGCTGCAACCCGAGTTGCTTGAAGCAACTGAAGGAATGGCTTCCACGTATAGGTAGGATCCGAAGTACTGAAGGCACCCGGAAACTCACCATATCGAATCTTGGAGAAGGCTGGAGAGCAAGTAATGTTCTCGCAGGTGGCGGCGCCATTGGTGATCTCGGCTGGCATCTCATAGACCAGATTCTCGCGCTTGTCGGGAATGACACCACTCCTGTAGTTGCTCATGCGCAAACGTTTATCACTCGACCGCACCAGGGATATGACTGCGAGGATACTGCCTATGTAGTTCTGCAGGTACACAATCCGGAGTTATCCATCAGTAGAGGGCTAATTACTTGTACTTTGATGGTTTCACGAGCTGGGCATACCAATGTCAACGAGCTTATCCTTAGAGGACAGTACGGCACGCTCAGCATGTCCGACGACAAAGCTGAGCTTAGCGCAGCTGATCGCCTCCGGAATCGAGCCATCATGGTATGCCTTCGTGTTCAGATCCGATGTCAAGCAGGCTCCAAAAAATCTCACGCGAGAGGCTTTCGTCGACAAGTTACACGAGTATGGCCTTTCGGAAGTCGACATACCCAATTCCACCAGCCTCTTGCACAAAAAGCCTCTCTACACATGTCCGGAAAAGATATTTCCCCATTTGTACACGAATAGTACTATAGTCAGAAGTAATGCCGTAGATTCTTTCTCGACTGCGCAGTGCTTCTACGATGACGCAATCAAGCTGCCCGTTTGGACAACCAGAGATGATCAAATCACTATTAATCGTTACATGGACGTTATTCGTGCTATTGCAAAAGAATACATGGATGCTACTATTGCAGTGTAAGTAAAAACGAGTATTGCAGGGTTAGAATTTAAGTGGATGGGGCCTGCGGGACGGTTTCTCAGTGGTGGACCCTGTATCATAGAACCAGTGGGATACTCTGCATTTATACCCTTTATTGCATTATGGGGCAAGCCGACGGAACGAGTTTAAGGTGTAAATGTCGTAAACGCTCTTTAACTATTTGATTACCGCCACTTTCATTTTCAGGTGAATATAACTATTTTAAACAGTTATGGGCAGAGAGGATATTCCCCTTAACTCCGCACCCAGAATATGGGCACTAAAGGGGACTTTGGAGTCCTATAATAACACATGTAATACCTCAAAACACATCTTAATGCAAAAACCAAAAAAATGGTCTCTACTTGAACCACCTCAAAATGACTAGTAGCTGAAGGTAAGATTGGATTGTTAACTGATACTGGGCTTGGAAGAAGTAAAGTTAACCTGGCGTGATCTGCGGGAGCTAGTGTCTATTCTACATGTACATCTTGAGAACCTCCTCGGCGCGCCTGAAAGCGTTTGCCACGACCTTGCGCATGCCATCCGACATGGGATATGGACCGACCTCCTGCTCAGTGACCCACGCACTCTCCGAATGTTCCTCCGGATTCATGATTACCTCGCTTCCAGACACTTCGACTAAAAAGTTGAGCTGGTAGCTGGATTTCTCTTCAGTCACCTCCGTCCCGTCGGCCTGCTTTGTCACCTTTTCCAGCGTATACTCGAAAGGCTCGAACTCGGCAACAATGCGGGGCGATCTGTAGTCCAGTCTCTCCATGCAGTTCCCGTGCGACGGCATGCTGGATGGACATGTCTTCCTCATCGACCTTGCCACCGGGAAGCTCGAATAAGTTGGGGTAAGAGGTTTCGTGTGGGGCTCGCTTAAGAAGAAGTAGCTTCGGAGAACCTTCGGCGTGGGAGCTGTGAGGGTGTTAGTTCATTCACTAAAGTATCGATCCGTGAAGGATATCACGATGAACGTACCTCGGATGAAGAACTGCTGCTCCTACGACCACCTTGTCGTACCGTCTACCAGACAGGGAGACGTGTGTCTGGCGGAACTCTTCGCGCGACATGGAGAGGCTTGGGGAGGAAATCGACGGGATAGGGAGGTGTTTGGGGCGCGGTCGTGTTAGTGGTTTCGGCCATGACGTGGAACTGTGAGAGAGTGCTTGAGGTGTTTGTTGACTGTACAGCTTTTTGGCGGAACTTGTGTGGCTTAAACGTCTCAGAGCTGAGAAGGAGAAATGAGCAAAGTAGTTAGGTGGCGTTGTTGGGTGCGTTGGAAGGTTGGATGGTATGGGCAAGGTTGAGGTGAAGAAAGTTTGTCTTCTGGACCAGAGGTTTCCAAGAGGTTTCCAACCTTGGTTGAGTGCGACTGCCAAGTGACCCACGTGGCCATTTATTTCAACCTATTGCGATATTGCGTACCAGAACCTATCACAGAAATGTTTTCCAACTATCTATCACTCAGCGATTGAACACACGAAAGTGTTGGTGAGCTATTGGTATACTAGTGCGTTCAGCATACCAGACCAGACATATCCTCCGAACTACCACACACTTCTTCGCAAAACTCCCGAAACCCGGCCATGCTTGCCCTCCCCCAGCCACCGCAACGTTCCTCCCACTCAAAACACCGCTTTCACGCTCCTCACACCCTCAACGATACAATCATCATCAGCCTCATATTTCAGTCCCCCCCACACCGTCCCCTCTTCCCACATATCTTCCATCTTGACCACTTGCATCGGCTCCATCTTCACGTCCACATCCACGTCCACCCCCCCAAGCTCCACTTTCACCCCTACCTCCCCATTCTCCACCTTCACGTCTTTTTCAACCTTGATCTCTCCCTTAATCTCTCTCTTCACTCCCATCCCCTCCCCATCCCCCTCCCCCTTCACCCTCTTCCCCACTACCGCAAGCACCTCCTCATCATCCTCCCCATCCCCTGTATCCCCTCCCACCCCACCCTTCCCCTTCCCCCCTTTCTCAGCCCCCCGTTTCCGCTTTTCCGCCTGCTTTTGAGACGCACCGAGGCCAGCACGCTCCATCTGCGTCTTGAAGCGCGAGTATCGCATGCGCGCGGCGTGGGGGTTTTGGATGGCGTTGTCGGCGGCGACGCGTTTCCAGTCGATCTAGGGAGGTTAGTATGGCTGATTGAAGGGGAGGAGGGGAGGAGGAGAGGGGAGAGGGTAATGGGGAGAGGTGGAAAGGGCGTACGTGTTTGAGCTCCAGCTGCTTGAGGATGGAGTAGCAGAGGGCGACGAGTTGCTTGTCTGTTGGCATGGTGGCGGTGGGTGGGTGAGCTAGAGCAGGTCCGTAAGGTTTGAGAGATAGTAGGAACGGCCTCGTGAAGGAGTAAGTGGTGATGGATTGGTAGGATGCGGATGTGTGAGTTGGAAGCTACGTTTCTTATCATGGGTATCATGTTGGTAAACTATCGCATACGTCAAACTAGTTCTTTGGGCGTTGCGAGATGCGATGTTGTCATGCCAATCAACAGTCTTTCAGCGTTAAAAGATGAGGAGGAGGTAGCAAGCATATCAGTCAAAGCCAGCCCGGAGGTCTGCGGAGGAGCAAACTAGTTAGCTGCTTTCATGGCTTTGAACACTGAGAAGCTACAACGTTTTTAACGATGCAGCAAACGAGAGGATGTTGCTGTTTCTTTCAGATAAATGGGCTGATGCATGCTCGGAAGATGTGTTGTTCAGTAGGATCCTATTCGATCATTTTGCGTCTCTACCATCCTCAGCATCATCAAATTCTCTGGAAACCTACCATACACATCGTATAATCACCTGTTCATCTCGACTCCTCTCTATTCATTAAACATGCCTTCCAGCTCCTCCAGCTCCTCCAGCTTACCCAGTTCAACATCCACCTCGAAGACCTCTACTCGTATGACGCCGCGCCTCTACCCCACAACCCTACTCGACTACTTCATCGAACGCTCGGAACGCGAAACCGCCCTAGCAGAGAAAAAGAGCGCGGAGAATGAGTACTGGGAAACCTTGAAGCAGGATTTGCGACGGATTGCGGAGTCGGGCACGGCGGAAACATGATCGAGATGAGCTGCGTAACGCGATGAGGTCCGACGAAGGGCTGAAAGGGATGGTTGGGGGGGCCTGGCAGGTTCAGCGGGGGTAGTCAAAAGCGTGAAATGTGGGTCTAGGTTGGATTGGCGGGGTCTTTGATATCGCGGGGGAGTTTTTAGAAGGGGTTGGAGGACTCCATGCGGCGGTGAGGAGGTGTACGCAGTGACATACCTGAGCGCTAGAGGAGATTTGGATGCTTGGTTAGTTTCTATCGTGGAGCGTTGATATCTTGCACGGCTTTGAGGATGTGCTGGAGGGCTTCCTGCGGTGGTAAAAAGGTGTAAGCAAGCGAATATCCTAGCAGTGGTTCAATGTTGGACAAGGCACTAGTGCACAGCAAAGGGTGAAGGAATGAAAGTTACAATTTTATGATATTGAAATCAGAGGCATGCTATCTGTGTATACCACTGTTCCACTGTCGGGGGTGGAAGCGTGGAATACATGAATGAGAAAATTCTTGTGCACACTGTTAAGATGACTGAAGCCCTCTAATTCATAGTGTATACAGTGATGCAATCGCAGGGCTTCTGTGATCCAAGTAAAATCGTAGAGGTAGAAGCACCTCGATTTGAGACAAGTAGATGAGCCAGGACATGTCAGACAACGCCCAAGCCTCGCCAAAAGCCCATCTCTACCATCCGGTCTCTATCGCAATTTCGGGCGGGGTTTGGAGCCAGATCTGCTTGTCCAGCCTCGTTACCATTTCCGGACCAGCTTCGTGGGTGATCTGGAGTCTGTCCTTTTGTCCTGGTTGAGCACCTGGGTCATACCATAACGAATAGCTGTTTCGAGCAGCAAGGGGCCTCTCTGTATTCCAGTAGTACGTAATGCCCTCTCTCTGGGTGACGTACATCACTTTGCCTAGTTCAAGTAGCTTCAAGTGTGGTAGCGCCTTCAGCATCTGTAGCACCTGGACCCAATCTTTCGTACGCAACGTCACCTTCTCGAGTGATATATGTTCGAGTGTCGACGAGTAGGTGGTAAGAAGCTGCCCTAGCTCTTCATATGTGATGGGCCCGCGGAGTAGAGCGAGACTCCGGAGATGAGGGAAAGCCAGGCCTTTCACGATGTCACTGTAGACGCTGGTCGCTTCGTTGTTGTTGGCGTAGAAGGAGAACTTCTCCACGTTGGGGCAGATGTCAGTGAAGCGATGAACCCACTTGAGAGATTTGGCTCTTGGCTGGCCGCGGCTGTAATGCTCTTCGACCGAGATAGTGAGAGTTTTGAGCGTGCTGAAACTGTGTCGCAGAGATTCGAAATGGGCATCGGAGATGGTTCGTGATGGAATCAGTGTCTTGTTCGTCACTGCTGGGTTCTTCGGGATATTACGATCCAAGGAGAACGGTACTAGAATTTCCAAAGTCTTCAGCTTCTTGATACCGCTGCGTTCGATAGCGGAGAGAGTAGCGCAAACAATCCAAGCAGCATTCTCATGATAGGCCTTCTCTAGGTTGCCAGCTTCGCTGGACCAGTACGAGCGGGTTTTGATGTCAGACTCCGGATAGAATCCAATCGCTTGACGGACGCGTTCCATGCCCCACGGCAGCTTGTTGTAGATCGAATCATATTCGATGTGGGCATCGGGTATCTGCGCGGGTACAATTGAGATTGTGTCGACAGCTGCGAGGCCGGAGAGCGCTGTTGCCAGCAGCTGTACGTCTTTGCTCTGCTTTCGTAGCGTACGCTGCTCGTGCATCAAGCGAGCATGCGCTTTTCGACGCTGCTTCTTGACTCTCTGCATATCCTTCTCGGCGTCCGCATCCTTCCAGAAGCGGTACACGTCGTCCTTCTCTTTGTCCAATGGCAGCCCGTTCACCTTGTCCAAGGTCTGAGACGGGAAGCTGGCAGCGCTGATACATAGATGGCGTATGCAAGAGCCGAATAGCTTCTTGTTCGCGCCGAAAGTCGCGCTAGTTGCGAAATCGATGAGAGACTGGAGGCTGTCGACCGTAAACATGATTTTGGTTTCCCTGAAATGCTTCACCGCAAACTGGTGATAGGTCTTCTCCTTTAGCTCTCTGCATGTGGCACGCAGGTTAACAACATCTCTCTTTCCCAAGGACTGGCAGACGCTGTCAACGAGCTCTTCCGGGAGAGACAATACTGTGGTAGCCATAATCGCAGATGAAACGCTGCTGGCGGTGAGAGGATGAATGCAGCGATGAGAGGATGAATGCAGCTGTCAAGAGGCCTTGGACATGTGGAGGGAGGTGGGAGAAGGAAGAAACGCCGCCTTCGACTCACAGATGTCGAAGGTGAGGTTGAGTCAAGCTTTACAGGTGTGTTGTTCCTTCCACGGAAGGTTCGCGTGGCCGCAAGGCAGCAGCAGCTCGCTAGAATAATGTGGGGCTAGCGTGGGGCTGGCAGTGTGGCTGCAGTGGCAGTGCGCAGATCAGCTGATATGGACTTTTCCAAAAGCATGGCGCCATCAGTGCCTGAAGATACAATAGTCTGCCACTGTCGGGAGCGCTTCGTGATGTTTTCGCAAAGTTGAATGAGATACATATCGAATGGTTTGACGAGTCTCATACTGACTGGGGCCACCACAGACGGTGTCATCGTACGGACACTACTCAGACTGTCAAGCGATGACGGCTAGCTTCTTCAAACCTTGAACTCATCTGTAGAAGCTATCCGGTCACACGTGTGTACAGCGGTTTGGCGTCGTTTGAAGACCTTCGTACCATTTTCAGGATGCCTAAATCAACTGACTTGATTGGTCTAACACGTCTTCAGGATACCACAGACGACGCCGTCAAGCTTGCAAAGCTATCCGATTTTGAAGCTTTTAATCTGCAGGCTGGAAGCCTATGCCTTCTCATTCAACTCTAATTCGTTACTCGACGTTTCTTTGAAGGTGTTTTGCTTGCAGGATAGCAGTACGATTCTATTGACCTTTCTTCGCACCTTGCTGCGTGTGACATCTTGCCTCGATTCCATGTGCATGCCTGGGGCATCTCAAACGCCGGCATCGATCTGGAAAAGTTATACGATTTCACGGCGTCTGACATATGGGCTCCGGACTTTCATATCTTGATCCCATTGCACTGACTTGCTCAAGGTCACTCAGACGGCACTAAATACCTAGAAAAGCAGTACGAACCCAACCGCACCTGATTGCCATCTAAACTTACGAGGTACTTCTAACCGGATCATTGACATGGAAGAGCACCTCGATTGAATGTGTCTAGAATTCGGTCTGGAATTTCCTACATCCTTCCCCGGTTGCGTTCTACCTGATGAGGGACTCCCCGCGACGTCATCTGTCTGAAAGGCCAACAAGAATCGAGCCTGTTCAACTTCAAGCCTCTGGGCCGTTACATTTTATCGCGATTCGACTTGAGCTAGCAAAGGCTCTCTAGCAGCGTCACCTACGTGCAAAAGGACTGAACTTTCAGGCTTTCCGATCCGAAACCCGCAAATCGGTACGTCTGCGTTTGAATTTCAGGCCTATTTAAGGTCTCTCAAGCGCAAACAGCTACCTGGCAAAATTCTACATTATCATGGAATCCAATTTACACTCTCCAACTCGTGGCATCACCTCCTGTTAGCTCTTGAATTCATGGGCCACCTCCTACATCATCAGCAGTGTAGAAACCTGCTTCATTCTCATCCCATCCAATATACGCTCTCGAGTTTGATACATTGCCTAGCGATCTGGCATCACCCTAAGGGGCACCACTTGCACCGGCACCAAGCCGGAAAGATACCGCGGAACAGCGTGTTCAAGTTACGACCTGCAAGCTTTGATATCTACTTATATTTTTGAACATTACTCGAGGGCCTCCAAACACCGCTCCCTACCGGGAGAAGTGCTAAGTTCTCACGACTTCAAATTCGCATCCTCGAGCTCGTGACATCACTTCCCGATTGCTCTTGAATCGCCAGAGCACCTCCAACGCTGCTGAACACACGGAAAAGCACTGGAACCTGACACTCTTCACTTTACGGGACGCCGTCTGGTACATCCCCTGGAGATTTTCATGGCCCTAAGGCGGACTTCTTACACCGCTAACGTCTTGGAAAATCGATAGATTCTCACACTTTCTGATTTAGGGGACGAAGCGAGTGAACTTCGTCCATGGTATTTTTGCATGCTTGAAAACCTTCAGGCGCCGGTGCATACGTGGAAAAGTGCTAAAATTTCGCATATTCAACATAAGGGGTACCGCTTGTAACATTCGTTCGCGACTTTTACACCTACCCGAAGGCACTCAGACGTCGCTGCACACCTTAAAAAGGACTGCAATCGACTCGCATCTTTTCACGATATTCACACATCGCTAGGCCACCTCCAACGATGCTAAGAGACTCCAAGAACCTTCCAGTCGCAGCCTTTGCGATCTACGGCTTTAGTTCTTGACCTGCCATGGGATCGACACGTAGCTGGACCACCTCTGACGCTGCTACGGTAGTGGAAAGGTACTGCATTTCCACCCTTTCCAATATTCACCTGAGGGCTTTTGACATCGTAGCACGCGTTTTCCTCCACATCCAGACCACCTCACGCGCCGCTATCCACGCTGCAAAACCCTTCACCTACATGCCCTCCAGTTCACGCTGTCGAATCGCTTACATCACGTGTGTCTCCACTCGCCCTTGTGGAGGGCTTCGGACGCCGCTATCATGCTGCCAGATCGCTTGAACGTGCGACTCAAATTCAACAGACGAACGCTTTCGGTAGCTAGAAGTACTGCAATTTCACACTTACCAATTTACGATCTCTGGCCTTTTACATCATGGGTAGATTGTTCTCGAACCCAGGGAGCCACTCGCACACCGCTATTCACCCAGAAAAGCAGTCAGATTGACCCCCTTCCAATTCACAGTCCTGAAACCTTTACATCACGCGTAGCTCTCCGTCGACCCTATGGATCCACTCAGGCGGCGCTATCGCACGTGCAAACCACTTGTGCATACATCGCGAAACCAAACGTCCAACGTTCTATGTAGCGATTGATAGCGAAAACACAAAGCTTCCGATTCACAGCCTCGAATCTTTGAAATCATGTGTACATCACACTCGAGGCCATAGGGCCACTCAGACGCCGTCACCATGGTGTCAAGCCGTTAGAGCGCACGTCTTCGAATGGCGAACCGAACAATTTTACGAGCAACAGGCGACAAAATCACACCCCTTCCGATTCATGGCCTCGGATCCTTTGCATCGTGTTTGAAACGCGGTCGAGGTCACGGGCAACCCCAAACACAGCTATCGCGCATGCAGAGTACACATTCACAGCTCCCAAGGTAAGCACTGGGGCGTTTTCGGTAGCAACGGGTAGTAAAATCACACCCCTTTCAACTCACGACCTCGAATCCTTGACATCGTGCCCAAATCGTGCTCCAGGTCACGGGGTACCACAGACACCGTCATCGCGCATTCAAAACACACCTTTGTAGCTTTTAGAATGAACATAGGAGCATTTCTAGCAGCTAAGGGTACCAAAATCACACCCCTTTCAATTTACAACCTTAATCCCTTAACATCATGCTTACTTCGTGCTTCAAGCTACGGGGCACCACAGACACCGGTAACACACGTGCAGAACGCGTACACACAGGTTTCGAAGTAGTGACTGAAGCATTTCCTCCCTGGAAAGCGATCCAATCATGCCCCGTCAGATTTAAGGCCTCCGGCCATTTACATCGTGTATAAATCGGGCTGAACCTCACGAGACACCACAGACGCCGCTATTACACGTACAAAACGCACGTCTATGTTCCTCAGAATCAACAGCGGGCCGTTTTCGTCATGGGAGAGCACTCAGATGGCGGCCCCTCTGATCTTCGGCCTCGAATTCTTGACATCCTGTTCAGATCGAGCTCGACCTTACGAGACACCTCAAACGCCGTCAGGGGACGTGCAAGATGCTTATCACACGTCTGGAGACGAAGAGATGGGCCGTTTCAGTAGCTGGGGATCATTCCAATTGCACGCCCTCTCATTCACGGTCTTTAGTCCTTGACATCGTGTTCGCATCGGGCCGGACCCTACGAGAAACCTCAAACAGGCTCGGCCTCACAAGGCACCTCAAACGCTATCAACTACCTGTTGAAGCTGTGTCTTCACATATTATCCAATTTCTTGTCGCAAGCTCTTGACATCGTGTTCAGATTTCGTTGGGCCTCACGAGGCACCTCAAACACCGGCAGGACACGTGCAGATCTCACACCCACATGGCTTAATATCAAGAGTGGAGTGGGTTTAGTAGCTCGAAAGCATTCCCACTGCAATCTATCAAGTCTAGGGCCTCGAGACTTTGACATCATGCTCGAATTGGGCTCGACCTCACGAGCTACCTCATACGCCGTTAAGTAGCTGTCAAAAACCTACATTCACACCACTTTCAATTTACAGCGTCGAAATTTTTACATCCTGCTCCTACAGCACCCAAGGTCACGGGGCACCTCCAACGCCGTTAAGACACGCGCAAAACACAAACTCGTGGTGTAAAATCGAGAGTACCGCATTTTTCGCTAGCTGGAAAGCACTTCCATTGGAGCCCCTCCCATCTTCGGCCTCGAAACTCTGACATCGTGTACGAATCGGGCTGAGACTCACAGGACACCTCAAACACCGCCAAATGCCTAAAAAAAACTCCCCGTTTACGCCCCTATTAATATACGACCTACGGTTCTTGACATCGTGTTCAAATCGGGCTCGACCTCACGAGACACCTCAAACACCATCAACCGCCTGTCAAACCCTTCCAATTACAGCCCCGCCAATCTACGGCCTCCATTCTTTAACATCATGCTCAAATCAGGATCCATCTCACGTGGCGCCCTAGACGCTGTCAACTACTTGTCAAATCCCTCTGTTTACACTCCTTTCGGTTCACGGCCTCGAGTTTTTAACATCGTGTTCGAATCGGGCTCGACCTCATAAGGCGCCTCCAACGCCGTCAACCACCTGTCAACCACTTCCGTTTACACCACTTTCAACTTACAGCTTCGGAAATTTGACATCATATTCTCAATGTGGTCAATCGTGCAAGGTACCTCAAATACCGTCAGCTACCTGTCGACTCGCTCCTTTCACACCCCTTTCAATATACAGCCTACAGCCCTTTACATCGTGTTCAAAATGGGTTCGACCTCACGAGAGACCTCAAACACCGCCAACGAGATGCCAAACCCCTCCGGTCATACCCCTTTCAATTCACGCCCTCGGATCTTTGACATCACGTATCCAGCTATTAAAACCTCGCCAAGTCACTCAGACGCTATCAACCACCCGCCAAAACCCTCAGATCTCACTGCCTCCAATTCACAATCTCAGATCCTTGACATCCTGTTCAGATTGCGCTGGGCCTCACGAGGCGCCTCAAACGGCGTCAACCCACGAGCAGATTGCATGCTTACACGGTTTGAAATCAATGAGAGAGCGTTCTCATAGCTCCGTGTATACATATCGAGACGCTTTCCAATTCATAGTCTTAAAATCTTAACATTATGCTCGAATCGAGTTAAACCTCACAGGACGCCTCAAACACCGCCAGCCACACGTCAAAAGCCTCGAAGTACACCCCTTCTAATAAACACTCTCAGATTCTTAACATCACGGACATCACATCTCCGCCCTTAGGAGACACCTCAGTTGGTGTCAACACAAGTGCAGAACGCATATTCGCACCGCATTTCCATTGCTTTCTGCACACAAATTCAAACAGCTTCCAATTCCCGCTCTGAGATCCTTGACATTACATCCCCAATATGTATACTCCCATGAACCACCCCAAACGCCGTCAAACTCCTGTCAAAGCTCTCTTATCCCACCCGTTTGAATTCCCACTGTCAGCACTTTCACATCGCGTCCCTAACATTCACACCCTCATGAGCCACCTCAGACGGCGTCATCACACGTGAAAAGTGCAGAGTTACATGGCTCAGAATCGACAACAGTGCATTTTCATATCTCCAGTTATCGAAATTCAGACACCTTCCAATTCCCACCCCTACGTCTTTGACATCATGTCCCCAACATTCAGACCCTCCCGAGCCACCTCAGACGGCGTCATCACGCGTGCAAACCAGACGCTTACACGGTGCGAAGTCGAGAGTAGCGCACTTTCATAGCTCCATCCTAATATGCACCCTCAGGACTTTGACATCATGTACTGGACATTCACACCCTGACGAAGCCACTCAAACAGCGCTGAACACCCTTCAAACACCCCGAATAGCCCTCCTTCCAATACACATCCTTAGAACTTTGACATCCTATAAAAATAGCGCTTAAGGCCACGAGGCACCTCAGACGGTGTCAACACGCGTGCAAATCACACGCCTATACGTCGCAAAGTCGAAAGTAGCGCATTCTTATAGCTCCATTCCAATTCCCACACCCAAATTTGTGACATCACGTGTTGACGTTTTTGAGCCTTATGAGACACCTCAAACACACCGCCAAACACATGTTAAAACACTGCAATAGCACCCCTTTCAATATGAAGCCTTGAAACTTTGACATCACGTGCTGGACACTCACACCCTAACGAAGCCACTCAAACAGCGCCAAACACCTCCCCAAAAAACCCCCAACTCCACCCTCTCCAATATCCACCCCCGGAACTTTGACATCCCGTACAAATCGCGCTCAAGGTCACGGGGCACCTCAGACGGCGTCGAAACGCGTGCAAACCCCACACCTGCACCCTGCGAAGTCAAGAGCAGTGCATTTTCAAGCGTCTATATGTAGCAATCGAAACACTATCCAATTCAGCGCTCCCAGAACTTTGACATCACGTGCTTGACATTCACACCCCCCATGAAGCCACTCAAACACGGCCAAACACGTGTCAAACCCCCCCAGTAACACCCCTTTCAATATAGGACCTGCAGTCCTTTACATCATGTCCAAATCGGGATGAACCTCACGAGACACCTCAAACACCGCCATCACGTGCGCAAACCACCACATGATACACATCAATATCAACAGCACAGCATTTCATTGACTAACTTTTCTGCTACCTAACCGCGCCGAAGCGCCCCAGCACCGACACCCACCCACCAAAACCGCCCCAGAACAGGGCCAAATTACGCCAGTTAGAAGAAGTTACTATCGCCACCACGCTGCGGGCCAGTGTAGCGGGGAATCCGGGACGCGGAGGGGGCCGGCGGCGCACCACGTGGAGGGGGGCCGGAGGGGGAAGAAGCGGCGCAAAGGGCCTCGTCGTGGGTCATTGTTCCCGCAACAACCGCCGGAAGCATCAGGGCGCGTGGGGACGAGATGCGCGTGATGGGGCGGGGGCGGGGGCGCGCGCGTGCGTTCCAGGACTTTAAGTCCCGGGAGGGCGACGGGAGGGCAGACGACGTGGGGGCTTCGGGGCCTTCTTCTTCCATTACAGCACGCTGGGTGGACTCTTTCTCGTACGCTTTGGCGGCCATTTCGCCCAGCTCGTGCTCCCACTCGACCATTTTGGTCGCTTCTTCTGACATTCGTCGCTGCGTCGAGGCCTGTCGGTGCTGCTCGCGGTAGGCGCTCTCAGCCAAAGAAGCTTGCCAAGCGTCGACTTTCTCCGCGAGGGGGGTGCCTTGCTGTCTCGGGCGGGACGCGGAGGGGGACGCATAGAGGTCATAGTCGTCGCTGGGGGTGGGCGACGTGGCGGCGAGCATCTCCCTGTCGGCGGCTGGGAAGTCCATATACGGCGAAAGGTCGAGAACTTCTCCTTCTTTGGCGGCGGTGGGGTACAGCTCTTCGACCTCCTCCTGCTCCTTCTTGAGGATCTTGTGGTGCTCCTCGGCCCATTGCTCCGCCCATTCAACGAACCAAACCGCCCAGGAGGCCTCGAAGGCACCGGGAGGCAGCTTCATATTCTCCATCTTCTGCTTGTTTACGTCCTCCATCTGCCGTGCGCGTGACGTAGCTTCGCTATATGGGCCGACAGTCTCACCCTTGGTGGCCTTGTTTGAACCACGCTTCTTCGACTCGTCCTTCTTGCCGCGAACGGGGCTGAGGAGGTACTGGCCTGCATTGACCAGCTTTTCGTGAGTACGTGCTACCACCTCTGCGGCGTCAAAGCGGTTGATGTGGGTGTGTAAGGTGGCCTCATTCTCGAATGTGCCGGACTGACTGATGCCTGCAAGACCATTCAACTCTTTCAGCACTTCGTTAGTAATGCGTAACGCCTTGTCGCACGGGATCTCGTGTTTGGACGGCGTGGGAGCGTCAGAAGGAGCAGGAACTTCGGACGGAGGGGGAGCGTCGAACGGAGCGGGTGCGTCTTTGGCCTTCTCTTTGCCCTTGGACCTGAAAGAGAAGAGCGGCTTAGAGTTCTGGCGTTCCAAGTTACCGTCGCGAGTATCCTCTGGAGACTTGGCGAGGATGTTGAAGCTAAAAGCGCTTTTGAGGCTTGGACGAGTTGTCTTCGGCTCAGATGCGTCCGTCGCGGTGGCCTGACGCTGGAGCACATGTTCCTTGACGGACTCAGAGGCGGTGACCAGCTCAGGCGAAGAGGCTTTACGGCGTGGTTTCTCTGCCTCCCAACGCGCGACGAGAAGTGCGCGAACCTTGTCATGCCCACGTGTGTTGTCGTCCTCGAAGTCTTTAGGGAGTTTACCAGCTGGGAATGGGTTCGTAAAGTCGGGGTAGGCACGACCTTCTGGCCGACCACGGTTGTCTCGCTCTCGAAAGGAGTTGCCAAACAGGTAGCTCGGGACGTGGGGGTGACGGTATTCAGCCTGCCGGATGACGCCTGAGATCGCGGGATGATCCTTGAGATCGGGTGGGCTGCGGCTGAGGACTTTGAGGTTTTGCTCGATGAGTGGGTAGACTGGCTTGATGGTAGTGTCCGACGTCACGCTCGGTGGACGCCTCTCTTGCTGCAGTGCTGACGGTGGGGACGGCGATGAGGCCCGACGCTGGAATGGTGATGGCGAAGATGAAAGCTCTTGATGGGTTGGACGGCGAGGGAATTGACCCGCGGTCACAGCTCGAGCACGCGATGAAGACGCTGCAAGATCCGCAAGAGTTGGGCGGCGAGGAAAACTACGCTCCGCGAACGTTGAGATGGGCGATGGTGAGGAGGTGTCTGACTCGAAGGTCGACGGGGATGTTTCTACTGGCCCGAAGGGGGACGCAGATGCTGCCCTCTCCGCAAGGGTTGGACGACGCGGAAACTGACGCCCGGCCAAAATCGAGAGTGGTGCTGGCGAGGAGCTTCCTTGATCGATGGTCGACAAGGATGATTGTACTGGCCCGAAGGGGGACGCAGATGCTGCTCTCTCGGCAAGGGTTGGACGACGTGGAAACTGACGCCCGGCCAAGATCGAGAGTGGTGCTGGCGAGGAGCTTCCATGATCGGTGGTCGACGACGATGCTTCTGTTGGCCCGAAGGGGGACGCAGATGCTGCTTTCTCGGCAAGGGTTGGACGACATGGAAACTGACGCCTGGCCAAGATCGGGAGTGGTGCTGGCGAGGAACTTCCCTGATCGATGGTCGAGGTAGATGATGAGGAGGATTCAAACACCGAGACGAACGGTCCTTCCAACTCATGCGGCGACGCAAAAGCCGCTCGCTCAGCGAGAGTGGGACGACGGAGGACTTGTCGCGGTGCGAAAGTCAATGTGGGCAAGTCCGGCTCGAGGCTTGAGGATGCGGATGAGGAGGTTCGCTCGACAGTCGACAATGGTTCTGCGAGCTCGAAGGGTGACGAAGACGGAGCAAGCTCGAAGGGTGACGAAGACGCAGCATGCTCGAACGGCGACGAAGATGCAGCGAGCTCGGACGGCGATGAGGATGCAGCAAGCTCGGACGGCGACGAAGATGCAGCACGCTCATCCAAGGTCGGGCGACGAGGAAACTGACGCTGTGCGACGGTTGGAGTGGGAGATGACGATGACTCTCTCTGCATGTCGAAGAGCTCCGGCGACGACGCACGACGGCGGAGGCGACCCGTGCTAGGGCCATGCGTCCGAGCGAGAAAGAAAGGAGAATCAGGCATGTCTGGTGCGAGCTCGGGCAAGATGATGCCCAGACCGTGATGTGGTGATGCGGATGTCGACGGTCGTGGCGAAGGTGAGCGTGGAGGATGTGGAGGAGCTGGAGGAGCTGGATGAGCAGCTCCGGGTTTTGTCTTCAGCAGTTTGTTGACGAGAGCCTCCACTTCCGCCCTGTCCCCCCGGTCGCCTTGCGGGTCAGGCGTGACTTTATCGGCCACCTCATCATCACCAAAGCAGCTGTCCAGCACATTGCGCACATGGCGGAACTGCGCCCTGCTCTCCTGTAGATTGTACCGAATTTCCGCGCGAATGGCGCGTTGTTCTGCGTTCTCTGCTGTGATGTTAGTGCGTGGACATAAGCCGCAACAGAGACCCGTCGGTGGCAGCCGACCTTCACCAGGTTGCTTCTTCACAGATCCTGCAGGCAATGTTAGCATCGAAATCTTGAAACAAGTGCTGAACAGCTGTGACTGACCTGCTTCCGGGGGAGCGAAGCCCCGGGGAGGATACTTGAGCGTGTACCCGAACATGTTGCTGTGGTGGTGAGTGGTGGAGGAAGGAAGTAGAAAGGATGAAGGAAGGACGAAAGAGTAGGATGAACTCAAAGGCAATGGAGAGGTGCGCGACGAGGTGCGTCATGCAATAGGCGCGCGAGAGGTGTGAAGAGTGGAGGTTGAAGGTGTGGTGACGGGTGAAGGTGACGTTGACTTTGAAGAAGGCTCAGTCAAAGTGGGACAGTCTAATTGACACCTGGAAAGGCTTGGCAGAGGTGTCCGATGAAGCCTATCATCAAATGCCAAAAATTTGGTATCGAACGAGGTCTGGGGGAATGAGTTGTGGGCATTGGAAGGGTGATGAAAGAAATGCTTTGGGAAACTCAGGGGTTGATATCGGGTCTTCAACTGAAGAAACGAGACATTTTCGCATCTCCAATTCACCCTCCTGAGGGCTGGATCTTGAAATTTCGTATAATCATCTAATATTGTGGAAAATCTCTGCTAGCAGGAGTAAAAGGTGCTCTGATAGAGAAGAGTGATCGTGGCTGAGAAGTGATTGATATCTCTCAAAACTGACACACTATGCCAGACCGGATGTTCTCAAACATCTTCGGAGTCATCTTTTGAGCTGCAAGCAAAGCCGCAGCATAGTTTTGGAAAGTGTGCGGTGATGATGCGATGGTTCTTCATCCTCAGGGGTATCCGCCATGCCTCAACTTACCTGGCCCCAACACAACACTTGAAGCTTGACACCATTCACCGAAAAGTTGGTCTTGAGATTTTCTACAAATCTCTCTGATTTTCGAATGTAGTTGTATATCGCAACTAGGGTTGTGTGCGGCTCCATCATGGGTAAGTACTCGTCGAGGCTACATCGGTCCTTCCTACTTTTTGCTCACCTCCTGCATCATCGACACCTCGCAAGGGCCGTTGTCAGAGCGATCGGAAGCTGCATTACAAGACCTCGGAAGGGGCCAACCGCGTCTATTTTTTCGTTCTGGGATTGGTTCGATAGAATGATAGGGGCTGAAGCTCATGTTGTTCATCCTCAACACTCCCCTGAAGAGTCTTCTTGGGCGAGGAAGGGCAGGATCTCCTGTATCTGTAAGGGCCTTTTTCAGTTCATTTTCTTACTCTGGGTTCTTCTATTGGTCATCAATGTTGTCAAGACGGGTGTGAACTCATCCTAATCGATGGTGCCGGGAAATGACATCCCGAAATGCTAGACTGAGAGGCGTCTCAAGAATACCAGTAGCCTTTCAAACTGCAGCTCCTCGACGTCTAGATTAAGTCTCCCTACCAAGATAGGAGGATCTTGGGTCCAGTTAAGAGCTGTGGTAAGATTCCAGTTCCAAAACATGATAGTATGCCTCGCTCAGAGCCATGAGACCAGTTTTCAGGTCGATATCATGTCAGATATGCCACCCTATTCAGCTTCTCGAGTGTCTCCGCAAGCTTCGTCATAGCAGCAAGTATCGAAGCCTCTGGCTTCAATCTCATGCCATATATCATCGCGTCTTTCCCCTAAGCTTCAATTGATGCCCGCGTGGCCTGTTTTCGTGCCTGCACTTCATTCTAGCATGGTGAAAGCGCCTTTCGGATACATACTTGACGCTGTCAGTTCAGCCTTGAGCCCCTGAGCGCTCTCGCACCCCTTCAGGGTGAAGGAAGCGAATTTGCGTGCATGGCGGCCTTGCTGCCTGAGAAGCCGCGCCAAGGCCGACTTTCTCTAGAGCATCAAACGGCCGCCCGCAAATCTTGAGCTTGACAAGTAACAGCCACACAACCACAAACACCCTCAAAGACACCCACAAACCCACAAACACACCATCAACCGTCGCAACATGTCGCGCGCAATCTTGGACCGCCCCAAGACGGACGAGGAGAAGATCGCGGCTATCAAGGCCTGGCAGGAGGTAAACAACCCCAAATCAGCCCGAAGCTCCATTGCTTTTGCTAACGCGTCTGTGTCTGTAGAGAGACCCTGCCATCCAGCAGTGGCTCCTGCACTCGGCCTGGGTGGGGGACCAGGAGACGGAGGAGACGCGCTTCAACGCGCTCTTCGCCTCGCTGGCGATCGGCCGTTCCCTGCCGCGCGAAGCGGAGCCCCCGGCGGCGGAGAAGGAGAAGGAGGGCGGGAATCTCACCCCGCGGGAGGCGTTGCTGGAGCTGGGCCGCCTGGTCCAGAAGGGGGAGGAGGTGCCGAAGCTGGTGGCAGAGCGCGCCCACGACCACCTCAGATCTGTGTTCCCGGCGGAGTTGGAAGAGACTCTGCTGAAGCCGGAGAGGGAGAAGAGGGAGGGTACGTGAATCAAGCGTTCCCTTTGAGTACTACTGGCTAACTGATACCGCAGCGGAGGAGGCGGCGAAGGAGGATCCGGGCATGCCGGAGGGCCGGTCTTGGCCGGCGTTTTCGTGAGCACCTGGGGGAGTTTTGTTTGAGAGTCCCGATGAGTGGATCTTTCGCCCGGACGGTCGCGAACCCGTGCTCCTCGGATTAGTACGCCTGTAGGAACGACGGGGAGTATCGGGGGGAGGCCTAAGGGCAAGGGGAAGCTCATCGGGCTCTCGGGTTGAAATCGGTCTGCGGCTGGAAGAAGAGCTTCATCAGTCTTTTGGTGTTGGAAAAGGAGTTGGCGGATATACCCGGACTGAGCTGAATACAAGGGTGCTTTTCTTGCTACGATCAAGGTCTTGTCACTGTGTGACTACTATTGCTGTCAGAGCGGTGTCGGAATGCCCTCATCGGCGCATGGCTAACATATATCATTACCCCTAAGACATATATCGGATCTTGATCTATGCCCCTGGAATGCTGCCAGGCGCTCTAGTTCACGAGCTGCGAGCCTCAAGCACATAAACTCGACAAAATGAGCTAAGGGGCCCCTGAGGAAGTGTCCACAGTCACAATGCAGCCAGTAGTGCAGTCTAATTTGCGTACATATCCAGCAAGGAGCGGAGCATAAGGCCTCAATAGAGCGGTAGGACACAGGCTACTGCAGCTGCATGCCGCCGTCTGAGGAGTCTCCACAGTACCCGTTCCCCAGTGATCGATTACTACTTTGGGCGAGGCAATTCACGGGCTCAAGAGACTCCGCTCCGGATCGTGGAGTACAGACTCAACAAACTGAATTTGATGGGCGTGGCTGCCATCATTTGGGCCTGGGGTTGGTGAGGTGAGGGGCCTCATTGGCCTGAGCACTATGCCAGGGGGTTGCGTTTCCCTCAACGATTTCAGGTCCCTGCGGTAGAGCTAAAGCCGGACACTGCCATCTGGCCACGAAGGCGATATAAAGTCCAGATCAGGCGAGTTGAGGTGGCAGTTTGACAGTATCTTCGCCATCCCAGTCCGTCCTGAGCGCACGAAGCTGACGGGGGCGGTTGATGCCTTCTCCTCTTGATTCTGTGTCCAGCGACAAACCCCCGGGTTTGTTTAGCAAATATGAATCCCTATAGCGAGTAAGTCGTCTCATCTTGCTTAAAGGCACTCATACTGATATATCTGTAGACTGCTGCTGCATCACGAAAGGCGGCCACCGAGGAGTCATTCCTGGAAATTCTCAATGCCTTAGACATGCACGACAGCATCTACCTCCCCCAGTACGACCTGCAACTCGAGAATGGGTCTACCATGTGTGAGTCTCAGTCTATTAGAGAACCGATATGGCGATTGACGAACTGGTACGTCCCTCTCCGTTCCTCTTCCTCAACATCCAGCTGACCTTTGCGTAGATTCCTTGCATACGCTCGCGAAGAACTACAGATCATGGACGAAGGTTCTCTCATATTGTTTGCGGTATTTGGCCGGGATGGAAGTCTTTCCAGGGTGCTTAGGGTTTTTGCAGTCAATCAAACTTTGTTCATGACCCCTATACACTTCTCATGATGCTCGTAAAGCCTGCAATGATCGTGATCTCACAAGGCCCTGTCCGCCATAGTCGTAGTTGTTTGACGGCAAGCCGGAAGCTACAGCGAAGGAGGCCTTTGCTTCTGGACGCGCCGGGTATGGAGATAGCTTTCAACGTACTGCTACCTGTCATAGAGACGCAAGCTAAACTCAGTAGATAGTTGCAGACAGAAAGCAGTTCGAATCTTCCACGAAGCGTTCGTGACCATCAGGCCTCCGGCATGCCCGTAAAGCTGCGGACTATGTCGCCGTGCTTCTGTCAAGGGCGTCATACGCAGGATCAGAAGGCGGGAGACCTAATTCTCCGCGGCGAGGCGATCATCTGTCTCTCCTTTGTTTGCGTGCAGTGAAGCCGATAAATCAATGCCATGGTGTTTGCCCTTCTGCTCCCACGCTGGCTCAAAGCCGCTGTCCACGGCCACTCAACCTCCATACCAGAGGAAGAGAGGGCGATGAGAAGGTCTCACAGGCATTCTAAGCGCCGCTGCCATCCGCTCCTGGCGTCGCAGAATTGAGAACCTCAGTTGGCATCGTGGGCGGCCTGATGAGCGCTGTTGTGAGGCTATCGCCATCACCCTTGTCATGCGACTTCACGGTCTCATCCTCAACACCACCACGACGACCATCCACAACGAAGACAAGACGACTTGCGGAGGAGTATACGGGATGTCGGACAGGCGCTACAATCTTGTGGAGGTGTTTTTCCAACGCTCCTCATGCCGAGACGAGATGATGCCAGAGCGATCGGAGAAGAAGATGAGGCCCGAGCCACCTCCGCTAGACGCATCACCAGCAACACCACGACTTCATGGATGTATATGAAGGCGAGGGCAAGTATTAGAGCTTCCCTTAAGAGCTGGATAACCGCTGAGACAATGCCAGGGCACTCGGAGAAGAGGACGAGGCCCGAGCAACCTCTGCCAGGCACAGCACCCGCAACACCACAACTTCATGGACGCAAATGAAGCCGAGAGCAGGTATGAGAGCTTCCCTTGAGAGCTGACTGACCGGCGGAGTTTGTGTAAAAGGCATGAAATAGGTCCTTCGCTTCGACCATTTCGCCGCCATCCTCCTCCGACGGACGCGCTTCGACCCCACCACGAACAACAGCCGGCGATGTAGAAAATCAACAGCGGCATGGAGAACAGGCCCATGGGTAGCATCCGATGGGAAACCCCTTGGAGTCGCGGATATAACGATGCTGCTAATCCCTCGTCTCCACCCCTCGCCAGTCGGCCGGCGATCTCGTCGCAGCACCACCAATGATAGCATTTGGTCTGGCGCTGACACTGATTCTAGGGCATCACAAGGCGAGGGAATCCCAGCACTAGCCAGCGGGCGATATGCTACAGGACAGCTTTACGAAGAGCCGAGTTCCATACGACGGTCCGACATCTCATCTTTTCAGCATCCGCACCACGACAGCCTCATGCCATCGGGAGGAATAGCGGCAAAGAAGTTGATTTCTTCGAGTGTCGGGAATGCTCTAGGCACACTTTGTACGCCCAGCCTCAAGCTTTTTGCACGATAGCACGTTTAAGAGCGCAGATTCGGCTGCGAGGACTCCGAAGAGAGCAGCGCGTATGAGAAAGCAGTCTCATGGCGAAGATAAGAGCATGGAGACCTCGTGGCCTGGGCGATCATCGACTGTAGGTCGAAGACGACAAGTTTTCCATTGGCAATCGGACGATCTCACGTTCCCAGCGCAGATGATAAGCCTCATTAGGTCATGCCTCAGAAGGAACATCCTTCGGTTAAGAAGACTGATAGTGTAAGCTGAGATCCCATCCCGAAAGCATCGAACTTTTACTTACAAAGAACACAGCCAAATTAAAGCGAGTTTCAACAACAGCTCATCCCAATTCAAAAGAAGTCAAATTTGACTCAAATAGGTAGCATGCAGCACACAACATCCAGGCTCCCGAATCGATTCCACGGCAAGGGCAGAGTCCAAAGTCCAAAGTCCAAAGTCTAGGTCCAAGTCCAGGTCCAGGGGTGCGGATGGTCGAAAAGACTACCGGTCAGGAGCATGGATTGAGAAAGATGATAAGAATTCAAAATCCGTTAACATGAGACTAAGATAGAGCTGACAGAACAAGGAATAGCAACATCTGCACGAGATCATGGAGGAAGGGAAAGAGCTGGGAAAACCGAGAATCGATGAAGAAAAGATTTTGGGAAATGAAAAGACAGCCAGCCTTATTTTTCACGATGAAAGAGGCAAGATTGGAAAAGGACAATACCGGAACCAGTACCAGATCTGACATCAATCATGCCAGACCTCGCGAGTCCTCCGAATCGGTAGAGTGCCTCGATATATCAGGCCTCCGCTCAATTGAGGACAGCTAGCTCAACCCGAGTCATGGAGCTCTGGAACAATGTCGACAGCCCCTGCCGTTTGGAGAGAGATAAAGTTTCTCTCTGGTGCAGAGGCCTAGCCTCCAATTGAGGTTCAACCCCGATGTTCCTCAAGATGCATCTCTAGGTATTCGTGATAGTTGACGACATGCTTCAAGTCCCCGCTTTCAACGTGATATTGCTCGGGTATTGACAATGTCTCTCAAACTAGATCGAAGGCATACTTGGAGACAATATGCTGGTGCCAATTAGACCATCGCGCCTTTCGAGAATTTGTTCATCGTGGCTCAGAAGGCACGCGTCATTGGGAATGAAGGAAACGCCCTCCAGAAGGACCAATATCTTCAAGACTCAGAACGATGACACGCTCTCGTCTTATTTTTCCAAGTGCTACAGGAATATACGACGACGATGTTCGAGACAGCCATTCGGGTTGATGGTAGCTAACGAGGAGCTTGTGCCAGAGGGTGCACTTTCGATCGGGGTAGCGACTATTCCCCGAAAGCAGCATTGCCTATCCCCTTTGCCTGTTTCTTGCTGACCATAGCTTTTCGGGACACCGCTCTAGTATGGCTACAGAGGGTTTCTCTTGTGGTGTTCAGTGGCTTTCTGTGTTGCTGCTGCACGATCTCGGCCTACGAGAGTGCAGATCCCCACAAGTCGATGTCTTGTCCACGGCTCATCCAAATACCAGTGGGATATCATCCTGGAGTCTCCCGATGCTCTTACTCCATCGACGAAGTTTTCGGGATGAGGTTTCGAGTGTTTGGCTGATGGGTGTGGTATTCGGCAACCATCTCTAGCGCTGTTGGGCGGCGAGAGTGCAGGTCTCTACAGACCGTTGTGTCATCCACAGCTCCTCCAAATTATGTAAGATACCGTCTTGGAGTATCTCGATATTCTTGCCCTTGTCTACGAGGTCTTCGAGATGAGGTTTCGGTTGTTTGGCTGATGGATGTCGTCAAGCCAGGCCGTGGGTCATCAACGAGAAGATAGGCATGAGCCCGCTCATCATCCCTTCCCTGATAACGATTATATAGGATTGAAGTTTCCCGATACTCTTGCCCTTGTCTAGGGGGTCTTCGAGGTGAGTTTCGGTTCTTTGGCTGATGGGTGTCGTCGAGCTAGGCCGCGGCCATCAACAAGAAGGTATCCATGAGCCCCTTCCCTGCTAACAATTGTATAGGATCGAAGGTGTTGATGTGTCCTTCCGTGCGGGCGAATGCCTTTCGAGATGAGGAGGTAGTTCGATGAGGGGTCGTTGTGGTGGGTAGCGCCGGACGAAGAGGTGCACGACACGGCCGCCTCTAGAAGGAGAAGGCCTCGAGGTACCTGTATGGCTCTCGGGATGCTTGTCGAAGACGTCTCGAGGTGGCTAATGTCAAGTACGAATCCTCGGCGATGGGGTTTGGACGGGAGTCGATGTAAAACCTGTCCGGTGGGATCACGTACTCCGCCAGCGACAAGCCATCCTAACTTAGCCTGCAACACATACACAATGTACGTAGGCCCTATCCCATGGCTCAGAGATGTTTCGAAGACATGCTAACACGAGACTGGTGGTGTCTGATGGGTTGTTCGTGTCAATATCGAGGGTCGGAGGTCAGGAGGCTGCAGCCGCACAGGGCTCTCATCCAGGTTTAAGGAACCTCATCCCGGCCTGGCGATGCATCAGGGGTATCAAGCATACCCTAGAAGAGAAGGACAGATGCATCATGGTGGCTTTAAGGGTGCGAAGGGCTGGTGCAAGACGATTTGGTGATGTTGGAATATAGTGGGGGGGCCCTTCCACGGAGAATTGGCGTGGGATGCCCCTGGCCACCGGCGGTTCCAAGCGTTCCCAGACGAAAGCGCTTATTTCAACATCATGTACACGGCATAGGGAGGCTTGTTCTCAAACACCAGGCTCTGTTCACGATCGAAAGGCATGGGAGGCATGCTGTATGGTTCGTATACCCTTCTTGAGAGATGTATGGAGCCCCCAGGGCGCTTTCCGCCCGCACAGGGCCTCAGAAGCTGCTATACACTCCGTAGAAGGCACGCATAACTACAGGAAAGAGGCTTCAGCTGCCCTTTGGACTCTCCCCTATACCTTTTGAGATCGATATCTCCCATAGGACACCCACATCAAGGCATTGACATCAGCAACAAGTGAGACGAGCAAGCAAGTCATGATATTCACTCCTTCCGCCCTAAGCGACCCAAATACGCCGCCTCACCCAGATCCCCTGCCCCACAAAGCTGAAGAAAAAGCTTAAGCTTTCAACTCGTCATCTCCTCTCACTCAATTTGCATCCACCTACCCCCCCTCAACTCTCCCCAGCATCATCCTCCCTCCCGCATTCTCCACGACATTACTTCGATTGTGGATCTGTGAGCGTCAGAAAGGTGTGCACAGTAGAATCGAGACCATGAGCATCAACGAAACGCAACCGGATCTCGAGCATCCAAGCACCCCCAGCAGCGGCACCCACCCAGCATACTCGATCTCCACTATGCCCTAACCACGAGCTGAATACAAAGACTTACCGGCATCGCCCTCATCTCCGCCCTCCTTCTTCCCCTCTCCTTTCTCCGCTCCAGATCGAGGAGCTCCGCCATTCTCTTTGGCAGCATCTTGGGTGCCTGCTTTTATGATCAGCCGTGTTCAGGACGATACAGCAGGGGACGCCAAGCGTTATGTTCAGCGCCGCAAAACGTAACTCACTGAGTTGTTGATTTAAGAGTGTGTAGGCCTGGTGGCGGCGGTGATGCTGGTTTAGATTGTGTGGTCGAGGAAGAGTTAGTACATTGAAGATAATACTGCCGGGGGCGCACCCAAGAGTTGAGGAGTACATCAAAACAATCACACACAAGGCTTCACTTAGGTGGTAGTAGTGTAGGGGATATACAGGGCAAACTTACGGGTGTCTCTGTGGCAAGTGGTGTGGTACTGTGCACTGTTTGTTGCTCAAGAAAAGGCGGAAGAAGCACGAGTGTGGTTAAATATAAACGTGCTAGTCACGGTCACATGACGTGAGGGAGTATCGGGAACCCCCTCCCACCACCGCAAAAGGAAGAAGTGAATGCTAATATTTATAGAAGTCATCTTTGAGCGTATATACACAATATTGGCCTTTTCATTCCATGGTCCCATCCCAGGCTTGCTACTTCGATACTCCCATCCAATATAAATCCAGGGGCAACTCCACGGCATCTTTCGTATGCAAGACTCAGACTCAATTCATGGGACGAACCCACTCCCAAAAGCTAGACTCTTCAACATAGGACCCAGTCTACCTCCATATAGATCAAGGAGGCCTCAACCTTGGATTCCCCTTCCGCAATGCTCTGCCGCCGTCCCAAGTATCCAGGCCGCGTTGACTTGTCGGGTAGAAGGATCCTGCCCTCCACGTTCTAGAACTGGCGTATCAAGCGAAACACTTCGGTAACTACCTCTTCAATCTAGATGTGCTGGAACTCTGTCAAACGATAGGACCACATAAGACGGCTTGGGTAAATGCCCTATGCCCCAGCTAGACCTCCAGCATATGGATATCTAGTAGGGAATCTGCCAATCGCCCATGGACAATCCCTCAGACCTGATCACTCTGTTGAAATTGGTCAAAACGCTTCAATTCCCAGGGCCGACCTGTTGTACCGCCTTTTTTCAACTTCCATATGAGATCATGCGTCCAGTGTGTTCCTTTTGAACCTGTCTCTGCAAATCAAGTGTAGTAGATGTCTAAGGGGTAGGGCCTACTCTCAAGCAAGCAACTACACGGCATTTGATTCCAATATAACCCACGCCAGCGCTGCCAGTTCTGCTGCCGGCCCGCTCCGTATCAACGCCAGCTTTACGATGGAAGTCGGCGGAAGTGTTCTCGTCCTTCAGAAATCCTGCCCTCCAGTGTGATATCTTGGACAGCCGTTGCTTTCCGCTGTGCTCTTATCATACCGCCGGCGGCGTGGAAGTCTGTGCGGGGTAGGAGCAGACGCTCGAGTGGCCTGTCTTCAGGACTTCTTTCGCGGATATCAACCTCCTCCTTTCACTCCTCCGCCACCCTCCACCCCTTCTGCATCCTCCTCGTTCCACGAGCCAGATCATCAGAAAGCTTTCTTTGCCTTGCTACAAGCTCCTTCAGCCACCGCAACTCTTGCCAATCGTCGTCTGCCGCGAGACACGAGTTGACAGCACCGCTTGTCCGCCTGCCAGCCCAGTTGCGCTACCGTCCTCCTCCACGCCTGCAGTCTGTCGCTGCATTGCCCGCCTACACGGCCGATCGCAGGCCCTGAGCTTCAGCAAGATCCGCTCCAGCTTCAAGAGGCCCTCTGCTGCTCTGCCCCTTGCTCAAACTGCCAGAGACAGTCTGCGAGCCTGTCGACGTGGCGCGTCCTCTGTCTGCCATACCTACCGCCTCGGCCTGCCTGCTCCGAATCCGCCGTGATCACGCGCGAGCCCCTCGTCTGCAGAAGCTGGCCGTTTATAGCCCACGATCCTCCGTCCTCCGTCAACCCTACACCTCAGACTCGGATCGTCAACACCCTGTCTACAGCCTCATCCTCTCTGTGATCAGCCGCACCCGCATCTGCACACCCGCCCAGCGATCTTTGCCTTGGGCAAGGTCGTCGCGTACCGTTGCACGTTGCCATCGCGCTGCCCACTCTCCAGCTCTCCAAGTCTGCTTAGTTGTGGCGGTCTGCCCGTGTCCGCATCAGGTAAGCACTCTGTCCAATCACGTCACCGGCTTGCATCAGGCCTCCTAACACTCTGTACAGACTTCTCTCTTCGTCGCTGAGCTCTCAAAAGCGTGGCCTCGTCGCTATCTGTCAGATCTCCGCGTGCTCGTCAGCCAGTCCTCGCGCGTAGACTCTCCGACAGCATCGCACTCGACTGCTTGAACGCAACTCCGCCGCTCAAGCATCTCATACCATCAGCGCTTTCTCTTTCTTTGCCCACCAGACTCCAAGTCTTCATACCTGTTGCTTCAATCACAAGATCTTCTTGCGGTCTCGTCACGTCACTATCCAAGGACGTCTGACGAGTAGTTTCAATTCACTCAGTCTACCCATTTACACCGTCGCGAGTCGAGCGTCATGGATCCTCCCAAGAACGCCCGCACTTCGTCTGTCAAGGTGGAGAGCGATGAAGCTGCAGCAAACGATACCCATCGCGCCTCCTCCAGCCACGATAACCAGCCGTCATTTGCCATTACCGGTGCCCAGCACCCGGCTGCCATCCATGCTAATCAGCTGGCCCCCAATGCTGCTGGTCAAGAGATTCCCTTCATCTTCGTCACCAGCCCCGACGACCCAACCACCCTCCGGAATACCCAGCCGGCTCCCAACAATGGTGCTGAGCAAGAGATACCCTACCTCATGGCCTCCAACTATGGAGATGGAGGCAATTACACATATGCGTACGGACAGGCCAACCGTGATCTCACAGTCCCGCAGCCTGCGCAATACGGCAACGCACCTACGTGGGCGCTGGATGGCCTTCGACAAGCGGATCACGGCTACGGAACCGCTGGAGATGGCCTAACCTGCAACCCACAGGACATCTTCAACGACAGCAAGCATACTGCAGCCTCATCGAGCTCTGGCAACAACCGTGGGCGAGCAACACCCACTCTCTTGGCCCCTTTCGAATACACTCCTCGTCGTCAGGCTGCGACCAATGACCCCACCCCCTCCGAGTTTGCGAGCATGCTCAACCATCGTCGTCAAGTTGCATCCGAGGACTTGAGCGGCTTCGACTTCAACAGCACGAACAACAATGCTCCCAGCTTTTCGGATTTCGCCTCTGCCTTCGAATTTCAAGGCACCATGAACAACGAGCAGGTTACATCCGACCTGTTGGATAACTTGGGCTTTGACAGCACCACTGCGACCTATCAGAATCCGTCTGACTTGTTAGCCGACTTCGACTTTGATAACGAGGCCGATAATGGCCAGAACTCGAATGACTTCAAGGACTTTGGTGCTGGCAACACAGCTGGTCAGGACTCCGAGGACTTCATGCCAGGACTCGGCTTCGGAAACACTAGTGCATCTGAGCGGGACAGAGCCGATAGCTTTGACCTTTCGAACCGCAACAACTCAGGTCACAACCTAGCCGATCCCATCCCGTTGTTCGACTATGGAGATAACGGCAGCACTGGTCTTGGTTCGTCTGCTTCCATGGGCCTCAGCGACTTCACCACAGGTCCTGGTCTCTCCGATCATACAGCTGCGTTCGACATGTCCAACTTCGACTCTCCCATGGACACTGGTCGTAGGGCATCCAATACCACCGCTGGCTTCGGCTTGGGGGGAACGACAACCTCCGCTTCTGATGCCTCTGCGCGTGCTGCCTCTCAGCGTAGACGCAACGCTACTCGGGCTGCTGAACCTTGGCGAGATGCTGTTAGACTCGGTAACCGGCCATACGACTCCATGTTCCCTCGCTCGGACTGGGACCCTCCCTACTACACCGTGAACCCGTCGGCCCTCCACACTAGCGTTCCCAATCAGCCTGCGAACCGTTCGTCTCTGTCTACCTCTCGTGGCCGTGCCTATTCGCCTCTCACCAACCCCTACGCCTCCACTGGCACCTTGAGCAATGCCTACCTCACTGTTCCGAGACCGGGTAGTGCAACCTCACGACCGTCCTCGACTGGCCTAGCACCCGCGCAAAACCTCGGCGACTCCCGCCAGTTTCACGACCAGCGCGACTTCTTCCAAGGCGGCCCGGGCATCCCGCGAGGCTCCGCGTTCGACCCATTCACGGTCAATGAATGGGACAATTCCCAGCCCTCGTTGGGCGACCTGGACGTCCCGAACGAATTCGAGCTACGCCGGGGCTCGGCTTTGGAGCAACTTCGCTCCGCTCCTCGCGCTGCTCCCACCGGACGACGCCGCACCTTCCGTGAAGCTTTGGGAGAACATGACGACGACGAGGCCGGCGGAAGCGACATCTACGTGTACAAGGACCCAGAGTCCGACGACGAGTACGTCCCGCCGACGAAGGCGAAGAAGCAGAAGAAGTCCAACAAGTCCAACAAGCCCGCCAAGTCGTCCACCAAGCCGGCCAAGCCGTCCCGCAAGCCTGCCGCCCGCGCCCCCGCCGCGTCGCCCTCCAGCTCGCCCAACAAGGAGAAAGAGGACCCGAAGCAGCCACGCAAGCTGCCGATGAACCGGAAGATGCGCGCGCCGCGCGGCAAGCTGATGCGGCCCAATCAGGACTTTTGGGAGAAGTGCTGCCTGGCGTTCGAGTACGAGTGGCGTGCTCGGCACGGCATCGTCCCCTACGGGGACATTGCCGAGCACGTCGACCCGTACTGCACGGGCAACGGCCTGCAGCAGGCCCTGTGGAAGCTGCGCCGCAAGCGCCTCGCGGCCGCCCTCGTCGTGCCGCCCGCCCCGCCCCAGACCCGCCGAGGCCTCCTGGCCGGCCCGCCGCCGCGTCGCGGTGCGCGGGCTGGCCCCTCCTCCGCTCCCGCTGCTCCCACCCCCGCTGAGGAGGGTGAGGACGACGAGGCGGAGGAGTCCGAGGAGGAGTCCGAGGAGGAGGAATGAGGGGGGGTGGGTGGTGCGACTGGGGGGGCCGGGGTGGCTTGGGGGCAGTCGGGGGGTGGTGGGGGGTGGGAAGAGGGGAGAGAGGGGAGGGGAGGTTTGGGGGGTGGTTTCGGAACAGATAGACCAGACAATGAGAATCGGTACTGCCGGCGCTGATGCTGGCTTATGCGAACAGTGTGTTGAGGGGCTTCGATGTGATGTGTGCGTGTGCAGGCCATGAGTGCGACATTATATGATCTGGGCTGTGGGGGTTTGAGATGCTGGATTCAACGCGAGATCGGGTTTTGAGTTCTGGAGGGTTTGTTTCAGGGACGTGTTTGCGGGCTGATAGCGCTGTGGGAGGTGGCTCCGCAGGTTCAGTAGCTGGCAAACACGAATGTCACATTCTTGGATGCGTGAAGGAGGTAGCGGCTTTTTACATGCTAAACAATGAGATTTTTCGAGGGCTTGTATAATATCTTACTTAAAATACGCATGTTTCCCAATGCTATTGCGCGTGTTCTTGATTCAGGTAGGGGTTTCTAGGCGCATGCGACTGCAGGAGGTGGCGCGTGAGGTGTAGGAGCTGCGGGAATGGATGGCATGTTTTTGAGTGTGGGAATTGGAGGGGGGTTTTTTACATGCGGGAAATTGAGAGTTTTGGAGGGCTTGTGTGATGTTTTGCTTAGGAATTGTGATTTTGGGGATGTCTTTGTGGCGGTGTTGGATTTGGATATGAGGTTTCTGGGCTATTACGACTGCAGGAGGTGGTTCTAGGGGTTCAGGAGCTGCAGGAATGGATGTTATGTTCTTGGATGTGAGGATTGGGTGAGAGCTTTTTACATATTGAGAAATGAAATTTTTTAAAGGCTTGTATAATATCTTTGCTAAATATCATGCATATACCTATCTCTTTGCCGAGTTTCCTAGTTTAGATCTGCGATTTCTTGGTATATACGACTACAGGAGGTGGCTTCACAGGTTCGACGGGAAAAGGAACGGATGTCACATTTTCGAATGCGTGAAATGGGTGGGAGCTTTATACATGCTGAAAAATGGTATTCTTCCAAGGTCCGCTGAATATCTCTATGCATTGGTTTGTTTTAGTCGTGCAGTTTCTAGGCTCATGCGACTGTAGGAGTTGGCTTCGCAAGTTCAAGGGAAGCAGAGACGGATATCACGTTTTCGAATGCGTGAAGTGGAAAGCAGTTGTTTACCTGCTAAAAAATGGCACTTTTCGAAGGCTTGCTAGATACCTTACTAGAAAGCCCCAATTCCCCGATGTCTTTGCGGGTGGACTGCTACTGCGTGAAGTGGCTCAGTAGGTTCGACGAGAGCGGGAAGGGATGTCATGTTTCTAAACGCAGGAAGTGGATAGCAGCTTTTTACATGCAGAAAAGTGAGATTTTCCGAATGCTTGCTATATGTCTTTGCGTATTAGTGCGTTCTAATCGTGTGTTTTCTAGGCCAGTGCGACTGCAGGAGGTAGCTCCTAAGGTTCGAGCGCGGCAAGATTGGATGTCACGTTTTCAAATGCGTAAATGAGGCGTGTACTTTTTACAAGCCTGAAATCAATGCCTGGGACGATTCGCAATAGACCGTACTTGGGGATCCGCGCGTTTTACGTGCTAATAGCATCGTAGGAGGTGGCTCCGTGAGAGTAAGCTGAATTAAATAGAATGTCACGTTCTCTGGTGCGTAATCCGGGCGGTTGCTTTTCACACGCTTGAAATGGAACCTTTTTAGGGCCCGGTAGATATCTCACCTTGTGATATACTTATTTTCTGTGCCGATGACGTCGTAAGGGGTGGTTCCGTGATCTCAGCCTGATTTGAACAAGATGTCACGTTCTCTAATGCGTGTTTCGGGTGTCTGCATTTTACATGCTTAGAAATCAATGTTTAGGAGGACTTGGTATATATTGTACCTAGGGATTAGTACATTTTCTGTGCTAATAACGTTGTACGTGGTGGCTCCGTAAGCGTAGGCTGAGTTGAACAGGATGTTTACGTTCTCCGGTGCGTGATTCAGGTGTCCGCTTTTTACATGCTTAAGAATGTATCTTTTAGAGAGCCCCCTAGATATTGAACCTTATGATTGACTTGTTTTCTGTGCTAATCGCATCGTACGAGGTGGCTCCACCAGCTTGACTCCATTTAAGAAGGATGTCAAGGTTCCTCGCGCGTGAATCGGATTCAAGGGCTTAGCATGCATGGAAATGGAGGTTTAGGAGGAGCTATCGATCTCTTGCCTGCCCAGTTGCTTATTTGCCATGCTGAAGACGCTGCATGGGGCGTCTCAGCGAGCTTAAGCTGACCTGAACATGATATCAAGGTTCCGGGTGCGTGAATTGAATTCGTGGCTTTCACCGGCTATCCGCTTGGTAGAAGAGATCAATGCAATGTCGACCGGCAAGTGAAGCGGTATCTCCTCAAGCTAGCCGCTGACCACAATGTAGTCATTGAATACCGAGTCAAGACTGGAAGAATGGCTTGGGAAGATGGTCCTCGGCTATTGGCATCCAGACCCGACCCGGTGCAAGTCAGCACTGCGCCAACAGTTGTTGGCGCAAATGCCCCAGCTCAATCTGCTCCTCCTGTCAAGACGGTGATGTCTGCTTCTGCTGCCCCGGGTGCAGCGGCAGTAAAACCGGCATCTGCGATGGGGATCCCCGCGAACCCTCCCCCCGCTACCCCCAGTGCACCAGCACCATCTGAGACCACGCCCAAGAAGGTGACTGCTGCCCGATCTAGCTTCTATGCCGCCAAAACTACCCCCACAACTCCCTTGGCCCCACCCCGCTAACCAAGATCAATGCAAGGCCAGAAAAAGTTGTTCCCCTGGCTCCAGCCACCACAACAGCATCGAAAGCAGGGACTGCTGCAACAGGTGCGGGAACGACCATGTCTGTTGCAAATGGCTCTGTAACGGGAACGGCTGCATGTTTGGAGGACGAGCTACGTATCCGGTCTAAATACTCGTGCAGTTACCATGTGAATAGCGTCGTGTGAAGTAGCTCTATGAGGTGATTAGTATTTAGAGAGGATGTTAAGGTTACCGGTGCGTGATTGAATGCGAGGGGTTTACATGCTTGAAATAGGATATTTCGAAGAGCTTGTTATAATTTGCCTGTGAACTTTTGCAATTTCCCTATCGATGGCGTTGTACGTGGTGGCTCCATGGGTTCAACCCATTCCCGAATGAATGTAAACGTTCCGAGGGTGTAAACTGGATCGCTGTTATGTACACACATATAAATCGGCTTGCGGGAGGACTGATTGCGTACCCTGCCTGTGGACTCGTATAATTGCCGTGTAGATAGCGTTGTGTGAAGTGGCTCTACAGGATTTGTCTGTTGCGAAATGGATGTATAGGGTCCGGAATCGCGAATTAGCTTGGCGCTGTTTACACCCACTGAGAAGGCTCACAAGAGGGCTCGCGGTGTATCCTGACTATAGATGAGTGTAATTGCCGTGCGGATAGCGTCGTTTGAGATGGCTCGACGGATTCTATCTGATGCGGATAAAATGTAAGGGTTCCGGGGGTGGAAATTGGATGGGTGTTTCTCGCACGCACAAAACTTAGTGTAAAGAAGGATTGCTTTGTTTCCTGCTCATAGACTCGTGCAATTGCCGTGAAAATAGTCCTGTGTGAGGTGGCTCGAAAGGTTCTATCTGATGAAGGTTGGATGTAAGGTTTCCGGGGGTGTAAATGGGGTAGGGTCTGCTTACATGCACGGAATTGAGGTAGAGGAGGTCTCGCTACGTATTTGACCTCATCACTCATGGAATTGCCGTGATGGTAGTGCTGTGTGAGGTGGTTTGATAGATTCTATCTGATAAAGGTCGAATGTAAAGTTTACGGGGTGTAAATCATATAGGGGCCTCTTACTCGCCCGAAAATTGATGTAGAAGTGGACTCGCTACGTATCCGACCTCATCACTCACACAGCTTCCGCACGGGTAGCGCTGTAAGGGGTCGCTCGATGAGTTCCATCTGGATTGGATCGGGTGTAAAGCTTCTGGAGGTATAAATTGGGTAGGGCACTATTATATATATACTAGAAAATCGGCCCGGCAAGGACTCCTGATATGTCTTCGACAGAAATTCAGGTATTTCAAGACTCATTTTACGCTATGTTCATTTCAATCGCATGTTTCCACCGGTCTTGACGCTGCATAAGGTGGCCTAATAAGTGCAGCAGCAAAACTCGTCAATGTAAAGTTTTCGGGGGTAAATATTGGGCACGCGTTGGGAGGTCCACATCTGTTAATGAATATACCGCGCAATTCAACTTAGAGATGTGATTTGCGTGCTCGTGCCGCTGCAGGAGGTGGCCCAGCGAGTGCTGCGAGAAAAAATGCCGATGTAAAGTTCTCAGGGGCATAAAGCGAGCACAGGTTGGAAGAGATGAGTTCCTGCTTGCATTGGCCACCCACTTCAGACTGGGCGCGCGGTTTCTATGCAGATAGCGTTGCAGGAGGTGGCCCCAGGACTTCTGCGAGCAAAATTGCGGATGTAAAGTTTTCAGGGGCCTATAACGAGTCCGGGGTAAAAAGGATGCGTTCTGCTTGCATCTACCTTGCAATTCATTTTAGGCATGCAGTTTCCATGCCGATAGCGTTGGGGGAGGTGGCCTTTTGGGTGCTACTGGAACAATGGCGAGTTTAGAAATCTTCGGAGCGCATATTGAGTGCGGACTTTTGACACGTGTAAAAGATAAGTTGGAGACGTGTTTACTGCAAAAGTATCCCAAAAGCTAGGCAATCTCGGACGTACCTGCTGTGCGGTGCGTTTCAGGCATGTGTTTTCCGTTTTCATGGCACTGCACGACATTCCCCGGTGGGTTCGATTGAAAATTGGGTGAACATAATGATCTGGAGCGCGTGAATGACCTAAAGATTTTGGCATGCATGAAGCGCTACTCAGAGAATGATCAGGTCTATCAAAGACGTGGCAGAAAGTCTCTGATATGCGGTTTGCATCTTTCAACTGCGTTTAATCTGCAAGTATTCAGCTATGTCTTTGCTATTTCGTTGATGCTTTCAGAGCTGGCTCAAGAGGGTATTACTAATATTGGAGTACGAGATCGGTTGTGAACAGATTGTATCGCAGGTCTCCGCGCTTTATTCTAGACTTGCGTGTTATATACTAAAGCGCTGCATGGGGTAGCTCTGCTGATGCAGCATGATCGTCATGCATGTCACATTTTCATCGCGTAGATCAAGCTCAGATTCAAAAAAGAGCAATTTTACAGGCATATACCGCGCGTTAGACTTCAGACATGTATTTTCCAAGCTAATAGCGTTGTATGAGGTAGTCCTAAACTTTCTACGTAGAACCTCTGGATGTAACGGTCTATGGAAGTTCATCGTCACATAACTTGGAGGACCCACAAGCGTATTCGACTCCTCCACCTGTTGAGTATCCGCTGGGAAAAGCATCAAACTGCTCCTGTACGACCTTGATGTTGGCGGCAACATTGTCGAAAGTCACTTTGGAGCCCTTATCTAATCCAACATTCTTCAAGCCGGAGAAGGAAAAGGTTGTGTCGCTAGAGTTTGTGATCGAGCCGGTGCCGGCGGAGGAGTTGTAGGATGAGATTGTCCCAGAAGGCATATTGGAAAGACTCTGAGTGGATTGTCGAAGGGACAAGATTATCTTTAGATAGGTGGACTATGTTTGAAAGGCGATTTGTGATAGGAGACGGGAAGTTTAAAATGAGCAGCTAAGGGGGATCAAATAGAAATACCGAGTCACTCGTTCGGAAAATAAGAAATGACGTCAAGTTTCGGTGGAGACTCTAGCGTGCGGAGTGAAAGATTGCGTATAGTTTGGACTGGGAACTTGTCGTATTCACAGATCTGTCATGCGGGTGGCTCCACTCGCTCTCCGTTGCCAATCGTGCATTGGAGGACGGAATCGACCATCGTCGGGTCGCATCGCAGGTCTCGGATCTGCCCGAGACATTAGATCACATCGAATACTTGTTTGCATGCCGCTAGCCATGTGGCAAGTGTTGGCATGCCATTCTGCAGGGTTTTGGGTGAAAGGGAAAAGCTAAGCATTGCCTTTTTGCCCACTTCAAACGCTTGGTTGCGAAACATCGAGGGCGACAAACAAGTCAACGATACTTTATCAGACGAGAATACTGAGGAAGCCTCCGAAAGTATCTCTCGACTATTTTCACTTCAAGTTTATGTATCTAAATTGACTTTGCGCCGCCTTTCGTGCAGTACACTCACTTCCTACCTAGACTAGCACCATGCCACCTATCAGGCGTTCGCTCTTTCACTGGTTTGATTACAAAGAGATGTCCCGAGTCCTGGTAAGTGACTGATCCTGGACCAGGTTGAGCATTGGTCACGTGAATATCATGTGATACTTACTGAAGGACAGGGCTTCCATCTGCTCCACACTACGCCAGAAAGCACAGATCTTCGCTCTATTCTTACGTACTATTGATACGGTTGAGAAATGGATACTTAACAGATGCTCCTTGTTGGGTCATGCTTTCCACCATTTTGGCAAGGCTGAAGCCGTTGCCTGGAATTCGTCCCGACGCTATCTTCGTCTATCCCTCCTCTCTCATTCTCCAAGCACCTCTACTATCATCATGACATACCGCACATTAGATACCTTGCAAAATCAAATCCGTCTCCTTCATCTCGACCCTCTACCCCACCCGGTCTTCTCGGATGATTCGACTGCCGAGACAGGCCTTGAAGCCCACCTGAATGACCCATCTGGAGAGAGCATCGTTTCTGATATCCACTGCACATTCAGTTTCGCATCGTTAGATTGGAATCCAGAGTACGATGCGCTCTCGTACGCTTGGGGTGATCAGAGAGAAAAAGTCCGCATATCGATTGGAGACTTTCCTTTTTTTGTCACTCCGAATCTTCATGCTGCGCTTCAAGACTTGCGCTCAGAGACCCACAGTTGCACGCTTGGGTTGATGCGTTGTGTATATATCCTGATCGACCCCGAATCAAACACCGCAGAAACTTGAGGTCAAGAACCTCTGTTTTCTAAGGTGTTTGATCTTGCGCTTTTAGCGTGCCAGATTGGGAAATATTGTTCTCTGTGTTATTTAATAGAAATATATATTATTACATTATTTTCTACATTCATCCTAAAACCTACCCTTACCTATTCTTTGTTTCCGTATGACCACCTATCCTTGAATTGAAACCGCTCGCGAACAAAAGCTTTAACATTCCACTTTACATATCTAGTACACCACCTGGATGCGTCCGGTGAACTAGCGCGGAAATCAAGCCACGAAAGTCAGTCGCAAAAGTGGGATAATCTAGAAAGTAACGCCTTGCGGTACCGTGCTTTTAGCAGATCCAGCTCAGCCTTGGTAAGTATTAGTCCAGAAAAGGGCTTCCTCCATTCTAATCCCACCTATTCCACCTGTGGCTTGATTTCCGCGCTAGTTCACCGGACGCATCCAGGTGGTGTAAAAGCATCACAACTCGAGGCACGTGCTTTGCCACGGTACATGAGGGTACTTCTCTTATCATAGTTTCAGCTCACAAGGTTATGGCCAGTGCGGGTCGGCACACTCCCAGCTAGCACAGCCGCAACGCCACCTCAGTACCGTAAACGCGTTAGTCATCCCGTGTCTAGTCGTGTCAATACCATCGATGAGTCCACGGCTCCGATGTTACATTCGTTTCCTCTCAATGAATGACATAATAGTACAATTTAGATCCAGTGTGGGTCTACAAGAGCGAGATGTACTATCACAAGGCAGCCACTAACATGTCTTCCGGACCAGCAGGCCAGGCCTGTAGCAAATCCACAACCTCTTGCCTATCGTTCAATTTCGCTGTTTCGAGGGCGGTTTGGCCGACGTCTCGATCGTCGCCAAAAGAAGCAAAGATAAAGCGGTTGTCCGGAGGATCTGTAATTCGAGCTCCATGGTGCAAGAGCAGTCTAGTCATCGGGAGATTGCCCCAGGCGGCAGCAATGTGGAGTGTGAAGGGCGTTATCCTCGCGCCGCAGTCGAGGACGTACTCGATAAGTTCAAGGCCATTAGACTCACTACCGTGGTCTTTTCCAAATAAGCCTAGTCGAGATCGGTAGGCAGCCTTAGCAATTTTACAGCATGCAGCCTCTAAAGCTGTATATCCTTCTCTTGCACTTCTCGGCTCATTCAAATCTGCCCCATACTTCTCTATCAACATCCTGACCTTTGCCAAGTCTGCCTGAGAGGCGGCAGCCTGGAGTGCTGTAAGACCACGGGTTTCGGAACCAGGAGCATGGACATCAGCACCTTTCTCTATCAGCTCTTCCATCAAGGCTGTTGAACCAAAAGCAGCCACGTTTTGTAAGGCGGTGGCACCTTCAGTTTTGCTAGCCGGCTGGTTTATTCTGGCACCATAATGCAAAAGAAGTTGCAACATTTCTGAACTGGAGATCCGGTGGATTGGAGCACCACTTTGTGTTCGCTCGAGCCCCTCGGCGACTAGGTTTACTTCCACTCCAAGCTCAAGCAATCTTTTGGCCACATCGTAACAGTCCCAACACACTGCTATTTGCAAGGCCCTTGTTCCGGACTCACCATACACGTCGGCCCCTTCTTGGACAAGACGTTCAACGAGCTCTACGTCACCACGTTGGGCAGCGGCCTGCAAGGCGTTCAACGAACGAGGCGCTTGTTGGTTGACATCGGCGCCCAACTTTAACAGCCGGTCGACTATCATTCTGTGGCCACCACGCGACGCAGCAGTGAGTGCGGTCTCGCCGAATGAGGCAGGTGTGGCATGAATATCGGCGTCATATTCCAGCAAAATGTCGACGAGCTCTTCATTACCGATCTTGCAAGCCGCTTGCAGCGCCGTCAAGGCGTACCCATCCCCAGGTGTAGCGTTAACTTCTGCACCATGCTTTATAAGCATCTTCGCTACAGCCTCAGGTCGACCCGTAGTAGCGGAGCACGCTTGTTGTAAAGCAGTCCAACCCTGGAAACTTCGCATATTTGGATCGATGTCGTAGTTCAAAAGTAAGCCCTGGACCCAGCGAGCATGGCCTTGGCCTGCCGCTTGTATCAAAGGAAATCTCGAGTTATAAAAATGGTTGGCCATGTAGGCAATTGGAACTTCATACTTTATAACGTAATGGATACGCCGAAAGTGCCTCTGCTCCCAGTCCGAATCCAGAGATAGGCCCATTAATTCGCTGCTCGCAAGAACCGACTCGGTCGATGTCGTGTCAACTTCTCTCATTAATCTTTCTTTTGACTGAAGTGCGTCTTTTAGCTTGAAAACCTTGCTGGGCCACCTCTCTGGGAACTCTAGATTGGGGCCGGCATGCTCCTTTATGGTTTGCCGAAACGTAGTGTCGCAATTCCTACTATAAGAACAGAGTTAGTGAATGGTTGCAATAACGAGTTTTCCATACTTCTGACATGGATTTCTCTTCATGTGGTGTCTACACTGATATGCGTCCACGGTCCACAAGCAATACTGCAGTGCCAGAAGCCTGAAGAGTAGTGATCAGAGATCTTACCATTTCCTAAAACCGATACCAGTGCTGGGAAGCCCACAAATAAGACATGGTTGAGTTCTAGAGAGGGGCATGACCATTGCATCTCTTGGCGCTTTCTTCTTGATAGTTATCAAGATATTCATCTCCAAACAAGCGCCTGGTCGGACCTTGCCAAGAGGTGGAGAAGAAAGGCCGTCAAACCTCTCCCTCAATGTAGACCCATTGAAAACTGTGTCACCATCTTGGTCGATGATCTCAAACTCTCGTTTGACAACCTTTTGGTAACCTGGATGGTCCGCGAAGATTATTTTCAAAGTATCATGAAATGTCTGCGTATTGCGACAAAGTGTAAAAGGCAATATAAGTGTGCGCCCTATAATGTCCTCGAGATAGATGTGAGATGATGCGGGGTCAGCTTCCCACTGGTAGCCCAAGTCCCGAGGCTTGTTTTGTTGTGTGATTGCTACAAGAGTGTGGATTTCACTCAGTGAATAGCTGATCTGATGAATTTTCGATTCGAGCCGATTCGTAGATTCAGCTTCGAACTGACTTTAAACAGCGCCTATTTAGTTACAATTCGAAAAGTGATTCTGAATAGAGTACTGACATGTTTATTGCGATCAAGTACGTCTGAAATGCGTTAAGATGGGAGCTAAGGCGAAGCTCAAGCTTCTGCGCATCCTCAGAGTTATAAAGCTTCCACTTCAATTTCCTCAATATGCCTTTTGCTTTGCTTCCTTGTCCATTGACCATGCTCTGTGTATACTTTTGAGAGTCAGTCTATCATTCACGTCAAATTAGCAACCATGTACGTCACTAAAGGAGTCTGAACAAGCGCTCGACATACCAAAAATTGTGTCATGAGCCTTCGGCAGCATTGCACATGGAACAAGAGGCCATTTGCCAAAGCTTGATCTATCTTCAGCGTAGCACAGGCTGCTGAGCTGGAGACAAAGTTGGTGATTTGCTGAGTAGAAGTGACAAGAGATTCGAGAAGCTTGATCAAGGACCTGTATTCCGCTACGGCACCCCTAGTGTCATTTAGGGCAACTGCGATGTCATGCGCTAATGCTCCAACAGCGATGAAGTCGCCGATAGAGATGCCGAACGGTACGACCATATTCGACCGGCACGCAGGCCTCAATGAAGCGGGGCTACGACATTGGAAGACAGCGAAAGGGATGCAAAGATTTGCAAGAAGTGATAGAACACAATACAGGCGTCTGAAACTTGGAGGGAATCATGGGTTTCTTAGGTAGAAATTTCGAGGTAGGCTATGCGAAGTGGGCTGTGCAAGGTAGACATTACAGCCGCCTCCCCTGGCTGAACTGCCTCGGCACCCCACAATAATTAGGCCACGTCAGCTCAACTCCTGCGGGTCAGATAAGCTATATATACGCTACTTCCCTTTCATATAATTATTATTAAAGGACGAGTCTAATTATCACCCCCCTTTTTACTACGTATCACCCCCCTCTTTGCTATATATCACCCCCCCTCGATTTAGCCTAGCTCCGGCCCGTATTAATATTGTTCCACTAATCATATTCACCCGATTCTCGGTGTATTGGAGGCCCATCATCCTCATCATACGGCGCATAGTTGTGCACGGAAACCTCAACCTTAAAGAACCAATTACCTAGCTGTAGGTCTCTAGTAAAGGCTCCTTTCATAAGGCAATTGGAGTTCTTCAAACGGGTATAGCGCTTCCTATTAGCTGGCGTGTATACTCCTGCGCAATTGCATTAAATAAGCACCTTGCGCACCTGGGGGGGCATGCGCTTATCCAATTTTTTTGTTGTATTTAATGATTGCATAGCCTTCCTGCCTATCCCACGCATTAACAGACTTTAAACCTTCCTCTTCAGATGCGTGGCGGCCCCAAGGGGGCGGCCGGAGGAGCATGGGGGTGAGGCTGTTAATGTAGAGGGCATACAAAGGTAGTATTGATGCATTGAGAGTGCGTAGTTGATAGCGATTCACCTTCTAATTGGTGGAACAATATTAATACAGGCCGAAGCTAGGCTAAATCGAGGGGGGGTGATATATAGCAAAGAGGGGGGTGATACGTAGTAAAAAGGGGGGGTGATAATTAGACTCGTCCTAATTTAACTGTAAGGTTTATTTCCTACCTTATATATGTCTATGAATTTGCCTAAGGAAACAGCCATGTTTTTTCTTCGATGCTGTTAAAAAAATCCTGATTCTGAACAAAGCGAGTGGACCCTGACCGAGTGTCTCGAGGATTTGCCGACTTGTTGGTTTCTCTACTAGGTCGATCAAGTATGTATCAATCAGGATGATAGCAATGAGTGAAACCACCAAGTCAGTATGATGGGCGAAATATACAGGCGCGCGTCGACGGTGGTTGTATATTTGGGAAAGAATTGTCCGGGTAGCGACATCGCCATGGACTTTCTTGAGCTTTGGGGAAACAATGGAGATCTCCATCTAGACTCTTCTATCGGTCCGAGTGTAAAGGTAAACGGTATGGAACTCAGCTCTCCAGAGCTACGTGGGAATATTGCTCGCTTTTTCTGCCAGCCCTGGTGGGGCCGCTTATGGACTGTCCAAGAGTTTATCTTGGCTAAGAAGATATTCTTTCAAAGTGGTCGGTGTACCTTGTCCGGAGACCTGCCCGGTAAATGCGTACAGCATCTCAGGAAGCACACCAGCGCCATGTGTTGCACACAGTTATCCTCTATTATGAGACTCACTGACTCGCAAACCGGCCTGTGTTTGATGGATGCCATGTCGAAACCCAACCTGCTAGAACACGCAAGATTCAATCGATTCCATAGACCCTTCTATTACATATTGCAGTTATTCCGTCATCTGGAGTGTACCGACCCTCGAGACAAGATATACGATATGCTAAACCTCGCAATAGGCCCATACATGGACCTTATCCTGCCAGACTACACACGCTCATTGGAGAGTGTGTTGACCTTAGCTACAATTTCAATTGTGGAGAGAAGCCAATCGCTGCATATATTCAGCCTTCTACATTATGGCCGTCGCAACCTGACGAAGCTTCCTTCTTTCGTACCAGATCTGACGGAATCAGTCCTTTTAGATGCCAATAGACTCGAACATACTGATCGAGTCGAGATGGTTCGACTCTTTCGCGCGTCTGGGGACTCGAAGTCAGACCTGAGACTCGTTAGCACAACGAAGGCTTCCACAAGCGGATTCATCTTCGACTCGGTATCTGCCGTGGGGATCCCGCTCGGTGCTAGCTCTCTTGAGAATTGGCGAACTCTGGCTCAGGTAGATGACGACCCCGATGCATCATATCCCCAGACCGACGTGTCGAGAGAAACAGCTTTCTGGCAAACACTTTGTGGAGGCTCTGTGGGAGCCATAGTGCGAGGAGAATACGAATTCGAAGGAGTGGACGATAGAACTGGTTACCAAATGTACCAGCAATGGATCGCCTGGGTCACAGCACCTCATGACTCTATTGAGCAAAAATCTCTTACTAGTCTTGATGGCATTGACTTCAACACAGCATACTTGGCAGCTGCGGTCGGCCACCGATTTTTCGTGACGCAAAATGGGTACTTCGGACTCGCCCCAGCAACTACTTCTACTAGGGACTATGTTACCATACTCGCGGGTGGCCCTGTGCCGTATATACTTCGACCCGTATCTGACGAAGTCTCGATTGAGTATATACATGGAACTGCTACCTCAGCTCTAGGCTACCGCATTCTAGGAGACGCGTATGTGCATGGTATCATGGACGGCGAGCTAAGCAACCGGAAGTTCGAGGATATTGTACTGGTTTGAGGGCCTGGAGGAGAGATGGAAGACCAAAAATTCGCATTCCAATCGCAGTACTCCCCTAACCAACGCCTGCAAAAGTTTCCTCGTGCAGCTCGACCTCGGCAGTCTTCTTTGCAACCGCCAAGTCAGTACCTATCGCTCTGATTAGCCTGCTTTCTATGTAAGCCTTCCTCCGGTACGTTTTCTCAGTATATACCCTTCTTGTGTAAACCCTTCTAGGGTACTTAGGAGCCTTCTCTTTTTCATTGAGCTATTGCGAGGGCAAAATTTGTGGTTTGTGGCGCTGACCTCATGCTTCTCAGGCTGCTCGAAGTGAGGTTATGCCTTTCTAGAACTAAGAAAAATGCTTATCTACTACAAATTAAATTAGAGAGCAATATATCTAAGGACCAGAACAAAATCATAAAGCGACCAGATCCCATCAGTTCCTCCACCGCTACCTACTCAACTCCCTCTGGAAGTCCAAAGTCCCCGCGAACACATCTTAAAGCCATCGGGCAAACCAATCCAAAGCCTGCGTCACCGAATCTTCCAAGCACGCCCTCTCCAGCGGATCGTCCGGATTGCCTCTGACCGCAAAACCATGGCGTCCGGGCTTATACACCTTATGCTGCACCTCGGGCACCTCCCTCCCCGCCTCCCTCGCCTTCGCATGAATCGCCTCCGCCATCCCCTTCTGCTCAATCTTGACGCCCGTATCCTCCAAGCCCCAGCCAATCGTAACCGGCACAACCAACTTCTCAACATCCTCCGGCAGCGCCACATGGCTCGGATGCAACGCGACCACCGCATCTACCAGCGGCACCTTCTCCCCATCCATCTGAATCCTATTCCCCTCCAGCCCCGCGCGAATCGCATACTTCCCGCCCCAGCAAAACCCCACCATCCCAATCTTCGTGCTCCGCGGCGTCGCGCGCCGCAGCGCCTGCAGGAAATCCATGCAGATCTTATTCGTCGGCGCCTCCTTGTGGCGCGTCATCCACATAACGAACGCGGGCGCCCGCGCGAGGAAGCCCGTGTACTTGCCCAGCTTGGACTGCTTGGACTCGTCGACGGGGATCAGGATGTCGGCGATCTTGAGCGGGACGGGGTCGCCTTTGAAGAAGTCGGGCAGGTAGACGAGGTACTCGCCGCTCTTGGCGTAGGCGTCGGCGATGAGCTTGTTGTTGGGGAGCGGCAGGCCGAAGATGTCGGAGTATAGGACGATGATGGCGCGTGGGTTGGTGCGGTTGCCGATGATGTAGGTGTTTAGGCCGTGGAGGGTTTCTTCGGTGCCTTGGGGGAGGCCTTTGTGGATGGTGCCCTGGGGGATGGGGTGAGTGGGGGGTGGTGGGGAGGGGTGGGGAGGGGATGTACTTTGATGCACTCGCAGGAGGAGGAATCCATTGTGGAGCTGGGAAGCGAGTATCAGGCTACGGATTATGCTTTGTTTTACGATGGGTTGGCTTGAAGAAATTGGTGGAGGTGGACCAGCTGATGGAAGGTCTGCTCAGTGTAGGTAGGTCTTTGCAGAGTGGAAGCAGACTGTGTAGATTTGAAAGTAGACAGGACTTGTTGAATTATGGAGAAAACTGTAGAAAATGCATCCTTCATGTACGATAGCAAGCAGCGAGCAGGTTAGCCCGTCGCCTGTCTCGTTGGCCCGTCTCTTATCTCGCTCTCTTCTCGCGCACTATTCGGGACGAGACTGCCCCGACTAGGGCTGACAAGCTACTCTGTAAGGCTGAAGAGATGCAACCGTCTCTACCAATCACGCTGGATCTCGTTTATCAACAATAAACGCCGCTTATATAATATACTTCTTATAACTAACTAACTAACTATTATGAAAGAGAGACTGTAACAGTACTAGAGGGCACGTGTGGGCGATTCGTAAGGCATAAGCGAGCAGGGGGTGGCTCTACGTAGGTTTAGTAAAGCCACGAGCCACCCCTGCCGACCAGAAAATCACACTTGTCGGAGCGAGATTGGTGAGATTGGGCCTACAATACAATACCGCAGTATGCATCTGATTACTGTAGCCCGTACAAGCATACCCTGGGACATTTGTCAACAATGAGGAGTGCCACTATACCAATGTACTTACATGGGGTTTACTATACGGTAAAGTCGCTAAAGTAGGCTCGCGCGGGCACCCTTGTAGGCAGCGAGAAGAGACGACCTCCCGTCAGTCAGCCACCGCGAGCGTCGGCTTGCTCACAACGCAAGGTAGCCGTCAAGAGCGAGGAAACGATTATCGGACAAGGTCATCACCATTCGGCCATTCCCCCGACTGCAGCATGTCGCAGGTGCCGACAGGGACAGCATCGATGGCCGCCTCGGCTTCGGGCTCCGAGAAAAACGCGACCTCGCCCGCGTCCGCTAGCACTCCATCATCAACATCTGCGCCAGCACCGAAGGCGCAGAGCTGCGTCGTATGCCGCCGTCGCAAGGTGCGCTGTGACAAGCAGTCGCCGTGCTCTAATTGCCGCCGCGCGAACATCGCATGTGTTCTTCCTTCGAAAGATCGTCCGCCAAAATGGGCTCGTCGCCTCGAGCGCCTCACCACCAATGCCGCAGCATCAAACCCTCCGACGCTGCAAGACGCCGACCCGGGCGTTGCCAAGGTCATGGATAGACTGCGGAACCTCGAGGGCCTTGTCAAGGAGCTGACCGGCCAGCTGGAACAGGGACAGGCGGCCGCTAGCGCGCATGGTGGAGGTGAATCTAGTCTCTACTCTCTTTCAACGTCTGCCCAGCATCGTGGTGTAGAGCAACAGAGGCACACGTCACCTATCGAGAGTACTAGTAGTATCGAGAAGCCGTTTGGGAGGCTCGTTCTACAGGGTGCAAGCCAAAGCCGCTATGTGAGCAGCGGTTTCTGGACTCGGGTCAACGACGAGGTAAGTCGATCTATTGTGGTCACGTCGGCATCTTGACTAGTGGCCTCGCTGAATTTCGCTGCAGCTTGAGGGCTTGAAGACGGACACCCGCGGCCTGGAAGGAGATGAGTTCGATAGCTCAGAGGATGAGGCATCTTCTGGAAAGTCACCGCCTACCCAGGAACTTGAGCGGACACCTTCCGAACGCCATGCATTCCTCTTTAGACACAACTTGAGTCCTTCGGCTCACGATCTCCGCGAATTCCACCCGCTACCGTCGCAGATCCCGTTTCTCCTAGATGTCTTTTCTGAGAACGTGAACTTCATCACGCAGATCGTCCATATGCCAACCGTTACCAAAATGGTCCGTGATTTGCGCGGCAGCGACATGATGCGCCTCACGCCATCTAATGAAGCCTTGATGTTTTCCATTTACTACGCCGCTATAACTTCAATGGAGGAAGATGATGTGAGTTCTCATTAGATTGTAATGCCATAGTCCAAACGGACATACTTGAGGACTGTGTTAATTCATTTCATGCGCAGGTCATGACGAATTTTGGCTCCTCAAAGGCCGACCTCAATCTCAGATATCGGCTCGGTCTCGAGCATGCCCTCGCGAAGGCCGATTTCCTCAACGCTCCCGATCTTGTCCTAGTTCAGGCATTTGTCATCTTCCTCTCTCTCGTTCGCCGACACGACAGCCCGAGGTTCGTGTGGATGATGACTGGGCTCGTCATCAGGATGGCTCAGTACCTTGGTTTGCAGCGAGATGGGTCACATTTCGAGCACCTGACTCCATTCGAGATTGAGACGCGACGAAAGGTCTGGTGGACTATGTGCATGCTGGATGTGAGAGCATCAGAGGACCAAGGGACAGACCTGACTATAACGAGCGGCAGCTTCGACACGAAAATCCCTCTGAACATCAACGCTGCAGACATCAGTCCCGAGTCAAAAGAGATGCCCACAGAGCGCGAGGGCGTGACCGAGATGACATTCGCGCGCATCAATTTCGGGCTATGGCATATCATGTGGCAGCTGATGAACCCCAGTGTAAGGAACGGTACCGCAAGTTTGGAAGACCAAAATCGTATGGTGAGCGAGATCTACCAGAAATACGAAGAAGGTTACTTTCAGCACATGACAGAGTCGGGGAATATTGGCTTTTGGGTCGGGTCTACCGTCGCGCGCCTTGTCATGGCAAAAATGACGTTGATCGTCTTTCTTCCTGTTCTCTTCTCTTCCCCAAGCGAACACTTCTCGGACGAGATAAGAACCAAGTTGCTGGTCTCGGCAATCGAGGTCGCGGAGTATAACCATGCGCTAAACGCCGAACAAGCATGTCGGCAATGGCGCTGGGTCTACCAAACTTACACTCACTGGCATGCCATTGTATATCTTCTGATCGATATCTCCCGACGGCCTTGGTCACCCATCGTCGAGAGGGCATGGGTCGCGCTTCACAGCAGCTGGCTGATCCCAGTTCAAAATCCAACGAACAAGAATCTCCGCGTGTGGTTTTCACTGCGAAAGCTAATGGCCAAAGCCAGCAGGCATCGCGACGCCGAGCTCAGCCGGCTGAGAGCCGATCCACAGGCCGCCGCCAGGTTGGATACGGAGGACCAGAACATGCCATTGCCGTCAAGCTCAGGGCCCTTCCCAGCCGAGTCTGGATCTAGTGTGGACATCTTCCGCGAGCGGTGGCGCAAGCTCGTGAACCTTTCAGAGCCTACCGATCCGTCCATGCCTACAATCTACGCAAGTCAGCAGCCAACGGCGTCTGCTTTTGCGTATAACCCAGGCGACTTGACCTCCAACATAACCTCCGAGCCTACCTATCTTGGTACGAGTGGACAGCACGCCGCTCAAAATTCAGAGCATATCAAGTTCAGAAATCCAGAGCCAGCGCTTCCAACGAATGCTCCCAGCGAATTGGCCTTCAGCCAACCTGGACTACCATACAATCCCTTTACTACTATCCCTGCAGACTCCTCAGATGGTCGTACCATGGGTCCCGGTCTTGGGGCTTGGCTGTGGGCTGAGACTGACTCCTCGGATGATATGTTTCCTAATTTGGACCTTGATCCCATCGATGTGAATATGGATCTGGGTAGTGAGATGAATTGGTATAATTGGGTGGAATCTGCTAAGGGTATGGAAATGGATGCAAGCCTTAGTGGTAATGGCCGGACCTAGCTCGCTCTCGAGGGAGAGTATCTGGAGTGCCTCCGTACTCTACTAGAATGCATCCGTTTCGACATGGCGTCCACGTCTACGCCTAGAGCTAGTAAGGCGCTGCGAGACTCGAAGCCGGAAGAGCGGCCTAGAAGAAGCTCCAAGGTTGATACTCGTCATCACGCACACCATAAACATCTACAGCGTATTTGGACAGCACGGTTCCGTCGGATAAACTTCCTGCCATCTCTGGAATCGCCAACATCCAAGTCCTGGCAGTTGTCCGGCTGGCATTCTGGGAAACAAGGCTTAAATATGCATTCATGTGGATGCGAGACACAGAGATTCAATCACAAGCTGCCAGGGTACATCGGAAGGATCTCGATCCTAGGCGCCCGTAAACAGCAGGATTCTCACGCTAGCTGAGAAGATCTCTGAGATTTACTCTCTCATCAGGGCGTCCACGCATCCTGGTGGAGTCGAGGCGAGCGAGCTGGCACTCTTGACGTGCATGACGGACGCACGTGATCTCCTCTCCGAACCCGGTCACGTGCCACATCTCTGAACCCCGCCCCCAAATCTTTCTTTTGGGGGTATAAAGGCCCTTCTGCCACAGACCTTAGAATGTGCAGAGTACTTGACACTGGTCTTGGAGAAAAAGTAGTGGAGAGAGCCTTCATGGCGCGGGTTTGGTGTAAACAGGCACGAAGTGTTTGTCCATGGGTGTTGTCTCAACTGGGGACTGCGGGTTCTGATGGTTGGGACTTGCTTAGGTGGTTCAAAAGACTATCTCTTGGCACGTGATGGGTGATGGTTGGTCGGCGCTTGGACTGAGGCGTCCCGCAACCGCTACAGCGGTGATGTAGAACATCCTTCATTTCTTTCAATTTAATTCATCAGTCAAGTCTAATGCTCAAAGACATCTGCACAAATCTCATATACTCAACTCCACATTGCCAAACCCATACCAACCCTCATGAAGGGCAAAGCTACCCATCATCACCACCTCCCCTCTTCCCCTTTCGCAGCACCAACCACGCCCTTCCTCTCCATGGATCTGTTCTTGTTCGATTTTTTTATCCCCCACCAGCAACCCCACGACCATCGTCGCTGGCTTGGTCGCCTTTCAATTCACCCCACCAACATAATCGATCGATTATGATTGCTCTTTTTGATCCACCACACCACCTCCGCCGCTCCATCACACCGAAAAGCGAAGGAGTTGATCCCCCATCCCAGCCTACGCCAGCTCCATAGGAAACGACAAGGCGAGCCTTTTGATTTCCCACCCTCTCCCACAGCCATGAGAACCTAGTTTATCGGCTTTGACTCCACAGACCAGTCCACATAAAGTTAATTTTCCTCTGGTTTTGGACGGTCTACTGAGCCTCCCATAATTCTTGAAGCTTGGGAGAGGAAAACGTTCTCTCTTCCCTCATTCGCAACACCACCCACACCCACACCCTCCCCCTCCATGGTCTTGCTGCTGTTTTATTTTTAATCACCCACCTCCAACCCCTCCACCATGCTCGATATCCCAGTTGAATTTTGATCCACACGTCACATCCACCACCACATTGTAGATTCAGACATGCCTAGTTTCATCCTCCACCCAATCGACACCAACTCCATACGGTCTTCGGGTCCAAAGTTTGATCCCCCAACACTCTCACAGCCATCATAGGTTCATCTGCCGCTTTTTAACTTCGCAGAGCACTCCACATAGAAGCTGCTCCCGTGCGATTTTGAACGGTCTGCAGAATCTGCCATAATTCTTGAATATCCGTAGAGATAAAAATTCTCTCTTCCCTCCTTCGCAACACCACCCACATCCTTCCGCTCCATGCGGTCCTTCTGTGCGCATTTTGATCCCCCCACCACCAACCCCTCCACCATGCTTTGGTCGCAGCCAATTTTGATCCACCACTCCAACTCCACCGCTCCATCGCTCCTCACGCATGTGCGATTTGATTCCTCCACCCACCCCCACACTGGCTCCATGCGATGAAATGGACGGCATTTTGATTCCCCCCCCCCCCCTCCTTCTCTCCCACAGCCATGGGTCGTTGTACTCATGTTTTGTGACTCCGCAGACCAGTGCCCATAGTATCTTATTCGATTGGATTTTGGACGGTCTGCGGAGTCTGCCCTGGTGTCTGAAGACTGGGAGAGGGAGGAGTTTATATACTCGCCTGCTGGGGGGGGGAGGGGGAGATTTGGGGGATGAGTCAGCGGAGGGGCATGTGAGGGGTGTGGTGTTCATGCGCTGGCACTGGAGGCCATTCGGGCCGACTGGCGACATCGGGGGAGAATGTGAGAGGCTGAGACGGTCCTGTGGAGATGGCATAGCTTCAAAAGCGGAATTAAGGAGCAAAGGCCAGGAAGAGAGGCGTTTACGTTCATAAGGTATCAGCCAAAGCCTACATCATAGCGAGCGTCGAGTATTATCACTCCCATCCCATTAACAGCCTCCTCCTTTCATGCCCCCTTCCCCTCTCTCTCTTTCCCACCCCCTACTCTTTTCCATCCCTACATTAAACCTTCTCCCCCTCCCCTACCGCCTCCACATGACTCGCCCTCCTTTCCCTCTCCACCATAATCTCCTTCAAGCTCATCCTTCGCATATTCTCATCCACATCCCCAAACCTGACACTCGGCCTGAACTTCTTACTCTTCCACGCCTTGCCCACCAACCCATACAACTCATCAACCTGCTCGAGCGTGAGCCCCTTAGTTTCGTAGATCATCAGCCACACGAACACGACGCACACGAGGCAGAAGCTGCCCCACACGAAGAAGACTTTGGAGCGGAGATTCGCGTGCTGCGGGTCCGTCATGTAGGGGGTCGAGTAGGCGATGGCCTTGGATGTGTTAACATTAGCGTGTGTTGAGGACGGGGTGGAGGGGAGCTCGGGGATTAGAGGGAAGGGGAGGAACAGGGGAAACAGAGCAACATACCCAGTTCAGCAGCCAATTACTCGCCGTCGTCATACTCAAGCACTTCGCGCGCACCTTCAACGGATACAACTCGCCCGTAACCACCCACGCAACCGGGCCCCACGAGCTCGCAAAGAAGAAGATGTAGATACACACGAACGCGATGGCGGCGCGCTGGGCGGCGATCTCGGTGGTGCCCGCGACGGTGCCGGTGATGGCGACGATGTACTGGCACACGCACATGCCGATGGCGCCGATGAGGAGCAGGTTGCGGCGGCCGAGCTTCTCGACGGCGTAGAGACCTGGGAAGGTGGACACGACGTTGATGGTGTTGGTGATGACTTGGATGATGAAGGGGTTTTGGAAGCCGGCGTTTTTGAAGTATTGGGTGCCGTAGTAGACTGGCGTCGTCTTGTTAGCATTTGCGTTCGAGATTTGGGGGGGTTGGAAAGGGCGAGGGAGGGGGGAGGTACGTACAGATGAAGTTGACGCCTGTGAGCTGTTGCAGGGCTTGTAGTCCGCATCCGGTGAGTGTACGCTTGCCGACTGTGCCTTTGAAGCATTCGATGTAGGAGGCTTTGCCGATGCTCATTTCGTAGCGGTGGTTTGCTTCGACTTCGTGGAGTTCTTCGGCGACGGCTGGGTGGTCGGGTGGGAGACGGCGGAGTTTGCCGAGTGCGATTGCGGCCTTTTATACATTAGTACTTTTCTCGGAGTTGCATAGTAGGCGGAGAAACTTACCTTGTCATACCTATCCCTCTTGATGAGATAGCGCGGCGTTTCCGGGAGGAAAAAGAGTCTGAATGCTGTCAGAATGTGACTAGAATAACGAGTGGTGATGGATGCGGCAGACTCACCCAATAACCAAAATCAGCGACCACAGAAACTGTACAGCAATAGGAATGCGGTAAGAGCCGGTATCGTTGCGATTTTGCGTGGAGTTATTGACGATGGCAGCTAGAAGCAAGCCTATCGTAATAGCAAGCTGGTATGCACCGACGATCGTGCCACGGATCCATTTGGGCGAGGTTTCGGATTGGTACATTGGAACTGCTTGCCATTAGCTACCGTCTCGACCTTCGTTACGATGTAGAATGTTTTGATTGCTAGGAAAAAGATAGCGAACTTACTCTGTGCGCTCACTAAACCTACTCCCAACCCAGCAAAGAAGCGCCCCGCAATGAACAGCGACTGCCCCGTCGACGCGACCTGCAAGATGACGCCCAGATTGAATACTACGCCCGTGGAGAGCATCAAGCCCATCCGTCGGCCCACCGTGTCTGCCAGAGGCGCAGAGGCTAGGGCGCCAAAGAATGTACCAGCTGAGAGGATAGACACGATAAGAGAGTTGTCTGATGCCTTGAGGACGCCGTTGGTCGTAAATTCTTGCAGCCAGTAGGGCATGGCGATGATGCCGGAGATAGTGCCGGTGTCATATCTAGGAATCTCATTAATTTGATAGTTCAATTGATGTTTTTGAGGGTGTTGATGGGTGGAAGAGTGGTGAGAGGACGAACCCGAAAAGCACACCACCAAAGGCGACGAAGAGACCGATACAAATCGCTGGCCTGGACTCAATTAGCACTGAATCGATCTATAGAAAGTTGGTACTCACCAGGTCTTCCCCACCTCGCCATCAGGCTTCTTCAAAGAGAACTTCCCAGGCATGCTGCCGTTTGATCTTCACCACAGAATCCAGATATCGGAATCGCAACTGCTTCAACCCTATCACAATTGCTTGATTTTTTGTGCCTGGATAATCCACGGGTCCTGTAACTTCCTTATGAGATATCCGTACTCAAGAAAAATAGAGTCGCCCGGAAATGCCTTCTCTTTAAAAACGCCCGACGCAGTCCCCCGCACATCCCCCAAGCCATCCCATCACCACCCACCGCCATCACCCAAGCCCACCGCCTGCCCTCAGCTTTTGCACGCACCCAATCCGCACGACGTATCTTGTCCGACTTCACGCCTCATGACGGAGCACGCTCCTCATTCGCGAAGCTGATGCGGGGATGCCGCGTCGCCAAGCTCTATGCCGAGCGCATTCCCGATTCACGTAGTAGTCAGCCGTCGGGACCGGAGAACTCGTCCAATGAAAGAAAGAAGAGGCGTGGAAGCGTTTCAGTGAAAGAGAGGCAGTTCGTGGTTCAGGGTTGGCGAGACAGGGCGCAAAGCCACTTCGCGTGGTGTTTCTTGTTCGGGTTGCAGATGGTGATGTCATGGCGTTTTGAGGGGAAAGATGAGCGGACAAGAGGGCACGATGGCACGGTGGCACGGTGATTGTTGAGATGTAGACACGAGAAGAAAAGAAAGGAGATTGGGTTGCGAGATTGATGAGATGGAAAATGCAGCCTGGGATCTGAATCCCGCGATGCCTGTGTGGTGGTGAGGCGGAGGGTTTCGCGGGAGGTTTGACAGGCTTGTAGATGAAAGGAGCATGATCTTGGCTTCAGCGCCTGAAAGTTCAAGCAACGAACCTCGTGCTCATGTGCATGAGAATCGCTTTGCATGCGTTGCCCAATGCATCTGCCTATCGAATCATAGTTAAGGTGACTATGAGGATTCAGGGTTGCGGACTCGCACCGCATGAGAGAGCTGTCTAGATCTGCTGGGAGACGCTGTGTCATCGTGACCCGGGCAGCTTGAAAAAGGCAACAAAGGGCTGAAGATACTGTTAGTATGTCAATTTGCGGGGAGACGTCTTGGATGCAGGGTCTGGGCGTTTCCTCGGTGGCACGGCGGATACTCCGTTCGGCGTGGTTAACAGCGGTTCGGTAGTCTCGAGCGGAGTCCTTGCTTGGACGCCGTGGCATTGTTCACTGGGTGGAAATCGCATGGGATAGGAAAGATGAAAGATGAAAGATAATATGATGGCGGAAAGCGCCAATCAATTGCTATGGACGGACGCCTTTTTGTGAATGTACAAGGTATCCATTCGTTGGATATCGTAACCACCCAAAATGCAAACATCCACAATCAGATAGGAACCCCTCCTTGCTTCTTGCTTTTCTTGATCTTGATCTTTTCCGGCTTTGAGTCCTTCCCGTTGACTGTCGTGATCGTCTTGGTAATCTCGGTCACTGTTCTCGCAGGCTTTGACTTCGATGCGTTGACCTCTACGGTAGTTTTGGACTCCTTAACCTTCGTCTTCTTAGGCTTTGATTCTGATCCGTCGACCTTCTTTGCGACCTCCAAATCCACAGACATTGCCTTCGTAGGCATCAGTTCGGATCCAGTAGCCTTCGTCGCTGCTTTAGGATCATCACCCTTAGTCTTCTTTACCTTGGGCTTCGAGAGCTTCGGGTCAGCAGCCTGATCAGCGGCCTCCGCAGGTTCAACTCTATTTACTTTAGCAGCATCTCCATTCTTCTCTCCTTTGGGCCTCCCGTACGATTTGGGATCCTTCCCCTTCCGCCGCAGCTGCGACTTTCTCGCGCGCTCAATGTACTTTTCATCTTCGCTCTCGTCCCAACCACCAAAGTCATCCTCCATAGTACCATCCTCGGTAACTGGAGTTTTGTCGACAAACTCTTCTTCCGTGGTGCTAACCTTCTCTTTGCCACCATCGCTCTTCGCACCGACCGCATTCGCGGGTGTAAGTCCTGTCTTCTTGAACTTGGCGACGAAGAAGCCATCCACGTTGTATGCGTGTGGGTAATACCTCCGCGTTAGCTTCATCGAAGGGTGGAAGACCTTGCCCTGAATACTCGTGAAGCCCTCCTTTCCGAATGAGAGACCCGTCTCTACAAGCTTGACATTCGGACGTTTGTTCAGTGCGTATTGCACAACCTGTTCGTTCTCCTCGACTGTGACCGAGCAAGTGGAGTAGACAATGTACCCGCCAGTTTTGCTCGCATGATCTACCGAATCAATGGCGGCAAGAATCAGCTGTTTCTGCAAATGCGGTAGACGCAGGAAATCCTGCTCTGTCTTATTCGTCTTCACGCTCGCATCCTTGGCGATAACTCCAGTGCCCGAGCACGGCGCATCCAGAAGCACGCGATCAAAGCCACCCATGACCTTGGGGAACTCGAGTGCTGAGTAGTTGCACACGATCGTGTTCTTGCAGCCTAGGCGGTGAATGTTTCCGATAAGACCCTTCGCACGCGATTTGTTGGAATCGTTGGCGAAGATGCAGCCGGTGTTTTTCATCAGCGCGGCGATGTGCGTGGTTTTACCACCAGGCGCAGCGGCCATGTCCAGAACGCGCTCATTCTCTTGTGGCGCGAGAGCCATGACAGGGAGGAAAGACGAGGCGGCTTGGAGAATATAGTGACCAGCGAGATACTCGGGGGTGGCACCGAGCGGGACTTGCGATTCGAAAATTTGCAGTCCGACTTTTGACCACTTTCCTACGGGCTCAAGCTGTACACCACGGTTTATGAGAGTTTGTGCAAGTTCGCGACGATGAGTACGGAGGGTGTTGGTGCGAATGACGACCGGGCGAGGAGTTTCGTTAGCTTCGAAGAACGCAAAAGCTTCGCGAGGCGGGAAGAGGTTAAATAGCTTGGTAGCTAAAAACTCCGAGTATCCGTAGTACGCGCAGATATCTTTAATGAGCTGGGATGTATACTCGGTCCTCGACCGTCCCTCAGCAAGATTTGAGAAATCGTCCAGCACACGTATCGTATCCGTGATCCTCGTCCTCAATAGCTGGAGACTTGGTGGTTCTAGTGGTCCCTTGGTGCCCGCATCCTCATCATCCCCAAGTATTTTCGGTCGGTCGCCTGCAACGTTCGTCGTCATTGCAGACTCGGCCAGCTCGGCCTGAGCCTCCGCGTCTTCAATCGCCTTCTGCCAGTCCTTCTTCTCTGACAACCCCACGATATTCGCCGCCGTGAGCCTCTCTTCAGCATCATCAGAGTCGTCCTCATCAGACCACATGCCCGCCGCGACGTCCGGATCCGAGTCCAAGAACTCATCGTCGTCCAGTTCCGGCTCGCTGTCATCGGAGTCGCTTCCTAGTATGTCCATCTTTCCTGCACCCACACCTTCGAGCACATCTTCCATAACGTCCGGGTCATCTATCCCATCCTCGTCGTCTCCAAGCGAATCATCATCCTCGAGCATAGGTTCCGGCTCAACAACCTTCTTGACCTTCTTCCTGCCGTTTTCTTTTACGACTGCGACTTTGGCCTTCTTGTCAAGCTTCGCATTTCCCGTGCCATTCCCAAGCACAGACTTATTCGCATTCAGCCCGCCCTTCCTCCGCCTCTTCTTCTCTTCAACCGGCGCAGCAGGCGCATCTTTTCGTTTCCGCGTGACGAGCGATTCGTCCAATGGGCCTGGCGGACCCTGCTTCTTCATGCGATTGCCGACACCCATTATCGCGGTATTATTGAGTTCGTAGTCGAGAAAAAGTGTGATTTGGGAGGTAGAGTGAAGCTTCGAACTTTCCCTCGCGAAAATCAGAGACCGGACCACCTTCTGAGAAAATTCACTCACCGCCTTCGTGCCAAGACCCGGCGCGGAGAAACCACAACCGAAGCGCAGGTAAATCGTCATTCATCGATTCGAGTTCCCAGCCTCGACAGCAGACCAGAAACACCCCAAGACCGCCGGGAACAATTCGAGTCGCACCCGTCAAAATGAGCGAACTCGTCTTCGCAAAGCAGTTCCTCACAGCCCTCGACTCGCGCCCCATCAAGCTCTCCAGCGATCACATCGCCGACCCGCGGTCATATCCCGCCTCAAACGCCGTACGTAGCCAGAATCTCTTCGCAGTACCCTCTCAGATCTATGCCCCTCCTCGTCCCATGCAACTTTGCATACGCTCCCATCCATCTTCTAGTGAAAATCTAGCCTAATCCATTCTCAGTACACCCTCCCCCGCCTCCCCCCCGGCCACCCCTCCAAACCCCTCCGCAAATCCCCTACGAACCCGGCAGCCACCAGCCACTCCATAACCCTCAAGCCCCTCAAGCCCTCCCAACCCACCATCACCCTCCCCTCGCAACCCCCCTCCACCTCCATCTACGATCTCAAAGCCGCCTACGCCGCCCAGACCTCCACCGACATCGCCAAGATCAAGGTCCTGTACAAGAAGAAGCCCGTCGCCGATTCGAAGATCTTATCCGAGCTCGCGGGCGATAACGTCGGGGCTGCGCTGGAGTTTGGGGTTATGATATTGGGGGGTGGGGTGGGGGGCACGCCGGTGGGGACGCCGCCGGTGGAGATACCGCAACCATTGATGGGGGAGAAGGAGGTAGGAGCGGTGGCGCAGGGGCCGAGTGGGGCAGAGGAGTTGCGGACGGAGGAGTTTTGGAGGGATTTGAAGGGGTTTCTTGTGCAGAGGTTGAGGGATGAGGGGGAGGGGGAGAGGTGGGCGAAGGCGTTTAGGGGGGTTTGGGAGAAGGAGGGTTGAGGACTTCGTAGATGGGAAGGGGTCGCGTGTACAGGTTGAGCGCATACAGGCCGGGCACATATTCATTTCAGGGCTACTTCGTTTCGAAGTCGATATTTCTTCTGGTTCGATGAAGCGAGCGGCGAAGACTGTATATGATAATGATCAGATGTGTTCATGCTCGTTCATTTTCAACGAATGAAAGACCAAGTGATATGCCAGATACGACAGTTTTAGCATTCTCTATCCGACCTCCACATCCTCAATATGCCACCGCTTAAACTCTCGGCGGGAGATGACCATCATTGCCACTGCCAGCGCTCCCACGAGCAGCATCTACCGACCCGCTCAAGAGCCCAAGAATGTCCCCGCTACCACCCGCCAATTCGTCAATCCGTCAATCATCGCATCAACACAAAAGAAAGCCAGCCCAAGTGTAAGAAGTCATTCTCTTCGCTACTCGTTTGACCAAGGGGTAGCACGTTATGCGCTCGTTCGTAGTGTAAGCTGCTTTAACGCCTGGACACGCGCTGGATGATGTTGTCGTACTCGATGTCATCGGCGTCGTTGGCCTGGATGTCGGCGTGGAAGCCGTTGAGGGAGCGTTTGATGGACTCTTTGGAAGAGGAGTACATCATGCGGGGCTGTATCCGTTGAGGTTAGTATTGCGATACAAGTAGCGACATTTAGATGTCATATGATGACGGCATAGAGAATGTTCAATTGACTTACGTGCTGTGGCGAATCATCCGGGACCCAGGAGATGAAGGCAATCTTGTTCCTGTATATTTATTAGTCTTGTCCAATTACTCCCACATCGCGTCCCAATATCGCATTCCCAATCCGTGCTGCCGGGTCTTGTGAGACTCACCTCTGGCCTTCACCCGAGTCGTACGCAACATCGTAAACAGCGTATCGCCCACCGAGGCCCTCCTTGCCCTTCCATGTGCTCTTGGCGTTGAGCAGCTTCTCGCGGAATGTGGAGTAGTCATCCTCGGTCGATTGCTCGTCAACCACAATCTCCTTCCAGTCATCGCTGATCTTGAAGATGATCCACTTGACGCTCTTGCCAAGCTTAAGGTCGTTGAAGGCCTGAATGCACTCGGGAGCGACGGTGACACTATTGAGGGGACTCCCTGTTAGTATGGCTTCGAGTATGGGGTCGGCGAAAAGGCCAATGTCGATAGGCAGAACTGAAGCCGACACGATGGTTTGTGACTAGGCGTCGAGGGAAGGAGGAGAGGAGGCAGAACGGGGAGAATGGCCTGAGAAGGCCGGGGAGGGCTGTGATGGTGCGGTGGTGTGGAGATGCACATACCCGGATGAAGCCTATGTGTGTTAGCATTGAGTCGTACAGCGCATATCAATCAGCAGACTCACCATGATATCGCTACTGTGAAGAGGAAGAAAGTTGGTGTTGTGTTGTTACAGCAGGCAGCCTACTTATCTGCATCGCCACTGTCAGCTCGTGCTCACACTAGGTTGCAGTCCTGCTGCGCGCAGGTGCCTGGAGGATTACGGCAGGATACCCACATAGATCCGAGTATGCGACGGTCTGGTTGGAGGTGTGTGAAGGAGGAGAGTAAGAGGGTGTCGTGGGGAGAGATGGACGTTGAATAGGCGACCGCAATGCCCCTCGTTGAAAGGCTTTGGTGGTGGGGGCTTCCGCGCACAGACCAGGCCGCTGCTCGGGCTGTCAATATTTACTTGATGAGCAGTTACCCATATCAGCGAATCCTGGTCACTTCACGCATCGTTTTTGGTCCGTTTGAGTGTTTATTCTTGATTCAAATTGCTTTTTATGTCCTCCCATCTTTCCCAGTCGCTATGTAAACATGATATGGTACAGTACCAGAACAATCCCAAAACAAGATTTCGCTCGCTAGGGTTGATGAAAAGGTTGGGTGAAGAGAGTGGAGAGCTGAGCAATCCCGCCATCATGTACAAAACAGCCGGGAGAATCGGGAGAGGGAAAGGGTATACAAGTGGGGCGCGATGCAGTGAGACGTTAGGATGTAGCAAGCCACGCTTTGCATCTAGAACATGCCTCCACCCATACCGCCCATGCCACCCATACCTCCACCGCCCATTCCTGGTGGCGGGCCCTTCTCTTCTGGTGCTTCTACAATGGCGACTTCGGTCGTTCCTAGTAGGGATGCAACACCGCTGGCGTCGGTAAGAGCGGTGCGAACGACCTTGAAGGGGTCAAGGATACCGGCAGATATCATGTCAACGTATTCACCCTTGGCGCTGTCGAAGCCCTTGTTGAAGTCGGCACCGAACTCGTCCATGAGCTTGCCAACAATGACGGCTCCCTCAGCACCAGCGTTTTCAACAATCGTTCGTGCGGGACGAGTGATGGCGTTCTTGATGATGCTCACACCGAGTTGCTGGTCGAAGTTGGCGGGCTTGAGGTCCTTGAGCGCATTGGCAGCTGCCTTGAGGAGAGCGGTTCCACCTCCGGGCAAAATACCCTCCTCAACGGCAGCGCGTGTGGCGTTGAGAGCATCGACTATCCGATCCTTCTTCTCGCCGACCTCGACTTCGGAGGCTCCACCAACCTTGATAACGGCAACACCACCAGAGAGCTTAGCAAGACGCTCCTGGAGCTTCTCCTTCTCGTACTCAGAGGTGGTAGGATCAGCCATCACACCGCGGATCTGCTCGCAGCGCTGGACGACAGCATCCTTGCTACCCTCACCATTTAGAATGACGGTGTCCTCCTTCGTGATTGTAATGGAGCCGGTGGATCCGAGATGGTCGACAGTGGCCTTCTCGAGCTTGAGGTCAAGCTCGTCGGTGAAGACGGTAGCGTTGGTGAGGACACCGAGGTCGCCGAGGATAGACTTGCGGTTGTCACCGAAGCCGGGAGCCTTGATGGCAGCGACTTGAAGCTGGCCACGGAGCTTGTTGAGAATGCACACAGCAAGAGCCTCACCATCGATATCCTCGGCAATGATGACGAGGGGTCGGCGGAGCTGCTGGGAAGCCTCCAAAGCAGGGACGATGTCTTGCACAGCCGAGATCTTCTTCTCTGAGAGAAGGATCAGCGGCTTCTCGAATTCCACCTTCGCAGTCTTGGCATCGGTGATGAAGTAGGGCGAGATGTATCCGCGGTCGAACTTCATGCCCTCGGTAACCTCGAGCTCATCCTCGGTCGTCTTTCCCTCCTTCACGGTGATGACGCCCTCCTTGCCGACCTTCTCCATCGCGTTCGATAGGAGCTTGCCAATGTGGGTGTCCCCGTTGGCAGAGATGGTGGCGACCTGGGAGATTTCTTCGCTGGTGGTGATATCCTTCTTGTGCGATTGTAGGTATTCGACGACGGCCTCCACGGCGGCCTGGGTTCCTCTTCGCAAATCCATTGGGTTGCATCCAGCTGCGACGTTCTTGACGGTCTCGGAGAAAATGGCACGGGCAAGGACAGTGGCGGTAGTAGTTCCATCACCGGCAACCTCGTTGGTCTTGGATGCAACGTCCTGGATTAGACGAGCACCTAGGTTCTCGAACTTGTCCTTGAGGGTGATGGCTTTCGCGACGGTGACACCATCTATATATGTTTGTCAGCGTGATCCAACAATTCTAGCCTTTTGCCCTCACATACCCTTTGTAATTTTTGGTGAGCCATAAGGTGACTCGATTAGCACATTCCGGCCCTTGGGACCCAGTGTTGTGGCGACGGCCTTTGCGAGAGTCTCGATGCCATTCAGCAAAGCTGCCCGGCCCTCGACGCCAAACTTGAGCTCCTGTAGAGATTTTTAGCTTCGACTTAGAGTGATATATGAGTTTAATACTGATGATCTAACATACTTTGTGCGCAAATCGCTGTTGTTGGAGGTTGAAGCTTGATGTGCGTAGCTTCGAGCTCGAAGATAGGACCGAAGTCCGCGCTCTCGAGGCTAGTGTTCGTTGCATTGTGACGGGTGGTAGTAACAGAGGAAGAGAGAAAGTCAAGCCTTGCTCCTGGACTCCGATTGAAAGACGGTGGGAAGAGAAGGGAGATGGAGGTGATGCTGGGTTGTTGAATGTCTCCTCGATAAAAACTTCACGATCGGCTGGAGAAGAATCGAGAATGCCGCACAGGCCACCGGCGGATGCAAGCCCCTTGACCCGAGGTCAACACCATGCTTCTATCACCACTTTCTTCACATTTCTACTCATCAGCTCTTCAATTTCCATGGCCTGTATTCCTCCAGGACTCACATAGATCCGTCGCCTATATAGTCATGGTCCCTATTTCTACCTCAGCTTTCGAATTCGAGGATGCCGGGCCTACCGGGGCAGATATGCACGAGTCATGGATCAAGTACCCTGATCATGCCATTAAAAAATATCGCACTCCTCCGTTTTCATTATTACTCAATGAAAGAAAGGATATATCTACACTTAAAAGACACTACATCGCCATTATTTACCTTGATATGCTCCTAGTTCCGCAATAATATATCAAAACAGTCACTCAAATACCCCCCTCACATGGGAACCTTCAACATGAAGAGGCGTCCCACGTCCTTGTCAGTCCCGACTCCTAATAACTCCCAACGGCCGCCTCGCCATGTCCTCAGCTCTGCCAATGCCCCATAAACTTCGTGTTGGTCTTTTTCAATGACATAGATCATCCCTCGTGGTCCATCCGACACTTCTCTCAATGTCTTCTTTTGTATCATCGCATTCAATGCGATCTCAGCTGCTGTCGTGTCCCTGATCTTGGATTTCTTTTCCCTCCCTTTCTTTCTTGCCGCTTCAGCCATATCTCCCATCTTCGGGGCCGTATTCTTGAGCGTCAAGAATAGCGCGTGTAGCGGATTCCCAGACGAGTCCCGCAAGATGATAGGGCCTGTTACAACTATTCCAGGCGGCGGTATACGGCTATCGGGTCCTAATGCTCCATTTGGAGCTCGGCTACTGCCCTGGGTGGTGCTGGCGGTCGCTGATCCAGAGGCCGTCCTGTGGGCTACTGAGGGAGCGTTGCTTGGTGCAGCCGATTGCCATTGGCTCTGGCTTCCCGTTGTGTTCGCTCGAGATCCCCCTGAAAATTGTCGTGAAGCTCCACTTTGGTTTGAGCTTCTAGCACTCTGGTTTGCGCTTCTAGCACTCTGGCTCGTGCTTCTAACATTTTGGCTCGCGCTTCGGCTTCTGGCACTGTGGCTCGCGGCCCTAGATACTCCATCACCCATAACATTGTCGTTTCCCCAGCCTGCGAGTGGGTCTCCCGGTCTAGCACCTCTACCACCACCGGAATAGTGAGATCTTGCGTGTTGAGACCCAGCGTTCTGATTTCCCTGAGTGGCGTTGTCGTTCTGCCAGCCGAGGGGATCCTGATTATCATCGCCTATAGTTCCATCCCACTGAGCTGGAGCCTGTGTCGCGAAGTTGTTGGCACCGAAAGCACCGCCTTGGCCGCCTGCTCCAAAGCCTCCTCTACCACCCATACCGCCGAACGTGCCTCCACCGCCCGCAGGAGCTCCGAAGCCTGCAAAGCCCGGAGGAGTTGCCCCAAAGCCGCCGCCCATGCCAAAACCTCCACGACCAGAACCAGCGAGCCCCCCACGACCTCCAAAACCACCTCGAAAGCCTCCCATACCCATGCCGCCACGTCCGCCCATGCCAAATGCACCTTGTACAGGCACAGCCCCAGCAAATCCGCCTCGAATTGGTAGGCCTGTTGCCCCAAATGTGATATTCTCGAACGCCTCATCGTCGTTGTTGAAGTCACCAGCAAAGTTTACAGGTGTCGGCCCTGCAAACCCCATGTGCCCACCGCGCATGCCACCCCGCATACCAAACCTGTGGCCTCGAATTAGTGGTACGTTCAAACTACGTGGAGAGTAATGTTCGGGTCCGGGATGGTCGCGGCCGGTATCAGTTTGCGTGGCTTTTTCTTGCTGAAGAGGCCCATTTTAGGCTATTTTGCGTAGGACCAGGTCTTCGAAACTGTATCGAAAGGGTTGTGTGGATGCTGTGGAGGAGGCAAGAGAGTTCTCAAAACAAGACTGGTGTTGTTCTGAGTTCACGGAGCCGTAGCGTGTCATTGAGCCCTTGTTGTTGGCAAGCTCATAGCCGTCCTCGTGGCAGATACTGACCTGTAAAGGACAGAAAATCTAAACTTCACTTACCCAGCTCCCCCGTGTCCTCCACCAAGGAAGTCGCCCCGCACAGGATTGCCTCTTGAAGAACCTCGACCCCGGTATTGGGCTACGCCGGGCAGCTTTGGGTAGTCAACCCGGACATAGTTGCCGGTGGTTGGATGGCCGTACTTGTCTGTCTTAAATTTCTTCTTCTTGCTGGAGAGGCCCATATTCGACTATATTTTATGTTTTGAGTAATTTGAGTGTTTTCGAATCAGTCTCGGCGTCCACTTTTGGAATCATTGCACACTTGCTCAGCGATAAGAATAAAGAAAACCAGTGTTGATCCTTATTCTGTTATGACTGGGTGGGCGCGCAATCGGTTGCGCAGTGGTCGTTGTTGGACAGCTCATAGCTAAAGTCGTCGTAGCTAACCAGGCCAGATACAACGCATATATGCTCATTACATACAGAGTGCTCGCTACCACGGTCCTCCATCACCACAACACCGGAGCTGCTGGCGTTGCTCTCCGACTTCTGACGCACGCCCAAATGAGCTAGGAGATCTCTTGGTTTGCTCATCGCAAGATCCGGCGTCTGCTTTTCACTCCCAACTTCCACCTCCATTCGGCGTTGTTCTGGCAGTTCCACTCCACGCACCACCGTGAATCAGAGTCGCGGCCTGGGTTTCATCCACCACCACTGTCCATAGCAAAATTATGGAAGAGATTTGACTCCCAGTCCCCTTAGCATAGCCCTTCTAGGCAGCTCTTTTACCCTGCCCCAGCCAGCACATCTCTCTGAAGAACAGCCGTGGAGTGCGGAATAGGGGTCTTTTATACCCAAGGGCGAAGGAGATTTTGGGTCGGTCCGGTGATCAGATCGACGTAGCAAAAAACACAAACGCCGCTGCTGTGATAGCTATTGCATTCAACTCTCCACGATTCGGGACGCGGACCCTTGCAATACAATGGTGTCCCAAGCGCTGGCGACCAAGCACTCGCCTACCTCCTGGCATCCCTGATCGTTTGAACGCAGAATCATGGGGATTAGACACCAAGTAAGATGCAGATATATCTCCTAAGCCACGATATGTGTAAATCAAATGACACTAACGTGCAACACAAGCGAGCCGGCCACCCAAGCGAGCCGGCCACCTCATCAACTCTCAACAGCTTTGAACGTAGATTGCTCCACAACGCTAATAGATATTAACTTAATTCAACTTGCAGTCTATTCTATAATAACTTCCTCATCTTTTTGACACGTACGAGCATTATATCCTGTCTCGCCGCAGCGCCTACAGCGCGCTTGCTGCCGTGCACTTCCACCGGGGCGCCTCCTATTTTGACGCATTTCGCCCTCAATTTGTTTATTAGCTTCCTTTTGAGCGATTATATCAGACCCCTGTGCCTTTGTTAGGACTCCTTGCCTCTGAATT